ACATGATGTCCCCCAAAAATGTCCCTCAAGGGTGTACAGAATTCTCGTAATTTATGAAGAAAAATTTCAAATTCAATTATAGAATTGATGAGCCCAAACATTTTTCTTTTTTGTGTCAAGTTTTTCTTGGCTTCGGTTCAGTGGTTTTGAAACAAAGGCCATGAATGTACATAGTCCATTTTGCTCACAGCATCACTGTGGACTTGAACATCCCACTTCATTCTAAGCATCCATTATTGGGTCAAACCAGCTGGTTTATAAAGTCAACATTCATTTAATTCCCCAATCGATCCGATCGAGTGCAGTCAAAATGCTACAAACTACAAGTTCACACTGACAAGTTCAGCATGAAGTTAAGTTCTCATGATATTTTCAGTTCAAACCTGGCTTTTTTTTTTACATCACGTAAGGCAGGAGACCACTGGATTCTATTTTACTGTTAAAGAGATGATGAGATTGTCTTAGAGGAGAGACGCTCAAATCGCTGGAAATGAGAAACTGTCATGACGAATATAAGACTTGAACAGTTTGGATGTCAATTTTTCCATTACGACTTTTTGAGTTATAATTACTTATTGCTTTTAAGATCACAAGTTAGTACTTCGAGTCGCCTATTAGTATTACACACAAAAATAAGTCGTATTTCCAATACTTTTAAGATAGAGATATTCGCATCTTCGTCGTGAAATTGTTTTATCCTTCAAAATTGGAAAGGTTGCCGAAGCATTTCAAATCAGTTTAGTGATCTTACCTGGATGAGAATCAATACACCAGCCGTGGCCATCAGCTCCCTTGGACTGACCCACTTCGGAAGTTGGACTGACGCTCTTCTTGCATTGAAGATCCTGTAGATACGATTAACTTTCAGGAGAGTTGGAGCATAAGTCAGGGTGAAGCTGAGCGAGATGGTAGCCTCAGATGCTAAACATGTCCCCTGGCTTGGTTTGATGAGGAGCAAGAAGACCGCCACAAAGGCAAGAATCACACCAACCAAGACAATACTGCTCAGTTCACGACTCGCAGCTTTGATCAGAGGCTTGGCGTGGTAGTGGATAAAGCCGGCAGCCGTCAAGATTGTCAAGAGAAGCCCGATGATGGAAAACAGGATGATGATGATAACAGTCGGGTCCTGGAAGCTAAGAGTGTTGGGGATGATATCTTCACAGCCGCTGCGATTAGAGTTAGGCCATGCTGTGAATTTACATGTCACGCACTCACTGCTGCTGACGACGATTTCATTGTCAGCGCAGGGCTGACACAGCCAGCAACACTTCTCCTCGGAGGGAACAAGTATGAAGCCAGGGGAACAATCGGGGATGCAGGTGGACCGAGGCACCTGCAAGGAATCACCTTGCCATCGGATCAGATCATCTCGAAGGTGTAGCCTTGTTGTGTTCTGCGAGTCCCACTGGCCAATCTCAACGCTGCCGTACTTTCCGTTTTCCATCTTCTGATAGTTCCTGAAGGTGTATTTTCCAGGTGGATCGGCATTTTCATCAAAGAAGAGCAATCCACCTATTCCAGTGAAGTTGACTCTAAGCAGGTGGGGTTTCAACATTTCTCCGGATATACCTTTAATGGCCGAGCAGTTTGACCTCTCGGGACACAGCTCAGCGACCAGGGAATCGAGAGCGTGCGCAAAGGCTTTGACACCGTCTACGACCGGAGACACCACATAATCACTACTTGGGTGATCGGGAAAAACTCCCGATCGTTTGGTCTGAGTGTAATTGGTGAACCAAGGACTGACAGAGTCTGAAGCCGGGTTTAATCTCGCGAAATGATCGTCGAATGGCGGGACAGTCTGACTGAAGAATCGGGTAAAGAGAGAGCCCTGTGCGATGTCTCCCAAGCCCCGCTCGGTCAAATCAAACCCCCAATCATCACCTCCGATCCAGGTAATGTTAAGACCTGGCTGCTCGCTCTTGACATGGTCCAGAACAGCATTGGCTACCTGTAGAGCTGCAAACATCACGACTGTCTTGGCGTATCTGTACCTGACAAGTTTAGCCACGACCTCGGATAACTCATTCTGTGTGGGGTTTTGATTAACTGGCGAAGTGAAGGCGATGCAGATGCCCCTCTGCTCGGCAAGAACAAGCAACTCTCTGGCGCCGTGCAAACCATAGCTATCCACCGAATGAATGAGGGCAATGTAGTTCCACTGGAAGTTAACAATCAAGTCTACGATGGCGCTGATTTGATGTCGATCGGGTGGGACGGTACGGAGAAAATATGGAAACCTGGCTTTATCACTGAGCTCATTACTTGAAGCCGCATGGGACATGATTGGTACCTGAAAGATACCTGCGAGCTGGGCTACAGGGATGCTTGTGGCGCTCCTGGACGTTCCAATTATTCCAATCACCTCGTGCTCTGAATGACTAGTAGATGAGGTGATGTTGGATGGCAGAGGCGAGACCGGGCAGGCATCTTTGAAAGCCTTAGGGTAGATATTCTCCAGCAACATAAGTGACATCCAGAGTGCCAGGTCTTCGCTACGGCAATCATCCCTGATGTCAAATCCTAAGGTGATGTTGGGTAAGATGTCGTCTCGACTGTTGATGTCTCTGATTGCCCACACCATTGCTTCAGCGTGGACTACTCCACGCGGACTGATTTCCGTGTCACAGTTTTCGGAGATGCTACCGTGAAGTGACAATAATGCACCCAGGGTGAAATCCCCCAGCTCACGGTACGCCGTGCACGCCACCGCGTCATCGGCGGAGCTAAAGCGCCGAAACACGGTCAACACGACCAGCCAATACACGGTGGATCCAATCATTGCTACTATGCCGTCTCACAGACTACCGGAGAAAATGTACGATTTGGTCTGCGCGTGCAATCCAAATCTCAACTTATCAAAGCTTCCAAAATGATTATGACAAGTCAGCCACTCATGAGAAGTGTCTTGTAACATGCACAGGTACATCATTACTCTCTTTTTTGTTCGTTTTTGTTGCAAATGTTTGGCGGTAAATTGATGCAGACCCGGATTTGACTGGCGACTCTCGGTGCCTTTATCATGCAAATAGAGACAGTTCTGTCACCAAATCATCACGCATGACGACGGCGAGATCTCGTGGTAGGATCCGATCCAGTGATGTTGCAAAACTGAACTAAACACTGGGCCCCATGCACAATTTACTAGCATAATTATTCGCTTCATGATCGGCATGGGAATATACACATGTGCATTTTATATCAGGCTCAGGTATGCAATGCGAACGCCATTAGTTTTGAAGATCAATGGAAACCATTCGAACAATGATCCCGTTTTTTATTTTCCAAGCCAACCAACCAAATATTGAATTTTGATGAAGCTAGTTTGTGAAGGACTCTACATGATAATTAGCAATTTAACATATATTGTACGTACGACCAGTTTGCAAATACGAAATAATTATGAAAACCTACCAGCATAAATAAGAAACATTCTAATTACTACATGCAGTGTCAGATATCGCCTCGTTCCCTCCCCGTTGCTTTCACCTTTCTCTGGGGTGGATGGGAGGGGAGAGCGTAACTCATTTAAAGGAGACGCCAATTTAAAAGAAGACCCTCTTACCCCATCTCCAACTGATCGTAACTCATATTGACATAATGGGGGACCCAAATTTGACCACTTTGAATGGGGGGGGGGGGCAATATTGCCGACAGACCATCCGTGTTTAAAGGGAAAATACAACATTTGCAAACATCAAAATATAAAACTACCAAATCATTTTGAAATACCTTGCTGGACTGTTAGTGAATGACAGTGTAAAGCATCCTGTAAAATCATGGCACCTGGTATACTGTCATTTTCAAGAAAAGTGGTATTTTTGCATCAATTTTCAACGCTGATCGACCGATCAGCGTTGGAAACAACTGGCTTTTTTTCAAATACTGGCCCCAATTGACAATCGCACTTGTTTGCAATCGATTACAAACCTATGAACGGGTACGAGCCAGCTAGACTGGTTCCTTGACCTTACTATTCCCCAATGTATGTAAACTGCTCTGTTTCTTCTTATATGGAGTCAGAGAACCAGATTACAGGAAAATGATCGTTTTTCTTGGTTTTTATAGCATTTTCGAACCCAAAACCTCAAAAAAGTCAGTGTAACTATATTTGCTATATATTTCCAACCCCCCAATTCCATCCATTTCTGAAAATTACAGCAAAAGCAAATGATGAATATTCCCTTTAATAGTAGACAGCATTTGTTTTCCCGATCAACCGACCTCCATAAAATCAAAAGGCGGAGGCGGTGGGGGAAGCTGGATACCATTTCCCTGCGCTGTTCAAAGCGAAATTGCCAACAATCTGTCTGTCGAGCATGTACATTGCATTATTAGAGAGTTCTGCAGAGAGCAATGGAGTTGGGGGATTGAAGACATAATGACATTGCACCTCTGGGTCCGAAAGTGGCGCTATTTAGCGACATTTATGATGTGAAGGGATCCTTTTTCAAAATGGCTACTTTTCCAGTTTGGGAAATAATGGGAAATATCCTTCGTTTTAGGGTTGATCTTCTTTGGGTGAGAATTTCTCAAAAAGTCATTGGTCAACCCACCTAAAATTGTAAGTAAAATGAAAGACATAATGTTGATCATCATTTATATATGTTTAGCCTGAACACCTGTGAGAGTTCTGGGTATTTTTAAAAGAATTTTGAAGTACGGGTATTTTATCAGTGGTCTGTATGGGAACTTACCCTGTATCAGGGGGGGGGGGGCTCAGGCGTTTTGTTACGCCTGACACTACTCTCGAGGGAGATCGGAATTCAATTATTAAATTTGACATCAAGTTGGAGCCAGATTAATCCGCTTTTATTTCGCACTTTTACCGATATTATGTTAACCTTAAGTACTTCTGAATTAAAAAGGGTAGAATATCGTTGGTTGTTTTTAAATACCAGTGAATTAGTATGCGCTAACAAGTCTCACTTTCTGTCCAATACTTAAATAGTAAAACGCCCTCTTTCGACCGTGTGAATATTGAGGGCGCCCTACAACAACAAAATTAAATGCCCAGTGTGTGTCGGAGTTCATTATCGTCACGTGCGATTTTCGCGCTCTTTAAATTTGTTGGCGCGGCTGAAAAGTATAATAGAAGTGCCTCAAGTTTCGCACTTTTTGCTCTTGTTTTGAAGGGAAAAGAAGACATCTTTACCATGCCTGGAGTCGAAGATTGGTTGAATCGTCCGCTGGACATCGTTCAGGGTTTATTTGGTGAGGAAATTATCATTTTTCTTGACAAATTTAGATTCCTTTGTTTTGTGTGTGTAGGCCTAGCCCCACTACTAGTGTGGCCGCGGTATGCTGCGCTGAACCGCGGCCACACTAGTGGGGCTAGTGTAGGCCTAGACCTATCATGAAACTCTGCCATGTGTCTGCATATGCTCTGTTCCGAAACTATGCAATTACAATAAAACTCTTTGTTCTTTCCGCTAGATATCAACAACAAAAAGTGTTCGGAAAAGGTGACGGAATACTTCAGTAAGAAACTTGAAGACAAAGACAGCTTGGAATGGGTAAAAAAATTAAGGCAATAGGCCTATATCGTGTAAACTTGTCTTAACTGCTTATCATGCTCAACGGCCCCTGGAGAACAAACTCCACTTTTAATTTGTTTGACTTACCAAACTAAGTGCGACATTAAAAATAAGCAGGTATGCCATAGATTAGACTGGGCACGGTTTTGAATTTTTGAACACTATATTATGGCTTTCATAAAAAAAAAATAGCCATTTTGTTACATTTTACCATGTTTTGAATTGATTGAATTTTGTAAATCTCAGCAACAGGTGTTCATTTTTACACATTGCATATTTTTGATTGGACAACTGTCTTTATAACCTAGGTACCATCACTCAATCACACATCCTTGCATCTTCTCAAGCCAAACACCGTCGTCAGGTTTCGCTGTATGATTCAGGATATGTACGATCCCGAGTTTTATCTTGGCGCATATGAGGTTGTGGACAAGAGCTCGGGACAAGTTGTAAGTGTTATCACCATTCACTACATGTTGTATTCTACTTGCATCTTTGTACTCATTTAAGCAGCTTAGGCCATGTAAAATATTAACCCGTTCTTGTCCCTACCCGCTTCCTTTTCCTGCCTGCCTCTTTTTTTTTTCTTTTTTTTTATTCCAGAATGTGTTCTGCAAAATTGTAGCGCTGTAGAAAGGGTTACTGCTCCTTTGGATACAATTTTGTATCAGTAAAAGAAGTGGAGATAATGGAAGAATCCATCCACAAACTTGGAAAATCTTCAAAGAAAAAAAAATGCCAGCTTCCTTCATTTTTTCACAAAACTGGGCCGAAAAACTGTTTTTTCACTCAGCCGTCAAGTGACAAAGCAAAACTTACAAAATGAGTGATTCGCCGATGAATTCTTTTTTTTTTTTAAAGAAGACAGCCACTAAAATGTTTATTTCCTGCATTCATCAACAACCAAAACAAACTTTGTTCTTTAATTTTTGAATCTTGTCATTATTGTTTTTTGGCCAGTGAGATGGTTAGTGTTCTTTAGTTTTCACTGATAATTTCCTGTCCCCTTTGTTCCTCCATTTCTGGGTTTCTGCACAGACCATGAAGTCGGGGATGTTTCAAGACCTCGCTGAATGTTCCCAAAACCAACGACTGAACTTGGAATCCTCAAAGAACGTCACTCTGGATAGACAGACATTCTACTGTGTCCCTGTTCCAGCTGAGACGGAATGGGTCAAACAAATATCCTTAACCTGTGCTGTGTTACAAAATATGATTGGAACTATGTGACAGCTTCAAAATGATAAATTATAAGTTGTGAGATTAAAACCCCAACCCTCCTCAATCCTCCAAAATCCTCTTGGTGGTTTTGAAGGATTTTGGATGATTGAGGATGAATGGTGATTGAATTTTGACGCACAGGAGGATTTTGGAGGATTGAGGATGAATGGTGTTGAAGCACATGAGGATTTTGGAGGATTGAGGATGAATGGTGTTGAAGCACATGAGGATTTTGGAGGATTGAGAATGAATGGGGTTGAAGACTTGAAGAGGAGGATTTTGGAAGATTGAGGAGGAATGCATTTTGAGCATGAAGTGCTCATATGAACATAAGTGCAAAATTTTGGAGGATTTTGGAGGATTGAAGATTTTTCCCAGCAAAAAGGGCCTAGGGGTGAGGTACTTATTAATGATATTTTGCCACTAGTTCCCTTTTGTAAAAGTCTGAGGTTTTATTCAGACATATGCCAAAAATATTCACGAGCAGAAAATTGATTGGAATTCCATATTTTCTGTTAAATCGTAACTCAGTCATAACATTCTTCTCAAATCAAATCAGTCCTTAACATCTCTTTTCCAAGCCTTCACCGAACACAGTTGCTGCCAAACCTCTGACCCGTCGACCTCGCAGAGTTCAAGGGTCAAAAGGGCACTCGAGGTCGATGACCTCACCCCATCAACATCACAGTTACCAGTCCCAAGCCAGACTGGTGACCACGGTGCGGATGTATCCATGGAGACCACAGACGGCAACCAATCTGAGAAGAGAAGCAGAATGTCAGAGGTCACAAGTCAAAGGTCGACGACATCCGTTGACCTCAACTTTCCTCTATCTGGGGAAAAGGGACCGGCCTGTATGGTCAAGGTTAGTTTATGTTGACATTTTTTAAAACTCAGTCCATCTCCACATTAATTGGAGACATTGGGTGAATAAGGTGCAAATATATTCTGAATATGAAACCAGAGCTAGAACCAATTTTGATAAAAATCATACTTTTTTTTTTAAATTTTGAAGTGTTTTGGCCAATTGAAAGTTTGTTGGTTTATTTGTGATTGTTGCAGGTGTATGACAACTTTGAGTCTTTCCGCCTGAATGATGTTATCGAGTTTATCGGCGTACTGTCAGTTGACCCAGAACTGGCCAATGTACCTGCGTGTAATCACAATGGGTAGGAAATCAACGGTCGATTTCATTCCATGTCGTTATCCTGTATCTGTTTTGTAACCACTAAACCATGCCAATACTGAACTGCATTTCTGACATTCTGCTGTTGTTCACTTCCTTTTGAAGAGGAACGTCGTCTGCAATCGACGGAGCCGACTTGATGGAAGGAATCGAAGAGCAAGCAGCACACTCGCCGCCCCCTTCACTGGTTCCCCGTCTCCATGCCATTGTATCACACAAACTGCAGCACATAAACCCTCTGTTACCAGTTAGTCTGGAGTCAGACGAAGGCAAAACGTGTAAGTGGGAAGTTCTGTGTGAATGGCCTTGTAGAGTCAGGGTGCAAGTTTGTTTAGATTGCAGTTGGAATTTCCACCTGATATTTGCATATTTGGTGGTCAAAATTGATTTTAAAAGTTAAATTTTGACCATTAATGCCAAAAAAAAAGAACTGTTTATAGATTAGAATTAAGTCCAAATCCTGACCATTTGCTTGAAATAGATAGCTTTATGGCAGATGCAACATTTGATTAGCTCACTATTCTTTTGATTTCTTTCTAGTTGTGCAAGGCATGATGGGAGATCTGGGTTCTGTTAGGGATCAGCTCAGATGTCTCCTTCAGCAGCTTTTGTTGGGGGACGCTCTCGCAGCTGACTACCTCCTCCTAAATCTTGTCTCCTCAGTGTAAGTAGGAGAAAATAAAGCTGCTTTAAATTAATTGATATCAATTGAATTTTGTATTTATTTTTTTAATTCATGTAGAAATATTGTGCATAAAGTATATAAGAGTTTCTGGAAAAAAAAAACTAAATATTTTACACAAAATTTAGAGTGTAAGAACAGTAAATGGAAGTGCACTACTTAGTTCTTTCTGTACTTTTCAATGTTTGTATCCTAACTGATCATGATTGCAGTTATGCCAGAAGAGACGTCATCGCTCTCGGCAAGTTCACCTTGAATCTGATTGGTTGCCAGGAATCTGGATTCAGCCAAACACTACAGGGTTTACTCAGCCAACTGGTTACCAAGGTAACCATGTCTCCTATTTTTCCCCTGTCTTCCCTTCTCTTTGTTTGTTCAGAAAGTTGGTAAATCTTGAAATGATGAAGTGCAATTGTTGGTTCATTTCGGTTGAATCAATTTTGGGATTTTTGAAGCTCTAATTTTAACTCAAAAAGTGAGTCATAACTTTCATTTTAGATCAAAATCCTGTCTTATTAATCATTTTAGATCAATTAATTCCGCTTCGTTTAGCAATGTTGAAGCAAAGTAAACGTCTCATGGAAGACGTTTTTGGTCATTGCTTCCAAGTTTCTGAAGCTCCTCCTGCAAAGAACACATCAAGTTTTCCACATGTGTATCAAATTTTAACTTTACTCATTGTTTCTTTTTGTTTTAGTCCCACTTACTTCCACTGTCACTTGAAAACATGAACAGCCTGCGACTGACGCCTAAGAAGGACTACACAGCCAACAGGCTCAGGAGCGGTGTGCTCCAGCTGAGTGATCGCACTCATGTACTGCTTGATGAGACAGCACTACAACCTGGCCAACTAGATGCAAATGGTTCGTACGTCCAAGACAAAACATAACGTGTAGTTCATGTCTGGTCGGGTACTTGTAATTAACGTCGTGTCATAAGTCCATCACGAGTCAATCACATGGCATCCAGTCACAAGTCGACTCATCGCAAGAGTAACTGGTTAAAGTGACATATCAGCCAATGTAGCAGACATATTTTTCTTTTCAAACCACAGTTGTTTGTTTTGTTTTTTGAATCAGGTGTTCGTAATCTGGCTGCCATCGGAAATGCCATTTCTTGGCAGAAGGTGGACTACGATTTTGAATTTCACAAGACAGAATTTAAGACCAACCTCGTCTTCCTGGTCGTGTCAGAGGGCAAGTCGATGCTACCAGTAAGTTCATCAAAGCGTTCATGATGCGCTGTCCTTGCTGTTTATCAAAAAGAAATTGCGATCGTTTTCTGGCCCTACTTAAGTTACTCACCTTTAAAAGAGTCATCACCACATTTAGTTACGGTAACACTATTCCTGTCCCTTTTCCAAGCCCTACCCTTCCAAAATTTTGTCACTAAGCAAATGAAAAAAACATCAAAATTCTGACACGTTTGCTTCTTATTTTTTTCTTCTCTCATTAGAGTGATAGTCAGATACCAATCCAGCCTAAGGTGTTACCAATGAGCGACGCAGGCATCCAGACTGGTATCCAGCGCATGATCAGCTCCGGCAGTGTCAATCTCAACCGCATCAGAACCTATCTGGGAGTTATCCCATTCATTCAGTACAATCTCTCCGAAGAAATGTCCAAGGTACGTGATGAACAAGCCAGTTTGGACTCCGTGAATGAACAGTAGAGGGCGCTCTGTGACCACCATCGAGAAACCCCGGTGGAAGGGACGCACTTTGCATGCATGTAATGATTTGGGCTCGTATGGCACAAACTACTGCACGCACGACTAAGTTACAACCGCATGTGCACAAATTCATAGCGTCTTTGCGTGAGAGTCAGATGCTATCAGCATTCAAATGTCCCTCTGAGTGGTTTCCCCTAACTCTCCCTTTGTAACCTTTGAGGGGGTGCTTTTGCTAGGGGTCTATCATGCTCATTCAGTGCTTTCTTCTGTTTGTTGTCCTGATACATTCTTCGTCTCTTAATTAGAAACAATCTGTCAAAAAGTGACGCATTGTTGTTCTGGGAAAGAGCAGTAGACTTGTTTCTTGGTTGCCTATGAAAATGAGTATTATTGTCAAAGAGGTTAGTTCACCAGTTATCCTTTTGAACTGTTATTCCAACTAAAACACTTCAAACACTATTTTCTCCTTAATTTTTATGTTGTTCAGTACGATTTTGGGTAAAGTGTATTCTGCCTTGAAACGTTTGGTTTACAGATTGTTGAGCAGGACTTTGTGGATGCACGGAAGGCAGACCCTAGCCAGATGACTCAAGAAGATTTCCATTCACTCCTGGTAGTAGCAAGGTGAGGTGATCTTTTTTCGATCTCCCTCCCTCCCCAGCCCCCCCCCCCCCACCCCCAAACTTGCCTCCCCCATTACTGTAGAATATGTAGAGCGCCCTCTATGGCTGTGAATTTTCAAGAATGGTGGCAATACTGACCTGTTTGTCTGTTATTTGTTATGACATTTCTTGGTTTCATCTTTTTTTAATTCCAGATTGTTGAGTGTTTCCATAGGCCAGACCTCACTGACTAGAGAAGTCTGGGAGAGGACGAAACGAATGGAGCAAGAACGCAAACTACGACTCAAGAATACAGCCTCAACGCGATGAGTTCATCATCAGTCAGAAAGCCCCGAGGAAGATGTAGATTTAATAGCGGGTTTTCCCCTTCAGCGATTTAATTTCATAAACACTCTATTCTTAGTTTTGCCTGAGGGCTTGGGAGAAAAACTTGCAAGCTTACTAACCCACAACATGCTTATTAAGCTTTGTGGTCGAGTGCTAAGACATTTGCACTAGCATGCAGGAGGTCTTTGGTTCGAGTCCCATCGAGTCATTTTGTGGAAATGTTCTTGTGTGCCTTTTTTTTTTCAAGTGAACCATAATCTGTCGGACCTTTTTCGACCCTTCTCTTAATTTTTTGTTCTATCAAATATCTTTAAAGCCTATTTGAATCTTGTTTTATTAGTTGACGTTCATTCACTGAGACACAACATTATGTTTTTTAAATGCCATTTTCTCAAAATTAAGTTTTACAACATCAACTTGCTGGTTTATTTCCGTTACTGAGCTGAGAACCCCTGAATGTTACATACCATTGGAAAGGTCTTGTTCTGCAGAAGTCAGAAATATAAATGTCTCAATTCTTGAACAAAAAATGGGACTTTAAGCTTATTTTGGGATGACAGGTCACATATCATTTCTGTACAGTTCACTTGCACTGAAATAAAAAGTGCACGAACCCAAATCCTTGAAAATGTTGTCCTTGTAAATTCTGTCCAGAAGTGCTTTAGTGCCTGTGGTGTTTTCATTCAATTTACACCATACCAGATTTACTAAACATAAACAAAACCATTTTTGCTGCTTTTTTAGCAGTCATAATAGAGATTTAATGTGGTTTCAACTCCCTTGGTGTTCAAATATTTTTCGGAGGGCAAAGAGATAAAACTCCTACCCAGAGGGTTATTTTATCGCCCGTTTCTCAGCCCCACACCAACTTCAAAAAGATCGGTCCACGAGACCCGGGGGGCAGCGGGACAAGCCGCTACACCCTACCGGATTAACGGCTCGCAGGACGGCCAATAATTGGCCTGATTCGCCGCTAATCGTATCACTCCGCCGTGCGTGAAAGACACGAAATCAAATCAAGCGTGGGGAAACAACTGGCGATTACCGCAAACATCTTCATTTTCTCCATGATCGCTTCCAGAGCGTGTCGGGCGCCGTCTCTAAAGGGGATTCACCCCCTCTGATTTCGGCGACGACAGGAGTAAAAGTGGCTCAAACAGCAGGAAACTTGGTCCAAACAGACCCAAACATTGGGGTGAATTTGGGGTTCGGGGTTGATCGGGATTATTGCCAGTGAAAGGTCTGGTTTTTGTGGCGGAAGTGGAACTCGGCTGATAACCTTTAAGATGATGAACTTGGTGACAGAGACCAGGAGAACTTAGAAAGCTGACTGTGAGCAATATAAACTTGTGAAAAAGAAAATGTCCAAATTGTGCAAATATTTTGTTGAAAGCTTTGTTTATATGGGTTTGCCTAGCTTTTCTGTTGAAACAGAATGAGTATTTTTATGAAAACGCGCAAAACGGAGACTTCTTTTTATTTCCTGCCTCCGTTAAAGGTTATTCTTCCCATTCGTATATTTCCTTGGTCCCTATCCCCTGAAAATCAAGACGAAATTCGAGGTAAACAAAAGACCCTAGCTTCACAGCCGAAATATCTCGATACGTTTAATGTATATCGTTTTACATTGTGTGATGTTTCTGGACTTTTATAACACTAGACCAACGATAAATGAATCAGTAATGTAAAACATATAGCCTCAGGGATGCTTGATCATGAATACGAAATGGAAAATCGAACTGCAAATCCTGGGTACAAAAAAGGTGTCGCAGTCATTCATCAACATTTCCCGGCCCTTGTGTTCTCTTCCCATGCTTTCATAATTTTTGAAACACCATTTCGACTTCGAAACAATATTCAATACACACATCAAATCGACCCAAAACAATACTTTACAGTGCCGACCAGTAAATAAATTTGACAGCAATGATAAATACCCCACTTCCCAAAATATTCGGGGGAAAAATCCAAGATCTTCAACTTCAAGCTGAGCAAGATCAACCCTTTTTAATATTTGTGGGTGATTGATCGTGACTTATGGGTAGTATTTCCCTCTGAGATGAAGCAGTCCTGTTGGCTGAAGTCCTCCGGCATGTTGGAAATGCTCTCCAGACCATTGTAAAAGAGAGCAATTTAAGTGTCTGATTTCATCAAAATATTCTTAGAATAGGATTTCAAGTTCGAATCAGACCTTGTATCAACCCTCAATTGTTCTACAAACCCTCGTCACAAAACGCATTCAGACAAAAAACTAGGGACTTCGTCGGCGTAGATTAGTTTCGTCCACGCAGATATTTTTATCCGTTTACTGGCCCTGCGGCAACTGTTAACTCAAATCCCCCTTTTGGGGGGAGTGTAGGGTCTCTTAGCCCCGCCCCTCTCTCTGCGACCACCGGTATGCCTATATGACGTAACCGCTAATTGGCGTGAAGGTAAACGATTCCTAATTTATTCGATGTTTATACTGAGCCTTCGCTACACAGGTAATCGATACCCGGGGCTAATCGAGGGGGCGCTCCCTATCTTGGGAAAATAAATCAAGGGGGATCAGGCGAGCGGGAGAGATCAAACAGGAGAATGTCACACGGTTTCCCGAAACAAAGCAACTAAGAGATAAGAAATTGCTCCCTTTTCCACGCTATGTTGTTTCTCAAGATTGAACGAAAACGATATAGTATTTTTGTATCATTCGTTTGAGGATACATTGGGGATAATAGGGGATCAACCATTGACTTCTTCTTTTTTCGTCACATTAATCCCCTCCTATCCTGCATAATGAATGATAAGGCATTTTAGCGGTTGTGAGGAGATCCCGTGATATGTTTCCTTCCTCCGTGAGTTGGGGAAAGAAGGGGCAAATGCGTTCCACTCTGCACGACTATTTCGATATAACCATGATATAACATAATGTTAGGATATGACTATTTTCTGTACTTTCTGTACCATTTTATTTTAGTATATATACTAGGCCTATCCCATGACATTTTACTCCAGTTTGGGTTTTGGGCCCGTTTTGATTGTCAACCGAATCTACCTGTCAATCACTTCACCTCGTCAAAGCCTGGAGATTGGCAAGTTTGGCCATGGTTGGGCCTCCCCTCAAATCGTCAAAATAATCCCACCTGCTCACCACCCATAGTCGCCGGCGAGATGAGAGGCCCCGACTAGAAAATGACTCACATTACTCGGACGAGTATTAACTCCAATTTGTAAGATTAACTGCCATTACGTCATGTATCTCACGCTCGATTGGACAAAACCGACAATCTCATCCCGAGCGTACCAAAATATCACCTATCCCTTCTCAACGAAAAACAAAAAACTGAAGTAACTTGTAAATTGACCGCCCAGCTACTCCAACCCCCTGGCGATCGCTTGCTCTCTCCCCTTCCGCGTCAGTGAGCTTACATTCTCTCCCTGCCTCTTAACCCCCAGGGTTTGATTTCTACTGATAGCTCTGATACCGTGTAATAATAGACAACTCAGAAGATAGCGCGATTGTGGAGCTTGTCTAGAGGGAAGAGTTGCGTCTTTCTGCCCGCCGAGCTCGGTCGGTCTGTGCGGTGCGAGCAGAGTCGGGCTGCCCCAAGGCGGTGTTAATTGCGCGAATCCGATAGGCCATTGTTTTTTTTCGGTTGCTGTATGCGTGGTTGGTGTAGATTTTTTTTCTTCATACCCCTCCATACATGGTTGACACTTTGAGCAGTTGACTGTCGGTGGATGACCGAGGCGGCTGTGAGTTTTGGCGTGAATGACGAGCAAGAGGGAGGGGGATTTTGGAACAAGATACCGGTGGTGAATGCAGCGAATTACGCTCGGAGAAAACTCAATGTATTGGTATCTGAACCGGCTCGACGTTCGTGGTTTGAAATATTCATATGAACGAGAAAAGGGAGTCTTATTATGTATTTCTCCATGACTTGATTTAAACGAAGCTCAAAGTTATCGAACATTGTCGAAAAACACCAGGAAAACTCCCATTCGTGGTCGATTGAGCGAGACGAGTGGAACTTGGATAATCATCTTTGGGATTAACAACGACTCAAGTTGAAAACAACTCAGGCTCCAAGATGCTTTTCTAAAACTTGTCCGAGTTCTGAACAAAGTAAAAACGACGTCATCTCCTTGTGTTCAGGAACAAGGTTGAAAACAAAGATTACTTTTCATGGTGAGTACACTTTCTGATCTGCATGATTACTTCTTTCCAATGTTTTCTGTTGTAATTCTTTCCAAATAATTATGGGAAATGGAAGTTGAATTCTTCGGGCATGTCAGGATAATAATACTTATTTGTTAATCTTCGTTGTTTCTTGTGTTGATCTTTACCTTTTCTTTGTGGACCAAAATTACACACAGTTTGGACATAGAGCATGGAACCGTTGCTTAATTTATTCTGAAGGCAGAAATAAAAATTGAAAATACAACTCTGCGGAGGATTTTCTTAATATGAATAACCTGTTTCGCGTGTTTTCGTCATTAGCGATTTGCGGAGCAATAATGACGTCGGTTGTGCATGAGGAATATTAAAAATTCATTCCTGATTAGTGCGCGTCAGATTTGCGTTCACAATCATGATTAAAACACTTATTCAATTCAATTCAATTCAAATAGACCTTAGTTCCGTATTAGTGAATAAATGATAATTATACATTCAAGATAGATCTTCAAAAAGGGGGAGGTTGAAATTGTGGTGATATTTCAAAAGACCAAAAAACTTATGTAAAAATACCTTTTTTACAAGCAAAACGAGACAAAGACAAACATCGACAACATAAACATGTAGGACTCTTTTTAAATACTCTGGACAGGAAAGTTAACGTCAAGGAAGCGTGCTCATCGCAAAATCGTAAAGATATGTTGGTCCTGATCAATGCACCTCAATTTTAGGGAATATAAAGCAAAATATGCACGATCAGAACCCATAGTCAGATAGTGCCTATTGCTCGACCGAAGATCGACGCATACTTTAAAGCAAGCAAGGGGAAAAACGGTAAATTCGCTCGCGGACAAAATAAAGTCAATTTAATCTACACTGGCCATTACGCCATCGCACAGATGAATTCTGTCCATTATTCCGGTGTCGACTTAAGTAATTTCCCGACCTTAGGGGCATGAAATTAATGTTAGGACCCCTAGGCTTGTGGTGGGGGGGGGGGGGGGGCTCGCACCCGTTACACAACCGCGCGCCGCAGGGTCAGCTCCGGGAAAGTACTAACGGGGAATTTCGAGAATAGTAGAAAAAGGTTTAATCTTTCTAGGGTATTTATTGGAGAGTTTGATGGCTAGGAAATATTTTGTCTGAAACAGTATGGTCGGTGTCATGATATGATGGGTCGCTTCGGGTTGGGACCAGGGGACATTTTTGCAATCGCAACGCATTACTTACCCTCGGCTGAGTTTCGAAAGGGAAAATACCGTTTTGAACTCACAAAAAAGTATCTATACTCCGCTTGGTGTACACAAGCCGATTCATACTTAATTTTGAACCTGTGATGTTTGTAAACTTTTTTCAGAAGGCCTAATCATTCAATTTTCCATCAGTAAAACACAATGTAATTCTATGAAGCATTATTCCCTTGCTCTGTGCACAGACATGCTGACTAGGCATATACAGCCAGAGAGACGGAGAAGTTATGAAAATATAATCTTTACATTCAACTTCCGCATCTGTCTTGCACTGTGTACTAATTTGATGACAAGTTAAGAGATTCGAGTTTTACACCATTATTGGGGTGACCAGCTGATATCAAGGTTCCCAATATACAATTTTCCAACGATAATTTTTAGCTTTCAGATTTCACACCGATGGATCACAATCAGAGGTCATCCGACCAACACAACCTCCTACCATCACCATCACCACCCTCGTCACAACTCACCGCCAACACCACCCTGACCTCACCCAGGCCCATCCATCATCACCATCAGCACCCCAGCCACCAACACACCAACAACCTACTAGTACGAGGCAAGCCCGAGCTCATCAACCTCATCCCTGAAGAGACGGAGGAGGAGAAGGAGCGTGAGATGGCCCAGCGCAAGACGGCCAGCGACCGGGAACGTACCCGTATGCGAGACATGAATGATGCGTTTGAGATGCTGCGCGCCAAGTTGGCCCATCGCAAGCAACCAGGCAAGAAGATGTCTAAGATCCAAGCTCTTCGCTTCGCTATTGAGTACATGTCCGATTTGGAGGAAACACTGACGATGACGACACGATTGCCTGGTGCAGGAGGAGCGTACTATCAATGGGCCAGAACCAGAGGCTTCATTTGGGCCAGAGAAAAGGTCAGTTATTCGTTCAACCTGAACACAATATTTGGGTCAACTTTTCATGTCCATCTCTTGCAGAGATTACAGTTTACAATAATTGTGAGAGTGTTTACAATTGAGTACCCACATCGCATAACTGATTTATTCAGTATAACGTCACCTGGGGGTGGGGTGCAGATTGCAGATTGCAATGGCCTGGATGAAGATTTTAAAAGCAAAGTCCGAACGGCAAAAAATAAATTGACGGGACGGAAACAAAATGGTTTTTTTTTTGCAACGGGAAATCCAAATCCTACGCGCCTGAATTTATCGCGTACATCCTCAAAATAATGGCTGTAAATGCCTTAATACTTTGCACTTCTTATGACCATTGAAAGTCTCTCGAGCCGGGACATATATTTATCACTTTTTTTTATATGCTCGCGAGAAATTTCTTTCTAAATTACAAACATTTTGCGTTTAGGGCTTTACGGTAAACATGTTTTGAATGTGAGTTCAACATTGATGGTTGGAGAACTTTTTTCAAAGAAACTCTTGTCATGTTCTGCTTATTTAGCTGATTTTTCGTAAAACTTAAAGTCTTACGCGCTTTTAACAAATCAAGGGCTCAATTATCCAAGATTAGGACAATTACAATCACTCCTGATGCGACAAGATAATCCTCCGTATTAAAAACACATTCATCGTGGCATGTAAACTTTAAAAATGAGTCTGACAACAATTTTTCTTCCCATCCAGGCTAAACTACCGGAGTACCACAATCTGCCACAGCTCAGCACCGACGGCAACGGTAATTGCCTCTCCGTTAGCGAGCCATCGCAGCTCATGTGCCCCGTACTCAACGTCGATTCGTACGGTGGGGTAGGGCCTGGCGTTCCCGCTGGGCCATCGATAGGACAAGACGTTAGCTACTCGTCCACTGGTATGCAGTACTCAATCCCATCTCCGAATGACGTCACGCTAAGACCGTAGCTTACTGTAGTGATCTCTATTTTGAATTTACAAAAAATGCCAGCGAAATTTGTATGAACACTGCTCTCCTGTTGTTCTTCAACACATTCGATTTTGCTGTCTTAACGAACTTTTAATTCGGATTCTATTTTGACGAAAACAAAACCACTTTTTTTTTCTCCATCTCAGGCGTCTGCAACCATATGAACAAATGTTCAATTTGGATTGGTTTTGCGTCTTTTTTTTTAACACAGAAAAAAAGCTTGAATTAGTGTTTTATGCTGCCAATAATTGTAAATTTGTAAAGTCATTATCACATAACACAACGCGAGCGTATTTGCATTCGATGAATTGGTGTCTCGGTGAAAAGTGAACAACTTCGTAGGCCTTTTGTTGGGACAAAAATAGGCCTTCCAGTTCCAATATTTCGCACTGAAACTCGAAATTCGCACGGGGGAACTCCAGTGCACATACATGTAGGCTAGGTAGGCCTAATTACTAAGTAGTACTTTACTAAGTAGTATGTTATCATGTGTATGTCAACGTTTCTACAATGGAATTTGCGTCGGGAAGATGGTATGTAAATTTAATATTGGTTTTTGCCATTAGAAAATACGTCGGTGAACATCGGTGAACATCGGAATATACGTCGGAGTCAACGTCTCTGTCAACCGAAGTTGTAAACTACAGTATGTCCCAAAAAGTGTCAGTCTAAATATTGACGATCATTATCGAGAGATCTCTGGTGAGAGATTCTACACAGGAATGAGGCAAATTAAATAACACTCATAGAGATTTTGACAAAGAATTAGTAGTATCACAACTACAATTTTTAAATTTACTTCGTGGTTTTGTTATTTCCAAAATGTTTCCAAGACCAACACTTTTTTTCTGGGACATACTGTATAGACAGCTTGCATTAGGCTTTAGACTTTTAACAGTCATTTACTCTATTGTATTTATATTGACGATTTTCTTTGACCAAAACTGCTGGTTTTGTGATAACCGTTGGTATAGGTAATACTGCTGTTAAAAAATTGTCTTCTGTGATCGAGGTTTTCATCATGGGATGATGTGGCCAAAGTAGTATTGTCTTGGTCGTGTTCCTGGAATGCAAAACAAATGCTGCATTGTATGTATTGCATTCGATAAAAACAAATCTTCTGAAAGGGTATCTGCCAATTTTCGTCACAAAGTACATAGCAAAGTTCTAAACTTCATATAGAGGTGTATATATTGATTGGAATAAAGATATATGGTACGGTAGTGGTTGATAGTTAGTGTATACAAACTACCGACCGGTAGATACATGTATGTTGTTATAAAGTACACAATGCATTCTTATTGGCAGAAACCTCCCTACTGCTGTTTGGTGTATTATAGAAAACTTTAATTTCCCTCTGGGAATGGAATGTCTGTCAATACAATGATTGAAAATTAGAAACACAGTGAAAACTGTTGTTGACTTGCTTTATTTCCTATGTCGTGAATTATTTCATTTAGATTTACAGGAAATGAAACTTAATATGAATGATACAATGTTCGAAGTCAGGTTCCTTTGCAACCAAGGTAAAATTTAGGAACTTCATCAAAAGTGGATTATAAATGCCAAACAATATGAGAGTACTACTCATATAAAATACACCACTCAACTAATACAAATGTACACATACATTGATATTAAACTTTCATTCACAAGTAAAATTACCCTTTCCCTTCAACTACCCAACTAATACAAGTGCAGCCGCCTGCGGGGAAAATCTGGTACGGTAAAATGTACATGTATTCCTTTACTTCATTGCCCAACATTACACATTACCTTTCAAGCAAAAATTGGCCTTAATGCATTTCGTTTAAGGGACAACATTCATGTCTGAAGTCGGGTCTGATAAAATAAATCCACAGGCTACAGATCACATGGCAAGTTTCTTAAACATAATTACAGTGAGTACCGAATTTATAAACTTAATGAGTCTGTGAGGTAAAAAACTCTCAGTAACTTTTTTTCCATTTATTCTCTAGAAGTAGCTCCTAGCGTGATTTCCTGATATGACATGGCATTGAAAACATTGACTCGGAATCTCAAAGCAAATGTTTTTTCACTTGGATTCTTGTATCGTGAGGCTCCATCGTGCAAACCCTCAAGGCTAAATGCGAAGCGCTTTGAGACCTTTGGTATAAAGCGCTACAAGCAACACATTATTATAAATATTATTATTTTAAGACTACATTTGAAAAATAGACAGATTGTAGACAGATTGTGCTTTAAAAAAACATACTTTTTCCTCTCTTTTTTCCCCCTAACAATTTTATAACTTGTGGTTTCATTTTATAAAGAACAAATCAATTTTTATTCTATTTTTAATGTCTGCACCATTCTGAAAAGGACATTTTGTAGGGGTGCGCTATAATTGCTCACAAACATACCCACCTTGGAAGTAGACTCGTTCCAAGTCCCTACATCATCCATTCTGATAGGGAGGCAAGAACTGAATTATTGTCCGACCGCAAATAATGCGAAATTTATAAAGTGTTCATCGCAATTAAAATTAGTCCATATTAATATGGTTCAATTTCAGTCGATTTGATGTTTCATTCATAAATGAATAGCTTTGTATTGCTACAAAAATAGCAATTTGAAAAACAAAACGATTTCAGAGTGGTCAGTACATTTTAACCAGTTCACACCAGGATTATTTGACATTGACCGTACCCAGGTACAGGCCATCATCTGTGGGTAGCACACCCTGATATTTCCGGCCTCGCTCACTGTGAGCGGGTCGCAGACAGATATTTCCAGTCTCGCTTGTTGCGTGTTTATCTGTCATCCGTTCCAGCTACCAGTTCCAGGAGTTAGGGTGGACTACCTGTAGTTGAAGTTATTTGCATACTTGTCATGAAAACGGCGGTTTTCCAGCTTATTCATGGCGTTAGCGACCCTTCGAAGAGCACCCCTAAAAATGAAAGATGTGTAAAAAAAAGTAAGAGAGACATGATATCTGATTGGGTGAACAAACTTCTAAGCCTCAGTGGAAATAACTGACAGTAAACAACCTCAAACATGACTGCTGAATGGAAAAGGTCTTTGAGAGCAGACCATCAAAAGTTGCTCTTAAAAACATGAAAATAAAAGAACGAACGCAATTTCAATAAGTTGCCACAATGCAGCATAGAAAATATTACATTCAGGATATAGTAAACTCTCATAAGTCAAATCCCAAGGGAATGGATAAACAATTTCAGGTATTTGGTGTTCGAGTTATGCAAGGTTGCCGATTTTTGTACAGTCATGTCATCTACGCATACATGTACAAAAATTCTTGTTCCATAGTTGTGGGGACTACACACGAGTTGTCCCATGGTTCTGTGGGGACCGAAGACGCTGTGGGGACAGCAGAAAGACCATAATTTGGTCCTAATTTGCTTAACAATGAAAAACTTCCCCATAACGCGGTGACGGCCCACCCACGTATGCACATGAGTGGTCACATACCCATCGAGAAAGACAAACAAATCACACACACACACACAAGAACACGACTCGATAGAATACTTACTTGTTGAGCACCCTCTTTTCCAATCTACTGATGGAGGTGTTGGATCTTTTCTTCAAGTCCGTCAAGTTGGGGTATTTCTTGGCTTTTCCTTTCCCTTTCCCTTTGCCGCTTGATGTCGATCCCAGATCCAGTCCTAGCCCGCCCTCTATGTCTCGTTGCAGCTCCGTGTCAGCGAGGAGAGATTCAGCTGAGAAAAACAGTACATAACAAAGTATCTGAAGACTCAGGAGTACTTGCAATGAACACCTGGAACACACAAGTGCCCAATTTCATGGCGTGACTAAGCACGCGTTTTTCCAGCTAATAGAGCCTCCGTCTAATTGATTAAAAAATGTTTTTTCTCTTCTTACCTTGTTTTACTTGCTCCTTAGTCAGCTGCATCTTGGTCTCATCTTCTACAGTCTGTGGATTCCCTTGCTCGTCCCTCGGAATAATTTTCCCATGGAACGGACACTGCAGTCATTTTAACAAAACCAGAGAGTAAACGATGTTTACAAAAAGCCAACAGTAGGAGTTTAGAAGCATCTTCAGTGATGGTAGCTGAAGACACATCATGATCACTTGGCCGTTCACAACAAAAGTGACAAAATTGTGTGAGAGATTTGACAAGGTTTCAAAGGCGGAATTGAAAGAAAAGGTTCTGATCGAGTGACGTCATATATCTAGCCCCTCCCATATTAAAGATCGTGGTACCACACCCACCTTCAATCTATCCATCCTCTGACAAAGCTTCCCAGAAGGCATTGGGGCTCGGCAGGTCCATTTAACTGGCTCAAACTCTCCGGCAAAGTTGAAGACTCGGGTAGTCAGGCTATCCTTCGCTGCCTTATGCATCAAGATGAACACAAAGGTCAAATCAAATCAGCGGGCATATACAACTCTTTAAAAATACACACACTAAATTGTTTTCAAAACAAGACAAAAAGTTCTAGGTACATGTGCGATGCTCAGGGGAAATGGTGGGAGGGGTTGGTGGGGAAGATATGTAACCCTTATATTTTTTTGGCAGGGGATTAACAGCGATGTCCCCTCAATAATTCATCCCTGTGCTTATAGATTTTAACCCAATATACCTATGACAACATGACAATGGGCCACTCAAAACTGCCCCCAAAACTCACAAATGTAAACATTCTGCGTTCATATCCACGTCAAACTGAACATGAAGTAACTGACCTCCATGACTTTGACCTCATCTGGTGCTGATGAACTCCACACACACTGTGCCGTGTCAGCTCTGGAAAACATGACGACAAATTGTCATGATTAAAATAAATAATTATATGCTATGAAAACTTTCTGTATATTAAGTCACAGAAACTACTTAAAAATGAGCCCTTTAAAATATTTACAGTTTTTAAAAATCAATTTTTGCAAGTTGTCAATATCCATAGGCAAAAATGCAGGTAACGCAAAAACACTCGATGATCTAACAGTGCAACTGATAGACAATCCACGGACAAACAGACAAGTGACAGACAAACAGTCAATTATCTTACATTAGAAGTGCTTGACAGTCCACAGACAAACAGACAAGTGATAATCAAACAAGTGATTATCTTGTAGAATAATTCACAACCCACAGACAAACCGACAGGTAACAGACAAACAGTTGAGTTTTTTACTTTAGAAACTCTACAAACAAACAGACTGATAATGGACGAACAGTTGAGTATCTTAATGCAAGACAATCCACAGACAGACAGATTGACATCAGAAGAACAGTGTACAACTCACAATCTACAGACAAACAGACAGGTTATAGACAAACAATTGAGTATCTTACATTACAACCGTAGGAGCTTCAATCTTCTCTGGGTTGGTCCAGTGTTCCAGGTCCACACCGAATGGAACGTAAGGAGCTTTGGCTAACAACTCCTGTCGTTGACGCTTCTCAACACTTGTGTCCTTTTCTTCCGATTTCCTCTTCCTGAAATCATGAAATAATACACACTGCAAAAGCTGATATCAATAAACCGCAAGTAATTCCATCAACTATACGTTCAAGGCCATTTCATACTCTGTGCAATCACAAATTTGAAGGGATAAAATCCCCCTCATCTGATTGATGGTTCATTGATCAAGCGTCGTTGAATTATTTGTCCCAACACATGGTGCGGCCGCACGGCAAACACAGAAGTTCCATTCTGCGGTGAATGGAATTTCCATTGCAAAGTCAAACGTTTGGAGGTTCTGACCAATCAGATGAAGAGTTTATGGCTTCTGACTAGCACCCCATGAACAAAGACATTGGCAAAATGAAGAACTGCCAACAAAGGGATGGAAACATCAGTTGGTAGAGCACCGGAAAAGCAATACGGAGGTTGCAGGTTCAAACCCTACTCCAAGAAATGTCTATGTTCCACGTTAAGCAATTTCATTAAAAGTAAGCTTTTTACTTACAGCTCAGTGTGTCGATCCCTAATCGCCCGTAATCTCTCCTTCATCACGAGAAGGGTACCAGCCTGGGAGGCTGGATCAGCTACGGTATGCTGGGCTTCACGTAATGGGTGCCAGGTTACCAGACCTTCGGCTGGTGCAGTGACGCTTGTGTCGACGTTTTTACTCTTGGCGTTTGATGATTTTGAGTTGGGGTTGGTTCTCTGCTTGTCTTGCGTTGATGACGTCGTCGCTGAATCTTTGTTGGCACTTGGTAAAGGGTCCAATCCTTAATTGGAATTTAAAAAAAATTCTTGGCATGTGACATTATTGTTTATGTACTTGTTTACAAACTGTTTAAGCATATTAATTTTATATTAAATTAAAAAACCAAATATTTGCTTTGAGCCTTTTTGTTTCATTTTCCCTTTCTCCTTTTTAAGAGGGGAGCATTGGGAAACAAAATCCAGCTTTGAAATGGTATAATGTACATTCCAAGTTTCATGATGACCTTCAAGTTCCTACATGTTTTGGCACTTCAGCTACACTGACTACTCCTTTTCAACTCACCATACTCTTCCCTGAGATGCTCAGGGATGACAGGTTCAAACCCTTCCTTCTCTGGGACCTCTTCAAACCCCTCCCCTTCGCTGTCAGAATCCCCGCCCCCATCGTTCTCCGCTGTGGACCGCCTTCGTTGCTTTGCAGTCACCTGAGGGTGGACATTGAGTTCAGCGTACTTGGCCGCTGCGCTCTTGAGAGCCTGCTTGAGATCCATGCATCGTTTGAGCTTGTCCTCGTGTTTACCGCTTTTGGTGAAAACCTACAAAGTGAAAATCAGTCACGTTGAGACAAGAAAAAATTATCTGAAGAAATGTAATTCATGAATTTTCGAGCAAAATCAACAGCATAAATCTGCCAACAATGTTGATCATTGAGAAATGTACAAATTGAGGGGGTATTGTTGTATTTTGCAGCTGCTGGAAGTTGAAACTTACGAAAGGATCTGAAATTTGAAATTTTTTCAATTAATTTTTGGTGACTTAGTTCTTTTTTCCTGATCATTCTAGCATTTACTGATGTGGTTTCATACCTCCATCCATGCAGCAAGACGGGGGAGATAGGAAGACTCAATAAGACGACTCATGTCTTCTAGCGTGACCAAGATGGCTTCGTTATCTTCATCCTCTTCCAATGTTACACCATCTGATAATAAAAAAAGAAACACACAAATGTACAAACTCACAAACAAAAAAATCCGACAAACAAGCAAACAGCAGGAGCAGCTTTTAGCAGGAGTAATTGTTTTACCTGTATTCACATTGATATCAATGTTGAAATTCCAAGACGGCAAGCCGTGCTGTTGGAGAAGGTCATCGTCCTTCCCATCATGCACTGGGTTTGTGTGTTCTCCACTCTCCTCCACTGAATGCGAGTGGTCATTGCTGCAATCTTCACCATTGCCCGATACATCTTCACTCTCGCCATTTCGTTCTGAGGTTTTATCAGAATTATCAACTTGATTCAAATCCATCTTTCCGGCTGGGCTGGTTTTATTTGTGACCCTCTTGGCATGAATGGTCTGTTCCTTCTGTGCAGTCGATAATGCAGCTGTTGAAGTTGATTCCATTTGCTCGGGAGGGGGTGCTGTCACACTATAGCGGGACGGGTGTGGTAGCAGAAGCTCAAAGCAGTTGTCAATCTGTGTCAGGCATTCGTTGATTTCAGGAATGATTTCTGCAGATGAACAAGACTCATAATTGTGTTTACATGTAGATAAAAAAGTTTCAAAACTAAATACACTAAGTTATAAAATGAATCTTAAATTGGTCTGTAATGCTGTACACTGATGCAACACATTTTTCAACTCACACTCACTAATTAGTAATGACGACATTGTTAAAAAAAAATTTTATCTGAAAATTGGATGAAAGGCCTTTAAGATGCACTTTTTTCCATGCCAATAATGTCTTTTCTCTCAGATTCCAAAATTAAGTTTAAAATATCTAAAGTCTGAAATATCTCATGCTTGAGTAACGGTCCGTGGTTATACACTGTCTCCCTTGTGTCTATACATGCATCCATGCTTACCATCCATATCATTGAGCGTTTTGCTTACCATCCATATCATTGAGCGTTTTGCTTACCATCCATATCATTGAGCGTTTTGCTTACCATCCATATCATTGAGCGTTAGCTTACCATCTATATCATTGAGCGTTTTGCTTACCATCCATATCATTGAGCGTTTTGCTTACCATCCATACCATCCATATCATTGAGCGTTTTGCTTACCATCCATATCATTGAGCGTTTTGCTTACCATCCATATCAATGAGCGTTTTGCTTACCATCTATATCATTGAGTGTTTTGCTTACCATCCATATCATTGAGCGTTTTGCTTACCATCCATATCATTGAGCGTTTTGCTTATCCTCTGCGCCTGAGCTAGCTGGAGTTTGGCCTGCCTGTCTGCTTGGGCACGACGCTCCGCTGCAGAGCTTGCTTCGAGATTAGCAAAATCAACCTGGTGATGAAACAAGTTTCAGAAATTAAAGGTATCCTATGGCATCTTTAGCAGTAGCACTCAATCAGAATTGTCAAAATATTTGTGACTAGATTGGCGGTCAAGCCTCAATGGACAAATTGTTCACGGTGAACAAGTGGATATATTTTTTTTCAATAATAATATGGAACAGGGGTGAAAAAATTACTCTAGACCATCACAACTGGGCGGTCAAAATGGTCAATTGGCTATAACAGACAGGTTGCCATGATGACCAGTTGGCCAATATGGACAGGTGGTCACAATAAACAGGTGCAAGAGGTCTATGTAGCCTAAATTATTAAAAGACCTGAATCATAATAAAGCCACGCTTTGTTTACATGTGTGCTCTCTTATGAGAGTTGGTGACTTTCGCCCCCACCTGGCTCCACCAGCAAAGTGCAATGTAAACAGAGCATGACATCAATACGATTCCGGTCTATTCACATATCTTGCTGCATCATGTACCATTTTATTGTACTTCAGAAAGCCGTATCCCAGGGCTAGTTTCTTGTAAGCCTTTCCGTACTTGGCGTTCCATTCTTGAATTGCCTTCAGTGCTTGCTCCTTGAGTAGCTTGGCAGCAGCACGAGGCGGTGGGAGGGGCATGTCGCTAGTCGTGCCCACAGTTAACTCCAGAAACTCCTAGATATGGAGAGAAGTGCAAATAAGAGATTGTTTCTACACTTCATCGCCGACTCCTGCTCTAGGTTCCTGCCTCAATTTTAAGCATCTGAGATGAGACTGCAGCTCAAAAGGTTAATTTATTACTACATGACTATAAAATTGTATAAAGTTTGGAGTATTTGGCTCCAGTAATAATTTTTAAAAAATGATAGCCGAACCCTCGATGAGGCAAAAAGTTGAGACAAAGCAATATTTTAAAACAGTCATTTATGTGGCTGTTCATCTTTCGATTTTAATTCAAACTAACTTAATTTGTAAACAAAATTGAACAAATCTCTCACCGTGAATGAAACAGACAAGCTTTTTCTTAGCATGCACTTTCTAGGCACACTCCTACAAAATGTAAAATACATTTATACCTATGTTCTTTCACTCAGTCATTTTTGTAAAACATTATAACTCATCTAAATTATTGACTAAATGTGTTTCATTTGTTCATTATTTACCATTACTCTGTGACACTAAAGTTCTCAACATTTTAGCTGGACAATGCAGGTCTGTAAGTGTCCATAACTTTGCCATTTTACCTGCATGTCTGCAACGAGAAGTTCTCGGAAGCGATGTGAGCGATTGAAGAGCTCATTCATGATCTGGAACGAGGAGAGACGGATTTCGGCATGATCCTCAGCCAGTTGGCTAGACAGCAAGTTGAAGGCATGCTCGATGTAAGCGTCTGAGGTCCTGTCGTGAATAAACAACAACATCCTGTTTTACACTCATTAAAGACTGTCTTTCCACAGTCATTCTGAACCAATAATCATGATCTAAGATTGGATTAAAATTTGAAACGTTCATAAGTCACTGAAAGATCAACTTCAGCAATTGTTCAGAACCCCTACAGTGCAGAGACTAGTCAATGGAAAACAGAAGTTAATTTTCAAGGTCAAGGGTGAAAAGGTGGTTTTAGGTTGTTGTTTTTTTTAAAGAATTTTGGCCCAAACAGCACATAAATTTGTAAGAAAATATCTCCAATTTTATTTTGAATTCTTAACCATCAGCAGTATTTTTTAAATGAATTTTTAATTAAATTAATTAAAGTAAATTAAATGAAAAAGTAAGGCACTTCATTTGGAAGTCAACACTTGCAAATTTGCGTTTGTGTTTGCATAGAGACAAACTGTTATGCCTAAAACAAACGCCCACCTGCAGATTCGCTTGAATTGTTTCAATGGTTTCTCTTCAAGACTGGGACGTCCAGAATGCGTCATCTCTTCAACAATTTTCTCTAGTTCGTCACAGAGGGTGCTGTCTAGCTGGCCGGACCTGGTGGGTCCTGTTGGCGTACTTTCTTCAGCAGATTTGGACGCAGACGGTGACTTCATGGTTGTCTGATTGCAGCACAACTAGGCTATGAGTATGACATGAAGATGATTAACCTAGTGTAAATTGTCATTCGTGACCATTTTAAATTGTTAATATACAAATAAGAATCTTGTTTAAAAAGAAAACAGAGCCGGGATACTGATTTTTTTTAATTAATTTTTTTTAGCTTATGTTTATTATGCCGTATGCGTTTATTCAGCACAGCATTGCAGCAGGCGCAACTGGCAGTGGCACATGCGATGAGCGAGGCTAGCCTAGGCTAGCGCTCCGTGCATCACAGTGCATTTCAATAGCATAACTGGTACAGGTAAAATTACACAGTACCGGTGGATAACAATCATTTTGGATGTCTTCAAACTACATTTTAATTAATAAAAGAACAATTACTGCAGGAAATATTTAAACCACGTTTGGCAACTTTATCCATTCCCCCTCATTACCTGGAACAGAAGTGCCGATTCGCCGTCACAATAAGTTAACTGCCTAAACCCAGAAATTCATTGCACAACTTCATGCAACTTCCTTTTTTGCTTGTTTACGTTTCACTATAATCGAATCTTGATTTCATACTGCACTTCGGGACTACGTAAAATACACGCAAGCGTACGTGTCCGCATTATTCGTAGAAATTCCATATTTTATATCACAGTACCTTCCCGTCATGCAATATTACTCAGAATGCTGCGACGTGATTGGTCAGTTCATTTAAAGCGTCGATTTCAACACATGATCGCCTGGACGGGTTTTGAACAGAGGTTTTTGGACAAACATTTCTCGAGAAAGAACAGCATTATCGTCATTTAATACATCATTTGTAAGATACAGGTTGCATTTTGAAGAGTAACTGGAAGTGACGGTGGCGTTTGCTAGCTCCTTGACTCTTTGAAAAGTCTGAAAATGGTGAAAACGAACGGGAAAGGACCGCAAGAAAAGAACATTCAAGTGTTCGTGCGGTGCAGGTGAGTGGCTTGAAATACGTGGCATTTCAATACAGTGAAACACTTTTTAAACATGTTCAAAAACCTTGTCGAGTATGATTTGTTGTCATATGTTTCATGATTCATTGATTGTATTGCGGGGTTTTTTAAGAATAAAGTCGGAAGTCATGGAGAAACTCGGACTGTGTTTTTAATCATGTTAATTAGGCCCTAATTTAATAGGGGATTAGGGGCCTAATTGTTTACCTTTTTTTGCTTGTAAAGTTGTATTGTAAGTCGTGTAAGTTGTAATTTGTTTTGGTAGTGGATATTTGGTCGGCGTCGGTTTTCTCATTTAGTAAATGATAATTAAGCTGGCACGCGGTACTGAACATGCGCAGTCATGCAGTGACTGTTTTTAATTTGGGAATTTTTTTTATCGTCTGATCGTGAAACTAATCTTTGTCTGGTTCCATGAATTCACGAGATGGCATACATGGATCATGGGAGTCCATGGAATCGGACCATTACAATTTCGGACTTTATTTCCCTTTAAAAAAAATGCAGTGGCTATCGTTACGGCTGCTGTACTAACTACTATATGACGCGATCGGTATCCGGTCACTTCGGCACCTTGCCAACTCGGAAATGGTGGCTCAGACACACGGTTATTTTTTTGGCACTCGTGAGCAAAGGATCCACCCTGCTGATTTCCTTCGACCTCGTGCACGCCCCCCCCCCCCCTAAAAAACCCCCCCAAAAAAAACACTTAGACCAAAAAGTAATACCTATGACGATTTCAGGGACTTTTCCCAAAGAAAAGTGGGACAATTAACTGATTCTTTGGGAATGGACCGTGGTTTGGGGAGGTCAGGTGCCGAGTTGGAAGTCGGGAGATAAAGCAAAAATTGGGTGCCGAGCTGTCTAGGTGCCGAGTTGACAAGGTGCCGAGTTGACAAGGTGCCTAGTTGACAAGGTGCCGAGTTGGCAAGGTGTCAAGTTGGCAGGTGCCGAGTTGGCTAGGTGCTGAAGTGACTGACATTCACGCGATTATATTGAACTTGTTATGGACATTGACAGAACCGTCTGGTTCCCTGACCTTTTTTGGGACCGCAATGAAAAAAAGGGGAAAAAATGTTGCAACCTCTGCTACTTTTTTCATATAGGCCTATCATATCAATAAAGGTCACTCACTGCAAAAATGATGATACGACATGAATCTGGGACTGAGAAACATTTCCAATTTTGTTGTTAGGAAATTTTAAAACATTTTCTTGACTCTCCATAGACTTTGTACACAATCCCAGAAGTGGCGTCAGGTTGCAACATTTTTTTCCAAAACAAGTTTTTAAAACGTTTTTGCATTATTCCTGCTTTTTCCACAGTATCATATGGGGGACTCTTAATTTTGAATTCACAGTTTTTACATAATTATTTTTTGTGTGTTAAATCTTAACTAATATCATTTATATTATGTGGAAATTGCAAATAAGTCAAATAAAAAAATCAAATCAAAGACCCGAAATTTGGCACGGTTGTCCAGCATTTATCCACTCAAACTACCGACACGTTCGCTTCAGATTTGCAGCTATGTATATTCACATATTTTTCCCCCTAAAAAAAATACCATACATTGTAACTATATAGTTGAAAATCACGTTACAGCTGCTGTAGCGATAGCCACTATGTTTTCTTTTTCTAACGTACGGTGTATATTTTTTTATTTCAGACCAATTAATGACATTGAGAAGAAGAGAGGCTCCCACAAGGTTGTGGAAGTCAGTCCGAATAAGAAAGATGTGCATGTCAACATTGAAGTAGCAGAGAAGGCCACCTCAAAAACCTTCTCATTTGATAAGGTATGGTTCAACTAAAGATCATGTCAATGTATGTCATTCTGTTCATGGCAGGATTTAAATTTCAGATTGTTTGAACTTGTTTCTTCTTGTGCAAGATATTCTATTTCTAGCGAACTATTTAGATGATTCCAACCACATAAGATGACTTTTCCCGCTTGTATCATCACCAAATGTTTATTTCAAAACCTTCATTTACAATACACAATAAATATGGACAAAAATTTATTTTAAAAATATTAAAACAAAAAACCCCCAAGAATTATTAACGTCCAAATATAAAATCATGAATGTATAAATGACAACTTTGTGTGTTTTTTAAAATAATTTTGCCACAAATAACATCCCCATCATGCAATGATCTCAAGAATATTAGTTTAAATATAAAACCTGAGAAAAAAAAATTCCCTCGGACTTCAATGAAACATCACAATACAACTATCAAAAATGGATGACTATCCCCGAAATTCTAAAAATAATCAAACAATCTTTCTGTTGTTATTTTTCCTGTTATTTAGTAAACATACTGAAATGTATGACCTTTGTTTTTAATATAATATTTTTTGCAGGCATTTGGACCCAAAGCCAAGCAGATTGAAGTGTACAAGAGCGTGGTCCTCCCAATATTGGACGAGGTTCTCATGGGCTACAACTGCACTGTGTTTGCGTATGTATCACAATCCACTTCTGTAAAGCACAGATTTTTTAGAGTCACTGAATTTGGGGAAATTTTAATCCACCCTGTTCAATAAGGCCGGCACTCGTGATTAAAAAAACAAACAAACAGTTGATTATATTTGGTTGAAGTCAAGAGCAGTTGATGTTTTCCCCCCATCCCTTAACCCCCTTGGTCCTCCAACTGCCTCCATTAAATAATTGCATACAGCCTCAATCCTAACAGGCCATCTGTTATTTCTTTAACTCATTCAGTGGAGGGATAACCACTACCTCAATCCAAAAATCTTCCAACAATCACTGTTTAAATTTGAGGAAGTGCCAATGATATCCAGAAGCAGTGCAAATGATATTTAGTGTAATAATTCATGAATATGGCTAAGCATAAATAACTCAAAATACAGCTTAAGACCTTGACATAGTGTATCCTCTAAAATTACGGTACTTAACAGCCCAAAGAATGTGCCATTCAGTTATTGCAGAGTGGAGTATTGAATTTTTTTTAATTCTTACTTAAATGGTCAGGTATGGGCAAACAGGAACTGGTAAGACTTTTACAATGGAAGGAGACAGGACACCAGACCCGGCTGTATCATGGGAGGAGGTAAGTTGATGAACAAAATACTTTGCGGAGGCTAAGATTAGATTTTTAAAAAGTGCTTGGTCAATTGAGCCCAACACAATCAATGTTGTACCAAAAATAAGTCACAAGTCTGGTCAAAACTAAACCTTGTGTCCTTTCACATTGGAATGCATTGGTACTGCACAGTTTAATAGCTTGTGATTTGTCTTGGGACTGGAAGACTTGTGATAGTCTTGTGATCTTCTTGTGATCTTCTTGTGATGGACTCGGCAACAACACCAGTTAAAATGCACTTTTCAAAACGTACACAAAATTTGTTCAGACAAACTTGGTATGATGTAGTCACTGAAGGTCCAGTTCCCGAGCTTGGCGTCTATCACAACCCCCTGGCTTGGGTTCCTATTTAAAGTTGGATCGTTGGTTCCAAATACTAAGAATCCATCTTGCCAAAATGTCTGTATAAGACCGATTCATACTTCATCTGAATTTCAGTGCAAAGTGAAGTCGTTAAAGGGTAACAGCAAATATCACAATGAAACTTCAGTCGTTGAAAAAAAAGGATATGGAAATAATTTATCACTTTGACTTATAAATATTCAGAATTTTAGAAATTCCTGATGATTTTCCAAGTTTTTATTTATTACCAGGACCCTCTTGCCGGTATCATTCCTCGGGCCATGCATCAGATCTTTGAGAAGCTCCAATCAGCGGAGGTGGAATTCTCTGTCCGCGTTTCCTTCATGGAGTTGTACAACGAGGAGCTGTTTGATCTCTTGACCGGTCCAGAGGACACGCAGCGGCTGAGAATATTTGAGGACGCCGCACGCAAGGTGAGTCATATCCACAATCACCGATAGTTATTGTGGAGTGTGTAGAGTAGTGCTGTGTATTTTTTTATAAATTCGTATTTGATTATTTTAATTTGGACTTGATCAAATATTCAAATATTCAAAATGCACTGATCAAGATTTACATTCGCCAGCTTAAACTTAGGCCGAGTATCACCCGTTGTCCAACGGAGCATTTTCTGTAACCAACGTCTGATACATGTGAGCAATGCAACTTGCATGCAATTCCACATGCCGGCCAATTAGAGTTGACGTTAGAAATTGTGACATCATTTCAGTCAGAAATGTGGACTAGGCTGTTGATTGGTAGATTTGGCTGACAAGTTTTTTTAATACAACATTGAGTTATGGAAGACCTGATACAAGGCGCCTGGTGATTGGTCAGAATCTCGAGGTCAAGACGCAGTCTTGTTTTGGATAATTAATCACCGAATCTGCTCGATTGTGCAAAGGTTGATTCCATAGAGTCGCCTAAACTGGCCTTTGATCAGGATTTTCTTGCTGTATCCAACTGTACATATTTCCTCCCACTCTGCATCCAGGGATCTGTCGTGATTCAAGGTCTTGAGGAGATTGTCGTCCACAATAAGAGCGAAGTGTATGCCATCTTGGAGAAAGGCGCTGCTAAGAGACAGACGGCTGCAACTCTCATGAACGCCACCTCCAGGTATGTCAGCATTGGTTCTTGATACCCTCATGGCCTAAACATTAGAAAAAACCTACATTCCGTGCGGAGGGACATTTCTACCCCAGGTAAAAATGTATCAAATTTGAGCTATAAGAAATTAGAAGTCACCAGTGCCTTCGGTACAATCAAGCAGAGTTGACAGTATTCACTGCTTTCTAGCTCTAGAGTCAAGAACAAAAATGAGTTCATAATAATGTGATGGAGCAGTTAGAAACATGTGGCTTAAAACTGATTAGAGGCCTGGTCACAACTGGTCTTAAACATCACAGAAACAGCAGTGACAACTTGAAATGAGCTCTCAACCAACAGGACTTTCTCAGCCTCAGATTTTCATGATTTACTAATTCCTTTATTGCCTTGCCAACAGTCGTTCCCACTCTGTCTTCACCGTCACTATCCACATCAAGGAGAACTCAGTGGATGGTGAGGAACTTCTCAAGACAGGCAAGCTGAACCTGGTGGACTTGGCTGGTAGTGAGAATATCGGCCGCTCCGGTGCTGTGGATAAGAGAGCTAGAGAAGCAGGTCAGTAAAATTCCATAAAAGGTTTCCCCCACCCCCAACCTTCCCCTGCCTCCTCGATTGTTTGACCAAACACAATCTTGATTAAATGTCCAACATTCTCTGGATGCAGAAAATTCAGTTTCGTAGTTTGTGTATTTTTTAAAAAGGTTTGGTTAATTTATATTTTTTAGTTAGTTTAATTAACACGCAAACTGATCGCAACAGTACAAGTGTTAAAATGGCCATTTTAGATAACCATCAAATAGAATATTAATTAATTTAAAATAAAAGTTCAAACTACAATTATCGAAAAAAAAGCAGACAACAGACACAAAGTTATATTGAATCTTAAGCTAGCACAGATGAACTTACGCCAGTTTTCGACAAGCTGGCACAGTCTGTATATATTATGTGTAGACTTTTGATCAATTTCTTGTATATCTGAATCGTCATTGACAGGTAACATCAACCAAAGTTTGTTGACCCTTGGCCGTGTCATCACAGCTCTGGTAGAACATGCTCCTCATGTTCCTTACAGGTAAGACAAAGTCTTCATTCAAAGAGCACGGCTAGCCATTACGCACCTGTCTATGGCAAGTGGCTGTACACCTGTTTCTGTAGTTGCATGAGAATCGCAAGTGATAGCCAAATACTACGGATGTGAACTAAATTTTAGCCTTATGCCTTTCCTGTGCTTTGGTCGCTGGTCATTTTGAATCTTTGTTTTCTCCCAAACCTATCTCAGAGAGAGTAAGTTGACGCGCCTTCTCCAGGACTCCCTAGGAGGTCGCACCAAGACTTCCATCATCGCCACCATCTCTCCCTCCATCTGCAATTTGGAGGAGACCCTGAGCACCTTGGACTACGCTCACCGTGCCAAGAACATCACCAACAGGCCTGAAATCAACCAGAAACTCACCAAGAGAGCTCTCATTAAGGTCAGAAATGGATTTTGTTTTGTTAATTATTCCTACCTGAAATGATTTCTCTGATGATCTATCTTTAAAAAAAAACCAGCTCTTAAAATCAAGAGTGATTTTGAAAGGAAGATTCTTTCTTTGAAATATGTGATAAACTGCATCTAAGTTGTGCTTTCTTACCATCCAAACCCTCAAGTCATACTAATATCACATTTTATTCAAGCCAGACTGGAAAGTTGACTGTGTGACAAAAAAAGGCCTTGAGGACGTCTGACCTATTATTCTATGCTGCCTTCTGGCAGATTAGGTATTACATGGGATACGATTGGGTAACAAACGCAGACCAGATGCCCAGGGACCAGAATTTGGCTGACATAGACATAAGTGACGCCAATGGCTCACCAAAATCATGAAACAACAAAAACGGGAAGAGACAATCAACAAACCCATTGAAACTTTAATCAAATAACTGTCAACACTTTGACCAGCCTATTCAGCGAAATTGACATTGGTTCTCAATCATTTTACAGGAGTACACCGAAGAAATTGAACGCTTGCGACGGGATCTGTTTGCAACCCGCGAGAAAAATGGAATTTTCCTGTCCGAGGAAAACTACAGGTAAGGCAATGGTGTAATCTTAAAAGATACACAGTTGTAGCTTTCAGATAGCATGCATTCTTCGTCTGCATTCTTGCACTTGTATCTGTGATGCTTCACCAACAGGATTCAATTATTTATTTTTTAAGGATTTGTTGCGGATTTTGAACTGCATCTGATTTTCTGTTCTTATCACAGATCAATGGAGCAATCCATCAGTAGCAAGACCCTCAGTATCCAGGAAAAAGAAGACAAAATTGCCGCTCTCTTGGATGAAATCACCAAGGTAACAGTCCACTGACTAACCAATTGAGAAGCTCCTCAACAAAGATTGGTGCTTAGCCAAGTTTCGTGCTGAGCAAACCTCAGCGGACAACCAGTCATGTGCAGCTAAGAACGCGTGAAATTTTGGTCGGTCACCCAATTTCCTAATGGGAGCTCTTAGCTGTTAAAAAGCAGTCACTTGATTGATTTTGACTTTTGGGATAGCTGTTTTGAATTTGACAGCTTAAGATGGAGGGTTAGTTAATTTGTGTCTAATCTCTGTGCCCTTATAGATCAACGACATTTTGAGCGACACTAAAGAAGAACTGGAGGAAACAACCGGCCAGCTAGAGACTACAACCAGGACACTGGTGCAAACCACCCACACCCTCCAAAAGACTGAAACGGTGAGGCATCGTCGTTGATACTCGGTATAAGACATCTGAGATAATAAACATCACTACTTGTGCTTTCAGGATAACAATCTCAGCATTCAGGGACTCAGCATGTCAACTTGACTGCTGGATCCAGCACAAAGATTTAAGCATCAGTTCAGTGCATTCCATGAACTTTGTAAAAACATCCCGTTTTAATATGCCCGATTACAACTTGGACAATATTAATGCAACAAAATTCTGATGACCTCAGTAGTATATAAAACCCCATTTTTTGAGAAAACCGAAATATTTCAGCCAGATTAGTCATATGTTTTTTTTCTAAACACTAATACTTCTTTTTTCTTTTCTGTAATTTTGGGGATTTGTGTTTAGGATCTGCGAGTGACCACCACGGATCGTGACCAGCAGAAATACCTGCTGGGCGAACACGTCAAGACGGAGGAGAAACTGTCGCAAGAAGCCAAGAAGGTACGCACTCAATGCGCAAAACTATAGGGGGCGTTCCTGCAAGCCATTACATCTGTTTACATATTTTTGCTTTAAATTACATGTTCCTATTTTCAAATGGTTATTTGCAAACACTTTGTCAAAATGGACAAAGGTTAACCTATCAGTCGGGGTCAGCAGTTGCGTCATCTTGAAAGCTTTACCCACAATGCTCTGCAAATAGGCATTTTCTTCAAACACATTTGCAAAAAAAATAATTTAACACAGCCTGTGAATAAAGGGTGGTGGATTTCATACAAATTTCGATAATCACAGTAAAAAAAAGGTTCTCCTGACAACATACTCAAATACTGTTTATGAATGAATGTAGAGGGAACTTGAAAGGCATGTAGGGTGATTTGCTTTTCATGCATTTTGTTGGTTTCGAATCATAACACTCAAAATCCAAAGAAGAATGTTCAAAACCTAACCTGTTGAAGTTCAGCTTGGTGGATATTACACATGTTTTAACAAAACACGATTTCATCCATAGCACTCTGTATTTCCAACACCTATCACTGACTGATCGTTGGAAAAAACCTACATTTTTTATTTCTTTAAAAAAAAAGACAGCAAGCCAGACGGAATAATTTCACAGGGTGTTTAGCACATGTACAACCATAAATCCAAATACCTTTTTTTGATGATTATTCAGTATGCTACTTTTGGGATAATTGCAAAGCGATTTTATGACTTTATCGGAAAGTTTGCACAAAATTCACACATTTGTTTACCTATTTAGCATTTCAAACACTTGGATACTCTGATGTATTTCTATTTACGTCGGCGTCCTATTGAACTAATTTTCTCCTTTCCCAGCTTCTGTCAGTAGCCGAGGGTAGCACGGCCGATTTGGAAGGCGTCCACGCAAAGTTGAACCGTAAGCGTGCTGTGGAATCCCATAATGCAACAGTACAGGAGGTGTTTGAAGCCAACCTAGCCGACAAGCTACAAGCTGTGCAGGACTCCATGACTGAGTTTGGAGACATCCAGCAACGACGCTACGCTTCTCTGCAAGATAATTTCAGTAAGTCTGGTTCCTTGGACACTTTTTTAGCTGTTTATTGTATGTAGAATTGGGGGCCAGCTTAAAGATACGCTCTCGCACCAGATGGTTGTCGTACCTGAGTGTTACATGTTAGGATCTTCATCAGCCCCCCTACTAGTTTTGCCTTTCTCGATGGCATCACGTTCAGCCAATGTCTTGGCCAACCAGATAGTTGTCATAACTGAGTGTTACATCGTTGCGGATCGTTGTCTGCCCCTGTATTTTTGCCCTTCTCACTGGCATCACGTGATGTTCAGGGACTGTCTTGGTCAACCAGATGGTTGTGGAAACTGAGTGTTACATTGTTGAAGATCTTTGTTAGCCCTTAGTTTTGTCTTTCTAGCACGTTCAGCGACTGCCTATTGGACAAAGAGATCCAATCGTCGCGCTGTTTCTGCTGCTACTGTTGGGAAGCTGTACTTGTTTGCATTTCATCCATTAGACCTGTTATTTTCAATTGTTCTCCCTGGATCATAAGAGCATGGCTACTGATAGATTGTCTTGGTCAACCAGGTGGTAGCCGTAACTGAGTGTTACATCATTGAGGATCGTTGCCTTCCCCTGTATTTTTGCCCTTCCACCACTGGCATCACGTTCAGCGACTGTCTTGGTCAAAGAGTTCCAATTGTCGCACTGTTCCTCCTACTACTGTTGGGAAGCTGTTGTTGTTACCAGGAATACTAACATTTTTGGGTGTTTTTTTTTTCTTTTTTGGAAATTTCTTTTTATAGAAAACTTGTCATCGGTTCATTCCACTGAGGCTCAGGACATGTGTTGCCAGATAAGTGGAATGATTGACACCCTGGAGAGGCAGGTGGAGTCCGTGACAACGGAGAGCCAGCTGGAATGTGACAGCTGGCATGAGTGGGGGAAAGAGAATACAAAACGGATGACATTGTTCAAGGTAAGAAACCAACAAAATTACAATCAACTGTAAACCCTTTCAAGAAAAAATGTGATCATTATTTGAACTTGCAAGCTTGGTGGTTCAGTAATTTAGATTCTAGTAAATGGGAGGTCGTGGGTTCATATCCTACCCAATATAGCTTCTCGAAAGGCTCCAAAGCTCTTGGACAGTATACAGTGCTATAAAATTACATCTTTACCCAAAATTGAAGTTAACAGTTTCTTCAAGATAAAATTCAATTATTGTTAAACCACCAACAGATTTTTCTTATCTCAGTTCAGTTTCTTTGTTTTGATTTTCTGTTCCCTGAATAAAAGGCTTCTCAAGCTTCGGACTGTTGCTTTTAATATCAATTATTAATCAAAACCCTACTTTGTCACTAGCTGATTTAAAAGTTAAAGAACAAATTGTGATGTTTCTTTACATTCTTTCAAACTTTGGATGTGATCTCACTTTTTCGTGTTGGTTTTTTCGGTTCTGCTCCATGATTTCTCACCGATTTCACGATGTGTGTTTGTTATTGTCTTGCCGGCAGGACTCACACTGCAGTCAAGTTGAGCAGTTCCAACAGACTCATCTGCAATTGCTGAGGAAACAGCAGGAGATGTTGAGGGGCCATAATCAACGCTTGGAGGAATTAAACCAACTGGTTCAGAGACAGGTGGGTATAATGACTGGATGCAGGGCAGACCGTTATCCTGCGGGCTCCATGCGTACCCCATGGTGTGCTGACAAAGATAGAGTTGGCCCCTCCTGAAATGCTTGGGTGTGGTTGGCATTAGACTGAACCTTTAGCCTCCACCCCCACCACTGCGCTTGTGGGCGTCATCATACGCACATGCACGCATGTTGGACCTTCGTGCACCCACATCACACATTAATCACGGTCGTAGTACAAATGAAAATGGTCGATTACAAATGAAAGCTAGTTGACGCTGCTTCACATTGTCTGCTGTAATGTGGGCTCTGTGCGTGATCTGCGAGCAAGAGAGGGCGCTGTTTTACCCCTTTCGAGAGCTTCGTAGACGGGACGCACCGCATGCAAGTAGTGGCTTGCACACGAAGTACGCATAGCGTCTTTTGCGTGAGCATCAGGCATTGTCGGCAATGCGTTTGCATTTTGGTTTTGTGCCTCATACCTGGTGATGTACCAAGATTTTATTCACTTTACCCAAATTTGAAGCCGTGAAAGATTGTAGGATTTTTTGGGAAATGGTAGCTACGTGCATCATGTGTTTCACACATCCTCAGGAATAAACGGAACCCCAACTTCACCCTGATACCATGCATCACGTGGGTGTAAACAAAAAGTGGCAGACTCTCTTTTATAAAATGCATCAAAAATTGCATTTGCAAAGCGTCCTATTATTTTGATTGATTTTGGATTTTGATTTGTTGCATCCAGGCTGAATCTCAAATGACGCTGGTTGAGACCTTCTTACAGAGCAACTGCAGCCAACTGGACTCGCTCTCATCGCTAATGGGAGACTATATCACCATGCAGAAGAAGGTCAATCAAGGTCACCAACAGAGGGCGGCAAACATGCTGGCCACACAGAAAGAAGCCGCACAGGTAAGGAAGCTAAGAATGTAGATTTACAGAAACAAAACTACCAAATTATCATGAAATACCTTACTGGACTATCAGTAAATGACAGGTTAAAGCATCCTGTAAAATCATGGCACCTTGTGTGCTGACATTTTCATGGAAAGTTGTATTTTTGTATCAATTTCGATAGAGGGCACAGTTTTGATTTGTTTAGAAAAAATATGAGATAAAATAACATAAGCACCGTCGATATATCGATTTTACTCGATTAGTCGATATTATTTTGATATCGCCCAATAGCAAAGCAATTTTTTAGTCATCGAAATATCAAAATTTTCGATATTGAGGAATCATATAGAAAAATTGAAAATGCCTTAGATTATCGTCGAAGTAAATGTGTGCTTTTACTTTGTGTTTAATGTTTGCTGTACAATGAAATAAAACTCGCCTGCAACTTAAGCTTGTGACTCAGAATAAAAACATCGCAAAATGCCAAGCGGCATCGCTTTGTGCTCTGTGTTCGCTGGAAATCGCAGTCTCCCCAATGTAAAACCTCAAAAGAATTGGCCCGTTCTGGACAAACTGTCAGTGCTGAGATTTGTTTTAAAAAGTTTGAGCAATTTATACTGCACAAAAAGCCATGGAAAGTTGGGACTTATCATCTTATTTTTTAAGTCAGTGTCATCTTTATGGTCTTTGACTTTTACATGGGATAATCGATATAGGCTTATCAAGTATTCTTGATATTGGATTTCAGATATATCGATTATTGAAAATTCTGACATCGACGGTGCTTAAAATAACAACGAAGATGGAAAAATGCAACATGAATATCAGAAGTTTTTAAACCCTTGCAGAAAATGAAGGCAGACGCGCTGGGCAAAATATCGTCGATTCTTGAAAACGTCTTCACCCTGCAGCATGAGCAGAACGCAGCCGATGTAGATGAGGTAAGGAATGTTAGATTTGTATGATTTAATTAGAAACAAAAATTAGTTAATTTTGGGAAAACATTGAACTAACAAACTTGACGGTTCATACAAATTACCAATGCCTTTAGTTGTTATCAGAAACATGAAAATGGTATAGTTTCACAAATGTAATGTACAGATTAAACAGTTAAAGTAACAGTTAAGCTGAATGCAAAACTGTAGTTAAAAAAATGAGAAGAAAGTTGTTTGCATTGCAGGGTTCAAATAATAGCAGAGTTGGAAGAGTGGATATGGGTTGGTAGCAGTGCAAAAATACTGAACTCTATTTACACAGCTGGCTTTTTCTTCTTCTTTTTTCAGATGAAAGAGAGCTATGGATGTCTCATCGAGAATGCAGACACATTCCAGAATAAAATCAACGGGTAAGATTGGACAATATCAATTCTCTGATGAATTACTTCCTCGTAATCCTGGCACCTTAAAATAAATAAATGGTTGAACCTTTCAAAATTTCCTTCCAGAGGAGACCAGGAAGGATTTACCTTTTTCAACTGTTGCAGGAAAACCTTAGCAAATTAATTTACTCCTACAATTAAATAGTTTTGCCCCATATTTGTGTTTTCAGTTACTTTTTTCCTAGCAGGGTTATCACTTCTGAATGAGATATCGAACGAAAAAACCACCGACGTTTATAGTTACTGAATTATTTCTTCACAGAATGTGAGTTATTGACACCCAGACAATAATTAAGCTCTCACATGTTGGGCTTATTTGTACGCATAACGAACCTTTTTTTGAGGGTTGTAGATGCCCAAAATCAGAACAAATGGTTACATGACATTCCTAATTTTTACATTCCCTTTTTCTTCTTTCCCCCACCCCCCTAATCCCAGATGTTGTTCCGATCTTCGGGAAACATCAGGGACGTTTGCTTCTCAGTATGTGGAAGGTTCTGAAGCGGTGGCTGCATCTACCAATGAACACACCACAAAGGTATGCATCGTAGTAAAAGTGTCTTTAAGTTTCTCTCAAGTAACTCTTACCTCTAAAATTCTTTGACAGAAGAAAACATTTATTCAAAACAATTCATCCTGAACAATAAAAAGCTGGTATATGTGTGCTTTTATTCGATATTATTTTTATTTGGACTGAGAAGCAAATGTATGTACTATTGTTTGTGTTGTTTTTGATCGATAGAGTCAGGCTTACTTGGACGAAGCAGAGGAAAGCCGTAGCCAGATAGAATCTTCCATTAAGGATTACTTGCAGGAGGAGGTATCACAGCAAGCCGTTCATACAGAGGAAGTGACTGGGGCTATCGCATCACACATGCAGGCATTAGATCAACACATAACAAGCACCAGCCAGAAGACTGAGGTATGACACAGTGTTGACCTTGTGAAATATTGTCCAAATACATGATATACAAATTGACGCGCACCGTGCAAAATCTGAGACAAGCAAAAACTCCAAAATTTTCGCTCACTGCGCAGCAACCCGTGGTCCACATTTTATGTTTTTGGTATAAAAAAATGCGCAAGGCTCGAGGCTAAAGAGTCAGAACAGCTTGGGTCGTGAAAAAAAAACATTTCAAGGCTATCGCGGAAAAAGTTGAAGGGGGGGGGGGCAAATTCCGCCCCCCCCCCTTTAGGGTTAAGGATTAATTGATCACAAATGACTTGTAAGAAATCACTCAACAAGAGTGTGTTTTCTTTTCTTGTTTACTGACTCGGCAGGCGATGGTATCAACCATCAGACAAAGCTCACAAGACCTCCAAGAAAATCTGACCAATCAGCAAGCGACGCTCAGCGGCACTTTGGATGCTTGGGGTCAAGAGTTGGTCAAACAGTCTACCGACGTGAACGACAGGATATGTGACAACAGGGTTATGGTCACGGAGGTAGAAGGACTGACCACTACCTTCCTGAAAGAAGAACTGAAACAGGACGTACCGACTGGTAGGTGTCTGTGTCGTAAAGTCCACAAGTCAATCACAAGGCAATCATAAGTCCATCACAAGTCTATCATAAGTCAATCACAAGCCAATCACAAGTCTTATCATAAGTCCATCACAAGTCTATCATAAGTCAATCACAAGTCTTGTCATAAGTCCATCACAAGTCTTATCATAAGTCCATCACAAGGCAATAATAAGTCAATCACAAGCCAATCACAAGTCTTATCATAAGTCAATCACAAGTCTATCATCAGTCAATCACAAGTCTATCGTAAGTCGATCATAAGTTCATCACAAGTCATTTTGGTCTTCATCATTTAGGCCGGAAAAAAAAGGAAAAGGAATTGTCACCAATAATTAAAGTGCCAGAAGATATGTTGATAAAAAAGAAAAATTTAAGTAACAGCATAGGTTAAAAACGTTAATTTAAAAAAATATATTTTTCCACTTACTATGTCCATAAAAAGTTTATGAAAAATTTGTCTTGAAATTTAGAAACAAGAAAAATGAATGGACAGGTGTAATTATACAATTTTCAAGTTATATAATCTCCACTGTATTTATTGATTTGTCTGTCAGGTGTGACTCCCAAGAATCGTCGCTTCAGCTACCCTCGTCAACTGACTCGTACTGAGCCTCATCACGTCCTACTCAAAGGCATCGGTCTGGATCGGACCATCAATGAGGCTAGCAGTGTGCCTCTCCCTGAGACATTCATTGAGGAGGTCTGTATGAGTGCAATCCTTACTACAACGACACCCCCAGTGGTAAAAATGCATCCCCAGGTGAAATGCATCTTTAAAAAATTGAGAAAAAAAAAATTAACTGTCGGTTTACTTTGTCAGTGGAGTGCAGGAGTTTGTCTTGGAACTTATAATCTCTGTATACCCTCAAGATTGTGTTAATTATTCTGACGTCAATCCCTTGTTTCTCGTTGTAGCCTGAAATGGAAGAGTCCAAGAGTGACACGTTGGAGACAATGTCGGTGAATGAAGACAACTCGTCTGATGCAGGATCTGATGTGTCAATGGGATCAGTCATCATTGTAAGTTGTGAGCACATCGACAGTTAGTCACCAGAAGTATCCTCGACCTTCCTTTTTTTTTATGGATGCTGCGGGTAGTACATCGAAAGTGATGTTAAAACCATGATTGATAACTTCCTGCTATTTTTTGTACGTGAAATATTGCTTCTCTAGGAATGACGCTAAGTTCCAGAATCAGTTCAATAACTTGCTGTAAGAGTGTTTGCAACATTTAAGGCACAGAATGCCTAACTTTTCATTTGTGGTAATCCTGAACGATTCATTGGATAATTCATATTTTTCTCACGATTTTATTTATTTATTGTTTTTTTTTTGTTTACATGTATTTGTTTCCCTCCCTGCAGGACGAAACTAAGGAGAACTTCTCAAAGCCAACCAAGAAAAAAGCGCCTGCCGGCAAGATGGTCAAGAAAGCGCCTCGCGACAACAGCGCCAACCGCACGCCGCGATCTAGAGTACCTCTCAGAGTCAATAACGCAGCCAATCATTAGTCTCATGACTGACAATCATTGGGCATGGTGGAGCCTGAACTATGGTTAACCACAGTCAATACTTCAACTAACTACACTCAAGCATAGTTATCTGTTGTTGATTGTCGACATTTTGAGACTCTAAGCCAACCGAAGTTGGTTGCGTCAATGGTTACCACTAGCCGTGTATATCTTATGTACAGAACCAGGAGAGGGAAATTTCATCATGATGTTTAACGTGTTTAACCAATCATAACCATTAACTTAATAATACCTTGGGTTTTTTTATAGCGCTTTATACCAAAGGTCTCAAAGCGCTTCACAATTATTACCCCTGTTCATCAGGCTGTGAAACCAGTTTCTGCAGCAGCTCGACATCAGCGCATGCATTCTGGTCTGTACCTTACTTGTCTTGAGTAGAGTTGTTAGCAACATTCGCATGATACGACCACTAGTTGACAAATGTCTCAAAATCGATTCGTCATTGAATGACGTGAATTATTAGTTGCATGGCATGATGGAAATAATCCCGTTACCAAGGAAGCAACACGGCTGATTATATGTATCAATTTGTAGATAAAATTCATCAACTATGGTTTAGTCTTGCTCTTTCTGTATTAACTTCTTTTTTTTTCGAGAGAACCAAAATTTTTCCTAAACTTTTTCTCAAAACAAGATAACTTTTTGGGATTTCAGAGAATGGCACTGTAATTTTAATGGTGAGGGGTTTTGTGTATATATATAACCCTAAAGCCTTAAGTTGATTAAGTTTATTAATATGTACATTTATTCGTAGTAAACCTTCATTTAACCAGCAAACATGTTCAAGCAGCTTAGCCACATGTAGTAGATGACACATACAACAAAGGGCTCGGACAATTTGTAAATAAAGCGTGCCCTTTGTGTGGTAATGAATTTCTTTGGAAAGATAATGACCTTGATTTTTGTTTCTGCTCCAACTGGAACAGAATGTTTAAATAGGCTGGTGCCTTTGACAAATCATTCTAGTCATAGGAATTCCGTATCATGTCATTAGGAACCAGACAATGATGACCATCGTAATTTGTACACATGGGGCATGTTTGTTAACTTATAACCGATTCGTTTATAACTAATAAAAAAGTAAAACTAGGTGCATACAAAATTAGATACATGTAGTTCTTACATTCTCATTTTGCCCAAATTCACCCGAATGGTAAGAAAACTTATTTGTTACCAGATTTTTCTTTATATTGAAGTTTACAAATGAAGGAGGACCAAACGATTGAACTAAAACAAAATGAGACTTTTTCCCCTTTGCTCAAAATTTATTTTAAGCCAATTTTTTTTTGTACAAATAAAAGCCAGTAAGAATTATCTAAAACGTTATTGGTCCAGCCGTATGTTTATTATTTAGCACATCCCCCAGAGAATTAATAGAATTATTTTCTGTGGCCAGAAGTATTTGTTGAAATCTCCCATACTTGTTAAAATACTTTAACATCATAAAACCCCAAAGTCCCAAATCATAATGCATGAACTGTAAAGATGATAGTAAACGTCGGATGTAAAATTTAATTTTGTTAGTGTCAAGATTTCATTTTTTTAAAGAGAAATTCAATGAACGATGATGATTTTGAGGCTTTGAATAAGTTGGAATTACTTATGAAATAATACTATATATGAAACAGACCAAATTCATATCCCACAAACCTCTTACAACTTTATTTGGTTGAAAATTTCAGATTGGACACAATAAGTGAATTTTCTCCCTGATTTTTCCTTGATCTTACAATTGGTGATGATTCCCCTTCCTACTTTTTTAAATACATTTATTGATTTTTTTGATTTTTTTTTCCTTTTTGAACTTTTTTTTATAGATTTTTTTTAAGCACTCTTTTATGTGTGAGTGCTGGAACTCAAACACCATACACACATATCAGATTATTTTCTGAATGCATGAGCATTAAGAAGCTGGATTTGATGAGGAATTGTGATTATGATTTGGCGCCAAATACATAAAGTGAGAGTTTTCGTAGTGAGCATTTCTGAGATGCATTCATAAAACAATCTGATCTAGATCGTTAAGGTGTGTGCAGGAAACTTATTGGATAACTGAATAAGGCTTTGGCTTGGCTTCATCATAATAATAGTACCACTTGATGAAAGTCATGAGAGCTGCCTTGATTGTATCCAAGATAACAGCGTGGATGAGAATGGCAATGATGGAAGTTGCGACCCATTCCCAGAAGACATTCCAGCAGAGACCGTGGAAGGATGACACGGACCACAGGACGGCAAACACGCAGGTTACAATCAGCAAGATGTGAAGGATGAGGAACATGACTGGCTGGAAGTTGTCGCTGAGACGATTCTCATTTGGAGTGGCAGTTGGCTCAGCTTCATACATCGCTTGGTAGTATTTATAACGGTTCCAACGAGGGTTATCTTCGTCATCTATGTTGCTGTCGCTGCTACTGCATATGCTATTACTGCAGGAATCGTGGCTGCTGCGGGACGCTTTACTACTTGAGATGCTTTTGATGCAGTAAGTGTCTGTGCTGATGGGAATTTCCTCCTTGCCATCGGTGTCCTTACTGCTATATGCCTCTTTGCTACTCTGGGTTCCGTTGCTGCTACTGATGTCTTTGCTACTGCAGATCCCTTCACTGCTGGTTGACTTCGGAGTGACAGATGAGCTTGATGTCTTGTTGCTGTCTAAGGACAGATACTCATCAGAGGATGTACTGCAGGGCATACTAGACAATGAAGGGATGTCCAAGTTGATGGTGGTAGTCTCGTTGCTGTTGTTGTTCTTGTTTGTGGCATTCACATCCTTCCAAGGAGTGACGGGGCGTCTGTCAGAAGCACTGTGAGATGATGTGATGCTGTTCCAACTGCCTGAGGATGTAACACTCATGACATCAGGCTGATAATCAATCAGACGGCTTGATGACAGGAAGATAGATCGTTTGAGATGGTCATCAATTATTTTTGCATCAATGTTGTCATTGTTGCGGATGTTTGGCAAGTTGTTGGCAGTTCCTGGATAGAAGTCTCTTGAGATGATGTCATATTTGGCCTCTTCCTCAATCTGGATTGTACTGATTTCCAAAGTGACGTCATGACTACAAGGCAGACAGATGTTCTCATCTGAGGTCTTCATGGCAGCATCATCTTCCCTCACCTCCAGCTTGTAATTATCACCAATGGCAACCTTGGGCTTGGAGCGTAAACCTGACAGCCACTTTCGGAAGCTGAAGAAGAAAGGCTTATTGCTTCTGCTCCTCTGTATGGTCACGCTAGGCATTTCAAACTCCAGAGGCAAATTGACGATGTAGTCAGAACCGGTTGTCACTGGACCACATGGTGTCTGTGTGATTGTGCCTGTCTCAACTTCTGATGACTTGGTTCCATCAGTGGATAGGTTAGGTTTCACATCATCAGTCGCTTTCTTGGTTGCTAACTTGTCTTCTGACAGGAATACATCATATGGCAAGTTGACTACTTTGCCTTTCCCCATATCACTGAACCTGTTGATGTAATTCTTGGTGCGCATCACTTTGGCCGTTTTGATGTCAGGATCCAGGAGGGCATCAGAATACTTAATGAATCTTTCTTGAGCATTGATGTCTTGCTTCATTTTGCCCTCATCAAAATGCTTGACTGGTTGTGATCGATCACCAGCCTCCCATTTGCAAGTTGTCTTGTGTTTCTTATCCTGAAGACCAGATGTAGAAGTAGCTCTTTTGATAAAGTCAGGTATGTGTTGTGATGGCTCCTTGGAAACTGGCATTGATGAAGCAGTCTGGTGTTTGTCCATGTTGTCAAGATTGTCGTCATCAGATACGGTTTCGATTGCTCCTTGGATGTTGTAAGAAGCGGACTCATCCAGTGGTTGGCCTGAGTTGATGTACGTTAAATCACTGATGGAAGATGACTCATTTCTATTGATGTAGCTACCAGAATCACTGGTTGATGACTTGCAGATATTGCCCATGGTAGAGTTGTTTATCGAAGAACTACTTGAACTATCCTCTGAGTCAAGACTTGTTGGTGTGTTGTTTCCTGAACAGCTGGCTCCTGGGTCGTAATACCTGCTCCCTGTGGTCCGATGGCAAACAGGACACTTGTAGCAAGTCAACTTGTGTTGGCATTCCAGCTGGTCTTGAGCACAGATGGACCGATTGTCTCCAAAGATGTCATCAGAGGCAGTAATTGCTACGTGACTGCTGGGGGCTGGAACTGGTTTGATGTTGCACTTGCCACTGTTAGTTCCATCAAAAGAGTGTTTGGCTTTTGTGTCAGCACTGATAGAACTGCTGCTATTGGCGTCAGCATTGGAATCGGTGGATACCTTGATCGGTGACTTATTCCGGACGGTCAGTTTGTAGATGCCATGGCCATTGATCACAGTCCATCGAGAATATCTAGTCAAACCAGCATGATGATCCTTATCGATGCCACCTTTGGAGTTGTTTCCAACCTGATTCATCTGTCTGTCAGTGTCGCTGGCAGCGGCACATTGCTTGCCGATCTTGTCGAAGCATGATGAACCAGTGTTGGTTTGTTGGGTGTCATTTCCATTTGGTCTGCATCCCTGTTGCTGCATTGCTGGAGCACTGATGGAAATACGAGGCAAGCCCTCCTCCACACACTCAGCGCTACCACCGTAGAAATCTCCAGCTGCAGACTGGTTACAAGTCGGTTGCAAACCATCCATAAATCGGTTTCCGTTCCGGGGTCTTGGAGGCACACAAGGCAGATGCAAAGACCAGATGGTAGGTGCGCCTCGGAATATGGTTTCCATAAATCCAAGCAATGCAAACACCACCGTGCCAACAACGATTGCTCTGACTAACATGGCTGCGGTGATGTTCACATCCGTCAAGCTTATCAAGACGGCATCCTCCATGGACTGATCTAAGGACAACTTTGGCACAACCTGTGCTGCGATCATGGTGTAACTGATGCAGGCAAACAAGCAAGTGATATGACGGCATCCGGTGAAGTTGCCCTTGCGCCAAGGTGTGAAGGCAGAGGTCCACAGAGAGCCATTCTTGAAGAAGTAAGCGATGTAGTTGACCCTGGATACGGGCTGAGCGGTAGAAAGTAGCAGTGGAAGGATAGTAGTGATTCCTTGGTCTGATGATGATATACCACCGCTGCTTGAACCACAGCCAGAGGTGTAATGATCCTGGGTCTTGGTATCCATGGCATGGATTTTCTTGATCTCACTAGAATAAAGAAAAAAAATATTCATGAAATGAGCCATAAAATTTTAAAAAATGACTGGTTCAAAAATTTTGAATTACTTTTTACTTACTCGATCAAATAAATGTAAAAACATAAACAGCAAAAAATAAGACCAAGAGTGTAAAATGAATAAATAGTTTGAGTAAGACTGTTTCTTGTAAAATTCATGTGAGATGATAAGATACACAATGCAAGCACCACAACAACCAAACTTCCTTCAATGTCTTCAAACCTCTCAACTGAAAGAATTTTGTATTTCTATTTTTTAAAAATGTCCTCACTCATACTCACATATCACATGCCCTGTTGACGATTCCTCGCAGGCAAGCTCCAATGTTGGAAGATGGTAGCAGCCTGGAGGTGAATCCATCACTCGCTGATGGGTACTTCGTCTCCACGGCTACGAGCTTACCGATGGAGCGAGGGGTTGTCAAAGTCTTCTGTTCTGAATTCTTTCCAAGAATCAGATCAAAAGACAGCCTGTGGAAAAATTCAAACCAAAATAACATTTGTTTGAGTTCTTATTTGACCAAGCAAAAGATTTACACTGTAACAAAAATAAAATTACATTACAGATCTAAATTTGATTGAATTATGACAATTTCATTTTATTTTAATCAACTTACCAGTCGCTGAAGCCAAATGTTCCTTGGAGTCTCACTAGATGTGGGTTTTTGTTTGCACCAGGTGATTTGTGCATAGCAAACCAACGTAGGAATGAATCCCAACGGGAACGGCCAGCATAGTCTATGTCAATGACGTAGATGCGTTCCTTTCTGGCCCTGTTCCCCTGGATGTTGAAGGGAGATGGTGGGCAGGAACGATTGCTCTGCAAAACAAAACAAAAAACATATATGTCACAAAATGGAACTGATTTACAAAGGGATTGTTTAGTTGTACATGTAGTTACTTTTTAAACTCATGATTTTTACCTTGCGTGCCTGTCTGAAATCTTGCAGGAAGGCCAAGAGCAGGAGCAGTCCAAAGCCAGCGGCTATTGGGACTGCAGAGAGGAAGACGATGTCTTGCAAGTTGATGGTTGACAGACAGTCTTCAGGCGTCAGGGTAGAGGTGGAAGGACTACCCTGGGAGGGACCCAAGATGGTGCTAAGGGTCTGGGAGCTGTAGGAGAAAGTAGTTACATTTTTAGACAAAATGTGATAAGCCTAGTAAAGTAGTAGGCTATGAGCATTATCATAGGCCTACATCTAAGTAATTTATAGACGTTTTGATGTTGAGTGCATGTACCATACCCACATATAAACTTCTTGTAAAGCATCTTGGATTATTTATGGAAACTTTTTTCAAAATATTAAAAGTATTTCTAAATAGGCCTAAGCCTAGGCATGCTATAGTCTAGGCGGCAGGCCTAAAATAATAAAATGCCAAGATAAATCTTCATACCACCACCTTGCCCTCCGTGCTTACTATTCTAAACATTAAGACCTTAACCATGTAATCTCAATAAAAACAGCCAAATATTAAATGAGCGTCTGTTACTAACAGTTTGGCCTAACATTAACAAACAACCTCTGCAAGTGCAATTACATGAATTATGACAAAGCCCATTTGAATGTTCTTTACACAAACTTGGCAAGTCAAATTATTATTTTTAATATTAACATCATAATTATAGTCTTACCTTACAGTCTCGATGACCGAAGCCCAAAGAAATATCGCAATTATCGGGAAAAGTCGCATTCGTATCGCAGTAAATTCTCACGAACAGGAAAGGCGTCCACACTGACTGCACAGCATGAACACAACTGGCGTTTCCATGGCTTGCGCTCATTTTTATACCGGAGGAGCGAACATAGCAACACCGGTGACGCGACAATGGTTTTCCTGTTCAAAAATAGACTCTTTCACCTCTGGATGGAAGCATTATTTACCAAAGCCTAGATTAACAACATCGTTTTCTAATCACTGATCGCAATAAATATCCTAAATGTCATATTTGGACTCGCCGTTCGTGAAAACTAAGGCTTTTCAAACTCCAGACAAACTTCTGCAAGTTGTCAGAAGTAAACTTTTTACAGGGAATTGTGGGAAGGGTGGGTTAAACTCACCGCCAGAGGGCGCTGGATCGACACTTCTTGAAACTCCGGCTTCGTTTCTGGTCCGGCGCTTAAATTTTAGGCTCCGTATTATTTTCTGAGTCTCTGTCCCAAACTAATTACTATCTTTCGCTTAAAGAATATCAGATCCTATAATTTTTCCAGAAAACTATGGCCTTCCAGGGTTTTTGTTTTATATACACTTAATTTGACAGGGGTGGTCTAACCAGCCGAATGTCCTTATTCGAGGTAAAATTGTTTTCTCCAATCAAATCTAAAAGGTTTCTGTACAACTGTAAAAACTGGGTATGCATGACAGAAAATTCATACTACAAAACAAAACTCAATCTGACTTGACCAGTTTATTTTTTCTTTAAATATGTTTTTAATTAACTGAGTGTGGTTTAAATAGTACAGAAGACCATATAAAAAGTACAAGCTTAGTTTACACATTATAGGGTTTCTGTAGAAAAGAGTAATATAGTGATAATCTTTATTGAACAAACACTTAACTTTAAAAGGGATTTCAAACATCTTAATTTTTTTAACAAAGATTATGATTTGCATTATAAATATGTTATACTGAGAAAAGACGAGACAGATAAATATAAAATCTTTTGTAAAGGCAGATTACAATGTTCTGCTTCGTTAATTTTAACCACTTACTGATATTAACCTCTGCATTGCTGCCATATTTGAGGTACGTTTTTGAGCTCTCGAGCATTCACTGTAACTGAATTATAAATAAACCTCAAATATGGCTGCCGTATGCAATTGGTCTATACATCAGCAGGAAGGTGTCACATTTTTTTCCTATGGGGTAATTGTGCATGCTGACCACGTGTAAAAATACAGAGAAAGTTTAAAGGCACTATTTGGGAAAATTTAACGTTTACTTAACCATTTATTCTAACTTCTTATCAAACTTTTGGGTTACAACAGTTGGACATGACATCAAAATAACAACTTTAAATGGGAATGTCAAACAGGGAGTTTTTTACTTTACCTTTTATTCATTATGAAAAAAACTTGTGAGAAAGACTAAAAATTGTACAAAGATATAAAATAGAAATATGAAAACTGACAAAGGTAATTCTAAAAAGTACACACAATTTTTCTTGCAAAGGCTCCATGTACAAAAGAACCTCACACAACAAATTTGAAATTGTTTAGAAGTTTGGTCTATTTCTGAACTTTCCAGTGTAAAATTGCTGAAATTTGTCATAAGGTTTTTACAGGGGACCCTTAATTCATACGTCAGTTTAAACTTTAGTGTGTTTTATTAACTTTTTAATCTTGAGAATTTAACACGTGAGAAATTGATGTAAACATCCTTGTGTTTAGATTTCCGTTTGTCAAAGCACTTCTGGGAATAATTTTTTTTTATGTACGTAGTAAATTCCACATTTGTAAGTGTTACGACAAATGTGATAAGTGGATTTAAGAAAGCAGCATTTTTGTTTGTGTCAAGTTTCCACAGTTCACAGAGATAAGATTTGATAATTAATTGTGCAGCATGTTTATCAACATACGGAGGCGTCATTATCCTTAATTTCAAAGAGAAAACAGTTGTGAATGAGGAGTGTGCATTGAAACAGGTACCCGAAACCCAACCGCTGATGTCAGGAAACGGTTCCCGATTATGGGATCGGGTACCCGTAACCAACTTTACAAATTACCTAACAACTTCAAAGACAATCAAAAAGAAAGGTTTTGAATGTCATTTGCGGGAGGTTTTCAAAATGAAACAGATTTCAAGTGCATGTGCATTTTAATGCGTGACAGATAACGCTTGCGAAAGTTGTGGTATAGATCAAAAAGCTGTCAACCCCTTCAGACAACATCCGGGATTTGAATGCTGGGGTTGGTTTTCTTTACGGGTACCCGTGTTTACTTCAATAGGGTACCTGGTTCCTGTACTCCCCATGAATGCACACCACTATTGTGAACTCAGGAGAAAGACACCAGGGGTGAATTCCAGAGTAAAAATCTGCTAAGCGTGGAAAGTATTTGTTAAGAAAACTCAGGTTACCAGCCGAGAAGGTCATGCAGTGTATTTGAGTTTAATTGGTGCTCTGCAGATTTTTGCTGAGAAGCTGAATTTGTTAAGCATTTTTTTCCTGTTTCAAAGCTCCATGCCATTCCAATACTTGGAACAGCTCCCACTAAAACATGCGACTATGGAAGCGGTTGATTCCACTTCCCCTAGACATGTGTTACATCGGCCGTCGTCAAGTAATTCCGACACAGCTGTATTCGTCTTGAAAGTTACTATCTCAAATAGATAATGGACCGATTTAAAAATGGCAAGTTGGGTGCAAAAGTACAACACTGGTTATTCTGTCATCATCGGCTGCTTGGTTTGGTCGATTTACTGGAACCATGGGCCTGCGGAATGAGAATAAAAATACAAAAAATGGCACAGGCACGACAGTATCTGACCTCTAACCCTAAGTCAAAGGTTATTGAGAAAGATCCTGACAGGGTCGAGAAGTCATGCCCTCAAACATTTTGAGTGTATATTTCAGGTCAACCCAGTCAGTGAGCAGTTCATCAAGTCACCAATAGTTAATCATCCGGTCTCAAGTCAAGCCACTACTTACTGAAATAGACCAGACAAATGTTTTCTTTTTGTCACTGTTCGCCTCTTGTTGCTTGTGATCCCACTTGTGATTGACTTTTGATTGTCTTGTGAATGACTTGTGTTGAGTTATGACTGGCTTGTGACTGACTAGTGACTGGCTTGTGACAGGCTTGTGACTGGCTAGTGCCTGGCTTGTGTCTGACTTGTGATTGACTTTAGACTGGCTTGTGATTGACTTCTGACTGGCTTTTGACTGGCTTGTGACTGACTTCTGACTGGCTAGTACTGGCTCTTGACTTGCTTGTGACTGGCTAGTGACTGGCTTGTGACTGACTTGAGATTGACTTTTGACGGGCTAGTGACTGACTTGTGATTGAGTTTTGACTGGCTTGCGACTACTTGTGACTGGCTTGAGACTTCTTTTTTTAACTGGCTTGTGATTGACTTGTATTACTGACGATCACTTTTAAGTTTTAACTGAATTCTTTTAACTCATGGATATTTGCAACTGTTACCTTCTTCTTGCGAGTCGGCTCATCTGTACTGATCTCTATTTCCTGTAGGTCTCTGTTGATACCGTTCACGTCCACACTTGGACCAGCTCTCATGGGAATCAGTGGTTCCTTGATCTCAAACACATCAACAATCTCCTGTAATTACGTCGAGAGATGGTGAAAAAGTCTTAACTATTACAAAGAAACACTTATTGGCAATTAATGCACAGCACATTGGCGGCGAGGGACACTCGTGAAAATATATTTTCATCTTTTGGCAATTCCTCGGAATTATTCTTGCCAACACATACCTTCCACTGTGTCATATCCAGTGACATCATGACTTGTTTACGATCCACTCGTTCGTTTGTCTGTCCCTCAATGTAAGGCGTTCTCGGAATAATGATTGGTAGTCTGTCATCGTCTAATGCTACTTCCGCATGACCATCCTGAAACAAAATACACCATAGGTCCAAAGATTTTCTGTTTAATAACCTGTCCAAACATGTACTTTCCTGCCAACTATGAAACTGTGTGCACGTACTGGTTCATGCGCGTAAAGCGTGAAGTATGCATACGATACTTAAGTAAGATTTAAGGCTTTGCATGGTGGAGATACTAAATAATGAAAGGTTTGCGGAAACACCATGTGCGAATAATTTCTCAACTAAGAGAATGGTTCTGAAAACGATATTTTATTTTGAATGTGCACAACCCCATAACATCATCGTGTAAGTGTCAGAGTTTTTTCCAAAAAGCAGAAATTCATTTAATACAATGAATTCCATTAATTTTTCTCTTGCACTTATAATGGGAATATTTGTACAAATGTGACAGATCGCATCCATTTGTCCGTCTGGACAAACATGGTAATGAAATTGTTTGAAATGTCTGTCTTATAACTTCACCCACTTCACTATAAAGATCCATGAAAATCAAAAACATTTTTAAGCCAAATGTTTGTGAATACTCCATATTTTGTCCCCGTGTTTGGAGGAAAGATAAGGAAGGATATCACAAAGTGATCACAATGAGGCAACTTACCTTGACTAAGAAGGAAAGATGAAAGATGTTCTCTACCGTCTGACTGAAGGAGTGGGGGTTGATCACAAACTCAAATAAAGACACTGGCTCAACTGCATGATAGAGAAATTACAAAACAAAAACTAAAAGTGCCTAATCAAAATCCTCAGGTGATTAACCATTTTTATTGAGGTGGGCAATCAAAGAGTTCACTAATAATAGTATGCACCATGCAAAAATAAGCCCCAAAACAAATTGTGCAGACCCTCACTGCTGCTGCGATGATCATTTTGTAAATTGTGAAGTAGGCTGGTGCTATGGCTGCCGCTACTTCCCACAGACTTGTGTGTTATTGTCATCCGTAGCCATGTGATTTGGACAAGGCCTTGCACTCAGTTTCTGCCTCCTACCAATGCAATGGCTCAAAATGGTGGCCGTGACAGAGGATGAGCCACTACATCGGCTGAAAGGTCACAACGCATTGTTTTATTCTGTCTAATTAAGGTAAATAATTCCGTACTCAAAAAGGTAAGGGCAAAAGTTTACTTTCTTGAGTTTCTTCCTGGGCGTCAAAGTTGGTGACCTGATGGAGGATACCCAGCATTCTCTCCACTTCCTCTGTAGTGACTTCCTGGTGACTCTTGCCCATGGATTGAACCTAAGATCATAGACAAAAGTAGTGATCGAGAATCGTGATATGGTCAAGGAGTAAACAGGGCCAATGTAATGTAATGTTTTTAATGCAATCCTTGAAAATGCACCTTTGTGTCCCATTTAACTTATTTTCAATTTTCATCCTGCCAGTTTGAAGGGTGTTTTGGTGCCTTTATGGTTTTTATGCTTATGCAAATGTCCATATTCATGAGCAAAAGTGTGATGTCATTTTAGGGAGAAACCTCAATGTTAGAACTATTTCAGCCCCAAAAGTTGCCAGGGGAAAATTAATCGGGGGGGGGGGGGGGGGGGGGGACGCTCCTGGTTGAACTTGCTACCTGTTTAGGGACTACAGCTGGACCAGTGTCTTTCTCCTTCTGCCGTGCCGCGCTTTGCTTCCTAGTCTTAGCTGGAGCTTCTCCTCTCTCAAACGATCCAAGCCTGGCATCACAGGGGAAAAAAACACACAACTATTTACTGTTTCTGGAACAGTCATCACTGTTATTGTCAAATAGAAATTGTTGAATCTCACCTGTCATGATGTGTTTTGGCTCACAATCACAAATGTCCCTACAGAAGCGGCTCAAACCATTTCTTAACATGCGTGCCTTACAACCAGCCAAAGCTAAGTAACTCCTAAAAAAGCGGCCCAAAAAACTTAAATTTATGTCAAGAAAATCCAGAGACCACTCGTACAAAACTCTATACACTTTTGTATAACATACACAGACACTGCATAAATTGCTTGCACATTACTTACATAAAATGAAACGCCGGTGCCCTTCTGAAACATGCCTTTGCTGCCTGTCCCAATTTACTCCACCCTTCCTTTGGAAATGGAACATTCCTCCTCTCGCCTTCCTCATTGGGTATCCGTCTGTCACCCATAAAAGATACCTAAACATAAAGAATAAAATGAAAAATGGTCTCATGGCCTGATGAACAGGGGTAATAATTGTGAAGTGCTTTGAGACCTTTGGTATAGAGCGCTATATAAGCACCACACAAAATTACCACATAAATAGATTGACTGCATTCAGCTACCATCTTTGAGGTGTTGAAGTCAAAGTACAAGTTAATAAATTAACAAGAAATACACAAGACGTCTACCAATGCATATCCCTGTTGAACGAAAGCACACATCTCAAGGATGTCTGCAGTGTCAACGATCTCTGGACAGTACTGCAAACCTTACCAGTTTCTCAGCGAATTCCTTTGGGTCAAATGTGTGGAAATCAGTGTGAAGTTTCTGGGCTCTTTCGTTGCCTAGCGACGACACAAGCACCATGAGATGAGAATCTAATGCTGCCTCTCTCGGACATTTGCTCTTCGTCACTACCAAAAACAAATTCAATAAAAAAGTCTTATGTTATTTAATTATTAGAATTTTGGTTTACAATTAAAAAAACAATTCTCCACAATTCACAAGATTGTGAAGATAGCATTTCGTATGATGAAGCAAGTGGGTTTTTTTTTGGGGGGGGGGGATTTTGACAATCGGCTTTTGAAAACATTTTATTGAAGACTTTAATTTTAAACATAACAAATTCAATTTGAAGATAAAGACCAAAGTTTCATGTTTTGCAAGATTTTTTTCAGAAAATTGGGCAACTTTGAATCTGCAACTTCAATGTAAAGTTGAACTGCACACAATTATAATAGCCCCGAAACATGGAAAAGTCGCATATTGTTGAATGTTTCAACATGTGAATAGTTTTACCTTGAGTGAACAGGGTATCAGCCCTGTCCAGCGTGTCCTTCAATCCATCAGATTCAGGTTGGATCAAGTCCTGTCGATTTCCTGTGATATAATTATTAATATAAACAAATAACACGTTCCAATTTGTTTCTTGCGTAAATATATCCTCAATCCTCTGAAATATGTGCAGATAATACTTTGCAACACGTGTGCTGCCAAATGCAAATTAAAGGTGGGCGCACAGAAATAGGATCACATGTTTTTAAAAGGTCTTGCCATTCCTTCCAGAGTTCCTCCGTGGTCTGACGATACACGTATGCATGTTCAACATATACTGAGTCAATCTTTTTTCACAAGTTTAATACGTAGGCCCATGTGAAAATCTAAGTATTATCAGACCCTTGCTTGAGTTACTACGCCATCCTTTACATGCTTTAACCATGTTAACCGGCATTTATATTAACACACTCATTCAGTTTACATGGTTAAGCACGGAAGAAGGACAATTCCTTCCTCCATCATTTGTCCATTGTTAAATTAAGCTAAATAAAAAAAATCAAACGCCTGTCAAATCATGATCAAATCAAATCAAGTTCACAAAAGATAGAACTTAGTTGGGTGGACATAATGCATCAGACAGACAATTGACAGATAACTAGCTTGAGTAACTCCAGCTTAACAAGCTCATCAGGAATTCCTGATGAGCTTCTTAATGTTAAGCATGTTAAGCTGGAGTTACTCTAGCCCGACTGCGTCTGGCCGTACAGTACTATCGCAAGCTCTGTAGTACGGCCAGACGCCCGATGCTTCCACAGAGACTGAATTTTGTTGGCCGCCGATGTAGCGATTTTGCTACATCTTTCGATCGCGATTATCTTTTCATCCAGGACACAAATTTCCAAAGTTAAGATTCGTAGTCGTAGAGCAACTCATACCTTTTCGAAAAAACGTTGTTTGGTCTCAATATTTTCATCCATCTGGCCACAAGACGAATTTCAGTCATCAGATTCCACAAATATCGTCCCCCATGCGATCCCCCATGCGATTTCAAAATGGCGGCCGCGCTGTAATGTATGCAATATGCAGGCGCGCCCGCGCAAACTCATGAATATGCATAAACAGTCTGTGACGTATGACCTCGTGTTTTTGGACGTGCGTGCGGCGGGGCCGTACGTCCAAAAACACGGTTACGTCACAGACTGTTTATGCATATTCATGAGTTTGTGCGGGCGCGCCTGCATATTGCATACATTACAGCGCGGCCGCCATTTTGAAATCGCATGGGGGACGATATTTGTGGAATCTGATGACTGAAATTTGTCTTGTGGCCAGATGGATGAAAATATTGAGACCAAACAACGTTTTTTCGAAAAGGTATGAGTTGCTCTACGACTACGAACCTTAACTTTGGAAATGTGTGTCCTGGATGAAAAGATAATCGCGATCGAAAGATGTAGCAAAATCGCTACATCGGCGGCCAACAAAATTCAGTCTCTGTGGAAGCATCGGGCGTCTGGCCGTACTACAGAGCTTGCGATAGTACTGTACGGCCAGACGCAGTCGGGCTAGAGTTACTCAAGCTGACATGTACACGAGATAAGCCTTTTTGTTTTTAATTCAGGCAATATTGTTTACGCTGCGTTTCTGCAATCAAGGTTCGATAATCTTGTCTCAATTGTCGTCTCTTCTCATGATCGGCAGCCGCAGGTTGACTGCTTGATGAGCTCGCCATTTTCCTCTGGCTCACAAGTCGTAAATGAAAGGATCTTCTTGCTTTGGAAAGAAATCCACTAGACAGAGTCAAACAGTTGCTTTAGTTTTCGCACTTCCAGCGCTGGCGAATCCAGCAGCGCGCGGTTCGGGTGCTGCACATCAAATACACGTTTAGCTACGTGCCCGACTTCATGTCAACACTAAATTACCGACGGATCAACAGTCACAATTGGCCAGATTTTATTATTCAATTGAATCTAAATCGAGAAATATTTGTTAATTCATAAAACAAATTACACACTATAGAAATGTAATATATTTATTGTATCTATTTTTTATCAGTTTTACCCCGACAATTGCATTTTAGTTGAATAATGCCCATTTAAAAAAGTAAATTTAGTTCCATATCCTCCAATCAGATAGCGTTTTAGTTAGCTCATGCCGGCACGATAAATTTATTTGGGACGCATGCGCAGTCAGTTGGAAAAGTGAATCGGCCGCAAACGGTCATGGATTCAAAAACGTCTCGTAAAAATTTCGGTGGCCCGTTGCACACCCATCAGCATTTGGAGTTGATATCTTTCGAAAATAAGGTGGGTTTCTTTTCAGTTTACTCATCTGTGTAAAAGAATGCGCCATTTTGATCGTGTTACGTTCGATTTGGTTGTTTAATTTTACCGTTCTCGCCTGTTGGCTTCCTGGTTTTTAATGAAAAGCAGCCGACATGATCTGACGTGCACACGTACGTCATGTACAGAGCAGAGTGGCACTTCGTTGCGTTGTGCAGTGTTGTGTATGTGGAAATCGTGTATGATGTACTTATACAGTACACGCGGTGTGACGTTTTGGTCAGTTGCGTTTTATCAGATAGGCCTACCTTCATGGTTTAGTAGGCCTCTTCTAACAGTAACATTCATTCTTTTCCCCAAGGAATTCATCATTAATGTTGACTCGGCTCGGTACCTGCCGGTTCGTCATTTTCATCATGTTCATCATGTTGTGACAATCTGCATGTTTAGGGCCTAAATAATAATAACTAAACTGACTGATCATGCTGATTGACATTTAATGACAATGACTGATTTTTGAATGGTGTATTTAATTGTATGTCTTTCTTTTTGCAGTTTTTCATGTTTTCGGACTCATGGATGGACTCAGCCCCACTTGTCATGCTTGTGTGGCCTCTGTATTGCTGCGCTGTATGTCATTAGGCATGTTACTGTTAGGCCACACGTCAGGTTTTCCAACCTACTGAGGAGTTTAGTCCATACTCTGGCGCACCCTTTTTTTGCACTTTGGAAAGAATCAAATGTTGCAACCTGACGCTACTTCGGCGGTTGTGTACAAAGTCTATGGAGAGTCAAGAAAAATTTTCAAGTATTTCCTAACAAAATTGGAAATATTTCTCAGTCCCAGATTCATGTTTTATCGTCATTTTTGCAATGACTGACCTTCATTGAGATGATATATGAAGAAAAAAGCAGCGTCAGGTTGCAACATTCTTTCCGGCACTTTTTTTTTACATACCACTGTATTATGGTTGTATTCTTTAATTTCTCATCTTTTACCCTCCGGGTAGATTAGGTAATCTTTCTTCAATTTTTTTGCAAGAAATTTATAATAGACATCTTTCTGGAGTCCATATCCATATGCGCCAGTTTCGGACTAAACTCCTCAGTAGGTTGGAAAACCAGACGAGTGGCCTAACGTACAGTGCAGCAATACCGAGGCCACACAAGTGGGGGTAGGATAGACTAGGCCCTAACGCTATGTCATTGTCTTCATTTACTTTTTTGTAGTGTTAATTATTGTCCTAGGCTTACATTTATGTAGCTTGAGTAACTCCAGCTAAGTAACATGCTCATCAGGAATTCACATGTAACTTCCTGATGAGCATTGTTAGCTGGAATTACTCAAGCTAGTCTAGGCTAGCCTAGGCTCAGAATGTGTAGGCCATAACAAAATAAGATGATTTAGAAGATTAAAAAACATTAAGACTAAAGTAAAGATACATGAAAGGGGCTGCGGAAAGATTTCCATAGCCGGAGATCACTTGACACCCTGTGCACAGCAGGAATAAATGACATAGATTTGGAGAAAGTGTGAGTTTTGAGAATTATAGTCATATCAAATCTGCACCCCGATTTTTAATGCAATTTTGCAAAATAATCACACTTGAGTTTCGAATAGCTTTTTTTATAATGTGGTACTTCCTCCATATTGTGAGCCATGCACACAGCAGTCACAGGCCCCCCTCATGCTTATTGTGGGAAAAAGTTGATTTAAAAAAAATCAAAATTGGGACTTTTTCAATTGATATTCACCATGGAAGATACTTACATGTAGGCCTACCTGGTTAACAAGTTAAAATCAAAAGGTTAAGTGTACCATGACCTCTGTAACCCAAACAAATTACTGCAATCTTTTTTGGACAAATTCACTCTCACTGCAAATTTTGGAAAGACCTTTGCATCCTGACACCACTTTTTTAACCCTAACGTACCTAAATCAATCAAAATCCACACCCCTGTTTTGGAGGATTTCGGCGGAATCAGGATACATTTTATCTCCACTCCTCCATATTGAAACAAGTTGGGACATTTTGATGGATTCAGGACAGTGAGCCTAGCGGTACTGCAGGATTTTGATGGATTCAGGATACCTCCATATTGAGCAGTTGAGGGACTTTGATGGATTCAGGATCTCAACAGATTTACTCGAGGCTAACTGGTGGATTCTGGTGGACTCACTGGTCATCAACATTTTTTTGCATGGCAAAATTGATGGATTTGCCAGTAAACGGGCCTGAAATTGCTTATGTGGCCAAATCGCGATTTGCATGCCCTCTATTTTTTAGCAATTTGTGGGCGCCATGACCTTAAGGTTTGGTACAAAAAACAGTAGCCGTGCACAGCACTGCAAGCTCATAATTCTGTGAAATTCAGATGAAATTAAGTCCTGAAATGGCTCTAATTTTGAAGTGGAGCGCAGGCATCATTTTTCAAGATGGCGAAATTTAATTTGATTTGTGTTTTAAACACGTTGGAGAGTTGTGAGTATTTTTCCTGACTTTTGGAAGTGGGCGTATTAATCACTGGGGTCTGCGGCAGTTTATTTATTGGTCTGCAACTGTATACAGTGTAGTAGTGCAGCCTCACGTGATTGGTTTTTGAGCATCCTATTTTAGTACATCATTAACATTAGCAGTAACATAATCTGGGGATTCAACATGTACATAAACATGATGTGGTAATTGAGTACAAACGTAAATTAGACTGTTTGGTAAATGATTCATAATTTCAAAACAGTGACATAGTGCACATTGGCAGATCTATACAAGTACGTGTACATATGTACATGTACAATGTACATTAAGTGTACATATGTACTTGTATCAGTTTTATACATATGTACTTGTATCTGGTCTCAGTTTTATTACAAATTCTGTCACAGGAAGCTATTCAAACTCCATTTACGTTGATCACAGCAGTCCCATTCATTGCTAGTGATTCATCATCCACAGTTCATGGTTTGTTTAGCTGAATCCACACAGCGCTGTGTTTAGTTGACATGTTTCATTAGTCCCATTATATCCAGTCTTCTTTAGCACCATCTATCCATGTTATGTTTATTTTGTATTTTAACTGACAAAGTAAGTCACCCGTAAACTGTACATTGTAATAAACACATGTACATGTATCTAGTGCACTAGACATGTGTACGTGTATTTGTAATGAAGTTGTCCTTGACCTTGGTTCCTGTCATGCTCGATCCATGCAACAGAATATAGGCCTATGTGAATATATGAACATGTGAATGTACATGTACATGTGCGTAAATGTTTTGCTGCGAAGTAAAACCAAATACACTATGAATGGTTTATTCGACAGTGTACATGTATGTATGTAGAATAGCATTATCTTCCATGTTATGAAAATGATGACGTACACTACAATACAAATTATAGTATAAATGTTTGTAGCACTAATAAATGTTGATAGTTTCAACTGACAAATAAACATGAAGGCCAAATAAAAAAATGTACCGGTTTCTCATTCCCGCCTGCTTCCTTTTTCTCTGCCTCATCAAGTTTTTTTATTTCCGTTTTTTTTTTTTTTTTCAATACAAAAAACATGTATTTTGTTTTGTGATATTTGTCTCCAATATGAATGAGTTGCAATTTTGAGGTTTAAAAGCTGGTATTAGAAAAGTGATGGCAATTTTGTGAAAAGTAGCATTCGCCATCTTGGAAAGAAATCCACGAAAGTGATGGATGTTTTGAAAAAAGACCGTCTGCCATCTTGGATCTGTCATTGAAAAACAAAAAAGTGCTCTCATCCTCCTTTTTTACAAAAGTTTGGATGAGAAACTAGGAAAAATTTATTTTGCCTTATCATGTACATGTACAATGTACATATTTTTTACATCGTGTATACTAACATGTACATGTACATGACTATATGTATGTACTTGCCATAATGGTATACATATTTTACCAAGTCAAATGTCTTTTGCATGAGTATTCCAATGATTATTCCCGTTGGCATGGTATTCTATTTTATTTCACCCTTTGGATGAGTCATCAGTTATTTCATCAGTATGTCTGCGGTCATAAGCCTGTTAGTTGTGTGGACCGTTCCTTGACTTGAAGACCTTCTTAAAGACTGCCTAAGGTCCTGAGGAGATGTAGTGAGGACTTCTCTGCATGTTTATCATTATCTTCAATTCACTGGTTTTGTGTTATAGCATTGAGGCTAATGAGTGTGAAATTATCATTGTAGAAAAATTAAGCTGCCTCGAGGGTACGTGGTATTACACTTCAATTTATGTCTGGACCAGATATTCATTTCCAGACATTCATTTACTGTCATATAAATCCCTCGTTTTAAAGTAATGTGGTAATTTACCTATGAACTGTGAAATGTCTGTTACGCTTTATTGGGTACGTTTTATTTCCCTAGGCTCGCATCACAAAATTTAGATTTTTTTGCTTTTTCGCAGATTGCCATGCAAAATGTGTTTTTGCTACACAAAATGAAAACAAATTGATGTTAGCTGTACAGTGTTTTTTTTTTATTACAGAAAATTGTTCAGTGTTACAGAAATTTGTCCTGACTGTGTTTGATTGGTTAATTTCTATTCTTACAGGTCAATGATGAATGTCAACCCCTTCTCGCCACTTTGTAACGGCTCTAGCTCTGCCCACGTTTTAAACCAAGACAACGCAGGGGGTCTCTTACAGCCAATCACGTTGCCCCAGCCACTTCAACCTCAACCCCAGAGGCCTGCCTTGGCTCCCCTGTCTATACTCAAGACGACCAACAGAGATAATATCCTTATTTCACCTCCAGCTAACAGATATCTCAAGGTGAGTCTGCTAAGTCAGGACAATTCACTTGTTTTATTTTGACTTAAATTGCTTGGAATTTATTTTGAAATAATTAGGGCTACTGATTATCCACTTCAGAGGAAAACAGAATGAAATTAAAGGAATGCACTTTTTGAAGTGAATTCAGTTTTCTGAAAAACCCTATTAAAAAAAAAATTGGAAATTTAATAGTACACTGTACAATGTGTATTACACATTTTCCTCTTCAAAATTTTGGCAGTTTTTTTTTTCATTTACATTTTTTCCTATTAATTTTAATTTGCACATATATCAGTATTCTACCGGTTTTCCCAACCGTAAATCAATTTTCATTTCTATCTTTGGTCATAAAGTAAAAAAAAAACACAAGATGTCACATTGGTACATTTACATGACATCCGGGCTATCATTTATAATGTTTCTATTTATACACATCATCAATGTGTAATATGCACAAATTACCAATCACATGTACATGTACCGGTGTTTACAATGTTGATGTTGTGAGTTGTCAAAGTGTGTCATGGCCTAATGCAATTAGACTGAGCTACCATTCCCCAGCCTGACATACCAAGCATAGCATACGGGCCGTCAGTACTACTTCACATGTGCAGTGCGTAGCGATGCCAATAATGTACAGTACTGGAGAGCCATCCCGTCTGTCAGTCATGATAGTTGACCTCCAGATGGTGGATTCTGTCTCATGATGGAGGCCATTGTACATGTATGATTCATTTGGTCATGTAAGTTCAGTAGTTTGTCTGTGTATCAATTGTGTGTGTTCATGAAATTGTAATATTTTTATTCCTCCATGATTGCACTATAAATTTGGTGGAATTTGAAAATGGCATTTACATTAGTGCACATAGACAACATTCACTGTGTTTTCTGGTATGTATAGATATAGACATTGTACAGGTACGTGTTTGTGTGCATTGTCATTGAATTGTAATTATGTATAGCCCACATACGGGGACATACATGTACCATTATCAATCATTCATTATTGAAATCGTCAGTCACTGTTCCTGCCTATTATATGGTATGTACATGTACCCCCTCTAGTGCTTGAATCAACACAATGTCGTCGTGAAATACAGGAGTTAATGGGTACAATAACGCTGTACATGTAGACCAGACAAAGTTAAGTTTTCAGTGAAACATCATTTTTGAGGGAAAAAAGCCAATATTAGGCCCCCCCCCCCCCCAAAAAAAAGTCGGTCTCTGGTCAGCGTCAATCTTTTTTTTTTCCAAAATGTTTCACGGTAGCTCCAACAGCGCCCTCTATTGCCGCACCCCCTCAATTGTTTTTACCAAAGAGCACCAAGGAATGGGAAATTGCACCAAGGCAAATGATCGAGAGCACTAAGGCAAATTATGGAGGACACCAATGTACATGAGGACACCAAATAGCAAAATAGTACCCCACCTTGTCTGTACAATCCAAGCTTGAAGAAAGAAAAAAAAAAGCAAAAAAAAAAAAAAGCCGCGTCCCCGCGTCAATTCCGGAACTTTGGTCTGACCAGAGACCGAATATTTTTTTGGGGGGGGGGGGGGCCTTACATGTATCCAATTGATTCTGATACAGTAATTTGTTTAAATGTAAATTATTTTGCTACCTTCTTAGCTTGCCTTTCAGTTTGAATGACATGTGTTGCCAAGCATTTACTGGATAACTGACAAAGAATTTTGCGAAGAAATGTTGACGGTATCCTTGTTAAGTTGGGGGGGGGGGGGGCTCATCCATAATGCTCGTCTGTTGATGTACAATTGCAGGATATCCCTTTGATTAGTCAATTGGTATACATGTAGCTGTGAGGAATGAATGCCTTATCCCTTCATCATTTCAACCCCCAGTGGGATACACCTGTTTCTGGTCATAATACAAGTTTCTAGCTTGTCAATGCGGGCATAGTGATAGCTTGAATCAGGATATGTGTCATACTACATGTAGACATCGTTATTAAAGGGACACGTTGCAGGGCTGAGTACATGTACGCATGTGCCTGTCGGTTCAAGTTCTTTCTTTGAAATGTTCCTTCAGGCTGAAGTTTTGTGTGACACATGAAACAGTTCCTTTAGTTTTATGCAAAGTTAAACATTAAAAATATTACTGTACATGTATACTGTCCAGTATTTTTGTTTTTGTTTTACTTGCTACACGTATAGTACAAACACAAACATGTACTGGTACAGTTTTATTCTGTACGAGAACACTTAAGAGATTACCTCACCAAGTGTTTGTAAAATTGTAAGGCACATGTACATGTGTCACAGTGTTTGTGTTCGGATCAGGAGCTGGCCTGTTCAATATACCAGTATATCAATTTTGCTACAGCAACTGAACCTGCAATATTTTCAGAGGCAGTTCTTGCCCCTTTTAATTTTGACCTTCACAATGGACTTGCCTTCTTCCTTCCTACTGTCTTATTACTGTGGAGAGTTAGCCCTAATCCTGCAGTAGTTGTGCTGATAAGACAAGTTGCTCTGGTCAGACATACATGTACATGTATAGGACTGTGTGTGCCTACCGTCTGTAACCTTTTCTTTTTGATTTTTTTTTCACACTGATTTTAACCCACCAACCGCAATGGTCATGTCAGTCATGGGTGATGTGAACTCTCATGAGGAGGGACGGCAGTCCACAGAGGAAGACATCCCTCACTCACCGCAGCGCGGACCAAAGGGGCGATATACCGACGTCCAAAGGCTCAACTACACCACTGTTGAGAGTATCAACTTCAACAGGGACCATAAGCATAAGCAGGCCCAACGATCACTCTCACTACCGGCTATCTCAGTTGGGGACCATGGTTTAGGTCAAGCGTCGGCCAATCAGTCTTCAGGAACTAGTGTGGATCAGAGCGGTCAACTTATTAGAGATGTGTCTCAGACCAGACCTCGTTTCATGAGTGTCCAAGAAGCGTTAAAGGAAGACGAGTGGAGCTGTAACATCAACACACCGTCGGTTTGTGGCGAGGCTGATGGTAAACCACATGAGTACACAACCTTTGGTGTTGTAGATGCTTTCCCTGAACAGGTACTTTCCAGAGAGAACCAGTTTGAACCCGCTCTGGCCGGTCCGTATCACCAGATCGAAGCTAACCAGTATGAATTGGCATCGGAAACTCCTTACAGTGCAGCATCACAGTTTAAAGAAGAGGACAGTGTTTTTCCAAATGCTGCCATTGATGAAGATGGAGGTTTTCCCATTGGAGGTTTGAAGGAGCAAGATGTCTTGGAAGTGTTGCAGGCTCTTGGAGCTGACACCGATGAGGATCCGTTTGACAGTCCTCTCTCCTCATTACCCAACGAGTCTGAGATGTTCAAGGCAGAGCAATCATTGACCACAGAAGCCGAGCTACGTGATCTTCACGTCAACGACAACGAGCTGCGATTCTTAGAGAAGGCACTGGATGTTGAGGGCAGTCACATGCAGGAAGTAGCCAATCACTGCGAGGCTTTGCCAGCATCCATGCTGCTACCGTCAGAGCCACGAAGCTGGGAGCCACACGACGTGTTCCGTGACAGAACCATGCTGCCTGGCTCTGGCCAAGATAGTGAGATGCAGCCTGAGGTAGCTTACAAACCTCTGCATGGGTTTGGCAAACTTGGCGTGACTACCATAAGGATTGCCATCACAGTGTACATAGCTTGCTCAAGCCTAACAACAAACACGAGCGTAAAACTACACCATGGATATGTACATGTCACATGTACTGAATGCCTAATACGTACACTTGTCAGTCTTAGTTTTAAGATTTTGATTAACAGTGCCTGTACAGTGCATGATGTGTTGAATGCATGGAGAATTTTGTTATTGTTGAAATATTCGGACAAATTCCTGAGTTCACATGAATTGAAGATGCTTTTTATTGTTTTAATTTTCTAAAGATTAAAACTATAGGGTCATTCCGTGTCAAATCACCCATCCTGTCGGCTGATGATTATTCACATAATGTCAGCACATTTATTACATGTAGTTCATGCTAACATTCCAATACATCTTTCTGTAGTAAAAGATTACTCAAGAACTACATAATGTGTAAAGTTTGATTAATTAATTTATTTTAATTAGAGTGCTTGTGTATGCATTTATTTAAGTCTACATTGACATTTCATTTTTTTTGTGATGTATTTATGAAAATAATGTAAAGACATAGTTAATTGCAGTTGACTAATACAAGCATGCCTCTCAGTAAAATTGTTTAATAGAAACTTTGGTGAGAGATGCAAGTAATTTTTGAAAACCAATTTTGACACATGAAATGAAAATGTAGTGCTGTTTGTTATAGCCAAATGTTCATTTTGCAGAATGTGTTATTGCGGTTTCCTATTGTCCATAATATGTGCTTCTTGAGGTGAATGAATTGTTAACTTTTGAGTCGTAATTTTATTTGGTCAGGTGACCTTCGAGACCCCGGCTCGTGCCCCGGTCACCCCATCGCACCCAGCAGCCAATCAGGAAGCTTGGGATATCCTACGACAGCTGGACGAGGAAGAACGTTGGACTGACCGTGTGCAGGTCGTCACTCGTCAGGACCACGAGGAGTACACACAGTTTGCTCGTGAATTCCTGGAGGAAATCATTGAGAATTTGCCATTCAGGTACTGTATTTAAAAGAGTGGAGGTTGACCTCAAGTCTCTTGGCATTTTGGGAGAAATCTTCATGAATTCTCAAAAAATTCAGCCTTCTGCGTTGTTTTTGCATTCGGCACATTTTCTTTGCTTTAAACTTACAGGGGCGTTAGCCCTTACTCTGCATTAGACAATACAGAGCATTAGTTAATAAAGTCTGTGGGACCTTGCTGCATTGAGCCATCAACACCAGTACTTACAACGTAAACAGCAAATTCTGAAACAATGAGACCTACATGTAGTCTCATTGAACAATTCCACTGATGTTTGTACTGCAGTTGGTGATCACAGACTCAGAGGCAGTTTGGCCTTCAGATTTTTGACCTGAAGGGTATTGCTACACTGAGCAGGCTTGTTAATTTGTCAAGTGCATGCTGCTGCATTTAGCGGGGTTTCTGGCAAAAGTAAGGGGGGGGTAATTATAGTCCCTTGAGAAATAATAGTGATTGACTTGTATAAACTGTCCAAAAATCTCTGGGAAGATTTCGAAGGAAACTTGGAGGTTTAGGGTTTAATGAGTTTGCCAGTTTTTATTTGGGTATTTGTTATTTTTTGTAGAGAGTCACCAGTGTCCCCAGCAGTGCTTGGAGAAGTCACCTCGTCCTCTGAAGAATCTGCTCCAGCTGGAGGAGATAAAGCAGTAGACTCTGGAAGTTTCTTGGAAATACAGAGGGAGGAAGAACAGAAAGAGAACCTGCCTCCACCTGCTCCAGAGCAGACCTCCAAAATGGAGGAAGGTAAAGACATTACGTTGATTGATTGCATTCAAGGCCTCATCTGAGGTACTTCACTACAGCAAGGAGTAGCATACATTTCTATGTGAAGTAGCCTTAGTCATTGTTATTGTTGCATGTGTATTTGCTAACACGGATCCAGAGATGAAACTTTTTTATTTTAACTTTTTCAAATTTATTCCCAAACTTCCGACATCTGTATTGCGAGCGCAATTTTAATCTGTTCTACCAGTTGTCAGTGCACAGATAGTATGGTAGACGCATATAAGTAAGCCCAGATTGGAGTCGTTTATGGCTGGCAAAAAGTTAAGATTTAAACATAATTTACCTATGACATGATTTGTTCAAGGCTGTTGCACGTAGAGTTCGACTTCCACGACTGAAACTAAAATCCACATATTGCCCGATTTTCGGAGGTTTTAGATATAGTTGTTCAAAGTGCAATGCTTTAAAAATTCACAATGATGATCTTGATGATGGTGAAGAGAGCATAAAATATTAATTTCATTGGCGGTTGTTGAAAGAAAAAGACGATATGCTGATCTTTTTCCCACGTACGTTAGTGGAGTTGTTTGGTTGAATAGTGCCCTTGGACTTTTTCCAATTTTTTTTTGGATCTAGAATAAAAGATGAGGTTGTGTCCAGAAATCGAAAATGATGTTTATAATAGCGCCATCATTTTTTTAAAATTTCTCTTTTTGTTTTTTAATCTGCCAGCTATCCCTAAGACAGGGAAAAGCATCTACGAGATGAGCGAAGAAGACGTGAAGAATATGAATCCTTTCAAGACAGGGTCCGGTCTGCAGAACTCGCCCCCGCTGCCGGCTAGCAAGAAGTCACCCGCACCAGAGTTTAATTACGATGGCATCAAGGACCCGTTTGGGTCGTCCAGTAAAATGCAAAACTCACCCAAAAGGTCGCCGCAGAACGCCGTCCACAACACAAGGTATTTTACCAATAAATGCTGGATTCAGCTTTTTGTGTGATTTCTGGATTTTTGAGAAGTCTCTTTGAAATCTATAAAGGCCAGTTTTATATACTATAAAGGTTTATATACAACAAAAGTCAGGTATTTTTAAGGGGTACCTTTAGGTAAATACTCGGCCTCCCTCAAACCATCCTCCGATTATTTAGTGGATTTAAAAAAAAATTCTCCCCAATTTCACCCCTGCGCCGTGTCTAAGTGCTCTAGTGATCTAATAAAACTCTTTGACTTTACCTCAATAAACTATTGAGATGAGCAAACTGTTGAAGACAATAAAGACATCGTAACGGATCTTGACGGAATGGCTTGGCAGCAGTGCAATGCAATATCGTTTTTCTTTTGCTTTGATTTTATTTTCTCTTCGCTTTGTTTTCCCATGCACCTGTTTTCTGTTATATATTTTTCCCCCGCTTTGCCCTGCTTTCCAGTGATGAGATAAACTTTGACGACGTTCAGGATCCTTTTGCACCTAAGAATCAAATGCACAACTCTCCTCTTGCGTCGCCCAAGCATACGACCAATGATAAGAGGTTTGTCTGTGGTTCAGATTGCTCTCTCTTCATTTGATTCATCTGACTCCCTGGTTTGTGGTTTTTGTTGGGGGGGGGGGGGGTTCTTGGAACTGTCTGGAATACTCTTAATTAGTCATTGTGCTTGGACACAATGGCACAGTTTAAAAAAAAAATCTCACATGTTTGCCTTTTTTCCTGGCTGTTTTTTTTTTCTTCACAAAACTACACCACAAATTTGCATGTCCTTTTTTATTTTCCTATAGCACTTATCTTACATTTGTTTTGGTGGAAATAATTTCTGTCTTCATTTACTTTTGTTTCTGTATGTATATAATTTCATGCTATTTTTCATTGATGCATGAATTTGTGGGTGATTTCTTTTTGGAGTTTTTTTTGTTGGCATGATTTTGTTTTGTTGATTTCAGTTCTGATTTGCTCTTCGATGATGACATAGACCCCTTCAAGTCCAAGAACCAAGTTCCAAATTCACCTCAAATTTCTCCCCAAAATGCTGCAAACAACAACAGGTTTGTATCCTGATAATGGTAGTCAAATACCACACTCATTTATTGTCTTGGTTTATTAGTTGTTTCACGCACTCTTAGATAAATTTTTGTTGTTTTTATTTGTGATTTATTGATTTTGCTGCTTCGCACATCTGTGCTCTTTTATTTTGCTACTTTTTGTTTGTTACTTTGCTCTGCATTTTCAGCTCGGATATCAATTTCGATGAGATCACAGACCCGTTTGCTACCACAAGACAAATTCCAAATTCCCCTAAGACGTTGCCCAGGAACATGGTGGATGATGTGTCGAAGTAGGTTCAACTCTAACGTCTTTTAGACCAATTAAGGGAAATAGTTTAATACTGGATATGCATGAAATAAATGGGAGACCTGCTGGCGATTTTATAAAACTTTACACAATAGCGTAAGTCCAATGCTGATCACATATCACACATACATATGAGGACAAGTAATGCTTCAACAATGCCAACAAACATCTAATTGACCTACTTTTCCAGAACGCTACATGAGATGCAAGGCCCAAGTTGTTCGCGACTGAATATTTAAGTTAAGTTGACCCAACGTCATAGGTCAGTTTGCCATCAATGCGCGCATGCTGTTTTCAGACACTAAATTTGCCATGGGAAATTTTGAGACTGTGGCCAGACTACCGCATCCAGCCTCCTGTAATAGTGAATGCAGTGTACCAGCAGCCACCCTACACCAAAGTGTGACGTCAGCTGTCATTGCTCTGGTTCACTCTGCTGGTGAGCACTTAAGCTGTGCTCGTGGAACAGAATGCGTGGCGCACTTCAGCACTCTATGGGCGTTTCGCTGATCAAAAGTTGGCCCAGTGCTGCTGTCATTTTGGGCACATGAAAATAACAGCTACACTTTTTATTTTATTCCACAGTTCAGAGGTCAACTACGGTGAAATTCAAGACCCATTTTCCTCCAAGAAAACACTGCCGAATTCCCCTGATGCCTCGCCTAAGAATGCCACCAGGAAAGCAAGGTCAGTGCGGGCACCGTTCCAAGATGACGTAATGTATGTAAACAGTCAATAACACGGTGTGGACCAAGTAAAATTTCTCATCAGGGTTTTAGAAATGCAAAAGAAAATGTAGCCAATTTTTACCAACAATTTGGATTCCTTGTGATGCTGGCCATTTACACCATCAAATTCACTTTGCTTTTTAAAAATTTAACTTGAAACGTGAATTGAGCTTAAAGGCATATAGGATTATTTGCTTTTGCGTGCATTTTGTGTGTTTCCAATAATAAAACCACTCAAAATATGTTCAAAACCTGCGTGTATATTACAATGAAGACAGTGAAAAACCAAGCACAACCGTTTGATCACAAAACACGATTTTGTCAATAGAACTATATATTTCAAACGAAAAGACCTACATTTCTTGATTTCTTCTTAACTACCAGCGACCTAGAGAGAATAATTTCACGGGGTGTTGAGTACCAGTAAGATCTTTAATCCAAGTAACTTTTTTGATAATAACATTCACTAGGTTACTTTTGGGATAAATGCAAATGATTCTATTCCCGTTTGTAGATCAACACCGAAGAGCCGCACCCCGAACAAATCATCTAAGAAGTCTCCGTCGCCAAAATCTAGTCCGTCTAACTCCTCAGTCAGCAAGAGTAACGATTCCCTGACTGCTGAAGGCGACAGCGGTGATGGCCTGACAGCTCAGAAACCCACGCTTGAAGTCACGCCATTACCCAGAGAAGACGACATGGGGGTTTACCCTGAGACGAGCAAGACGGACAAGAACTATGAACAGTTTATGGCATCCGAGGAGTTTGTACTAGCCCCTGAAGAAGGTAGATGCAGTTTGTCTGCTAACGTGTCTGTCGGGGTTGTAGTAAAGAGGGGGAAGGGGTGGTTGTATTTAAGCCAATTGGCTGACGTTCTCAACCTAAAAACCAAGCTCAATTCCAGCACGACTTTTGGAAGGTCAGATCTGAAGCTGAAAAATCTGTGAGAAGTTGTGGTTCTGCAGATTAATGTGGCAGTTCATTTGCTGACTGAGGCTTAAAATGCCGACAGAATAAGATCTCTGATTTATCATAAATATTATAATCAATTAATTATGTCCGTGTTTTTGATACATGTATCAAGTGAACTTTTTCACCTGTAAGTAATAAAATGATTTTTTAAAATTGTTTTTGACAGTTGAGAAATCATCAGGAGTCAATCAGGGTGACCAGCTGGGAGATGAGGACTTCAGACCAGCCGAAGAAGGTAAATCACATGACTACATCACATGACCATGTCAAATAATGATGTCACATTGCCACATCTTGGACCTCTAAACATGTCATAACATTGTAGCGTAGCTCTTTGCATACAGTGACTCAATATACTAGCTCTAAATAGCACCCTCTGTAGTCAGCGAGCTGAGATTTTAAATGGAATGTCAGAGCTTGCTTCAGTTCTGTTTATTAAAGGCAATGGATTCTGCACTCAATGGGATGATAACCACTGCGTCGTTTCACGTGTACACCGTAGCTAGAGCTGCATACATACCGGTAGTGTACTCAGTTTCAACTGATGTGCACTTCTTAGCCTAAAGATCAGTCACATTAATCCGGCAAACATTTTTGAAGATTATATTTATTAGAAACACAACATCGAAAATTAAATAAGGGGAGTTTCAGGCTTAAAAAAGCTCTGCTATTAACACCATCCTTGCTGTAAGTTTGTGCCCTTGGCTGGGAGCTACAAGTTGTAATATGCTCTTGCAATGTAAAAATGTGCAATCTAAACTTGGCCGCCTTGGCGAGATTAATCATGCTTGCTAAATCCTTACAAGTCTTTCAGGTTTAAAAACATCTTTTCGGCTTTATGGGTTATTACCATTTGACGCCATCAAATACCATCATCAAAGTGGGAAAGGAATTTCAGAGAAATGCTTCAAACGAACAAGTCACGTATTATAATTGTTCTGTCGTTCACACCACGCCCCTTTCCACACCCCTAACCCATCGCCCATCAGGCCTTTCTGTACGAGGCCTACAAAGGGATATTAGCTTTGAGGAGATGGAATTCCGCTTAGCGGAGGAAGGTAGGATCAAGCAATCCACAATCCCTTCCTCTTACATCATCATCATCGTCATTTAAGATAGAAAATAAGCCAAAGAAACTTCTGTCTCATCAAGTTGATTGAGAAAAATTCACTTGTGTATTAAATTCAAGGAATAATGGTTAATATTTGGCCATGTTTATTTTGGAGGGGTTTTTTTTTTTTGGGGGGGGGGATTTGGTTTTAGTGTTTTGCCATTTGTACACTAAGGTATATAGGTCTGTAGCAGTAGGAGTTATGGCTTGCTGAACAACTTGCAGTAACACACATATCTATGGGAAGTTGGATTTAGTCGCTTCCCTAAAACGCATAGCCACAGCCAAGTAATCCGGATGCATCGTAATGGCTGTTTGTATATGACCCTCATGTAACTCAACTGTGATATGGACTTGCCGCACATCCTTGTTTCATCAAAGCTTGTGACAACGGCCGTTTTCTTACTCCTATCAAAGCAGAAGTTTCAATGGTTGTTTTTCCAGTCGTTCCTACCAGTCCTCCAATCCTGTGGCTTGTTTGTTAACACTTATTGATTTCCATATTCCCCCATTCGTCACCATAATTTGCATCACAGTGACCTGGCATGCCTTCACTCCCAATAACAAAATAATAACATTCATTTTTATTTCTGTGAAACAAATGATTTGTGGATTGTATGGGTTTAAACAATTTTTACATTTTTAAAGTTGCTTGCAGTGCTGTGTCGTGGCATCTGTTCTTGCATGATGTGATTATATATCTGCCAGAAGGTTGCTTATAGTGTAATGCCACTTTTAGCAGTGTCAGTGATAGTAGATTTGTAGTGATCATTTTGATTATTGACCGTAACTTCTAGTGTGTCATGTTCTTGTTGTTTCTCTTGCTTTCCTGCTAGCTGCTTCCAAATACCCTAATTCCTGGAATGTCACTGACACCGGTCTGCTCATGGGAAAAATTGCAAGAGTAATTTCCCCTTTCAGATTTGGTTCTTTGCTAGGCCAAGGACTTATTAAACTATGGGCTGAAGCATAATAGCGTGATGGTGAAATCTTAGAATTGAGAGGATTCTTTCAAAGAGATTGTTGGGGAAGATTGAAGTTTTCTTGAGTTTTCTGTGGTACTAATACTATAGCCCTATCCCATTTAAAATGGGAATAATACCGGTAGTGTGGTAGAATATTGCTCAACATCTCTCAGTGGTTCTGAAGCACCCGGTTGTAGTGCAGTGCCAAGCGACTGGTTTTTAAACCTACCTAACTGGTGTTGAAATGGCATTTTAAGACCAGCCATGTGACGGGCACTCAACCAATAGGAATGGATAAACTGTCTCAGGTATTTATGAATACTTGATACATTTTAAATACTTCATATTTGAAGCATCCATTGTTTATCCATTGGACTCCATGCTCCAATTGTGTATTCACATCTTGGGAAATCATTTGGTTTGTCTTCAGTTTAAGGGTACCTAATTATGCTCTCATCTTAGCAATGGGATGAAAATTGTTATCAATGTACCACGTTCTATGAGCATCATTGGGGTAAATTTGTGCTCTTATGTCGGCCTCGTATGGGCTCAGTGCACAAGTACCCCCTCAATATTTAAAGAAAGGGAAGAGTTGGGGGAGACCACAAGGAGAGACCTTCGAACACATTGCAGATGACACCTAATGCTCTCACGAAGACACTTTGGCTTTGTTCACATTCAGAATAAATTAGTCGTAAAAAGTGCCCTCTTGTTTGCAAACAGTGTTATACATTCTTAGCATGGAGTCAGGTCCAATCAGCGTGTTCCATTCAATACTATTGTCTGTGTGTGCTAGTTGGTAGTGTCCCCCGTATGATTTTGGCCCAGCTTCCATATTTCTCGTACAGCTTTGCTTCAGTTTGCTTTGCTCTTTCTTCCTTTGCGTCTCCTCTTCGTTTCTAAGCTGTCGCTCGTGGTCACAGCCAGCTCCTTGCATTCACCAGACTTCATGGCCTTTCCTTCTCAGAAGGTAGGGGGCTACCTCCCCCCTCCCCTCTGAATTGCTGCCCCGCCCCCATTTAGGACCTTTCCTCTTTCCATGTCAAGCCAAGAAGCCCTGGATCCATTTTGCTTTCACAAACCCCCGTATTGCACTATTCACTCTTATTTATCTGTTTTCTTTTGCTGCAAAATTGGAAAATTCTATTTTTCATCAGTGAATGTTTGAATACATGATGTATTACAGTCTTGAAATTTCCGATGTTTAAAAAAAAAAATCCCATTGATTTTCACTTCAAGTTTTACAGTATTTCAAGGCTTGCTGTATTTTCATACAGTTTCGCAATTAAGATATTTAACGCTGTTTCATTTGCAGGTAGATTTATTACCTAGATTTGAAGATTTCTTCATCTTCAACAATGTCTTCAACAAGCCCTCAATTAGCACTGTATACAGTGCATATGACAATTACATAAGCGAAGGGGAAACTACAACATTAAACAATATGTTCATCCTATCTGCACACTTGCTGGGACCTTTACAAATATTACTGATTGCTATCAATCTGAATCTCTTTCATCTCACAGTGTTTGCCAGTGCAGATCCCGCTGCATTCGACGTCGACTTCCTGGAAAAGGCTGGCGGCTCGAGTACGGTAAGTCTTCACGGGAGAAGAAGACAGATGAAAAAAATTCTTAAGCAAACACAAACAAGATCGTACAATTTTGAGAAAGTTTGTGTATTGGGGCAGTATTTGTTAGTAAATTTGGATCCTTTTATTGATGGCACAGCTTTAACAAATGAGAAAGTGTTTATAACAACTATAAAGAAGATGGTATTATGTGGGGGGGTTTTCTGTTTTTGATACATTTGTGAGCAGATTTTGATCCACAAATTCATGGTACAACTGAAGAAATTTAACTAGGGTCAACAAGAATAAAGAAATCTTGAAATTCAGGAATGTTTGGGTATCTCTGCCAATATTCGGAATCAGTTCTTGGAGATGTTTGAAGTACAATTTGTGTTTATTCTCCAGTTTCAGGAGTCGGCACTCGCAAGGCAGTCACTCTATGTGAAGTTTGACCCGTTAGTCAATGCACCTGCTGGTAAGTGACCTTTGACCTTGATAATCTTGATTTTATAATGTGCTGTGTTATGCAACAGTTTTTACTAATAGAGGGTGAAGTTAATGCCAAATATCAGAATTTTTTTGGGGGGGGGTGAATGTGTCTAAAATCAACGTCTGTTTTGAAGCTTGATACATGATTCCTTTGTTTCTGTAATTGATGATTTGCATATTCTTTTCCACTTTACATCAATAGGTGGTGGTGGTCCTAAGAGTTTACTACCAACTGTCTCAGAACCCATGATACAGGAGGATGACGAGGACCTCCTACAAATGCAAACTCCGCCCATTATAGGGAGCACCAGACAAGCATCCAAGATGCGAGAGAAAGCTATGATGCAGGGTGCTGGCAAGGCTAACGCTGAGGGGCGGGGCAATGTAACGGAGGGGGTGGATAGCCTACTTGCATTCAGCCCTCCTAGAAATCAGGAATCTCAGGTAATGAACTATCAAAACAAAAAATTTTGAAATTCTGCAATTGAACATTTTTGAAGTTGCGACTGGTCTCAAATCCATCGGACTTTGTCAGGTAACTTGTGATGGGCTGGTCATGTGGTAGATGGGCTGGTCATGTGGTAGATGGGCTGGTCATGTGATAGATGGGCTGGTCATGTGATAGATGGGCTGATCATGTGGTAGATGGGCTGGTCATGTGATAGATGGGCTGGTCATGTGATAGATGGGCTGGTCATGTGATAGATGGGCTGGTCATGTGATAGATGGGCTGGTCATGTGGTAGATGGGCTGGTCATGTGATAGATGGGCTGGTCATGTGATAGATGGGCTGGTCATGTGATATATGACTAGGAATATCTACTCAGTGGCTGTCAATAGTTTTTTTTACAGTTGAAAGGTTTGATGACGAGGTTAGGGATAGGTTTTGTGGTGATGCTATGCGACATTAAATCTCCGTGTCGAGATGTACAGTTCCGAGAAGAACTTGTGTGACACCAACATTAGGAAAAATTGCATTCGGAAAATGTTATTATACTTAAGGATAAGCACTAATAGATTTAGTACGACGTTTCAGGCAGAATGCTATGAGCATCATCAGCATGTTCCATGCAGAGTGTTTGATATGAGAAAACAGACGGTAAATCAATGCCTTAACTTTGAATCTGGGTACAAATCCTACAGGGAAAGTGAAAGGCACAGGTGGCTCAAGGTTACTATTTTCAGTAACTGGATGTTCTTACTTTGTTCCCTTTCCGTTACCAGGGTACTGATGACGTGGATGGTGATGAACCCAAGCCATCTCCTTCATTAGGTCTTGAAGCAGAGGATGAAGGAATAGTTCAGGTATGGATAGCTTTTGTCAGCAAATCTCAGAGGTTAAAAGAAGCAAAGTGTGCTTTCCACTCAACCGTTAAGACACTTCCAGAGAGAAACAAGTCTGTGTTTACTCCTGGAAATAGTGTAATTGACAAAAGTGTTGAAAATAATTGTTCATTATTTTGTGTGTTTATGTGGATTATTTTTCTCTCAGCTTTTACGGTACTCACAAGCGGACTTGGATGCTGCAATCAAGGAAGCTATCAAAACCGTACAGAAACAGGCAAGTCACTAGTGTCATCATTTGGGATATTTAAAGAGTTGTTTTTCAAGTTTGTCCCAAGTCAGTTCACAGGGGGGATGATTTGTCTTGGTCACAGGTCATTTGGATAACTTGTGACTGACTTGTGGCGACTTGACCATTGGATATGCACACCTAGAATAGGAATAGTGTAAACAAAATATTTACTACTAAATGCTTTGTAAACTAAACAACAGATGTAAGTCTTGTATTTTCCTGATTTCAGGTGTTTTTTTTTGAAATTGTAAATATCAATTTGCATTCATTTGTGTATACACATTTCCTTTACATCTCAAATGTCAGGCAAAAATGTTGAAGTCTAATTAAATCCCTGAAAAAAATGAAAAATTAGTAAACAAAAATGCTTAATCCATTAATTACAGTTTATTTAAATTCACATCATTGTTGCCTTTGGGTTTTTTTTGGAGGCTTTTGCAGGAGGAGTGTTGTTAAACATGCTTAGGGACTTAGGGTTGGTATTCAAAAAGCTGTGAACTTTGGATTTAAAATTAAGCAACTTCTTTTGTTGTTACTTGGTGATTGCAGAACAACAAGGAAATCAGCCAGTACAAGAAGAAACTTGAAGAAAAAGAGCAAACGATTGCAGCGCATAATGCTAAGCAACAGGAAACTGATAAAACCACTGAAAACCTCAGGTACGTCACGTCACAATTATCTTTAGACAGTTGTTTCATTTTTTTCATTGAAAACCCATTCAGCTTTTCTTCACATAAGGTTATCTTCTCAGTTTCAACTTAAATGCTTATGTTGAAAACACCTTTGTGGTTTTCTACTATTTAAAAATAGCAAGTAAATGATTAATTTGGAATGAAAACGGCCTTCCGCTGTTGTCCACATTTGATAACTCTCAATATTATTTACCATTCAGTTTTTCAATCAGTTGATTGAAAACTTCATTCCTTTCAGGTTGCTTTTGTGTTTAGCTTGTTTTTTTTTTTAGTGTGGTCTTGGGAATCTTGACGGATATAAAAATATTTATTTTGTGTGTGTGTTCCTCCTTAGTGCCCTGGTGACACAATATGAGAAAGCAATGCAACAGATGATGGGTAGGTGACAAATCTATCAACAATTCACTTCAACAATTGTTCGGAGCTTTTATGTCTGATTTTCTTTAGTTTGAGGTAGGGACAATAGCCCTTCCCTAAATAATTTGTTTCAAAGTGTAGTCTACACAAAAATTTAGCAATAGATTTGCAAGACATGCATTAGTTGTCATGGAAATGTTATTACAATACATCAGAGGCCCTGGTGATCTGGACTTCACACTTCAAAATCTGACGGAGTTATAGCTATTTTCAGATCCAAATTTTCAACCTCATAAAGCTTTACAAACTCAGATATAAGTCAATAAAGTTATGAAATTAACCCACGTACACTTCTATAAAAGCAATCACAATGAAAAAATTTGGAGTTTACATTCATCACTTGTTCTTCAGTATTCTTGGCTGTTTTAAATACAATGAGAAGAAAAATAGGCTGTATCTCAAAGTGCGGCCGTGAGACTTCTGACTGGTATTGTGCTGCAGGGTCACGTATGTGGTGATTGTTACCATTGCAGGTGATATCAACAAAGCCAAAGACACTTCTCAAGAATCGGTAGCAAGTATCGTGAAAGAGAAAGAGCAAGCGTTGGAAGATCTGGCCTCGGTGGAGAATGCCTTCAGTGATCTGCATCGACGATACGAGAAACTCAAACAGACGGTGGAGAGCTATAAAAAGGTATAGGCTAGTCCACTATAATGCTGACTGAATGGTGCAGCAAGATTGTAGGCTGAAGCCACTCGGGCACCATCTTGGTGGCCCTACAACATATGCAAATCTATGGGAATAATCTTGATCTGTGCCATCTTGGTTACACTTAGTTGCGGCCATCCTTGGAGGCCTAGATGGCTTCACTTCATCATGCACATGTTTCTGCTCACCGCTTTTTCTTATAATTGCAGAATGAAGAAGTTCTGAAGAAGTGTGTGGCTGATTACCAGGCCAAACTCAAGAAACAAGAGCAGAGATACCAGACATTGAAAACACATGCAGAGGAGAAGATTGAAAAGTAAGTCAAGTTGGAATACATGTTTTTGTCTTTATATCATCATGAATGGTATAGTTGGCGCGGTGCGTAGAACGCTCACCTATCACCACTGTGGCCCGGGTTCGATTCCCAGCCCGACCACATTGTAGCTGCGTCCATCGCAAGTCGGCTTCTGCTGCCTGTAAGGAAGATGAGCCTTACTCACAGGGAGTAATAGGCTGGGCGGTTTGGGGCGGTTCAGTGACTAATGGTTTAAATACGTCATGATGTGATTGGGTAACGTTTTTTTGACTGTTAAGTGATTGTTTCTTGAGTGATTTGTTGAGGTGTATCATACGCAGAATGTATCTCTCTTGGCTGTCATGACTGAAATGAACTGATTTTCAACAGCATAATACATGGATTGCCACGGAAAGATTAATTGAAAAAAAAATAATTAATGCAAAGGAGAAGACGTCATTGATCGGGTGCTCAGAAAAGTCAACTTTTTACAAACTCATCACAAAATATGGTGAATGGGTTGGAAAATATTGGATGTCCCACTGAAATTTTACCCTTCACTTTTTCCGTTTCCGTTTGCAGGGCCAACAGTCAGATTGAGTTGGTCAAGAAGAGTTATGAAGGTGAGCTGGGTGCACTACAAGCCGCTGTCAAGAGGGAGACCATGAAGGTGGATAGCATGGAGCAGACTATCGAACAGAAGGTAAGGAGTTTGACAAAAAAACTCTAACCCTTCCAAGTCCTCCGAAATCTTCCGGGAGCTGTTAGGGGATTCTGCAGGATTTTGCAGGATTGAGGGAAGACAGAGAAACTATTTCTTAACATGAGGTTTGATGCCTTGCGAGTGTTGTAGTAGAATGAATGAGGATTTTGGAGGCCACAGAAAGGTTGCTAGAAAAGTTCTTAAGAGTTATTGTTGATATTATTTCCTTGGCATGCAGTTCAAAATGAAGCTGATTAATCAGACAAGTAAAGAGGGGAATGTAACACAGTCTTCATTTAATTCCTTAGCAATAATGTCAAAATTTCACATAAATGATTATTCGCTCAGTTTTTTTATGCACAAGTTTCTTGCAAACCCTGAAACAAAATTGTCACTTGATTTTTACATGGAGCATTTACGTTGACTTGTTTTATACCGAATATTGGTTATCTAACATAAACATCTTGTTTTTTCCTCTTTTTAACAGACGAAAGAGAACGCGGAGCTGACCAATATCTGTGATGAACTCATTGCCAAGATTGCTGATAATAAATAAAAGCCGTCGAAATTGACCATCAGATATAAACATTAACAGCTAGTGGGGCAGCGACGTGCACAGTTGACGTACAGTGACGTATCAGACTTGGAGCAAGTGTTGCTGGCAACTTTCTCCACTCACCTCTTGATGCAGGGGACAATGTACTGGCAAAATCTCATCACATTGATTAAGATTCCTCCACCAACCTTTTTCTAATTATGAGAATTGTCTACATCATTGTTAATTTCTACATCTCTCCTCATTTCATGCGGAACCTTTACTTTAAAATTTCACCAGGAAGGGTTTTGGACGGCACTAAAGTTTGTCAATGCCTGTCCAAACCTTATATCACCATAGATTGAAAGTATAGTCATACGGATGTTATCCAGCCATTTAACATATTTTCCTGCACAAATGTTGATAAGTCACATTTTTAATACATGTACCTTAACCCATTAGTACTTGTACTACATTGTATTACATTGTGTTTATTCACTGAAGAATCAATGAAACCATAGAGTGCTAGGAGGTTTCAGGCACTATGGGCGCTACAGTGACAAAAGGGTTGAGCACATTAAGATCCCTGAAGAAGTTCAGGATTTCTACATGTGACAGCTGAAAATTGATGACAGTCCTACTTTATCTTGTTCCAGTTCTCATTTGATTCACCCTTTTGAGTACCGTTGTCACATGAAAATCCGACTCCTATGAAAATCGGACCCCTTTTTCCCTTTTATTGGTTAATCCCTCGCACGTGACAGGTCACTCTCCCCAAACGATCCTAAAAATAGCATAGTATCGTACTCATGCGTGCGCACTACTACCAATGAGTCCACATTTCATGGAGTCGGATATTCACGCTACACCGTACTCAAAGTTAATTCTCAAAAACTTTAATGAAGAGTATTAAGACAAGTCACCCTTTGAACGGTGGGTGTCATTATTTATGTATCCCTATCTGTGTCACTGTAACTTTCTTTCAAATCTGTACTGATGCTTATTGTTGAAGGCAATCTTGTCATTTAGCACTTGTCCTATTTATTTTGAGAATAATTAAGCTGCATTATTGAGGAAACGGTTTACAAAGAAAGGAAGGTAGCACTTTGACGACATATTTGGCTTTCAAAAAATATTGCTCATATTAACTTTTGGTAATATAAGTTACAATTTGAACAGGTTTTGCTCAAGAAAAACGTACAATATGAAGGGTCAAGGAAGTTCGTGTGTACTATTAAGTGGTCTAAAAAGAAATTGTATATTTAAAGCATAAATAGTCTGACAAAAATGTAAATAATTGTATGATAATCTTTATTTGATATTTTCCACTGTTTGAGGATTTTGGGGGGAATATTGAGTCTTTATGCACGCAAGAAATTTAATGAAAATCAAGTTTCTTCCAGCTTTTTGTTTAGGAGAGGGGCGGGATAATTAATGGGGGTTTGATTATCAAGGTTTTTCAGTAGCCAGTTGTTAAAAGCTTGCCGATTATAAAATAGTTTATTTATTTGATTTGTGTGAAATTTTGCATTTGGGGCAAATGTTCCTAATTTATGACTGTAGAAAGGGTGCCGACAACGCAAAATGAATTTCTAATCTAGTTTGGACATGGAAATTATTTGGAAATTCTGCTATAGGATGGATGCTGGTTTTTAGTAGTTTTTTTTGCGGGGGGGGGGGGGGGGCTTGGTGTTGCTTTTCCCTGTAGTGTAACAGCAAGGGTAGATGAATGAATGTGCATGCATCTTTCTTAAAGATGTGCTGTTCATGCATTGCTCCTGGTTTCGTTTTGCACCTAAAATGCAAAACCGAGATGTCAGGTCCGAAATCATTCAATGTTTTTTTTTTTAGGTATTCTGTTACCAAACGTAAACACGGGGAGTCTTTTCTGTTCAATGCCTCATTGCGTTTCTACTATGAAAAAAAAATATACATATATAAAAATTGGAATAGAATCAAGGTGGAACTCAAAAACAGCATGGACAGTATATCTTTAAGTTCAAAGTTGAAAGGTCATGTAAATAGTACAGCGGGTTGTTTCTGATTATCACATTCTTTGTGTCAACAGTGATGATGTAAACAGTTGATTGAATCTGGAAAAAACTTCAATAAAACACTTATTGATATCTGGAGAAAATTCATGTGGACTCGGAAGTTTTTTTTGTGTGATTATGGCCATCATACGAAATGATAAAAGGCACGAAATATGTCATCGGCTTTGGATTAAATTTAAATAATGTATCGTGGGGTTTGTTCGCGCTGGATGTATCAACAGGAAAAAAGGATTTGGGAACAATTATGTCGGCATTTTGTGCTCTTAAATCAAGTAGGCCTACTTGTATTTTGTGGCCAAAATACTGTACGCATTTTTTAAAAAAAAACGCCCTCTCTTGACATTAATCAGACAACCATCCCACAATTCCTTGCGAAAAGTTAAGAAATTAAGTTTTCGAAGGCGATTTTTTTGTGGATGCAGCTTCTTTTTTCTGGATGTTAACTGAAGCCTTTTCTCCAAAAGGAGTAATGATGGTATGTTTTTATCATTGATTTATGAAGAGTATTTACGAAACGAAACTTCTTGTTCTAGAGTGATATTCGAAGGAGTGAAAGAGTCGAGTTTTGCTCAGGAAAACCATTGTCGCGTCACCGGTGTTGCTATGTTCGCTCCTCCGGTATAAAAATGAGCGCAAGCCATGGAAACGCCAGTTGTGTTCATGCTGTGCAGTCAGTGTGGACGCCTTTCCTGTTCGTGAGAATTTACTGCGATACGAATGCGACTTTTCCCGATAATTGCGATATTTCTTTGGGCTTCGGTCATCAAGACTGTAAGGTATGAATTGAAGTATTAACACTGTTTGTCCTTAAGTTTTCCAAGACCATTTTTAGGCCTTCCTTCCTCTGTGCTTTAAATTTGGTGCACAATTTTTGAAGAAAAATAACTTAACTGCCAGTGAGTGTTACAGTGAGTGTTACTGTTGCTAATACATAGTAGTTAAAATGAATAACTTATTTAGAAACCCTGCGAGCCTCAACACCTGCATTTCCTTGGAAACAATTTGGTTCATATTTTTTGTCATTCCTAAATTTACATAACTTGTGTAAACCAAATCTAGCTGATTTATATTTTAGGGATTTGACTTTTAGGGGCAATGTTAAATCTTAAATTGATTAATGATTACGCCATAAATATGTTATTAACTTTAGCACAAAGTTTGAGTGACTTTCAATTTACTTCATAAGTTCATTGGGCCTATCAAATGACACTAATATTTTTTATCTAATGTCAGACATTTTAATTGGCAGTCCTAGGCCTATTTTGTGAATATTTTCAGATGTTATAAAGTTATTGTTACAATCTTTAATCGACAGTTCCCATTTGAATTCTTTTCAAGAAGATTTGGCCTACATGTTGAGTAAATATCTCGCCCTCACATGCCTCATGTCATTTTGATTTAGTCCTTTGTCTGAAATTGTCAGCTCTTGCAAAAAATAAATCGAAACTATTTTCTCCTGCAGCTCCGAGACCCTTAGTACCATCTTGGGTCTCTCCCAGGGTAGTCCTTCCACCTCTACCCTGACGCCTGAAGACTGTCTGTCAACCGTCAACTTGCAAGACATTGTCTTCCTCTCTGCAGTCCCAATAGCCGCTGGCTTTGGACTGCTGCTGCTCTTGGCCTTCCTGCAAGATCTCAGACAGGCACGCAAGGTATAAAACATGAATCTGGAAATTGTTCAAATGATAACTTTCTTCTTTTGACATCCTCCCCCCCCCCCCTTTAAGATTTTTTTTCCGTGCAAAATTTATCTTTTTTGTTTGATTCTTGTTTGCAGAGCAATCGTTCCTGCCTACCATCTCCTTGCAACATCCGAGGGAACAGGGCCAGAAAGGAACGCATCTACGTCATAGACGTAGACTATGCTGGCCGTTCCCGTTGGTGTTCATTCCTACGTTGGTTTGCTATGCACAAATCACCTGGTGCAAACAAAAACCCACGTCTAGTGAGACTCCAGGGAACATTTGGCTTCAGCGACTGGTAAGTTGATTAAAATAAAATGAAATTGTAATAATTCAATCAAATTTAGATCTGTAATTCTTTTGGTCAAATAAGAACTCAAACAAAATGTTATTTTGGTTTGAATTTTTCCACAGGCTGTCTTTTGATCTGATTCTTGGAAAGAATTCAGAACAGAAGACTTTGACAACCCCTCGCTCCATCGGTAAGCTCGTAGCCGTGGAGACGAAGTACCCATCAGCGAGTGATGGATTCACCTCCAGGCTGCTACCATCTTCCAACATTGGAGCTTGCCTGCGAGGAATCATCAACAGGGCATGTGATATGTGAGTTTTTCATTTGCTTTTATCCCACATTGCTCAGGCTGGTTACAGAATGGTTTATAGATTATATGTAATTTCAGTTGTATCAGTCCAGAAATTGATTTTGAACTAATATAAGATCTTGATTCTCTTCATTCCAATGTTATTTTTAATTTAGTACAAATTTGTTGAAAGCAGATGACATAAAGAGTTTCGTTTTTAGAGACATTAAATCTGAAAAACTTAAGTGCTCCGAAAAAGACATTCAAATTCTGATCCGTGTTTTTTTCTTCTCATTTTCTATTTTTTTGTAGTGAGATCAAGAAAATCCATGCCATGGATACCAAGACCCAGGATCATTACACCTCTGGCTGTGGTTCAAGCAGCGGTGGTATATCATCATCAGACCAAGGAATCACTACTATCCTTCCACTGCTACAGTCTCCCGCTCAGCCCGTATCCAGGGTCCACTACATCGCTTTCTACTTCAAGAATGGCTCTCTGTGGACCTCTGCCTTCACACCTTGGCGCCAGGGCAACTTCACTGGATCCCGCCGTATCACCTGCTTGTTTACCTGCATCAGTTACACCATGGTTGCAGTGCAGGTGATGTCGGAGCCGGCTTTGGACCCATCTCTGGGAGAGTTTGTGGTGGGCAGTCCCATGGATTTTGACATCACCATGGGGATTGTAATCAAGGCAGCGGGGGTCAGTGCTGTACTGTTTCCATTCCTGATCATGATTGAAGCACTCTGCCGCAATGCCCCGACCATTCTGTCATCATGTGGTCAACCTGCCATGTCACCTCTGGAACGGAACGGAAACTTATTTTTGACGACGGCTAACGGTTCTCGACCAATGAAAGTTCAGTCTGCTGCTGGGGACTTCTACAGTGATGGTGATGATGAGAGCATCACAGATGAGTTCCCTCGGATGTCTATCAGTGTTCCAGATATACAGTGGCAGGGAACCAGACCAATGACGACCAAGATCATCAACAGGCCAACAATACATCATGTTGCAACAACATTGGAAATCAGTGTACCACTTCTGGCAACACCTCTGGCATTGGCGTCAAACCGGCTCTCTACATCACCAGTCACGTAGCAATCACTGTCTCTCATGATATCTGTGTAGACCACCTGTCCATCTGTGCTGACAACCAGCTGGAATGCCACCACAAGTTGACTTGCTACAAGTGTCCTGTTTGCCATCGGACCACAGGGAGCAGGTATTACAACCCAGGGGCCAGCTGTTCAGGAAACAACACACCAACCGGATACGACTTGTACAATCTTGGAGGATTGCCTCGTCCAGGGTATGCATACTCCAGCTCTAGTCTTAACTCAGTGGACAGTTCGAGCAATTCTCTGAGTAGCAACTCTACCATGGCCAATCTCTCCAAGTCATCAACCAGTGATTCCAGTAGCTACATCAACAACAGTGAATCATCTTCCATCAGTGATTCAACGTCCATCATCCCAGGCCAACCACTGGATGAGACCGCTTCTTACAACATCCAAAGAGCAATCAAAACCCAAACACCTGATGACAACAATCTTGACAATGTGGACAAACACCAGACTACTCCATCAATGTCAACTTCCAAGGAGCCGTCTCAACACAGACCTGACTCCATCGCAAGAGCTACTTCTACATCTGGTCTTCAGGATAAGAAACACAAGACATCTTGCAAATGGGAGGCTGGTGATCGATCACAACCAGTAAAGCATCTTGAAGATGAGAACAAGATGAAGCAGAAAGACAACGGTGCTCAAGAAAAATTCATCAAATATTATGATGCCCTCCTGGAGCCTGACATCAAAACAGCCAAAGTGTTGCGCACCAAGAATTACATCACCAGGTTCAGTGACATGGGGAAAGGCAGGTGGGTGTCCTTGCCAGAGCTGGATATTCATCCCTCTGAAGAAAAGTTCAACACCAGTGAGATGACCGACAAGTCTAACCTATCTGTCCCTGGAACCAAGTCAGAGCTCAAGATCACACAGACACCTAATCAACACGTTCCCGGGACAACCGTTTCTGACTACATCGTCAATTTGCCTGTGGAGATTGAAATGCCTAGCGTGACCATACAGAGGAGCAGAAGCAATAAGCCTTTCTTCTTCAGCTTCCGAAAGTGGCTGCCAGGATTCCGCTCCAAACCCAAGGTTGGTGATGATTACAAGTTGGAGTTGAAGGAGTATGATGCTGCCATGAAGACCTCAGATGAGAACATCTGTCTGCCTTGTAGTCACGATGTCGCTAGGGAAACCAGTACAATCCAGAATGAGGGAGAAGCCAAATGTGACACCATCTCAAGAGGTTCATCTCCAGGAATTGCCAACAAGACCTTGCCAAACATCCCCGACAAAGACAACATCAATGCAAAGATGATTGATGACAATCTCAAAAGATCCATCTTCAAGTCATCAAGTCGTCTGATCGAGTACCAGCCTGATGCCATCAGCGTTGCGTCCTCGAGCAGTTGGAGCAGCATCGCATCATCTCAAGATGGAGACAAGAAACAACTGACTCGCCTCGAATACACTAATGAGAACAACAACAATCAAGTGACCATCATCAAAATCCAGCCTTGTGATGAACCATCTATCAATGTGTCTGTCAGTAACAATTCTGATACAGTTGTTGACATGGATACCAGTCAGTCTTCATCCAGCTCAGTTACCGTGCCGACTGGATCTACTGAGAATAACAACATTGCCACCACTGATAGTGCTTTGGCCAGTATCAACCAGAATGAATCTCAAGTAAACCAGGGGCAGTCAGAAGCCATATCGACCACAAACAACAAGCACGGTGTGAGATGCTGCATGTCATTTCTGGCAGCATTCAGCCAAGTCCTTCTGATTGCATCCTGTGTGTTAGCCGTCCTGTGGTCAGTGTCATCCTTCCATGGCCTATGCTGGCATGCCTTCTGGGAATGGGTGGCAACTTCCATCATTGCCATTCTCATCCAGGCTGTCATCTTGGATACAATCAAGGCCATCGTTGTGACTGTGAGGAACAGGCGTGGCGATAAGATTGCTACCACAACCGTACCTCACACACTCATTTATTGAGCTAGCTTCTTGACCATCCATTACACATAGGCTGTAATGTCACAACTCGGGAAATATCTGGAAATGACTAGGAAAAAAAATGCAAAACAGGACTTTGAGGAACCTTCAAATACCAGTGTATTTACCATCAAAATCTCAAACTAAACTGTTTTGGTTTTATTATCAAGCTGATTTGGATGCAATCTCACCAAATCTTAAAAGTCATATATTCCACATTTTCAGCCCTTCTGTGATGGATGGTCAAATTGAGTCTTGTAGTCCTGTGACAGATTTGGGGAGAGGTAGGGAGGAGGTTTACAAAGGCATGGAACACACCTCTTTTTGGAACATTATAAACAATTTTTTTTATCAATTTGGAAAATCTGAGGATTTGTAACTGTGCCCTCCTTTTGACTGTGTTCCCTTCTCCCTTCTGTCACTTTATGAACTGCTATCTAATGGCCTCTGTGCACCAACAGTAAATGGCCCTTTTTACCACTTTCTGAAGCTCGAGAGGGGGGAACACCATGTGCGCGCATTTTGGTAGCTCTCGTTCTGCAAGAAGTATACGCGGCTAATTGTATTCTGAGTGTACATGAAGCCATAGCGTCTGCGCGTGAGTGTCAGGTGCATTTGGTCAACTGTTTGAATGTCACTTCCAGTGGTCTCCCCCAACTCTCCATTTGCAAATGTTGAGGGGGTACTTGTGCACGGAGCCCAGTGAGTGATTTTTTGTTTTGTTTTGGAATCTGAAGAAAAGCAAAATAGCCTTTTTGTAAAAGTGTAGGCTATTTAACATTCCAAAATACAATTTAAGAAAAAAATTTAAAAACAAAAAGCTCTTTTACCACACCCCAGCTAAAATGTTTTATACCGATTGAAAAATTTTGTCAATATGATTTGTCAGTATCAGACAAGGAAGATCATTTCTGGTATAGTGATTGCTACACACAAGAAATCTAAAAAAAAATAATAATGAATGAAAGTCACTCAAAAAATTCAAATGAAATCTTTCAAATGATTTTAATCTGACAGCTTTTACTTAATATCATAAAGCAATATTTTATTGGCAGCTTTATATCTTCATTTGATACATAGTGTTAATCAAGAAAATATTTTGGGAATACATTTGTAACCTTTTTCTTGTAAATCATGATCTTTAATTGACATTTGATTGAGTACGTAACACTCGTTACAAGCTGTGACTGAGATTTCTTCACTGAAAAAGATTAAATGTTTTTTTCTACATCAAATAATATTTGAATATTCATATCACCATTCTTATCATGACTGAAAAATTATATGAAACCAATCTTGGATAAAAATCTTACATCGATTGGAATTGCTGTACAGTATAAAAAAAAGTATTGAATACAATGTATGTGTATTTTTTAGGGAAAAAAATACCTTGGCCGGCAATCACTTGGAAAATTATCGTTAAAAAAACCTTTAAAATGTCAACTCATCAAATTCTCAAATAAAAAAACAACATCTTTTGGACCAAAAGGAATGTGTTAAAAAAGGGGGGCAAAGAATTGTATTTAGGAATGCAGCACTTTGGGGGGGGGACATTGACTTAAAATTACAGTAACATGTATTTCAAATGTAACTAGGAACATGCAGCTATGCAGGGATCAATAAAATAAAAGGAGAAAAAAAATATATTTTTGTCGCGATTTCTTATTGTTACACATTGTGTTTGTGTTAATCTGCTATTTCATTAAAAATAAAACCAAGTGTCAAATTCCTTACCAACTAAAAAATCTAAAAATTCACAGAAATAATGTATCGGATAACCACATGAATATGACATTGGGGCATGAAGCCTAGTACAATCAACAAGTCTGAACTAACTAAGAAAAATGGCAAAAAATAGACTTAGAGAAAAAGGGCCTAGAAATACATCATTGCAAAAAATTGGTTGTAAAGGGATTTTCTTATGATGTACATGTACTTTGAAAACATGTTTCATGTCCAAACTCGGCATGCCCCAGCATATAAACCGAAACTTGACCACTGTCTTATTTGAATGGATAAGCTATGTATTACGCTTTTTTTTATAGCAGCATGTGCAGATAATCTAAGTATCTTCAAACTAAGTACAACTTGGCAATTTGTTGGAACACCTTCAGTCTCCTGGAACCATTTTCTGATCTAAATTAGTACTTTTGTCTTCAACGTTTACAATAAATGTGAAGAACACGAACTATTGTACCCAAGTAAAATACTTGTATTCTGGATCTCTCAGGTCTATAAAGAAATTCTGAAATTTGTAACAACAGGAGCGTAACAATCTCAGGAATAAGATCGGTTTGCAAATGAGTTGCACTTTCAGGGATGTCCTTTTTTCTTCGTATGGCTCTTTTTCCGAGCTGTTTGTCCATTCTCATCGACAAATTTGGTTCGTTTTTTCTTTTTGATGGGTGTCTGGAAGTCGTCTGCACTATCCACCTGATTTCTCTTTTTGGGCTTTTTGGTTTTACTTGACGGAGATTCCTGCTCAAAGTTTCCATTCTCATTTTGAATCTTGAGTTGCACTCCATTTTCATCACTGGTGGAATTCAGCTTTCTTTTCTTCTTCTTCTTCTTTTCTGTCTGTTGAGCTGGATCACTTTCTTCAAGACGAACGTCTTCATTTTTACTTTTGTGTTTTTTCTTCTTGTCAAATAATTTCTCACCGGCATCAACGTTGTCATCGGTAGTGGCTTCTGTATGCTTTGATTTGTTCTTTTTCTTCTTTCTGCTGATGTGAACAGCCCCACCTTCACTCTTTTCAACCTTGGATTCGGTCATCAATACATCTGGATCATCGCCATTCTGATCTGGAGATTCATGTTCGTGTTTCTTCGTCTTCTTTTTCTTCTTTTCGCTCACCAAGAGCAATCCATCCTTGTGATACATGTACCCCGTTTCCTCCTTAGCTTTTTGTCTCTTCTGTTTCTTCTTCCCACTCAGAATAAGTAACCCATCTATGACACCTCCTGTTTCATCGCCCACTCCATCTATGACAGAGTCTCTTTTCTGTTTTCTTTTCTCTCCATCTCCATTTACATGAACCAAGCCCGTTTTTCTTGTCTTCTGCCCCGGATCCATTTTTAGTCCTGCGTCTCTTTCAGCTGCATCACTGCTGACTCCCTTGCTGTTTTCATCTTTCAAATGTCCCCTCTTCTGTTTGTGTTGTCGCTTGTCTTTTCTTATTTCATTGCTTTTCTCGTGTTTCAGTTCTCTGTGAGTTTCCATCTGTCTTTCCTTATCTCTCAGCTTTGTTACATCCTCATCTTCTTCAGCAGAATCTTTTTGGTGTTTCTTCTTTTTCTTCTTCGTTGATGGTCCTCTTTCCTCTTGTTCAGCTCCACTGGTATTAGTCCTGTCAGCATCACTCTTAACAACATCCTCCACTTCATCATTCAAGTCCTCCTTGGAAGCTTGTTGCTCCTTGTCACGTTTCTTTTTCTTCTTTTTCTTCGGTGAATCAGTGTCTTCCTGCTTGTCTTCTTTCCCGCCAGCCCCTCCCTCATGCACCACGCTCGTCTCTTCAATCAAGCCTTCCGTAGACTCCTGCTGCTCATGTTTATCTCTCTTCTTCTTTTTCTTCTTCTTGGTGTCCCGTCCACAGTGTTTATCAGACTGTGCCTCTGAGGACTCACCGTTTTGTGATCCACTCTCCGGAGCTCTTGTGTCCTGTTGTCCAAGTTCAGAATCCTTCTCAGGACCTTGTGTCTCTCGTTGACCAGCTTCGTCTGTTGACTTCTGCTCAGTTTGTGTTTTCTGTTCCAATAGGCAAATTAAGATAACTTCAGCACAAAATTTGTCAAACCCTGAATCATCAAATCTCATCTTAAACCTGCTAAAGTTTTATCCCTGGCAAGCTACTTCTAACAGTTCAAGTAAGTCCTCACTGAACAGGTAAGCTGATCATAGTATCTCAAAGTCAATGCGCTTAATACAAAGTAACTCCAGTCAGCAAGGAAAACCTGTGCTCCACATATAATTATATATTCCTATCCTGAATTAGACGTGTATCTGTAAGCTACATCATTGTGAAAGTGGTGGACCCAATGACCAGACTGTCCCACCCATGTGGCGTGGCACTCGGGTTCAAACCCTGATGGGGAACATAGGGCTTGTGTTCTTACAAATACATAGTAACTTCTCAGATATAGAGGAAAAGGGAAATTTCAATATGAAAACCAGACTACACGGAAAACCAAAACAAATTTCAGTTTTATGTGCAGCGTATATAACATACTAGTGATACTGATAATGCTTGCGGAAGTTGGCGTTTACACCGCAAAGTTATAAAACCCTTCAGACAACTTCCGATATTTTAATTTTGGGGAATGATTTCTTTTTTTTTAATAGGTTACCCAGTTCCTATACTCCCTGTAAATGCACAGCACTAGACAGCCAATATCATGGGCGTCGCCAGGATTTTTCTGGAGGGGGGCAAAAAAAATGTTTGCCAAAAAATGCTTGTATTTCTCAACACATTCTCGATTTATCAGTTTTAGAGGGGGGCAGGGACATTTTGCCCCCCCCCCCCAAACTCATTAAATTTACACCACTTTGTCTTTGCGCCTCTTTTTCTTTTCTTTTCTTTTCTTTTTTTTCTTCCTTTTTTTTTTTTTTTTGCTTTTCCATGGGGGGGGGCAAGTGCCCCCCCCCTTGCCCCCCCCTCGCGACGCCCATGGCCAATATCATAACTGACCTGCTTGTTGCCAGCCTCACTGAACACAGTCCATATCTGCTCAATCAACGACGCATCCCACACCTTCAAGCTATTCTGAACAAACTTCTAATCAGCCAACAGAAAAGATAAAAACACAAAGAAATCTTAATTATAGTAACAAACATTGTTCAACTATAAACTGAACAATGGGAAGTCTAAAAATAATTACTTCTTTCAGTAAATTTCAGAACACAGTGTTGTCAGGCTTAAACTATGTTAGAGAAAAATGAAAATAAAGCTATGAGTTTCACATACCTTTTTCTTTGATTTAAAAGTGTCGCACTAAGAATTCTGATGTGAAAATCCATTTTATTGTGTAGCTTGCTAGATTGTCTCAGACAAGATGACATTTTTGGTAGAATAAAGAAAATGGACCTTGGCAAAAAGTTGCCCTCAATTTGTCGTTAGAAACACTGCATAAGAATGAAATCTTTAAATCACCTCAAATTTGGCCTTTTTCCGAGGAATGTTGTTGTAATCAGCTAGACGGTTCAGCAGACCCCTGACTCTAGGGCTGACGGACTGTGAGGAACTCGCTGCTTGAACACACTGCAATAAGAAAGTGTGATGATGGGATATCAATGCTCTGAATTAAAAGGGACTATCGTCCTGAATCCTACAAATTCCAACAGTAGAGGAAGCTAATGACACCTTTTCAAAGGAAATCCAGTATAACCTTCCACTACCTGAGACTCAGGGAAAGCTTGACGACTTAATCTGTCATTGCCAGATCATGTTTACACATCCTTTGGTATTAACTGTTTAAACTAATGAAAAACCAACCTCGATCCACTGCGACTGTTTGACCTCTCCCTTGTTTGGTTTGGCATTCGCTCTGTAGTCCTTCCCACCATACTTCTCGTTTTCCGAGACACATTTTGTGTGATGTTTGTAGTCATCCCCTCTGTAGAGAAAAACACTTGTTAAAATAAATACCTACTTCAGACATGTGTTTAAGAATAAACCTTTAATGCGTAGCAATAAATGCATAAAAAGGTTCACACATGCATATCTCAGCAAAACAAGGCATTGCCCCCAACGATGGCTGCTATGCATAAGGTCTATTGCACCAATACAGATCGATCCAAAAAGGCATTGGTTTTTATCAGGTGAACTCTTTTATGTATGCCAAGAAGATTTTGGAAGGTTAGGGTTAATTTTCCATTGACAGGTCCCTGGAGTCAGTGTGGGAGTCATTATAAATAATTGCAACAGTCAGTCTTTTGACAACCTGTGCATTACTTGCTCCTGGCTTTGTCAACCATCTTAGAAAGAGTTTGGTTCTGGGTGCGACTTTGTAATGCCAGTCTGCAACAGGTTTAAACTGATCTACTTTTGTTTCTTTCCATGATACCATGATTGAAATGAATGGAGGCACTTACACAAAGTCTTTTCCACAATCCATGCATGACAGAACTTCACAGTTGCGACATTCCGTCAGATAGTGCTTCTCGACGTGAGCTTTCTTAACACACTGGCCGCAGGAATTGCAAGTGAAGAATACCATTCTGTAAGCTATTCACGTTTTCTAGAATTGTAAAATTGGTGAAAAGACAAGAAAATGCTTATATTATGAAGGATCTAGCATGTCTTGGGAGAAATATAAAAAAAAAAAGTCAAAATCATGTTTGGCGTGTTCAGTCGATGAACGCCATCGGTCGATCGCGTTGCGCTATCGGTCGATCCCGCTGTCACCAGTCAAACAACTTTTCTTTCTCATTCCCAACTCTGGCATTGTCTGGAGAGTGGAGGATAATTTTTAAAAAGGTATGTAATGTCCGAGATATCCTCGCGTTAATGCCTGAATAGGTTTCTGCAACGTACCCATACAGATACAGATGGTAGAATCAACCCATCGTGCAACGCAATCGCAAGATTTGCAATGCGTTCATGCATGTCCGAAAACTGGGCACTACTGATCCAACCAGGATAACGTCAACAAACGCTATTTTACGATCAAACGTGCGTACCCTTGCTCTATGCTTGAAGGAAATATGTACCATTGGTTGACAGGCAGGTTTCCTATGCCTTGAGCAAAGATACTGCCCAAAATATTGAGATAAAAACTACTCACGTGGGAATCGCGATCTTGTGTCTTGCACCTATATCGTCATGATCGTCAAATGCAAACGCTACTCTTATTTTTTTTCTTATTCAGAACCAGACTAAACCTTCTAATGATGAGCTGGTGCCGTTTGGTGTAACCTGATATTTGTACTGGAAACAGGTCAACTCGTACGCGAACCAACTCGTACGCGAGTCAACTCGTACGCGGATTGGTCAACTCGTACGCGAGACAACTCGTACGCGAACCAACTCGTACGCGTGCCAACTCGTACGCGAGCCAACTCGTACGCGAGCCAACTCGTACACGAACCAACTCGTACGCGGGCCATTTTAGGAGTGGTTTCGAGGATTGGGTTGGCATGGTTGGGAAGAATTTGGGAATAGTGTGACGGGTAGTCCGTAGTTCAATGTGTGACCGTTGTGTGTGATTGGGAGTGAGAGAATAGACAATTGCACTAACTGAAAACACAATCGGTCCTTTTCAGGGCCACCACGCATTTGCAGTGATATTAAATAAAATTCAATTTTTTTTAAATAAATCAAATTCACCTCCCCATTGTTTTATTTTACAAAATATAATTTGGAGACATAATAATTAGGACTAAAAATTATCGGACCAAAGCTAAAAATTAATTTTCGGATCCAAGAAAAAAATTTTTTTTTAGGGCAACCTCGAATTTCTGGTGAAATTAAATAAAATTCTAATTTTAAAAAAATCAATGAAATTCACCTCCCCATTGTTTTAATTTACAAAATATAATTTGGATACATAATAATTAGGACTAAAAAATTATCGGACCCAAGCAAAAAATTAATTTTCTGACCCAAGAAAAGCGCATTTGACCCAAGAAACCTCGCATTTCCGGTGAAATTATATAAAATTCTGATTTTAACAAAAAATGAAAAAATCAACTCCCCATTTTTTCTTTTTTTACAAAATATTATTTGGATATATAATAATTAGGACTAAAAAACTATCTGAAACAAGCAAAAAACTGGCGGACACTGTCCGTACAACTGTATAAGCATGCGTGATGCTATATTCCTTTTTTATAGTAGCTCCTTTTTATACAATAGACCTCGCAAATATCGGTGTTTTCTTGTCATTTTACTTGTCTAACCAACCAGCAATTGTACCGCGGCATACACAGGTTACAGCGATTCAATCATGCATTCTTAACACATGTTGTGCCCATTCTTGAAAATCACGCATTCTCGAGAATGGGCACGCACATTCTCGAGAATGGGCGCGCATTCTTAAGAATGAGCGCCCATTCTTAAGAACGAGCACGCGTTCTTAAGAATGAGCGCTCATTCTTAAGATTGGGTGGGAATATCACGTGCACAATTTATGAATTTTGCCCAATCTTAACAAACATTGCACGACATAATTATGTTAAATGAATTGTATAGCGGTTAAAAGGGAAACAAATCATATAAAGAGGAAAGAAAATGTGCTATGCTTCTGTACTCGTATAACTACGATAATTTGAATCAAATTAAACCTGTTATTATTGCTTTCTTCTGCCCACTATGGGAAGTTTTATAATAACGGAGGACTGGGAACTAGTCTGGGAAGTGCTTTGTTTAGGCTAGACAAGTTACAAGTCCCTGCATGTATCATATGCGTGCCACGAAAAAAAACGATGTCAAGAAGCTGCCAAAATTGCTCTTTTGACTAGATAGAATCCAGCTCTGCGACGTTAGGTGGGATGTGAACAATAAATTGGTGGCAATTTAAATGGGAAATAGCATTAGCACTATGGGATGTCGCAGTATTCATTCTCATTCTTCACATTCTTCATTCTTACGTCCCCCCCCCCCGCTTTTATTATCCCAAAACTCAGAATTCTTTGCACTATTATTATTATGTCTCTTATCCCCCCCCCCCCATATCAATACGCCTTTACTTATCATATCCACTCTACTTTTCAGCGCCTTGCGTTGCAACAGTATAATTATTGAGAATCAGTGAACGAGGATTCAGCTAGACTTGCCAAGCGCAGCCGGTGCTCGGCATCGACAAGACCGTTATCTTGTCGCGCAGTCTCAAGAATGTGCGCTCAATCTGGAAGAGTTATTTTTTGCCAAGATTGAGCAAGGATCCAGTTGCACATTCTCAAGAATGTGCATGCCCATTCTCGAGAATGCGTGATTTTCAAGAATGGGCACAACATATACAGTGCGCGGTGCGGCGGGAACCAATCATACTGGTTATCGCGAAGACAACTTCCCAATCAATCAAGCGAACTTGTAAAAAAAAAAACAAACGCAGAATTCTTCTACTGTAAGTAGCACTGGCGGATTCAAAAATCAACTACATGTAATTTGAAAATCTCAACCTTTCAGAAAAGGTAAAATTATGCCGACCTACCGTACCGAACCTAATTTCATCTGTCCATGTGAGCTAAACCAATCGTCTAAACTCACGCGTACGAGTTGGTCCGCGTACGAGTTGGTCCGCGTACGAGTCGGTCCGCGTACGAGTCGGTCCGCGTACGAGTCGGTTCGCGTACGAATTGACCCGCGTACGAGTTGGTCGCGTACGAGTTGGTTCGCGTACGAGTTGACCTGTATTCTTTGTACTCATTACGTATGGAAACTAGATCCCTTAAAGGCGTAAAAATGCTATCGCAAATACACCTGATGTCACGCCCTCAACGACACAAGGGGAAAGAAATTAAACGTTAACCCTCCAAAACTAGGTAGTTCTACACAAAACATTATTTTTAGTGGCATATCGAATGGGTCGCTTTGCTTCCAAAATGGGTGATTTCAGTAAAACTATTGGCTTTTATTTCCAGCCAGCGCCCTTAATCTGTCCCTTGCAATATGATCATAATTGATTGATAACTTCACATTACGCCGCATGTACTCCAGACCACGCCCCATTTTAAATCAGGGTGGTGGACAGACCCGCTGAAGGGTTTAAAGGTAGAGTCCATCATTTGTAATTTGTGCATTTTGTTCGTTTGAAGCAACAAAAGAGTTCAAAATCTAATGAAGGATACTGAGCAACTAACCTGATGAAGTTTCAGCTAAGCTTCAGCTGTACATTCCGAGAAAAACAGCATTCTAAGATCTCAATTTCAAATCAAAAGTTGCTGAATCATGTTTTGAATTGTTTTGAATTGCAACTATACGCGACGTCGCGCACTGATCCGACGAATTATAACAACCGCGCGCGCGTGTGCGTCGTTCGAATACTTGTGCGCTGCGCCGAATAACAAAACGAACTACTAATTTAAATTTTCCTACGGTGCTTCTTAAGAATCACCGTTGGAAATGCCTTCTTTCGTTGATTACTTCAAAATGACAGCTTCCCAGAAAGAATAATTTCACAGGGAGTTTAGTCTCCTTACTATCTTTCAACCAAGTTAGTTTTTCAACAATAATTACGCCAGTTACTTTTCGGATGGCTGCAAATGATGGACTCTACCTTTAAAGAAAAACCAATGAGACGGAGGATGTTTATATTTTTAAGTGGACCAATACTGCCTCCTTCCACTGGCCTCGAGCCCCACCCAACGGCGAGTGTGTGTGTGTGTGGGGGGGGGGGGGATATCCTCTCCCCCCCCCTCTCCCCCTCCCCCCCCCCCAAAAAAAACCAAGAACCTAATTCGTAAAAACAAAAAAGTGACGTCGCAAAATTAGGTGCGTACACCACCCACAAAACTCAACGAAAGTAATACATAGTACCCCCTTTATACTTACTTTTTGTATTAAATTTGGACCCACTTTTCTGTGGGGAAAACATTGGCCCCCCTAAAAAAAAATTCTGGATTTGGCCTTGCCCCCCCCCCTCCCCCCGCACACCAACCCTAAGCCCATCCCCTCTAATTGGGCAAAATATATGCATAATTAATTGTTCAGACAGTGCCTTGTTAGCTCGTTACTCACTTTTGTTTTAGGTCAAATGACTCACCGCCTCGCACCAAAATTATCTCTAGTTCTACTTTTACTTTAGACATTAAAAACTTATACATGGTTTGTTGACGCGGTCCCTAATACAAGGCACAAGTACGTATCGTGTGTATTGTTCGACAGGTTCTTGTTCTTGCCTCCGTAAATTCTTAAAACAATTGTGTTGTACCCGTACGTACACGCAATTCGTATAGAGGGGTATGTGTAGTTGAAACCACTTCAACCGCTGGCTCACAGGAGTTTTCCTCTGCAAATCTGTTCCCTTCGTGTTCTTCTTTCAGAAGTTGAACAGAAGATCGAGGTTTATCCACATACTTCCAAGGCACCATGTTCTTTCTTCACGCCTTTGTACTTGCCCTTGTGGGTCTTTCTTTGGCTCAGAACACAGACGATAACAGTCGAGAATGCGGTCCGTGTGACGAGTCAGCGTGTCCCAGCGATCTGTCCTGCCGTGCAGAGGCCGTTCTGGACCGTTGCTCTTGCTGCACGGTCTGCGCTAAGGTTCTCGGAGAGCGGTGCGGCGGACAGGAGTACGTGGACGGGCGGTGTGCGGAGGACTACATATGCGCCGGAAAGTCCGTGTACGAAGTGGTCAAAGATGGAAAGATCGGGCAGTGTGTCTGCAAGAAACTGGAGAGAGTTTGTGGGACAGATGGGGTGGTCTACGACAATAAATGCGAACTTGAAATGTCCAGTTATGAAAGAGTGCAGAAGGGACAGCCGGCCATTGAAGTTGACGACACAGATAAATTGTGTGTGACAGGTTAGTCTTATTTTCCATTCTTGCTCATAAATTAAATTACAAAAATATAAAAAATCTCCTTTTTTAAAGATATCACATGAGACCTTTTACATTTTATTTCTATTCTGCATTTTCTCCTATATCTGTCCTTTCTGTTGTATTTTCAAAAGTTGTGTTTTTACTTTTGTTTAATTTTTTTGAAAAGTTTTTTATTTTATGATAATCAGCCTTGTAAAATCATAATGGGTTCAATTCAGCTTTTCTTGGCTGATATGTAATTTTATATTTTAAAATGAAATGAATAATGACCAATAATGATATAAATAATTTCTAGGCTTGAACACAATATTCAACATCAACACCTCCATTGTATTTTAGAGGTGACACTAAAACATTTTATGCAATAATTTTAATTTACTGACCAAGAATAATCATTGAACTAGGAATTAAATTGTAAAGCATTACATGCAGTGTTCATATTAAACTATTAAGAATAACTGTAAAATGTTGGTATTTTTTGTTTAAAATTTCAGAAGTTAAAATACTGTACATAAAGGCAATTTCTTATCTTTGTTAATTTTTATTTCTAATATTATTTTTCAACACCTCTTTCTTGTATATTCTACCATAGCCAGAGCTAACTTGGGCCCAACTTATCGCCTTTTTAACATTTGTCCAAAAGGTGATAAGTCAGGCCCAATTTACTTGGGCTAGTTCTGCCATAGATATTATGAGAGATGCAGATGTCCAAATGTTCAGGAAGATTCCATTGGAAATAGCAGGGATGGCTAGTTTAAGGTCAACTTAAACTTAAACTTTTTAAATTATCTGAAAACAATCTGATCAAGGTTGCCAAAAAAGCAAAGTTACCAAATGTGATTGGAAATTATTCCATGATGTTTTTTTATCAGAGATCTGCTGATAGTCTTTGATCACAGATAAACAAAAAAACGGTTGCGGTTGAACTGATCTCAACTTTCCCAAAACAAAATATTTTTATAAGGTGAACAATTCAATAAACACACTACAACAATATGTAACATCCCCAACTGTCGCAAATAGGTGAATGGATATATTGTTTTTAGTAATTTTCTGCTAATATCGAGCACATATTAAACAGAAAGTTCCACAGTAAAATTTTTGGTTTTTTTGTGTAATGGTGGAAGATCCCTTTAAATCCTGACTCAGTTCACTGTCCAGAAATCATGAAGAGGTAGAAAAAACAAAGCTGAATTCCTGTCTAGACATGGAGCTATAATAACACCCTGTCTGTCAGACATTGTACATTTTGTTCATTCTTTGGATGTCATGCTTCGAGCATGCTTAGAGGGTCTTATCCTCATTTGTTTTTCAGTGTAAAGACATTGTCTGTGTGCTGAATTATGTAGCTGACTGAACAATCCTCTGACTGTTCTGCGATTGGTTTTCTTTGATTGTATTTTGGCACCCGTAAAAATTAAGAAATCTGCAAAATTAAGTGTATCATTGACCTTGAAACTATTTATTTGTCTTGCATTTAACATTATTGTCTCACTGCACATCTTTGTATAGATAACATTTTAATTCTTTAAATACAGCAGTCCTCATACTAGTTTTTCTTCAAATATTGGTTTCATTTTCCGAACATCCTTCACTCAGTGATGACCTTTAATACAGGGTCAACTTTCCCATCTGCAGATCGTTAGTGATGAACTTTCTTTGTATTACAAAAATGTAAGTCTATGAAAAAATAACCATGAGCTACTCCACCCCCCTTCCAAAGCTGAGGTCTGGCTGCCTAGCAACAACCATCAGTCACCTTTCAAGAACCCCAAACCTGAACTTGCATTCCTGAAAGGTTTAATCATACATGGAAAGGTGATCATATATCAAGACTTATGTTGATCCTAGGCAAAGCTGTCAAAACTTATTATGAGGCAAACACAGCAAATTGGAACCAGCTCTATGCATTTCTGTACATTCTGCTTCCATCTGGGTTTTGTTTTTTTAACACCAACCACAAACTCTTTCTAGCTTATAAGGACCATTCATTCTCTGACGAACCATTCAGACAGACTCCTGCTGAGTTGGGGATTTATTTTTATCATGTGTACAGTTTTGAAACAACAAGTCGTCGAACCACAAGTTTCCAGTGCAGTTGAATTGAAACTAGAAAGGGTCCTTGTTGTTTGCAAAACACAAGTAGGCCTACACCAGAGAGTCTGTCCTCCAAAAGTAAAGTTTAAAAAATAGTTTTACAAACTTGAGAAAAACAACCTTTATTTTCTGGGGTTTTATTCAGTTATCTTCTTTCACATCATTTTAACACTTTGTAGTTTTTGAAATCTCTGTTTTGTACATTTCACATTCCATGGTTTACTGTAGATAGAGCATGGTTTATTTAATGCATACCAGGAATGAGAATTCCTTGACCCAGAGGATCGTTGACTTATTTGAAGAGGTCATTCTTACTTTCTTAGCTGTGTAGAGGTCACATACAAAGGTCAACTGGGACTCTCCCTGAGGTCAACTACATTATTCAGGGTCAGTGTAACCATGAATTATGGGCTGTTTTGCTGTGGGGTATCTATTACTACAGTCACAACCATTTTTTTCCAAAGCAAATAAAGCTAGCACAAATTTACTTCCTGGTGATAACAGAATCTGTTTTTTAAAGTGGTACTTTTTGTACAAAGTTTTGGTAAAACTAAGTGAGACCGACATTCCTTGAACAAAGTCAATGTGCAGTACAGGGATTTTAAAAAGGACTTTTTAAAAGGTAATTTAGTTGGTGTTAAATTTTGGAACATATGGGAAATGAATTGTAATGTTGATTTTTAGTTTCAGTTGTAACAGATATTAATGCTTTGGCTGTTGGATATGTTAAGTCTTGACTGTGTTAGGCCTATATTTATTGCCAAGCTTGTTTATATTACTGGCTCCCATATGTTAACCATGTGATCTTGAAGACAGGGTCCCCCTCAACAATTGTACTTCCAAAATATAAATTAAAATAGTTTTGTGAAGACATGGTGTCTGTTGCCAGAGTTTTGGCCTGGGTACCCTGTTGAAATGTTTCCATAAATTTATAAATACCCTTGAATATCATTCACTATACAACTTGAAATGGCCTTGCCATTTCAAGATCATGATTGTTTCTACAGCAGAATTCAAATTACATTGTACCTTTGAAGGTAAGCTAATATATTTGCTCAAAATAGCACTGGCTTGAGATGAATAATCAATTATAGTCAGCTATTATTTTGGTCAAATAACCTGTTAGCATTTGATTTCAGATAAACCTTTCAGATTTCCTTTGGTTTGATTACAGTTCCTATGATCTCCGTCCCACCCAAGGATTCCACCCTTCAGCTAGACTCCCAGTCTGAGCTGAGCTGTGAGGCCTATGGTCGACCCATCCCTGACATCATCTGGACCAAAGACGGGGAAGAGTTGCCTGGCAACCACATCAACATAGCAACACGGAAGAGGAACGGACCCACCAAGTTTGGCATGACCAGCTGGGTCTTGGTGAGTCTACAGAGTAACCATAACAAATTGAATCAAGGCAACCATGACCCAGTCATTGCAAATTGCATGATGGCATGTCTTTAATTTTAAACAAAGTCCAAGCCCCTCCCCCCCCCCCAACCCACCCAGTCCTTCCCCCTCTTCCCCTCCAACCATTGCATCAACCATACTTGCAAAAGTAGCTCTTTTTTTTGTTAAAAAAGGGATCAAACCATAATTGCGGCAGTATTCTTCATGTACGTGCACTCGGAGGTGGGGTGGGTCTAGTCCAGACATACCAGACATTCGCTTACAGCCGTGAATTCATTGAATGATAAAAAAGAAATATAGGCCTAAGATAGACAACCATTTCCTGTCTGGGAAATGGTATGTCTGGTATCTGATAGCATAGTGACATGGGGGCCTATGTTTACCATTGATTTGGCTTGCTAACTTAAAGTTGCACTCCCCATGCTATCTTTAATATTAACCTCAGAAAATAAAGTTTTAAATTGCTGTTTTCTGCAATGTTTCAATTTTCCAAACACTTACGATCATTTACACCTTGAAAATATTTTAAGCACTTTAGATTGTACAGGAACACATGTAGATCTTCTGTATATTTTATTTCTAGTGAGGCTTCAGTCACAAAGGCTCAGATATTTGACATTTAACTTGTAAGACAAGATTGTTGCATCGGGAGAGGAGATAACATTAGAACTGGTTTCACTTTTCACTTGCATGACTTTTATGTACTTGCAAGAAAACAAATTATAGTTGGCTCTGGTGAGATTGGAACCCACAACCTCCTGATTTCTGTTTCATCGAATACAAAATTCATAGATGTGTTTGTCGCCGGACAATAATTGGGCTCTCACAGGCCAGGTTCATTTGTGCACAAAATAAAAGTCGTTTCTCGGAGGAGTGCAAACTGCAGACAACCAAACTCATAATATAGTAGGATTTTTTTTTCGTTAAAGTGGAGCTGAAGCCCTGCTCGAAATCAGACAAAATTATGTTATTCTATAGCAAATAAAATGTAGGCCTATACTGATTTCAGATACAATTAAAGTTGACCTCAATGAACCGTCGTATAACTTGAAAAATACGTTGAAAAAACAATTCGTTCATCAAATTGAAAATTTGTAAGAAGAAAAAATTCAACTTTTTGAAGATTATATGCTATAATATAGCTATAGACGAGCCACGTACATCGACATGCTGCGGGGGGACATTGGTCTCAGTGACACGGGGGAGCTGAGGACCCTTATGCTGGATAGGGAAGAGTGGAGGGCGGCGACCAAGCACCCTCGCATCGCATACTCATCGCATACGCTATAATGTCTTTCATTTGTTGTAACATCACAGATCAATGTTTCACCTGACGATGGGGGAAGTTACACCTGCACTGCCGTCAACAGTCAAGGCAAGGCAGACTCCACAGCTGACATCCTGATAGCTCAGAGAGAGATCACTCAGGAAGGCGATGGTGATACAAACCAAGTACCCATTGAATTGTAAACTGAACACAGGTAAGACGTCGTGCCTATCCGGTTCATTAGTTCATTAGGGGAGTCAGGTTGGCGTAGCGGTACTTTCCTCGCCTTCCACCGCTGTGACCCGGGTTCGAATCCCGCCTGGGCCAATATGTGGATTGGGTTTTCAGTCCCTACCTGATTCCGTGGGTTTTCCCCAGAATATTCTTCTGGGCTTTTCCTCCCACCTCTAAAACTGTAACTTCTTCTCATTGTCTTCTCTCCACAGGTTTCTTCAGGCTTGCGAGCTACAGTGCCTAGGGTGCTTTTGAGGAATCCTTGGTTTCATTACCAGAAATGATTAATAATAATAATAATAAATTAGTAAAAACGTCATACACGCGCGTGTGCCACTGATTACTCGTGCCCATTGGATAAACGCTCGAGTTGCGTTAACTTCCGGTTCCATTCGTGCTGTGCTACACCGTGTGAAGTACGCACGGTTGAATTGAGATGACGTCACACTAACGAACCGAATATGTCGTGTGTGTCTACGAATAGAATAACAGTTACACCTTGCAGTATGTGTTTAAAAAATCACTGCTTTGCTTGTTGTTCTGGCATTTATTCTAAGGCCAAAAGTTAGGATATAGATAGAGATTTTTGACTTTTGCTTTTTGCAATTTGTTTTTTTGTAATAGTTTGCTAGGTTAGTAAAGTGTGCACTTAGATTGAGAGTTGACTGTCTTAAAGACTGTTGCTACATGTATAGAGATATTTGCTGAGTATTTTTTGCATTCCTTGTCACATAGAGTACCCTGATTTGGATTAAGAGGAGTTTTTAATGAATGTCTTTCGCCATCCTAATGCTTCAAGTGAAATTAATTTCTTTGATACAGGATGAGTTCCGATGTTGTGACGACGAGTTCAACAAATCCAAAAGAGGTTGCTAGCTAAGGCTAGAGGCTCAATACAGACTGCTCATGGTGCTAAAACCTGCCAACAGAGGGGGATATTTATGTAGGCTTAGTATTTAATCAGTTTTGTAATTCAATATGCTGCATGTTAATTATTATTTATAGTGTCAGGGGTGGACGTACAGGATGTCGAATATGTTCTACAATTTATAAAACTAGCAGCGTGACGTTGGAAGTGGCCAGTAAACATGAAAGTGGCTATTTCATTTGAAACTTGAAAAGGAATTTCATCAAAGTTGAGTAGGTTAGCTTTGAAAGATTTCTGCTGCAAAGGTTAAGGAAACAAAGAATTAATTGTTTTGAAACGTGAAATTTCATAAAATTTAACATCAAAATTTCCTTTTGATGTCCATAAAGAAAATGATCTCTGTCATCTGTCCTTCGTTTTCCACAACAAAATTGTAAACATGAATCTAAAGTCTCGACATCCATGTATGTCCACCCCTGAATTTGTTAAGTTATAGATAAACCATTTACTTTCAAAACATTATAGACAACTTTCTGATTTTTGTTATCTGAGTTTTTGTAGCATAGATTTTTAAAAATTAAACTCTGTAAGATTTGTGCTTTATGTAATCAAACAGATAAGGATTGGGGGCCATAGTAATAAGTAGACTGTATTTCAATTGAATTTCTGGGGGGGGGGGGGTACAACTGCAAAGACACTTTTTGTTTTAGATTTTCATATTATTTCTTCAGTAGTTTTGCATGATGGAAACAATACACTTGTACAAATAATCTTGCCTTGATGATAATGATGACTCCTTTTTGAAGAAGCGCGGAGTTGAATACTCCGTTTCACTTTTGAACTATGCAAAGTTTGTTGTAGATTTAGAAAAGAAAGGCTATTTAAAGTCCAGATGCTGTTGTTTAATATAATAACCAAACACAATGTATTATTAAAGTTTTTCACATACTATTCAATTGTGCCTTGTACAGGTATATTTTTATAAGAATTTGTTCAAATCTGAAATGACTGTTCCATTGATTTTAGTCAATTATTTATCAAATATTGTCACTTTTGTTAATTTATCCCAAACGCCTATATAATGTCAGATGTGTAGTTTTTACTGTCTTCCCCACTTCTAAAAAATAATTTCCAATAACTTCTCCCCGGATTATCCTTAAATTGTAATAATTTGTTACTTATTGTAAAACGTAAAAATGTATGCTGCAGTTTGCTGTTCTTTGACTTCGCTGTTTGTTGACTGTTGAAGTTCAAGACAGCACTAAAAATCCAGTCTTCCACTCTCTCTGTAGAACACTAACTTTTCACACACAATTTATTGAAATTGGACTGTTATTCTGTATTGAGGCATTTGCAGTGATAACAATTGTGTGTTGAATTTTGGATGTTTTACAGAGTGTAGAAATGTAGGTGATTTACTCGTATTTTATCTTAGAGTGCCTTGTTACAATAAATGGGTGATGTATGATTCCAGATTTATGTCTTTTCAACATTTTTTCAATGACTGACCTTCATTGAGATGATATATGAAGAAAAAAGTGGTGTCAGGTTGCAACTAGCGGCATTCCTTCCAAAAAGAAACTCCAGTGTTTTTATTTTTAATAATTCATTGATGTCACATTTAACACTGAAAGACACACTTTCACTCAAAGAATGAATACACATACAAATTTATTTGGCAATCGTTTCACCTTAAAAGTACGTATAAAAATGTACATTGTATTTATAATTATGGTAAAACAGTTAAATATTCATGTCACTTAATAACAGTTGGCACGCATTAGTTACACAATTCACGTAAACAAATGTGTTGACACATTATTTCTGTTTAAAATATATGTTACGAAATATCGATCTGACCAAACATTTTGGCCATCCCTGCCCACACAAACCACGATACATATTTAAACACATAGAAAGTATACTGGCGTATATAGAAGGATATTTTACTAAGAATCTTGAATGCATAAAAAGAACAGTGATTTCCATATTTTTTGATAAAAAGCTGATGGAACGGGCAAATTTCTGCCTTTTGAAAAAAGAAGTAAGAATTGTAGTCATAGGCCCCTTATAAAAATTTCAACTTGGGTCGTCATTAACTTTGACACATCTGATAATAATTTTTAAAAAGTACACAATTTTTTTAGCACTGAAAATTTGGCAAACACTAGTGACCTCTCTGCCTACATTATAACTGGTCCTTGTGTGATGCAATTAAATATAAGAAAGTTACACCCATTCTAGATTTGCCCCAAACCACAAGTGTTATGAGTTAACCAGGTTGACCCAAGAATAAGATTTTGGTTCACATTTAGGTGACATTATTTAATTGATTTTCTATTTTTTTTTGATGGACACTGAAGTCTATCAGAATGACTGCATGCATCAGTCCATCTTGAAGCAATTTCGTTGATCAGTTCCTTCCAACTGTTTCAAATATACTTGATTGGAATCTTGGAAGTAATAGAAATCAGCGTGATTCTAGAATGGCATTCGGTAGAAGTCACGCCAAGGTATCAGTTTTCTGCCTCTGACTGCCTGTCTGATCCAATAAAATAGCTGGCTGCTGGCAAATAGTTAAATACTAATAAACTTTCCATTTCACTTATCAAATTAAATAGTAATTCCCAACTCAGGTATTCCGCTGGTATTGAAAATAGATGGTACAACAAATTTGTTAACGTGAAATTGGAAATGTGTTGATGGCTGGGCCTAAACCAATCTGTGAATTAGGATTATTATCATGTGGGCTCTGTTGTCATGACAACTATTTTTCAGCCAATCATTGATCTTCGTCATCACTCAGGTCGAGGGAGTCATCGTCACTCAGTTCATCTTCCTGATAAGACGATACCTCGGAAATGTCATCTGTGATAAAAACGAGATAAAGACAAATATGAAGTTGGCCTGTAAACTGCACAGAAATCTTTGATAACTCAGAGTCGAATTCCAAATACATATTTTCAAGACAACTACATGGTATGCCCTCTTACTGTTATTTATAAAGATGCAGTGAATTATTTATATCCACAAATTTGTTGGGGGGGGGGGGTAGCTTTTGTTTTTGCCAATAGGTATGCCAGACAAGTGCATTTTGGTGAAGAAGCTTAAATTGATAATTACTACTTACAAAATTAACACAGTGAATTTTCCTTCCATATAGTTAAGTGATTTTATTTCCTTGATGTTTCCCTTACTCGTTTTTTCTCAATATTTGTTTGCAAACTAAATTTGGTAAATTTTCTGAAAAAAGAACAAGATAAATGCCTTCTGTTTGTCCATCTTAATAATTTAATCTTCAACTGCTCCAAATTTGTTTTCTTTCATGCCAATGATTAACATTAAGTAAGTATCGTAATGTTGATGATGTTCAAGTAAAAACACCAGATTATTGATGATTGGAGTCATCAGACAAACACATCTCCACCTACCCATGGTCGCTGTTACTGTTAGTAGTTTCTTTGCAGAGCCAATTAGGCGTTTTACATTCACTTCTTTGGCAGGTGACGAATCTGCAAGTAGAAAAAGATGCTCATTGTATAAATTCAGCGTCTCTGAGAGTTTCCCTGGATAAACTGACATTGTTTTCCAAGGTTCAAAACCACAATGATTTAGATTTATATTACCTCTATGTGCAAACGCAATATTTTTATATTTCATGCAAATTACACATTGAAGGAGTTTTATTTGCTACTGAATTTAATACCCTCTATAATACTTGAAACTTCAGTATAAACATGTAATCAATATTCTGCATCTGTGATAGCCTGAAGTTGTCATTTCAAAACTCGGGGGGAAAAGTCTTCCACAACACGAATCATCAGTAGCAATACTGGGTTTAATTTTGTCGTCAAGTCGTCCCTTTCCTCCATACTTTCAAAATTGGCCAGTCCATGTCTATGTTAAACTCACCATCATTATCCAATTTGACTGTGTCAATCCCTTCAACAATCGTCTTCGTATTTGTCTTGAAGACCTCCTCCAGATTTCCTCCAATCTTGGGATTCAGCAGCCTCTCAAACACTTTGATGTTGCGGACCCAGGTGGCATACTTCTGGAACTTCTTGGGAGCTTTCTTGCTGGATGCTGGAGGAGTCTTGAGTGTCTTCTCGTACCGGTCGTCATAGATGAAGTCCGGTAGGCCATATGTCTCGCTGGTGCGGTTGAGACGGTCTTCCTCGACGCTCTTCCAGGAGACGTACTGACGACGGAAACGACGGACTTGCTCCTCGTCAAACTTGTCTCTCACCTGAAACCAAACAGGAACACATGTGATAAAGTCTTCAAGTAATTTCCATCTTTAGTACATTCTTGCCATGTTGTAATCCTTCACAAGATACATCACAAGTCAATGTCTCAGATAATGTCGCAAAACACCAGCATGAAAAATAACAAAGAAATGCCTTTTTTCACAGCTCATGTGAATAGATGAGACTTGACTTGGGATTGATCGACTGAGAAGTTGACTGCAGTCCTGATTGAAGCACCTACCACTTTGAGAGCCATTCTCTGCCTGACGATGCTGTCCATTCTTTGTTTCTCTTTCTCCTTCAGCTCTCGGTTGTACTCCTCTACTTCTTTTCTCTGTATCTGCTCCATCTTCTGCAGAACCCTCACCTGCCTCTGATACTTGTATGTCTTATTCCCGTACACCGACTGTAACGTCTTTTGCTTGACTACGCTCTTTCTGGTGATGATAACAGGCTTGCGGAAGCGCTTCTTCTGAGTTGCTTGCGGTTTGCTGCGTAGTGTTGTACTGGTGCTCTGGCTCCCACGGGAGACGGTGCTCACTCGGACTTGAGGGACGTCACGACGAGGAGACGATGACGATGCAGTTGAAGATGAGTAGGCTGAAAGCATTTGCGAGTTTTGTCTCGTCACCTCTTGGGTGTTGGTAAGAACGGCACTGGATTTGCTTCGACTTGACAAAGTCTTTGGGGTTTTGGTATCAATTTGAGATGTTGATTGCGTTCGTCTCTCAGGTCTCAACCTACTCTCCCTTACTGTTTCAACTTTACTCTTTGCAACTTGACTGTTTGGGGGTTTTGATTCTTGAGCTTCAGTTCTTTTCACCCCGTTCTCCTTGACAGGAACTTTGTCCTCTGGTTCTTTTGGAGGTTTGACTGGGGAACCATTTGGCACTCTAGGTGAGGTTGACTTGATGGGTGAGGGGGTCTTATTAAGGTCCTTTGCCTGGTCCAGTTTGTGGTTAGAATCACCAACAGGTTGGTGTGAGTTGTCAGCTGCAGTTCTGTTGAAAGAGTTGAAATAATTCCTATCAGTAATAGCATTTACATACTTCTTGAATTTCCCTTTTCAACGTTACTTTACACTGTAAAAATGATAAACGTTTCTCATAATGAGCCATGAATTGTTAAGATGGAAAGGGCTTTAATTATTTTTGGAAGCTACAGTAGTCAAGTGTTTAGTTAATTGTGAAATATTTTTGAATCGGTTAAACTTCAATTACATCTATTTCCAACAAGGGCAAAGTAACAAAATATGAGTACAGTAAGTCATTATATTAGATGGAGACATGATCTTGAGAAGCTGAAGCTAACAGGATTGTCTTAGAGACATACTTCTCTAAATCCGACACAATCCTGGAGAAATGCTGTAATACTTGGTTGGGTTAGAATCTACACACCCCATTAGACAATGTTTGCAAAGCATAATTGATTTTGTAAAACAAAAATTGTTTGAAATTGCTACAAATTGCTTACTAACTGGATTGACCTGAAAAAAATTGTTTCCATCCAAAATAAGAAAGATCCCCAGAGGATCGAAACATCTTAGGGCCCCATAATTTATTTCCTCATAATGTCCCCATCTTGATGGATGTGAGTACTAGCTTGCCTATTTTCTCCCAGTGTGGATGAGTTGGCCCTGGCATCCGCCCAGGAAGATGCCCATCGTTTACCCCCTTGTGGTTCCTTCCTGCCCGCCTCTGTGGCCGTAGAGGTCCCATGAACCTGTTGCTGAAGGGGTTCTGTAAGAGAAAATTCATCACGAATATTCTTGTCAGTGTACTGTTAATTGCTCAAACCCTCAGTATTCAATCCTTGCACCGTTTTAGAGTCGAGCTGAACTCAAGTCGGCCAGGCGAACTTCATGTACTTAAATAAGATTCGAAACTTTGCATCGAGGTAGTGTATACTAGTGTGGTTTGCTGTAACACCATGTGGAAGAATTTATTTTGTGAAGAAGTGTGGTTCTGAAACAACCAACCAGTAAGAGTTTAGAGAGATTATTCCACATGGTGTTACAAACCTCACTAGTATTCATGTACTTATTTCTTTTAAAGGGAATCTGGATTTGTTTCAAACGAAAATTGTTTACAAAAAACTGAGAAAGGATATTTTCCCCTACCAGGAGGATATTCTCTTACCATTCAGTAGATTATTAATCTTGGGCAGTCTAGGCATGGACACCCGAGGATGTCTATCATGGTTGGTATGACGGTGACTGACTTCATTAGGTGCTGAGTTGCTTCCACGATCTGCAAAAATTTCACCAACAAATTTAGGAATGTTTAAGGAAATTTAAAATTGCTATTTGAAAACAGTCAAGATTTGTTACCAATAATGTAGTTATAAACTCGTGAAGAGCAATCCCCAAAGTAAAATTTCTTTGTCCCAACGAAGAATTTATTTATTATTTATTTATTTATTTATTCCTTTATTTATCCAGGGTAAACCCAAACAGCAAAAAGCTGGTTTTCATTAAGGCCCTGCATTAAAATAAACTGATTAATATTATTTTCAAACAAAAATTAAAAATATAAAAGCAAGCCAGCAACAAAACGAATCAACAATACTTTATGTGTAAAAGGTTTGCAACCACCAATATCTTTTGAATTTCTCCTTTATCCTCGCACCAATAAATCATGTTCAATTCATACCTTCATTGTCTGTTTTATGTCTTGCCGAACGCACCGGAACGCTCCGTGTTACGTAACGACCGTCCTTCTTGCTCCCTTTCTTGTGGTTGTCATGGTAACCAGGTAAGGACACTAGCGGTTCCTGGCTCCTCTTGCTCTTCTGCTGTTGCCTTGGTTTCGATGGGTAATTGATTTGTCCTCCACCACTCAAACTAAACAAAAAATGACAAAAACATTCTTACTAAATCATATCAGGAACATTTTGCAATCACCTGGAAACGTATACCAACCGTTTTAACGAGAAAACACCTGCTCCACGTGAAGATAGGGTACCGACTACCCTGTGGAATTATTCAGCCCTGAATGGTATCATTCGGAAGAAAACAATCATTTAAGGTGCAAATTTACTTTTGTTTTACGTGCGTTAGCAACGGAATCCAGTTATAGACAAAAACATTGTGCGTACGTTTTCTGTTTTCTCAAATATAGTATCCACTGAGCTGAAACTTCAACAAGTTAGTTGATAGACGCACCCTTCTTAAAGATTTTGAAATTGTTTTATTGCTTCAAACGATATAAATGCTGAAACAGCGAATGCTCCTATGTACCTTTTTGCTTGTGAGCAAATATCCTTTGGTTTGAGAAGTGTAGAAAAGAATTAACTGCAGGGTATCAGAGGAAAGAGGCGGAAAATGAAATGTGGCCGAACGTTTAAACTTTTAGACTTTTTTCTCACTCATCTAATACTTTCTTCGTCTATTTTTTTGTTGAACAGTCCATTGGTTTGTCTGCCTCTCTGTCTGTCTCATTTGTACCACTTTCTTTTTCTCAATATTCAGGTCCCCAAAAAAGACTGAACAAAAATATATGAACATTTAATCTATCGTATATCAAGTTAACTTCGTGAGGACGACATGCAGCTCTCCCATCAAATGAAATAAAAAGGGCATGAATGACACGAATTACAACTTCAAAATGCATTTATAGGTATTTTTAAACAAGTTGTTTCGGCAAACTATTGTGATTTATGCAGACTTCGTAACCTTTATACCTCAGTGTCAGCCATTATCGTAAAGTGGATCAATTTTAACACCGTATCGCCCCTTAATAGTAGCAAAGTGCAACTTTTTTTAAACTATGGTAGCAATCGGAGTCGTCTTTGTTTACGAATCCAAAAGCTATGTTGGCGTCTAACGAGAACAGAATATATTCTGCACACAACAATGCAAACAGTAATGATCAAGATCATGTAAAAAATCTGTACTTCCAATTGTTGACATTTGATTGTAACTATGGCAACAAGGCAATTAGCACTTTACTCATCATTTTTTAATTTATTGCATTTTTCAACACAGTCGAGAAGCGATGGGATATACATTTAATTTCAGTTATTTTGTAGTTAGCATGTGTTTTCGTACGTTGACATAGTTACGAAAACACAACAGAATAACCTTTAACCAATGTTTGTGTGTTGATTTTAAGTTACCCAAAGTTTATAGCTAAGTTGAAGTTTAGTTCGGTTGCACTAAAAGGGGCAAAGTAAAATTGAGAACCCGAACATAGCGCATCAAAACCCGAAAAGAAGTGGATTTTCCAATGAGACTGAGCTGAGTTTTACGAGCTAGAAAAATCCACTTTCTGTCATAATGTGCCTATAAATCACCATACTTCGTCTGAATTAAGTACAGGCATGCAACTGGGAAATCACACAAAAAAGAGGAAATTCAAATTTTTCCCAGATTTTGTACAGTGTTTTTCTATTTTCAATGGCACACATGGGAAGTAAAAAAAGAGGAAATCAGCTGATCCGAGGAACAGTTGCATGCCTGTAAGTAACAAATCGTCTGGTACGTGAAAAGCATTCGGTTCCACACAAACATTGTCTCAACGCAAATTAACAGGCACTGCGTCTTCTACATTTACAAGCGGGACACGGATCCCTGGAAATCAATCTGGCAATACACCTGTAACATTGTTGTAAAGCTCATCGAGTCTCGTAGTTGAGGGTTTATTTATTCCAGTCTGTGACTTTGTATAATGCGTTGCTTAGTCTTCGTCCCACCTTCTGATATCCAATACAATTGTGTGCACTTATGGAGCATATACTTGACAGGGCTTTGTTCTCAAATGTAAATAGTTATTGCAAATCGCATTTTGCTGTCTTGTGTGTTCGAATTTCAGTAGTTTTCAAACTATTTCCAGGTTTTCGTGTATGTCTATTTGCCATTTACGTCGAACTTCATCAAAATCAGAAAATAAATCAAGGTAATTAGCACCTGGATAAAAAAAAATTCTTGACAGAAAAACTATTTCAATAATTTCAATGAAACCATTCGATACTAATACCGTAGCAGTGCCAAATCACAAACTGTGAATTTGGTACACGTAGACCTACAAGAAAAAGAGCAGGATATAGTTTCTGGCATGGTAACACAATTATTTTGCAATCGGTTGTGTGAAAGATTTCCTCATGTATTATATATTGGTTATAAAAGTCAAACTTTACGATCAATCAATTAGACAAGTTTACAAATCGACAACGAGCTTTTGAAAGAGCTGCATGCACGGTGCACTCAACTCTTTAGATATTCTATTAATACATTTGAATAGCTTTGCGGGGTGTAGCTACATTTCAGCGAACCAGATCAGAACGTGTTGTGGATGGTTGGTTTATACAAATATACTCCATGGAGGTAGGAAAAGAAACCACTCAATATAATAGGTACCGACAGGTAAAATGCATACCGGATTTTATCAATCCTATAGAACCTGTATTACACTCAACACAATTCACGCGGTCGTCATGGTGCATATACGCGACGTATTTGAACGCAATGGGCAGATTGACTTACTAATTTGAAAGCGCTTAAAAATTAGTAGCAAGAACATTTCGGCATCGTCAAATTTGTCAAGGAAGACGTATAAATTTCGATTAGAAATGAATTGTTCTCAAGAATTAGTGTTCCACACGAAGCCTTTTTTTTGCTCTTCGTTTTTTCCAAGCCAATTCCGAGAATTAATTGCGATTTCAGAAGCTCCTTATATTATGTTTATGAAAAGAACCAATGAAACCAATGTATTTTTTATAAGACTCAAAATTCTGGTGTCCCCAAAATTGGGAAGAGTTTTAACTTCCACTGATCGTGACATACCTTGGAAGCGAACATGTATATGTACATGTGTCGGTTGTATCACATGGAGGCGAGATATTGCCCGTTCCCATACTGACGACGACGCTTCAAAAGTATGGTCCTTTTAGTGCTATCCCAGCAGCATCTTTGCAACATTGAGGCAACATTTGCGGCATTTTTAGGAACAAAATGTGCCAAGTTGCTATGGTTGCTCGACCCATACAGATATTGTACAACCACAACCGCCTGACTAGCTTCCGAACAGTGTTCTGCTTCGCTTGTCTGATCAGAAACCCGCATCAAGTGGCTTATCACTATTCAGGGTCACGCAGTCACACTGTGCATGGAGACCTTTACACCCACCAAGATGAATATCGCGGTATCCAGCAAAGCATTCCAATAAAAAAAGGTACTTTCCCTAAAAAAAATCCTTTCTTTTCTTCAGAAAGGAAAAAAAGTTTGTTTCACTTCATACAAACGGTGTTTTATTTGGCTCGCACTCAAAACACATTCGTTTCTATAGTGACGAATAATAAATATATACTTTGAAATGTGGTGTCGATAATCGGCAGATTATTTTGACAACTGTATAATGCGAGTATAAAGGGCTACCTTGATAAGCTGCTTAAGTCGGTCTGATGGGATTAAGACGTGGCTAACGACACCAAACATCAACCAGGAGGGTGTTGAACTGAACAGTCAAGATTGTGTTAAATAATGGGATGAAGTCTCATGTGTTTATTCTCGAATAGCCCTTATGGGCAATAAACAGCCCCTCTTATTGGACAAAGTGTTATAGGTATTGGTAGTCTGAGTATCAACCGTTGTCCAACAGAGCCCTCCGTATCCAGCAATGCAAATGTTATGAGACCCCGCGCCAACCAATCGGAGTCGACTTTAGAAATTATGACGTCATTTCGATCTGAAGTGTGGACTAAGCTGTGGATTGGTCAATTTGGATGCCACGTTTTTGTAAGACAACGGGTTACGGAAGACCTGATAGAAGGCGCCCGGTGAATGGTCAGAATCTGGAGGTCAAGACGCAGTCTTGTTTTGCATAATTAATATGCGAATCTGCTGGCATATCATAGACCCTTGCTATGCATGCAAAGAGATATTCCATAGACTAGGGTATAGGTCTATTGGAGGAGGGTGTCAGAATCAGCCAAGTAACTTTAAATTTATGAATTTATCATAAATTCTTGGGGTCCGGCATTATCAGATCGCTTCTTTACAGTAGTTGTTTTGAGATCTGATTAAAAAACTCTCGAGAAAAGGTTGGCCGTCTGTTGTTTGTTGAGAAGACGAGAGGTAAAACCTCATTCAGACTTCGTCCTTGATTCTTCTGAGTGCGATAAAAGTCTGGAATTGTCCCCGTATACTGCGTCTTTTTTTATTTAAAAATTTTCTCGCACAAAGATCCTACAGTGATGCTGTTGGACTGTTGATCCATTTGCAGCAAATAGACAAGCAGATTCAGTTATCATTGTGAAACCAAGATATTCCGGAACAATAATTATGCAGTCGTCAAAGCAGGAGGACATTGAAGGGATGAAAGTTCTTCTCTTCCATTCCGATTTGCACAACCATAACCGCAACGCATAACCGCGAGTAGGGCATTCCCGCCCTTTTTGTTGCCGCCATGGTGACGTGTACACAAAGTGATGGGAATCAGCTGAGGCCGCTTTGTGTAAGTTAGGCTTAAGGCCGCAGGCTGAGTACGTGTTGCCGACGAGCAAATAATTATGGAGATTTGTGATTAGTGTCTAAGCCAAAGAGTACATAAAATGCCCAATTAAACCCTCATTTTTTCTGTAGCAATCTGGTCTTTGTAGTTGGGATGGAGGACATATCGATGGTACAATTAATAATCCTCCGAAAAGATTCAAAAGTCAAACGTCACCCAAACGGTATATATACGCGTAAACATAGGATACAAACGATGGCGTTTAACTTATTTAGGGGAGGGGCTAACTAGGCCTCACCAAGGGGGTGGGGTGCACCTGATGTGAATGCACCCCCCTCCTAGCCCCTGCGGCCTGCCAACAGAAAGGTCCACATTAACTTCCAGTAGCCCGACTTACACCGCCACAACTGTCTTTTATTAGAAGATGACGTTTCTCACTAACTCCACAAAATCGAAAAATCATGCGTTTTGAACACTTGAAGTTTCTGTTGTAAAAATAATTTTAAAACATTTTAAATTAGTCTGCGCGCACGAGTTGTTGTATTTATAGGGAGTGTATAGGATAGAACAAGGAACAGTTATAAGAGTTGATCCGATTTCTTGGATCTTTTTAATTTGCACACCACTTGAAATCCTGAAAGCGGGCCCAAACCACCTTTTTGGGTGCGGGGAGTTGGGAGGGGGGGGGACATACAATGGGGTACGAGATGGGGTGATAGTTTCAAACCATGTTGCAAACAAAACTACATGTATTCCGACTTCTGAACCGGACAAAGGCGGATCCACCGACTTATGCGTAACGTGTGTAAATAATGCTATATAGTTTATCTAGCCTTCCATTAGCACTTCTTAATTGATTACAGTGCATCGTTTTACAGATGTTTCGTTCCACCGACTCTGCAAACTAATAATTATAAGCCAGTGGTCAACTCCCAAGAGCTGAAAAGCAAACACGTTTTAGCAAAATGATTTGCTAAAGAAAAGAATTGACGCGAAGTGCAAATTGTTGACTTATTTTGCCCGAGAAGCGAACGTGTTTGGCTCAACCCGTAAAAAGGTCTGAAACGCAAACGAAATGTGGCTGCAACTTGAAAGACAATAAATTGCTCAGACATAAAGGTCTTTAAATCAAAAATGGGAAAAAAAACTTGCAGGGGTCTTTGTATTTTTGTAACTGAAACAAAAACACGTTTTGATCATCAAGGGCAATTTGGCGTAACCTTGGCAACGTCTTTGGACCTAAAATCTACAAAGTGATTATTTATTTCAACCCATCTTCACATCTGATCAATTTTGCTTCATAACGAGATGAAAATCTCGTTGAAAACATCAACAAGCTCATAACTTGAGATACCTACCAGAACTGCTCGTAGGAAGTCCTCGTATAAGCGGTTAGCGGGCGCGTGTCTACATTCCCACGGTGAGAAAACGATTTGGCAGAACTGGAGTCCGCGGATGAAGCCTTCCGCGTTGAAATCACCGACGGCGCGCTCTCGACTCGGCGGGGAGGACCAAGCTCTTCTCGGGGGAGACAATCCGAAGGCTCGCGCCGGGGGCGGCAAAGAGTTTGGATAAAAGCTGGGGCACCGGACTCGACTCCCATTTTATGGACATGAACTAGCTGCTCTACCGCAAGCATGCACAACTTATGCTGATATCCTTGTTTTACTGATGTCCTTATTCTAGCTCTATCAGTAGAGCAACAAATAGCCCCGGTGTCAGTGACACGCTGCTATGGCAACGGAGGTTGGCAATAGTCTGGCTCCGTGTAGTGTATTACGTTTAGCGGGCTACTCCTAGTTCGATATCAACGTATAAAATCTCGGATTTCATGCACTCTGCGTGAATGAAACAACCTATCCCTAAGTAACAATTAGTGTTCATTCTCAAGAAAATAGACGTCAAATAGGTAAGATTTTTAAGCGTCTTTTTTTAGCTGAAAATTTAGTCTAGATAATTAAAATTGTTTACGATTGGAATAAATTCTCTGCAGTGCAAAGGTTTTATTGACCCGTTTTGTGTTTAAGCGTTATGCCGCATTCACATGCAAAATTAGACATCATATTAATCATTTTTTCATTGTGCCTTATCGCTCTGTGGTGATTGTACAGCAGTCGTTTTTACAGTTGTTTGATTTCACTGATGGATGACCAGTTCAAACAACAAAACTGAGGGAATATCTGCCTCCAATCTTTGGGTGTTTCTGTCCCTCCGGATTTGAACACTCGACGGTTGCTGAGAGTGAGCGGTGTACGCCTCAGAGCGTGAGAGCGGAAAACACGCAGAAGTTCATTGAGTTGTGTTTGGTGACTTGTAGTTCAAGTACAGAGATTGGACGCTTGCTCTTAACTTTGGAGTAGAAATCCGTGTTAACTACATGTAGGCTATTTTGACTATTTAGGCCAACTAGTTATCAGAAAATTGTCACTTAATTCCAGTATTTACACCAAACTGTCCACCGTGACTTCGTTCCCGATGATAAATATTTTGAGCAGAAGATAAGAGTGTTAAATGTGTAGATGGAATTTTGCATCGGGGTGACGTAAATTCAATTTTGTGCTTTGCCCAATAATATATACATGTATTGTGTGGCATAAAAGTAATTAAATCATGAACATGTACCGTTAACAAAGAATATAGGTATAGAACTATGCCCTCTGTCCCTAGTGACATAAATACCAAGGTAAAAAGCTGAAGTGATCGTGACGTCATCATGACGTGATCACTTCAAAGTATAATCAACTCCCCGATAAGTCATCGACACAAGTTATGAAAGACTCCAATCTCGACGCAGGGCGTGGGAACCTAAACCGCTGTAAAGTGATGAATTTGTCTTTATGATTGAATTGCGTTTAATTGGGAGTGCATGGTGGAAGAGTGTGTAGACAACGGGGAAATTACGCAAACCTCGTGCACGCATGCGCACTTGCAGCAACACAAATCCGTCACGCGAGTAAACTCAGACCGTTGACCGCTGGGGGCTGGGTAGCTAGCCCATCGTTGATTCACACGGCCGTTTTCTCATGGTAGACTGGTTTCCCAGCATTGTAACTCACAACAAAGACATCCTCAATAATTCCATTCCAATATTACCCCAGGCGCTTGTCAGATTAAAACCCTGGGAATAATCATGACATCCAATTAGACTCGTAAAAGTTCAAATCAATTTTATCCTCCTCACTTAATATCAATCAAAATAAAATCACGCGTTCAGGCGGTTAACCTTCAGTTATCAAATCGTCAAACAAATAAAATATTGCACTTGTCGGTTTGTATAGTCTCGGCAATTTGGAAAGAACGCCCTGTAAATGTCCTTATGAATGATTATCAATTGTACGCTTTGTGACGGGTAGTTTTGTACAAGTTAATCAAGCAGGCGTGTTATGGTTGATGACCAGTGTTGTCATGGTAGCACATTGAAGTCTTAGTACTCGGAATTAACGTAGTTCGGGCAGCGCAGTGACACGACCAGACTGGGGTTAAACCGAAATTTAAAAAATTGGAGCCCTAGCGAGTGCTAGACAGTGTTGGTGATCGAATAACTATAGCATACAATTGAAATGCATTATTTCTTGGCAGTATTTGCCCGATCATTGGCCATGCGCCAACTGAAGTGTCGTACAGAATACGAGCAAGCCCAGGTCACAGCCGTGCTTGTCTGACGTGGTCGGGGCTAGATAGGCACCCTCTTCTGAAACCTCGCTGTTGTGTCAAGTGCCGTTCGGTGTTTACCGTACTCCGAGGGGGGAGTCGAGGTAGGGCTGTAAACCGTCATGTATTCCTAACAGTAGCGTTACTTGATTCAACATACATCGACCCACTTGACCCAGACACTCCTCTATATCCATGACTCCAACATGTTTGCATAAATTGAAGGAATATTGACTAGAACAGGAAACTGGTTTGGCATTACTTGTAAAATTGGTTCAAGAGCAGAGGAATCAATATAAACGTTCGAAGAGGAAGCGGAAATACCAAGCAAATTTACTATCGCCTGTTCTCTACAGCTGTCTTTTTCCCAAGAGATTGCGCGGTTTAAAGTGTTGAGATTTTCTGGCAACGATTTTTCAAATGCCAAATAGACTTCTAGCTGCCAAGATCGACTTAATCTTTGGCCGAGTAGGCCCTTGCAAAGCGACCGGTGTCTGTAAGCATTTCTGCCGCAATAACAGCTGGTGATTAATCTGAATATTTAAGTAACAGAAAATTTACATAAACACGGTTGTTCCGTTCGAACGTGAGTTTTTAAATGAAACTTACAACACTACAAACCATTACAGAGTATTAAATCTTTGTAGACAGATATCGAATTGTGATAAGCCTTGGCCAGGCACGGTATCAAAAAAAATAATGATGAAAGCGACAATAAAAACAGTCAATTTCAAAATTTAACCCAAATGATTTATATGATGTATAACATTTTACAAAATCAAATGTTTGTTTAAATTTTTGCGTAAAGAAAATTGAACAATTATTGAACTGAACGAAATACATTACCGTTTGCCTTGAGTGCACCCCCCCCCCCCTTGCAAAAATGTGTGCACCCCAGGCGCCCCCACCCAAGAAGTTTGTCCCTAGTTGCGTCACTGTGTCCCCCTGTTAATCTTCCAACTTATTCGTGTTAAAATAGTACAGTGGAGTCGTTTCCACGAATTGAGTATACAAAAGTAATGTACTAGTCAACTAAAGTGTTACATAAACTACAAAGGATATATAGCACATTTTCACCATCACAATTTGTGTGGATTATAATAATAGTCGTATTAAACATATATGCTTTGGTACGAGATTGTTAAGTACATTTCTTTTTAACAAATGTTGTTAGCACAAGTTTGGTAACAATTCAGATTATAAAATGATTAAGCTTTTATAAAAAGATGCAACTTGAGTTTGCAACTTTTAGGGCGCCCTCTTTTGACTTGAACAATACCAGACTTGCCTTTTCTTAATCACGTCAAACTTTAATCTGCACCGTTTGCAATTTTATTCTAATCATACATCGCCATTGTATGATTAGCCTATATGCAATGCACTAAACTAGTTGCAGCATTTGATCACTAGTTTGTAAATTGTAACATAAACACATAAAACGAAATGAATATAAAACCAATACAGCTAGCCATTTGTATCTAAAAAATTCACGGTTTTTTTTATGCTGGCAGCTAATATAACTTCAGGTCTTGTATTTTTGTAATCAAACAAAGTTAGGGCATACGATATTCGCATAATATGTGAGCTCTGGGCCTTGTCAAGCTGCCTGTTATTTTCAGTCCTTTGTCAAGAGAGGGCGCATGAGACATAAACAGAATGTCTACGGTAATTATTCGGCTGTTCCTATTGGATGAGCTCTCTCCACAACTACAATGCTGGCCCTTCCGCTGTCCTGACCAAACTTATTCACCCCCACACACTCGTACTCGCCGCCGTCTTCAACCTCGAGCCTCATGACCTGCAGCCAGCCCGTAACCTCGTACTCTTCAGGACCGCCCCTGGTCTGAATGGTCACCCGTTCGCTACCGCTGTCACCGCTGGGTAGGAAGTCGCCGGGGCCGTCAGGTCCGATCTTACGCCACTCCACCCTGGGGACGGGGTTGCCCATCACTTCGCATTGGAGATACACGTTCCCTACGGTTGAGTTGGTGACGTCATTGGGCGGTGTTACCACTGTGGGGGCTTTGATAGAAAAAAAAAACACTTGAATTTCAAGCACGCTTCTTGTGTGCGTAATTTCTATAATTCTGAGGAATCTTACATCACATTTACTCAACCAATGATATGCTTAACAACTGTTGACATCAGTAACTAAGAGAAAATATAAGCAATACCAAATAACCAATACCCAATGACAGAGTAATAAAATATCAATATTTAATTGACATTGTTGTGATGTCCGAATTTCAAAGCGGTCAATTAGAGTGAGGTCAGTATGGAGTTGGATATGTCATGCTGTGCATCATATCAACTCAGGAACAGACCGCTTGACAGCATAAACGCTTAGATAAGCACTTCTTTTGCAAGGGTCACAAACATTTGGATTGACCGAGCTTATTTGTAATGTTAGCATGTCTACTTCTCTAATATTTTGCTTGTGAAGTTTGGTTCTGTACCCAAGGGAAAACACCTCATTTTCAAAAATACGGCCACGTCTGAATCGGGTATTTTGCGGCTGAGGCTAGGGCTTTTGCCATTGACGGCAAAGGGAGAAGAGCCCTAGCCGTAGCAAAATGGCCGCTATGATACGGACTCGGGCTTTACCTTTTTCACCCAGCAGCACTTTAATGAAGCAATCAAAATTTAAGAAATTTATTATTAAAAACGTATAATGAATCATTTGCCCTACCTCCTTTACACATTCCCGTTTTTTTCGTCTCAATGTTTCGGCTCGTCTCAAAGGAAATCTTCTGCATCCGACACTCCGTCTCGTACGTCACCCCATCAGAACCACACACCATCCCTTCATCCCTACAGTAGCAGATCATCTCGGGCTTGGCCCCTACCGGTACTCCGTAGTTAGCCCGGCAAGTCAACCCTTTCCCGCACAGACCAAAGTTGTGTTTCTTCTCAGCGAGTTCCTTGACGGAAATATCTTCGGAATCGCAGAACTCGTACTCCCCGTTGCCGCATCGTTGACAACATCGACACGGGTTCCTTGTATCATCCACCAGGCCGTGTGGACACTTATCCTCGGTGACCGGCTCACAAATCACCCCCTCGCAACTGCATTCTTCTGCTGGAGGCTCGATCGCCTTGTCATTATTTTCAGCATCTTGGGAGACGGTGAATTCTTGCAGCAGGAGAAGAAGTAATGCGAAGAACACAAAGCAAAGAATCTTCATTTTGACAAAGAGGAAATTGAACCGTACTTGCCGAAACTCGGGAGCAAAATAGATGGATTGAAGAAATTGTGTTCCTCGTATTTTTAGACTGTTCAACTTGATGAGCTCATGTGCAGACCATTTCAAACGTCAGATAGCATCCAAATTCGATTACATGCATGGAAGAAGTTTATTTCTCCGCTCAAAATGTCGCCGAAAACTATTTTGATTTTGAGAACCGAGAGTTTTGGACGATTGGTGAGGTTTCGATCACTGCTCGACCGGCGAGCTTGCGACTGTGGTCTCAACCGAAACAAGAATGTAGCCGGCCGCAACCCGACCTCTTCAACGATGGTTCATCACGGCAGGGGTCCCGACTATCAGCCTATCACAAACCACGACCTATATCCAGCATAATCAATGCTAACTAGCAGGACTGGTACCCCGCAGCCATATTGTGTCCTGTCACAGCAGTCCGTTAGTTACCATGAGAATCTGAGATTTTTGGCGGTGGTCCAATGTCTGTTATTTCATCTTAATCACATATCGATGAAAAATCGACAAGTCTATCAAACATGGCCAGTGTTGACTGAGCATTCTCACAAAGAGAAATAAACTACACAAATTCCATTGGCAGGAACACACAGCATGCGCATGCATGTATTAAAAAAATCAATAAATGACTGTAAGAAACATTTTTAATAAATATATTTCAATTTTTATCCCGTATTTTAGGTTCCCATCGCTGAGAAGAAAAGCTCTTAGACTCGTTGTTGCCATGACGATGGAAACGAATTGTAAGGTATTCCTCTTCAGCCCAAAACAGGTAACACAACTTTCATAATTATATATATATTTTTTATTCGACAAGTGGTCCAAACTTCCATATCCTTGCTCTGAGGTCAGGGTTGCCGCGTAAAACTTGTTTTATTAAATATTACAATAGCTACCAAACGAAATATTTTCTTTTCGCAGCAAAGGCAATCGCTTCCCGAAAATCGATCAGTATCGAAAGTAAAGTATCGATAAAGTGTCGCGTGACATCGGTCAAATAGGCGATATGGAATCGATAAAGAGAATGAAACTGACAGTCTATCACAATCAGCCTCTGCTGGATAAACGAAAATCCTGCATCTAAATCTGTACGAAGGTTCGAAACCAAAACCTGACAAGAACGAAAACACAAACTCCTTCATCCAAACAGCTCACGGGTCGACAGCTGAGTGGAGTGATGTCAAGGACTCGGGGTCTCGAACTTCAAGTTTAGACAAAGAGTGTTCATTTCACGCTAGCCTTGACCAAGGCTATCAGCTTGTTCCCATACGAACTTGTTCCCGCTACCGCACACCGCGACACAATCACAAGTAGTTCTATACCGTTAGCCTCAACGACCCTTGCGTGTGCTTTGTGTGCATGTACGTACGCCCCACACACACTTCCGCAAACAGCCGTACGTACAGCAAGTCGAGGCGGAAGATAGCCTTGACGCAACCGTGGCGAATTCTTATGTGTTTCTTTATAGTTTCGACCGAAATCGGCCGAAAATTTCTGATGCGCATACATTACACGATATCCAATCAAAGCCCGTAAACTTTGACCCGCGATATACATATTCATGACCCGCAAATTACTGTATACACCACGTACATGTATGTTCACTCAAACCATGGTCCCATTTTAAACCATTTCTCCAGTTTTATTACAAACAAATAAAATATGCCGCTATATGAGTGAACAATTGTTCAAAATGATATATTTCCAATGTATTGCGAATTGGACAGTTCAAGACCGTCCGCCGACATTTTGTCGGTGCAACAGCGTACATTATCACGCCGCTACCTGCCCGTGCTATTCTGCCGGACAGCGAATGTAGGGAATAGGTCAACTCGGACCCAGGTCAAATTGTACCCATTTAATCGAATGCAGGTTAACTCGTATCTATAAGCACCCGTATGAATTAACTGCAAGAAACGAGCTACTGACTTTGAGATGGAAATATACGAAACTGTCAGGTACATGGTGAAAAAAAAACTCTCCCTTAATTCGTACCATGTGCAACATACATGTACATCTCATACGTACGACACATGTATTTTAACGCGTACGTATGAATCGTATGTCGTACCTACGACATACGTACGACATGTAAGTCGTAGATGTAAATCGTACGAGATACAAGTCGTTCTCACAAGATATGTTGTATGTACGACATAATCGACAAACAAGTCGAACATACGAGTTACAATTCATATTTTGTACACACGAGATATTAAGTCGTTTGTCGTATGCGAAATATATCGTACCCTGTCGACTCGACTTATGCACGACATATATGTCGTACCGGCACCTGTCGACATTATGTCATATGTTTGATATGTCATACCCTGTCGACATATATGTCGTAACCTGTCGATGATATTAGTCGTACCCTGTCGAAATATGTCGTACCCTGTCGATATATTAGTCGTACATACGACATATAACTTATAAGTTGTTCATACAAGTTAAAATCAGTCTTACAGAATAAGTTTGCTGAAGGAGAGATACCCCTCCCCCCCCCCCCCCCCAAAAAAAGTCAGCGGTAGATACATACTCAATAGAGTGTGAGCGCTTTTTTGGCCGCTGAACGTGAAAGCGCAGCGTGTCTCACTGCATGGCGCCAGCCGGGCCGGTGCCTACAGTGGACGGCCCCAACGTGGCCTCTGTGCATGGTGACATCGTTTTTGCCGGCGTGCGGTTTTGTACCGTTTGCCGTTTTTTGAAGGTCTAATTTTTCATCCTTTTCATTTCATTTTCGACCCAAACTATGTGTAACTTTATAAATATTATTCTACTATTATTTAAGATTTTAAGGGGGTGTTTTACAATAATTATTGTCACCACAGGCCGTCTGGTTTATAATCCTTTGGTCGTATTATGCAATTTAATAAATATTCATATTTTTGTCAGCCGTTATCCAATGAGAGAAGACTATTTACCATAGCGCGAACAAATTATCATATTCAGCATACACGGTTGCGTCAAGGCTATCTTCTGCCTCGACTTACTGTACGGCTGTTTGCGGAAGTGAGTGTGGGGCGTACGTACATGCACACAAAGCACACGCAAGGGTCGTTGGGGCTAACGGTATAGCACAACATTGTGTTGCTGCGCGCGCCGTGTGCGGTAGCGGGAACAAGCTCATATGGGAACAAGCTGATAGCCTTGGTCAAGGCTAATTTCACGCCTGTCAATTCAAACCGTGGGCAAGTGACAGGTTTGTGTTCAGCTCAAGACAACATTCCTCCACGCCATTAATCTACTCCTGCTCCCTAAATTTCAAAACAAATGCCTCGACTTCTAAAGCAAACGTGTTATTTCAGTACAAGTATTAAATAAACCAAAGTTAAAGGGAATATACAACATTTGCAAACATCGAAAAATAAAACTACCAAGTTTTTACGACATACCTTACTAGGATGTTGGTAAATGACTGTCTCAAGCATCTTGTAAAATTATGGCACCTGGTGTGAAGTCATTTTCGAGAAAATGGTATTTTTGTATACATTTCCAACGGTGATCGGCCGACCAGCGTTGGAAAAACCTAACTATTTTTCAACCACGGCTCCAAATTCACCATTTTTTTTCAGTCCAAATTTTGTTTGCTATTGGTTACATGTTCATGAACGGGTGCAGGCCAGCTAAGACTGGTTCCCTTGCCTTGCAATTTTCCATCATCTATAAATTGATCCATTTTATCTTTTGTGGAGTCAGGGAACCAGACTACTTGAACATTCTTGTTTTTCTTGGTTTTTCCAACCTTTTCGAACACAAAACTTCAGTGTAACAATATTTGATCTATTATACTAACCCCTCAAATAGTTCATTTCCGAAAATTACAGCAAAAGCCAATGATGTACATTCCCTTTAAACTGAAAATGATTTAAACTGCTGCAATCTGGTCACTTTCGCTAAATTCATTCACAGATTCTTTGTGATATTACTTTAAGGGACGGTGGCTTTTTTTTTCTTTTGGTGCTGCCCCAAACAGGCAAGTTGAGCCAACTGTTTCAAATTAAAAGCAAGGCTTAAGTAAAGAAGCGAGCATCTAAAATCAACAACATTAAGAACTTATTGGCCATTGTTCTTTAATTTTAGCTCACTGTCCAAGGTAACCGGCCGCACTTCCTATAATGATAATCCCAATGGATAACAATGGCATAGCAGGAAAACAATTGAAACAAGATGGAAACACTCGGAGTAAGAAAAACACTGAACATGAATGTCCTGACAAAAGTTACTGACCCTAAACCAAAAGAATGACACTTTTCCTTCTTCCTGTTTATACAGGTCCCATGCTTTGCTGAAGATTATGCGTCGTTTCGTTTTTACAGGGTGCTGCAAAAAGAAGGAAACCCACTTTTGACAGGAATTTTAACCTACTTACTTAACTTATTGGAACGCACTTTCGTTACATATGTGATGTAATTTCTAAAATAAACTTCTCAAATTTCGGTTGGCTTGTGGACCGACAATAAAGTCATTTTGCGATGTTTATATACTGGTTCCCTACTCTTGTCAGGGAGGACTTACTTGTGTGCAAAAGCAAAGCCTTTTTAGGGGGTTTCAGTCGCCCAAACTAGAAAAGACATATTCGTTAAAAAGACATAATTTGAAAAATCGTCGGGACCTACAAAATTATATTAGTTGAAAGCCACAGGCAGTCGTACATCGTTAATTCCAAAATGGATTGAGCTGATAAAAGTTGTCAATAAACACCGTGATTGTTAGTGTTGACCCAACACATACCATCACGTGGCCAGGTCACGTCCTAGGTTGTACTAGCGTGCCAAGAATGTCACAACAGCACATTAATCATTGCTCCTTCAGTTTCGAGTCCATTATTGCAAAAATGGCATTCTCTTTCCAACTGAACTTATACTGGCTTTACACCACACACCCGTATCGCTTTCCCTTGCGGAAAGAGAAGAGCCGCTGCAACGATCACGCCCTGGGGTTCATGTCGAAAACTATAAATACTATTTTTAATTTGATAGGACCACCCAAAGCTGCTTGAAAATAGGGATGGTTCAAATGGCAATTAGAACGTAGTTCTGGTGTGCCATTGCCAATTTGTGTCCCAAAAATCGAACAGAACATGAACAATTATGAAATAAACTTTCAAAGTGACCTTGGAGCGTTGTGAAAATTGTTCCTGAACTTGGAGTGTTTTATCATTGAGATCTATGGCACTTTCTTTACTGCATGGCTGCAACGTGATGGGAGTTCGGGCAGCTGGGAAGCATTCCAGTAATGGCTCCGTCACCATAATTTCAAATCGGATTGGGTTATAACTTTACTGACGTTTTGCTACTGGCTACTTTGATGAATATGTTGATTGCTTGACGATCATCTTGCGGCCTTTCTTTCTCATTTTCAAACCTCGGCTTCGTTTTGGTTTAAGTGGCAACATCTCTATATTTAAAACCGAGAAGCCTGTATTCATGAGCAAATTTCCATACCATAATCATGGGAATTGATATTGAGCTGGATAGCCAAGGTCAGGGGCCTAGAATCTCCTGAAACCGAAACCGATGTTGGATCCGAGGTTTGAAAAACCTCGTGTAGAACTGATCGGAGCAACATCACCAACAGAGGGCGCTATGGCGAGTTTACAACTGGTCGTTTTCTTCAAAAGACTTCAATTCCATTGTGATTTCACAAAGGTTTCAGATATAGAATGATGCCTGTGCAAAGAAACTTATCATCCGTGGCATCTTTATTTACATATGAATTATCGCTGTTGGTAGTTTCCGCTAGCTTGTCTCCATAGCAATCATAAACAGAGAAATCGATAGGCCCTACTAAAGAAAACAAGTCAATAAGAAAAGAAATCACATCGATCTTGAAAACCGAACAGGACGATCTGCCCCCCAAAAATCGATTACTTACAAACCGAGCTATCAGCTCGGGAAAAGCTTCCAGATTGCTGTTTTATTAATTTTTTAACGGTGAAAGTAACTCTGATTTCAAGATATCATAGGCCTATCTCGAGCCATTTTCATGAGCTGTATGCTGGCTAATAAACAAAATTCCTGTTTTTTCCCTCGCGGCCTTCCACCTCAGTGGTCCGGGTTCGATTCCTGCCCTGCTCCGCATGTATAGATTGGGTTGTTCGCTACCTGACTCAGCGGGCTTCCTCCAGAATATTCTTCTGGAGTTTTCCTCCGTTGTCTAAAACTGTAATGTCTTCTCATTGTCTCCTCTCTACAGGATTCTTCAGGTTTGTGAACTGCAGTGCCTATATGGCACTTTTGAGGAATCCTTGGTTTCAGTACTAGAAAGAAATCAATGTACACGACTGAATTTCGCTCAGCGATGTAAAGCAATATTTGCTTTCAAAGAACTTGCTAACATTTTATTCCAATCAGTCCCATAAATTAAAACACATTTTACACCCCAAAGCATTGTCTTTGCAGGATTTTTTTTTAATATACAGGCCCTACTCTTTTGATATGAGCAAACGTTTACTTGCCTTGCAAGGAGTTTTCGGCAGATAATTTCTTGTTCTTTATATACCTGGCACATGTCCACACATAACTATGACAAATTTCGCTGTATTTATCGTCTGGTTTCTAAGAGAATTATTTCATTTAGCGCATGTAAGAAATTAAATAGCATATCCCCGGCCCCCAGCTTACAGGAAAGCAACGCATGCATCTTCCCTGCGCTTTAAAGAGAAGTATAATGTCCACAGATCACATGCTCACTACATGCTCACTACTTTAATAAGTTTGCTCCGCCGATGACAACAAAATCCTTGGAAAGAATTGATGTCTATGTTTCTACGTGCATTAGTACAAGAGTTTGCAAACACACCACTCCAACACTACCTCAAGCAGTCCCGCAGGTATCTGTTCCCCCTCCCCACTTGTAAGGCACCCACAAGCAAGATAACTTGCAAGTGACAATCGAAGAAACACGGACATTGTCTGAGAGGTTTTTGTCAGGGGAATTCTCCTTAACACCAGGCTTCTGCCTTTAGGATATGCATGGAGGATATGTGAGGGCTTGGGTAAATAAATGGGACTTATATAGACCCACATGTTGGCTTAAAGGTGCTAAGTCTTATCCTGAAGGGATGTAATGGGCCGTGATTGGGCCCCTGACGTAAAAACTTAGCAGCCAACAGACAGTTTAAGATGTGTATTTTAATATTGACAGCACTTGTGAGATGCTATATATAAAACCACAGTGAACATCTAGATTCTTTGGAAGAGTAATATCATATCACTTTCCGTTTTTCTTGCGTTGCATACTTCTAGCTGTTAAAATGTTTGTGGTCATTATTTTGTCTGTGCGTCCGATCAGGTTACAGAAAATAACTTCGCCAACTCCTAAAATGTCCGTTTGTGCATGGAGGAATAAAAACATTCTTCCATGCTTTGCGTTACTGAGTGTTTTTTGTGTTCGCTTTAAATTATGGTTTAGTTCTTACTTTCTTCCTCTGATTATACTTTCAAAGGTGTGTTTACGACTACGAGAACGTGTTAATGTTAATTTTACAAGGCCTAAAGCGCACCAATGTAGGTTTCCTTTTCTGAAAGGACTTTTCATTCGTAAGTTTAACGCAGAAGTGGGTTTCTATTCCTTTGTTCTTTATCATCGCCATAAAGCCAGAGGTCATCACCATGGAAACGGAAGACAGCCATGTAAACAATCCTTGACCCCAGTGTCAAAAAATGTCCCCCAGATGGGATCCCTATAGAAAATGCATTTTAAAGTATGTCTATTTTCTCCATTGTATGTCCACTTCCTTAAAAGTCAACTCAGTCGACTGGAACAAATATGTTCCACATGAAAAGTGGAACTTTGTAAACACAGACGACAAAAGAACCAATAAATCATAGAACTAGCTATAGTCCCAGTAATTATATTTATTTCAATCGAACACCCCTTATCTGACGGTTGAAATGTTATTTTGGGTTTGTGCCCTACATTGGGTTGCATCTGTTCCTTGCTCTATGGTTGCATGAAACGCCATTTCCGAATGAATTGGAGCAGATGTTAGTCAATGAATATCAAAGGAGTTACATAAAAACAATTGCAGAAATGTCACTTCATTGTTCACTGCTTGCGATCTCAAACAGTGTGCATTCACACTCCAAATTTATAGATTTGCCAATCGGTATTTTTGTAGACCATGTATCCTCGTAATGGATTTGTGCCTTTTTAAAAACTATTTGGGACAAGTATTGCCGTACCAGGAAATATTGTTGACAGGCAAGCGCGGCAGACTAACAAAAACCACTGGCTGTTTATGTTACCAAGGCATCAGCCCAAACTGCCGGGTGACTGGAAGGCTGTAGACTAATAAATTAACTGGATGTTGCTATAAATCCTTACGAATATTTTACAAATTCATTCAATTAATACGCATTCATAATTGTCACGTCCCTAGCAACTACACACGTTAGGTTACATGCACTGTTCTATAAACAAAGTCCAAATCATCCTAAAGTTATCAATAACAACGATATAAAGCCCACAGCTTTTGAAATATGGCATGTCCGGCAAATCTCGAGTGTGTAACTAGGAATTCAAAGTCCGATCGGTTTGTTGAACTATAGGACCGTTAGACGAATTTTGAGAGTTGTATCGTTGGAGAATAACGACCACGGTGATAAAATAATATCGTAGTAATATTTTAAACGACATAGTTGAACATTTCCTCCCATAAATTGCAAATTTATGCCAGTAATGACCCAAGTAATGTCTGACACTTTTAACTTTATTCTTGAGCAATAATATAAAGCCGAAAATGGTATTTACGGTAACTTCCTGAAAATTATTCTGGAGGGTTAATTAGAAAATGTGTTCACAATTTATGTATATTTTAATACAAACATCACACAATTCAGCTGTCCACCTGAGCCTATTTGATCATTCACTGTCCAAATATACAATGAAACGGGCGTTTTCCGGCCTTCATAAATGACCGAAAATGTGCACAGGAAAACAGACAAAAATCATCATTAGTATTTCAGGGGAAAAATCCTAATATTCAAAACGCAAAATCTGACAGTAAAACTAATGTTTCAGTCTTGACCAGAAGGGTAACAATGTCATATTTAAAACTGCGCGCGTGTAATCTCTGGTTCTCACTCAGCTCAATAGCTTAACATGGCGTTCCTGGACAGCTGTAAAAATGGATTATTTTAGTAACATATGCACATACGTCTCATATTGCACGGATCCATTTCTGTATCAATTCCTTCTTTTTTTTTCAAATGAGTGGAAGAACATGCTCGTGTGTGTCCAATTTAATTGCTTTTTAAGTGGAACAATTATTAATCCATGTTTCTTTCTTTTTGACTCGTTCTGTATAATATGAGAGAAAAACATTTCATTTTCAGGAGACGAAAATGATGCGGTTAGAATGCATGTAGTACTACTAAACAACGAATTGTTCCTCAGGATCAAGTCTTCTGACGTCATCAGCCCATTCTTTGAGAGACTTGCGTACGACTTTGATCGATCCCTGAGCTGCTCAGTGTTAATCTCTTCAATCCATAAGCTGTTCAGTGTTAATCTCTTCAATATTTCCTAGAATTCACTCATGCATTCATGAATAATCGATAAAGGTCAATGAAACGTGCATGGTCGACCTGGAGATGCGGTCAATGGCTGGCGGTGGAGGAAGGCTTTCTCCTTGGGCTGACAGTGCGGTCAAAATGAAAAGTCAAGATCTAAATTTTGGTCAAAATTTAAAAGGTGTAACTCTCTAAATTTCCAAACGTTGAAACTAGGAACTAGATGGTTTACAGTCAAAGTCACCCTAATTTTAGAGGGGAAAACTTTGAAACAGGATGACCCCAGTTGACACTGCAGTGAAAATTGGATCTTTTCGACTGAATGCATTTCACTCTAAATCGTCTCGTCCCAAGTTTCAGTCAGGCGGAGTGAACTTTCACTGAAGAGAGTAAATACTCTTTAGACATGGCAGAATAAAGATTTCTGTCACATTTTGACCAATAGTTGATCATGGTTTCAGTTTACTATCATTACCTTATTTAATTTTCTTTATAAAGAAAGTGACAGTGAGAATTTGGGCGGATGCACATGAAACCCGGGACTAGAAGTCACGGTAACTTGGTTATGTTTACCTTTTGTAGTTGGTCATGTTTTTTTTTAATCACAGGATTTTGCTTCATTTGCAATTGAGCCTGTATAGGTTACAAGTCCAGTCTGTGGTTTGTACAAAATTTCACCAGGCATAGAGTTTACAGAACATGATGTGTCATTATCCAAACTAACTTAAGCTTTGTCATTTCGCATTTAAATGTGCAATATCCCGACGACAATTTCTTTCACCCTAACATTAATGATCGTCTGTCATAGCAAATATTGTGTTGAGAAAAAAAAACAAGGTGAATTTGGGAATAAAGACATTTAAAAGTTTGTCAATTTTTCAAAATTCCACATAGGGCTAGACTTTGTACACACCTCCATGTACATGTGCACACCGTGTTTTCCAGTTTGAGATCAACAATCCGTACTCTATACTTGTCATCATATTCCGTGACTTTCAGTTCTTATAAGTAGACCCAACTTTGACAAACTATAAGGAAAGAAATCAAATACTTACGCAATTTTCAGCATGTGCTGGACCAAATCCACTTCCGATTTGTTCTTAGATCCCACGGTTACCATTTTGGCGGTCGAGGGGACGTTTTACTCGCTACATCCTTGTCTTTTGAGTCTCTGTTTCACTGCGACGAAACCAGTTCCTGACCACCCTAGTTCAGGCAGTGTTATGTCTACCACTCGGCTACAAAGTACTGGTCCAGATGATCGCAAAATGAGGGCCTAAACCTCGGGAAATATTGTGGTTTATTTCGAAGTAGCCGGTCTAGTCCATGGGGTAACCCTGTCCATGTCGCTACCCTCCATGTCTATGTACGGGACAGTTTTCATTCAGTACACACGTTGTCAAGTAAACGGAGCACGCTTCACACCCCGTGCGTGCGTGCAGGGCACTATTCACTCTGTTCGTCGGTTAGTTCGTTCCCCGTTGTGACCTTTTCCCTGTATGGATCTCCACTTATCCCGGGCACGAATTGACCTCTACTTAGCTATGATAAAATTGTCATAAATTCATATACTCCATTGCAGAAGAATTTTGGCCTTAAAAGAAAAGAGCGATGTGACTCTCCGTTATATACCACATACTGTTGGAAGAGGTCCTTAACAGCATGTTGTTTGTGTCCTTGGGCGAAAGCTGTGAGCCTGACAACTTTCGTCTATGGCACCTGTTGATTTTTCAGCTTAGTTATAATGGCATAATGAGAACCACTGAAGCAAGGCACCTTTATGAGCCATTATTAAGATATAATAGACTGCATGGGTTGCCTCGTCTCATGGTGTAAATATTGACCGCTGGCAAATTATTACCCCAACAATTAGTACGGCCAATGAATGACTGCAACTGGAATTGTTAGGTGCACGTGAATTTCATTTTACGAGGGTTTGTACTGGTGAAAAATCTTTAAACTGAATTACGACTGAGTCCACATTACACAACAGTGAAAATATGTAATTATTAAATTCATCTCGAAATCATTTCTGAGTGACGAACTGAATGGACAATTTCAGTTTATAGCAATATATTGACAATGGAACCAATATGGGATTGTCATATTGAAACAACTGGGAAAACAAGCTCTTCCGTCGCGTTACTACGTAGGTTGCTATGGTAATACCTCAGAACCCAACCAAGCGGCAGCAACCTGCACAAGAGGCAATGAAGAACATAGTCTGAGTATCATCCGTTGTTCAACGGAGCCCTGGGCCCTCTCTGTAGCCGACCAACGTCTGATGTGAGCATTAAAGTTATGCGACCCTCACGCGCCAGCCAATTCCCCAGACGACACCCTAACCATCCCTATAAGTTCACCTTAGCCTTCTACCCCTACCCCCATAGAAGCAAATCTTTTTACAAACGAAGAGTAATTATTGGTTTTTGGTCAAACTTAATAAATTTCGGTCAGTTTCATTAACACGCATTCAGCATAGCAGGTTTTTATTACTTTAGAAATTGTAACGTCATTTCTATCAGAAATGTGGATTAAGCTGACGACTCGTCATTTTGGATGCCATGATTTTGTAATACAACAAAGGAATACAGCGAGACCCGATAGAAGGCAGCCGCTGAATGCTCAGAATCTGGAGGTCAAGACGCAGTCTTCTTTTATCGAATTAATAGCCGAATCTGCTCGCATGACATAGACAATTAGTATGTGCAAGAAGATATTCCCTATGATGAACACTGCTTTAGCTCGAATGCTATAAAATAAAAGTCGATGCTAGGGACGTCACAAGAGAAGTAATTGACAGGTCGGAGAAGCGAGGATTTAGAGGCAGGATATTAACCTGAAACTGCAAGAATGAAATGGTCATTACAATTATTATTGTGCCATCAACTGAAATCCAATTATCGATGTAGTCAACAGTTTAAAATGGGAATTAAGAGTTAGATAAATTCCAAGAAATAAATAAGACTTGGCTATTAAACTACTACAACTTGAATAGATCAGGGAGACGAGAAGAGGGCCGACACCTCTAGGGCCGTTGAGGGCGCCATTGCTCTTTCAGGTCGTCGCAATAATTATGCCAACTGAACCAACTCCAACCCCATATACGACACCCCTTGTGTGAGTTGTGTCCCACTCTGATCCCCATGGAAGATTTTGCTCATCAAATATTTGAAAATGACACCCGATAATTATCATTTACTCAGAATTTGTCAACCATTTGTATGGACTATTTTGCAAGGAAGCCTATGTTTTTTCCTGTATGCAATGCTTTACTATACTTCATAACACAAGAAGAACATTACATTATATTTCTTACAAGTACATGTATATGTCTTAACTTAATTACCAAACCACTATTCACATTATAAACATAAATTACAATCGAGTTGGCGTTTCTTTTGTTATTGGCAACAATCGTTAGTATCCATGGGGAGCTCATCTTTTCACTCCTATAATTCATCTGTCGTGTGTAAAAGATTTTGACGAGAGATTTTTTTTAAAAGTTGCACCCATGCCATTCGGCCTAAACTACAGGATTTTCAAGTATCAAGTAAATTATTTTTTTATTGAGTCACGAAGTGGTTGCGATAACACTGTCGAACATCATGTTCCGGTTTAGTTCTGCTTTTCATAATTGCAATAAAAGTCGAAATCATGGAATAGGCAACTTTCTCGATCTCGGGTCGCATTTGTTATAAAAAAAAAAACCGGTGCATGATTTATTTGAATTAATTTGTGTGCAATCAAATCTTAATCAGATATCGAAGATTATTCGTGTTGCAGCATGCGTGGGCAATAATGAGGCCGAATGGCACACTGCAGACACCTTTTGAGTTTCTTCAAATGTTCAATCAAATCTAGCTCTGATATTACTGTCATTACTGTGGATTATTTCTTTTCAACTTCTGCAGATGTAAACGACATTATATGAAATTCACAGAAAAATGTTACCACTACCATCGTCGTATGCATGCTGTATGGGAGTCAGTACAGTTCAACCTGGGTGTAACCGGTAGTAGGCCTGCCTGGGATGGAACCCTCTAGATCTAGCTCCTCATCATCTGATGTTGATTGTTCGTTGTTGATGCTTGGCTCCAAGGCACTGAATCTACCTCTAGACATCACGGGGCTACAGGCCGACCTCCTAGATTGTCCAAGCAAAGGGGAGCTCGCGGCTGACCCCATCTGATGATTGGTCGGAGGTTCGAGCTCCGAGACACGCACCGGTCCTTGCGATGTACTCGGGAGAGGTTCCATGCCAGGCAAAGTCGGGGAAGTTGCGCCCTCTGCTCCGGCGTAGCTGCTCGTTGCATCAGGCTCAGATCTTGCGGAATCTACTCTGCTGACGTCTTCTTGGCCTTCTTCGGGATCTCCTGTTTCAAGCAATGGGCGGAATACCACCAGTTCTACATTCTGGCTTGTCGTTTTGTGCACATTGTCTCGTCGGCAGCTGCGGGAGGCCAGGCAGGAAAACGCCTGCAGAAATGCCACCCTGCGGTCTGCATTGGCCACGCTGTAGATGATAGGATCGATGGAACAACTGATCAGATACAATATGGAAACGCATCTCTTAAGGTACATGACGCCCGTATGACTGTCTAGATGACGATTGTCGGATACATCTTGGATGAGAGTTACTACGGAAAAGATGATAGCCATGAGGTTGTAGAGGAAGAAGACGGCTGTGTTTAAGATGACGATGCCTAGGATGCGGTTACCACTGACGGAAGATGTACTATGTATGTGGTATGTGGGATACACTGTCTTTACGATGATTGTATACAGGCAAACATTAATGAATAAAACTGCCGCGTGAACGACGATTTTCAGAACTGAAACAGCCAGTTTGTTTTGGACTTCGAGACTGTCAATTATGAAGTGTGATGTCCCAGCGCATAGCGCGATCGCCCAGAGCCCGGCCGATATCTTACCGGCTCTGGACTTGGTGGCACGGGCACGGAACTTGATGGGCGTGGTCACTGCGAAGTATCGGTCCACTGCTACGGTGGTGATGAAGCAGTACGATGCGATCCGGCAAGTCAGACGAGATGAAGACAGGATGTCGCGTACAGTGGTTAGCAATGGATGAGGAGATAGCCACATGCTTGACAGAGCTAGAGAGATGGCGAGAAAGGAGGTGTCTGCCACTGCTAAATTGAACAGGTAGATGTAGATGATGGAGCGCATAGCCCTGACGCGAAGTACCACGTACAAGAAGATCAGATTCGTCAGCAAGCCAACGGGAGACAAGAACGTAGTAGCTTCATTGAGAACGGCATCTTCGCCTTCGGTATCCCAGGAATGATTAAGATAGGATGATAGGATCTTATTATAATCAACAGAGGCCATGTTCAAGGTGACTATAATCAACTTTGAACGACTGGAATTGATTCTAACAAAACAGTGGATTGGAACTGACGAACATTTGTGAGCAAACAATGATCTGCGGGGTTTTTATACTCCCCTTATTTTATGAGCATGCATTCACCGATAAAACTGTAACTGAAAAGAAAGTGCGGGACTTTCAGTGACGCAAGTCTACGTGGATGTTGCTATACCAACGAAAGTTATGTTGCGCACGTCTGTTCAAAGTTGCGTCAGTTGATGTTCGCGCACTCAGTCAACGAAAGTAATAGTGAGGATTGGCTGGTTGAGTATCATTTAAAAAAAAAAATCAAAGAAAAAGTCACCAAAAATCCAATATTACAAGTCGAATCCAGGTTCCATGAGTTTACTTTCTATTCCAGATTTAAAATACATGTCTTCCTTTCTTTCTTTTTCTGAACAGTTAACTTTCCCAGGACGTGACGCACGTAGGCCTACATTGTATTTCTTTGTTCCATAAACGCATTTTTGGTTTCGGCTGTCCGTGAATTCTGTTTAAAAATAGTCACAAATGTGGCGTGATTTTTTTCTCTTTCCTTTTTGGTTTCCTGTGTAGAGCTTTGTATATTAGCTTTAAATTTCTGCCAATTTTCGGTTGAACAAAGGGTTTGAAAAATTTAATAATTGATTGACAGGTTGGAAACAGTGATGCAGGGATAAGGTAGGGATCGACTCAAATTGAACAGAAAAAACACAGTTTATGGGTTAATCAACTTGCTGAAGACAATCCATTTTCACATTTCTCTTTTCTTTTAGTACCATGGAACCATTTGGTATATATATCCATTTTGTGCACTGTCTGTAGATAGCGCTATCTGTACTCCAAATTCTCCAATCATCAGTCACCATGATCAGTTGGGTTGTGCAGTTGGTTGGACCATGGATGTAGGAAACACCCACGTGTACAAGTCGAAGAGCTGGGGCAAGATATGCAGACTCAAAACATATTAACAGTAAACGTGGGCTCCATTGTACAGTACGCCTTAGGCCAAAAAAAAACTCCACGTCCGATTACATGGCATTTGAAAATAGGGTAGGTAGGTAGAATTTTTTTTGTGCGAACATATGGAGGTATCTGCGTGTAGTTAAGGGTAATGGTAGTAATTGATGATTTTCGTTTTTCCCCTCATTTTCCACCAAAACAATTAGGGCAGGGGCTGTCAAAATAGGGTAGGTAGGGTAACCGGAAGCAGAACTATTATTTGTTTGGCCTTAGGTATGCTTTTATAACAATGCGCATGAATATGCAATGTTAAAGTCCAGAGCTAAACAAATTCAAAAGGCATATGGTCTTCAGACTAAATCAAGTTCATTTACTGCCGTCATCACACCCATCTTGACACACGGAAAAGACTAAATGAAAGCCTGAACCATAAAATGACCAAAGTTTGCATGCAGGTTGCCTGAAATGACATCCTCTCAGTTCCATTTCGTCTGGTAATTTTCCTCCCCAACTTAAGTTGGCATGGTCTCCAATGGTTTATCAATGTTCAGTTTCTGAGATCAAAGGTCAATCCCATTTTGACCTTTTGACCTGCATCTCCTTGGTCCCATCCGGCCGGTGCTCTTCATACAGCCCATCTCTCTTGTTTTCACTCATGGCATTCAGGTAGGCTACGTAGGCGACACACCCAGTCAATGCAACCAGGCCAAAACCCATGACGTACTTGTTCTGTAGGATAAAATATTTAAACATACGACCAAGGTTAAATAAATTGATATTTTGATGAAAAAAAAATCACCCACCCCTTCCTCCGAGTCCAATCAGAATAGTTTCTACGATTAATTATGCAAACTTATCCTAGACAGTTTCACAGATACCTACAAATGCCTCCTGAAATTGCCACAAAGACGGTGGCTTCAGTATCACTATCAGTGAAATGGTCTAGGCAGAATTGGGGTAGGGGATTGCACCCCCCCCCCCCCCCCCCCCCCGCATTATATTGCCCATCGCCAATCGCCAAATGTGGTTGATCAATGAAAAGAAATTTTAACAAGTGCACCAAACGATTTCAATCAATTTACTGACCTGCCGGGCAAAGAGTTCAAAGTTGACGGCTCGAAAGAGACTCGTTGTCCGGACGGTTCTGAGTCCCTCGCTGGTGCTTTGATGCCCTTTTGGTTGGGATTTTTCACCATCAGCCATTTTTGTTGTCGAGATTTGCAATTTGTTGCTTAGAAATTAACTTTATGAATTGATTATGCAGACTAAGTGCACTGTTTACAAAGTCTCTTGTTGTCGTTACTGTGTGAAACTTCACCTTTGCAGACTGGCATTATTCTGACACTACATTTTAGAGGATATTTGGTTTTTATACAATCTTTTTTCGGGCACTGTTTTACGTCTTAAATTCTGCAGACGACACACACTATGACCTGTAAAGTCTCGCGAGAGCGCGTTTGATTTGAGTTTGATCACGGTATATTCATTTTAATTTGCTTAAATTTATCCTGAATTTTTTTTTCGAGCAAGTAATTAATTGAATAAGTTACTTTTAGGTGTTTTGTTTTTAGTTTTGCAATGACTCATGAATTTGTTTTTAGGTTTTCGTTCCCTTTAATTTCTGTGAAACGAGATTTGGAACATTCAAGATGGCTGCGCCCGTGAAGAAACGAAAAACGTCCTTGCCCAAAAAGACAGTTGGCCTAGCTTTTCCTGTGAAGTTCCCCGATATTTCCATGTTTATTGTAGAGCGGAAAATACAAAGAGCTCGACTTGACCATGTAAAGAATCTAGCACGAAGGAAGGGGTTTCAAGTTAGCGATTCTTTGAAGTGAGAATTTTGTATCGATAATTTGCCTTAACCAGTAACGATATTACACGTTGCACACCACTTTATTGCGAAGACTACTCGCGTGTATTGTAATTGCCCGTTTTCGATAATTGTATTTCAAGTGATAGAGTAAACTTCCAAGGAACCCTAGTACTTTAACTTGGCTATTTGGAAACTAAGGACAAGGTCACAATTATTTATTATAAGTAATTTGATTTGTCTGAAGTATTATTATTTTTTTCTCAATGAGAAACCTACAGCCACTAACCAACGGTACGGGAAGGGGCCAGGGGGTGGGTTGGGAGGCCAGGGAGGTGGGGCAATCATGTAGTTATGGGCCCCGATTTAGTTTCGAGCAAGGAATTTTTTTAAATTTTAACATTAAGTAATTACCTTTTCATTTTCAACCAAAAGCAGACTTCCAATTCTAATGACACCTTTTTTTTGTAATTTTGATGAACTGCTAAACTTTGGGTCCCACAATCTTTAACTTGAGTTAGGTTAACATCATCAAATTTGCTATGCTTAAGGCGAAATGCCCCAAAAAACATGTTAAGCATCCTGCCTTTTTGAAACAAATATGCGGGAGGCCCTTCTAAAAAAAATAATTTTCCTACAAAACGGCCGCCTGATCATGATGATCGATCAGGCTATTTTTCAATATGGCCGCCAGTTGTTTTTTTAAATGGCCGCCATTGGACTCATAAAGTGACATAACAACAGCTTTATATGGGCTAGATGCAACAGGTAAAGAGGCCAAAATGACGCACTGTTGAAAATTTATCATTTTTTTCGTAAAAAAAAAAAAAAGGAGGCGGCCTCCAAAAGGAAAGTGGGCATGGACGCTAAACATTTTTGTTTTTATTTCGCCTTACTTTGCTTTATTTTACAACATAGAGAGCAGTGTAATATTAAATACATCACCTTTTCTGCATTGCAGTGAATCAGTCACTCACATAATTTCTGAACTGGAGACGAGAGACCAAGTTCTAGAGGTCTTGAGAGGCAGACTATCAAATGATGTTGAAGCTAGTCTCTTTCTCAAGGATGCAGAGATTGTCTGCATGGGATGGTTCACTTCCTGTATGGAGGAGGGAGCTCCGGTGCAAGTAACACATGGACACAGATTGAAGCCAGAAGTAAAGGTATATATCAGTGGAGGATCTAAACCAACTGCCCCTCCCCCCCCCCCCCACCACGGAAGTTGGCCTCAAAAAATAGGAAATCATGCAGATAAAGTAACACATGCCTGCCAACTCCCCCTCCCTGCCCTTGAACACTACCACCACCACCCCCCTCTCACCGAGCCCCTGTCCTCCAATCCTTGTCCGTGCCCCACCCCACCCCCTGCCCCACCCCCATCATTAATCTACCCTCATTACTCTTAGAGACAAAATGGAAGGATAAAGTTAAAATGACTTTGAAAATTGAGAGTATCCAATGTAGCTTTAGTTTGCAAAAACAGGACCTCAAAGTTTGACAAAAATTCCACACTTTTTATGCATTTGCATTGCAAATGTTGGGTGGCAAAAATAGCCTACTAAATGCCTAAAAGATCGATGCCTAGACATTCTTTTTATGTATTAACCTTTGAAAATGTGCTACCCAATCCCCAAATTTTGGAGTCATTTTCTTCTTTGTTTGCAGGCTGTACCCACAGTGTCGTCGTCATCAGCTTCCAAGACGTGTTACCAGGATGCCAAGTACTGCTGTCAGCGAATCACTCCATTGAATCACCACAATAAGAAGCTCACTGTAAGATAATACCAGAGTTTTTCTATTGACTTTTTCTTTTTAACAGCCAAATACCACCCAAAATAAATTTGAAAGATTTCTAGGAATTTGCTGAATTTTGTTTATTTCAGAAGGATTCACACCTTATTTTGACAATTTGAAGAAAAAAAAAAATTGTTTAAATTCTGACTCATGTAATGAAGCTTGAATTCTGATGATTAAGAATGTTATTTCAAATTCCACTGACAGTAATATTTATCGATCCAACAGTTGAAACAATTTAGCCACTTTATTTTTAAAGTTGTTATCCCTTCAATCATTTTTCCTTTCAAGGATGCATTGGAAGTTTTGGAGAAGCAAGCCGACTTTCTTGGTGGAGACAACAATTCATCGCGAGCTCTGGCTTTCCGCAAGGCGTCTACTGCCCTCAAGGCCCTGCCAAAGACAGTCAGGAATATGCGTGAAGTTGAGAACCTATGTGATCTGAAAGGAGGGAAGCATTGCAAGCGTGTAGTCCAGGTACTAGACCAAGAGCTGACGAATCAACTCAAACGTGTTTATCAAACGTTGGCTTCACGTCCAGCATTGGCTCCACCTGCTACAGAATTGTTTAAAAGCCTTACAAACCAAATAGAAACACTCCAAACTTCGAGCTCATATTACAGAATTTTATGTTGTTGAAGCAGAAAGTAGACCCAGTAGTGAGCCACAGTCAGCAAGTCAAGGACCAAAAAATATCTCCTGAAGCAAAAGCTGGAATGAAGCCATGTTTTCAAAAATCCCCTGTTGTCAAGTTGGAATATTAGACACCCAAGACATTGGTAATCTTGGAAATTGAGTATAAGGAGGAGCTCAGTTGGTAGAGTAACTGTACGGTGTTCCAGATGTCGCAGGATTAACTGACCAAATGGAAATCAATTTGACTTAACCAAGAAGCAGATAAGCCAATTTGTCATCATTCTAACAAATATTATTGGGGTGTTTTTTTTCAGGAGATTTTGGAGGAAGGATTTTCCTCAGAAGTTGAAGATATCATGAATGATGAGTGGTTCCAGACAGTGAAGGTAAGTCAAGTGATCAAGTTCTTGTTATATATTTCCTGGTTCAGCTCTCCATACTGTGTTTTTAAAAATAATTCTTATAACAAATTTTTAACCTACAATCTTTTTGCTATTTTCTCCAGATATTTACTGGCGTTTTTGGTTGTGGTGCAGCTACTGGTCGGAAGTGGTTCGACATGAAACTCAGAAGTTTAGAAGACGTCAGACGTTGCCAAGATATTAATTTGACAACTGAACAAAAACATGGTAAGTAATTTTTCACTGTCGCTAAGCAGGTACATTATGCAACAAAAGGATATATGCAGGTTTGTCTTCACAAGGGCTTCAAAGATTTGATACGGAAAAAACTCTTTGATAGCAATTATGTGGGGTTTTGTAGTTTTCTGGTTTTTTTACTAATTGAAGATAAAATAATTGTATATCATCGGGTGCACCACGAAGTGGCATATCGTCCATTACTTTGTGCACACGATATGTCACTTTGTTGTGCGACCGATAATATGTAGGCACAGTCTTGGTGAAAACAATATGTTGTCACTCAGTTGAAGTCATCTTTGTTCCCAGTTGAGATGAGGGCCGTTCCATCATTTGCAGGTATGCTGCATGACCTTTCACGAACAACATTCTAATTTAATTAGTGTGTGGTTTCTGTATTTGACTGTAAAAGTTTTGTGAAGAATGCAAACTTAAACAAGCGATACCTCGAAGTTCAACCCAGAGGTACCTCTAATACTTCTTAAAACACCGAGGTAAATCTCATGTTAAATTTTGTATTCTCCCCTTATATTCTATTCATTAGGACTGAAGTTCTATGATGATATCAACACACCAGTCACTAGACATGAAGCAGACGTCATACAGCAGATAGTTGCAGCGGAGGCCCAACAGATCCTACCTGGTACCACCGTCACAGTCACTGGAGGGTTTAGTAGGTCAGTTGTCTGTTGGTTGGTGGGACTGTCAAGATGTCTGTGTGATTAATGTCATACCTACCATGCTGTATGTCATGTCATTTGTCGAAATGAATGTCGGCTGTTGAGTGTTCAGATTGATTTCACTGTTTTCATTTCTCACCAGAGGAAAGACCACGGGTCATGATGTGGATCTTCTTATTTCTCATCCTGAGGAAGGCAAGGAGGAGGGACTCTTAGCTCAGATCCTCTACGCTCTACACAAGAAAGACTTCTTAGAATACACCGACGTTCAGAACAGTTCTTATAATGAGGCTGCTATCAGGCAGGTAAGTCACTGACTTTGGAGAAAACGAGCCCAAAATGGGATAGGACAAAATTTTGTCAGAATTGTGGTCAATCCAATGTATATTCATTCAAAACAGTAATCAAATGATAACTTGTTTGCTTAATATTCCTGTCGTCTGATGGCTTAGTCGTTGCTCACATGTCATTAAAATTTTCATCCGAACTCATGGCCTGCACCGTAAAAATAGAAGTTCCATTCCATGGTCACACTAGTTACTGATCAGATGACAAGAATATTTATTCAAATAATGAAGGCTTCACATTTGTGCAGTTTAAAGAATAATTTCATTCGGAGACAAACTGGGCTTCGCCTCTTGGAATGTAACATTCCATCTGTCACCTCGTAAAATTATTTTACCGTCACACTCATTAACATTGATTATTAGTATACCATCAAGGGTTTTTTAGGGCAGGCTAGTCATCATGACTAGATTCCTTTAATTGGGACGAAAGCAAATTAAACGTCTTGAACAATGCTTCTTTTTCTGTAACACCCCTCCCCCTACTGGCACCCACACTTTATGCAAATGGCATATGTTTTGTGTCACTGATAGTTTCCACTCTGTTGAAATGAAATCCAGGTCAAACGAAATCAAGTCATGGATCACTTCGAGCGTTGCTTCAGTATATTCCGCCTCCCCAAACGCCTCATTCAAGATAGGAGTGAGCTTAATACTGACCAATCCACAGTCAAACTGGGAGAAAATACGCTCAAAATGAGCCCAAAGGACCAGGCCAACACACAGAGACCCACATTGGCAGAGGAAGGTTCAGGAGATGTCGAAGATACTACAAATAAGACACAGAACCAAGACAACAGTGACGAGACTGGGAATGCTGATGATCGGAACGTGAGAACTCAGTCACAGGATGCGGGATTATTAGATAGCAAGCTGACACCTTGTGTAGATTCAGAAGCAACAAGTCTCAATGATGGGGTTCGGGACTGGGTTGCTCGTCGAGTCGACCTGATCATCACCCCACACAGCCAGTATGCCTACGCCCTCATGGGGTGGATCGGATCACGCATGTTCAACAGATCCATCAGGGATTACGCTAACCGGGAAATGAACATGACGCTGACAAGCCATGGACTGTTTGATAAAACTAAGGTAAGCTTAAACCAAATTCATAACTCGGCTAAGCACAGAATTGTATGCTTACACTCGGCATTCTGTGCTAACATCACATAGCAAACATATCTGCTAACTCTGTAAGCACAGAATACTAAGTTATGTGCACACTAGTTAATGAACTACGTTCTAGCAGAATTTTGTGCTGTAGACCAAATCAAGCACACTCTCGCTGACAATCTCAAAGATTGTTCAATCTTAAAGAATTTGAGAGCGTGCAAATCTTGATTTGGCCGGCATAGGCAATTTTGGGCCCATTTACCGGACTGCAACCTTATTGTTCAGATGATCTGCCATGAGGGAGTTGCTTTGCACAATGGCTGGCACAGTGTGTCGGCCATTGAAGGGGGCCTCCGTGATTAGTCTATCAGACTAGTCTATAGTTAGTTAAGAGTTGCAGCTCATGATAAGCAAGCCCCATTGTCTTCTAGGATTTACAATACAAGTAAACAAAAGGCTAGATGCAGAGGTTTTAAGGACACCTTTTTGAGAACGAAAGATTTCTAGAAATTGTTTCTTTGAAGTAATCCATTTTTGTGAATGTTTTCAGAATGCACTCATTCCTGCTAAGACGCAGAGAGAAATCTTTGAACATCTCAAGTTGCAGTACAGAGAACCCAAAGAGCGCAACTGCTGAGGTAATGGTCCATATTTGCAGTGAAACCATTTTTTAATCGTGTTTCCTGAATTTTTATGCGATTTTGTTGTGTGATAATGTTGCGCATATTTATATACACGTACAAATCAATGAGCGCGTTTACATTTAAGCAGGCTTGAACCAGGCTTAAGTTTTCATGTTTTAAACTGTTTTTCTTACACTGAGGGTTTCTGTAGGGATACAACTTTTGCATTTTGAATTTCTGTACAATTGTCTTGATTTGTTTTCCTGTGCGGGCGAGGTACGATTGCAAGACTAGATGGTGGAACTGCTTTTGATACCACTGATTCCTTACAAAATTGTCATCGTAGTGGTTTGTAATTTTCAGAATAAACTTATATTGAAACATTTATTGAATTTCTTTCCAGCACAATATTCGTGACTTGGTGTCCATGGCAAACAATCATCCAAACACCAATGGTTCACAGTTTTTCATCACCTATGCCAAACAGCCCCAGCTTGATATGAAATACACCCTCATTGGAAAGTAAGTCAATATAATTTTTATCTTTAAGCCATTTAAATTGTAACTGTGTAACAACATTGGTAATGTTGCAAAACTGCAGCTACTGGTATGCATACACAGACTGGGACCTGGAGTGCTCTGAAACATACAAAACTAAAGCAGGCCAACTTTACTCACTCTTTAGCTAGCAAATTTCTCCAAAAATTCCACTGGGCAAAGAAAAGGTCCTCAGTATTCACCAACCAAGTTTGCAGGTTCAGTTTTTAAAGGAGACATTTCTTCAATATTTTGCACACGAGAGGGAAGTCAAGTGATTTGAAAATGAGGCTAAATACTAGACTGGTACATACCAGTCTAGTCTTTAGCCTCATTTTCAAATCACAAAATATTGAAGAAATGTCTCCTTTAAAACTTGAATTGAGTCTGCAAACTTGGTTGGTGAAATACTGAGGACCTTTTCTTTGCCCAATGGATTTTTTTGGGAAATTTGCTGGCTAAAGAGTGATTTAAGTTGGCCTGATTTAGTTTTGCACGTTTCAGAGCGCTGCAGGTCCCAGTCTGCTGGTATACCTACTCTCTTTGCTTTATGACCAAGCACTAAACAACAGTTTCAGTTGATAGCACTGTTTCATTCTCAAGAAAATACTGATATGAACATGTGCTTTACATTGTTGTGTTCATTCTTAGTAGGAATTTTGAAAGATCAGTTTTGACAGAAAACTATTTTTCTAGGGCAGATGTACCTTTATACATCTACACTATTGGTTATTTTGTAAACCATAATTGACAGAGGTTTTTGATGGAGGCCCGCATGCCTGCTTTGCACTTTTTGTCTCGAATAACATGTCTGTAATAAATCTGATGGTTTCTCATGATGAATATTTAGTTACATGTCCAGACTTTTTGTGGATGCATGTTTTGTCTGTACGTGAGCTTTGAGTCAAAAAATATTTGTTTAAATGTCGCGTCAGCAAGACTGATTCGCTGAGCTACAAGTATAAATGTACAGGTATGATGTATAATGAAACAAATACCACATGTCAGAGATCAGATGATTATGCTGTGAATTTTTTTTCTAGAGGACTTTTTCACATTTCGCTGGCCTACTAATACAAACATCTGGGAAAGCCATAAAAGGATTGTACGTGTATGTAGACAAAGACAAAATATGAGGAAATGAACAAGGAAGGGATGATTGGAAATGCAAGAATTGAAAGGAAAGGGCATAAAATTCTTGCTACAGCCATCCATTAGTTCCAATTATGATCATGATTAGGCCAAGTAAATGAAAATAATTGGTTATTAGCATTTTTTTTAGCATCCAACTCGACCAGCAAAAACTGCCCAACCCAATTTTTGATTGTATTTAATTTAACTACACTATAAGACTACTAAATGTGCCATACTAATTATCATCACAAAATGTGTTTTAAAAAGGGGCTCTAAGGTCATTTTCAGTTTTGTGATTTTTGTGATAATTTTCCACCAGATAAAGTCCTTATTAAAGTGTGAAAACAATTACAAGTGACTAACCTCATGTTAAAGTGGTGCAAAAGTTAAGTTTATATACCCTTTCAGTTCAACATTTTCATCGAAAAGACAACAGTGACGTCACAATTCAAATATATGGGTCTGTGCATTTTTGTACGGGGACTTTGTGGTTCATTCTTGAATCTCCGTAAAATTCAATCAAATCGGCATTGAATTTGATTTTTTGACAAAGGCAAAATTCCTTTTTGGATGTTATAGACTCTTTTATCGCATTAAGAAAACAGTGACGTTATGTTCAAACATCGCTCTGAAAGGAAAGGGTATCAAGTTTTAAAAATGACATTTTACATAACTTTAATGTGAGGTTAGCGACTTGTAATTTTGTACACTTTAATAATGACTCTATCTATTGAAAAGTGAGTGCATCACATAATTGATTTTGACCTGAGAGCCCCACTTTAGGTTCAGGTTTGTAAATCAATGGGATCTCCCTATGACATGTATATATATATATATATGCTAATGTAATATTGAGGCTGTGTGCCAATTTGAGGCCGAAAAATCCACAATTGCTTTTTTAAAGTTTAGGTTAAAGCCCAAATTGACAAAACCATCCAACTGTCCAAAACACAGTCAGCATTCTTGTGACTGCAAATTGTGCAGTGGAAAATGTATACTTCAAGGGGATAAATATCCAATGAAAACTCACTTGAATACCGAATCAAGGCATTGTGCTTGTGTTTAACTTGCATGTTTGTGTCCTCAGTCCCCAAAAGTTTATAAAAAATCCTGGGAGAACCCTGAAACCTATGTGAAAATATATGTTTCTTTATGGATACGTGTACTTTTGTATCATGAATTAAATATTTTATTTAATTATTTTATGCTGTGTGGCAGGCCTCTGTAGGGTACAGATTGGAACAAATTGGGTGGGAATTAGTTTGTTTCTACAGAAAAGATTAATTCAGCTTGCTACATGTATGCAATGTATTGCCATTTTCCAATAAAATGTTCAAGTATATTTCCTACCATTTTTGTTCTTAAGTTTGAATTTTGAAAAAAAGGTGATAAAATGCCCTACATGTAGATACTGGGCTGTACAGAAATTATATATTTTTTCCACTAAAACAAAAAATCCCTACAGGAAGAAGAGACCGGTATTTGTCTGTTTCTTGTAAACTCGTCACGGGAGGAAGTAGAAAAAATCCCCAGTTTGTGTCGAAACAAATTACTTGTCATTTTGGGGTATTTCCAAAGCCACGTGGATTTCAGAAAATTAATACGGTTCAGTGAATACACTACATGTTGAGACTTGAATACGTACCTCATTAGAATGGAACCTTTGGACCATATCAGGTCACATAACATGAATGCATTATAATATATTCATTGTCAGTGAATAGAAATTGTGAACAAACGCCTAACGTGCTGGAGCAGCATGGAAATACACACACAGTCGGTGAGCTAATCTAAGCGGAAGAAATTTCAATGTGATTATTCAAACACTGGAATCTGCAAAGGACTAGGCCTATTGACTCTACATTCATCCGCGGAATAAATGATGAAATAGTATACAGTACGTACATAACTGCACACTGTATGGCCCTTTATCACTTCATTATAGCTTTGGTTAGCTTTACTCTCACGTACTATTTGCTTCCAGCTACAAGACACATCATGGCGGCTGACGGGCAACGTGCAGAATTTGTATTCGGTGAAATAATAGACAAAAGGCTATTTGAAAAAGATTTGGTTCAGATAGCTAGTCAACTGCGTGCACAGAACAAGAGTGTCTACGATCTGAATGCTGCTAAAAGAGAAATGTCACTGGAAATGGATAAGTATGTCTTCATCAGCATTTATCAAATGCATGCCTCCATTGTTGTGGTGGATAAAGAGTTGTTCAACACTCTGCTGTTTGAACCAGTCTGGGGCCAGATGATCAATGGGCCAAAGTTACAAATGAGACAAGACAATGATGTGTACAGAAGAATGGCCACCACCATACCTCTCCAGCAATACCACGTCTGCCTCGACGAGAACAAGAACTACATCCTGGCACGCAACATGTACTACTTCGACTGGCTCTTAAAAAGTAGAAGTTTCTATGTCGGAGAATCAGCAATGTCATATCTGTATCTTCAGCTACTCTCCTTGTCTGTCGTTCCAGAACGATATCGATTGTTGGCGAGCGATTGCCTTGAATTTGCAAAGAATTTTGCTAAGGAGGTTGCAATCCGGGAAAACGGAGTTAGAGAAATGGAGGTTCAAGCCTTGTTCACTACTCTGAGTGTATCTGAGCAGTACTACAGCGCAACTTTGGAGCAGTCCTCTCGGAATAATCCCGAAAGTGCCTTCTCTGTGGCGGTCTCGTACTTCATGAGCTTCAAGCCAGAGAGGCTTCTCATTGCCGTGGTGTTGGTTGTCATTTTGGGAATCGTTTCAAAATGCTTCCCGAGTTTCTATGACAAGTGACGTTACCTGATTGAACGTATTTCTAAAGGGTGTTATTCAAATACTGAAATCTGACTGTCGAAATCCTACTCATGGTCTTGCCTGGTTTTGATGCATAGTACTGTGCCACCACTTTGTACGCGTAAACTACACAAACATGTGCTCAGCATGGATAAGACATTCCAATTGTATTCAAGTCCAAATGTGCCAAAGACACAAGTATGACAGTTGGGGTTCATCAACTTTTTTTCCTTGATTTGGATATCATGAAATAGTCAAGAATCCTTGTTGCTTGCCCAGAACTGCCTACGTGTATATGGAGCCCACTCTTCTGCTCACGGAGACCCCCTTCCCTTCCCCTTGGCCCCTCCCATCAAGGGGACATCACGCTTGCAATGGACTACAATCTCCAGGAAGATCTGAGGCTGTAAGACTCAACAAGTCAACAGTGTAGAGACTCGCCTAGAACTATCCAGATATCATCCTGCGATATCAAGACGCTTCTTCACAAGTAGGTGAAACTGATGATAATGGCGATGACGTTGATGGTGATGACAATACAAGAGCTTTCTAATCAGTCTCCCAAGGCACCTTGTCAAAGCTATTCCCGGAAAACATGCGGGAAAATTTTTCCGCAAAGGGCATATCATTGCGGAAAAGTTGCCGGTGGATTCTTTTGCTTGATAGAGTTTTTTATGGACTGCTTATTGATACTTTGTGGATTAAAAAATCAACTGCAGGGAAATTTCCCCGCAAATTCTCTGGGAATAGTTTTTACACGGTGTCTAAGCGTGGACAACAAGTTAAAGTCGTTTGTGAAAAGAAGCCATTTCATTTATCTACTGGGATCTTCTGACACACAAAGTGAGACTCCTGTCCAAGGACGAGTAACTTACTGTAAATCCACCGTTGTGACCATAGTGGTCTGCCATGAAACTGTGCCAGACAGTTTGGATCAGTTTGTACCTATTGTTACAGTTCAAATTTATTATAAAGCAAGTATTCAAATTCATACTGAGAAACATTTCTGTGTTTATCTTTGAGAAAATGATGATTGATATGCCAGATTTTATTAAAAACATAAATCATGTAATCAATTCTTGGTTTTTTTATGTTTTGTTTTTTAAATGTGAGCACCTTGATGAAATCTCCACGGGTATGAAAACTGGACGATTGTGATAAATGCACTTGTCCAAAAACCAATGATGCACAGTACATGTATAATGTATCTTTCCTTTTTGTTGCTCAGATAATACACATGGATCTCTTTTTTTTTATGTGAAAGAAAGAAGCACAAACGCAAAATAGAACCATGATGTTAAAGAGGAGCTCTAACAAATTAAGTTTTGGGATGCACATATTTTCTAATAGATAGAGTCCTTGAAGTGGGGAAAAATATCATAAAAATAAAAGTCTCATTCGCCCCTGTAGGCTTCTGTGGGAATTGAAAATACTAATGGTGATGGTTAGGTTCACTACTATGTTTGGAAAGAAAAGAGGAATTTCCCGTTGTTTTGGGAAACACTCATGACATCTGGCTGGATGCTGCCGTTCTGTAAATGATTGTCAATCATCATGTGATGCAATCAAGCTGAATGAGTCATTTGTCAGGAATTTTTATTTGGAGATACAGGCCAAAATAGGGCCACGTCATCATATCACTTCATCACATAGATCTCTTGGTGTTCAGACATCCATCATTTTTGAACTAACGATGGTATCAGCATGCGGTTTTCACAGCAGTAATGCTGAGATTGTGCTCTTTTCAAATCTGTAATAAAATTTGTTTTGACCAGGGTCGACAAACGACTCATTTAGCTTGATCGCATCACATAAGGTCATTTAATTGTAATAAATCACTAAATGACCTCAACCAGTGGTGCATCTGAACTTGTTTTAAGAATCAGACCTATTATGATAGTTTGTTTATGCCTGTGTAATATCAGAAATTCAATTCATACATGTATTCTTCTTTAATAATCATAATTCATATGGTTTGTGTGAAAGTTGTACCAAAATCACTACTTTTCGATGTGCTTGTGTGCTTGGGCAAGACACTTTACTGCAATTGGCTCCCTCCAACCAGGAGTATAAATGGGTTCCTGTGAAGGCACAGACCAGAATGCGCTGATCTTGAGCTGCTGCAATAACTGGTCTCATAGCCTGATGAACAGGGGTAATAATTGTAAAGCGCTTTGAGACCGTTGGTATAAAGCGCTATATAAGCACATTATTATTAATATTATATTAGTTTAACCTAAACATTTTCATAGCGCATATGATCAGATTTTGTTCCAATCAGCAATTCATTTCAGGGCTAAAATGTCATTGCCCGTCTTGTTTGATTATAATCCAGTTTGGCAAATAACTTTTCCTAACATGATACTTTGGGTCAAGGAAAAAAAAAAAAAGCTGTGGATAAACATGTTTATTGAACATCTGTCGCTAATGAATTATTGGAATTCTAGGGCCTATGTATTCATGAAGCACAATGCTATGCATGCTTTAATACGCTGAACACAAACCCAGAAAATGCACACATATATAATTCACAGCCATGTATAATTGAATGTCTGAAACGTAAGTACATGACTTTTACAATACGTTAAGGCAATGATAATTATTGGAAAGATTAAAAAATGTAAGGTTTTGGGTTGTATTTTTCTCAAAATTGGGTAAAATTTGACTTTTTCTAAGAATTCATCAATGTAAGGGGTTAGGCTTGTATTTTTCTCAAAATTGGGCAAAATTTATCGTTTTCTTGAAATTCACAAATGTAAGGGGTTAGCCTTGCATTTTTTCTCTAAATTGGGCAACATTTTTCGTTTTCTTGAAATTCAAAAATGTAAGGGGTTAGCCTTGCTTTTTTATCAAAATTGGGCAACATTTATTGATTTCTGGAAATTGAAAAATGTAAGGGGTTAGGCTTGCATTTTAGTCAAAATTGGGCAAAATTCATCGTTTTCTGGAACTTCAAAAATGTAAGGGGTTAGCCTTGCATTTTAGTCAAAATTGGGAAAAATTTATCGTTTTCTGAAAATTCACAAATGTAAGGGGTTAGCCTTGCATTTTAGTCAAAATTGGGCAAAATTTATCGTTTTCTGGAAATTCAAAAATGTAAGGGGTTAGCCTTGCATTTAAGTCAAAATTGGGCAAAATTTATCGATTTCTGGAAATTCAAAAATGTAAGGGGTTAAGCTTGCATATTAGTCAAAATTGGGTAAAATTTGACTTTTTCTGGAAATTCATAAAGGTAAGGGGTTAGCCTTGCATTTTAGTCAAAATTGGGCAAAATTTATCGTTTTCTGAAAATTCAAAAATGTAAGGGGTTAGCCTTGCTTTTTTATCAAAATTGGGCAAAATTTATCGTTTTCTGGAAATTCATAAATGTAAGGGGATAGCCTTGCATTTTAGTCAAAATTGGGCAAAATTCATCGTTTTCTGGAAATTCAAAAATGTAAGGGGTTAGCCTTGCTTTTTTATCAAAATTGGGCAAAATTTATTGATTTCTGGAAATTGAAAAATGTAAGGGGTTAGGCTTGCATTTTAGTCAAAATTGGGCAAAATTCATCGTTTTCTGGAAATTCAAAAATGTAAGGGGTAAGCCTTGCATTTTAGTCAAAATTGGGCAAAATTTATCGTTTTCTGAAAATTCACAAATGTAAGGGGTTAGCCTTGCATTTTAGTCAAAATTGGGCAAAATTCATCGTTTTCTGGAAATTCAAAAATGTAAGGGGTTAGCCTTGCATTTAAGTCAAAATTTGGCAAAATTTATCGATTTCTGGAAATTGAAAAATGTAAGGGGTTAAGCTTGCATATTAGTCAAAATTGGGTAAAATTTGACTTTTTCTGGAAATTCATCAATGTAAGGGGTTAGCCTTGCATTTTAGTCAAAATTGGGCAAAATTTATCGTTTTCTGAAAATTCAAAAATGTAAGGGGTTAGCCTTGCTTTTTTATCAAAATTGGGCAAAATTTATCGTTTTCTGGAAATTCATCAATGTAAGGGGTTAGCCTTGCATTTTAGTCAAAATTGGGCAAAATTCATCGTTTTCTGGAAATTCAAAAATGTAAGGGGTTAGCCTTGCTTTTTTAGCAAAATTGGGCAAAATTTATCGTTTTCTGGAAATTGAAAAATGTAAGGGGTTAGGCTTGCTTTTTTATCAAAATTGGGCAAAATTTATCGTTTTCTTGAAATTCAAAAATGTAAGGGGTTAGCCTTGCATTTTTCTCTAAATTGGGCACAATTTATCGTTTTCTGAAAATTCAAAAATGTAAGGGGTTAGCCTTGCAGTTTAGTCAAAATTGGGCAAAATTTATCGTTTTCTGGAAATTCAAAAATGTAAGGGGTTAGCCTTGCATTTAAGTCAAAATTGGGCAAAATTTATCGATTTCTGGAAATTGAAAAATGTAAGGGGTTAAGCTTGCATATTAGTCAAAATTGGGTAAAATTTGACTTTTTCTGGAAATTCATCAATGTAAGGGGTTAGCCTTGCATTTTAGTCAAAATTGGGCAAAATTTATCGTTTTCTGAAAATTCAAAAATGTAAGGGGTTAGCCTTGCTTTTTTATCAAAATTGGGCAAAATTTATCGTTTTCTGGAAATTCATAAATGTAAGGGGTTAGCCTTGCATTTTAGTCAAAATTGGGCAAAATTCATCGTTTTCTGGAAATTCAAAAATGTAAGGGGTTAGCCTTGCTTTTTTAGCAAAATTGGGCAAAATTTATCGTTTTCTGGAAATTGAAAAATGTAAGGGGTTAGGCTTGCTTTTTTATCAAAATTGGGCAAAATTTATCGTTTTCTTGAAATTCAAAAATGTAAGGGGTTAGCCTTGCATTTTTCTCTTAATTGGGCACAATTTATCGTTTTCTGAAAATTCAAAAATGTAAGGGGTTAGCCTTGCAGTTTAGTCAAAATTGGGCAAAATTTATCGTTTTCTGGAAATTCAAAAATGTAAGGGGTTAGCCTTGCATTTAAGTCAAAATTGGGCAAAATTTATCGATTTCTGGAAATTCAGAAATGTAAGGGGTTAGGCTTGCATTTTAGTCAAAATTGGGTAAAATTTGACTTTTTCTGGAAATTCATCAATGTAAGGGGTTAGCCTTGCATTTAAGTCAAAATTGGGCAAAAATTATCATTTTCTGAAAATTCAAAAATATAAGGGGTTAGGCTTGTATTTTTCTCAAAATTGGGCAAAATTTATCGTTTTCTTGAAATTCACAAATGTAAGGGGTTAGGCTTGCATTTCAGTCAAAATTGGGTAAAATTTGACTTTTTCTGGAAATTCATAAATGTAAGGGGTTAGCCTTGCTTTTTTATCAAAATTGGGCAAAATTTATCGTTTTCTGGAAATTCATAAATGTAAGGGGTTAGCCTTGCATTTTAGTCAAAATTGGGCAAAATTCATCGTTTTCTGGAAATTCAAAAATGTAAGGGGTTAGCCTTGCTTTTTTAGCAAAATTGGGCAAAATTTATCGTTTTCTGGAAATTGAAAAATGTAAGGGGTTAGGCTTGCTTTTTTATCAAAATTGGGCAAAATTTATCGTTTTCTTGAAATTCAAAAATGTAAGGGGTTAGCCTTGCATTTTTCTCTAAATTGGGCACAATTTATCGTTTTCTGAAAATTCAAAAATGTAAGGGGTTAGCCTTGCATTTAAGTCAAAATTGGGCAAAATTTATCGATTTCTGGAAATTTCAAAAATGTAAGGGGTTAGGCTTGCATTTTAGTCAAAATTGGGTAAAATTTGACTTTTTCTGGAAATTCATAAATGTAAGGGGTTAGCCTTGCATTTAAGTCAAAATTGGGCAAAAATTATCATTTTCTGAAAATTCAAAAATATAAGGCTTGTATTTTTCTCAAAATTGGGCAAAATTTATCGTTTTCTTGAAATTCATAAATGTAAGGGGTTAGCCTTGCATTCAAGTCAAAATTGGGCAAAAATTATCATTTTCTGAAAATTCAAAAATATAAGGGGTTAGGCTTGTATTTTTCTCAAAATTGGGCAAAATTCAAAAATGTAAGGGGTTAGCCTTGCAGTTTAGTCAAAATTGGGCAAAATTTATCGTTTTCTGGAAATTCAAAAATGTAAGGGGTTAGCCTTGCATTTAAGTCAAAATTGGGCAAAATTTATCGATTACTGGAAATTTCAAAAATGTAAGGGGTTAGGCTTGCATTTTAGTCAAAATTGGGTAAAATTTGACTTTTTCTGGAAATTCATAAATGTAAGGGGTTAGCCTTGCATTTAAGTCAAAATTGGGCAAAAATTATCATTTTCTGAAAATTCAAAAATATAAGGCTTGTATTTTTCTCAAAATTGGGCAAAATTTATCGTTTTCTTGAAATTCATCAATGTAAGGGGTTAGCCTTGCATTTAAGTCAAAATTTGGCAAAAATTATCATTTTCTGAAAATTCAAAAATATAAGGGGTTAGGCTTGTATTTTTCTCAAAATTGGGCAAAATTTATCGTTTTCTGGAAATTCAAAAATGTAAGGGGTTAGGCTTGCTTTTTTATCAAAATTGGACAAAATTTATCGTTTTCTGGAAATTCAAAATTGTAAGGGGTAAGCCTTGCATTTTAGTCAAAATGGGGCAAAATTTATCGTTTTCTGGAAATTCAAAAATGTAAGGGGTTAGCCTTGCATTTTAGTCAAAATTGGGCAAAATTTTTTGTGTTCTGAAAATTCAAAAATGTAAGGGATAGCCTTGCTTTTTTATCAAAATTGGGCAAAATTTATCGTTTTCTGGAAATTCAAAAATGTAAGGGGTTAGGCTTGCATTTTAGTCAAAATTGGGCAAAATTTATCGATTTCTGGAAATTCACAAATGTAAGGGGTTAGGCTTGCATTTTAGTCAAAATTGGGTAAAATTTGACTTTTTCTGGAAATTCATAAATGTAAGGGGTTAGGCTTGCTTTTTTATCAAAATTGGGCAAAATTTATCGTTTTCTGGAAATTCATCAATGTAAGGGGTTAGCCTTGCATTTTAGTCAAAATTGGGCAAAATTCATCGTTTTCTGGAAATTCAAAAATGTAAGGGGTTAGCCTTGCTTTTTTAGCAAAATTGGGCAAAATTTATCGTTTTCTGGAAATTGAAAAATGTAAGGGGTTAGGCTTGCTTTTTTATCAAAATTGGGCAAAATTTATCGTTTTCTTGTAATTCAAAAATGTAAGGGGTTAGCCTTGCATTTTTCTCTCAATTGGGCACAATTTATCGTTTTCTGAAAATTCAAAAATGTAAGGGGTTAGCCTTGCAGTTTAGTCAAAATTGGGCAAAATTTATCGTTTTCTGGAAATTCAAAAATGTAAGGGGTTAGCCTTGCATTTAAGTCAAAATTGGGCAAAATTTATCGATTTCTGGAAATTCAAAAATGTAAGGGGTTAGGCTTGCATTTTAGTCAAAATTGGGCAAAATTTATCGTTTTCTTGAAATTCATAAATGTAAGGGGTTAGCCTTGCATTCAAGTCAAAATTTGGCAAAAATTATCATTTTCTGAAAATTCAAAAATATAAGGGGTTAGGCTTGTATTTTTCTCAAAATTGGGCAAAATTTATCGTTTTCTGGAAATTCAAAAATGTAAGGGGTTAGGCTTGCTTTTTTATCAAAATTGGACAAAATTTATCGTTTTCTGGAAATTCAAAATTGTAAGGGGTAAGCCTTGCATTTTAGTCAAAATGGGGCAAAATTTATCGTTTTCTGGAAATTCAAAAATGTAAGGGGTTAGCCTTGCATTTTAGTCAAAATTGGGCAAAATTTTTTGTGTTCTGAAAATTCAAAAATGTAAGGGATAGCCTTGCTTTTTTATCAAAATTGGGCAAAATTTATCGTTTTCTGGAAATTCAAAAATGTAAGGGGTTAGGCTTGCATTTTAGTCAAAATTGGGCAAAATTTATCGATTTCTGGAAATTCACAAATGTAAGGGGTTAGGCTTGCATTTTAGTCAAAATTGGGTAAAATTTGACTTTTTCTGGAAATTCATCAATGTAAGGGGTTAGGCTTGCTTTTTTATCAAAATTGGGCAAAATTTATCATTTTCTGGAAATTCATAAATGTAAGGGGTTAGCCTTGCATTTTAGTCAAAATTGGGCAAAATTCATCGTTTTCTGGAAATTCAAAAATGTAAGGGGTTAGCCTTGCTTTTTTAGCAAAATTGGGCAAAATTTATCGTTTTCTGGAAATTGAAAAATGTAAGGGGTTAGGCTTGCTTTTTTATCAAAATTGGGCAAAATTTATCGTTTTCTTGTAATTCAAAAATGTAAGGGGTTAGCCTTGCATTTTTCTCTAAATTGGGCACAATTTATCGTTTTCTGAAAATTCAAAAATGTAAGGGGTTAGCCTTGCAGTTTAGTCAAAATTGGGCAAAATTTATCGTTTTCTGGAAATTCAAAAATGTAAGGGGTTAGCCTTGCATTTAAGTCAAAATTGGGCAAAATTTATCGATTTCTGGAAATTCAAAAATGTAAGGGGTTAGGCTTGCATTTTAGTCAAAATTGGGTAAAATTTGACTTTTTCTGGAAATTCAAAAATGTAAGGGGTTAGGCTTGCATTTTAGTCAAAATTGGGCAAAATTTGACTTTTTCTGGAAATTCAAAAATGTAAGGGGTAAGGCTTGCATTTTTATGAAAATTTGGCAAAATTTATCGTTTTCTGGAAATTCAAAAATTCAAGGGGTTAGCCTTGCATTTTTATCAAAATTGGGCAAAATTAGAATTTTCTAGAAATTATAAAATGCAAGTGGTTGGCCTTGCATTTTTATCAAAATGTGGCAAAATTATTGTTTATTAAATTAAACGGAGCTCATCTGTGCTAAAAAGATCCTTCTGATTTATTTGAAGAAAAGTCATTTTTTGGCCATGTACATGAATATCAAAACTACGCATTTCTTGTACTCAAGGCCCACAAATAATAATGACAATGGGGTGAGATTCACCGATTTCTGTTGATGTCACTGGTCTGTTTATTTCATGAAAAGCATCAATTAAATCTGAACTGGCCTTAGTCAAAACAATATCAAACTGCTTGGAGCAAAATCCATCATGATGTAAAATATTCAAAATAATTGCGATGTGTTCCAATGTCCGTTATGAAATTATGACCAGAACGTTGATAAACGTCAATGGAATTCAGATTTTACAGCTTAAAAGTAATCCAACAAAAAATTAATACAGGCCCGATACTTTTTACATACAACTTCAGTTTTAAGAGAAAGAAAATGTGTATAAACTTTTAACAAAAATTGTAAGCAAATTGCAAGAACGAAAAAAAGAAGATTTTGTGACTCAATGTACCTCAAAACAACCCTATATCATTTACAAATTATGTTGTAATGTGCCTTTTTTTTCACTTAACTTAGGCTAACAATTTTTAAGATCTGAAAAGGGGTTTTCTCAGATATTGTAAAAATTAGAATTTAGTCGGGTCTCAAGAGGAAATGTTCTGGGTCAAACCTGTTTAACCACTGATCAAGATAATTCTGTTTCACAGTATCGTTTTGACTCAAGAACTCTCATTTCAGATGTACAAGTTGCAATGTACTTTATTAAATTAGCAATTTTGCTGAATGATGAAACAGTAAAATTCCTTGATAATCTTGGGGAACTGTATTAACCGTTTTTTGTGTATTTATCTCTGAACAATCAACAGACATCTGAATGCCAGAAAAGCTGCTCTCCTTTGCATCAGTGTTTATATTTTTATCAAAATAGACAAATCTAAAGAGAAAATAGTTGAATAGAACTCTTATGAATAATACAATGTACAATCCGCACGTCGGTTATTTTTTTTTCGTACCAACAATGTTGATGCATCCATCAATTTTGTTTTCCCATCAAAACATTTTAGAGACATGTAGTAAATCATTTATAACTTCCAATTTTGTTTTAGTATCTTTGTCATATAATGATCTTAAGTAACCGTTGGTTTTTTCAAACTACATCAATTTACAAAGGATCATAAATCATTTAACACAATTTCAGACTTTGTACGCAATTAATTTCAACTGAACCCTCATTAAAAGCAAGGCTTGAAAATTCCAACACCTCAAAAAAACCCAACATTTCATCCAAACTCTGTACATGGATTCAACCAATACCAAAGACTCCTGTTTTCAAACTCTCAAAACTCTGACCTGAATAAAGAGTTCATGTATAATTTACTGGTACAAAGGTAATTTTTATCCAGGTTATTCTTTACATTTTTTTTTTTAAGCATGCAGTTTTCTCCTGTTTTTCTTTCCATTTGTTAATAGTCTACTTCGGAAAATATGGACACCCCTGCCGGATTACATTAGGGACATGTTATATTAACACTTTACCAATGTACAATGATTTGACATACTGAACGAAATTGCTCGTGTTGTACCTAGAGGGCGCTGTTCAAGCTACTGAAATATCCAATAAGCTACCCACAATGCCTTGTGTTTCCTTCCAGAACAAATGGATAATGTATATAAACCACTATACTTTAGATGCCAGTACTTGCTGGATTCTACTTACTTCAATTTTTTGTTTCAATGATCATCGAATATCAATGGCATTCGATACGATAGGCTGCAATGACAGGTTCAGCGCCCTCTAGTGACAAGCAATGAACAATTGATTATCAGCATTGAAAACAGGTCCACACTTCATACAAAATCCAAAGCCAAGACAAAAATTGAGTCACCGATTGTAGTTTTTTTTTTTTTTCTGACATCTTTCGTCAGAGAATTTGTGCAACTTTTTGAGTTTGTATGAAGCATGGACAAGGGTTTACCTCATCTAATGGTATGTATATTGGCTGGGGTGTTGAGAGACGTCAAACTGGTTTTAGTCCTTCAGACGGCCACCGTCGCCCTCCGAGACAAAACGCTTGCGAACTCTGCAAAGGATTCATACAAAGTTACAATCAAAAAATAGACCCAAGCTGCACTTGAATAATACGGCTGCGGCTGGCTGTACTACACATGTCTATGGTGAGTGGCTCCAAGCCTTAGCTAAAATTATTCAGATATGGCTTCATACAGCAGGGACCAATCTCACAGAGCGTTCAAATGTCCCACAGATTGTTGCTTTGAGGATTTTCCTTTAAGCAAGAACGTGTTTGCAGTCATGAGACCATGCATGGTGTATATTTGTGACTAGTACTGGTAGTTCCCATCTCGGCCCAATTTCACGGCTCTGCTGACCACAGAATTCCATGCTTGCGATCGCCATTTTGTGCTAATGGTGCTAGCAGAAAAATTATGCGTTAACCTTGTAAGCACAGAAGCCTTAGTTACAAGGTGTACGCATGCACAGTTCTAAGCCAAAATTCCTCCCTAACCAGTAAAACACGCTAGCTGTAAGCATGGAATTTTCTGCTACAGTAAGCTAAAGGTAAGGGCTCTGCTAACCACAGAATTCCGTGCTTGTCTTACCTAGTCGGCACCTCTGCTTTCAGCTGGGCAGAGATGACACCTTGCTGGCGACAAATATCAGCAAACCTCTCCAGAATAGCGAAGGCATGCGGGACGTCAATCACTATGTCTGGCAGAGCCGTGAATATGCGTCGGAATCCCTGAAGGAGACCAAGTTTCATTTTTTTAATTTCAATGTTAAAAGAAAGTTAAACAAATAAAAACTAGAGATTTGCATTAACAAAACCCTAGAGATTTGCAGCTAGTTGCATTGTGCTGGAGAGCTTTTTTTGACATGTTTATAAGAAAACCAAAACATGCTGAAAGGACTGTTCAGATCAGGGCCCAATTTCACGGCGCTGCTAAGCACACAAATTTGCTAAGCACAAAAAAAAGTCTTGCTTATAAAAGCAGGTTACCAGCCAAAACTCCATGTGATTTTCATGCTAAGCAAACAACAGTTGAATGCTAATCACGAGCAAACAACAGTTGAATGCTAATCACGAGCAATACATCACATGGACTTTTGGCTGGTAACCTGCTTTTAATAAGCCAGACATTTTTTGTGCTAAGCAAATTTTTGTGCTTAGCAGCGCCGTGAAATTGGCCCCTGGTCACAAGTTCGGCCCATCTTTGCTTTGTGTACATTTCTTGCAGTGCTTATGAATGAGTTTGACTGAGCTACTATGGTCACCTGACTGAAGGTCGCGATCTCATTGGTCAACGCACACTGTTTGATGGACACGCAGGGAGGGTCCATCGTTCAATTAGTAACAGTTTTTATAAATAAACTTTTTAAAATTTTAATTGGATTTCTAGTTTTTTGAATAAACGACAAGGATTTACTTACAGTCTTCATCTGATCAATCGTGATGATGTTACTGTCAAAGAGTGATTTCAGTAGCTGGGCCATGATAGACGCAACTCGCTCCACGGTCTCATATTGCTCCAGGACCATGTAGATAGCCTGAAATTATTGGATAATACAACAACAAAAAGTGACAATTTTCATAATTTTGCAAATATGTGATCCTCATTCATTCGTTCGTTTGTAGGAGTCCACCCACAGAAGCTACACAGGTATCTCAGTTGTCTCAAGCCAGTTGATAGTGCCATTGTTGAAGCTGATGAGGCCTCCATAGCCCACGTACGTCAGTGAAATATGACACCAGTGTCAACTTGGTCTGAGCGTGCGCACATAAATTATGATAATGGCCACCCGAAATCCCGCGGGAGAACGCTGTACGCACGCGTTTGTGACGTCACTACGCAAAAACGCGCACGAACTTTCCACGCGTAAAAACGAACCTCAAAGTCCTGCTTTATCATTCCAAAAATGTTTTTTTTCCAGCAAATTTGCCTTGGCTGACCTAGTAGTCCATTAATTATTGTAATTTTTCCATTTTATGAGAACTGAGCTAATATTTTTTTCACTCGACCAGAAGTTGATCTCGTTCGCGTATTTCACGCTTTTCATGAGAAGCTTGCGTGTAATTGTATAGGGAACTTACCTGCGTGCTAAAGCATAGGCAGATTCACGAGTGTTTAAGCAGTTCCGTGAAATTTTTTATTGTTGCACCTGGTAGACTGTTAAATTACAAGATAATCCTTTTTTTATGAAAAGTAGCAATGGTATTCAGTAGACCTATTCCTCATTTAAATTATTATAATTATTTCATTGAATTTTCTCTTTCCATCCCTTTCTTTTTGAAAGCCCTAGTTTCAATTTCAGTTTTAAACACCGACCAGTTTTAGTGTTTTGCTTTTTGTTCTTTCAACAAAATAATTTGTAAAAAAAACCACTTTTATTCGAAAATCACTAGAATGAAAAATTAAATCCTTGCTGCAATCCTAATTTCGAATCCAATATAACAGCCGATGTTACTAGACCCAAGCATTTTTGTCTTATAACCATACTGCAATTTTTGTTCACTACATGTATACTGCAATATCAATTTAATCAGGAGATATTTTGTCTAAATAAACAATTAAAGTCTCTAGTTTCGCATTGGCTTGATGATACATGTACTTGGTTGTCAGCAGAAGCCATGTAATTCTATTCTAAGACTAAGTCGGTAAACTTACTTTTGATTTCTTCTGACTACTTCTGAGTACATTTGTTAATGGTTACATTTCTGTTTAATGCATGTCTAGTCTCCATTATTAAAATAATTAAAAATCTTTAAAGTATATTAAATAAAAGGATTTTTTTAATTCAGTTCAAGTCTGGCCATAGTTTTATTCTTCACAGAGTTCTTCATCATGTCTCGTAATGTAGATTCCAAGGTCTGCATCGTCATCAGAAGGAACGACAATCAAAACATCTCCATTTACAGCTGCAAAAAAATGGAAAAGGAAATAAAGCAAGATTAAAAAATGCAAAACGCAACATTAAAAAGTCTAAAAAATATATGACACAAAAATATATTGGAAGAAGGAATAGCCAAGTCATAATCACAAAATTTAATTTGAAATTGAACCAGTTTTCATATTTAATGCACATAACCAAATCCCTGTTTACCCGCATATTACACCCAAAACTCGACTCCAAAGCGGTGCCTGTCACAAGCGATGTTTGTGGTGGGGTTTCGAGCTCAAACTCCCGGCACGGGTGGCCGGCGACGACCGCGTGATGCCGCCGAATGGTGTCAGATTTCTTCCCACGAGCATGACGAGTGCGGGCATGCAATGCCTGCCATGTCCCTTATAACGTGGTGTGAATGGAGATCGGAGGTTTCTTGACTTCGACGAGACATAAGCAGTACAGAATCTTCGTTTTTGCTGCAAGATTCAGCATTTTGGAACTCGTTAAGCAGCTTCCCAGTGTGCATTTCTTGATGCTCAACGCGTGTCACATGCGTTTTCAAGCCGAAATGTCGCCAAAAATGTGATATTCAAGGACGAAAATTCACGGAAAAAAAAATATTAGCTCGGTTCCCACATAGAAAACAATGAAGATTACACCCTCGTTCACTACTTTTCAGAAGTTAAAATTCCGTAAAAAAACCACTTTTAGAAATATGCCCTTTTTTGATGAGATATCAAGAAAAAAGTTAAATTTTCATGCAAAATCATCCCAAAATTCAAACTTGGATAAAATTAGTTTACAAAATGATATTTTCATAATTTAAAAAGTATTTATCATTTTGATGAAGCCTCCTTACCAACCGGGGTGCTTAGAAACCGTCAGAGGCGATGTCATCGCTGATATGGGGTGGTTTAATTGGTGAGTTTTCGCGCTGATAAATAAATGAATATTCATGAACCGATAATTAGGAGCACGTACGCGCGCGTACGCCCGCCATTTTTAAAAAAATACGCGCACGCGCAAACCGTTTTGCGCGGAATAAGATACGTGAGCCATGGGGGGAACAGAAGACTTGTGATCATCTACAATAAACCTAAATGCACTGAAAAATATTAAGACCGTCATTTTGCCTCTTTCAAGAAGTTCATAACCTATAACTGAATAATTTCAACTTTGTGACATCATAAACTTCAAACGGGCACGATTTTGCCAAGGGTAGTTATTTAAAAAATAAATATACTTTCTTTGTAAAGGGGAATTATATTTTGGCAGTATTTAAAAATTTGTTTTGGACAAGCTGCCAAGAAGAGAAATAGATTGTTTCTAACAGAACACATCAGAGATCTCTTAAAGGGTGAGTTGAAGTCATATGGCATGGATGATGGGTACCGACAATCCAATACCGACACCATCGAAGGTTGTTGGAGGCAGTGTGGAGTATTCTCTTGTCTTACCTCATAGACAAGCTCATGGTGGAAGTGAGGCACATCCAGATCCTGCAAGCAATGGATGGCTTCCTGAATGTCTCCAGATGACAGATACTCCTTAAGAAGCAGCAAAATCTGAGGACAAGAAGAGGACACGGTCTGTGACATCAGCATAACTGTATCTCCAGTTACATGTACAGTGGAACGTCGCTATACCGAACACCGCTATACCGAACATTCGGCTATACCGAACATTGTCCTTGGCTACCGAAAATTGTTGTCTAAAAATGTCAACAGGAGAGCAACAAGGCATAGAAGGGAAAAGTCAAGCATTGCTTTAGTAGCAAGCTAAAAACAAAATGTGTCATTACATAATTCAATAGTCGACACGTGTTCAAAGTCCTCTTTCGGTAGCTACCAGGGCATGCAGGGCGAAAATTTGAAGGGCGCCAATTATTGACAAGTGAGTACCAGAGCGCCGGCAGCTTAAAATCGCTATACCGAATGATCGCTATTACGAACAATTTCTGTGGATCCAGCAGTGTTCATTATAGTGGCATTCCACTGTATATGTTAACCTCAACATATCGACTCCATGCACCATTATCCCAGTATAATGACCGAGAAGTAACACACACTACATTATGCCTTGTGCTGTTGGAACAGTGCGCAAGTACCCCCTCAACGGCTACAAACGAAGAGTTGGAGGAGACCAACAACCGACGCACTCGCGATGAAACTAAAGATTTGTGCACATTCAGAATATAAGTATTGAGTATGAAGCGGCATATTCACATTAACCTGTAGGCGCATCATGCACACCTCATTCATTCATTCGTTAGACATAGGCATTTGTTCGTGGTCTCCTCCTCAAATTATACACAGTTGGATCACTGGCTCCGCTCCCACCACAGCCCGTCTTTCCAGTGCTGCTGCTTTCAGTTCGCTGGTGTCACACCCAGACCATTCACGGATGTTGTCCACCCAGCGCATCTTTGCACACAGAAGATTTTGAAGCCCCTCCACATGTTTATGTTGATACACTTTGTATTTTTGATGATATAGGTGGTACACGTACATTGTTTTTTAACTCTATCAGTACTGAATCCTAATAAACAAAATTATAAAAGTGGCCTGATATTTCAGCCTTAGTAAGACCTTCTCAATGCTTTAATATAATGTTTTTTTCACACACCCTAGGGAGTTACATGTAGGGTTAAAGGAAGGGTTAGGGAAGGGGCATGAGGTGGGGAGGGGTGGTAAATTGACTATGTACCTTTTTGATGAGTACTTTGACGGGTCTACGGCCCCCTCCCACACCCCAGACATTGTCCAGTTTCAGCATGCCATGCTTCATATTCAGCAGCAGGTTAGCACCATCCAACGCCTGGTGACTGCAACCAAATCACGTCAAACAAAACGTCAAAACTACAACACAAGTCAAACAACTGTTTATTAAAGGCAGAGTATGACATTGGTACAAAATGTTGAAATGGAAAACAAGAAATGACTTCCAGGTCTGTCTATTTATGCCAATTTGAAAGTGAAGCAGATCAACCTCCGTTCCGAATGCCATGAGATGTGCTTAACTTTTGCATTGCATAGGTCTCTCTCACATGATGTCATTTCCTACCGACCAGCCACGTGCATCAGCATTTTGAGAGTCAACTTGCATAACGCGCATCGGCTGTGTTGTATTTCGAACCAATTTCGAGCAACAAGTACAAGTGTTTGTAACATTTTCAACACTGTGCAATGCGTGCTTGATTGCGTAAAATACGCAGTAGCAGTTCTCCTACAGAGCTGAGATGGCAGTCCTTGAGAGAGACCTATACAGTATGATCACAACCTTTGTCCACTCCTGGTTGTAATCTGCCATCTAAATACAGTTATGGCTCTCTGTCATGGATCTGCTGTTACAAAGAGCCACAGCCATTGGCAAAAATGTGCAACTCGTGGAGATGAGTTTAATATGACGGTGTGTTTATGAAAATGCCATGAAATTGGGCCCAGATTCCAGTAATGTTACCATGGCAGCATACCTCATGTGATCCTCATGGACATCTTCCTTCCACTTCTGGACAAATCTGGGAGCAAGGCAATCATCAGCGATGGCACGAGCTATGAACTTGCCCAAAGCCTAAAGGTGAAAAAGTAAACATTTCAAAATGATACATAAATTGAAACTGAACCTCACCACCGCCCCCCCCAATTAAAAAAAGAAGTTTTTGGAGGATATTTAAGGGTTGAGGAGGATAGAGCCCAGCCACTATTACTTCACATGGGACGTACTTGATGACCTTGTGGGTCCTTGCACTAAACAACTGTTTACAAAAAAAGTTGTTTTACACTTTATGTCCCCTAATGCTTGAGCGAGAAAGGCAACAGATTTAAGTTAACTTACAGAAGGAGCTTCAGGAGTATCCAGACTAAGATCGGGCAAGTCGTTCAGCAACATCTGGAACGCAGCCTCCAACTCTATCTCCGTCATGACCTTTAACCCATAGAGGTCAGACAGCAGCACAGAGGTCATTTCTTTCTCTGGGTCCTTCTTCTCCATGGCTAAGGAGACAGCAACGGTGGCGACCTCATGACGATCAGTGTCGTCAATGTTCAGCTGAGACAGACAAGCCTGAAAAAGAGATGATCCACATTACCCTGCTGAACGCAACAAGATTAAAAGGGCCTTGATGTGCTGGGTCTCAACATAAGCAGCGTTTTATAGTCGAGTCACTTGAGTTCTGTCCGAGTCAGAGTCTCGAGTCACTTGGATCGAGTCTGAGTCTTGAGTTATTCCATTCAAGTCTGAAACCAAGGCACGAGTCATTTGCTGACGTGGAAACGTAGGCCAAATGAATGGTACACTTTGGATACAAACATGTGCATGGACAAAGTAACACACGCATGTGATATGTAAGCTGTACGTGCACTTTCATAGGAAACATAGGGGGCGCATTATTATTTACGGAGAGTGGTGCTGTATGATTTGTATGTGCTCTGTTTTCTTTTGCGGCATTACTTTTGGAAAATAAACACCGGAATTAAGTCTTTATAAGGTAGCATTTTTGTGAAAAATACACGACTTGCGGGTCACAATTCATTAGCGTCAAGTCCGAGTCTTTTGTCAATGTGACTCAAGTCGAGTCTGAGTCACCATATTCGCAACTGGGAACAGACTTGAAGCTGAGTCCTGGACTAAGGTCCTACAACACCGTCTACCAATGCTTACCGCCACTTCGTCACTGTCTCCATGCTCAAAATACTCCTGTATGATTGGTTCCACCATTTCCTGTAGCTCCTCCCCCTTCAGTTTGGGAGTAATGGTCTTCATGGCAATCTCAGCCTGCAGACAAATATAGACAAAGCAATTAGAAAATACGTTGATAAAGGGCAAAACCCATTATTGAATTTACATCAACCCGACGCAAATTCCAACAAATGCGGTACCCACTGCTATTTCTGATTCGAACCGGCCAGCCGACCCCAGCAAGCTTGGTGGCCGAGTGGTAAGACGTCTGCGGTAGTAAGCAGGAGGTCATGGGTAAATGATGGGTTCAAGTCCCACCTAAGTAATTTTTTCTCACAATCACTCGGGGGGCAACACTGAGTGTACAGTGTTTATAGAAATACATCAGTGAAGGGCAAAACCCAACATTCAATATAGCCTAATACATATCCCAAAGTAAATATTTATTTTAAAAAACCCTCTTTTTTTCAAAATAAACCTCTGGAAAATGACCTGCACCTGATTTCATGAAACTTACTGTAACTTATGATGCATCGCACCGCTGCATTTCACAAAACACGTCATAAGCAATTATTTCTACTCCGCAACTCAATAACTTGGGCCCAGTTTAAAAACAAAAACCAAGGTAAAATAATACAAAATAATTTAACAAGAACAGTTCACAAAGGAGAATTCATGAAGGTCAACACATTGCTCTCTGCTTATGTGATTTAGAAACTTTATTAACAGAATTTAATTAAAACATTCAGAAATAACTTCATTTACACATCTTTCTCTCACTTAATTTTGTTTAACTTCAAAAGTTATCGCTTTCTTTTTCCATTAATTAATATTCTCAATTAATTAGTTGCAGACCTTCGGAAATTATAGCTAATGAAAACAAAGGCCCCAAACTTCAGTGACCCGCAATAGTGTTGTAAAAAGTCAGAAATGAATTCCCTATCAAGGTACCTAATCAAGATTCAACTTACAAAGAGCTGTCTGGAAATGGTTGTTTTTGGACACCCTGTAGACTGTTAATTTGGATACCCTGTAGCCAATTTTCATAATACCGACTAAAGCACTGTTCCAATAAATTTGTGTAATTGGCCTAGCATACACACTGAGTGGTGAGTCACAAGGTCTGAATATTAATTTCATTGTCCTACAGTCGTGAGGTCATATGTTGTTGGAAGCGTGAGGTCAAAAACTAATGGTCAGCCTACAACTTCCTGGAAAAAGAATAGGCCCTAATACACTGGGATCACGGAGGGCGATCACGGAGGGGTGTCCGGCGGCTGAATGGATGAAACAAAAAAAACGTGCGAGTTCACTTATGTCTGAGGGTGAAAATGCATTCACCTCAAAAGCTGGCTTTGAAAGTATTGAAATGGGAATTGTTTGTATTCTAAGCCGAGGGTAAAATTACAATGGAACGTCTGACATTTTATCATCTGACATTTACCTTCTTTGTCCAAAAAAAAAGAAAAGAAAAGAAGAGAAATTAGACACTCTCCATTTGACACTCAAAAGTGAAAGTTCATTTTCTCCAAATGTTTTTGTGTCTTATTGTAGCTATTCGTACAATTACATGTAGGTTTAACTTTCATCTTGTTTTCCTACAAGATGAACTTGTACATGTACAATGTACATGAAGTTTGGCATTCGTGTAAGAAAATGTATTGCACTGATGCAAATTAAATTATGACAGGAAAAGAAATCCCCCCCAAAAATTAATTGTTTTTTTAGCATGTTTGTTTCAAATCACTGTCAATACATTTCACCTGAATTTTTTTTTAACATACTAGTTTAAAACGTAATTTTGTCTTCCCTTTCATGGTTGGCCTTGTGATTAATTATTGCCTCAGGTCACGTACACAATCTTGATTGTTTTGATACTCGGGTCAAGCCCTAAGGAAATAAACACATGGCCTTATTACTTTGCAATCATATGGCGACAGCCAGACTCGTCAATGCATGGTCCTTAATTGCAATCTGTCAACAAAATCTTATATCATTACTAATTGTTGCATGTACTTAGTTAAAGCTAAAATTAAAACCTTGAATTTATCAATCTAACACCAAGAACATTTATCCAAAGTGTGCACTTATAGATTTTTTTACACAAAAAAATTCATTTCATGGTATTTATGCCCAACTCTTTTAATACTTTGCAACAGGCACAGGAGTGTAAGCGATAGGTTTTGCAAGGCATCTCGATTCATGACGTGCACCAACCATCCAAGTGCTTCTTGTTTTTTGCACAACTTCCCAGCCTTTTGTTCAATGTACGTAACTGAAGATCCAAACATCAGCTTGCTCTTAGTGCCTGGCCCGCCCACACAGATCCTAACTCATTGAAATCATAATCCTCAGGGAAGGATGCTTAAATTCATTCAAGTACGTAATTCATCAATTTGTTTTCCAGCCAGAGTTTAGTATCCAATATTTGCACGACATTTGGCTTAGAAGTTCTATAGGCCTACTTAGGGCTGTCCTGAATACAGAGTGAGTCCAAAAAAAACCGAAACCCAAATGTTGGGACCATTGTTTTAAGGAAGTTTCGCAAGAAGCATTTTCAAAATCTAGGATATGAAAGCCCAATTCATAAGCTTTCTTTTAGTACAAGAATCATTCAAATCACTCATGTACTTTTCAAGTTACGGATTTTTAAACACAACCACCGTTTTAAGGTTCTGTTCACGGATCACAAAAAAGTTCAGTGTTCTTTCAGCAAAACGAAAACAAATCACATAGGGATGTGTGTGAATTGTTTTCATTTTCTGAAAGAACACACACCTCTTCTGTGATTCTGTGAATATCCAAATATTCGGTCAAACGCAGTTTCGAGTAATTGAATACTGAATTATTTGAAAATAGACAGCCCTATCAATAGTTTGACTAAGAAACTAATAAGCATAAGATAAAAAACCTTTTATTGTCAATATATTACCTTGATACAGTACAAACCTACTGGCTAATAAATGAATCAACTGAAAATGTTTAAAACTCAAATCAATGTAAAACAAATTATGTTGTTCAACCATGATGGCTTGCTAATCTTTTTGAATTGTCTTTAATCTGTTTAAATACAAAAACAGATCTCTCTTTATTTCCAAAACGAATACTGTGAAAACTCTACGTTGTGTTCATCTGGTAAATTTCCACAGCGAGTATCTAATAAACCTTTGCACCTTGATAGATGTAGGTGAATGAGTAACAGGCTTTGATGACTGTAAACACCAAGAACGTTGCAGCCTGGGCCCTGAAAAAAGTCATCAGACTGGACCAGGTGCTACCGAGTCAATAACAAAACTGATAATCGTTTGTATGGCTCATAACCTGTTCCAAATTCCATTACAGTACCAACCAAGAAATTGCAATTTGAAAGATTCCTGTTTTCCCAAATATTTTATTTCTGTTGCATCCATTAAAACAATGGTATTAAGAAATCTGTTCTGTGTGTCATAAATTATGATGTCACATGAAGAAGGAAACTTTTCTTCGAACAATTTTGTGAAAAAAAAATGAAAGCACACAACCATCAAAAGCTGTATTGCTACAGAAGGTGGTTATCTTCGAAAATTATTGAAAAGTTGAACAATGAAATTGATCGGAGCGGGGCTTGAACCTGCGACCTCCGGATTTCCGTTCTGGCGCTGTACTAACGGAGCTTTGTTCAACTTCTCAGTAAACTGTTGTAATTCACCTTGTCAGTTTCCTTTGTGGTTTATTTGAAAAAAAAATTCAGAACCGATACATTTTATGTTAAATTCACACGAATTTTTCAAAGTTTTGTATTCCTTTTGTAAACAGGCCATGTGGTTTAGTACAAAAACTGGGTTCGTTTCAGTGGGGAAATCCACTTTATCCCATCTGTTTTCCACTACATAAATGAGAAATGCGTAAGAGGGACAGAGTAACAAGGGATGCTTCTTTATGAGTGAACTTGGGACAAAAGTCCAACAGACAAGTTTAATAGACATGCAACACAAGATTCAATATTCTTTTTGGGTTTTTTTGCTCTTCATCAAGGCACTTTACAAACACTGTATACTCAGTGTTGTCTCAAGTGATTGTGAGAAATTCACAAACTACTCAGGTGGGACTCGAACCCACAACCTCCTGCTTACTTAGCACAGACGTCTTACCATTCGACCACCGAGCTTGCCAGGGTCAGCTGGCTGGTTCGAATCTGCTACAGAAGCAGGCAACGCAACCAAACTATTCATAAGATGGATAATGTGTCAGGGTGATGTAAATTCAATATTTGGATTTTTTGTCTGTCACAAGAAAACAATGATCATCAAATTTAATGTTGAAGTAAAACATCATCCCCTCCCCTCCCCAAGATCTTTGGTCAGCATTTTAAAATAAGGTGACCAAAAATGCCGTGTGTTGCTAAACTGGTCCTAAAGACCCTTTTTTCTTGGGGGGGGGGGGGAGGGGATCTAGGCAAATGTCAACTACAGGCCTAGGATGTCCCAAAGTTTCCCAGATGCCTCCTGCCTTTAATTAGTCATCTGTAAAACTAATGTGTTGGTGGCACCTCTGACTTACCTGTATATCGGAGTCATAGTTAGGATCATTAACATCTTGGCAGTTAGCATCATTCTCTTCATACAGGCCAGGTGTTCCCCAGGTGCCCTTGCCTCCTGCTCCACCTGTACAATCAATAAATCATAGTCACATTTATGAGAAATGGAAGCCATCAATTTTTTTTTTTTTGAAATCTAGAAGTTTGTCCTGTTATAGGTGTACAACAATAAATGTGCTGGGCATTGAGGCCTTGTATGGCATGATGGAAAGTTTGTCTCATCGTGGAGAGATTTCTCACTCAAGCTTGGGGAGCTCTACTTTTTCCACAACGTTTACAGATAACTCATTGAGTGACAACTGACAATTGACACAAAAAGTGCTTGGGCAAAATTGACAATTACTGATTTTGGAGAGGGGGGGGGGGGGGGGTATGTGTGCCTACTGTGAATGAGTGCATCACAGAACTTTGCACAGTGCATTTCAACATCGATCATGACATCACTGTTGGAGGCAGTACGTGCAAATCTGCGTGTCTGCACACAGCTCAAACTTGGCCCCACACCACTATTTGAGTTACTTTGTACACTGACACCCAATTTATCAAATTTCCCTTAGTTACCACAAGGTTAGTAATTACTGTCTGTGGTTTCTCTCACTGCAGTTTTGTAACATTTTGTCAGTTGATGCCAAAGTTGTATCCTATTTTAAATTGTTTTGAATAAAGAGGAACGAAAATTTACGGGATGGAATCCGGTGATAATCCACTACTAACAATGGACACATGTTTGTTTCAGGAAAGTTACGAACTAGGCTACCTGACCCAAAAGCTCATGGGCAAAGAGGAAACTGCAAATGACTCAGTCTTAGTGCACCCAGGCCTGATTAATTTACAGCATGTTTGTGAACAAAATAATGACTATTAACTCTGTGCATGGGCAGTGCTTTCTACACACAACACATGTACTGGTTCATGTGCATAATTTTTACATGAAGTTTTGTTCATATTTTGTTCTCAAGGTGCAAAGACTCAAATTTCCACCCAGTGGTTCCCCCCCCCCTACAATTTTCCCTCTGCACAATCGTTAAATCTTTTATTCGATTTTTAATTACTCTCTGAATTGGAGCTGCTAATCTGTTTGTACGCTCTTTTCAGGCTTCTAGTTGAATCCTACACATTTTTTGGAGCTGCTACTCAACCGATTTGGCAATTAAAACTACATGCATGGATCTCTCCATTCACCAATTCTCAAACTTGTGGAAACTTCCGAGCCTACTTCAAGTTATTGAGTTTGAATCAACACCATAGATGCACTGGGTCAGAACAAATCTGCTCCATTTATAACCCAAAGTGCCAAATGCCCTCCATGGCAAATTTGCGAGAAATAAAATATATGCTTTCAACAAAAGTAGTATTCAGATACATGAATTGCCTATTTTTTCTCTTTGAAAAACTGTAAACAATTATTTTAGTGCAACCATTCTCAGGCTTCTGCAATGAAAACCTTGAAAGGAAACAAATCTTAACAATTCAGCGAAGGCCTGAGTCACAAATATCAATTGTTTCAAAATCCCAGGGTGGTACTTGTTTTATGGACAATTCATTATTGATCAGGGCGCTGAGAGATATTGATTTCATTGTTTACATGTATTTTCCCACTTCTACGAATATTTACAAAATAGTACGAGTCATACTTGGGAGGTACTGATCTGTCATTCCTGCCCATGTAGTCCTTCTGATTTGAGGCGTGCGATCACACCCCCACACCATCACACACCTAAAAGCTTCCCGAGAAGTGTGAATAATTGCATGCCTGAATTTCCCTGGACCACTGATCACAAACCTAGAAAACCACACACCTAGAAAAACCACACACCTAGAAAAATCCAGGTGTGCCTTTTTCCACACGCCTGTGATTTTCAAATCAGAAGGACTGCCCATGTACACCTGTTGGTACACTCAACATGATTGGACAATATCTGAAACTAGACCTTTATGCTTTGCAAACCCATTCAAAAACGTGAGACAAAAAATCTCTGAAATAAATTACAAAATGGATGCCAAATAAATCATTTCTTTGATTTTCATTAGAGGACTGCTTTTCACCAATAGCATGGATACTCAATTTACTATCGGACAGGACTTTCCAAAAATTGATTGAAAATCTAACGAATAGAGTCAGATGTTGATTTACTGACATCCAATTATCAACAGAGTGCATAGAAATCTTGCAATACTGTTCTTGTTGGACAAAAGGGACACAATTCTGCGAAACAGGGATCAGTATGAACTCATTTCAGACCATTATTTTTATCAACTTTCAATGATTACATACTGTCCTTGATACAATCAGCATTTTGGCAGTTTTAACAATTAAATTTCCAGAGGCATTTTTTTTTCAATACAGGCATGATAAAATCAAGGATTACATGCATTTCTGAATTCAATACTACATTTACAGGCAGTGAGTCAACCATTTTGAATACACCAACTTCCAAATAACAACTCAAGGACTTATTTACTACTGATTGAAAGCTTTGGTCGGTCCCTCTCAACACAACTTGGTTTATTCCTCCCTGTGATAACATTACTGGGCCCTTGATCTGTCCAACATTTCAGGGATCAAAACAAAAGGGACCTTCTCAGAAAAGAACAGAATTACAGAGTAGAAATTTGGTAATTGAGCAGCTAGGTTATCGTGAATGACAATGCAATTGTTTTATTGAGAGAGGTGCAAACATTCAAAAAGTTACAAACCCAATACAACTTCCAATCAAATAACAGTGATGAAATTAAGTTTAAGAATTAAAAACATACTCTGTCCTCAACCCCAATTAAAGGTCTGGAAAAAAAACGTTGAGTTTACGTTGGCCGTCCTACTTAGACTAGAATCAGTAAGTAGTAACTTTCATTTCAGAGTCAAAACTTGCATTACTCAGCCATTGGGCCTATCCTTACTGGGGGAAAGAGAAAACAAGAACGAGACTATCCCTAACTTAACAGTTATATTCAAGGTTTTAAATTCCCTACTTGCACTGTTATATAATACTCCAAGGGCTTTAAAAAAAAACACACTCATGAAACAGGGTCAGCCATAAACAGACATTATGTAACATTATATAATCAACCACAGGTGCAGATGCATAGCCAAGCCTTAGCCAATCAGGACCAATCAATACAAGCACACCCCCAGCAAAAACACCATTCAGCATGTATGTCCTTGTAATGCCAAACAATAACAAATTTAACATTGAAAATTCTTCTGTTCATATACATCTGCCCCACTCATGTTTTGCATCGTTTGAAATTGAAGGGGAGATTTATAATTCAAGCATATCGTTTAAGCTTTTAATGAGGGAAAACTCCCCCAAAATTACACAACAAACGTGACAAAAAATACAAAATGGTGCTCACCCTTTTTGGGGAGTCCACGGCCCCGACCGCTGCGAGACTTTCGCAAATTCTTCTCCTTCTGTGGAACGGTAACAAGTCCGTTAATGAGGACCGGTGGGTTTTCCTTAGAAGGGCTCTTGCGGAGTCTACGCTTAGCTTTTCGGGTGATTCTGCCCTCGAGAGCGGAGATAGGACCGCCATTAACACCGTCACCTTCTGCAGACGGGTTGTTGTTGCCGTCTGCTTCGTCGCTCGACACGTCTCCATTTTGCTCGACGAAATCCACGACCTGTGGTGCGTCCACCTCCATTTCTCCGGTTTCGGTCGGCAGAATCCCCTTCTTTCCTACCTGACTTGCCCTATAGGGTCTCCACTGTGACCTTGGGTGACTACAAAGCAGGAAATTAAGGGGAAAGGGGGAGTATTTTACCCCGAATTTGATGGTGTTTTCAGTGGACTGATTTCAGAAATTGTGTTGTTATGATTTTGCGTGATGCGACCTCGACAGCCTCGCGAAATTATTGTCGGAATCACGTGGGCTTATAAACGCTAACTCATTGGCTGTTGGAGGTGACGTCCAGGTAACAAATATGCAAATTAGAATAATAATGCTGGATAGGGAAGCCAAAAAATAATAATCGTTGTGGTTTAGCCTGGTGCCTTTTGCAATTCATGCAATAAAATCGCGGCGAGGAAAAGGAACTACACAAGAATGTTTACCTTTTTTTGCAGCAGTACTCATTTCATCATTTTGTTCTGCGCATCAGTGAGGCTGCAGCATGCACCATGCATCAGCTGCTCATAATATCTTTGTGCCTCATACATGTATTATGATTACGCCTACCTATTTTAGAAAAGGTCATATTTAATGAACTCCCAGGGACCAAGGATAATTATGGCGATATGAATTTCTCCCCTGAAACGAAGACAAAGAACATAGCCGCACAGCCTGGAACTGTTTCTAGAGATTCATAATTAAAGTTGCAAACCCCGAGCTCTTCAAAACATTAATTGTTCCCCCCTCCCCCCACGAATTTGCAATTTGATGTTATGTTATCAACGAATAAAAGTACTTTATTCCGATTTTGGACGTCTGCTTTCATTTTGTACACGAAATGAACCCACCCTGCGAGAGATTTTATTGGAGGGCAACCAATAATTAGAATTTTGTGAAAAAATAATTCAATAAATAAAGTCGGTGGATTTTTTTCCGGTAGATATCTCATTCAAAAGTGAATAACTTTATATTGCTTAGAATGTAGTAATTGAAAAACAAATGCATTTATCTATATTCGAGGTGAAACTCGAAAATAGCACGGAAACGCATAATTTTCACACCGGGCTATGCCATTAAAGTATATCACCTCATTTTAACATTTATAAATGAGTATGAATGAAATAATTTTCCAGGAATTTTTCTTTTGTTTTAATCTAATCTGCTTCACCCTTTTGAAACTAGCGCCATGATACTTAACCTTTGATACTAAAAGGGGTATTTGAAAAAAAAAAAACTTTTACCAGATGGTTTAGACAACTCAGTTTGATGAACTTATGTGGATTATGTACACGGTTTGGTAATTTTAACTCACTGAGACAACTTTTGTTTATATATTTTACGTCAGCTCGAGGTTAATTTGGCTATTTTTTCCGTCCCTTTTTGGCACTGTTTTTTTTTTAAAATTATTCTGATCCATCGTTTCCTTTCAAATGTAAGGTAATTGTATAAAACTATATAATTGAATTTACATTAAATTTTTTTTATGGCGTTCTTCCTTCTTAATTTCTTTCTTGAAATCGGCAATAGAGGGCGCTGTAATGGTTTAGTTCTGTAGGGCGCTGTAAATTTTAAGTTGGATGGAAATATGAGATGGAGACTACAGTTCTAAATCCGACCGTTCGAATGAATTAGATAGGTTTTGCACAAAATGAAAATCTGGGGTTTTTTATTCAGGACAATTTTTTTTAATTTTCCAATTACTTTGTGACTTGAGATCTGAATGACCGTAATCAAATCACAGTTTTCAGATGAAGAAATAAACTAGGAAAAAATGAGTTAGACACGGACACAATTGAGGAAACAAAAGACGCGTGATGGATTGTCCACAAGTGCCTTTCCGAAATCTTTGCTTCACTTTAGCTCCAGAACCATTTCAAAACTTCTAACGCAACGTCCAAACCAAAGTGAAATTAATTACTCTACACTTTGATCTCATTTTATTGAATTTAATTTCCCTGAATAAAAAAACTGAACTTTTATGGAGTTCCCAAGTTAGGGGACTAAATCAAAGCCGAAACTGGGTGAAAGCCAAGGTTTCGAAAAAATCCTCGAAGTGTGCGCAAAAACTAAGATTTCTCAATTATTTTCGTTTCATTGAAATGAGAACTAATGAGTTGAGAACTAATGAGTTTAGTATCAATTATTTTTTAGTGAGATACCAAAGACAATCTCATTCAACTCTCTCACTTGCTTCCCATTCAGTTGAAGTTTCAACTGATACAGTTGGCACCCCCCCCCCCCCCATCCCTCCCTAGCTAGCTTTAGGCAAAAAAAAAAAGCCTCCGGTTTCTGGTATGGAGCTTGCCCAAAAAGTGGTGCGGCGACGCGGCTTTTTTTTTTTTTTTACCTGACTTTTTTGCTTCAAATGTCGGCTGATGACTGCAAATGGTGCCCGACTAAACTTAGTGCAAATATATGGGAGTCCAGAGAGGCCACATAAAGCTTATTCTCGATCCTAACCCCATCTAAAAACACGTTAAAATTGTGCAGCAGCAGGATTCCAGTCAAACCAGTGAGTTTGGCGGTTTTGAGACATCATCTTTCATTGAAAAAAAACAACTTTTTTCATTTTGTCGACGCGCATGGCTACGGCGACGCGCGCGCATACCAGAAACCGGAGACTTTTTTTTTTGGCCTTACTTTTCCCTTCTTGCTCACTCAGTCAAACCACGGAGGTTCAGCAGCCGGAAGCCTTGCGCCAACTTTTAATACATCGATCTTGTTCGTCGTTGTGCATCGATTTCATAACTGCCTCGTCCATCTTTAAATAATCTCCCATCCTTAAGATTCAATAAGATTAAGACACACAACGTCTACCCATACCAAAAGCTATAAATTCCCAAATGACTTTACGTCTTGCGAGTTTTGTTTTTTTATTCTGTTTGGTCATTTAGAGTCGCTGTGTGTCTTTTCCGGGTTAGCGCGTGGTTTAAGCGGAGAATGACAGCTTGAGTGACGGGGCGATCCCGCCCTGGACCACGGCTTGCCCCGTCTGGTTGGAGTCGCTGACCGCTTGTCAGGCCGTCTGCTGGAGTATGGTAAACCGCCAACGCTGGTCGAGCTGCTCGTGGAGGAAAATCCACGCGTACTAGGAGGGGAAGAAAACTTGTCGAATTTGTAACCTGGTTCGAGTTTGAATGTCGGGTTAGGGGCTGATACAGACTCACTGAGGTCTCCATTGAAGGACCGGGAATCTTGGAACTCAGAGAAATCAGGACGGTACGAGTCCAAGACGGAATCTCCTTGGAAGAAGCGGCGGTTGCGGTCCATGTTTCGAGAGTGATGCGGCGGTGGTGGATTGTGAGAAGGTGCGCTGCTCAGTCGGACATTATGGAAAGGCGGGCTTTCGTGGTGCCACGCCTCGCCTTGAAGACTCACGGGAAACTCGCCTGGAATCGATAAGGTCAGATGATCGAGAGGGGGATCCCAATAATCGAATCTCATCGATTCTTCCTGTCGCTGACCTCTCGGCACAGTATCGATACCACTTCGGCTCTGGTCAAGTGGCCGGTGGTTGTACCGTGCCGGGCCTCGGTTGTTACTCTCAAATCGACGCCCCCTGCTGCAGCTGGAAGTATTTTTAGTCTTGTTTTCGAGATGATACGATGCTTTTTGCCGATGCTCGTGATTTGGAATCGAACCGGTACTGGCTGGTTGCGCCAGTGACGAGTGGAGGGTCGACTTGTCCTTGGTAGGGTCGGACGAGACAGTTGCAGCAGATTGTGAGACTTGGAAAACCGGTCCAGTGTTTGCAAATGGCCTAGGTTGCAGCCGCGGCTGCTGGTTTTGTCTAGGTTCTGTGGTGCCGAGTTTGGAATGGGGATGGCCGGCATTTTGGGCTTGCGACTCGGTCAATGTCGGCCATTCAAGTGGGTCGTAGAGAGCGAGTTCTTCGTTAGAATTCCAATCGCTCGGTAGCACGGTCTCTTCCTGGACTGCTCGGTTGTTCCAATTCGGCTGTGGTTGCTGCAGTTGCTCCTGCTTGGGTTGCAGCTCGGACTGGTAGTGCTGAAACTGCTGATAATGGTGGTGTTGTTGCTGCTGCTGTTGCGTCAGTGGTTGGTGTTGCATCGGCGGAATGTGTTGCGGTAGAGGCAGTGGATACTGCTTGCCCTCATGCACGACATAGCACTCAGGTTGTTGACTCTGTGGCGTTGCAGTGGTGAAGATCTGCTGCTGTTGCTGGGGCTGCTGCCAAAACTCCTCACCGCCCGGATGATACTCTTGCATCTCCTGCATCTGTTGCTGAAGCACTTCAAGATCTTGAGGCAGAGTTTCATGAGGAGGAGCAGTCTGTACGCCTTGGTCCTTCTGCTGCGGTTGTTGCTGAAAACTCTGCGGTCTGGCTTGCTCAGCACCCGGAAAGGAAGCATCATCGATAAAGGCTTGGGCTAGCTCCTGGGCCTCCCGGAGCTGTGCCTCTAGAATCAGGTTCTGAGTAGACAGTTCCTCCAACTGACGCTCGTAACGGTACATCTGGGAGACACTCAGTCCAACATCGTCGTCACAGGACGGGGTAGGAGTAAAATCAATGGGATCTGAAATACAAAGTACGAGTTATTGGCCAATGTCAAAGTTAAAACACTGTGCCATAAATGTCTCAGAATTCAATTAAAACTTCAGTGTTTGGGCTTCGTTGTCCTTTAAAAAACAAAAAAAATTTGGACGACGGGGACACATCTTCACCGATATGTATAATAATGAAAAGAAGACGATTCTGTAGTTTGTTCATTTCATTATGAAAATCAAATTACTGTGATGGATTAACAAAGTGTCTAAAAATTGTAAACCTTAATTTGATGTGTGTTTTTTTATAAAGAGGCACAATTCAAATTCAAGAAGTAATAAGTACAAAACAAATCGATTACTTGCCAAGATATTAAAGAATTTCGTATATTATAATTATATTTATTTACTTTACGTGGGATGGGCGGAATGATTATTTCTTGCTCCATCAAAGTAAGATTTGAAGGTTTGCATGGTAAACAAAGCAATCAGATTAACTTTGTCGCAACTCTCATTAATTGTGTGAATTTGTGACGTTCTGAAAGAGCCGGGGGAAAACTCAATGTTTCGGACAGTATGCTCTGCCCGTCGTCAGTTACATCAAAGTACCTATAATACGTTCCCGTTTGATCTACATTTTTATTTAAACATTTATTTTTGGCAATGTACCGAAATGTACAATATTTTGAGACGTTCTCATTTCTGGAAAGACTTTTCGGTATCGTCTTCGACGAGAGCGTGATTGTTGCATGTGCACGGAGGCCATAACTCACCCGGTCGTTTGGCAGGCTTGTCAGTGTCTCCCCAACCGCTGAGATCGACGTAAGGCGGTGGGCGACCTTCCTTGTTGTAGCTCCATAGAGCGCGAGATGGGATGCCGTTATAGGAACCCAACTTGTAGCCAGCCTTGACTTTGACTTTAAAGAGATACAGCGGCAACTGGAGAAATCAAATGGGTAAAAAAAGGAATATAGATATCAAATATATTAATTATCGGAGGCTAAAAAAAAATCAAACTGAAAAATAAATGAATAAAGGAATGATCAATAATTCAAAAAGTGATTATAAACTCGAAGCTTCTTTAATCAAATATTACTTCATATAATACCTCTAAAAGTCATCACCTACAAACGGGACAGACAGTCAGTTTTCAGTTTTCTTTATTATGTGGTGGCTATTTTCTTTCCTTTCTTGCGGGGGTGGGGGTAGACTGAGGTTGTGGTTCAACTCACCGTTTTCTCGTCGAGATCCACCACATCTGTGACTTCCAACACCTCCAGAGTTTTGATGAGACAGTCGATGTACGCCTCTAGTCTCCAATTCCTGTCGCCCAGGAATGTCAACTCCAGAGCCAGTTCCTTTAGACGCTGTTCCAGGTGGAGGATCTTCTTACGGAGGCCGTCGTTAATCACTGCCACACCGCTGTCTTTCTCTGTTGAACCGGAGTGGGCTTCATGGGCTTGAGAAGAGACTACTGGGGGCGCGGAAGTTTTGGCTGTTTGACTGTGGGATGAAAGTGCGTTGCTGGCGGTTCCAGTGCTGTCTGATATGCTTGGCGATTGCGATGAAGTTATCTCCTCGTCTGAGGGAATCGTTGAAGGTTTGGTCAGTGTTGACTCATCGTCAAGATGGTTACCAGCCATCTCCTGTTGTTTCTTCAATGTTTCTCCTGCGCCACGATGGGTGGTGTTGAAAGTCGGGTACCAAGCATGAGGCTGCGATTTACTGACCTGCTGTATGGCCAAGCACTCCCAGTCATTCTCTGCCGTGCTGATGCAAACCGAAGGCTTTGTCTCAGACTCGTAGAAATCATCATCTTCGTCATCTGAATCTGAAGCGATGTCACTGGCAGTCAGCGCGACTTTCGGACCAATCACAGTGCTCGTTATGTCAAGACTGCGTGACGTTTCCTCCTGGCTAGGCAAATCACCCTCGGGCGCGCGAAGCAATTTCTCAGTCGCGTCCTGTGACTGGGTATCGGTGGTCACGTGCATCGCCTCCACTGATGACGCTGTAAGATTTGCTGCCAAAGACTCGCGACCGAATTGCATTTCGTTTATTTCGTGCCCGGTGCCCTCACACTTGACTAGACCAACTTCGTCACCAACATTGTCGACGTCTTGTCGGGACCTGTCCTCAGCTTTACTGATGTCACCAGTTGCAGAAACCTCTGAGACAGTTTTTCCTCCCGAGTTGTTATCTTCAGAACAAATCAACGGTTCCGCCTCTCCGTCTTTGACAGTATCACCTTCTAAAACTTCCGCTTCTTCCTTGAAGTGAGATGATTTGTTGAACGTGAAAACATCAAAGTTGCTCATCAGCGACGAGCTGGCTGAGTTAATCACAAATCCGACCAGGGTGTCCAATTCCTCATCATCACCGCTAGTCAGCAAGTCATCGTCATCGTCGTCATCGTCCTCACTAGAACTCCCATCTTCTTGTTCCTCTTCCTGCATCTTCATATCGTCAAAAACAACTTCTCTATTCTCATCTACCGCTTCTTTAGACGCCAGTCCTCGTGCCTCATTGGGTACCTCCGATGCACCCATTGCCTCAGTGTCATGCTGTGGTAGAAAGTGATTAACCTCTTCTTTGCTCTCTTGTACTTGGACCTCATTTCCATGTACCTCTTGTAACAAGAACTCGGCCTCCTTTGAATGGTTGCTTCGAACCTCCCTGCTTATCACCTCATCACGTGCCTCTTCAGCCTCACCATGGGAATCTCCAACCTCATCACGTACCTCTCGAAGCACATCATGTGACTCTTCAACCTCACCATGTGACCCCTGAACCTCATCATGTAACTCTTGAACCTCATATGATTCTGGAACCTTGCGTGTCGTTAGAGGTATTCTTGCTACTTCCATCGTTGATTCGCTGCCATTGTGATGCAATGGATGACTAACCTCCTCACTGTTCTCTTTTGGCTGTTCTGTCACTCCATCTTGTGCCTCAGACACCTCATGCAGCCCCTCCAATGCCTGCTCCTCATCTGCAACCTCCTCAATCTCCTCAATCACATCAATGATGTCAATCTGATCTTCCCAGCAACAGTCCTCAATTCTGTCGACCGTAAGCCTTCGCATGACACTATGGAATTGAAAATCCAACCCTGGTTCCTTTTTGTCATCCTCCGTCGGTATGTCTCCCTCAACCACTGTCTCATGGATCCAGCTAGAATCAGACACCTCTTTCTCGTATGCTAAATCTCTGCATTGTTTCTCAATGACGAATCTGATCAGTTCGTCAAGTTGTTGTTCGGCCTCTTCGCTTTGATGGGAAATGCTGTTAGGAAGTTCTTTTCCCTCAACCGCAACAGAACCAGTATCCTCATCAGTGCTGCTTGAACATTCGGAAGAATCTGTACAACATCCACTGGAATTGTGCGGTGAATGTGATCCCTCATCAGAAAGAGAGTTTCTTATTTTCTCCAAGATTAATTCCATCTTGACTTTCTGAAGAACCAACTTCACTAGATTTTCAATTTCATTTTCCTCTTCAAGAAACCCCAAATCTTCCTCAGTCTCCTTCAAGCGTTCGCACCCATATCTCTTGGTATCTTTTTCTTGCAGTTGTTTTAGCTGGACATCCTCATCTGGTTGTGATTTGTGTTCAGCCATCTCACCTTCCACGATAATGTGATCTCTGATTACAGCCGATAGAGGGCGTTTCGACGTCGCCACAGCTTGGTCATTCTCTGGGTGATCTGCCGAGCTTGCTGCGTCTCCTCCGTCCATGGGGGCGCCCTTGAGATAAGTCTGCTTGCATGAGCTGCGTCTTTGGGAGATTGTTTCTTGGCGATCAGATGAAAACAAATCATTAAGAATGGCATCATCTTCTGGATTGCTTGGGATTGGTGATGGAGTAGTCATGATGACGATCCCCTCCGTTAGGTTACTATATTGAAAATCACAGGAAGAGCAAATCAGATGCAGAAAAGGGGGATGATTTGATTATTTTTAATGAAGCGTTCCAACGACCATGTTCCACTTCAGGATTATACAATGTGCGCAGTTCCTTGGTGCATTACATCATTCTGCATCCCATAATTTTTTTTCTGGAGTCTGGACCGTGTCAGGCCAAGAAATGGAACCACATACGTCAAAAGACCCCCTCACCCGAAAATAAATAAATAAAATGTGGCTATGGAGGGACGGGCACTGAGAGGGACGGGCACTGACTGACAAAAAATTCAAATTGGTAAATTACTAAATAGGTAATTTTTGGTCGAGCTATAGCTAGTAATAATAGGCCTCACTCGCTAATCGACCATTAACCATGCTATAACGTTAAATGTAAGCATGTACAGCTTAATCACAGGATTAAGGACATTAGTTTTTGTGGATAATAATGAAACACAGCGTTCACAGAAGCTATACATGATAATCTTATTACAAATATCTTGGGGAAAAAAACCCAACACACCTCTTTTGACAGTTAAGAAGGGAAGGGTGCGGTTGGGTTAAGGGACCTTGATCTTAAGAAAATAGACTAATTCCAGTAAAATGTTCAATTAAAAAATTTAATGACCGTTAACTTGATCGATTATCACCAAATTTAGAAACTTTTGCAAAATGTAAATCAAAATAACGATAAATTAAAGGGAACTTACCGCTCACTTCGCTGTGTTGATACAGGAGACAGATCTTCTCTCGAGCAAAGCTCAGTCGGAATAAACAACCATGGCGCGTCTGTTTTCATTAAGGTTTCTTTTTTTGACGCGCGCGTTGACTCAGACACGCCGGCCAATCAGGGTGCTCGCGCCCTAACGTGACGCGCAGCTACGTCCATTCATACTTTGCAGGGGGGTCAGGCAATTTTCTTTTGGACTGGTAAAATCAATATTATTTATAATTAACATTTATTAGAATTCATGTAAAATCAGGATTATTTCTTTAAATAAACATGATTATTTGTTTAATGCCATTAACACAATGAGTTGCTTTAAACATTTCCTTTCCTACTTTCCATGCAAATCCACCAGTACCAACATGCAATCGACATTTTTATTAAACACTCAAATCACAAATTCAACTTAAATGGGAGCATAAAAATACCTTTTACAATCTGAAGGGACAATTTGTCACTGTACATGTACATGTACAATATTTAAATAAGCTGAGTTTTTTGCCCCAATCCTATATAGTTTCTCATTGTTTTCTAAAAAGGAGTTGCCTAAAAATCGTCGGGTTTTTATTAACTATGCATCGAACATGCTCATACGTACTTATATACGTGCATACAGATTTCAAGAGCAAACCAAAGCGGATTTCTGGTACATGGTCAACCTATTTTCCTTCCGAGCTAGGTTGATACTTTTCACATACTTGATGTAATATATGACATAAACGTCCAATCAAAACAGAGCATTCTTAGCGCATATGACAAGAGTTGTGATGGGATAGTCACGTGACCTTGTCAAGGCCCAATCAAGGGAAGGCCCTATCATTTGATTTGTTCAATATAAGGTCTAACGAAGACCAGCGACCTCCCGAACCCCGTCCGAAATACAAAAGTATCCAACCATAATTATGTTGGCGGTCCCTCCCCCCCCCCCCCCCCCCCCCCCCCATTTGTCAAAGCTTTGTGCAGGGCCAGGGGCGCAAGACAGAAAACATGACTCGTTCATGTGCTGAAAAATGTATTTTTTTTATGGAAAAAATTTCTTTGAGACTCGAGTCCCATCCCCTTCCTTCTCCCTTCACATTAACGTCTTTTGTCAGAAGAGCGTCTGTAATACTACAATACCTGTGAACAGCCTCTAGTCTTGGTATACATTAAACCTGAGAGATTTTCGATATGTTTTGATATTTTTTTCAGAGAGTTTGCTGAGGGTATGTTCCCAGAGGTCTTCAATGAGCTTCTTAAATGAGACTCCTGCTTTGCATGACAGACAGTAGGGCGACCGTTCTCAGATACAACATGAGTTTGAAGTGACGATCACAAAAAAATATGATGTGTAATTCTGTGAAGAATCCGAGGTGCTGCCGCGACGTTTGCGTGCTCTAAACGTCTTCAAGACGTCTCATCACTCAACGACTGTTCTTCATCTTTTGTTCTTTTTTCCCCATTAGTATTCTATATTTCTTCCAAGGTTCGACTATTCGGATGTAGGCCTTCGTTTTGTCTCCATAAAGCTCGTCTGTTCTGAAACCATCTCTGTCAAATCAGAAAATACAGAAGAAAAATAAGTGGTATGCATGGTACGTCAAATTTTTCAGAACATTTCTTGAGGATTTTGTTTTTAACTGAAAAATTAAACTTTTCAAAGCATTATTATCCAATTTAATTATATTCCTATATAACATATTATTTCATTTCAAATTTGCTTTTCGACTTCGTTCACTACGGCATTTTCGCGTTATTTATTCGCCTCACGTATACCTCACTAGCTTAACCCATCTGGTAATATTTGCAGTACCCCCGCTTACTAGCTTCATTCATCAATAATCTCCCAAGACTCAATTATTATTGTCTTCTCCTGTACCACAAGCATGTCGAGCGCCGTTTCCATGGTAACGCATGAAAAGAGCCCACATTGAACCACAATGCAAACAACTAATAATTTATTATTTCAAAGGTCAAAGTGGTTTTTGTTTTTCTTCGTTTCAGGTTTAATTAATAAGGATGAGGGGAAATAAAACGGTATAGAAACAATGATCATGCGTTGTACATGTTTTACATAACACAACACGTTTCATTGGAAGTTTATTTTATATCGGACATGCGTTGTTAAAATAATCCTTGTCCAAGAAAGAATGATGAAAGACCACAAACTCGCATAAAAACACGATGCAGTCCATTTCGATGTATAAAAATTATGTCGATATCAAATTTGTCACAGGTTCTGCAATAGGGAGTGGGCCCTATTGTGGTGCAAATTTTGTGTGTTATATTTTTTTACACCTATATGCCCAGACCATATCATCGGCTTTCGTTCAATAACCTCAATATGCAAACTTATGTCTTCTCATCTTTATTTTTATCGTGAACAAACATTTGTTTTAATTTACAAACGGAATTAACATCTTAATTATAATACAAATGTATGAAAGATGGCTGTAATCGTAGTAGGATAAATAAATGGACAATAAAGCATTGTACGTATTTACGAGAGAAGCAAATATCGACATTTAGCCATCTGTTATGCATGGCATGTACCGATGCAGGTTGAACAACGTCCCATAATTATATCAATATGCATCAGCTAAGCAGTCTGCCATTAAGTGAATTAATTTATGCGACATTAGACGCGATAATGGACGGGCGAAGAAAGATGGCGACTGTTTATATCTGTCGGCGTATGGGGCAAACATAGACGCGTGCGATGGAGCATGTTCAATGAACAGAAAATGAATTTTGACTCAGTTAAGTAAGAGATTATAAATACTAATCTGGACGAAAACACTCTTCGCAAGTATGACTGATCTTGATCGTGGTTAAAACGGGCGAAAGCAATTGACTTATAAAATGTATTTATTTAGAGTTTATATCATTAGCAAAATAAAAACTAATTTGCTTAAAGAACACCACAATAATCGATGCCGATGGCTAGTTATGGTCAACAAAAGACAGAATTGGAAATATCGAAACACGACGAAGCCCCTTTCGCACGATGGAAATAACTCAGTGGGATGTTTGACAACTTTTCTCGTGCTTGAGAAATATTGGGCAGAAACACCATCGTGTGAACAGATTTCGACGGATTGACAAAATAACAAGCATTATTTTCACTCTTCTTGCAATTCTTATAAAGTAAGACACGCCTGATATTTTGACTGTCGTGGGTGTGGCTAATTGTGACGTCATCGCTATATTGTGTCCGAAATCGTCATCTATCTGTTTCTGAGATTTGAGATTTACAAATTGCAACAAAATTGCCGTGAGAAACAGCAAATTAGTTGACACAGAAAGTCATTAGTGAAGACTGCAAGGATCGCATTGCACGAATTGAATACTTCAAAACTGAAACATCGTCGCATCATAGTGCGGTTGGTTGAACTTGGCCAACTTTTTTGACTAAAAAGATGCGGTTGAGTCATACAGTAGACTGGTTTCCAGTCATCGCGGTGTTTTTGCGCTTGTCCCAGAAGATTTGGGGATGTTTGAATAAGGTGAGAGTTGGATGGGTAAGTCAAGTCTAATTCTGAGGCACAAAAGCTTTGCAACGCGTGTTGAATCATCCACAGAGCCAGGGTTGAATTCTTCACTAGCCTGACTTCCGAGCGGAAATCCTAACAACAATCATAAATATATAATATTTGAACCGGAACTCGGTTATCGAGTCATGAATCCGATGACAAACTTGTTGTGATATTTCGGGTTTCGTTTATGAATGAATCTTATAACGAGAGAAAAGATTGATGACAGTAACTTCCTAATGGGGGAAGTTACTCACGACTGACCTGGCAAAACGTGGTTGGGTGGCACACTGCAAATGGGTTGTAAAAATGGGATGAGGTGGTCGTACGATTATTCATCGATACAAAATATATTTGAAACTGTGCCAACAATTCAGCCATGTTTTTGGGCATCCACTAGTTTACCCAATCCAACTGAATATACACTATACATCAATATGGGTGGACAACCATACTAGGAAAATGGGCCTGCAACAAAAGCTCATACACAATTTCCAATACATAAAAAGAACAAGAAACTGGGAGAACTGTATTTTCAAGTCTCGTGACCCAGGTTCGAATCTCACCTGGTTCACTGTGTGAGTACTTTGTCAGTCACTATTTGATTGCATTGTTTCTCCCTCAGAATCAAGTTCCGTGGAGTTTTCCTCCCACATCTAAAACTTGTATCCTATGTGTCTTTCGTAAAGCATTCTTCATAACATTCTACAGTGACTGTGCATTGTTTTCAAAAGGTCTTTTGGTTTGACACAAAATCATGGGACCATCTCGTGAAGCTGGTTAACAGTGCTATGCACAGACAATCGTTATACTTCGTATTTAGCAAAAACTGATTTACCAAAAATAAGGCACACTGCGCATGAGAAGGGTTCACGATCTAGTTTTTCTTCGCCCAACAAATTATTTTGTTAAGCACAAAATTTCTGCGAGCCTAAGTTGGACCAGGGTTCTTATCTACTCACCGCTGCATCTTGAGGAGACAGCCCAGCCTCAGCAGCAACAATCTCCAGCGTAATCTCATCCATGTTCTTATTCTGCTTGAAGTTCTCTTCCAGAATCTTAGCCTGTATTGGACTAACGCTGTTCACTACGGCGTCTTCAGGCGAGGCAAGCCTAGCGTCAGCAACCGGGTTGTTCCGCGGGGAGGTCGGGGGCTGGTAACGGCCTGGCTTGGGCGGTGTGATCGGTACTCCCGACGGTCGACTTGGAAACTGCTGCCCGCTCATGATGTGTCTCGGAGTTAGGTGCACACCACACTGATTTTTACAGGATTATGTATGTTATCACACGTAGTGCACGATAATCCACACAACTCACACAATAATTGCACTATTTATTGTAATCCGTCGCCCCCGCTTGGGGTTGATTTTTTTTTCAAAGTGCAATTTCTTTCTCGCTTTTATGATCAGTGAAGCATCGAATCGCACCTGTAGCTATAGCAGTCAATGAAATGGAACACTCCAAAACAAACTCAGCAGTACAACCAATGCAAATATAGAATCCAATAAAACCAGGCTCGTCACAACCATGAAGAACTATACTGACCAAAACGACTGACGATTCAGGACACGGTTGACCAACAAAATGGAGATACACAAATTCATTCCAACTTTCCAGTGTTAGAATTTCACCAAAAAAATACACGAAATCGTCCGCACAGTTCAAAGTAATTTGCAAGGAGGCCTACAAAGCGTTCACACTGCGCGACGAACCGCTAAAAAAATTGGGAATGTAAATTTCTCTCAAATTGCAGTCTTGCGTATCTGGCGTACACACCTAGCTATCATCAATGCTAGATGCTTAGTGGCCGTGCCTGTGGTCAACTGCACTATTTTTTAACCCTAAAATCCTTGTAAATAATGACACACTGATATGCCTATAACACTGCATCCGGCCGGTGAGTCCATCCTTTGCATAATTTTCACTGATGACTGCTGCCCTCGCAATTATCATTTTTTGAGGGATGGAATTACACGAGACGCTTTGAATCGCCTGAGGCAGTTTCACCGTCCACTTAACAGAAAAAAACCCTGGTTGAAAGGGAAGTTTCTGGGCGGAACGAGGATAATGAGGAGGCGAGGTGAAGTGTAGATTTCAGCGCCAGGATTATGTTTCGTTTTTGTCGTGTGCCATATAAATAATGGTGGACTATCCAATGTGCGATAAATATTTACTGCACTGTAGGTACTGCTTCACTTCACCTAGCCTGTACATATTCCACTGTATAATGCTTTCCTTGTGAAAGACACTACCAAACGCTGGGCCGGGAATTGTATATTAAATATTACGTGATGATCAATAGCTGGCCCATTTTTCATGGACAGGAACACAAATGGATCGTGGATGAATAAAAATCGTCACGTGACATGGCGACGGGGGAATATGGAAATCAATATTAAATGGCCGCGAGCAAAGGACGTGTGTGAATGGATTTTGGAAACTTCGGTGTTGTCTCCAGCTTCGGCTTCCAGCCCCTGATTTAAGGGACTTCAGAAACATCAAATCCTGTATTAAACAAATGCTTCTGGAGCCACAGCTGGAATGTCGCCTAAGTTTCGAAAAACAACCTTAAAAGTAACAATGCATGATAGGCAGGACATATACTGGCACCCGTACTATCAAATTCGATAGTAGTATCACTTTGCATAAGGCAGACAACATCAAATTTTATTACAATTCAAATAAAGATTGCCAAGTCCCAGTTTTCAGATCAGTTCTTAAAATCATTTATTTTCCGATGACATTAATGGCAATATCTCCAAGACATAAATCACATAAATTAAAATTTGGTTTTTGTGTAGGCCTATTTTCATTAGGGTCAGACATTGTTACCAGTATTGCTAAAACATTTTCATAATATATTAAATAAATAAATACTCTTTTTTTTACACTACTAAATAAATTAAATTTCTGAAACTTGATCGTCCAAAGAATTACATATTGCACACTGGAAATTAGACTTTTCAATGGGTGCTGTTCAAATTATAATATATGTAGCAGTAAAAATAGATTGTCCATTGTTCTGATCAACAGCGCCCTCTGTTGTTCATTGGTTGAGATGTAACGATGTGTTCCAGAAACAGAATAGATAAATCTGGCCACCTGATCAATACTCACACAGGCCTGTACTGGCGAAAGCATTGTGCTAGCTATTGTACAAAGCACACTGTTCCATGGCAGTTATCCTGAACAATAGCTAGCACAATGCTTTCACCATTGAAGGGGGCCATCGTGATAGAAATAATAACATGCCTGGATTGGTCTATAACTAAGGCCAGATGTGGTTATTTTGGAATGTCTTGTTCAGATAAATATTAACATAAAACAAAATTCAAAGTTAGATGGCAGCATCATACACATCAAATACTGGAAAAAAAATACTGAGTTGTAGAGAAGGCAGGTGCATTCATTGCTATAATTTTGGAGCTTCTCCAGGGGTGAGATTGAAGGAAAAAGGGAAAAAACACAAAATAATCGGCGGAGGTTTTGAGGGTCGCCTAGGGTCCTAGAGCAACATAGGTCTATGGTATATTTGTATTTGCCTAATGGTTCTTCTGAAGACACATTTCTTTTCTTCTTTTTAAATTTTTATAGGTAAAAACATCTTTACAGTAAAACCTCAGGAATTCCTTATTTCAAAGGAGATTCGTTAAAAATCCTGAAATCAGGGGGAAAACCTGACAACAAAATCCTGAAATCAGGAAAAATCAGACAAATCTCACCCCTGGTTCTCATGAGAATTACGTGTAAAACAAACATCCATTTTTAAAAATTATCAATACTTTGTCCATTCGTTTTCAGAAATGCTTTCCATGGTTTGACTTACAAAAATCAATGCTTATACCAGAAAACCAAAATATTCCGAAGTAAATAAATAACCTTATTTGGTTTGCCCTTCATTGAGGTGATGTTGGATACATTGTATGTTCTGTACATGTACATTCCGAGGCTCTGTGAGAAAATCTTGACAAAAATAAAGAGAAAACCTTTTTAACGTTACTTGGGTGGGACTCGAACCCACGACCTCCTGCTTACTAGTGCAGATGTCTTACCATTCAACCACCAATATTTTAAAATAATCGGCAAGGAAAAATGAGTTGTTCACCATAAGCTGTTTGGAAAACAGACAGTACAAAATGTAATTGCACTTCACTAAGGGAAAAATGTCTAAACACTTACACACACATGTGCACCAAAATATAGTTGATCCGTTATCGTGTTACAAAATTAATGGCACTTTACATCTGATTCGGTGAATAAAATTTGTTTGATTTGTTCGTTGAAAGTGTTTGAATATACAATCATAGAGTACTGAACTGTGAAATCATCTGTACAGATATATAAAAATCACTTTTTTTTCTGTCAATTCAGATATTTACACTATTTGAGCACAATTAATAACTTATTTCTTTTTTCTATATATACACCACCAGTATGGACAATTCTGACGACTGGGAGAATACTTGTGACTTTTGTCATTTTTTGTTCATAATTTTTTATTTTATTTCTCACACTTTTACTGCCCGACATTAATCACTGCTGTGAATGGTCAAAACGCCATAAATTGTAATATATAGCACTTTCCATCATAACAACAATCTAAAAGCACTTTACAATTATTACCCCGTTCGTCAGGTAACGAGACCACGCGGCAGCCGATATCATTACACATTTGGCCCTCTACCCTCACAGGTACCCATTCATACTCCTGGGTGGAGAGAGGCAATTGTAGTTAGTGTCTTACCCAAGGGCACAAACACCATGTTCCTGGCAGGGTTCGAACCCACGCACCATCTGACATGAGTCAGACACTGTAACCACTTGGGCGGAGTTAAATGGGTCAGTCTATTGACTTGAGACTGGATTGAATTGTGAGACATTTACTGCAACGCGGCTGACGACTCACCTGTGTTATTCTGTCACGTCTAACAAATCCTTTCAAGGGGATTTTTTTCCAAACACTTTTTTTTAAATGCCTACATAATTCACAAAAACATGGTATAAGCTTTAAAGAATGCAAAGTTGAAACTGAAGATGGCAAATAGGATCACGATTTGACTGTCGATTCTGCAGAAGCTGTGACCGTTTCTAACGGGGTGGACAACGTATGGCTGAAGTGGTGAGTCTTTGTTGGTTCGGCTGAGGCGGGTCGAGTCAAGTCTGTCGAGTCAAAGCTTTCTGTGTCAGGAAATGTCCACAACAAACAAAATCTTTCATTTAAAAACAGTGTAGGAAGCCCATCAACTTATGCTAGTAAGTAAAGTAAAAAAAAAAATCTAAAATCTGTTTTGAGCCAATATGTCTGTTTTGGCCAGTCTTTCAGTATTCAGCAGGGTTTCTAGCTAGAATACCCAAGAGGGTACGGGAAAGGGGGCGGGGGGTACGGGGAGGAGGGCGGGGGGTACGGGGTAATATCTGAGACTCAACTGCCAGTGTTTCAACTTACCTTGAAGTTTACCAGCAGTCAGCGGCTTGGGTTTCTTCTTCTTTTTCTTCTTTTCACTCTTCTCTGCTAAACAACAAATTGATTTCATCATAAGATAAAACAATCCTCCAATATCTGTCTCAAATTTAGCTGCATTTTTGTATAGATATCCTGCACTGCACAGGCATTTTTCCCCCAATAGAGATACATACAGGGTGTCCAATAAAACCGAACCCTCAAAGCGCCCTCATTTTTCACAGCTTTTTAAAAAAATACATCGCAAATATCAATACACATTTGACAAGTATAGTTCATTAACTTTTCAACAAAGAACAAACCATTCCAATCCGATAAGTTTTTACTGGGAGTTATCCCATTCATTGGTGTTAGGGGGTAATCCTATACAATAGCACTGCTCGGGTCTCTTCCCCAGTGTACAACCAGTCCAAGTCACAAGTGACAGTCGGGGAGTCAGTCAGTCGGGGAGTCAGTCGTATCAGTAAAAAGAGAAAACAAGGCTGGCCCTCTTGGATCGGCAAAAACTTGAGCATTGAGGTCTTCATGTGTTGCTCACCTGAGCCATGTGGTTGGATGGGCTGTAACGCTTCCAGGCGAGAACTCTTCAAATTGCTGGACCTGTTAATGAGACCCTTCTGGTTGATCGTTGGACATGAACCACTGCAAACAAACCAAAGCAAATACATTGTTGTTTTCCAATGACGAAACAAAATATAAACGATACAGAGTGGTCCAAAAGTTTAAGCATTGCTTAGACAAAACTGCCCTTAGAAAACTTTAAATACTGGTAGATGCTTTCTTTTGCAATATCGTCCCAAATTTTAAAACTAATTCCAAATTCTCTGCATTTTCAAGTCTCATCACCTCTTGCAACTGACTGATTACAATAAACCTTCAAGGACTTAATGGTCCCGAGGAAAATGTCGCCAGCATATTTTTTTCTAAAAAGGCTCCGTGCACAAGTACCCCCTCGACGATAAGACAGGAAGAGTTGGGGGAAGCGAATGAGAGAGCCATTGAGTGCATTGCCGACGACACCTGATGCTCAAAATTCACTGATTCATAGACGATACGGCTTTGTGAACATTCAGAATAAATTAGTCATGCATACTTGTATTAGTTTAGTACAAGAACATTATCTCTAAAGGGGTACAAAAAGTGTTCTCTCTTGTTTGCGCATGGAGCCCACTGTGACCCAACACAATAATGAGAGTCATGTCGCCAAAGCAAATTTTGAGTAATAGACGTTTCTAAATCGTGGTTGGTGAAACAGTCAACATGTCCACCCAGACAATATCTGTACTAAGTGTAGATGTCGCACCGAGTGGTATATAGGTGTAAGAAGAAGAGCCAATGCTTTTTCTACTAGTACGCCCTCAAACTTTTTTTTGGGGGGGGGGGTTTGACAGAAGCCCCGCCCACCTCTGCTTTGTGTACATTTCTCTGAGTGCTTGTTACCAAGACTGGTTGATCTACTGTGGTCACCTGACCAGAACTCCTGATCTTATTGGTCATATTGGTCATTGGCATTGTTTGACTGACAGACAGGAAGGGTGTACTGTTGTGTTTCTCCAACATTTCACACCGTGCAAAACAGGAGAGTCATAGGTACTCACTATTTAGTATCAGACGATATGGAGAAGGATCGTTGTTTCAATGGCAAGTAGTGAGACGGCATGCTAGTTGACGTTGTGTCTGATCGGAGGAGTAAAGATGGAGATATCGATGTTGTCCGTTGAGGTGGCAGTGAGAAAGTAGATTCTCCTGGTGAACAAAAAAACATCAAATTGTACACATAAAAGTGTGCTGCTTATATAGCACTTTACACCAAAGCGCTAATTATTACCCCGATCATCAGACCATGACACAATGTTTTCTGCAGCAGCTTGAGATCAGCACAATCTGGTCTCTACCTTCACAGGTACCCATTTGTACTCCTGGGTGGAGAGAGGCAATTGTAATAAAGTGTATTGCCCAAGAACACAGGGATTGGCTTCATGATTCAAAACTGATGTAATTGCGGGCACCACAATCATTCTTTTGAATGGAATTTTTTGGCCTGGAAGATTTTGTGTCCCCGATGAATAAACTCACAAAAGAAGTGAGGTAGTTTAGAGGGTTCAGAGAGCTTCAAGGATTTTGCTTAATAATAATACGCTATCAAACTGCATCAGTGTAGACTGATCCGGTTTGGACCAGTTCCTACCTGTACCCGGTGACATGGGAGGCCTTGATGTGAGTGGAGCCAGTTTAGGAACATTTGAGATGTAGAGGTTCTTCTGAGACAAACTCCGGCCACACAGACTAGGTATTGGTTTACGATTGCCGTTGTTACCCGAGCTCAACCCTGGTAAAAGGAGGAATTGGTAGTTCAATTAGTATGGTAGAACAGGTGCTTTCCTTGCCTTCTGCTTATTAAGGGACAATGGTTGATACCCCATGATTTGTATTTTGTATTAGTCTAGTTAGTTTTCTTAACTGGTTATCTGCAGGTTCTCCCGAAAAATTCAATTTTGTTCTCCTAACAAATTTTCAACTTGTATGTTTAATGTTAACCACCCAAAAATATTTTCTTTTATTTAGGGCATCTGCAAGCCTCTGAAAAATGAAGAAGAATTTTGATCTTTTGTTTTCAACTTACAACTCTCACTTCTTTGTGCATCCAGTATCTCCTGTGCATGCCGCTGTACCGTGTCGGCGTCTGGTAAGTCCCGACATAACGGTCTTAGCGGGATGGCCACCTCGCCTAGACACAACCCCTCATCAGTCATAAACCCTGGACTCTTAGGGGAACCTGAGGCGGTTAGAGAAGTAACCGTAGGCAGCAAATTGTGTTTATCTAATGAGTTGCCTTTAGAGTGGATGTTATCCAGGAGCATAGGAGATGTGGCTCTTAGGATGTTATCGGATGCCCTCCGTGGGGATTTGTCCAGGGAGTCTATGGTTAGACCACCCCCTCCACTGGCTGGGAATGAATTCCTTCTGGTGTAACTCAGATCTTCACTCAGGCTTCGTTTGCCGAGTGTGGATTCCAGATCATCTTGGTTTCCGTGAGGTTCGTTTCTAATCGTGTCCGTGACGGTTGGATGGAGCGCCTCTTCTGATAGGTCCTCCTCCGAGCTCCCAGCGATGTGATCACAGTGACAATCCGGCTCGTTGTAACCCATTGCATAGTTGGGATGATCCGGGGTTACCTTGGCAACTACCGTCCTGTCTTGGGCACCGTTGGGTCCGTCCGATTCCTCCGAGGAGGATTTGTACCTCAGACCGTTCTTCCGTCGGTTGAACCACTCGCTGATGAACCCAAACCGTTTCTTCCAAGGTTCTCTCCTATCTCCCTCGCCGGTCCTATCAGCATCCTGGGATGCCCTCGATGACGCGGTTGCCATGGTGCCAAACTGAGCTCCTGCTCGTTGTAATATTGTGATGATGTCTTGATTTGCTGCTTGCTTAGCATAGTCCAGTGGGGTGCCACCATTGACATCATGAGGCGAGGGATCAATGCCTAGTTGGAGTAGCATCTCAACACATTCAAGTTGAACTGAAGCAGCTGCCCAATGAAGAGGAGTCCTGACAAACAAACAAACAAACAAACTCAAATTACATTACTTGCCGATTAGCTTTATTAGTAAACAATTTTTACAATATGTTTCCATTATTAGTAAACAATTTTTACAATATGTTTCCATTCCCTTTCTCAACAGCATACTCGAATTTGCTTTTAATTCACATATGATCTGGCTTTAGTCTACAAATGCTGTCAAAAATTTGCTTTAAATTGTTCAAAGAGTCCTCCAGATCGGCACTGATATTATTGGACAGTGGTAGGCTCTCCTTGCAGTAAGTGCTGATAGTTAACATGTTCAGAAAAAAAGAAGAAACAAAATTGCTACCTTCTTTCAGCAGTATTCAAAGTACTTATTAGCCAAGATAGAAGTTAATTAGTAGTGGTTTTAGAGAAACATCTTGTAGCTTCTCACCTGTCATCAGGATCCAAAGACTCAAAGTCCACAGCAGGTACATCCACGTACTCCTCTAGGATGTTACTGTAGCCTGCCGCGGCTGCAAGGTGTACGCAGGACTTGCCTGAGCCTTCCAGCATGTTGATCAACGGAGCACCCCCGCTGCGACATTTAGCCATGATGGAACAACAGGCCAGACAACCATTCTGTCAAACAGAGTGAACATCAAGAGAAGAGTGTTGAATTCGCCACCAACGTAATAGCCTAATTGAAGGTATTGGCACAAACACAGGATCTGGGGCAAGCATTTCCCCGGCCCGCAGCCCGGCAAACCATAGGCCCCTATACACCATGTTTTAAGTACATGTGTGTCATTTCTCCTGTGAAGATTTATGAATAGCTTGCCTGAACTACTTTATTTTTTCAAAAGTATTTTGTCTTATTTATCCCCCAAACAATAATATAAATGCCAAACAAAATATCAGTCATGCATGTAAAAATAATGCAATAAAAAAAATCCTACGAATGTTTCATTGATATATTCTACTCTAGAAATATAGTCCTATGAATATTTTCATAATATTTGCATCTGAATTTAGATTGTGATTAATTCCAGCAACTTCAATCAAAGCTGATCCTGTGCTTCTTTTGACACACAATATTTACTAGAAATTGCCAATGTACAGTGTACACACCATGGAGGTGTACTGTGCACATTCTGGGAAAGCATAAAAACATGTACATGTACACGTACTTCAAAGATAAACCCGAGCACTAATTTAACGTTCGAATAGCCCTGACCCTGACGTGACGACCGATCGTGTCTTAATTGAATCGGAGACCAAGCCTTTCAGACAGGTTTTGCATAAACAGAGGACACACATTAGTGTGAAAGGTCGGATTCTGACCTTGAGAGAGCCACAGCTGAAGCAAATTAAGTCACGGATTTGTCAAGTTCAGGCAAATCTCAAATTATTCAAATTTGTAATTGCCCAATTCTGCAAGGTTCAATTTTTTTTTTGTTATTGCCCCTCTGTTATGTTCTCCTGAAAAATGTCTGCATTTTCATTTGTAAATTATCCGAACTATTTCAAAAAAATTTTATCATAAAAAAATAACCTAAAAATCTGTGAAAATCATATACAAATATACGATATCAATAATTACAATACAAGTTGCCATGTTTTTAAAACGGGACTTTTAAAAGAGTTGACAGAGTAAATTGCCAATATTTGGTGGTTGTGTTTTTTTTTTTGGGGGGGGGGGGTTAAGGGTGAGGGTTAAATAGGAAAACCACAGTTCTATTTTTAGAAACAAGAATGGTTCACCTGGCTGGCCCAATGAAGTGGAGTCTTGCCGTCGACGTCCACGCTGAATAGGTCACCACCTCGTAGCATGAGTAACTGCACGTGCTCAGGACGGTTATGGAACGCTGCCCAGTGTAACGCTGTCATGCCATCATTGTCAGGTTCATTCACATCGCCGATGGTCAAGGTTTGAAGAAGGGCTGAAAGCGATCTGTATGAGAAGAAGTAACATGTATAAAATACCAGATACCAAGGTTCCAATCTACGAAATTATCTCACACATAAATGTAATCCTCAATTTTTCCGGCATTTTGTTTGCCGAGCTGCAAACATATCTCCCGGTAGAATGCACAACATTTGGTAACTAGTCACGGTATCTCACATACAATGACATATAGTGTGTTTGACATATTAGGCCAAAAAAAAAAAAGGGTCCGGTTTCTGGTCTGCATGCGTTTTGCCGTAGCCATGCGCGTTGGCAAAATTAAAAAGTTTTTTTGAAGGTAAGATGATGTCTCAAAACCGCCAAACTCACTGGTTTGACTGGAATCCTGCTGCTGCACAATTTTAATGTGTTTTTAGATGAGGTTACGATCGAGTAAAGGCTTTATGTGGCCTCTCTGGGCTCCAATACATTTTGCACTAAATTTGGTCGGGCACCATTTGCAGTCATCAGCGGACATTTGAAGGGAAAAAAGTTTTTAAAAAAAAGCTCCACACCAGAAACCAAAGACTTTTTTTTGGCCTTAGTGTATATTTTTCTTCCCTGGCAAATCATCTCCGCTTCTTTTTATTATATCTTTTTTTTAAAAATACTTTATCCTTGACCAACTTTCTCCAAGCTTTGTGGCAATATGCAATGTCCTGGTTACATGCAGATTAATCCAAGTGTAAACATGAAAGTAGCCAATCGTTACACAGTCTCATCTAATTCCAATTTCTTCTCATGAAACGTGTCACTTGTCAAAGATAAAATCTAGCTGAATGCTACAGCGAAGCACTGTGATATGCTGGCATTAGTTCCTACCTATATGTACAACCAAGCATCTTGAGTTATTTTTACTAATTTAATTGACAGGCTTGCCTTTTCCCTGTATGCATATAAAACAAGACATAATACGATGTGAATAGCAGGAAGAACACTGGCGTGTAATTAGCCACATGAGCGCAGAATCATCTGCAGCCAGTAGCCAGCTCAAATGATAATCTCATTTAATCATCCTTAATGGTAAAAAAAGCCTTCTTTAGGGAATCAACGCAATTTTGTTGGAGGATAGTGGCTAAATTTGACAGGAATCCAAAATTAAAACACAAAACAAAGTTACGCAAAAGATATTACTGAAACACCCTTTTTTTTTGTAAAAAAATGAAATAGAAAACAATGTGTTGGAGGACTATGCTTCAATTTGACAGGAATCCAAAATTAAAACATAAAATAAGAACACACTGACTTACACAAAAGATAATTTTACTGAAACACAAAGTAGGCCTACAAAGTATACAAAGTTTGGTAAATTGTTATTCAAAAAGACATTTTCAAAAGAGTATTTTACATTCATCGAAAATGCTAACACTTTTTATTTATGAAATAAAATAACAGAAGACAAGCATGACAAGATACATACATGTACATATGTACCTTGCAAAATAAACTGGACGTTGTGTGTACATGTAGGCCCCATGTATTTTATATTAGAAAAGTTAATATGTAAATTATTTCATTAAAACAAACAACAGCTGTATCAGTATTATAGTCATGTAAATGTAAATTTCAACAAAGTAAAAAGTCAACATTTGTATACTCAAGATACAACCAATAATTTAAAGTGTCTTGAATATTCAACATATTGTAACTAGAATTATAAATAAACTGTGTCAATATTTAAGACACGTAAAACCAAAAAACTGAAAGCATCATGAATATTTTTTAAAAAGCTTCACCAATCAAATATGCATGTGAATATTCAAGATCTATGTACAAAAAAATGAGTGAAGGCATCATGAATATTCAGTGTTCCTACCTTGAATGTGCATGTGAATATTCAACATCTACCGGTCCGGTGTGTACAACCAATGAGTGATGATATCATGAATATTCATTATTCCTACCTTGAATGTGCATGTGAATATTCAAAATCTATGTACAACCAATTTGTGATGGCATCATGAATATTCATTGTTCCTACCTTGAATCTTTGTCGTAGGTTGCAGCATGGAGTGGTAGACGCCCACTGCGATCTGCTATGGCCTGCTTGCCACCACTGCGTAATAGGTAGACAACGCCATGGTACCATCCCTAAAAGAGCCACACAAATTTAAAGGGAATATACATCATTTGCTTTTGCTGTAATTTTCAGAAATGGATGGAATTGGGGGGTTGGAAATATATAGCAAATATAGTTACACTGACTTTTTTGAGGTTTTGGGTTCAAAAATGCTATAAAAACCAAGAAAAACAATCATTTTCCTGTAGTCTGGTTCCCTGACTCCATTTAAGAAGAAACAGAGCAGTTTACATACATTGGGGAATTGTAAGGTCAGGGAACCAGTCTAGCTGGCTTGTACCCGTTCATAGGTGTGTAATCGATTGCAAACAAGTGCGATGGTCAACTGGGGGCCAGTATTTGAAAAAAAAGCCAGTTTTTTTCCAACGCTGATCGGCCGGTCAGCATTGGAAATTGATACAAAAATACCGCTTTTCTTGAAAATGACAGTATACCAGGTGCCATGATTTTACAGGATGCTTTACACTGTCATTCACTAACAGTCCAGCAAGGTATTTCAAAATGATTTGGTAGTTTTATTTTTTGATGTTTGCAAATGTTGTAGTTTCCCTTTAAAAAGTGGGGTAAAAAGACAATTGAATTTTCCATTGCCATATGTGTACATGTACACTGTACATGTACAAGTCTGTACATCATTATGCAAAAACCCTGCAAATCATTGAATATTCTAAGTAGGATTGGAAACAAGTGGGGAGTGTTTAATTCAATTGAAAAAAGTGGGCTTTACTGTCTAAATTCAACATACTTTTCCCCAAGACACTAAGACAAACAAAAACAGAATACCTGTTGGGGGGGGGGGGGGGGCTGGCAAGAAGGATGGGGCACAAAAGGGTGCTTCTAATAAGATGAAAAAAGGTTGATTATTTTTCCAAAACTACAGGAACATACACATGTACAGTACGTGTACAGTTACATACACATCCAATTATTCAAGTACATGAAAAGCAAAATGTTGTTATAAAAAAAAACACTTTTTCTCACTAAATTACAATTTTTTTTTAAAATGGTTCATTTGATAACATAAAATTCAGGCTTAACATGTTGACTTCAGTAAACCGTACAGTACATGTACATGTAATGCACATGACATACATGTGTACATGTACATACATTATGCCTCTCATATGAACTCGAACAAATATACATAACTTGATGCACGTACACCCTAAATCACTGGATAGTTATTCTTTAACAGAAATTTGTAAAACAAAAAAATGCACAACGTCAAGAAACCATCAAAGTCATGACGCTTTTCCTGCATCTTCTTGTTCTGTTTGCGCTATGCAACCAGACTCCTAGGCATGAAACGTCAATGAGTAATCTGCCAGTAACGTGACCTATGGACTTGTCAGATTCTAGCATTTGTAGTCGCAGGACGCTATACTCGCATCAATCAAACTCCACAGCAGAATAGCATCCTTTTTCCTTCTTCTTTTTTTTTGACGTGTCTGACTTTTGTTGCCATAATTACTTGATTCAGTGCACAAGTTATGCATGTACATGTAAGTTGCATTTTGTTTTGTCATATGTGAAAAACAATGATATGTAAAGAGGGTAGAAAATGAACATTAAAAATGTGTTTCTTCTTTCTCTCTCTTCTTTCTACAAAAAATTATAATTTTTAATTTTTTCTTTTTTGGATGTGTCCAACTTTTGCTGCCATTATTTAGGGCTGTCCCCAATAAAACTGAATATTCATATAATTCTGCACATACCGGTAGCACAAAATACTAATATTGGGTTATTCCAACAACATAAAATTTATATGAAAATTCCAGTATAAAGTTCTTCAGTTAAACTTGAGTAGTGTCTATGACTCAATATTACAAGTTCATGTAATAGATATGGTCCTTTTAAACATTATTAACACATTAATGGCCAAAAACAATTGAAACTTTTCAAAACGCTATGTTCAACCATGCGCATCATACTGTATATAATTCTTCCCCAACCCCCAATTTAACCCCACCCCCAAATCATACTGTGTATGATTCCAGCCCCATCCCAACCCCCACTCCAACCCAACCCAACCCAACCCCACCCCCAATTGATAGCGTGCATCATTCCTTCCCCACCACAACCCTTACCCCAACCCAAACCCACCCCAAGATACTGTGTATAATTCCTGCCCACCCCACCTCCATACCATGTACAATTCCTTCCCCACCACCACCCCCCCCCCCACCCCACATATCTAGTTTATGTTTGGCTCCTCTGTACCCACCTCACCCCAACCCCACTTGAAGCTGCGTACCGGTATAATTCCTGCCCAACCCCACCCCGATAATACCATGTCTAATTCCTTCCCCACCACCCCCCCACCCCTCCCCACCATCTCTAGTTTATGTTTGGCTCCTCTGTACCCACCTCACCCCAACCCCACTTGAAGCTGTGTACCGGTATAATTCCTGCCCAACCCCACCCCGATAATACCATGTCTAATTCCTTCCCCACCACCCCCCCACCCCTCCCCACCATCTTTAGTTTATGTTTGGCTCCTCTTTTCCTCTCCTCACCCCAACCCCACTTGAAGCTGTGTACCGGTATAATTCCTGCCCCACCCCACCCCCATAATACCATGTCTAATTCCTTCCCCATCCCCCCCCCCCCACACACATGTCTAGTTTATGTTTGGCTCCTCTGCTCCGTTTTGTTGACACACTCATTACACGACCACCGTATTCCAAACTACTGCTTCGTGCACAAACGCCAACCTGTAAATGTTTTTTGGTGCCAGATCAGCCATTGCTTGGCCGTTGCCTAGCAACCATAATAGGGATGTAATTGCGCGGAACGTGCATCCAGAAACGATAGCCGGGAAAAGCCGAAACGTGACCTCAGGAGAGTTGCTCTGGTTATCATTGTAACAGGATATCAAAATAAAATTGATGCCGTATAAATATCATGCACATTTCTGACCAACATTTACAAATTATTGGGTTCTTGGTTTCCTGTTTCTTCAGACATACAAACTCAAGAAACAAATATAAGATTAATAATATACATGTACATAATTTGTTTTTGGTCCAGAGAAATTGAATTGCAGCTTTTCAAGTACAATACATTTCTCAGATGCAGCACAAGTAGACATGACTCAAGTGGGCAAGACTCCACATCCCCTGGCCGTTTCATAAGACAAACAAAATAATGTTCCCCAAAAAATTAATAAAGTTAAACAAAATTATACTCAACTATGAAATTGGGGGGGGGGGGGAGGGAATTCAACTGCCGACCCTATTTAATTAAGTTGGTCCGTGGGTTACACAAAACACAACATTTTTGTTTTTTGGCCTTATCATTCGATGTGACCAACATGGTAGCAAATAATGATCTAAATTGGCCTGAAGGACTCTCTCAGGTACAAACAGGCACTTGATTATAAAGCACTCAAAAATAAAATATTCATGTAAATGTAATTTGGTAATGCACCGGATAGCAAAAATATGGATCATGTAAAAGTTAAGCTGTGTAAATGAACCAAAAAATGTAATTAAACTGTATATTGTTAGCATGAACAAACTTGTACATTACATAATGTACATATGCCTTGGCCTACGAAACATTTTTGGGCCTACGAAAATTTTTGGGGCCTACGAAAAAATTGAGGGCTTACGGAGGGGGGGGGGGGGGTGGGGGTGCCGGGAGGTTAACAAAATAAGTATTCAGACCTAACCATCTTAAATCTTAAACAAAGTTGGATTTTTTAAAACAATTAGCAGACTACATGTATTTCAGGGGATATGTAGGTCCAACGATAATCATAAACACTGATAGTTCAGGCCATCAAATGTTTTTGTCTAAATATTGTAAAACATGTCTCTAGCATGAACATGTAACACAATTTCAGTCAAATTATTGAGGGCTTTGATGAAACCTTGCATCCAGGAGAAGCAAATTTTAATATTGGGTTGGCTCTTTAACATTTTCAAAAACTTAAATACTACATGTAAGTATTTAAGTAGTGGTAGGAGCTTGTGAGTTTGTGCAAAAAAAAATGCAGTCTTATAAAATTGCCTTGATCAAAAACCCATCCTACAAAATGAAGGCTTAAATTGCCATTTCAAGCTGTATTATTGCCAAATCTGATTAAAATCCAAACAGTGGTTAATGTATTTGTAAGACACCGGTATAAAAAAAAATTCCCGGTAAGTCTTTTTCCCCATAGTATTTCTCTCCTTCCAATAGTACTGATGAATTATATTATAAATAAAAATTTGCAAATGAAAGGGAATATTCGAGAGAGTAAAGAAGCTATAGACAACCAAGTCACGTGATTGCTCAAGGCAAATTATCCTCTTACAAACTGGCTGTGTTACCATGGTAACAAGACAATACTTGTTATTTGAGGTCCTGTTGTGTGTACCATGGAACAAGAGGCTGTGGAAATCAAAGTCCTGTCTGGCGAAAGTACAGGTCAATTTGTGAGGAGGTCGAACATTAAAGAAACAATTGTATGAACAGGCTACAGAATTGAAGATATTGCAAAAAGATGTCACGTTTATCATCCATGGAGTGTAATAAATTTGTTTAGATACAACATGAATATTTGTACGTGATAACTGATCATGTCAAAGATATTGCAGTTTTGATCAGAACCTTTCTGAAATTTAAAGAATTTTTATTAAAAAAAAAAAAAATTCACTTTTATTTTAAAAAGATGGATTTCTGTTCCAGAATCAATTGAAACTTAAGGGAAATTGAAAATCAAGGGAAAACATGTCTCAAAAATTTAACAATTTTCTTTTCTTGGGTAAAATCAAACAATTTTTCCATAGAATTTAACACCATTTTTCAGTTTCTTTAAATGATTGCATACATGTTCATATTATGTGTTATCATCCCAGTACCGTGGGTAACATCTTTTTCCAACCTGATTAAATTCAGATCGTACGAATGTGCGTGGAAATGCCTTCAGCAACATTGAATAATTCAGCGACTAAAGAATTCCATCAAATTAAAAACAAAAAAGTGGTTGTCTCCAGAAGTAAGCGTTTTTACATTTCTGCAAGTGGAGGATTGCCTGCCGACCATTAAACGCGTCACATTTATAATACAAGGCTTGTCAACCACAGGACCACTCAGGGAAATGAGCGTGTTGGTTTCTATGGTTATGTCATGTCACTCTGGAACCAGTGCGTAGGCTCATGAAAAAAAAAAACGTGTCACGGACGTGCATCATGTACATGTACAAAATGGTGCACATTGAAACTATGAATGCTCAATGTCGTGAGTGAGTGCAATATAACTGAAGACATTAAAGGCGATTTATTCCATGTTTGCCAAATTTCTGCCCTAAATGTATTGTGACTGTTATTGGCTTTAAGCCGTTATATATTGATTATGCATATATTTTCATTATGTTAATAACGGTGTTGTGTAAAATTACTTCGTATTATATTTTGTATGCTTAAATGTTAACATAACGATTTAATATTTCTAGTGACATAACAACGTTGAAATAAATGTTCAGCAATTGAACCTTCACAAAAAAAATATATAAAAAAGTCTGAAATACATGTATTCATTTGATTGACCGTTTTTCTGCAGAAGAAATTGTAAAGAAAACCAATAACAAGTGTAGTGTGCGCCATGAGAGCTCTGTTGCAAACCCTTTTCCGTATTTGATAAATGCTCAATTGTATTTGCCAACAGTTGTTAACCATTAAATTTGCAGAAGCTATCAATGCGTACTATCTGTATGTTTACATTTTAATCATGAATTTCTTTAACCCTAATCTCCCAACTCCATCAAAATCCATCCCCCCATTTTGATAGATTTTGGGGACTTGGTCCTGCTGGCCTGGTTTGACTTAATATTGATGGAGTATGATGGACTTGGGCCAGGAGGCCTAAAAGCAAAGCATGCATTGGAAGCAGTGTTATTGATGGATTTTGGCAGACTTGGTTTAGTACTCTAATAGTTAAAGACAGTACGGGAGTTAAGGTAAAGACATGTATTCTTTCAACTCGATGTATTTTCTTTCTCTATATATTTCAGTCACTTGCATCAACATCCACAGAAAAATGACCAAATACACGTTTTGCTAACCAAAAAAGGTGTTTCTCATGTACTTTGTTTACTTTTGGGTACCGTTATTGGTATTCTGTTTAACTAACTTGTTTAATTAATTAACCAACAACACATAAAAACACAATTTGCAAAGAAAAGGCTTTTACAAAATATACTTTATATTAAACGTTTTAAATATCTGGCCAAATGTGGCAATACAACATTTCCAGTCAGCAATTTGACCATTAAAGCTCTGTAAACCAACAATATTGTTGTTTGTTTGCTTTTTTGGGGGGGGGTTCTTAGTATGGCAAAACTCATATTTTGCATTTGTTTGTGCAGTTTATTTTAATTGCAAAAACTGAAAACGCTTACTGCTTGGGCAATGGGCAACCCAACAAAACATAATGGCTGTCAGAAAGATGGTTTACAAAACATTGGCTCCATTCTGGCTTTGGCTCCAGGAGATTTCATCTCATTTTGCCAGGAGGCTTCACAAGTATAGATCAAGCCAGAGCCAAAACCAAAACCCAGATTTGGAAAATGGCTAATAAAGGGCCAATGGGTCAAAGGTCACATACCTCATATGCAGCCAGACAGAGGGGTGTCCTCCCTAGAGCATCTTGGGTGTTGATATCTGCACCCATCTTGACTAGTAACTTGACCATGTCTAGTTGCTTACTGGTGACTGCACGTGATAGGGGTGTCATCCCTATAAAGATCCAAATTTGAAGAAAAAATAATAAAGTCTTACTGAAATTTAATTTGAAAATAAGTCCAAATGCCATGTATCTTGAGTGAAAGCCACATTTTTCTTCTGACAAAATTACACTAAAAAAATTAAAAAAATTTGCATTGAGACTGTACACTGAGAGAACAAGCTAATTAGAATTGGATTGAAGCATCATCTAGGAATCTAGGCATACGAGCAACGACCTTGTACCTCCATAATCATGGAACCGTTACTCTCTTGTTTCTTCTCCTTTCCTGTATTTCCTTCAGTCATTCATCCAATAACCCTAGACTCTTCTGGCCTTCACAAACACAATTTTGTTCGTATTGAGCTGTTTCCTCCCATTCAGATAATTCAACAATCAAGCATTTTGGCTAAGCGGAATGACAGTATCTTAAAAAACCAGATGGGAGGGCGAATTGGAAACTGAGCATTCTCTTGGGGACGAGCGTTAACTGCATGGGTGAGCCAATCCCTTCAAGCATGTCATTTTATTAGCCAAGCTTCATGTACATGCTCACATTCATGCATACACGCTGTTTACAAATAAACCATCATGCATATATTTATAACAGCTCAAGATAAACAATGTGAAATAATTACCACATAAATTTTACTAAGAGATCAAAATTTGACATCGGCAAATAGTTATAGTAGAATGTTGCTCAAAACCCTCCTACATGTACTGATACGGTTATTACGGTAGAACTGTCACAAACCATCAAAAATCTATCCACTTCCTCTCCCATATATACTGGCTGGTCACAAACGCCCAGAGCCCCCGTAAATTAAACCACATAACTGTCAGAACCTGTTGATGGGGTTTGATAGACTGGGTGCCCTCTGCATGTTCTACTTGCAGAGCAGCCATCTTAGAGGGCGATACCTTTGTTTTGCTGGAAAATGCATGAGTGAACATTTTGAGCATTTACTGTTACAAAACTAAATCTATCACTGACAGGCACTCGGCATCACTGGCCCACCATATTTGAATCAATGTTAGTCAAGGCATGGTACCCTCAGTTAACAAAACTACGACAGCCTGTCAATTGTACTCAGCCCCAAAAAACAATTTACTGAACTGAACTGTACATGTATCTCTCTCCATGTTGTCACAGAGCGAGGGACAGTTAACAAACAAAACTGAATCCACAAAAGATTGTTTGGTGTACAATTACAGCAGCAGTCGGTCTTTATAGCATTGTTCAGCCGCCAGTATTCAGTTCACGTAATTATAAAATTTAGCAGCCAATAGGATGTTCATTACAGCTCAGTTTAGATGCAGCAGAGTAAGTGGCATGCTACTGTGCGGCCCTACATGTATTCGGCAGAAATCATCGATGAAAAGATGAAAGAGAAGACTACTATGACGTCAAATGCCACACGCCCATCCATGTACACTGAACATGCACTCCCGTTTTACATGATGTACATGTAATTAATTAAACAAGTGCTAACGAATTAGCTTGATATGAGGACAAATTCAGACTAGCAACGCATCTTCATTTATAAATGCTGGAACTCATAATAATTTATTCATTCCTCTTGAACACTCCAAGTGAAAGGAAAATTAAGGTGGTGGTGTTTATTTTCTTTGGTTATGGCCGAGACTGTTGCTAAAAATAGTCAACTGAAAAGTGATCCTTGTGCCGTCCATGTACACACGTACACACACTCAGTGTAACTGATCATGTTTTCATAACTTGAACTAATCAGCTTCTGTGAACGATGGCCGTTTCATTTCAAAGTTGGCCATTACTGAGTTAGGCGGTCGTGAAACACTCCCATGATTGCATTTATATCAATCCTTTCCGCTTCAAGGATGCGTTGTGATCCAATGAGAAAAATGCATCAGAATAATTAGCAAAGCTTGGAATTGTCTGTGCATGAACATAACATTGAGAACATAACGTTATACTGTCTACCAATGAATATTTGGGAAATCATACAAACAAAGGAACTACAGGACTACACCTGGATTTAAAGGATATAAAACATTTGCTTTTGCTGTTATTTTCAGAGAAGGAAGGATTTGGGCGTTACATGTACACTGACCTACATGAATTTAAAGGTTTGTGTTCATGGATGCTGGAAAAACCAAGAAAAAAATGGTGTTATTGTAGTCTGGTTCCCTGATCCTACTTCAGATGAAACGGAGCAATTTATAAACGTCAGGGGAATTGAGGTCAGGGAGCCAGACTAGCTGGCTTGCGCCTGTTCACGGTTGTGTAACCATATAACTAAATTTGGTAAATTGGGGAAGTATCTGAAAAATGGATGTTTTTTCCAACGATGGTCGGCCGAACATCGTTGGAAATTGATACAAAAATTCCACTTTTCTTGAAAATGACAGTACACTAGGTGCCATGCTTTCACAGGATGCTTGAGACTATATTTATTCACTTGCAGTCAAGTAAGGTATTGGATAACAATTTGGTAGTTTTGCTTTTTGACGTTAGCAAATGTTGTATATATATATTACAATGTACCTTTAATAATGCAAAATTTAATCTAGAAATGTACAGGTAGAAGGGTGTTGCTGTTGTTGGTGTAGGAGAGAGCTGTGGTGTGGTGGGGGAAACATTTTTGGAAGAGATGGTACAAACGTGGGGTGGGGGTAGAAATTGATGTGGTATAAGGCAGGGTAGGGTGGTAAACAGAGGGGTTCCTATGTGGCAATGATGGGGTCGGGGGTCAAATTGGGGAGGGGCGAGAGTCAGAGTTGGGTCGTGGGTTTAGGGAGAGATGATGGGGGAGGGGTAGTTGGGGCATGGGAAGGGAATGTGGTAGGGGGTGGTTGGTAGGAATATGGTGGGGTGATGAGGGAAGGGGTTGGGCACGGGTGTTAGGGAAGAGGGAAGGTGGATAGGGAAGGGAGGCAGGGGTTGGTGTGGGTTACCTTTTTCATCTTGGCTCTCCAAGGCACTAGGGTCATGATTGACGGCTTCCATGAGTAGTGGTACATTGCCGGTGGCTGCAGCTTGATGTGCCATCATGTGAGATCCATCGTCGTGTTCAAGACATTCACTCTCATGGTCTACAGATTAAAAAAAAGTCAAAAATTCAGAAACAATCAGCCACAAAATCAATCTGTTATTAAAACACTCCCCCTCTGGCTGGCAAATTCTACTATATGCCATCACATCAGTCAAATGATTGTTGTGAATGGTTAAGCATTGTCTTGTTAATACCGGTAAGCCTTCTTATGGGGGATCAGGTTGGCGTAGCGGTACTTTCCTCGCCTTCCACCGCTGTGACCCGGGTTCGAATCCCGCCTGGGCCAACATGTGGATTGGGTTTTCAGTCCCTGCCTGATTCCGTAGATTTTCCCTTGAATATCATTCTGGGGTTTTCCTCCCACCACTAAAACTGTAATTTCCTTCAACATCTTCAATCAACGGACTCCACTGGGAATAAGTAGAGATACTTTTGTGGGTTATCCTGGCCAATTGCTCAATAAAATACATAACAATGTACATCAACAGTACATGCATCCTACAATTTTAAATATGCACGTGTAATAAGTATCAGCTGTCACACAGAATGTCGACAATATCCATACTAGATAATTGTGCTTGCATTTCAAGTGACCTACATACATACATGTACATTGTACAGGACTGACATGACGACTGTTAAGCGTTGGAAATATTCCTGTGTGCAAATCTAAATTAAGATCCTCCGCACTACCATACACACTTGTATGCCAATTAAATCCATTGTACATGCATGCACATGTTCTTCTTGAATTCACTCCCTCGTCTAATATTGGCCACAAGAAAACATTGTAAGATTTCCTTTGACGTATGTTTCAGGCCAATTCTAGAACACATGCAGAGTTGCAAGTCATGATTACAAAACACATGTTCCGGTATGTATACACAACATGTGCATGCATGCTTGCTGAGAAATGCGATATTTTTTAAATGTTCAATATCAATTTGGCTTCGGTGTCTTGTAGTTATCGTACACATTGTCTACATTTTCCCACAAATTTATCACTTTGTGGTATGTCCACAAAAATTGCCAGTTCCAATTTGTCATTATATAAATTTGGGGTCCATTTTGTCCCTGTCCCTGTTACATCTGACAATTTTATAATTCTGATGCACTCCTTTCAGTTTCATACCATAATTTAATGCAGTCGTCCTACAAGAGTGATTATGAACAACAAACTATCGTACTTCAAATATCATCAAATATTAACAAATATCATTTGAAGTCATTCTTAATAATAATTTGAATGGTAAATTACAAAATACCATGGTAACAGGGACAGGAAAAATATCACACTTTGAACCCTAAATTTACAGATTGACCCAACTGAAATTACTGACTAAACTGCGAGTAACTTTCCACTGCACTGTTTGCAAGTTCTACAGGTGTTTCAAAATTCTGGTTTTAAAAAATCCTGAAATTGGCTTCAAAGTTGGTGAATGAAGCCTCCATCACAAGAATAAATTATTTTAGGACTTCAGAGAAAGAAACAAAAAACCAAGAAAAGAGAAATGTTTATTTTATTCTTCTGTTTTTCAATCGGAGTAACTCCTAACATTTCACATGAACAAATAAAAAAAAAAAATGTACACTACCTGACCTTGCTTTATGAATCCTGAAATGCTTACAAATGTTTTGCGTATATGTTTACATTGTATTCTCTTTGCGCAATTCCAGATGCGCGTAGATGAAGATTAAAGATTCAAGGCTGAAATTTAATTTTCATTGCATCTTCAGGAGGACAATTGGCATACTGTACACACGCACTCATGTAAAAACAAGGACCCACATGGTTTTAAGATTGTATCATGTACACCATGTAAGTACGTGGCAATTTTCTTCAATGGAAATACGTACATGTAACAACATGTACATGTATGCAGCTCATATGTACGTACAGGTGTTTGTTTCAGTTAAATAGAAACTAAATTCTGAACTCTAAAAACATAAGCAATCCGACTTGGCCGAAAGGCCAGTTTGTACTTCATACTTCATTCGAATGTGATGCAAATTTGATGTCACTGAGCATTTGCTGCAAAATTCGCAGAGTTAAAATAGGTTCAACTTTTGCGAATTTGCAGCGCGAAACTTGCCCTGACGTTACCTCGCAATTCGCATTCGCTTTCACACAGAGTATAAACCAGCTTTCACACACAGATGAAAATAGCCTATGTGCAATGACGACTAACAGAACAGATTAAAATGCACTCGCAATACAGATTTCAAGGTGCTGCATTCATCAAATTTGCTGAAATTTAATTTCAAAAATCAGACTTTGCAGGTAAAACTTTTTAAAAAAAACACTGGACTTTCGGAAATATAATTGAAAAAGTCGGACTTTTGGCAAAAATCGGAACGCTTCATCTGTTCCGATAGTTGCCTTTAACACCGTAATGATTCTTCTGCTTCTAAATAAAAAGATACATGTAGATGTATCATTTGTGTCAATATTTCACTGTGATTAATCCACTTTGTGAAAATGAAGGTACAAAAAATTCCTGAGGAAAGAACAAACGAACAAAAAACCAAAACAACTCATTGGGAGAGAAAAGAAGCATGCAGAAAAAAATTCAGCCATTCAATCCAAAAAGACCTTAACCATCAATTTATAGATGGAAAAAAATGCAATCTTATGAGCCCTACTTTAAACGTACCGGTACCTTCTACTCTGTTTGATGGGTGGCTGCGGGGTGTGTTCGCAAACTCCATACTAGACCTAGGACCCAGGAAACCAAAGGGAGAGAACATGGTCTACTGTAGCCTGAAACAAGGTCAGATGTGGAGTCAGCGACGCTGTAGCAGCCATCTAACAACTGGACCGGAGGAGATGAAATCCTGGCTACACGAGACGCTTCAGACAAGCCGATAACTTCATCGATGATGTATGAGATGTTCTGAAGGGACTGTCTCTCAAGAGATTATCCGCACCATATTCTTCCACATCTACAATCAATTGATAAAGAGGAAATATAATAAACACAATAAAATATTGAAACATTTTAAGGAATTTCATCTGTTAAAGTGTTCCTTGACTATCAATTTTACAACACATATGCTGAAGAGAGGGGGGGGGGGGGAACTATCAATACCATACTGAATATTTTTTTAAAAACCTTGCTTTTTCATTCATTGTAATTGATGATTTGTAAGTTTTCCTCTCTACTGACTAGAAAATTAGCGACAGCCTTAATTATATTTTAAAGCATGTGTCCACCCCCTTTATGCTAAGGGGCTGTGCCAATTATACCGAAGAATTGAATATTCGATCATCCACCCAATATCCAAATAGCATTTTTCCATTTTTGTTATATTTGAAAAAAGTGAGCAGTCTCAAGAAGCTGAAGCGAAATGCTGTGGTGTCATTTCAATCGTATGAGTTCACGTCCATCAAATCTTTCAAGTATCAAATACATGTAGTCAGCCACATCAAAAAATGAAATAAATAAGAAATTTATGGACAGTTTTGTATACAGTGTACATGTATGCATGATGTTCTTCATATTTCAACGGCTAAATCCAAATGCTGTGATCATTTATTTCCTGATCAATGCATACAAATTTCAACCAGGGCGTGTGCCTGCGTACATTTGCTATTTCCGACCAGTGCACACTGAGTATCACACGTAAGCCGTTCTCCACAGAGTCCTATCTCTGGTCGAACGTCTGATATACATTGTATCTAGGAATGCAAATTTATGCGATGCTGCGCGCCAGACAATGGGAGTCGGCTTTACTAATTCGTGACGTCATTTCATTCCCAAATCAGGACTAAAACTGTGAGTCTAGTACAAGGGTCTATTACATAGACTACAGTTTATATTCAGGTGCATGTAAAACTTTTCTGGTATGTTTTGAATATTCGATAGACTCCATGTACGAATAATTGAATATTAAATTATCTGAAAATGCACAGCTCTACTTTATACCCAATTAAAAATTATGGGAGAAAAATCAATTAATTGTTAATAAAAATTTTTTTAAACCACACAAACGGAACAAAGCGGTACACTTGCACATAGCTAATACAGTGAAGGCTAACTTATTTCCCTGAAATTTAAACTCACTTCACATCCTTTTTGTAAAATGTTCACTAATTATCCAGGTACTCCTATGTGATTTTATTCGCATAAAAAAACCCAAGAAAATGCTGCATGAACAAAGCTGGTTGTCGCGGCAGCACATTCCCAGTACTAGCAGATTTAAACTTACGAAAAAGAATATTTAAAATTCTAAAAACTAAAATTCTCACCACTATCACCAAGGCACTATCAAGCTGTTTTGTATTAATACACTGGGTAATATGTGACAGTACTTGAAGAATCTTCAACCACAGTTTAATTGCCAGCTGAACTTTACTATGTAAACAATAATATGACCCACATTAATAACATGGACCTCGTTATCCTCACAGAGCACCTGGCATCAAAATGCACAGTCATACAAATGATACAGGGATTATCACTCATACATGCACATAATCCCCATATTAGGCATCGTTCTATACTGATTACTCAGGCCAAATATAGGTTTTCCTGGCCAATTTCCTAAAATGTTCATTCACTTCTGAAAATCGGTCATTCATTTTCGTCTTAATTTAAAAATTGCTCTGAACAGGCGTTCCATTTTCTCTACCAGAGCATTCGAATCCATTTCAGCTCAATCAATTGAGTGATTGAGCAGCACCTTTCGTTTATTGCCATTCAGATTCGTTTACAAGACTTCTATTTTGCTTTTAGAGGGCGATTTCAAACATTCACCATTCTATTTCACTTTTAGTTTTATGCCATCGGCACCAGATAAAATTAGTGGTTTCTTTTTCATTAACCGTCAATCAAATTAGCTGTACCTGAAATCAATTTAGAAAAGGTATGCTTGCGTGTAACGTAATTGGCCGTCTACCTCCATGATCAAAACCGAATGCACGGACAATATAATTTAAACGACTGACCTTTCGTTGAATTGAAATGGGATTAAAGACATGAAAGACGTGCATTCAAATTCAGAGGAAAATGAATGACCAATTTTCAGAAGTGAATGAACATTTCAGGAAATTGGCCGGGAAAACCTATACTAAAGTTGGGATGTTACAGCATTTTTGGACAGTGAACAGTTTAAAATCGCATTACGGCTGCCGTAACAATAGCCACTACGTATTTGAAAATAGGCCCAGTGTACTTACGTGAATAGGTGGGTAGCGCGAATCGACACACGACTGTTCCGTCATCAGGAGTATCGAATAACAATTTACCCACTGGCAATAGAAAGTCCGCAGTTGAGTTATGGCAGTTTTTGGAAGGCAAAAAAAAAATCCAAAACTGCCTTTCTTAATCCATTACCGGGCATTAGAACTTTATAAACCAACACGAAGACAAGCCTACTAAAGAAAATAATTAGTATTCAACTTTCCAAATACCTAGTTTAATAAAAACTAAAAGCAATTTTAACAGAAAAAGAGCACACCGTAAAATGTTATCGTCTGTTTCATCCTGCTCAAGTGAAATAAAATTTTAAGGAACACAAAACTTCGTGTAGGTATGGGTAAGATATAACGGTATCAGAATTGTCTTTGAACTTAGTACGATGTCATTTAATTTAGTCGTTTTAAGCTTCATTTTTACGATGTCTTCACAGAAGTATCTGTCTAGCAAAATCAATGATCCAAAAATTGTAATTTATGGTTGAAAATGGTTCACAGGAATAAATATCCCCCTTAATGAAAATAGTCTCGCCCAATTGGCATGGCTGACTTCATCCAACGCTCGAGGGCGCCCTATCGTTTTTACCACAGGGAGTTAATATTTTCACAGACATTGTTATACAAATATTGAATGCTTCGAGTGACGAGTGGTGTAGTAAAACGGGGTCAGACAAGTCGACTTGTCTCAACGGTCGACTTGTCCCGAGTAGAGTTGTCTCAACGGTCGACTTGTCTGACATTCCCTGATCTAATGAAATAAGCTCGAAATTCAGAAATTTTTCCCTGGTATATTTATTCACATTACAGAGGACAACTCAATGGGTGTTTTGACAATAATTTAATTTATGCTTGGAGATCTGCTGGAAATTTGATACTTAATTGAAATCTGTTCCATGGTCACCAATCTCATGACTGTAAACTAACTGGACTGTTGAGAATACATTCAAAAATATTGCTGGGAAAATGAAAGGTCAATAAACTACCTTCCTTTTTTCTTCTTCAATATTTCACTTTAGACAAGCCTCTTTTAATTTATGCATCAAGGAATTTGCAAAGAAGTTTTTGTTGCAGCATCCAAATAAATTTGCAACAAAAAGAAAACAACATCTGCACTTGTCATCGAGGCAATTATTTTTTCCACAACTAAGATTAGTCAATGACATAATGTACATGCGATCAGTTTGGAATGGTTTCTCTGACTTGACCTCCCTGAAAAAAACATTCCTCCAGAGCCATGATCAAGTAGGACTTGATCATAAACACAATTTGGGACAGAAAATTCACTGTTGGGGGAAAAAATAAAAATGTAAAATTTCGGGGATTCGAACCCGCAACCTGCGGCACTGTACTTTAGCGGATGGGTTCTGTTCTATTCCACTAGCACATATCATAGTACTCATATATCATAGTAATACATATTTTCACATCTAGGACGACAATTTTTTTTTCGACAAACATTTCATACACCGATATATACTTTTATACAGCCAAATTGCATTAAATTTACTCAAATAAGTATTGCTAGTATATATCCCAACTTGTTAAAATACGAAGAAAAAGTCAAAGGTCAAGTTTTGTCCTCTGAAATTAAATCGTTCTGAAAATAGTTAGATTAGTTATCTTTATACCCCCTTTATATATCTTTTTGAGTCTAAAACACTGTTTTATTTACTTTTTCTTAATCACAATATCAATAAAATATGCTTTGACTTTCATAGTAAGATTTACAAGACCAAACCTTTCGCTAAACTTATCGTGACATCTGAAAGAATGAAGCAAATGATGTTAGCATGAAATAGACTTAAAAGAACAAGGAAACAGAGGAAGAATAACTTAAAATAATTGAAAAAGCAAACAGTTCTGCTTGGGATGCAATATCAGCCATGATTTCTGATGCAAGTAGAATACATTCACTTTGGCGATCAAATTTGTAGCTTTGAAGAAAACTGTTTTCAAGGAACGTGGCACAAATTTATCAAAGCTAAGCACCAAAGCCGACTTCAAGTCAAAACAAGCACGGAATGTTCTATGAGACAAAACTTGATATAGACCTGCCATTGAAACAATGAAATTTAGCATCCAACACAACACTTTGAGAAAGTTATCTCCAGCTATTGTACAAATGGCAAATTGTTCACATCCCAGCATAAGCTTGACTAAAATGAATGAACGATGAAAGGAATAGTTGAAATGTTGATATTTGTCAGGATTTGAGTGGATTAACGGCGGGCGTCGCGAGGGTAGAACTCTGCCAGTGTGCTCTGGGGAATTCGCTTCAACATCTCCTTGGGGAAGATTCTCAGAAGCTGCCAACCGACATCCAAAGAATCAAAGACGGTACGATTCTCGTAACTCCCTGCCAGAGAAAAACAAACAAACAAACAAGAATGAAATTCTAACATTCCATCAAACAAACATAGTCACTGATCGCGGTACCCACTGCTTCAAACCAGCCATCTGATTCTGATAAGCTTAGTGGTCGAGTGGTAAGATGTCTCCAAAGTCAAAGCGTTACCAAATGCATGATTGATTGAATGGAACACTACACACCTTGGGCGATAAAATTCTTCTCAAATTTGCCCAGGAATTCCAGATACAGCAAATCGTCCGGTGTCAGTGCTTCTTCTCCCACCACTGCTTTCATGGCCTGTACGTCTTTCCCGATGGCGTAGTTGGCATACTACACACACACAACAATAAAATTAAAATAAATTTTACAAACTCTTCCGATCGTATGAACTGATTAAGAATTGATTAAGCCTGTTTAAACTGACCAATCAGCTAAAAGGACTACCCTTAACTGACCAATCCGCTTGAAGATTTAGTACCAGCTGATGTGACTCAAATATCTAAAGCTGACCAATCAGCTATAAGGAGTATCCTGAACTGACCAATCAGCTGTAAGGATTCAAATTTGAAGGTTGTTTAGTACCAGCTGATATGACTCAACTATCCAAAGCTGACCAATCAGCTATAAGGACTACCTGCAACTGACCAATCAGCTGCAAGGACTCAACTCTATACTTTGTTTCTTACCAGCTGATTGGACACATCTGCGTGGTCTTTCCTGGTCATTCCTTCTCCGATGGCAGATTTCATCAGACGAGAGAGAGACGGCAGAACGTTGATCGGTGGATAGATCTAAGAACAAAGGACAGAAAAACTGACATGAACTACTTGTTTTGAAACTACTGACATGAACTGCTTGTTAGGAAACATTTTTTTGAGGATTCAAGATTAGGCCAAAAAAAAAAGTCTCCGGTTTCTGGTATGGAGCTTGCCCAAAAAGTGTTGCGGCGACGCGGCTTTTTTTTTTTTTTTACCTGTCTTTTGCTTCAAATGTCGGCGATGACTGCAAATAAACCTAGTGCAAATATATGGGAGTCCAGAGAGGCCACATAAAGCTTATTCTCGATCATAACCCCATCTAAAAACACGTTAAAATTGTGCAGCAGCAGGATTCCAGTCAAACCAGTGAGTTTGGCGGTATTGAGACATCATCTTTTATTAAAAAAAAACTATTTCATTTTGCCGACGCGCATGGCTACGGCAACGCGCGCGCGCATACCAGAAACCGGAAACTTTTTTTTTTGGCCTTATGGAGGATACAGGAATGCGTAGCACAAGAAAGGCCTGTGGAGGAAGTGTTAACTACATTAGTTTTGTTTAAGCGAATCTCAGAGGGAAGGATTTGTTTTACCTGTCGGTTGTGGAGCTGTCTATCGACGTAAATCTGACCCTCAGTAATGTAACCCGTCAGATCAGGTATGGGATGGGTGATATCTGTAAAGAAAACGATGGACAAAAATCTCATTAGAATTACATTAAAAAAAATGAGAAATATGGTCTTGTTTTGAAGTAGTAGACTAGGTTTTCCGTGAGGCAAGTACCCCCTCGCTTGGTTACAAAGAGAGACTGAAGAGGGACTCTTAAAGGTACTGGACACCATTTTGCACACAAAAAAATTGCATTCTTGCTGATTCACGGGACGAAACAATAAATCTGAAGCAGATTACTCAAAAACTAATGTTGAAGTTTCAGCTCAGTAGATATACTTTTCAAGAAAAGTGTGAAAATCCTCCTTTATTTTTCTTGACACATAGCAAAGTTTTCCGTTGAAAGTGCGATGATTTGGTCCAAACCATCGCGAGAAAATGAAAGTAATTCCTCTTTTCTCAAAAATAACAGCCCAAAAGGTGCAATGATTTCACAGGATGCAGGATCGTAATATTTATTTACAATCAAGTAGGATGTTTCGTGATATTTTGACAGTTTCACTTTTGAATGTTTACAAGTGGTGTATACTACCTTTGAACACATTGTTGTCGTACACATGAAGCTCAAATGAAGACATTGTGCACAATCACAATAAAATTCATCACAATTCATCGCAATGCCACTCACCATCGTTAGGCATGGTCAGGATTGGGATCTGCGTAATGGAACCGTTACGTCCTTCAACACGCCCTGCTCGTTCGTAGATGGTCGCGAGATCAGTGTACATGTAACCAGGGAAACCGCGACGGCCTGGAACCTCCTCACGAGCTGCTGAAACCTTAAGATGACCCACCAAAAAACAACGTCAGTTTAAAGTTTCGTAAAATGTTTGGAAGCTTCTATAATAGGCAACACGGATGAAATCACAAAAAGTTGCCCACTTTTTATAATTACCGAGCTGGCTTTCCTCCATTACTGGAAAGCTTCAAAGATCGCTGCTGTATGTCATACAATGTACTCCCCTTTAAACTTAACTCCCTAGGCCTTTTTGCTAGGATGTAGCCTCAATCCTGCAAAATCCTCCAATTGGCCTCATGGAAAAATAGCATATAGCCTCAATCCTGCAAATTCCTCCGTTGTTTCTTGAATATGGTCCATGGAGGGTGACCACTGCCTGAATCCTGCAAAATCCTCCGGCTATGTCTGTCAATAGGCTGAGGCAGAGGCAGTGACATCCTGGAGCAGTGCGGAGGATGTCAAGCATAATCAAGGACTAAATTTATGCATGGCTGAGCATAAACAACACAAGGTCCGGCCCAAGACCTTGACACAGTGCGTACTCCGAAATCAGCAACGCACTTTGGCCATGTAACCTCAATCCTGCAAATTCCTCCAATTTGCAAAAAGGACTTTGGAGGATTCAGGGCGGTTAGGGTTCATGATATGTTCAGAGCCATACAAAACGCATGAATGATGGACGGTGCAGCATGGAAGAGTCCAAGTAATAGCTATAAGAACTATCACTTTCATTTCAAAATTGAATTGGTGTCTTGGCACATCATGCTGACTCGCAAAATTTAACTCAAAACAGCAGGGTTTAATCCCAGAAATTCTCAGCTTTATTCCAATTTCCAAAATCACAAGGGTACTGAGAGACTTACTAAACGGTGTCTGCTACATGTAGAGACGGACTAAACAGTGCCTACCTCACGTAGAGCTTCAGCGTAAGAGCTCATGTCAGTCAGAATAACCAGGACGTGTTTCTCACACTGGTAGGCCAAGAACTCAGCAGCCGTCAACGCCAGGCGTGGTGTGATAATACGCTCAATACTTAATACACACACAAAATTTACAATATTGAATTGCCTTCAAATTATTTTGTATCGTAAGAGGATAATAACAGTTCCTTTCATTTCGGTAGATATAAAATTGACTCCCAAGGTATTATTTCTTTCAGGAATTCTCTAAAACACAACATTTTGAAGAAAACCAATTAAGGATATATAGGAAGGTAAGGAGTAAGAATTTCTTAGTTTTGAAACCAATATGCTTGGACCCTTAATGCAATCTTATTACCAATAAAAAGTGTATTCTTTATCTTGTACAAATCACAAAGCGTGCTAAGCATAATTTTTTTCTTTGGAATAAGCAAAATTGAGAACTTGTTTCTTTGCATTGGGCTAACTTTGCTTTGGGCTAAGCAAAAAAGAAATTTGTCTAAGCAATCTGCTTACGTAGGATCGTTGGCCAGATTGAGGAAAAGACAGACATTGTCCATGGAGCCGTTCTCTTCAAAGTCTTGCTTAAAGAAACGCGCCGTTTCCATGTTTACCTGTCGGGAAAACCAAATTACAGATAAATTGACAGGACATGAAATTCCAGCTAAGCATTCAGATTACATATCACATGTATTTTCAGCCGGTAGTTGTTTTTTTGCATTTTGTGCATTTGTTTCATTTGAAGCAACAAAATCGCTCAAGATCTTAAGAAAGGTGAATATAACAACTAACTTGTTGAAATTTCGGCTCAGTGGATTTATACATTTTGAGAAACAGAGAAAAACGCATGGACAATTTTTGGGCTTTAGTAACTGGATTCTGTTGCTAACGCACGTAAACAAAAAATGTGCCCGCAGACACACTTTCTTAAACCACCTTCTTTCTTCTGGATGATACCATTTCAGATGGAATAATTTCACAGGGTATTTGGTCCCAGTCCTGTCTTCACTTTGAGCCAGGATTTTCTTGTTAAATCGGTAGGCACATTTCTGGGTAAATGCACATGTATCTATGTAACTTTTAGAGGGTATTTACTTTAAAAGATTTTTAATGATTCATTTCAAACAATATTGAAAACCATCAAAAAAGGAAAATAGCAAGGTGCTCTTTTAACCAATATAATGTTGAACAACGAAACTGACGCGAGTGGTATTTCAACCCTTACAATAAATAACCAAATTTTCAACAAATTGGAAAGAACGTTGATTGGGATACAAGTGAAAGCCGACTTTTTGACTTTTGAATAAAAGGCTGCTTGATCAACTTACACCCATAGCAGCGAAGACGATGGCAAAGTTATCTTCATGAGAATCCATGACGTCCGACTGTGGCTGTTTGACCAGCCCAGCCTGTCTCACAATCTGAGCTGCAATCTGTGGGGAAAAAAAGGGTATAAAAAAAAATGTCAAATGTTTGAAATTCGAGATAATCTATGAATCTATAGACTTTGTGCACAAGTACCCCCTCAACGGTTACGAAGGCAGAGCTGAAGGAGACCACTCGGAGGGACATTCAAATGCATTGCCAACGATGCCTGACGCCCACGCAAAGACGCTCCGGGACTGTGAACATTCACGATAAAGTTACTTGTGCGTAATTCGCGCCTTACGCGCATGAACCTTTACGCGATATGTCTCTCCCACTTGGCCTCACGAAAATGGTCACATAGCGCAATTTACTGTTGGGGTGTTGAATCTACAAACAATGAAATTTTAAGATTACGTTCAGGATTTTTGCAGATGTTCTTGTATTATTTAATATTCATTTAATGTTTGTTTGGCAAATGTGGATGTGCTCAAATCAATTTTCCACTGTAAATGAATTTTAAGTTGGTGAAGGAACATGACACTCTGCATAAGACAGCTCAAAATTAATTGTGGCAGATTCCTTTTATTCTTTGCAAATTTTGTGTTTTATTTCACACGCGGTCCATTTTGATGCTCATTCACGGTTGATTCTACAAAAGATTTGTTGAACACCATCCTAAATTTTGATGCAGATTTTATTCAAACATAATTGTAGATTTTCTTGATAATCCTCAACATTTAGATGAGGATAATCCGAAATCATAATGAGGATCATTATGAACTTTGTTGAGGAAAAATTTTGAAGTAGATTATCCTGCTCAACTTTCATGACTTGTGTCACTTAGATTAATTAACAGACTTTTAATCTGAAGACGATAGTACCTCATTGTGTGGCAAGCCAGCAGCTGAGAAGATGGGGATTTTCTGGCCGCGAGCGATGGAATTCATGACATCGATAGCTGAGATACCCGTCTGGATCATTTCTTCCGGGTAGATACGAGAGTTGGGATTGATTGGTTGACCTTTAACAAAACAAAGACAAGAAAGTTTCTTTCCAATGCGGAACAAACAAAAACAACTTCAATCGGAGCAAGTAAGATTAAACCAATGTTGCAGTGGACTAGCAAAACTGTGAAACTTTAATGAAGGTAATGTACAACATTTACTTTTTCTGTAATTTTCAGAAATGGATGGATTGGGGGTTAACATTTTATGACAAATATTGTTACAAACATGTAGATTCTGGAAAAATCAAGAATAAAAACAAATGTTCTTATAGTCTGGTTCCCTGACCCTACTTCAGACAAAACGGAGCAATTTATAGACGTCAGGGAATTGTCAGGTCAGGAAACCAGACTAGCTGGAAGTGTTTACAACCGATTGCAAACAAAACGTGGCTAACTAAATTTGGTAAATTGGGGGCAGTGTCTGAGAAAAGATTTCAGAAAAATGGGGAGGGTTACTAGCAAAAATGACTGGATTGTTAATGTTAAAGAAATTCCATTCACGTCACCACACTGTGGCGACTGCATATTACAAATTTGTAAACTCTATAATGGCTCTTTGTGGCGTTTGAAACCTTTCAATAGAGGGCGCTATTGATAGAAAGACCACCCTTGCCATTAGTAAGACCAAAAGTCCTGCTATCAGATTTCCTGAATGCTAGGCTTAAGACTTACCTTGAATATCTAAGTAATCTTCTGCTAGTACTGGGGGCCCCTTGTCGATAGCTTTGCCAGAACCGTTGAAAACACGACCTGATTTTTGTTAAGCAAACAAAACAAGAGAAATGGAGACAGAAAGAAATGTTTGAAGCAAAAAAATGACATTCTCTCCATGCTTAATTTGTAACTGCCAAGGACCGAATTTTGTGAAGCACAAAATCTTCTCAGCAAAAAAAGGTCACCAGCTAAAAGTACTTGCAATGCTTAATACTCATGACTGGTTTCCTGTTTATTTTTGTTTAGAATTGATATTCTAAACCAAAAAGCACACACTTGTTTATGATTTGGCCTCCCAAGATGGCGCCATAGTGACTTCAGCCTTTATCTTACAACAGGCAAAGAGCTATTCAGTCAGGCACACACATACCTAACATATCTTCAGATACAGGGATTCGCAGAATATCACCGGTGAATTCACATGTTGTGTGCTTGGCATCGATACCTGAGGTCCCTTCAAATACCTGGCGGAGAATTTAGAAAAGTCACATCACATTGGAATATGAATGTTTGGCCTCAAGACGCTTAAGATAATTTTAGTTACACAGTTTATTTTAAAAAAATAACTGGTCGACTTCATGTGGTTGTTAATAAAGGCTTGAGAATTTGCAAATTACATAAAAATTACCAAGCATGAAAGTTCATTTCCTGTTAATAAAAATTTACCATTTAAGGATATCTGGACAAATGGAATGAATTGGGAATGTAAACTAAAGAGAGACCTAGCGGAACTTACAAAGAAACTGGATCCAATCTCACAGCTCTGCTTAATACTGTTTGAGAAAATTCTTAGCTAACAGTTAATACATTTCACAACTATCATGGAATTTGAGATTGTGTCAATGTGTATATCCTGTTAGTAAGAATTCTGTTAGTAAGAACACGGGAGGTCATCACAGATTTTCTGCATCACCATGAAAATGGCCAAAGCTTTAAAGAGGTTTATCAAGTTAAACTTTTTGTAGGTTCTTTGGAAGTTAAAATGTGGATCTGATTTACCTGAACTACGGCCTTTGACCCGCTGACCTCCAGGACCTGTCCACTTCTCTGGGTTCCATCAGCGAGCGTCAAATTGACAATCTCTGCAAACTTTGGAAACTGTAGGATTCAGGATAAAATGATCATCTTATAAAAGCAAGAACAACTCGTTGAAACTTTGTTAAACTAGCGGTACTCTTTCCTCTGTTCCCAATGATCATTACTACTCAAGTTTCAGTAATGAAGAGAATCTGAATTTTTTTTTTCTAAACAAAAACATGTTGCTCTTTTGTCAAAAGTATTCTATCAAAAAAATATTGTTCAAATTTTAATAATATTTTTAATTATACTGAAATCAAATATTTAAGTTTAATTCATTGTTACCTTGACATTGTCAAGAATGACCAATGGTCCGTTTACTCCAGACACTGTCTTGTATGCTTTGAACGAAAAAAAAATAATAATAAGTTAGACATTTGATGTAATAAATAAAACAAATTGACAATGAATCAATTGACAATTTAATTACATGTGTATGAAAATGCTTGTTTGGGAGGAACCACAAAGTAAATCTTTTTCTGGTCAAATGGGTGCATAAACAGTAAATCCATGTAAAAACTGTAGGTCTACAAATAATGTATATTGACTGCCCCTTCCACTTCATTATATTTGTTTCACACACAATGTACAATCAACATTAACCATTGTTAACAGTGACAGATTAAATTTAACATTAACTCATAGTATTTAAAGGCATCATGCATAAACAATGACAAACTCTGGTACTTGACGTAAGCCCTAAGATTTAGGCCAATATAACAATAACATTAAATTAAGGCAGTGGATATTTTGCCGGAGACGGCAAACCTTTAGTAAACGTTAGTTTGCCGGATATGCACTGAACATGCGCAGTTACTTTTTTTTACTCAAACATTTTACGGTGACAAATTTTAGTCTGGCTCCATGCCAATATTATCGTTGTAACCTCGTATTCACAAGATGGGATTCAGACCATTTTATAATTTCGGACTTTATTTCCCTTTTAAAAAAAATCCTCCAAAGCCACAAATCTGAAAAAGAAAATGTAATACTCTGCAATAAAATGTTTGAGACATGTTAAAATAATAAAAGAAGAATATATTCTTATTTATTTGGGGATGGGAAAAAAAACTTTAAAATGTGGCGGGGGTCGAATGAACCCGAGTCATCCCGCTCACTAGAGCTTTTGCTTAACCACTACACCAAATGTGCTTCACAACTTTTGGTGGGAATTTAATACATCTTATAATTCAGCCCTATCTTAAAGAGTACAGCGCCCTCTGTTGATATGGATTGCCGCTGGCAAACCTTTAGTAAACGTTAGATTGCCGTCATTACCTCCGGCAAAATATCCACTATCTTAAATTAAACTATTTATAAATAAAAGAAATAAAATTCGAAGTGGCTATCGTTACGGCATTCGTTGTTTAGCGCCCTCTACGATATTTTTTTGGTACGCACGCAGGTATATAATTATTTGTTTCCACACGTTTTATCGAGCAGTGCGCCAGCTCAGCCGATAGAGGGTAGGATTTTGCACCGCGAGGTTGCGGGTTCGGATCTCAGTTTTGCACTCGAATTTTTTTCCTTTTCTAACCTGAGGCTTTGGAGGATTTTTTTTAAAAGGGAAATAAAGTCCGAATTTCATAAAGTTCAAATTCACTTTTTTCCTTCTAATTTTATATTTTCTTGTCATGTTTTTTTATAAAAGTTGCCAGGTTGCAGTCTACCGTAACGATAGAAAATGGGAAATGCGTTACGGCTGCCGTAACAATAGCCACTGCGAATAAAATTATGCACAAAATTCTCTTCAGCTTTTTCAACACTAGTACACTAAAATACTCACTTATTCTAGGATTTGAAATGTAGTTCCTCTTCACAGCCAAAACGTGTTCTCTGTTCGCTTCCATGCGAGTCCTTGGCACTCCTATTCCGTTCTCCATAGTGGGTCAGCCTCGCCCAAAACCTACCGTAAATTGCGTGTACTCCACCGTAGGCTATTCGAAGCAAACACGGTCGTCTTCAACAAGGGCAATCCCTCCGATTTTCAATCCAAGAATTACCGATTAAATCCCTCACTTTTACTTAAGCTCTTAGCTTGGGAGTGTCCTGCCACGATCAGTTTCCTATAATGGGTTTCTTCAGCAGACCAACTAAGGAACTGACACGGTAATTATGTAGTTTTAGTTGTGAATTTGGTCAGCGATTTTTTTTTTTCTCGTGACCCGAGGTCGCACCTGATTTTACAGAAATCACTCACGTGATATTTGGGTACCGTAAATTTGTAACAGCGACCTCTCGCGACCAAAAAAAAAAAGGAACTGAATTAAAGATATAATTAATGCATAAAGTTCCATGATGTATTTGTAGTTTATTTGAAAAAAACCCTAAATTTTCTTTTGTGTCTTTGAATAAAAATCCATCATCAGCTGAATTTAGAAAACATCAAATTAATGGCTCATAATTTTGTACAGCCTGCAATTTCTCGATAACTCGAAGTTATTGAACCCCAAAATAAAAGACATAAATTAAGCTTGGGTCGGAATATAATGCCTTTTTTCCCCTTCACTATTTGAATTGAAAACCCAAGCCAAAAGTTGGTTTAAAACGATGCCCCCCCCCCCCCAAATAAATCAACACTGCTTGTATTCTCTCATGACAATACAAATGAAACTGACAATTTTTTTTTTACTTCTTGCATTCAATATACATGTACATGTACTTTATTATCAAAACAGAAACTTTACAAAATTATAGTACAAATGTACAGTATATACATGTACATCCTTTTAATGGCCTCTAGAGGATGCTAACACAGAATTATCTTCCGTTTCAGGATGCATAGGCGTCACTTCGACAACAAAAACACAGATTCCAGCTTAAAACATTACTGGAAGATGAGAAAATTATGAGAAATGTGTCTGCTAAAACAGAGAGAAATGTAAGATATTTTTGGTTAAGTTTATGGTTTGTGATGGATTTTCAGAAACTTTATTGGGTGAAGAAAAAATATTAATAAAAAGACCGACTCCAACTTTCCAAGTAGTTCCAAATACAAACCTAGTTCTCTAAGCAAATATATAAGACAATTTTAGTTTCAATAGTTCTGCCTGTGATCTACACATTTTAAATGTCAAACTATAGATGGGGCAAAAAGATACCCACACCGTTGAAATACTACTTCAATGAATGTCATTTGTATCTAATGAAAGTTCAGCACCGACGATTTAAAGTTTATGAAGCCGGAATGGGTCGAGTAAAGGCGTGCAAAAGGCACGCTCTTCTTGGGGGTCGGGAAAATGTTGAAATCTTTGATGCTTTCTCCTGCATTCTAAAGCAATTTGAGAATAAATTTAGGACTAATTTCCATTTATTATTTTTGGCCCCATTTTACTAGTACATGTACCATAACAGTAGTCAGTGGCTAAAAGGGGGGGGGGGAGGCTACAGATGATTATTATAAAAAAAATTAGAAAATCACTGTAAATGCACAGCAGTGGAAAAATATGCTAATGGTTAATTGGTTATTGCGAACATTGCTGAAAACAGGTGTAAAATTCTCTTTTAGCAGAAATACCATAGTGGAAGACATTTCGGGCAATATTTTTTAATATAATGACATGTCTTGTCATCACGCAAAATCAAAATCCATTTTCCTTTCAGAAACGTAAATATGACATTTTCATTTATAAAAAGGAATCACAATACAATCTTTAAAAAAGCCTGAGCATGGTTTTGTTGGGTTTATACATGCACTATCTGTGTACAATTCACCAGGGATTTGGTATCCTCTTCGTGCATGATTCATTGAGGGCGCCATCATGGAGGTCCACCCGTACTCTGCATTCAAGCAATGATGGGCACCTGGAAGGCTTTGACACTATAAACTCAAACAATCTCTGACACCACTGGTGGTACATCCAAGACACTTGGGGTGTTTTCGAATCCCTGTTCTTGACAACACGCGTGTAACACGAGAACGTGTTCTCGAGCTGGTTGTTACGAACGTGCGGGTGCGTGTCGCATCGATATAAAGCAATGCAAAATGGCCAACAATCGTCTGAATTTAGGCCTATTCCAAATGATTGAGGACGACTCAGAAGATTGTTGCAAAACCGGACATGCGGGGATGAAATTGCAAACCTGCACTATAATGGTATTCTTATTCCAATCATTAGGGTATTAGCAAAACAAAAAAAAAACACCACAAAACAACTTACGATAGAATCTGCACAGTCCGCCATTTTGTTCAAGCTGCACCTCGCCGAACCCTCCATCAACCGGGGAGTGAAAAAATCGATCCGCGAACGCCCTCTCGGGTCTGTTCGTCACGTTCGAGACCGCTGTTCTCGTGTCGGGTTAACCCGAGTGTTGTCAAGAACAGGGCTTCGAAAACGCCCTTGGGCGATACCTAAATGAATTGAGTTTGAAAGCACCCTTGGCCCATCTTTCCTTACTTACATCTACATGTATGAGCAGTTAGAGTTCATAAAAACAAACTTCGTCATACTGTTGTTGAAAAATCGCACATTATCACTCGCATCATCTGATGGTTGCATTTCACTACACTTGTAACATATTAGACAATCTTGTCCAACTCACTGGTTCCTTGATTTCAAAACAAGCCTATTGAAAACCAATATTGTTACCAATCCTGGGGTCTGGGTCCAAATTTTTGTCCAACAAATGCGAGTTTCATGAAGTTTGTTGAACTAGTATGACCGTACAGTTCATGCCCGTAATTGCTCTATTAAACCAAGGTTTTATTTGTAACTTTTGTGAGTCATGATTAGAGTTTGGTTTTCTTGATCTGTGCATCCTGAGATTCCTCAGAGGCTGGTCTTTTATTTGTCTCAGTATCTTGTCCCGTGCTGATGCCTTGGTGTATGCTGTGGTTAAGACGTTGGTAGGACGATGACAACATTTTGTAGAGATCTCTCAACATCTCAAGGTTGGTATCGTTGGCTGCCTCTACCATTGATGTCATCTGACGGAGAGTGGAGCAGACACGTCGCTTCAGTTCTTCCGTCTCTCCTCCGACGACTTCCGCTTCCTCGTTGTGGATGAGAATCTGAAGTCGCACCAGTCTCTGGATCAGATGGATGTGTTTACAGATTGTAGAATTGATGAGGCAGTCGGGACAGTTGCAGAGGAAGAGATGGACACAGACATTACACTCCTCGCATCGTAGTCGGCATTCCTTGACAGGACAAGTGATGGAGAGGCGCTCCACCATGTGCGAGTCGTTCTTATCTTCGGCTTGGACCTCCCAGCACTGACGGTCATCCAGTTGCTTGACTTGATTGAAGCTCAGCAACATGCTGCGGAGGTGGCGGTCATGGATGAGCTTCAAACGCATGGTCACTTTGACTCGAGGAAACTTGACCATCCAGTTGAAGGTCTTGTCCCGGATGTACTTCAGGAGATGGACCAGGCAGCTATCAACACGCTTGTTGACATGACCTTGATGGTACATCCTTTTGAAGATGATGTGGAAGGCTTCTGTGAAGACGCCAGGGTTGAGACAGTGGCTTGTCCGGTAGCAGTAAGCCCACTGATGCATCTTGGGTACCCATTCCTTGATGAAGTACTTCCGGAAGGCCATGGTCTTGTCAGAGACGGAGAGACGACCGAGAAGCCTCTGAAGGTAATCCTCAAAGGATGTCTCGTCTTGTTGCTCAAGGACCACCCGTAGCATCTTGTAGACTTGAGCCTGGACAGCCAGATCGCTGATTTCATTCTTGAGTTCTTCCTTCCAGGCCTGATCGACATGCCACGGGCAAATCAACTTCTTAGGAGCGATCCAAAACACCGAGGTCCAAAGATTGGAATACATGAATGCTGCATCGGCCATGAACCAACTTGGGAATAGATCACCACAGTTCTCCTTCACCTTGGTGAAGAAGATCCGAATCGTGCTCTCATCTTCACGATTTGAGATGCACCAGGCCATGGGAAAGCCTTCCCCGAATTCATTCAGAGCCATTAACGTCATCAAGTGGAAGTCGTAGACGTTTGTCCCCTGAGTCGAGTCACACCAGACCCCTCGGCTCGCAAGCTTCTGTGCCATGTGCTTCTGGAAGGGACTCTGCAGGATGACGATGTAGTCCTCTGCAAAAAGGTCCAGATTGAGGTCAGGATTAAGACCCGGGAGCTTGTAGAACAGGACAGGGTTCTCCTCAGCTGCTTCCCACTGTAATATCCAAGCCAAGACGCTGTCCTTCTCATTCACGTGTTTCTGAACCGTCTCAACACCCAGCGACTTCTTGACATCGTAACCATCCCTGGCTCGTGCCAGCTCCTGCTGCCTCATCAGCTCTCCTTCGCTGTCTCTCAACTCGTTCATGATGCGATCCCGGGAGATGCCCTGGCCAAGCTTTGCAGTAACCTCCTCGCGTTTCTTACGCGGGAGCCACATGAGTTCGCGATCTTTCTGGTGGCCGTAGTGTGTCCGGTGACATTCTACGTCAACTTTGCCGTTGGTGTGACAAGTCACTTTCATGGAAGCTGTGCAATTGTTGTCTATCTTACATGTTCCTGTTGGAAAAAGTAAAAACATCTTTTGACAGTTAAGTCACCATCAGCATACTCAGCAAATTTTAACAGGAATGATTTTGTTTGAGAGGAAAACATCTTCATCAAAATATATTACTTGACTGGAATATTTTGTTCTAGCAAGCAAACGGCACTGAGTACATGTATAGTGTTTACGAAATGACATTGGCGATGGGCAAAACTAGAAGGGCCCATGCGATGTATTTGTTTTAACACTATCCTTGAAAGTGCACCTGTGTGTCCAATATAACCTTATTTCAATATTCGTTTTGCCATTTTGAACGTTTTTTGGGTGCCTTTTTGGTTTACATGCTAATGGGTAAATTTCTATATTCATTAGCAAAACTGTGACGTCATTCTCTGCAGAAATCTCAATGTTACAGCTATTTCAGCACAAAAAGTTGCTACAATTTTTGATATTTTGCTGTCATAAATTTTTGTTTCTTGGGTGATTCGTTGTTGTGCAAGTACATGGCAGTAAGCCAGTGAGTAACCCTTTCTCACAAAATTTTCAATGAGCAAATTTTGGGTTCACATTTGAAAAGAAAACCCCTAAACTTAAGTGTCTTCCTGAAATGACATTGTAACAACAGCGCCCTTAGTTGTCCGGAAAAGCATGGACATTCTTTAAAATGTTTAAAGAAGTGCTCTCTTCAATAAAATTTGCAAAAAAAGGATTCATATAGTTTTCGTACAGTATGTAAGAGGAGTAGAAAGTTAAACAAAATGTGGTCCTATAAAATCTTCATCGCATGGACCCTTTAAACTAACTAATCACTGTGACTAATTCCTGCCTAGCTGAAACAGTAACCTGAATGCTTAGGCTGTCGCTTGCCCACCCCTCTCTGCTTGTACATTCCTGATCGGTTACATTGCAAGTATCTAAATCGGTAGTCTCCCTTGTTGCGGAAGCCGGAGTACTGAGCGAAGGAGCAGCTCTCTGCTTCTTCAAGACTTTCTTTCCACAACTCAAACTCTGTCCATAAGAAAAGAAGGGGAACAAAATTATGATGGTCACAGTAACCCTCCCACTGAAATTTTTTTCATAATTTTCAATTTCACTTTTGCCAACTTTTGCTAATAGAAATTACGAGAATCTGAAGTGCTATTTGCATCAATCAATAAATCCCCACACGGACACCCTGACAGACCCCAGGTCACACCGCAGTCCAACTCACCAGTCATACTGTCAAACGACACCTGCTCCACCATGAAGATGGTAGCGTGGTAGTCCTGGAGATGCTGGCGTAGATCGCAGATCCTTCGGAATCGACGGCCGCAGTGGAGACACAGACAGTTACCTTCATCCAAGTCCTTCAAGTCTTGCCCCGGGTGAGCTCTCAAGATGTGGCGCTTCATGTTGAAACCTTGTCGAGAAAAGAGGGGAAAGATTAGTCCATTATCACCCCTGATGGCTGAGCAAACATTCCTCACACCTGCACTGTCCTAGGTAACACTCTGCCTATGATCGCCAACAATAGTCAGCTATTCCCCCGAGATATGAGTGGCAATTATAATTCAAGATCTGAAACTTAAACAAGGTGAAATGTTTTAGGTTACCGTCTCTGTTGATGTCTTCCTACGTGTTTGTTTTAAACAAACAATTATTGAATAAATAAATTAGCAAAGTCTTTAAATTGACAAAACCTATCACATACAAAATTGAACAAAAAAATTACAATCATTGGTTTGTCCCCAATTTAGTCTAATACTTTATGAAGAAATGTCCTTACAGTCTTTTGCATACAATGTTGGCAAATCAAAAGACTTTAAAAATCTTGTATTTCAAAGTATTTTTCGATAAATACAAATGTGAGGTGGTCTTGCAAAAATAAGACAGAACTGGGCAGAGCTTAAAATGAGGGTTTGCCTAACTAAAGAAAGAGAATAAAATGTCCTCACAGTAGTTTGTTGCACTTCAATCGGACATTCCATTGACAAGTTATGGCTTTTTAAAGTTCACATTTATTGACAAGTCAAAAAGGACAATGCTGAGAAAAAGGCCTTTAAAGTTTTGAGTTTTATAGTATGCCAGTTGACTTTCCTTCAAAACACTTTTTACTATTTTTATACTTTTTATACCGTTTCTGTAAATATGTGTAAGAAACATATCAAAGATTAAAAATCTGCTCTCCAATTGTTGTGTCCTTGGGCAAGCCACTTCACTCGTACTTGCCTAGGTCACCCAGGAGTGTTGCGGCCTGCGCCCAGTTCCATCTCATGTTGCCAGAACGCTTCACAAACATGTCAAATGACAATTTTTGGGCAGAAAACTTCTGGCTCAACCTTTAGTTTTTCTTACAGTTCCCCTTTGTCTAACCTTTCTTGGATGTCTTCTGACAGCAAGGGCATTGGAATATCTTCTCCCCGTCCGCTGTCTGGATTTGTAGCTTGACTGGCTCCGAGGATCCCTTCTTGCCTGGGCTCAGTGATGGGATCTCTGGTGTGTCGTCTTCTGGATCCGAGACTGAAGTCTCGGCTTCGCTGCTCCAGGCCAAATTCCCGGTCTGCTGTGATGTGGAGTGGGAAGTAAAATTGCAAAACAGTTTGTCATATGACAAGAAAGAAAACATTCATTTGATAAAGTTTTGGATTTCTTGAACTCTAGTCTGTTCTTCTATCAACAAATGCTTCTGTGCTTAGCTGAAAGTATGCGAATGCATTACAAGCGGTGCAGGGAACTAGACTCATAAAATCAGATTGAAAAGTACCTGTAACGGATTGGTCGGTTCCTTTGGTACAATATATTCCAACATGATAGATTTCTCCGCCATCCAAGATGCTAGAACCTTGCGGAGATAGCGTGCGTACTTCGTTGGCGTCTGTAAATACGTCAAGTGTGGATCTACTTGCTGATTGGCTGACGTCAGATTGTAGAATGTGTCTCGTTGCAAGCACGCTACAGCTGTCATGATGATCACGACAGGTCCACAGATGCTTAGACATGTCTGGAGTGGATACTGTCCAACGCAACGAGCTGTGCAGCTGTGATTGCCGACTGTTGAGGTGGGTTCATGACAGAAGTTCCATTCGTAATCACGCATGTCGCTCGGACCGTAAACAGCTGCGTGGTAAGCGGCTAGATACTTGGGTAGGATGTCTGGCACCTTCCAGCCTAAGGAATCGCCGTACGTGATTCTCTTAGTGATAGTGTCCAGGTGACAGAGAGAGTAGTGGAAGCCTGGCTGAGTCTCCGAACCAATAAAAACCTGACTGAAATTGGACTTGCCGACGCAACAGATGAACAGTAATGACGTTGGCTTGGGCCTGCCGTCTGGAACCAAGGACTGACCAGAGATTAGATTATCTATGTTACTGACGTCGTTATTGTAGATACACAAAGTTTCTGACTGCATTTCATTGAGTTGTTTGATGAACCATGTGACGTGGCTGGCTGACAGCCAACGATCGCAGCAAACCCTCGCTAGTTGTCCGACTTCCATGCCGTAATCTTCTAAAACTGCATCCCATCGGGTGCAGAATAACAAAGTCTGGAAATTCCTGATGGATTTGCTGCCAGGGTGGACGTTAACCGATCGCGGGTGAAGATGGGTGTGTGCGAACCACTCCAGTTCCCGTTCTACGTTTCCTTGCGTCGCGGCCGCCTTATGCAGCGCCAACATGTTCTCGACGTCTGTCAGACCGTATGAAACGTGATCCGTGGAGACATAGCTAAGGTCGTTCTGGGCTCGTTTCCGATGCTCTTCAAGTTGGCACTTCCAACCAAGCAGAGAGCTGAACCCTGGCATGTACTTCTGCTCGAAGATGTTACACATCGTTGGTTTGCTGGTGCTGTTGTTGTAGATAATCTCCTCGCTTACAGGGCTTCGTATTTGAGGGATGCGATACTCTAATGTCTCAAGGCGGGTGTAGGTTTGAATGGTACTGTCATCAAAATATCTTGAATTCATCCGGATTTCAGTCTGAAATCAAAAGAAATGGATGATTATTAGAGCAGTTCCCCGTTACAAGGTTGCATTAAAAACTGAAAGCATATTATCGCCAACAAATGTCTGGTCTAACTTTCTGACTTGACCTTGACATACCCGTAGGTCATTGATTTGTCTGACGTTAGATCTGATCATCTCCAGTGTCTCTGCGGTATTCCTGACGCTGGTTGGATCCATGGCCTTTGGCAGGATGGCTTGTGGAGGTTTCTTCTTTGACGACTTGTTCTCCATGGAATGGGCCTGGGAATGGGGGCGAACGGCTAATTTTCTTAACTGCCTAGTGTTGGTAAGCTGAGACGTCTGGAAAAAAATTTAAAAACAACTTATTAGTCTTCTTGTACATACAAATTGTGTACACATAAATAAAACAAAATCCTCCAACTGCCTGCATTCAAAAATTGGATATAACCTCAATTCTCATATTATCCGTTACTTCTTGAATTTGTTCAGTGGAGGGTTGATGTGTGACCACTGCCTCAATCGTTCAAAGTCCTGATAACATTACGCAAAGTCCACCAAAATCTGCATGGCTGAGTTTGGAGAATTGAGGAGGGTTATGGTTGATTACCGGCTTTTGATTGGTCGAAGCCGTCTGTTCTGCCTGCTGATTGGTTTCGGCTGTTGAGCTGTCCATGGCTTGTCTTTGCTGATGTGATGAACCATCGAGAGCCGCACCTGGATCCATGCCCTGAAATTAAAAACTGCATTCATTAACCCTTACCCTACTAGACCCTCCAACGCATGCCAATATGTGCCTCAAGAAAATCTCCTATGTTTTTTGCATGGCCCTCCAATATCTGCCATGTCATTTCAAGGGTAACTGGACAGGCACTCCAATACATGCCACAGAGAACAATGAGAGTCCTCTGATAACAATCAAGTGCCCCCAGCTGGTCAGTATCAGGCACCCTCCAGGGCCTCCAACTCCTGCCAATTGGAGCCTTCACTGCTACATCAAAGTATCCTCCAATAAACTGCAGCTGGAGGGCATTGGCATAACCAACTGACATGCAGTAAACTACCCTCAGAGAGTAAGGGTTAATACCTGAGACAGTTTATTCGTTCCTATTGGTCGAGAGCCCATCGCGTACTTGTAGGTTCTTTTAATTTGCTGTTAAAATGCTGCTGCTTTCTGTACATTTACCCAATTACTTGAGTACATGTTTTGGCGATTGTGTGGTATAGGGCCCCTTTATATTTTGTCAAATTAGAATTAATTAGGCCGAACAAAAAAATTGGTGTGTTTACAGCAACTGACCTGGATTTTTTTGTGGCCAAATTGCCGACCTCAAACTTTTTATTGCCATTTTGCTAGTTGATACTTTTAAATGAGTACTATTTGCAATTATTTGTAACAAAACAGGACAACTTGTAGTGTACCCAGGTCAACTCGTACCCGAGACAAATCATACCCATCAAATCGTACCCAAGTCAACTCTTACCCGAGTCAACTCGTACCCACCAGTACAAAGTACAGTAGTAATAGGCCCTACCAAGAATAATGTGCGAGAACTGGGGTCTCAAATACCTTATAAAGTGATTGAGAGGTACGTACATGTAGATCGCAATTGTTGATAGGAAGCGTGATTTTCCAAAGGCTGGTGTAGCGTGAATATCCGACTCCATGAAATATGGACTCATTTTTGGTATTGCGCATGCGAGAGTACGATAATATGCTATTTTTAGGATCATAATGTAAGAGTGACCTGTCACGTGCGAGGGATTAACCAATAAAAGGGAAGAGGGGTCCCATTTTCATAGGAGTCGGATTTTTATATGACACTGGCATGGCCCACCATTATCTGATTATCCTTGCACGGGCCTGTGCAGGCACATGTCGGTCGACGTGGCCGTGCACAGTACATGCACGTGGTCCTAAACTACACAATAACAGCACCGCCCCGCCCCCACCTTGCCCTCCAAGCCCCCCCCCCCCTTGCCCTCCCAGCCCCCCCCCCCTTGCCGTCCGAGACCCCCCCCCCCCCCCCCCCCGAAAATTTGGTTCATTTCCCGTCATGTCATTCCCACGATTTCCTTCCTACACTATTCCCTTATTACCTGCCGATTATCCGTTGTGATCCAGTCTTTAGACAAGCTTCTGTTAGGTCAAGTCAATTCGTATTTCTTCGAGTTGGCCTATGTTTATTAGATTCAGAGATTTTATGATCTGCATGACCTAAAAGGCTAAAGTGCAAAGACCGAAAGTGTGCATCCAATTTTTTTTTACAAAGCGAACACTAAACAATATAGAGGGCGCTATCACAGATGCACGGCGATGATATTGCGTTTTCGAAAATACGGTTTCGTTTCGGGTAAACTTCAATGAAAAAGAAAAGCTGTAGTAATAAATACTCATCCAAAAACAACACCGAGAAATTAAATGGCAGAAAAGGAACTTTTTTTAGTGCATTTTTTTATTCTAATGTTGACAAACTATTAATGTAATATTATTACAAATTGTTATACCTCTGGCAAGCCTATTTTAAATTGTAAAATATGCATTGACTAGTTTGCATAATTTGTGGTAATCACACAGTGAAAACAGTAAAAAGGCAGTACAAAATACAATATCCAACATTTTTTTTACAAACATACAAATATTTGTTAAGTAAATTTAGTGGATATACCTTTTAATGTGTACAAGTAAGACCTCTGAGGTTAAATTGACTTGAAACAAACATTATGTAAATATAAAGAATGTACAACGTTTAAAAACTGGACGGATAAAAGGTTCAAATGTCAATTTCGAACCAAAAATGGTTAAAAAAAATGTATTCATATACAGTCTATGTACAATTAATTCATTTTTAAGTCTAGAAACTTTTCATTATTGCATAATGTCTGTAAGATGCATAATGTATGTCCGTAAGATATTATCATAACATTAAACAACAATTAAATGTTTTTACTTATTGGAAGTTTTGTTTAGCCATAGGCCTACATTAGGCATTATCAAAAGTCTGTAAAAACAATGTTATGGAATGTGATAGTACCTGAATCCAATCTGTTGGAATGTATCCTGAATGAAATCTCCATGTAATATTGCTTTCTTGCAAGCTTCAATTCTTCAAATTAAAATTTGATTGATACTATTAGTGGTGCATCCTTATCACCAAGACCTTTCAAATTCTTACAAAGGCCCATAAACTCTGCCCTACTTCAAGGTCCATTGAATACATAAAATTAAACCAAGCAAACAAAATAATTTCCTGGCTGTTTTTGGTTGTCCTGATAAACCCTGTGTTTAACCCATTAGTACTGGTACTACATTGTATACATTGTAATACATTGTATTACATTGTATTGCATTGTATTTATTCACTGAAAAATCAATAGAACCATATGCTCAGGTGGTTTCGGGCACTACAGAAAGTAATAGGCGGGATGGTTTTGGCACTACATTGACCAAGGCGTTAACTAAAACAGGGGTGTGAGTGACCACTGATAAAAATAGCTGAAAACAGCTGAAAAAGGTTTTAAAAAGCTGAACTTTTGAAATCTCCTATACTTTTGTACACAGCAAGTGAGGGAAAATGCTGAAAAAAGATGAAATCCAACACACACAAAAGCTGAAATCAGCTTTAAAGCTGAGATTTCACACCCCTGCTAAAAGTCCAACCACAAGTTCATCACAAATCAAATACTAAGTTAATTTTTACTTAAGGTTACAAGTAACAGGGTACGGACAACAAAGAACACCTTTGACGTAGTTCATGTGAATAGCTTGTGACTGGACCTGAGACTGAATGACTTGTGATGGACTTGTGGTGACTCGCCTCCAACTCTTGAGAAAACGTGACAGGATAGCAACGACCACCTGAATGCCCAACAGCCTATAATTGGTTGGAGGTTGTCTAAGATTCCAGGAATGCAACCAAGCTGACATTCTGGTATTTTCTTTTCATTTTTAGCATCTGAATTTCTGATTCAAAATTGGCAGTATTAAAACTGGAGGAACAGGCACAACTGGAACAGGCACAAAAAGCAGCTCGAATTAATGTCTGAGTGACAACAAGCATTTCTTGCGGTTGAAAGAAGCGGCTAGCAAACAGCAAACACAATACATGCCATTTTCCCAATACGGATCAAATGGCAATAAAGCTCACACACAATACACGTACCAAGTATCTACAACTATCAACAAATCCAGCAGGGGAAATCTAGAAAAACAATTTCAGAATTCTTTTATCACAAGCTTTCTCTTCCGATTTTCTCAGTCCTACCGCTACCTCTCCCACTTTGTGTGACCCTCTGGCAAGCAGAAAACTCCGAGTTCACTTCAGAAGGAAATCAGCCTGTCCTGAATCGAACCCTTTGGTTTTGTTAATGAAGAGCTGATAGGAATCCTTCATGTTGTGGAACTTGGCTTCCCACTGTTTCTTCTGCTCACATTCACGCTCCACTTCCTTCAAAGTCTCTTCGTTCCTCGATTCCAAATTCCGGATTGTTTCTTGGAGTTTCTCTATTTCTGATTGGTGGGCTGATTTGACTCGACCTAGCTCAATGGCGGCAACGTGACGTTCCTCCATCTGTGCGGTGTGGACGGCGTCGATGCGTTCCCGTTTCATCCGCTCTTCTAAGGCTGCTAGAGCTTTGGATTTCGCCTCCGCGCTCGATTTGGCTGTTTCTGCTTCTCTGTCAGCTGTCACTCTGAATTTTTTTAAACAGAACATGAATAGGAAACTTGCTCAACATTTTTACATTTTTGGGATGGGTGAATAGTATAAAAAGTTACACACCATCTCAAGAATTTATTAGTTCCTTAAACAAAACATAATTCTTATTAATTCAGAATTAATCATTACAAATCAATCAAAATTCAAACAAAAGTTGTCACAGATCAAGCACAAGTTGTCGCAAGTCAATCAAGAGTCAGTATCAAGTCAAAAGTGACTTTGATAAAAGCCTTCGATCCTTTGTTATTTTTTTATCCCCAGTTACTTGTGGCCAAACTTGTGATTTGGTTGTGATTTGAGTTGAGACCGACTTGTAATGGTCTTTGGGAGTGTGGCCAAGTGGTTAGGGTTTGTGACTCATGATCAGAGGGTCAAGGGTTCGAATCCAGCTGCTGGCCATTTCACCCCCATTTGCCTCTCTCTAAATGAGCACAGACATTAGCTGGGGAGTAACCTGCTATGGACAGGCATCCTATCCAGGGGGAACAGAAATATTCTCAGTCAGTTCATGCCACTGAAACTGGAGAAAAATGCTAGCATAATGGGCCATACTGGGTAGCGGCAGACTACTTTTTCCGAGAGATGACACTCTGACATCTCTCTGATACCAACCTTGCAACTCTCTCCGCTTCTTCCCTCGCGATCTCCACCTCCTCTTTCCTGGCTTGTGACACCGCCTCATCTTTCTCTCTTAGTCCTTGTGCTTGTACCTTCTCCACGGTCTCTCTCAAGATCGTCTGCCCTGCTTGTTTCTCCTGTTTCACTTGTTCTGTGGCCTGCTGCGTCATGATGCCTTCAACTCTTAATGCCTCTTCCTATTATGTGAAAAATATTATCACACCAATAATAACATAGCTCCTTATTTTAATAATTCAAAGCTGTTTGAAAATGAGCTGAACACCATTGATTTTAGTTAATTTCCTGCCCAAAATCTGAATTAAACACGCAAAGTCAATAAAAAAATTTAAGGAAGAAAGCTTCAGGGCAAATTTTAAACTGCCAAACCTTAAACTGCCAAACTTTGAAAGAAAAGACTACAACTGTGAAAAATTCATCATTACCAACTGTACTCACTAAATGCCAGCATGGCATCCTCTAAATCCACTAGAGGATGATAAATATAATACACAAGGGAGACGGGATGCCAAACTAGATCATGGACATATAGTGACACTCCAATCTGATAATTTTCTGATAATTCATAAACTTGGGGGGGGGGGGGGTGTTAAACTCTAATGGAACTACTCTAGCTTTGGCATCACATATGTTGATATTCCTGAACCAGAACATAGACTGATATTGAGCCTGTGTCACCCAGGTCTAAAATCTCCAGGAGCCAAAGCTGGTGTTGAAACCCAGGTTTCGAAAAGCTCACAGGCCCTACCATAATAAGGTTACCATTGGGTTCTGAGGGCATGTTGGACTAACCTGGCTGTGGCTAGCAGTCACTCCCATAGGTACATGTGTGATTACAAGCCGTAGCTAAGTCATACAGACACAGCCTTACATACCTTGAGTGCCTTCTCCTGTCTGTGTTTCAGATCGGCAATGGCTTTTTCCATCTCTTCTTTGGCTAGTTCTCTGCATTTCTCCAATGCTACATTCTTCATGTGTTCGGCTTCCTGCCATACTTTGTGTTGGGCCGCACTGACAGCTTGATCTCTCTCATTCTCAGCTTGTACCTCCCACTGGGTGTGAATGTTCTGACCAATGTCTGAAAAAAAAACGGTCAAAAGGTCGAGCCAATATAATAAGTTGAATAGTGGGTTTTGCCCTTGACCGACATGTTTTTTTAATATTATATATTAAAACTGAACAGTGTTGTCTGGAGTGATTTTGTGAAAACAATTCACAAACTACTAGGGTGGGACTCGAACCCATGACCTGCTTACTAATGCAGACGTCTTACCACTCGACCACCGAGCTTGCCGGGGCCGGCTGGCTGGCTCTGATATAGCAGCGGGTACTGCAACCAAACTGTTCATAAGATGGAAGAGTAAGATTATCCGTCTCTAGAGGGCAGCATTCATTGTATAGGCGATACGTAAATAGCATGATGGAAAAAATAAGAAGTGAAGTAACTGATCTAACCAAAAATTGCATGCCTGGTTAATCACAGCAAAGATAAGAGCAGCGACCAGTTACTGAACTTCTGTAAATTTAAAATCTGGAAATAAAATTCTAACAGCTCCCCAGGCCTCCCCAATACTCACCCAGGATATTTTGATGTGTGTGCATCTGTGTCTGCACGGGTTTGCTGTCTTCATATCGGAGTGGTACGCCATCATAGCGTGGCGATAGAGCCTTGTGTTCCTTGAGACGCTTGTCCATTTATGTTGGATATCTCTGGAGCCTGCATCAAAACAAAATTTGGTCAAATTATCATCCCAGAAAATGACTGAAAAGCACACGTTCATCTAGTGAACTCCAACTTTTTTTTCTGTATATACAAATTCAAGGCCTACTATGCTATCCAGATGAATGTTAAAAAGTTTTGAGCAAGACCTTGCCTTTGGCATCATTTGCCAAAGAAAATGGCAAATGTTACATCCAGCAAATTTGTGCCAAAATCCCTCCCTGACTGAGTGACCGAAACTCAATATTGTTGTAGGCCTATAATTACTAATTTCCATGATTATCCCATTCAAACAAGTTGAGATTGTTCATTCCAAAAATGTCATCCCCCCGCCCCCCCCCCCAAAAAAAACCTACACGCATACACCACCATCCTTAGATCACATACACATTATAAAATTTATACAGTGTATGTAGGCCTAGTCATTCAATGTTTACGCGTGCCAAACTAAAGCTCCTGCTTACAAAATTTACCACACATGCCAAAATAAATTCATCAAAATAACCAATTCCAATACATTTCAGGAACTTAACAGCACCCTGTTTTACAAACCCACCTTTTTTAAAAACGTACCTCAGAAGACATTAAAGGGGTGGTACGACTTTGAAAACTTAATATAAGTAGAAATCGTCAGCCACAAATTTCACACATTTCGTGCAGTATAAGCCAGTAGGTTGTACAAGTCAATTTGACCATTAACTGCCAAACGTAAATAATAATCATACGCGAGCAAAATATAGATACAAATATTTTTGCTTAAAAGAACCAGAAATACTTACATATATGCTAAGAAAATTACAGATTTTGACCCAAACTACAGTTTTTAAAAGGACTAGAAAGAATAATGAAACAAATTGTGGTTATATCTGGAATGCGTAAGGATATTTTTCATCTTTTCAGTTGCGTAGCAACATTGTCGAAGTCGATTGAGGGCGCTATTGCAAACGTTGTGTCGTCTGCTACGATCTTTTTGGCTCCAGGATTTTCGTTATTCGGTTCTTTGATCGCTTCTTCAAGATATTTGAAATACAATTCAGAGCATGGATGAAATTGAAGAAAGGTACATTTGTTCTTACCTTCAAACGTGTAATCTTCTCTTCGGCTTTTTTGTGATTTTTTTATGAACTTTTTTCATTTTTCTGTTTAAAGACGCCCTCTATTGGCGTATAATCAATATCAAATCACGCAAAATGCAGGTGGTTTTTGTGTGGTACAGGAAGTCATATCATCCCTCAGGCTCTGCGCTTGATTGCATACTCATCCGGACAGGTGTTTCGTTGAGCAATGTTCTCAAATATTCGCATCCACTCATCGTGATTGATAATCCGACGGTGGTCCATGCTTTGGCATACATTCATGTCCAGAGAATACTGACCACAAACTAGACTCGAGCTCAGTCTATGCCAATCCTATATAATCATGATATATAATCAAAGTTCCATTATAGACATCTTGCACGGTACGCCCTCGCAGAAGGCATTTTTGTCATCATTTGGTGCTAATGAATGTAGAATGTGTGTACCCATGCGTATCATAGAGGAACAAAGGCCCGCCTTCATGTGACGTCAGATGGAAGGGGTTAATTACAGACGCTTTGCAATATTTTTTATTTGATAAAAAAAATCCAACGAGTTCGTTCATCCATGGCACGGCTCGTGTTTCTCTTATGCTGACATTCTCATTGTTTATTGACACTGTCGATTGATTTCTGCGCTGTGTTCACAGAAAAATTCAATACTCGTGTGAGGAATTACGTTTATTCAGGCGGTTCCCGGATTGTAGAAAGTTCACTCAGTTTTATTCGTATCCAGAAAGACGTGCACGTGTGACTGCGTTGAAAATGTCGAATGTCAATCGTTTTCCACTTAATAATTAAAGGGTTTGTTTAGTTCTGCATTATTCTTTTTTTATGAGACTGGGATGGCAATGACTTAATGCTGCTTTGTTTAGTTGAACAAAGATAACCGATATGGTGTCCGCGTGTTTACTTTGGAAATTGAAATCAAACCTAAAACGTCAAATATTCTGATGTCATCGTTATGCCTATCAAAATTTCGAATGCAAATGTCGAGTGTCCATATAAAAAGCAAGAACAGTGGAAATTTGAAGAACAAACTTATGACATACCCACCGAGCCGAGTCAACTTTATTTGACCAAATGAATCACAATACTCCCCACAATCCCCACAAAATTGCCAATTGTTCTTGATATCTATCCACAAAATTAATACCACCAAAGTACACGATACAACAAAATTACTTGCTATTTCCGAGAAGGGATGAGCAGAATATTATATTCTATTTGATAATTATGTGCACTGAGAAAACATAGAGTCGCTTTAATGCGTACCAAGAAAATAACACCAGCCAAATCAGAATGAATAGCATGATTATGAGTCTGGTATCTGAAGTCTGAACACATGCATTTAGCAGGCACTCCGCGGCGGAAACGCGACCTCTATTGAAATATTATACTGTTTTATAACATCGCACCTAAAATATCACAGTGGAATCATTTATTGCCTGACAGATGGCCGGGTATAGCTGGTGGTAGGCTCGCGTGCGTGTCGTGGGACCTGGCTTCAGGCAAAACCGAGATGATGATCAGGAAATGAGATAAGCTAGACTTTTTGGCAGCGATAAGGTGAAAGATCTGCATCAACTAGGCAACGATGATCATGAGCAACTGCCCCGGAGGAAAGAAGCGAGATACGGCATAACTGACCCACACAGACTAGACGCGGGCTGGGGACCGGACCGGAGCGTATACACGATGGCACATCATCAGGTTTACTTCATCAGAGAGATGTCGGGGATTGTGTTGCTCTTTATTGCAGTATCTCTGGGTTGTGTTTGGTGTGTGGATGGTGCAGCCACTACAGGTAAGCTTTCTTAGTTCATTTGTGTCGATTGATGAAATTTCAATTTAGTTCACACATTTGTCATCGGTCATCGTACGCTGCCGACAACAACGTCCTCTGTATTGCTGTTTTTGCTCATGTTTCTTCAACATCTTCATTTCCATCAAAAAATAATGATTTTTTTTCTATTCTGATTTCTTTTTAAAAATCTTGATCACCCTATTTCACGTCATTGGCTCTATTAAGTTCAATAAAATATATTTCATCGCTACTTAAATGTGCAGAACATTTAGTATGCTGCCTTGTTCGGAAATGTTTACCACAGATTAAGCAAAAATAATTGAAAAACGGAATAATTTTAAGGTACAAAATAAAAAGAGAAGACAAGACAAGACACAAACCATACAAAAACCGTCAATTGAATAACATAATACAACTCAATGAAAAAGGATAAAATCATAAACAAACTTATATATTGTACCCGCTAAACATTTGTTATGCAGGAATGTGAACGAGTATGCATTTCGCATAATCACCGTCAGCATCATGCATCGTCGACTGTAGATCGTGCGCTCAACCTTTATAGCCACCATAAACGGATCATTCCATTATAGAATTTAATTTTGGATACTTGATGAAAAAACGAGCCACCGCAGCTGGACGAAAAAATAAATAAAAACGTTTGAGCTCAACAGTGGCTGTTGAAGTAATTTAAGAGAAATGCAAAAAAAAAGCAAAACAATTTTATTTCAGGTATACAATCTACATTCTTATTTATCACATATTCCCATGGTAACCGAAGGTAGCCATAACTCTTTATTTTAGAACCTAGTAACGAGGCAATCACACCGTCATATAATGACAAATTTCCTGCGGTTCTCCCCATATCAAGGCCGTACGCATGGCCATGCTCCACTTAATTTTCTCATTCTGTGAGATTGTCTCGCTCAGTTTCATACACGCCTAATTATCTCGAATAAACCCCATCGAAAAATTGCTTGACCGATCAGAATAGCAATGTAAGGCAATATCTCGCGTGGAGATTCGTGTCTTCATTTCGTAAATGTCAAACGTAATGGCAAGCAAGAGTGATTTTAAAGCAAAAATGCCGGGAATTATTGCCGTTATTATCGGGAATATTCTGTTCAGTGAACAGGGGCAAAATAAAAGTCCACAACGGAGGGACTGATGCTGAAAAATAAAACACGCCAATTGCCGTCTTGTCCGTTATACTGACGGTTTGCATTGTAACTTTGAATTACATTTTGATTTAAAAGTGGTTTAGATGCTGCTCTTGTCTTTGTTCACATTTTATTCCAATTATGAATTTTTTGTGTGATGGGGAGGTTCCTCCCTTGTTGAAGAGGGAGGAGGGGGTCATTTCCTTCCCCCACCCTTGAGATTTACGAAAGAGAAAGATCACGAAAATTAATAAACTTACTTACGGAATTGACCCGAAATATACAGATCAAAAACACAACGAGGGCCTAATGTTTCGGATCCTAGCATGACATATCTTAAAAGCAGGACCTTCTCTAACTAAAGCACAAGTAAACGATTGACAGCAAGCACTAAACGCACCACTCCATCAACACTAAACCATTAAACCGTCACATGTAATGAGCGATCATCTCAACTGTAGAGCAAGGGAGGCTGTTGAATATTAGTCTATGAGAGGAAATGCAAAATATTGGAATGCACAGGATATATTCATGATCATACCCTTTTCCAGCTTTTTTGTATGTTTATCATTATTTTTAGACGCCGGGACCACACCCAGTCTATATACGACCATTGAAGCCGATGCACGAACCGTAAGTCTCGTGGGAAAATACATTTACCTAAATGTTGATTGGGCACCATTTCAGTTCGGTAAATGTTTATTTTTTTTGAGAAAACGGTGAAAATGCATCTTCATTTTTCTCCGGACGCAAAGCAAGGTTTTCGTGGACTCAGTGCCCTCCCTTCCAAAAATTTGATTAATACGTTTGACTTTCATCCCGTTGTGGTATGATCCCTGATTTGTCTCTCGGAAAAAAAACAATTCTCATTCACGGATTATGTAACCGCAGTTGCAAATTAGGTCAATCTGTGGCAGTATTTGGAGGAAGCCGTTTTTTTCTCGCGATGGTTTGATCTTAACATCGCAAGAAAATGATGGCAATTTCGAGTAGGATATTCCATAGTGGTTTGGCAGTCGGTGTCATTTTGAGTGTCTGCAAAATGGTGTCTTTTACCTTTAAGTGTGGACGACAGCTGTCAACATGCGGGTACTTAAAATGGCTGCTGATCTCGTAAAAGCTATACTCGAGAGGGGAAATATATCATCCCAGAATTGTGGTCAAAACCAAAAGCACTGCGGTGATTGTATCGAGGCTAATCAAACGTTGCTATAGGTTACCAATACGTGTACGATAAGGTATGTGGATAGAAAACATGAGGTAACGGTAGATTCTGGAAAAAAAGATGGAAAGAATATTTTGGTAAAACCGAGAAACAATTAGAATGGGAATGACGAGCCACATCAGTATATTACTTTTCACGAAAATTATGGATGAATGTTTTTAACTCAAATTGTCTTTATTCAAACCATTTGTTAGCAAAGTCAATATTAAAATGTTGCATTGAAATCATCATAATTTTGGTTGTTTTTCAGTTGCGAGTTTTGCAATACTTGTTGTTTATTTCTTCCAATGGTCCAGGACGATTTGCCACAAAGCGACGGAGGCACCACACCAAACTTCAAAGATTCTGCAACCTCAACCACTTCAGGGAATACGACTATCGTCAGTACATCGTCGGCGGCTCCAACAGAGGTTTCCCCGGACCGATACGGACAAATCCACTGGCTGCTTTTCACGGGCTGGCAAATGCCTCTGGTCATGGTGGGTGTCGAGATTATCGCGTACTGTGTGACCATTTTCATCGTGTTTGGGTTCGGTCAGAAGCGCTCGAGAATCAAGAGATTTGGACATTTCTCTTGGAAGCGGCCCAACCCGTTCGTAGGGCAAGATGATTTGGCTTCAAGGGCTTCAACGCTGGACAGTAGACTCAAAGTTAGGAAGCCGTCCGTTAGAGGCCACCGTCCATGAGGGCCACACCCATTCAAATCCACCTGTTTACATTTATCTTGTCATGCTATAGTGCACCTTGTATATATCTCATACATTTTGGGATGTAAGCTACGGTATTCTGAGTCTAGTATATGCAATTGTATTATTAAAAGTGTGTATGTTTATATATTGTATTTTCCAAATCAAATGCGATTCGAAAGCTGTTTTGAAACGGTAACCAGTTTGAAAAGTATATCTCTATCATTACAAGAACACTATAAAGGAAGTTGATTCTCTTGCCGTAAAATGCTGGGCCAACTTCCATAAATTATTCGCAAAAACGTGTTGCAGCTAAATTAAACGTCAAACCAAAAGCACGACAATGCTGTTGCCATGACGACATTGGGGCTCGCGGTTTGACCGTTACCACCTAACACTGTCCACGTAACATCGGTTTCCATGCCAACAAATGAGAACACTGACCCACGCCAGTGTTTCGATCGGACATTAAAAAATGATAACGAATAAATAATAACGATGAACATCGTGGAGGTAATTTTCGTAGACAATTAAAATATACCGCTAGTTTCACCACTCTTGACACGCGCGCGTTCTCCGACCCACCTTTATAATTTTCTAAACACCAAATTACATTACTACACTATCTAATCTCTCTATTATGCAAACAACACCAGTAATAATTGAACATATTAACGGCGCCGAAGCGGTGAAATGGCGTGTCATTATTATACACGTCATGTCTACACGCGGGAAATTTGCCACTTCAATGATGATTGAGCCATTAACGCAGAGTAAATAATTATCTTCAGAGAGAAAGGTGGCCCAATCCCGCCCCTTTCCTGATCCTCTTCACAGCTTTGATGAAAATGAAGTCGGTGTTTTCATTTAAAAATTAATGTAACCGGATCCAACGAAGTGGTCTGAAATTTAAAAATGCAGGGGGCCGGGAATGCGCGTACTCACTTTCATTAGGTTTGAAGAGCTACATAAATATGTGGATGAAAATGATAACAGGTCATGTTGATTCCCACTTTTGCAAGATTTGTTTAAAACGCTATTACTGCGACTTGTGCTTCATTTGGTTAAGTTTGGATGAAAACTATTAACATATATATATTCTTAGTATTATAATAGTTTATTAAATCCCGAATATTATTTTACTGTCAGTTGATCAAAGATGTATACGTATCGGTATGCTTTGTGGGGAAAAAATAATAAAAAGTGCACATTTATCTAAAAAAAAAAAAAAAAAGCAGTACGAAAATGAATATTTGATTAAATATACAAAATTAATTAACAAAGTGACACCGGTGCGCAAAGAAAATATAACAGAAAACTTTGTGGCAAATGTTTTATTTCGATTTCAACTTTGTAAAATTGAACAAATACTCGGGTGGATATAAGCAGTATGTAAAAACCAAACCCTACCTGTATATTTCTTAAAGTAATGGTCTAGAACAAACTACATAACAATACGAATATTTTATGTCAAGCATCGTAAACGTTTATGACTGTGGTTGTCTTGCGTCACGGGGAAAGATCAGGGTAATATTTGCTATAGTATATACTGAACAAAATATTCCTTATATTCATTTTATATGCCGGATAGCGACAGATGGCTAACCACGCATTTACTATTACTACCCGGCGAATTCATGTTTAATACACTGGAAATAATTTCTGTATACTTTAGTATAAATACGCATACCTTGGGTTCAGTTCTAAACTCCTATATACTTGCCACAGAATGAATTTTTTTTAAAAAGAATGTAGTATCCTAACGCCAATACGGGTGGTTGTTGACAAAGTCTACGGATGGTTGTGAAATTATTTCAGTATTCTATACCAACATGTTTTGTTTGTGCATATTCGTTATTCCCCTACACATTTGCAATCAACTGACGTTGACGTGAAAAAAACGTGGCGGCGTCAGCCGAAGAGATACTTCATTCTACAACTTCTAATCTTTTTTTTTTTTTGGTCAGAAAAATCACTACGAAAAATGAGGTGTGAAAATAACACCCTTGGTGTCAGTTTCATTCTCATTCTTACCACTTGCTAGGTATAGGCCTAATAGTGCTAGCGCTCCAGTGTATAAATCTGACCTGCTGGGTGTTAATTTTAACACCACCATTTTTTGCATGAAAAAGCTGTTAAAATTCGAGACCAATCCAGCAAGCCCGCCCACTGCGCACGTGGCCAACAACACGTGCCTCTCCGCCGTTTAAGACGCGCGCGTGATACGCGAGTTTAAGCATATCGAACATAAATCATGGCTATGATTGGTCAAAACAACATTGGGCGGGGCTTAGTGGACAGGAGTTGGACACGCTCGCGCGCAGGTGGCATGCACGCATTTGATGCTCTTCCGACCAATAGGGTCATCAATTTGTGCCACCGCCTCAATCTCAAGAGCGCATGCTGCGCGCGAGCGCAGTTTCCCCATCTTTTTGTTGGCCGAAATAAATGTCTAATTGTACGATAAAGTGGTGCAGTGAAGTGAATTGTTTGTATTTCCTGAATCTTGACCAACTCAATAAACCTTTCCTACGTACGTAACATAACTGCATAAACCACAGTGTACCACTGAAAATCAACGACATGACATAAAACATTTATAAACGACGACTGAAATTATTAAAAACTCTAGAATCATTTGAACACATTTTCTGTAAAAAAAATCACTACAAAGAAAATAAAGGGTCAACAAAAACTACAGGCTCTGTGTCATTGTTTTTCTTAATTTAACAACATTGTTGATGCACCAAGCATTGGGCAGTATTATTGCTTACACACCGGGGCAAATTCTCCGGATTAACCGGGTACTCCAACAACTGAGGTCATTTCAGACAAACCGTCCGGAAGAATATTACTGCCCACCTGTTTTTTTAAGCAGTGACTTGCCACTTTTTTATTTTTTATATGACGGTGACTAGGTGAGGGTATGCTGGGAATGATGACATTTCAATATTTCCTAAGGTTAACTTTCACTCACAACACATATTTAATCAAACGATATTTTGAAAACCAAATCGACCAATTCCATCACCGACGCCACACTATAACAATCACAACAAATATTGAAAGAGCAATATTAAATATAAACACATACATGCAACACTGAGGGTAATATTTATTGTAATACAACATATCACAAATTGCTACAATGTCTCTCCATGTACTCAAAGGCTGCAGGTGCGGTCGGAGCAACTTTTTTTGGGGGGGGGGGGTCAACAACTTACATTGTTATTTTCGGCTTTTAATGACATTTTGCATCAGGGAAAAGTACATTTCGCTATTGTTTTGCCCTTAAAAGATGAAAGCTTGAGAACCAAAAATAACAAGATAAATTGCTTACAGGATGGTTCAGTAGTTGAGATGTCTGCACTAGTAACCAGGAGGTCGTGGGTTCGAGTCCCACACAAGTAAGGTGACAATTTCTTTTCACAAGCATATTTTGAGTAGTTACAAAAAAAAATATCAGTGAAAAGCAAATCACAATAAATATGGCACCATCACTGGCATTGCAAAGCATCCAAGGTCAAGATTTCTGTCTACTCCTACAATTAACTATGCCCGCCAGTCCCCCCCCCCCAATTGTCTTATTTCATCCTGCTTCTACAAGCAACCTTGAGATCAGTGGATTGACTTGTACACGTCTACACACAATCACTACCTGCCTGTAAGAAACAAATAATTTAGGCTTGGGTGAAAGAAAACTAAACTTACACAATTTAAATAATTACAAATCATATTACTTGAAGTTATTTTTTATTCTTCAAATAACACTGGTAAACAAAACTCATACATAAATTTTTTAGAAACAACACTTCGCATATATCTGATTGGTGGATGATATGAAGAAAGAATTTTCACTGATCAAAAGACTTGGTCAAGTCTAGGTTGTAATTACTAGGGCATGCTGCCAGAAACAGGAAAATAAAACAATTATTGTTGAAATTCTGTCAGAGTTCATTGTGTTCAGGGCTCAGAAGTTATCCGCGGAAATTCTTACATTTTCCTCAATAATTTGAGCTTTTCTGGTGGAGGTGGGATTGTCAATTCAGAAATACATATTTTTACTGATTTAAAATTAAGGATATAAAACAGACCATTCAACTGATTACACAATGCTACAAATCACATAGCGATGCCTTTTGTTTAAATATGCCATTAAATTTGTTTACATTGTACATCACAATTCTAGTCTTAATTAACTGGTGCTGTGTATTTGTAATATATTCTGATAAAAATACAATGACATCAACGATAACGTCACTGTTACTTTGGTTTTTGCACGGCCTTCTTATTATCATGTAACCATGGTAACATTCAATTTTTAATCAGCCTCATGTTTTTTTTCTTTAAAATTGGTCAGAAGACAGAACAGAAGACAGTGAGATTCCTAATCAATAAGGAGAACAGACTTAGAAGCAAGGCCATCGGGGAATCTGAGCCAAATCCTACACAGGCCCTGCATAATGCAAGGTTATCGAGCGCTACTCGCCAGCCAACCGTCCAAACTACAGCTACGATATATTTTCACATAAATTCCCGCAGTGTTGTGTTTTCACAAAATAAAACCTAAAAACACCCAAACATTACAGGTATTACAATTGCATTGAATAATTTCTCCCCATTTGTAACACACATCACATTACAAAGCAAACTTAAAATAATAAACTATCAATTATTTTCCCCTTTATTTTCCCAAGCAGACAAGAGGCATTCCCCCCCCCCCCCCCATCTAACAATCTAAGTTTGCCTACACCATAGAGCTATATTAAATTACTACAGCGCTAACTCCTCATTCTTAAGCGCGGAGATATTTTGAAGCCGTGTACATGATTGTAGAACCTAATGAAATTAAATGGAGTGTATTTTGAAAGTGTACTCTAAATGCAACGCGCACGTACAAGTTACAATATGCAAAGTGCAACTTACATGTGAGCGCATCTTGGAGGTTAAAAAAACGTCACGGCAAAATCATCTGCAGCGGATACGCACACACGTTTGCGTTGTTTGCGCAGAGCCAAAATGAAATGCTCATTTACTGATCGGTTTTGGGCGTATCGGCTTCGATAACGCACCTGTTTGGAATACAAGAGCAGATATGCAAAAAAAACGTAAAAAAGTAATACAAAATTTTGAGTTTTCAATAGTTTTTTTTTAACAAACATGGATGCGCCCAGCAGGCATCACTTTGTACATCGAGTCAGCACTCTTGTAATTTAGTATAGCTCTATGTCCTACACTAATTAAAATGCTAATTTATGTTAGACCACATACGCCCAAATTGTTTTACATGTACTAAGTGGAAATTACTCTTTAAATTTTGTTTTATTTACCCTCATACTACGTATCAAAAATATATGCGCATGTTTAGCAGGGCTAAAACATGTAAAGTTCTACCAGCACAATTTTAATAACCTAACCAAACCCTCATGCGCTTCTCTATTATGCAAATTTTAAATGCATTTTTCTTCTATTCTAAGGCCACGTACACTTTCCAAATCTAATAATCATATAATCGCTACAGGTTTTTAATTAACGGATATTGAAATAAATGTAGTTTATCCATTTCTTAAAAATCTGGAATTAAATCTATAACAATTCAGCATCATTAGGACTGCACGATTGAATTATCGACAACATTGGCGATCCATTTTGATGGGATTTGTAAATTCTGTCACCATTCCAAAGTGAACAGAACTTTCCATACCGCTATTTTTTCAATGGTCATTTCCAAGAATTATATGATAATGAAGGTAAACTATTGTGTAGTGTACTTCCATCACAGATTAACCTAGTTATATATTTAATCAATATCGAAGTCATCACACATAACGGGTTTGGAGAAAAATGTCACGTGTGCATAGCACTGATCATAACAATGATCAAATTATACATGCACGCACGTTTGTATAAGGTGTAAATATAGAATTTCTATTTGTCCTCTTTTGTTCATACTTAAACGTTTTTGCAACAGCTCCTATTGGTTTTGTACATGTTTTCTAATCGAGGATGTCCTTGATTTGACTCCTGTCCTCAATTAGAAAAGGATGTTTCACATGTGTGTCCTCCATTACACCATGTACATATGCTGCCAACCAATTTCTCCAAGTAAACAGGGACAGCCTTAACATTTTTTTGCCTCAAACCTTCCTGCATCCTCCAAAACCCTTCACTTTCTACATGTATCAGTGTTGTAGGACTCAAGTCTAGTATTCGGACTCGAGTCTGTCTCGAGTCGCAATTTCAGTGACTCGGACTCGACGTGAGCCACATCGACAAAAAAAATTCGGCATCGGACTTGAAGCAAATGACTCAAGACTCGGACTGGACCCAAGAGACTTGTGACTCGGACTCGACTCAAGTGACTCAACACTGCTTTTTAAGAACCAAATGATGCATAGTTTGTACTCTAAGACTGAGGCATCAAGACCAACATGGAGGAATAGCGGCTAATCTCTACCTACCTTAATTCTGCAAAACCCTCCTAGACCCTAAAAGTGGATTTTGAAAAATCTTTGAATTATTAGGGTTATTGCACCGACTTGGATTCCAAATGTTTTAATTCTCCCTTTCGCACATTCTTAAAACTGATGACTATATTCTCTGTATAGAAACTGCATTTTTTGCACATTTCCACAGCAACAACAACTTTTTTTATTTAAACTACAAAGCTATTTCCCTATTGAAATTATGCTCTCACCTACATTTAATAAATTGATTTTTTTTTTTTGCTTTAATATTTCAGACATATTTTCTAAACCTGCCCATACTCTGCAAATACTTCCAACATACCCAGAAAACTATTCAGAACATAAGAAAGCAATGGTTACTTTCAACATTGCTCATTTTCAAACACGCCGAACAATGCAATGGTACATGTATACAGAAAGTCATTTAGAGGGCACCCTTCTTAGTGGTTGCTACGAAGGGAGCCCTCAAGGGGCTTTTGGTGTCCAATCAACTATTTATATTGGACCTTCATTTGATTTGAACACTGGCAAGATCACAATTTCTACAAAATTCCCAAATATGATACCTACTAGAATGGATTGAAACATTGAAAAGATACAGCGTAAGAATATTTTGACATCCAACAAATGAAGACAATATAAATCTTCCTTTAAACCTCATCACAAACTCAACAGCAATCAACAATTAGTATGGTATTTATGATTTCTTCTAACACATTTACAAACATGTACAAAACGACCACATGAATTTTAAATGTACACTCTTTAAACAGATAACCCACAATACGCATAACAACAAGCAAAGTAAAGATTAATGTTGCCAAAACTATATTTTTTTAAGCTTTGGATACTTTTCAACACTATTTTGCTGATAGCGTTATACTGCTCCAGATGTTAGCAGTATACCTGTTGGTTTTGTCAGATCACAAATTCAACCAATTTCGGCAACGTGAAGTGAACTCATTAACTAAAACGTATTTGCATTTCCCACAAGGTAACACAAAGTACGCACCGACAGCTAATGATTAACCTTTTTTTATGCTTTGTGTACTTAACTACATTGGGTGAAAAAATAGGATTGCAAAATGCTAAATTTCTCACTGCTAAAAGGATTTTAATAGTAGTTTAATTAGTCTGCAAGTTGCAAACTGCAAACTACAATTATGCAGCACTGCATTTAACATTGCAAGATGCAACTCTGATACAATCAAAACTTTCTCTATAATTTTACATTTGTTTTATTTTTTTACAGATAGCACACATAAAGGATTTCTAGTCTTCAAGCACCAGCTCTCACTCTGGTAACTTGAGTACGGATAAGAATTCCAGAAAACACAGAAACAAAAATCGTAGACAACAACACTAGCCTATTGTACAAATCTTACACTGACCTACCACTAATCTTATCCCCCACCCTAAAGCCCGGTTCATACTCGGCACGAAAGCGAAAGCGAAAGCGAACGCGAAATTGTAACGTCATTAAAAATTGAATATATTTCAGCTCGGCAAATTTCGCAGCGAACGTGCCATGATGCCAAAATCGCTTCGCATTCGCGTGAAGTATGAACTGGGCTTAATACTGACACACTTTGGTTGTAGCCACCACCCCACCCAAGCGCGCTAGGGACCTCGCTTTGAGACAATGTTTTGAGAAGTGTGCATTTCCTTTGTAAGATTTTGTTAAAAGGATCCCAGCATCAGTGTTTCTTGACAGCTACTCAATCATGAGTCAAGTCACACGTAACCGGGAGTATCAGAGTATCAGAGTTCATGGACTAGCTTGTCACTTGACCTGACCCAAGTATACAGACGTGCCAAAGCCATGTATTGTTCCATAAGGAATTTAAATGACAATAGAACTTGACCTGCGACTGCCTCGATAAAAAGGTCATCGAGAGCATGCTGATTGGTCAGACTTCAATTCTGCAAACATTCTATTGAAGTCTACCGGAAAACTTTGCACAAGCAAGAACCATTCTCCTAATTCCTATTCACAAAAACAAAACGGATACAAAAATTAGGGGGGGAAAAAAACTACAAAAGTTCTAAACGGGAGGCCAACGTCACCTGGGTTTTGGGCGGATACTAATTGGAAGAGACCTAGCGTGACTGGGGCTGGAATCCGATGGAACCCGGCCCAACTTAGTAGACATGCGACTCCTTCTAGAAAAGGGTATAGCGCCCTCGGGAGTCTGAACTGTAGATGCAGCATTCACCTGAAGTATTGCAAAAACAAAAAGAGAGAGTTTGACTAATAATAATTATCTCTAATTCATATTTTGTGGGAAGAGAGTTGCACACCACAATTGACTGGGGAAGGAATAAACTGTGCCTTTTTATCTATTCATTCAGGTGAAGGGAATTCTACATTCCTCCTCTGCTTTCAGTACTTCTTCTTACTGTTTGTAGCACTTCAATCAGGTATTCTGTTGACAAGTTATGGCTGTTTATAGGTTGTATTTATCGACATGTAAAATAGTGAGGAAAAGTCCTTTAAAATTTTGGAGTTTTGTAGCCGTGAAAATGAAAGACTTTATTTCAAGATTTGTATATTATTTCTTTACAACATGTGTAGTAGACATACTAAAGATTACAAACACCAATAAATCTGAATATCGAATTTGGTTGGTAGCATTTTCCTCTACTATGGCCTGTGCCCAGTTCTGCCTCATTTTGTCAGAATGCCTGACATATAACCTTCATGTTTTCCTGACCAAGCTTGTTACCTGTGTATGAGTCTGCCATAGTTCTCCTTCATCCTCTCCGTTTCTCTTCCTTCTTGAGGCTTCTGCCTGGCCAGACTTGGAGCTTGGAGAAATCTTGCTCTCTGATATATGCACCTCACTGTATAAGAACCAGTAGACAAGACTTAAGGATACAAAGCTATGGGATCAGGGGCAGTGGGACAGATCTAAAGGTGGAGGGGAATGGGCTTGCAAAAATGTTATCTCTGAAGTGGGGGAATCTCAGTGACAAAGACTGGCCAAGATTTTTTTCCGACTGTTAAAATCTTCAAAATGAGTCGAGCCATAAAAAGTAGCCTCCTTAGTTTGAGTAGAGCTGAAACACTGAACAGATCTTTGAGTTCTATTCTCCGAAGACGCCTGAGTTAGAATCAAGTCATCACAAGTCATCAAAGTCAATCACAAGCCAATCACAAGTCACCACAAGTCACAAGTCAATCACAAATCAATCACACGTCATCACAAGTCAATCACAAGTCATCCCAAGTCATCACAAGTCAATCACAAACCAACCACATGTCAATCACAAGCCAATCAATCATCACAAGTCATCACAAGTCATCGCAAGTCAATCACAAATCTTCCATTCTCAAGTCACAAGCTATTTAAAATGAATCCTGACAGAGGCATTCCTCTGCCACTGCTCATCCCTTCTTTAATACTTCTTTAAGGACTTGAGATTGACTCGTTTACAACTCTGCAAGACATAACAACCTAATGACGATTTACCTGGGATATCCATGCATGAATGGGCATTCCTCTCCCTTCAGACATTGTCCTTCCTCCCAGAACCGACATGTAATGCTGCTGACATCATGAGCAAAGGGACAGTCTGCACGACGACACTTCCCTTCCAAGAAGAAACTACATGGCTTCTTCTGAATACCTACAAAATAATTTGCAGAAAACGAAATTTACTATACATCCAAGAGGTTAAAAAAGAGTGAATGGAAATAAAATTCACAGCAAGATAAGAACAATATACTGGCGATAATAAGGAAATGTAAAGATTGTATCAGTCAATAACATTTCACAAAATGGAGGAAGTGACCCTCCGTCAGCAAGTCGGAACTTTTAATATTGTTTTTTCTTTTTGGCCCTCAATCAACGTTAAGAATGGACTCAATATTGGGGTTTTCCCTTCACCGACGCATTTTTAAAAGAACTGCATTCTCAATGCTGCCCGAGTGCTTGAAAGAAAATAATTCCCAAAACTTGAAAGGCACATGTGCATGCTAGCATATGCACACATCTAAACAACTCAACCTCCAAGCTGTCCAGACTTTGTGGCTGATTCATATCTGATGTAACAGTAGGTCTAACAGCTGAAACCTTCAGATAGATGTAAGTTTTAAATGTTGTACCCGAACACAATGTTCGTAAACTTTTACTCGAGAGAAACCTGAAAGAAATGAGTGATCACTAGAAGCAAGTTCTTACCCATTTTCCGTCTGTGTTTCCTCCAAGGTGGTCTGCCTTGCTTAGCATCACCGGCTGCTTCCCCCAGCCACATCTCCTCCAGCTCTGAGGAGTATAACGGCTTAACCATCCCGCCTCCTACATCAGAAAACCCTTCCCCCTTCAGGAAGGCTTCGTCTTCAAACGCAAACATCTATGGACAAAATAATTAAAACTTATTTCAAAATGGCCCTTTAGTAAATTTTGAACATGATTTTTTTTCATAACAACTTCCTCTCCTTTAACTCTCCCAGGTTTCATCAAGTTGAAAGCAGGGAATGAAATGGTGCTTTTACGCAACCATCGGTAACTTAGAGAGTCAGCTTGGCTACATACAATGTATTTAAAAAGTGGCCTGAAGAGCCCTATTCAAGTGCAGCTAAAATGAGAGGGTTAGACAAAGAATGGATAGAAAAGGAAAACTAAGAAAAATGGCTTCAAGCAGAAAGATAAGCATTGAGTATTTACCTGGTTTTCATAATCCAGATGCATTATGGGATCCAGTTCGGCCCCATGTTGAGTTTGCATATTATGGCCCCCGCCACTTTCCATCCATTGTAAGTTGTCGTACTTTGCTGGATGTCCGCTTAGACCTTTGACCCGTGTTCCATTGTCATGGTGATAATCCTTTCCAATCCTACTTGGACTGTTGGAAGGAAAGCCAGTTGGACCTGTTGCAAGAGGGTGGGACCTTGGCCACTGATCTGCAGTAGGTGACTTACGAGGGGCACTTCCGACGACTTTACTGATGGTCAGCTCATCAAGACTACCTGGATGAGGTGAGTCCAAGACTCGGGATGCAGCAGCACCTTCATCGCCGGATGAATCATCAGGAGATATGGTCTCATGGATGGGGCGGAAATGAGTCTTGGGAGAGATCAGTAGCTCATCCATGGCAAGACTGGCATCGCCTAGATCGACCTTCTGACGAAGTGGACTGGAACCACCTACCGCTAGATCGAAGGGACGCTTACCCTTCCGTATAGCCTCTGGTTTGCTGATTGTGGGTACGATGCCTGTCAAGCTGAGCGATCCCTGACTCTTCTCTGAGCACAGATCATCCCCCAAGCCAGCGGCACTGCCTTCCTGAGGAGGTGTCAACCAGGATGGAGTGAGCTCCTGCGAGCTGCCATCAGTTGGGAGGCTATACTTCAGAGAATCACTCCATTCATCATCTTTGGCATCTAGCTTGCACATCATCATTTTCTTATTGCACTCTTTCGTTTCCTCCATTTCTCCAACATCTTTTAAAGCTTCTTCAAGGAGCTCTGCCTCTGACACCATTTCATCTGTTTCTGTACCGGCTGCGCTGACAGGACTCAGGCTTCCATCCAGATCACTGACACTCCTGGCAAACTCAAAGCGAGAGGAGCTTCTTGAGCAGATGAAGACAGGACTATCCATGAGACTATCCTCAATCAGACTCTGTTCATCCTGCTGAGAAGACTCCAGGGTCTGCTCTGGAGTTATAGTACCTCTCTTACCCGATGCATCACTTAATCTGCTCTCAGATTTCCAGCCAATTGATCCAGACTCTGGGCTGATCAACTCCTTCATTGAAGTCACCAAAGCAGACACCTCTTGAACAGCGGCTGGATTCCACAGATCCCGCAAGCTGCCACTTTCGCAGGGACTTGTGCTGCAGCTGTTGTAGTGACTGTTGTTCTGACTGCTGTACGGGCTGCCGTACACACCACCCTCAATGAAAGAACTTTTGCGTCTTCTCAGCACTCCATCTCTGGCAAAGGAGCCGTCCTCCCAGCGAACTATCTTTGGCAGATGGGAATATCGTGGCTGAGTATCGTAGGTTGACCAAAGAGCGCTATTGATGTCAAATGGTTGGGCATCAGCAGCTGTAGGTGTTGAATCATCCAGATGACAAGCAGACTTGATACCTTTTGCCAGAGAGTCTTGCTCACTTTCAGAGTAGAATGGGCTTCCAGGGTCACTGCAGGATAGCACACTGTTTGGACTTGGCAGTGGAGCTTCTGGACCAAATGACTCCCCAGAGAACGGGAAATTGCCTGGCAGAAACTGATTAATCATAGCAGAGGTGGTAGGACACTGATGGTGACTGTGTGTTGGACAACAGATACGAAGGAGAGACTCCTCTTCCCGGAGGGAACCAACCGCAGACCTTATTACCTTGTCATGATCCACCGTTACCCTCAAGGCTTCAGGTAAATCCTGGACATCACCGATTTTTGAAGGATCTTGCTGTGTTTGCTCAAAACTTTGCTCCATACCATACCCCTGTTGATTGGGCCAGCCAGACGCATTCATCTTCAGTGGAGATCTTTCCCATGGCTCCTTGGCATGTGGAAGCTCTTGATTCCAGATGCAGGAAAGAGGATAATCAGCTACCCTCAAGTCAGCGGCATGGCCTTCTAGATGCTCTTGGCTTGATGAAGCCGATGATGTCAGCGTATTGTGGGCCATATACTCCCCATCTGTATTTTTTCCAGACTGATCCTGTCGCATGCTGAGACTGGCTTGGCTGTCCACAACTAGCAATGGCATGGCCTGAAGAGCGGATGCGTTTCTCCCTTGACAAGGGTACAAATCAGGTTTACTGCAATCAAGCAAAGACAAGAGGTCTGGCTTATCTCCATGTCTTCCCCTCTCTGCCGAATCTCCTTCCAAGAGGCTTTGAACAGCAGTGACCAGCTGAGGTACTTGTGGACTATAACTGCCTTCAAAACCCTCTTGGGTTGATAATGGACCTTCGCCAGACTGAATCTCACCAGAATTATGCTGATCGTCTTCAAATATGTCACGGCAGAGGCTCTCTGCCAGCGAGTTGACAGCTTCTTCCAAGCTGATATCACTGGCTGGCGTCTTGACATAGGGGCTGCTGGATCCTGATCTGTAGACCGTCTGTAGCTTACTCAGGTTCCACCCCTGCTCCAGGACGGGAACCACCGGCTCTGTATACCAGCTTATCTCATTCTCATCAACTATAACATCTTCCGCCAACTCCACAAACTCTGGACTCTGGCTTGGACTGACGTTCAAGACCTCTTGAGTCTGTTCTTTCATCTCCCAGGCATGCGGCTGCTGCAGACTCTTGGCCCGAATCGTCACAGCGCCAAGCCTCTCTCCAACTCTTCCCATCTTCTCCCCGTTCCTTGTAGTGGGAGGCTTGCCCTCGGCCTGCTTCCTCCCATAACCCTTCTTGGACTGATACTTTGGGACAACGAACATCAGGTTATCGTCTTGATGGCTCATGCTGTTTGGTAGGCTCTTGGCTCGCTGATGCTTTCTGGCGGGGGACTTGCTCCTTCTTGAAGTGGAAGCAGAGACACTCTTCACTACTTTTCGGTCTCGCTTACCCATTCCTTGCTGACCATCAAGTGGTGGAGATTTTTTACTGGGACCCCAGGCACCGTGAGGTTGAGAATCAGACATCATGATTGTGTTAGTCTTGTCACTAAGGGCTGGGAAAGCTTGGTAATACCTGAATGCAAACATGAAAGAAAAAAACAATAAAAGTTAATTTTTGTACACTATGATTGTAAAAACCAAAAAGATTTAATAAATGTATAGGCATAATAACAAGTTAAAGAATGTATTGCATTTTTGATAGATTGTACAAATTACAGATTTGCAAAACAAACGTATCCTGCAAGTCCACTGGATGAAGTTTATGGGATGTGTGATTATTTAAATTCCGATAAAATAAAAATTAGAAGCTATAACAGAGGGATTTTGAATATTTGAATAATATATTGAATGAATAAGAACAGATAATTAAAGTCTCTTAATTTGCAAACAAACAATTTTATACAACATACATGCTGTTTTGCTTTTTATTTTCAAGTACAAATGAGAGTATTGGATTCTAATATCTTTCTTACAAACACAAAAAAACTCCCAGCAATATTTTTTCATTTTAATATTTGTTCTCCTCACTTTGCAGCTTGAGAGGCAGGGTTCTCATGGCGTTCTGCCTTTGTTCCCGGCTTCAAAGGTGAGCTTGTCTCCTCATCACTGGTACCCGCTCCATCCTTGGTCCCTCTGTCCCGTTCCTCCTTGACTCGCTTCAGTTTAACACACAATTCCTCCACTAGACTCTCAATGCCACAATCCTAATCAAAAAAATATAAATTCGGAGGACACTTTTACAATAAAAAAGGGAGTCAAATCTTGAGAACTTCGGCAGCGCCACCCATGTGCATTAGCTTGAATACAGCATGTGTGCAATTATGAACCGGCCATAATAACCCTAACCGCCTAGGCCCTTTTGGCTAGGATCCATCCTCAACCTTTCAAAATCCTTCAATTGCTACCATCTAAATATGTACATCCTCAATCCTTCAAAATCATCCGTTAGGCCTATTTCTTGCATTTGTTCAGTGAAGGGGTGACCACCTCCACGACCCTTCAAAGTCATCCAACAATCACTGTAATATAATGAGGAATTGCCCATGATATCCAGAAGCAGTGCGGATGATATCTAGTATAATCTTGGCATAATTTATGTGTGGCTAAGCATAAACAACACAAGGTGCACCTTAAATACCTTGACACAATGCACCTTCTAAAATCAAATGGCAAACAACCTCAATCCTCCAAAATCCTCCAAAACTGCCTGGTTGATTTTGGAGGATTGAGGAAGGCTAGGGTTAAAAATGCAGTCTTCTGTGCAAGATCCATGCACTTCTTGCAAGTTCTTTTTATGCATGGTCTCAAGTCACACAAAAATGATCCAAAAACATGCCCAGGACATTACAGCATATTACCGATTTGCAACAACTCGCCATGTCTGCTCCGGGTACAAGGTCTCTGTCCATTGCCACAGAAATGAAGAGCGAAATTAAGATTCCCTACTGAGGGCTGTGTAAACCTCTTCCGAGAAACATTCAGTTTCCATGGAGATAGGAGCACATTCGATTAGGCACAGAACTCTACATTTGATGAATTTTGCATGAAGATCATCATCCTCATGTTACCCGACACATTGCTCCCAACAAAAGTCCACTCCTTGAAGCAACACATACAGCTAAGCCCATCACATTATGTTGAACCAAAACTTAACATCCTGGAAATTTAATACAACGCATGTGCTGGAAATATATCTCCTTTGACTGCATCCTTCAGTAAGTTGAAAAGTAACTGATTCATGTGCAGCTAGGCATCAGTCTTGCACAAAATGGAAGATAGACTCCATAAAGATAGCGTAGCACTACTTTCACAAAGACGTGTAGTAAACTGGCGTGTCATCACACCAAGAAGTGTTGGTCTATCTGAATGTCAACTCGGGTATCGATGACGAGACTTAAAGAAATGCGTCCAAAACAACCGAGCAAATCCAATTTATCCTCAACAATAAAACAACTGCGCCATGATGGCTTGTTGCGTCTGTGCTGCGCCATAAGACTCAAGTTCACTGCAACAGTCTTTACTCCGTGGCCGTCCTCCCCGCATCGTTGGAGTGACTTGTCTGGAATCCCAAGAATGCTGCATCCCAGAGAGGATAGAGTCTTGGAGGAAGATGCTGGCTAGACTGGCTCAACAGTCCTTCCAGTATTCACAAGGATGCCAACTGAAGACACGAAGGACCATTTTTTGACAGGAATCTTTTTTGAATTCTCTGCTCTGCAATGTATGCAGGAAACATTCTTTGCACTGTAACTTTCTTTTTTTAAAAGAAACTGCAATTTTTCTGGAGAATGTAATAAGGACGGGGTCCCATTTTTTCTAATTTTAGAAATCTCGCACAATTCACTGAAAACTCCGGATGGAATTTGATGGATATGGGAATGGTACATTAACTGTCTTTATTAGTTGTGCCTTTGTTTTGGCAACTCGATTAAAACACCCTTGACCTAATGACAGGGGTCTGCCTAGCTTTTCAAAGAACAAAGTTCATTGCCAGTGATGTTGATAATATTGATATCAAACTTGATTGAGTACACTCGATTATTTTGTTTGTTGAAAAACTCCACGAACATGTACATGTACATACCGATATGTAATATCGACAAAGTTGTGTGCATGAACATGCACTTGTATTTGACAAAATTGTCATGAATGTACATGTACAATGTATGTTCATTGTAAATTTCCCTTTTGATATCAATATAGGTGCAGAAGAAGTTGGCATTTCTTCCGAAGTTATTAACTTTTACTCACATACACGTAGATATTTATCTGTCAGAAAAAAAACCTGAAAATAGAATGTGTTTTCTGACGTTGCAGGTGTAGAATTTTTATTGGATAAATATTAAAAAACCTTTTAAAACTTATAAAATTAACAAATAAAGAAGTCGGATTCTAGCAAGACTAAAAGCCAGTCAGGGTTGGAGGTTCAACAAAAAAAAGAGAAAATAGAGACACAACCTCATGACCAAAGAAAACCCAAACAAACAAACAAACCCAACAAAAATGAAAAACATCAATGAAAAAAATGGAGGCATCCTTTGTCTCAGTTGACTCTTTATATTGTATTCCATTTGTTCTGATACACTGTACGCAGTGATTCCCAAAATCAAGTTTCCATTTTGTCAGCTGTAAAAAGCACACTCATGACCAACATTATTGGTCCACTCCCATAATACACACATACAGTACAGTACATACATCAGGTTTAATGCCCTTGCTTTATGGTAGATGTGTGCTGAATGTATATGAGGAAAGTCTAATTTTTACATAATGACCAATTCTCAAACCCCACTGTAATACGTCCTTGTCACATGTCTACATGTACATGTAGGTGAACTGATTATCCACATACTCCTACTCTTCACACAAGAAATACATCTGTACATTGTACAGAACTATCGGTATGCCCACAGCCTCTGCATCACGCTGAACATGTACAAACGTAGCCTTGCCAACTCTGCCTATATTTGGGAGATAATTTATCAAGGGCAGTACATACATTTGTACACTGACCACATACTAATAAATACATGTAACAATCGTTAGTGCCTTAAAAGTATGTTTATATGGGAGGGGGTGTTAGATTCAGGAATATGAAAAATCCACAAAATAATCCACAGGGTGTTCAATGGGTTGTTAATAGAACCTCTTAAAATACCAATGTTTTCTGCTCTATACATACATTTAGCAAAGCTAAAAAGACCTTTATGGTAAAACCTAAACAAATTCCAGATTTCATATGAGGTTCTTTAAAAATACTGAACATGAAATCGGAAAAAGATTCTGAGGAAAATCTTGAAATAAGAAAAAAATCCTGACAAAATCTTACCCTTGATGTATACTTCATGTCTGATTCTCTAGCACTCGAATATGTACATTGTATCATAGTATGTAACTTTAATTTAAAGCAGATTATTAAAACTGTACGTGTACATGTATGTGCTGTGGAATACACATTCACAGTAAAAAAAAGGTGCAGTCCTAAATTATGTGCATGTTATTAATTGATATCTTTGGTTGACCATGGAGGAAGGAATAGACTCATGCAGGGAGATTCAAGGATACATGTACATTGTACATGTATCGTATATTTAATGAATCATGTATTTTAATAGCCATCTAGTACAATGCTAGTCTACTGGGGGTTCAAGGTAATTGTGTCCATGTGATACATACATGTAATGAAGATCAGCACAGTTCATGTACATGTACATGTACATGTACATGTACATGTTCATGTGCCTGTGTACATGTACAGTACTACATTTTGATTTTTTTTTTTAGGGATAGGCCTGTTTAACTTTAAGATTATTTGCATTTATGCCAAAAGCAACCAACCAAATTCTTATCAAAAAGCATACTTGGTTTGAAAGATCGCAAAAAGAACATCTTGTGAAATTATTTTATTTCGTTTGCTGTCCCTTACATGTATATTAGAAATCAAGAAATGTACAGGGGCTTTCAAATGATAGTCAATTGACCGATTTCTGGAAAGACCGAGTGCTATGGACGAAAATTGTGTTTCGTGATCAAAAGGTTGTGCGTGGTATTTCACTGTTTTCTTGTCACCAAGCTCAAACTTCAACAGGTTAGGTCTTGAACATTCAAAATAAATGGTTTAAAAAAGAAGAGAATAAAAAAGGAAAAGCAAATTGAACAAGGTCCATAATGGACATTTTGCGAGGTACTACAAAACGAACTTGCCTGATCAATTTTTAGCTCAAATATCTAAAGTGACAATTCCCTGATTAACTTAGAATGTACCGACAGTACAAAATTTGGCTGATCAATTCACTGTTATGGGAAAAAATATAGTACGTGTACATGTATGTTGTCCAACCTTAATTTTTGTTCTCTGAATTAATACAATTTTCTCGATATTACAGTGAATTACAAATCTTACCTTATCAGTCACAGCTTGCAGGCATTCCAAGACGGCATATTTCTTCCAATCCTCGGCGGTCCATGACTTGCGAAACTTCCTGGGATGAACTCTGCCCTTGGTTGACCTGACCTCCTTCTGCGGATGGAAGGGGTCAAACTCCGCGTCAGGCTCGAAGTGGTCCTGCTGGAGAATGCTGAGGATGTACCGCGTGTAGATGACGGCGTCGATGCCTCGTAGTTCCAACTCCTGGCCCAGCCAAGACTGGAGAGCCGGAAGTGTTATCATGCTCAGATGGTTAGGAGGGGCGGGGCTTGGGTAAAACGGGGGTGGTGGGAGAGCTGAGATTACTGAGCCTGGGATGGACTCACAGGAAGGTGATAGTAGCCATGATGATTAGAAGGTGCAGTCGTAGCCGCAAGCTGCAGCCGGACAATCTCGGGAAGACCCTTGAGTATTGGCCCCGCCCAGGTGGGGGTTCTCGGCGGTGACTGTAGTAGCTTCCCACAGTCGTCTGGGAGCAATCTTGGAAATATGATAAACAGGAGCCATTTTGGCAAAAAAAGGCTGAAGAGTCCAATTATGTCTGTCCAATTACCCCATTGTTAACGCTGTTCCGTTGCACTGTATGTGCCACACGCTTCATTAACAAAAACTTGTACACCTACATGAGTTCTGTTGTCACCTTTCTTTGGAAAGGTGACATTTACATCAATGTTTCTGGTCGATTTGGGCCAGTGGTAGGATGTTCAGCTTGTCTTAAGTCCCGTGCCAGGTTAGTCTTGGCACAGAATTCAGTCCTCAAGGGAAAACCTGCACAGGAAATCAGGGCCCGATAATGCTGACTCAGAGCAGCCGCAAGAAAATTGATGGCTCGACGAACAACTACGCTGACTTCACGAGTCCACCTCCCAGCTCACTGCTTCAGTGCAACCCACGACTCCAATGGAACAGCTCCAGGTGCATGGAATTATCCTACACCTGTAGACGAACAAAACACAAGGAATATTGATCACTCTAACATTCAACCTTAGGTCTGCAAAACATCACATGAACGTTATACGCTGTCACATCATGTGAATTATATTTTAAACCACATCCCAGCTCTGCAAAGGGTGGTGTGATTTTAATTTCTGCTTGACATTTCAACCAATGTGCACCGAGAGTCTGGGAGAATTCCTTTCACCCGAACTGTTAATTTATGCGTGGGAGTAGGATAAAGTTCACAGGTGGAACCCAAATCCCAAATGTAACTTTCCATTCTGCTACACTGGTTTTTAACTCTAACCGCCCAGGCCCGTTTGGCTAGGAACAATCATCAATCCTCCAAAATCCTCCAAAACTGCTTGGTTGATTTTGGAGAATTGAGGGTTAGGGTTAACACAATATCTGCATTCACAAGAAACGCACATTAACCCGTATCCCACCCAGATTCTTTAGAATCAACCAGGTGTAGAATTATTAGGAAAGGTACGTAATGCCCAGTCACTGTTACCTACATGTAACATGGGATGCATTTCCTTAATTACTTAAAACCCCATGAAGGTCTACTGACTTTCTACAACGTAAATGGTGGAGGATTTCGGAGGATTGGAATATTCCAAGCAAAAATACCTAGATAGCTGGGGTTGCATGTAGGCCCACAATAACATGACTTCACAAATTCGGAAAAAAATGAACGGACAACAAATCTTCAGTTTGTATGCTTATTTAACATCTACACCATGAAAAACTAGGTAAATCAAAGAAACACATTTGTCTTTTAAAAAGATAGTTTCATACAAAATTATTCACACAATTTAAAAAATATGTTTTATACCACATTAAATCAAAAGATGTATGTATGTATATGAAAGATTAAAATCTGAAATTAAGCACAACCCTAAAAGTAAAATCATGCGTTGTACAATGTACTAACTCTATTGATCAACAAACATAATAAAGTTCAGGGTAGCTCTGCCTTAATACATGTAGCTAGTAGAATACTGTTCCTACGCATGCTTAGTACATGTACGTGTTCGTGTACGCGAGTTATGTACATGTACATGTACATGTATGTACATTCTCCATGTACATGCATGTACATGTAAAGGCCATGCGTCTGTGTGTTTAACTACAGGATATCCTGCTTCCTAGATCAATGGTGCCCAAGCTTTGATTTACTTCCCTTGCTAATTGCCTTCTTACATGTAACTTAGTTACGTGTTGTGGTGCAAAAAAACAAAGTCAAACAGATCCATGGCAAACCACACAAAAATGCACTTTTTAAAGATGGTTAGAAAAACGAAGTAACATATTTTTTCTCTTCAATTTTTTTCTTTTTTTTTTCTTAAATATTATTAAGTGAGCGAATCAAATGTTTTTTTGGCTTCCTCAAACAATCTTCCCATCCTCTATTTTCAAAATTTGTAACAAAAATTAACAGTATTTTGAAAGAAATTTGTAATTTTGAATATCTTGCTTTTTTTTCTCTTAGTTCAAAACCCTGCCCTATTTCCAAGACATTCCTACACAATAACATAAAATAGCTTTTTGTTATAAATCTCTACAGGAATAATGTCTTAAAGTAACTACAATGTTATTTATTATTCCACCATCATGCCTGTTCACTAAGGGTTCCCACTTCCCAGCACCTCATGAAAACAAAATTCCCTGGATTTTCCCAGATAATTCCCCGGGAAATTTCCAAATTCCCTGAAAAAAATATAGCACAGCTAAACAGGAATGAATTCCACACTAGGACGTTAGTTATCTGCCAGTTAAACACATTAAGGCTGTAATGATATATCAATACACATCCGTATCGCGATATTTTGATACAATATATCGATATGAATGTTAAAAAAAATGTTACAAAACGACTCACACAACTGCGCCAGAATTCACCGAAAAGAAGTACCATGTACCTAAAGTGGCATTGTGCCGAAAATAACGTGCAGCTGGCCACACAAACACAACTCAGACCGTCCTGATCCAAGCGCTGCACCATGCACGTACATACGTTATGCGTAAATATATTCGGTAACAAGTGCTTACATGTCATGCATGTACATGTTAATTGCCCAAGTGTAGCCTTTATTTACGGAAGTAGTCCAGTAACTAGGCCACATTTATGGGCCTACCCTATGTAGTATGTTGATGCCTGTGACAAATTTTAGTCTGGCTCCATGCCAACATTATCGTTGTAACATCATATTCACAAGATGGGCATGATGGGAATCAGACCATTTTACAATTTCGGATTTTATTTCCTTTAAATCCTCCAGAGCCACAAAAAATCTGAAAAAGAAAATGTAATACTCTACAATAAAATGTTTGAGACATGTTAAAATAATAAAAGAAGAATATTCTTGGGGGATGGGGAAAAAAACCTTAAATATTTTGCCAGCAGGGATCGAACCCGAGTCTTCCTGCACATGAGATCCGTATCCCGTTGCTTATCCACTACCTGACTACCCACTAGGCCACAAGTGCTACACAACCGTTGGTGGTAATTTAATATATATCTTATAATTCAGCCCTATCTTAGAGAGTACAGCGCCCTCTGTTGATAGGGATTGCCGCCGGCAATATATCCACAATCTTTCTTAAATTATTTCGGCAAGCCAAAAATGCAAGCAACCGCCAACATGAACCTAAAAATAAAATAAAAGCAATTTGATTTAAATTGTCCAGCAAATCAGCAAGTAAATATACACAAAATAAGGAAAAAACATTAAACAGCGCATATTATTATTCATCATGTTCATACCTGAATGATAAAATCCGCGTAAAAAGGGTTTTACCGTTTAAAAAGCAGAAAACAGATTCTCTTCAAAACACCAAATCGGAAACGAAACGATGTCATCATTAAAATTAGTCAGGTTCCATGCAAGACACATCGTTCCTAGATCCATATGTGGCGACAGGGATCAATTCGTAAAAATTCGCCGGCAGGGCCCGCGTACGCGCCCTCTTCGGCAGGCTCTTAGCGCGCTACGCGCACTTTTTAACATCCATAAACTTGTCCTAGTCGTTCGGCGTATAATTTACAGGAAATTGAGGGGCGGGGCAAATGCATCCTCGCTAGCCAAGTTTGCAAAACTGGACTAGGATGGGCAAATGTGAAATCGGAAGTTTTGAAGGTCATTTTTTTTATCGGCCTCGAATACTTCAAATTTCCTTCAGATAGAATTTCCGATCATTCTTGTAAAGGGGAAAGAAATGATGCAGTGCCCGGCGTCCATGCATATCTCAAAAAAATAATCATAACAACGTATACATGCGCATGCCTTATTGTTTTATGAAGTTTTTATTGCATAACGAGGAGTCAAAGTTTCAATGCATGGGACATTCCCAATGATTTTGGCCTCAGCAACAAAATTTACGAAAGCCCATTAGCGCCACTGCAAGTATATATGTTGCGGATTATTTAATTCGTTATTACGGATTATTAATTCGTTATTACGGATTACTAATTCGTTATTACGGATTATTAATTCGTTATTACGAATTATTTAATTCGTTATTACGGATTACTAATTCGTTATAACGGATTATTTAATTCGTTATTACGGATTATTAATTCGTTATTACGGATTACTAATTCGTTATAACGGATTATTAATTCGTTATTACGGATTATTTAATTCGTTATTACGGATTATTTAATTCGTTATTACGGATTACTAATTCGTTATAACGGATTATTTAATTCGTTATTACGGATTATTAATTCGTTATTACGGATTACTAATTCGTTATAACGGATTATTAATTCGTTATTACGGATTATTTAATTCGTTATTACGGATTACTAATTCGTTATTACGGATTATTTAATTCGTTATTACGGATTATTAATTCGTTATTACGAATTACTCATACGTTCTGAGTCATTACTCGGCAAGTATGGCACAGGAGTGCAAACGTTGTATGCAAAGATACGCCGCCTAGCGGCGCTATATACACAGGCCCCTGGTCACGTGCTCTCCACGTGTGAGAACATCAGACCTAATTCGTAATAACGAATTAATAATCCGTAATAACGAATTAAATAATCCGTAATAACGAATTAATAATCCGTAATAACGAATTAATAATTCGTAATAACGAATTAATAATCCGTAATAACGAATTAAATAATCCGTAATAACGAATTAATAATCCGTAATAACGAATTAATAATCCGTAATAACGAATTAATAATCCGTAATAACGAATTAAATAATCCGTTATAACGAATTAGTAATCCGTAATAACGAATTAAATAATCCGTAATAACGAATTAATAATCCGTTATAACGAATTAATAATCCGTAATAACGAATTAATAATCCGTTATAACGAATTAATAATCCGTAATAACGAATTACACAATCTGTAACATATATACTTGCAGTGGCGCTAATGGGCTTTCGTAAAAATTAGATCCGCAGCACCAACTTTCTTCCTCAGTGGTCCAAGTGGCATTTGCCGGCACACGCAACAACATTATGCACCTCAGTCTCCATGCTATCAATTGTCCCGATCCCCCTCGCTTTCCGATCCCACGTCTTGTGTCAGATTTGGTCACATTTTTCAAGTCCCGGGCCATTCACAAACATTGACGCACTATATGTAGAAAGGCAATCAGTTTAGTACACCACACCCATAAGTCGGAGATTGTTACTTACATTTTACCCCAGGGGTGGGGATTTTGTCACAGTGCCCACATCTTGGGTGGGGCAGCCGGGGGCGGGGCGAGGGGGGATAATCGAGAGGCGCATATTAATACAGAGAAACATAGGACACTTCTTTAATGGATAAGTCAACTTTTGAAATGAAGTAAAGTTTACTTGAAAATCTTAAATCCGCAACCCTTAACTCAAATCTCAACTTCCAAATCAATTATCAAGCACACAAAAATCGCTAACGCTAGTAGCTCCCTCAGATTTTACCAAAAAAAGAAAGAAAAGAAATCCCTCTCGAATGGGTGCAGGCCAATAAATAGGCCCGAAATTGCCCAAGCCGGCCAATCACGATTTGCATGCCCTCGAACTGACGAACTCTCCATTATTTTGTGGGCCATGAACTAATTGAGGGTTAAAAAAGAAGGGTGGAACACATGCACGACTAGACTGTACTGCAAGCTCGTATTTCTGTGATATTTCTGTACAAAATACAATATTTAGCAATGCAATGGCAGCACAGGCATTATTTTTCAAAAAGGCGATGGGCTACTGGACTACGTAGGGGTGATTACCTTTTGGATGGAATTTTCTCCTAAATGTTGTTGGTTAACTCCCAACAAATTGAACAGAAAATGAAAGATTATGAAATAAGCTTTAATTTGATGCGTGTCTCAAATACCTTTAATGGAGTTGTGGGTATTTTCTCTGAATTTCGGAAGTGGGCGTATTTATTACTTGGGTCTATGGCAGCCACGCCTACTCAAGCGGTACTCGTACTCCCACTTGAAAATGTACGTCTTGAGGGCGCTGTTCGTTACAACGAGCGCGCGGATTATTTGCAAAACTGGAAGCAGAATCAGTTCTCGTTCTCGGAAAAAAAATACGATATTTTTAACAGTTAAAGAAGATCCACTGTACAGAATGGATGAAAGCGACGATGACATATGGGAGTACAAGTCCCTGAAAAGAATGAAAAGATCAGAGAGTATCAGCAGTCAAAATTCATCACAACGACAGCCACCTTTGAAGAAACGACGACGTACTCCCCGATCCTCAACACAGCCCACCGTGTGCAGTGCACGGGGGAAAATGCTGGATTCCCGGCAAGTCGTGAAGTCGGAAAGGGATTCGTCAAACTCGGCACTTTCGACTTGGTCTAGCAGATCAAAAGGTGAAGAGACTCCAAAACGACCAATGTCGCAAATGAAATTTGAGTCATTTTCACCCTCAAGAAGCACTTTGCTGAGTTCTCCTGGTTCCACAACTCCACAATTGGAGAAAAATAAAAGCAACCGAGACGGAGTGGACAAAAAGAGGTCGAAACGTCGGGCAACCAAGTCAAGCTGCAAAGAACTTAAAGATGCAAAGAACACACAGATGAAGCCCAAGTGTTTGGTGAATGGTGTGAAGAAAACAGAAGTGAATGAAACTAGTTTGGAGAGGACTAGGAGAATATCTCATGGGTATTGTCCGTTCTGCCAGATGCCGTTTAGTGCTCTCATCATAGATTCACCAGAACGACATGTGACGGAGTGCCTATCCAAGCCACTCCTTGCCGAAAATGGTATATTCATGGAACTGTATTTGACCACTTGGTGACAAAATATAGGACTTAAATAATTTATCCCTTTATATAGGCTGAGGTCATTTCTGGTCTTATGGCCTGGAAGAACAGAAAAGAAAAGAAAGACTACACTGTACACAATTCACAAAATAACTCAATTGATCAAAACTGTTGATCAAAACTGTTTGGCTATCAATACTCGTAAAGGGTTTTTCCAAAACAGTAGGATAAAGATTGTAGAAAAGAGAATTTTGTTAAGTTACACCATGGAGGTAGCCATGGTTACACATATAACAACTTGATTGTTGAGGAACCTCAGAAGTGATTGCTTTTTCAAATGTAAGTAATAATTTATTAGGATCATGAAAATCGCAGAGCTTGCTGAGCTTGACTTGTGTGGAGTTGTGAGTATTTAACAAGGCCAGCCTAGCAGTCAAAATAAATCAAGTGAATGTTTTTAACAGTTGAGTGCTCCCTACCTTCATAAATGATAAAGCAGGATTGACTGGCTGTGATTGTTATGAAACCTGATATAGCCATGCTTTGACTGTAGGAGATTAATAAGCCTACCACTTGCCCGCTTTTGTCTGTTGATGGAATTTGACTAGTCACTGTGCCTATTGAAATATAATCTGAGTGTTGGTGACTTTCCTGTGTAATATAAAAGTCATTGCAGGGGAACAGGATTGACATTTTCACTGTCTGTGACTGATGAAATGAAAAACTTGTTTTTGAATTTGTAAACAATAACAGATAGTCCACAATCGCCTTGTACACTTACATATTAATTACTCTTCACCAGAGTGTCCTGATGGCATAGCCTGTGATGTGACGATTGAGGGGCACTACAGGAAATTCACACATTGCCTGCTGGCAGAGGCTAGAGCCAGGCTACCAAATGATGCCAGGAGCAAGATGGGTAATGATCATTGATGCGACTTAGTTAAAAATATTGTAACGAAATGGAGGAGAGGAAAGTCTATTGTCATGAAAGGGTACTGAAAGTTGTTTTGAGTCTGATAGTTGGAGTCGATGTCTGTAGTGTAAATTCTGAATCAAACAGGCTGAGTTTGAGTTAATACATTCAAGTTTGTTATATGATGTGCCTTGATGGAGTTTGACAGAAAATAATCTAGCTTTCTTTGTAAGAGAAAAACTCTTATGATTATTAATTAAAATTTACTCTGTTTCTTTCTTACAGAGTCGAAAACACAACATGATCATGAAGTGAGACAAAATGACGAGCAGCCAGAACCACAGTCATCCTCACAGAAGCCGTCAGATTCATCTCCCACGTCTGGCTTCACTAGTCTCAAGACCAGTGTTCTAAATCACGCAGCAACAAATCTACGTCCAAGTCATACAGTGACAAAAGCTGATGGGAAGTGTGTGGTTGAACATATCCCCGTTGCTGCTGTAAGAGAGTCTAGGATGCTAGCCTCATCACAGATTGGGAGTCTGAATTGCACACAAAAGAGCAAACCCAGTGACAGACCCGTTCATAATAACCGAAATGCAACTGTGCAGAAGTCTAAGCTAGTCTCTTTGCAGCTGAATGCGGAGTCTTTGGAGCATAACGATAACGAGGAAAGCCAATGCACTGCCAGTGACGAGGACATATTTGCTCACAGTGAACATCCATATTCAGACTTGTCTGATGTATGTTTGAAGAAAACTACACATGGTGCTTGTGAAGAACAGCCTGCAGATGTTGACAACGATGATGCACTGTCTAGTCTCAGTGAGATGTCAACTTCTATTCTTGAAGACCCTGGACCAGCTTGCCAAGAAGCACATCAACTTACTTCTGCGCCGATGTCACATTGTCCTCAGCCACTTTGCCAGCTCGAAAGCCACCACGCAAACTCGCCAGCCCCAACTCAAAATCAAACCAAAGATCTGCCATCAACTTGCCAAATGAAGACTTCCAATTTCCCGCTGAGTTTAACACCCAAGGGAAACAGACCAGCCCAAAACATGAATCTGGATTTTGATTGCTGCAGCCAGGTTGACATAAGCATCAAGGTCACGCCACGTGGAAAATTTAATGACACGAAACAGCAGTCTGGCAAGCTGTGTAGTACGCAGTCATTCTTCCAGATGAAAGCTAAGAAAGCCCGTCATATACAAGTCATGGTGGAGGAAACTCAAGACAGCGAGAGCTTCAATTCAGACATTGAAGATTCACCTGTCAGTGCTTCTCCCATTCCACCTCCTGCGGAAACAAACATGAAACAGTCACATGCAGCACAGGATCCAGATAAGCGATGCGATGACAGACACAGAGTGAAGGAGAATGGGTATAGTAGAGCAGACGAAAGTAACAGTGACTGTTTCATGGAGAATGACTTGATGCGAAACCACAATCCCACTCAAACGGCAACAACAGTAGACGAAGAAAGCTTATCAACCAAGAAACCCTTTATAAAACAAGAACCCAATCAAAGCCAAGAAAACAACTCTAAGAGAGCAACATCCTCTCAAGGAGGAGCCCTCTCACATTTCATACGTCCGTTGACTAGTGTCTTATCCAACGCCGTGCCTTCCAGCTCCCTCAAGCAATCTTCACTTGCATCCTTCTTCGGTTGGGGAGCCGTGAAGAAAGAAAAACTGTCCCAAGAACCAAAACAGGACACATCTTTCAACACAACTCAGACTGCAGCTGCCATGAACAAATTCCCTCAAAGTCATACCATGAACTCTGACCTCCGGGTCAGCCAAAGGTCGTCTACCAATAATTTCCAGGGTAAATCAAGAAGCGGACGTTGGGGTAATAAGGACATCTCTCAAGATGATGAGAACAACAGACAAACCCAGAGTCAGAATCAGAATCCTGGCAGTTACCAGAGACCGTGTCCTTTTTACAAGAAGATACAAGGCAAGAACTTAATCAACCATTCGGACAAATCAAATGCTCTATTTCTTAAAAAAAATTGATATGAAACTCAAATGTTCAATTTCCTTCTCTTAGATTTAAAAAAAAAAAATCTTCTTGCATGCTTTTGCCCTTTCCCAGCACAGCTACATACTCCCCTGCAAGAGGTACATGTATGTTGTCTGACGTGGCCATAAAATCATTGCTTTGAACAAACAAATGACCATGGGGCATCAAAATCATTCCAAAATTAATCTCTGGTATTATCATTTTGAAAATTATTCATTCAAAATTTCTTTCCCTCGACCCTAAATAGGAACTTCGTTTGTTGTGGATGCTTTTCGCTATGGTGATATCCCAGGATGCACTGCGTATTTCCTGAGCCACTTCCATTACGATCACTATGGAGGCTTGACGAGACACTTCCAACACCTCATCTACTGTAGTAAGGTATGTGTTGAGCCCCCCCCCCCCCCACTTGCCTCTCTCCACCCAGGAGTATGTAAATGGGTACCGGCATTAGCTGGGGAGTAGCCTGTGATGGACTGGCATCCCATCCAGGGGGAATAGGAATATTCTCAGTCATTTCATGCCAAGGAAACTGGAGATAAACACCAGCCTGATTGGCCAAATTGGCTCGTGACGCTGACAGACTTTGCTTTTTTTGTAAACTTGTATTTTGTTGTACAGATCACAGCAAACCTGGTCAAGACAAGGATCAAAGTGGCTGCTAAGTATCTGCGTCCGTTGCCGATGAACGAAGCCTGTGTGGTCAACGGAGTTGAAGTCACGTTACTGGAAGCAAACCAGTAAGTTCAAGCAAATTGAAAAAAAATTTAAAATTCAGGTGTAATCGTAAGGTATGCTCACATGTTTTAGGTTTGCATCGTCAGTAGTCAAGTCTGTCACAACACTTCCTTTCCCAAGTCAAGCCACAAGCTATTCAAATTAAGTGCGCCAAAGTCATTCCTTTATAATTGTTCATCCTGTTAACTAGCGACTGGACCAATGAATACACTTGCAATTTACTTATGGCCAGACACGTGACAGACAAAAACAAAGTTGTTGTAGCGTAGAATGCAAATTGTCCAATAATTTTACTTATTCCAATAAATTCATACAACTTTCCTTTCCTCAATGCATGGTGATGAATACATAAAAAGTTCCAACTTTCATCTCAGATATAAGATTTAAAACTAAGACTTAATGTGTTTACCTTTTCAGTTGCCCAGGAGCAGTTCTGTTTCTGTTTTGTCTGAACGACGGTCGAGTCTTTCTTCACACCGGTGATTTCCGAGCCGACCCTTCCATGGAAGAACTCCCTCAACTTCGCAGCCAGCGTATCGATCAACTCTTCCTGGACACCACGTAAATCTGACCATCTTTACCTCGAACTTAACTTCATCAGTTTTCTCTCTGATTTAAGGCAGACCGTTCTGGGTTTGGCCGTAAACCCCGCCCTCCTTTGGTCTTGTAACCGAGTTACCGTGGTCACCTGACCAAATGTCGTGATCTAATTGGTCGATGTGCTGTTTGATTGACAGGCCAGATGGGTCCATGACAACTATACTTCTGAAATAAAATCTCATGAAAACTCTGTACAGTGTGTCTCAAAAAAAAAGGTAGAAGTCAAACATTTTTTTCCGAGGAAACTATATTTTTTTGTTTTTTTTAAGAAAATAAATTGCCATGAGATGATAGAGTGTTTCTTTACCCTTGACAGGATTTTTGTTTACTCACACGTACGTACTTACGGCAAGGCTTGTACAGACTGTCAATATTTGTTTGGGCTACTTTTCAGTTTATCTGGTACAAATGCCTTTAATTAGATACCAGATAATCTGAAAATCTGCCACTATGGTGCAAATCCCACTCTTGTAATTTTTCTTCAGGTATTTGGATCCACAGTATGATTTCCCAACCCAGTCTGAAGTGATGGAATTTACCGCCCAAGTTGCAGTCAACGCAGTGAGACGCAATGACAGAACACTGCTAGTGTGTGGCACTTACACCATTGGCAAAGAGAAGATATTTATCGGTAATCAATGACTATTGATTATTGTATATCGATTATTAATTTCCTGTTTATTTTGCAGAACTTCACTGTCCAAAGTTGGTTAGTTTACTGTGTACCACGGATGGTATAAATGTTTATCCAATATTACAAAACACAATGTGAAAGTGACGATATAGAGTGAGCCAGCTCTTATGTGATGCTAAGTGAATGCACAAAACTGCGTTGATTCCCACGACATCAACTTGAAAAATTGATAATTGAGTCACTGTTTTTGCCAAAATAAAATGTTGAAAATGTTGAAAACTGGGGGAAAGGCAGATTGCTTAAGGTTGCAGAAGTCAATTTGAGCAATACAAAATATTGTAGAAACAGAGGGTCCTAAAGTACACTTTTACTGTTCCAATGAAACTTGGCTCTGTCTGTAAATTGGCCCATCCTTCCTTTTGTCGGATTTCTCATTTCCCCGTCAAACTCTGCGTCTACCGCCCTCTATCTCTCATCCTCTCTGACAGCCATTGCCAAAGCCCTCGGATGTAAAGTCTTCGTTGCTAAGGACAAGAAGAACATCCTGGACTGCTTGGAGGACAATCGTCTGCAATCCATGCTGACGCTGGATAAGAATGCCTCCAGACTTCATGTAGTTACCATGGCAACACTCACCCACCAAGTAAGACATTTCAATTTGTTATATTCTATTTTAATGGATATTTTATCAGATGGACAAAATCAGGTTGTAGATATTATTTCATATTTTTGTTTTGATTAGGGCTAAACGTCATGGTGCTGCTTACCACAGAATTCTGTGCTAACAGCGCTAGCAGCTAAAATTCTGCGCTTAACCTGTAAAGACAGAATCTTTTTTACAGGATGTATGCGGCGCATAAGCCAAAAATTCCTGGCTAGCGTGAAATATGCTTACTGTAAGCACGGAGTTTCCTGCTACAGTAGGCAGGCGTTTTTCGGAAGTTCAGCACAGCCATGAAATTGCCCCCAGATGGTTAATTAAAAAAGTCGCTATAATATTGTGTTGCATTTTTAGTTGCCTTGTTCATTGAACCTTGAAGTAATTGTTGTTTGTCTTTTGTATTACTTTGTCAGAAGTTGAAGGACTACTTGTCCAAGTTTTCTAGCCGCTACGATGCAGTTGTAGCTTTCAAGCCAACCGGTTGGACTCACAGTGAAAAGAAGACAAACTTACAGGACATCAAGCCAGCCAGGAGCGGCCCGGTATCCATTTATGGTAAACAAAAACAGAATATCAGGGCCCAATGTCATGGTTCTGCTTACCGTTAGCCAAAAAATCCACGTGGCAGAAAATTCCGTGAGTACGGTTAGCAAATTTAACAGGTTGTTGAGATATTTTGGCATTTGCATTTGTTCATCGCGTAATTAAGGATTTCATGCTTACTGGGTTAGCACAGAGTGGTGATTGTAAGCGCAGAATTCTGTGGTTAGCAGAGCCGTGAAATTGGGCCTTGGTCTCAGAAATAAATAACATAAATAAGAAATAAGTTTAAAAAATTTTTTTTAAATAAATAATTCACTGGAGTTTAGGACATAGGTTATACCATTATTTTGCCTGTGCATGGGTTGGAAATTAGGTTTTCTACAGATTTATAACAAAGATTAGTTGGAAGGAAAGTCTTATTCGAAGATTGAGGCAGTCATTTTTGATGATATGAGTACACACACGGCAATGTACGTTTGTTGGGTTTGCAAAAAGTTTGTGGTCTGTTATGAGAGTCAGGTTTGTGCAGTGCAATTTTCCTCACCTTCCACCTTTGTGACGTGAATTTGAATCCCCCAGGTGGACATATAAGTCCCTACATTATTCCATGTGGTTATTGCAGATAATGATTGGGGTTTCCTCTGACCTCGAAAACTGATTATTTCTATATCATCTTCTCTCAGGTTCTCCTCGATGTCAGTACAAGAAGTTGAAAATAATAAAAAGCAATTACCAAATACTGATCGTCAAGATAATGCATTGCAAGCTATTTCTGTGTATTGTTTTGCCGTAGGAGTTCCCTACAGTGAGCACAGCAGTTACAGCGAGCTGAGACGATTCGTTCAATTCATCCGTCCGAATCGCATCATACCGACCGTCAACGTTGGAAGTGCCAAGAGTAGAGACGCCATGAATGAGTACTTCAAGGCGTGGCTGAGCGAAGGATCAGGCTCGTCTCAAGACCCAAGAGCGACTCAAAAACAAGGCAATTCTAGCATCTTAAACTGGATCAAGTGATCACGCCAGTTGAAGAAGAAGATGGGTCTTCGCCTTGGCATTGCAAAAATTGTCAAACACTTACGTATGTGTGAGTAAAACCCTGTTTTGCACACGTAGCATTTCATATTGATGTTGATAGACTGATTTTGCAACCTTGTAAGAAACCATTCTTAATTGAGGTTGAGCAGGTCTTAATATGCGCAATACAAAAAAGATTTTGAGAATTGTCAGATTTACAGTTGTGTTTTGAAACTTGGGTTTTTTATAGTTAGGAAGAAAACCAGGTAAAACATTAAGCTGTGGGGCATTCTGGGGTATTCTGAGACTAGACGATGCTGTTGGGGACGTTGGTGTGGCTGTCCTTCTCCAAGTAGCAGAGAAGGAAATATTGTCAGAATGTTAATGGGTTATCACAATTTGCATGCAGTGGCCTGGAAGGTCCTTATGTTTCGCACTGCTAGTACAACTTTCTACACGTCAAAGCTTCATACTCACTCAATATGTTTTTTTCATCGATGGAAGCAAAATGTGCAGCGCAATTGTGAGCAGAATCAACCTATGATAAATTGGTATTTTGAGGTTTTGATTTTTTGAACACACGGTGCTATCCTGCTGCAAAGTCGAACTTTGTATTTTGTAAGTCATAATATGCAAATAAATCAAAAATGCTAATTTCAGTCAAATCAATTCATTATAATGCAAATGACTGTTTTGCTCAATGTCTTGTTATCGGAATAAATCTAAGAATAACTATATAACTATAACTTGAATTTATACAACTCTGGGAAGTTCCACTTTCTACTCACCCCCTGTGGAAATACAAGTGAATTTCATCATTTGTAAGCAATTTTTACTATTTTCTTTGTACTAAAATACTTATTTTTCTAGTTTAGCTCTAGCTTTAGTAATAGAACTTTTTTTTTCAGCTGTGTACTCCTGTTAATGTTTTGGTCAGAAATTCTCAAAATTTGTATCCATGAATGCAAATTATTTTCAGGGAGCCAACTAAGATCTCTCATTTAGTGTCTTTTTTGCAAAAACACACACATCCCAACTCATAAACGAAATGTCACTGAATGAAATGAATAAATCTACCTCATAAGTTGATTTAATTTTGTTCTGACAGTTATAAGTGCGAATCCTGAAAAGCAGGTTTAATAGGTACATGTTTGATTGAAGCAATACTTAAAATTCATCTGAATTCCCGCAGGAAAACAACACTGTGAGTTTGTTCTTGTTTAGACCATTGGAATGAGATGGAGAAAAATATTCTTATAAAAGAATGCTGACATAACTACATGTACATGTATAATGACGACTTTCTAGAAAGTGAAAAACAAATCTGAAAAGGTTAACACTTGGAGAGTTCCTTGTCAGCTGATAATCAGTCAAAATTTACAAGCACAAAACATTTAACCATCTAAATGTCCTGATTACATTAACAACTTGATTTGCTGTCTTTTAGTTTACGCCCACTGATATCCATGTCAAAAATCGGGGATAGTTCGCTGGCGATTCCGATCTGTACCAAAAAATGAAGCTACATATGCACTGGTTTCCGACCCCTCCAATCGAAAACCACTCCCATTCAATTTTTTTTAAAATAATCGCTTAAAAATATACAACTTTTTTCCCACATAGAAATTTTATATAAAATATATATTGATGCCATTCCTTTTTTTGTGAAAACCAAAACTAATATTTCATTTAGTAAAAAGTGTATATATGTCAATTAAATTAGAATTCTTTTTTTACAAATGTCTTGTTCGTGGAGTGGTAAGATGGCGGACGGTGCCTTCACTTTTAACAGCCAATGCTATCCAGATTTTTATGGAAATCAGTGTTTTAAGCTCAGAAAGCAAGTCATAGTTTAGCCCCTGAAGGAAATCAGGACTGTCATCTTTCCGATCTTATCTCAAATGGGATCAAAATGACTTTTTAACTATTTTTTTGTCAGGAGAGATTCTTAGAAATGATAATTACTTGGTGCTTAATTCAGCTTGTTTTGTTTGTTTAAAGGGAATGTACATCATTGGCTTTTGCTGTAAATGTCAGAAATGAACTATTTGAGGGATTAGTATAATAGATCAAATATTGTTACACTGACAAGTTTGAAGGTTTGTGTTCGAAAATGCTGGAAAACCAAGAAAAAAAAATGTTCAAGTAGTCTGGTTCCCTGACTCCACTAAAATGAAATGAATCAATTTATAGATGCCAGAAAATTGTAAGGTAAGGAAACCAATCTAGGTGGCTTGCACCCATTCATGAACATGTAACCAATAGCAAACAAAATTTGGACTGAAAAAAGATTGTAAATTTTGAGCAGAAGTTGAAAAATAGTTAAGTTTTTCCAACGGTGGTCGGCCGACCACCGTTGGAAATAAATACAAAATACCACTTTTCTTGAAAATGACTTCACACCAGGTACCATAATTTTACAGGATGCTGTAGACTTTCATTTATCAACATCCTAGTAAGGTATTTCGTAAAAATTGGCAGTTTTGTTTTCCGATGTTTGCAATTGTGGTATTTTCCCATTAATAGCAAATATCATACCATATTTTATCTGCTGAGAAATATATCTGTATCATTCATTAAAATAAATAATATGAAACAAAATATATTTCGGTTCAAGAATGTTTACTGTTCAAGGTAACTTAAACTTGGAAATGTGATTTGTTTTCCGATGTTTGCAAATGTTGTATTTGCAAATGTTGTATTTTCCCTTTAATAGTTGTATTTTCCCTTTAATGGCAGTTTTGTTTTCCGATGTTTGCAAATGTTGTATTTTCCCTTTAATAGCAAATCTCATACCATATTTTATCTGCTGAGAAATATATCTTTATCATTCATTAAAATAAATAAGATGAAACAAAATATATTTCGGTTGAAGAATGTTTACTGTTCAAGGTAACTTTAAACTTGGAAATATGATAAGAGAAAGGGGTGTGACATCTCAGCTTTAAAGCTGATTTCAGCTTTTTTTGGTTTTGGATTTCAGCTTTTTCCCCCCTCACTTGCTGTGTACACTTTTTCACCCTTTTCACTCACAACACTGAAGAGATAATTGCCAAATTTAGTTTTGGATATTCTTTGATTATTTTGCCTCAGAATCCTTCAACTTAAGGGAAAATGAATTAACCATATGCCAATATGTAATACAAATATGTGTTTCTTCAGTTCTCGTTTAGCGACCAACTCGAATGGGCTTTGGCATTGTACTGGCAGATGACTAATTTATTTTTTAAAAGAGCCTAAAATTGATAATAATTAATCAAATTGGAATATCCCATGTCAGCTGCTTTCGGCCTTGACAGATGGAAAGCTAAATATAAACTCACTCTGGTCATAATAATTGTCATTGTACCTCCAACCGGATTCATAATAAACAATCACTTGACACGTTTTAACCCCTCTCTGGCCTCAAAGTGACCTCATTGTATGCAAAGCGTTTAAAGGGGCAACATTTATTTAGAGGGATGTCTAAAAACGCATAATTATGAGTTAAATATAAACAATTTTATCAAGTCATACAAAAGTGTTCCCGCCATTGTGTATTCAATTAAATCATGTTGTTTCTGCACTTTCTTTTTGTATTGGGTGTGGTGTCCCTTTTTGTTCCCTGCACCATGACTGAACTGTTGCCGTCATGTTTATGCCAAAGCTAATAAACATATAATCATCTATTGTTTGGGTGATTGCACTTCTCATAGTCACGAATAGGTTCGGTATTCTCTCATTATGGGGTAGAGGTTTCATTTTTCAACATCCCAATCATTCGAAATTGCGTGGTACTTCGGCATAAAAAAAACCCTGGATTGTAATATTTACATACAAAGGCTTGCGTGCTGCATGGCATGCACCCATACACAGTGCTTGCCCGTACCAGCATAGGACATCGCCAGTTCGATAGCCGACCATACCGTGCCATTACAGGATTTCCCAAACATATGACGCAATACAAGACCTTTCGAGCGATGGGCCTTCGAGGAAAAATACCCCCTTTGGATTGGAACCAACCATTTTTATAAACAATAACACGACCCTGCGCGTAATACTTCCCGCTACAGTTTTGTATTTTTCGCCCTGAAAATTAAATGTCCTTTGAGAAAGTCTTTATTAAATAGTATTAGTTATATTATTTGCATGATATTGATAAGGAATTTCTTCAAATTGATAAATCTATAAAATTTACTCGTAATTTTCGGGGGTGATAAATGGTACGGTCCTGGCAAGTGCGGCCGCTGCACGTGATCTAATGAAATCCCAAACCCGTTTCATCCGGTTCGTTCTTGTTACAAGATTTCATTTTAAAGTGACCAAAAACAAATCAATTATAATCTTTTCATAAGAACATTCAAATTTATATTAGCACAGTATGAAAGTAATTTGTTTGATTCTTGTATATAAAACAAAATTGCAAACAAAATTATTCAAAATACAGCTTAAAATTGACAGAAAAGGAGTTTATTATGACTAAAATCTCCTTAACATCTGCGAACCTGACCTATTTTGCATGGAGGTACTGTGGGCCAGCCCCTTACGTACGAAGTCTGTGATTGGTCAATATTTTATGCAATTATTTCTGGGCCCATCCTTGAGATGTAAGTGACAGATCCAAAACAAAAAAATCGAGCCGGTTTTTATGCAAGTCATGTCGATCAGAACAGAACACAGCTGAACTATCTAGAAAACAGTTGACGTGGGTTTTCTGGGGGAAAATTCCTAACACCCGTTCAGGGAAAAAAAAATGATATATTTCTTAAATGTGATCTACAACAGGATACGTCGGCAGCACGAAACACGGATGCAGTGGATTTGCTTTTGACTACATTTGATTCACAACTAAAACATTGGTTTTCTCTGAGGCTCGGACAGTATTTCAAGAAAAGTTCTTCATTAAAATAAGGTAGGCCTTTATATTATGTCATGATGTTTTGACTTTTGTGTTACCATGTGTTACATTTCTTGCATTGTTACACGTTTCCTTTTGTTGAGAATGTTTGGTCTATCTCTTTACTTTATAGGTGTTTTTTTGTTTTTCTGAAAAACTAATTTGAAGGGTTTTCGATTGTTTGAAAATCAAGATGGACATGAATCTTTGCTCGATGCTTCATATTTTTGCATCAGTCGAGAATTGGAATGAATTTAATATTTTTTTTCTTGATTTAAGAATAATTAATAAATTAATTAAATAGGCTAAATAATTACTTCCAAGCTTGAATTAATTACCCCTATGACGCGTACAGGGTTTTTGCCCACATACTCCCCCAAACAAGTTAAATAAACTTATTGAATCTAGGATATATGTATTATTTTCATGCTATATTAATTTCATTATCAATATACAATATAATTAATAATGACCACTTAAAATTGATATTTGTGCGGAGCTCTAAGAGACAAATTTTTTTATTCATTGACATAAAAAGGAAAAGTTTTTAAATAGTATGTATAATCGTTTTTGGCTAAATCATGTCATGCAATGTTATTTGTGACAGTTTTTCAGCTGATTTTTGTTAATCACATGTTTTATCCTATATTAAAAGATCCTACGGTGTCTGATGCCTGTCTGTCTGTCTGTCTGTCTGATGTCTGTCTGTGTGTAAAAGGCCTAAAGAGTGTGCGCAAACACAAAATGCAATGGTTAATGGAGAGGCTTGGTTATTGCGCAGAGGGCCTTAAGTGGTATAATTAAATGCCCAAACTTCACTGTCCTCTGAAGTCACTGTTGGCACGCGCGAACAATTATATATTTGTTATGGTTAAATATTACAACATGATCTTTAAAACATATCGCTATAATACTGAAAACATAACGTTAATTTATCATGAAAATTGTGGCAAAATACCCTTTTAACCATTGATAGCACAAATTTGTACAATTAAAATTTGTATTTTGAAACCTGGCTCAAAAATACGTCAATTGAGGGCACACCGATCATTTTCCGCTAGTAACTATTAATTACGCACAATATATTCAGCAAAGCAATTTCAAGAAATGAGGCCTCAGATGACAGATTGAGTTCAAATTACAGTGACTAGCCCCCAAAACCAAAATCCATTTATGCAATTTATGAAGTGTTTAAAAAAAACACCTTAACACAACATTGATGTGTATTCTATCTTGTAGTCTACGGGATGTGGTTTGACAAATATATTCCACGGTTGTGTACATTACATGTTAATCACGCAACAACCAGGAAACTACAGTGTTAAGACTACATTCATTGTCTGAATAGATTGTGTACAGTATGGCGGGTTTTGAACTGGAAAGTACACTGAACAGACGATCACCTGATGTGCACGCCATGTGATGTCCTTGAAGTTTGTTTGTGTTTTCTCTTTAGGCCAAAAAAAAAGTCTCCGGTTTCTGGTATGCGCGCGCGTCGCCGTAGCCATGCGCGTCGGCAAAATGAAAAAGTTTTTTTTTAATAAAAGATGATAGTCTCAAAACCGCCAAACTCACTGGTTTGACTGGAATCCTGCTGCTGCACAATTTTAACGTGTTTTTAGATTGGGTTATGGTCGAGAATAAGCTTTATGTGGCCTCTCTGGACTCCCATATATTTGCACTAAGTTTAGTTGGGCACCATTTGCAGTCATCAGCCGACATTTGAAGCAAAAAAATCAGGTAAAAAAAAAAAGCCACGTCGCCGCACCACTTTTTGGGCAAGCTCCATACCAGAGACTTTTTTTGTGTGGCCTTATTTACAGGGTGTGCCAACCTCACATACTCATAACCCTGTATCCCTCTTATGGGTGGTGAAACATTCTCTCTTTTTTTTGGGGGGGGGGGTTAAAAAAAAAACAACTTTGCCTTTTAGTCACATCAGCTTTTAGTTGAAATTAAGGTGAAATTTGGTTATTATTCAACCAGCAAGGGTTCATGGTTAGGGTTAAAGTACAATGCATTTTCTAGAAATGCATTTCGGTTTGTGGTCACACTCAGATAGGCTCTGGTTTATGGATAAAAAATGCAACAATACAAAGATGTTAATCAGTGGTCACAGAGTATTGTATGTAAACAAAGTATATATAGCATTATGTAAATTGTAATCAAAAGTAAACAATAGCATTTTGTGTTTAAGCTTAAGTTGGATAGTCCATTGTGATATTCCGATAATTATTTTATTTGAGGTCCATGAATAACCATTTTCTTGAGGCATCACAACTGTGGCTAATGCTGCATGAAATTACCACGGCGATGAGCCATTGTTGCTTTGTTGACAATCCTTCACGCTAGCAATGGGCGGACCCCCTGACTGTCAGAAACGTGAGTGTCCTTGCAGTGAACTCTAGACTTGACCCAGTCCACCAGGCATTGCAATCCCCAGGGTAATATGAAACTTCTGTGTATTATTTCACCATGGCCTTGGGTCATAAATGGAATGTTTCTTGCAAAGTACATGTACATCACGTATGTACATATAGTTGTACACATACAAACTCCTTTTTGTTTGAAATTTACTATAATTTAGAACAAGGAAATATTATTACTCAGTAATTAATTCCACACATTTAGCACAGACACGTTTAACTGCAGGAAAAATGTCTACATCCTGTACGTGTTACATGTGAATTTCTGAACCATATGGTAAATGGTATACAGACATGACAGCAAATAAATGTTCAGTTGACAACTTGACATATTGTGTTTGTTTGTTTATTGTGTTTGTTGGGCTGTTTGTTTGTTTGTTTTGTCTACTTTATGGCTGATTTCATGATGTCTATATCCGTGTGTCTTTGTTGCACACTAATCGTGCAAGTTGCATGCAGTGTCATGAGACTGCACACTTTGAGGAAGTCCCTAACAAGTACTATTTCACTTTCGGGGAAAAGGGCGCGGGTACGGGTATGTAAAACAGCAGTGTCCTTTTATGATCTTTCATTAAATTATGAAACATGTAATCAAAGTAAGAGTAGAATACATGTCATTTCCTCGCCTCAAGCTTTACCGAGCTTCTTTTGCACAATATGATTTTACAGGCAATATATTGCTTTAAATCAAATATTGCTTTACAAAATCAAAAAAGCTCAATTAGAAACGAATTTTTCATGAAGGTTGTAAGCATTTCAGCTAGATTTGGATTGGTAAATCTCCACTGGTTATAACATTCTGCTCATTAGCATCCCTATAACATGGGCCCTGGTGCATTATGTAAGCTCAGACTAGCCTGGGTACACAGAAATGTACAACTGTACATGTACATAATAGAGTGTTCTCTGTTAGTCTGTAGGTTGGTCATTGGAGGGAGTTGGTTGGGGAAATTGGATGGACTCCAGGCTACAGAGTTTCCTGGTACTCGGGACAGCTGACTCATAACCTCCAGTACAGGGCCAGGCTGCATAAACATGTAGGAACCGTCTGTGAAATAACTACATGTATTTGCTGTGTGTCTGAGAATATAATCACACAATGGAACTGCTTATTTTCGGTTGAGGGGTCTGACCAATGACCACGGTCATAAAACTGAGAATGTTGCATAAATCTAAATTATTTGGCCCCCCCTAATCATATGAATGAGTTGAGATTGAGAAGCAGTATTAAGTTAGCAGAATACTTCACATATGATTGAAAAAAAAATTAACCATTTTCTAGCCCCTGCCCACTTCCTTTTTCTCGCCTGTCTCCCTTTAAAAAAAATTAATTGAAATTTTTTTTAATTCATAGAATTGCTATATGTTTTGCACATTGTTTCCTTATTTGGGTGAGTAGTGGTCCTCGCAAAGAAATTACTCGCGAGTAGTCTAGTACTCGTGAATTGTTAACCACATTCCCATATTAAGCAGAAAAATGACATACGTTAGTTATGACAGGAACTAAACTACAACCATATCGTGCAAGTCACACCATATTCATCAGCACTGAGATATCCTTACTGTGCAACGTTTTGAGTCATTTATTTGAATTTTTTTGGGACAAATGGAATCCTAGGGAGAGAGAGGTGGAGGGAGTTTGCAGGGGACGTATTAAGACGTGAACCCTAAACCCTAAATTGCTACTCGTGAGTACCTGCTTCTACTCGCGCCAGGACGAGTACTCGAGCAGATGAAAAACCACAAGAAGAACAAACTACTCCTGAGTACTTGAGTAATCAAGTATCTAGTCGCACAGCGGTATAATGCTAAGCAATAATGGTGTCTGCATGCTTAGCTGCTGCATGAAATTATCCCAGCTCACGAGTGCAATTTAATTGTACCAGCAAACAAGCAACCTAGATTCTGGGTGACCCCGAGAAAACCTTGGGCATAAAAACAGCTGGCAAGCTGCCCTGTGAATGTGTGTGGGCGCCAGGCATAGGGATCACGTATTGCCTGGTGGAGTATGTGCATGTGCCTATGCCATATTAATCATGTGACAGGTGGATATATTTATGCAGGTATGGGATATATGACATCATCCGATAATGGTATCAAGTATTTCAATTGGGTGGCATGAATTGACATTTTTTTGTAATTGATGTCAAATAGTTGATCGTTTCCTTAGAAAAAAAAAGTTGTCACACTGTTTTAGTTTATTGAGTTATAGTGCCGATGTACATTCATGTTTGTAAGTTATTATAAAAACCCCTGAAGTATTTTACAGAAGATGCAATACAATCTTTGATAACTAGTATGATTAATATTTATCAGCGTATAAACATGTATTCTGCATGCTTTGAAACATCTGATGTCTTAGGCCAAAAAAAAAATAAGTCGGTCTCTGGTCAGCGCGCACGTCGATTTTAATCATGTGCGTCGATCTTTTTTTTTCCAAAATGTTCCGCGGCAGCTCCAACAGCGCCCTCTATTGCCGCACCTCCTCAATTTTTTTTACCAAAGAGCACAAAGGAATGGGAAATTGCACCAAGGCAAATTATGGAGGACACCAATGTACATGAGGACACCAAAAAAGCAAAATAGTACCCCACCTTGTCTGTACAATCCAAGCTTGAAGAAAAAAAAAAAAAAGCAAAAAAAAAAAAAGACGCGTCCCCGCATCAATTCCGGAACTTTGGTCTGACCAGAGACCAAATATTTTTTTTTTTGGCCTTATATAAAAATATAAATATTTTTTTTCTGTTAAGCGGTGGAATGTTTCATAATGTGTTTCAAGGCCATTTGGTAGGTTTCACTTTCTGAATATAAATTACATACATGTACAATGTACATGTACAATGTGGCTGGTTAAAATGAAAGAAGTACTGCTAAGGCATTCGTGCCATATCTTGCCAAAGCAATACAAAAATATAATATTACTCATAACAATTTGTTTATTAAACTACTTCCTGTGTTTTGTCAGCACAAATTGACATGGAATTTAATTTTAAGTAGTGGAGCTTATTTTAAAATTCTTGTTGTGTACATTCCAGGAAATATCTTTTATCTGAGGTAATAAAATAAAAATAAAAAGGCCAATTCATGCATTTGAATTTTTATTGAATTTTTAATTTGATATTTATTGTGATAAATATTCATGTAAATATAGCTGTGGAGTAATTTTTATAAAGCCTTTGAGTATGTACGAAAGGTGCTGTAAAAAAAAATATGTACAAAATGTACATGCATGTGTTTGCAAAATGGTGCAACATAGGTTTTGGGGATAAGGGCGTAGGCTGAACATCCATTGTCATGCAGCCCTGAATACCTGGGAAAGATTATTTTCTGTGAAGTGACTGCATAGCAGACAAAATCACCTGACGGCTCTATTGTTGATTGTGTATGCTGCAGTAACCTGGCAATTGTTACCTGGTTTAGCCTCATGAATAAGTCATAAACACAAATATGTACGTGTTCATTATTCACCAAGGTTGCAATTTGTATACAGCCTGAAGTGAACTGTGCACACACCCCCTCATGAATTATTCACGCAGAAGATTCCATTCTTCCAAGAGGTTGAATATTGACTGATGTCACTGAACTGTGGAATTTGCCGGGCAGTTTGCCAAATCCACTGATTGTCAGGACAATCTTGGGAATGGAGGGGCATGTGCAAGGTGCAACAAACTTGTCAACAATTTTTTTCCAGGTGTTGTGCAATACGACTGAAGAAAATCCATGTGAATGCAACAAAAACATTTTTTTTGGTGGTTATTAGCAAAAAGATTTCCTGAATGACTTCGACATTCATGACAGTAACTTGGGGGAAGGGGGAGGTGCCATATTTGTTATTTTCATAATTTTTTTTTTTTTTTTTTGTCTTTTTCCCCGCAGAATCGTGAATCCAAGTACAAACCACACCAGTGGCGTGCATTTTTCATCATAAAAGACCTTGCCCTTTGGACAAGCCGTGTTACACAATCACAGGTCAACCATTAATTGTTGTCAAACAATTAAACAGGTCAGTCTCTCAAAGTTCAGCTATATATATATCATTTCCTGGTTTGTGTCCATAAGTTCATGACTCACAAAAAAAAAAAGGCGGGTCAACATTGAGATTAACTGATTATTTTCCATTATTTGTTTGATTGAAAATTATTCAGCTCTAAAAAAAAAAATAAATAAACGCTCATTGATGTCTGTATCAAGAGTTTTGTGTTAACGTCTAAACGCAAAAACTAGATTTTATATATTATTATTGAGAAATGTAAAAGGGAGTGTGTGATTAAACGTTATGTAGAATATGAAGAAAAATAAACTGTTGATTTTAATTTTGAAAAGAGATACTACACTCAAGACCCTGTTACCATGGTTATTTGCTACAACCTATTGCAGATGAAAGCAGAATTTTCCAAAGAAGGAGTCAAATTACATTTTAACTGGATCGAGTTAGCCAAGCACTAATTTCTAGAATTTTGTTTGTTATAGGTAGACTTTTAGTAATAGTTATAACCTGTCCCTAACGAGTGACTTCTGTAGTTGAACAAACACTGACCGACAGCTGTTACCAAATCAAGCAAAAAAAAAAATCATTGCCTAGATCAGCATGATGCTACTACATGCATCATAATACAATCTTGTTAGATTCTGCGTTCAGGTTTTTATCTGTTCTTTGCTATTGCACGCTACAGGACCTGAGTTGTAGTGTGGGTGACGAGGCAAGGCCCTTGACATGGAATGGTGTAATGCAACCATTTGTGTCAGAGGCTTCCATCTTCATCCAAAACATCTCCAGAGATTCACCCAAGTAGAAGAGTAAACAGAAGAAACTCACAGACACTCAGCAGCTGGATACCGTCCAACCATTGGTCTAGGATCCACAAGGCTGCTGTGTTGCTGTGACGATTGTAGTGACCAACAGGACAAATGTTTATGGTTTGTGTTTCTTCAGGTCTTATGATCTTTACAAGTGCTTGGCTACATGCAGTGTTTGATCTGCCTACATTTTTTTGCCAGCACTTTGCCCACCAATTGTTAAAAAATGCATAATTTTGACATAGATTAACTACAATTGCTGGAAAGCAGTGTGATAAGTAATAGCCTTGTGTTCTTAAATCCACAGTCGGCCACCAGGATGGATTTGTCGTTCGGCAATTTTGCTGGGCCGGGGTCGAGCTCCGATCGTGCTCTGTACTCTCCAGATCTGTCTACATACACCGGCAGTCCGCAGTCAACGTTCATGTATGAGCAAGACGAGGGGCTTGACCGGGGTAAAAACATGGACAGTGTCTTTGAGTTTCCCCGGCCGATGGAGATTAGTGATCTAGGAGGTGAGCTCAACACCAGTTTCTGGAGTGAGGGGTCGCTGTTGGAGACGTCCTTCGTAGACAGCGGCAAGGCTTCCTTGTGGGACTTCTCTGGGTTTGATGACATCTCCAGTCCCTTACAACACCCAGAGGATGACTTGAGCTACTCGCCGACCTTAGCTGAGCTCAACAACGACGACTCGCAGAGTTTCGATGCCATGCTGAGCTCACATAACGCTTGCATCAGTTCGGTCGCTTCTAAGAAGAAGTCGGAGGGGCATAGTAACTTAACAGGTAACCCTGTCAAGGCAGAGTGCAGTATGGCTGGTCCAGCTGCCGATGTCGTGTCGGATGCCAGGAGAGAATCGGGGAGAGCCTCCCCTGTGCATGAAACTCTGATGTCGCCCGATTGCCCGTCCGTTAAACCCTCCGCCCCGCTGTCCACCAAGCTAGGAGCTCGACCTCACAGAGAGAAGTCATCCAAATCCACCGATAGACTCACTCTCAAGACAGCCCCCACACATCACCATCCAAGCAAGCTGAGAAAGCTCATGAGTCATCAAAGCTTTCATCCCAGCATGTTAGAGCCGAGAGGGGACCAAAAGAGAGGCAAAGACCAGAAATGGCACGAGATTCAATCCTTCATTCATGAGGATGGGACCGACTCACGGGCTAGTGGTAGGATGGCAGCAGCTCGCAGAACCAGCTCATCACCTGAGAGAAAGATACTCATTGTCAAGGTATGGTTACTGGGACAAAGTTCATGGAGCTGTTAAAGCACAGGAAATATTTGCTTAGCATTTTGCCTGAGTGGTTCTGAAATAACTCTTACTATTAAGCACGTAACTTGGCTAAGCAATAAGTTTCTGGCAATACCAAAAAACTACGATTTTTCAATGATCCATGAAATGAAAAGAGGACAAATAAGTTACAGTTTAAGTAAATTTCAATTTCAGAATTCTCTAAATTCCACCAATTCTGCACAAATTTTGCCATAAACACCTAAATTGACCCTCAAACTGCTACACCATCGAGTCATAAATTCCTGTCTTGTTCATTTCCTGCTTGAATCATGCAGTACTTCCTTCATTCCAGCAGTCTGAAATTCACACGGCGGGAACTTTTATTTTTTTTAGTAATTTTCCTGCAAAGCGAGGTCAGGGTCACTTTGCTAATTTGCTTATGGGCAGTCATGGAGGGCTGTGATTGGCTGAGATACATGTGCTATAGCTGGGGAGGGGGGGGGGGGAGGGCGGGCTTGCTCTCCATTAAATTCCAGTGTCTCAAAAGTGTCCTTCTGACATTACTGCATTTACATACATGTACGTGTGTGTAATTGTGCTCAGTGGACCAAAAGGGCCAGGCTTGCCCTGCCTGACTTAGTCACCGACTGACTGACTGAGTCACAGAGTAAAATAATGCCCTAAACTGACACTTCTAGGCCCAGCTCAACTAGCCAATCATAGTCCCGGAGTGGAAGTGCCTCTGACATTTTTACCTAAAATTATAGGTATAAAGAAAAAGTATACACGTTTTTGAACATAATTCACAATTTGGAAAAGAAATATCAAATCAGGCAATTGCATGACTTGCATCCCTGCTAGTTTTGTCATATTTGTATTGTCTGTTTGCTCTTAGGAGGAGTTTGACACTTCCAGAGCGTTCACCAGTGGGGCGACAGATGGCTACGACTCCCATGACGAAGGCTTGGGTAGCGAGCATGAGGATCAGGAAGATGAAGAGAATGATGACATCATGCAGGAGGGGGAGGGGCTTAGTGATGTCGAGGAGGAGGAGGAAGATGACGACGACGCATGCAGTGACATGTCAGAGGACCATGGTAAGAACAGTCAAGTAAACTTTCACATCGTAAGTTCATGTGACCACTCAGTGAGAGCTCCAGTGTGTTCTTCTACATGGTGCTTGTGTTCTTGGGCAAGACACTTTACTACAATTGCCTCTCTCCAGCAAGTATGGGTATAGCCACTAGATTGCATGATCTCAAGCTTGTTGCAAAAAAGTGGTCTCATGGCCTGATGAACAGGGGTCACAATAGCGAAGCACTTTGAAAATTTGTATTTAAAGCACTATAAACAACATAGAGGGCACATCTATACATGAGTTCCATACCCAAGAATGATAATTGCATTTTCACAGTTCGTCATTTTTTGGTCAATCATACATGTAGTGTTATCTACATATGGCTGAACGCTGCCTATCTCCATCTGTTTTCGACTTCATGAATCTGCAGAACTGCTCAAGAATGCACAGCTGCACTGATACACAGCGCATGAGACTTTGCAGGAAAACACAAACCCATAGTCAACTTGAGATAATGGAGATCATGTATACATGATTTATACATGTATAAAAAAAAAATTGGACAGTTATTTTGTCATCACTTGTAAGGTTGTAAAATGATTACCATAATATTTTATGCTAATCAAATGACGATTTTTAATACATTTGTTGTCTAACACTTGTCAGATAACAAAGTCTTCATTTTCTTGGAGTCTGACTTGCGAAACGCTGTATCATTAAGACTAAGACATTTGAGTAATTACCATTGTGTAGTTAATGGTAATTTTTCTTTAGTGCTAAATCAAAAATTATGAAAATACACTCAGGATTTAAGCATTTGAATTGTCAAATGCTCGTAAATATTTCTTTGATTTTGCTGAAAGCTTCAAGAAGATGACTAAATCCTTCCGTCCATTTCTTGCGGATCATTCCTCACTTCACAGGTGTGGCCACCACTTCCAGCACCGCCCGGGGCCTGTTTCCTCCAAAGGTCAAATCTCGTCGGAGCGAGTACGACGACCTGACCCCTAACCCTAAGAGACTCTTGTTGATCGGCAACGAGCTGCATAAACTCAACAAGGTCATCAGTGGTATGATTCCTGTCAGCGCCCTGCCGCCTAACGCCAGGAATCGATCCAGGAAGGAGAAGAACAAACTCGCATCAAGGTAAAAATATTCCTTCCCTCTCGCAAAATCAAAGTAAAATTAGACGAGTTAATCCTTTAAGAGGATTTATAAGTTTACTCCACAAACTGTCAGATATCTCTGACATTTCAGACTTAACGAGACTATACTTGCCTAATCAGAACAGATCCTTAAGGACCTTATGATATTCTATGACTCAGTCAGTTGGCCACTCAGTTGGTCAGTGACTAACATGACTATTTTGACTTGGGAGATAACATTCTGTTCTCAGCAGTCACTGTTCCATATAGCTAAAAACCATCTGAAATATCCAAAATCATTTTTGCTCATCTTCTGTCATTCCTTATATTTTGTTTTGTTACAGAGCTTGCCGTCTGAAGAAGAAAGCTCAACACGAGGCCAACAAAGTCAAGCTGTATGGCTTGGAGAAGGAACGCGGTTAGTTCTTGTTTATTATAAACTGTACTATTTTGTTATTGAAAACCTTCCTGAATTCTTAAAAATCCAGCACAATGACATCTTTGTACTTATAAACTTTCAAAGGGCTTCCAACCCCATGGAAAGTAATAGTGACTGGGCTCTGACTTCCTCTATCCTACAAAATGCTAAAAAAAAATCTCTTTCTTGATTTTTAAGAATCTGGAGGATAGCTTCAAGATGCATTTCCCGTGCTATTTTCGAGTTTCATACCGAAAAATAGATTCATTTTCTAAATTGCTACTTTTCTAACGATACAAAAGTTTTTAACTTTTGAATGAGACATCGATATAAAAAAATCGGCCCATGTTATCTCCCTTCTTCTTTGCTGAAAAACAGCTAGAGAAAAGATCTTGTTTTTTTTTCAATAAAGAAGAAAAAAAGCTATTCCCCAAAATTCCCCAACTCTGCCCACACCTAGCCCCATAAAAAAAATATTTCATTAAATTTTTCTGTGTCTAAGGTTCTGGTTAAAACACTCTAGCATAAATAAAAATAAAATAAAAAATAAGAACAAAATACAAGTCATTTTCTTACATATATGTTAAATAAATGATTTTGAAGAACTTACTAAGCTTATTCTTGGAGGAAATTTACAATATCGGTGAAGAGAAAATAAGAAGAAAAATTCAGGATGAGATGATGTCCATGTATAAATTTAAAAGAAATAAAGACTTGGGAAACTCTAACAGATCTTTTCACTTTTAAATGGGTAGAAAGATTCTAAACGTCTGGATTTTGATATTTTTTTTATGACAGATCGGTTGATGCAGGTGATCAAAGCAATCCGGAGTGAAGTAATCGTTTATCTAAACCAACAACCCAAGGAATCACCGTGTCTCTCGGACAAACTCAACGCTCTCATCAAAAGCATACTCGGTAAGAATAAAAATAACCTGTTAGCAGATGTGCATGTAAAAATGTTCAACTGTGCGTTTTGAATTTTCACAGGAGAACGAATGATTACTTTTGGAGATATAACTCTGTGGATGGCTGTCCATTTGCAGATGACTCTTGTATTGTTACAAATTACCAGTATATTGAGATGTCAGTACAAAAAACCTGTTACAATACCAAAAACATGAAGCAAGAACCTACAGAAAAGCTGATGTTTCTGTAAAGTGAAACAAAAGATTTACTTCAGACTCTCTGAATAGAATTATTACTGGTCGTGGCAACTGAGTTTGTGAATTTGAAATACAATTCTAAATCCTTACGATCAGCTGGAATCCTTTCAAGAGATGCAGTCTGTATACTTTGCCCTGGCCACTTGCCAAATCTGTGGCGATGCTGGGAAAACAAACGCAAAAATCTTTTAAACATGTAGAGCGCTTCGAGTGTTGATTAGACTTGCTGTTGGGCAGTGCAAATGTCAACGGCTTTAAGCTAATGCAAATTTTAGTCGTAATGATTTAAATTAAAATTCAGGGTGCTACTCATGGATAAAATATCAACAGAAACAGATAATTTATGAGGAAAACAGCAGAGCTTTGTCTATTTGTACCAAGAGAATTTGCTCAAAATATTTAAAAGTTTGAGGTTGTTATCCAATTGGAAGCATGAATTTGCTTTTGTCTAATGACTACATGTAGATGAAAACTCCCTCTTCTGTATTTTCAGAATTACGTGAACTACCTTGAGTTCTTCTTTTTACAATTACACAAAACAAACAAGAAGGCAGACATACAGCTTGGGTCAATAAAAATGTAGCAGTCAATCCATAAATATTGAAAATACTAGAACTCTCTTTTTGCAAAACTTATCCGTAGAGTCTGAAGGTGCAATAAGTACTCTACACAATGGTCTTGATCCCATCTCATTTGGACACCCCAGTCCAGAGATACAGCTACTTAAATGAAAGGACGTGAATTCGAAGTTAGGCCACTTTTATTTATTATCTGGTATTAATGAAAGGCATTCACATATCAAGGAGGGATGTGAATGCCGTTCATTAGATACCAGATAATCTGAATTTTTTCGCCCAAGCAGATTTTGACAGTCTTTACAAGCTTTGCCGTAACAAAAGGTCCAAATCACACAGAACAAAAATCCTGTTATGGGTAAACAAACGCCCTATCATCTCATTGTAAATGTTTGCAAAAAAAAATATATTCCTCAGAAAAAAATGTTGTTTGACTCATTCTTTTGAGACATGCTGTAGTATAGCCTCTGCAAGCCAATTACATGCAGCTGGGTAGCACTAAAATATATGAGTAACGTGCTGAGCAAAAAAACGGTTTACCAGTCAAATTCCCATTTGATGTGTACTGCATTTGACTGGTTCGCAGCCGATTTCGGCTGAGCACGTAACATTTCTAAGCACTATTTGCGGCTTAAAATCGCCATGAATTTGTGCTTAGATTTGAGGCATAAAAAACACCCCAAAAAACCTAGCAATAAGAACAATACTTAATAAGAAGAATACAATTGTACATCTGTTTACGCTTGTGTGTGCAGGTCAGATGGTGGCCAATCACACGAAGGAGTTTGTGAGTGGCGTCTTGGAGAAAGCGGCCACTGGGAGCAAGGCGAGCGGAGGACTGAACTTCTTGACCAATCACGATTGAGACGAGATGAATATGGAGATGGAAATCCAAGGATGCTGAACAAAAGATCGGAAGCCTGGTTCTGAAGATTCTTCAGGCTAGGAAGTTGTACCTTAAGTTTCATATTTCATTCTGATAGTTATGTATACAGCATTTGTTACTCTTTTGTTTTGGGTTGGAGGGGGAGGAGGCAATTCAATCATCCACGGTCGGCCCCCCCCCCCCCCCACCCATTCTGACAAAAAAATATGCAATTTTTTCATTTTTCCAAAATTCTTACAGATATTGCAGAGTCAACTTGTTATCAACTTCTTAAGACAAAGAAAATACAGCCCTAAAAAAAATGACTTAGAATGCCAGAATCAAAACAGTGGCAGCAACAAAATGTAAGTATCGGTGTGATAAATTGATAATAATTCCACAGCAGAATTGCCCCATATGTTACTTTATATTTTTAGCCATTTTCCATTCAGTTCATATTTAAAAAAAAAAAAAAAAGGGGGGGGGGGCGGGGGATATTTACTTGTGTTACGACTGTAGGGATACTCAAATAATGTTTCTACATGTACATGTACAGCATAGCCTTAATGTCGAGCATGTGGTTGTCTTAAGATTAACACAATCTTGTATAAGTTGTACCAGAGACATTTTTGTTCATGTAAATAAGACTTGTGTATATAGAATGTTCCTCTGCATATTTTGTATTCTACATCTTTTCCCTTAATCCAATCTCTATTTATGAATAACTACATTTTTTTTGTGTTCACATGGAACACGTTTCCTGGGTATCACACTTAAACTAGTGTTTATTTAGTTTTAATGGATGTGGCATCTTTTTGCCTTCACATGTTTTGATGTATCTCTTCCTCACTTGTTGGGTGTGTTGCTTGTAAATATGTAAATAATAACAAAGTTGTATTTATAGAGGATATCAAGCTAATATATATAAGGAATGTTATATAATGCTACAAGTGAAAAAAAAAGCTGTACAGATGTATACACCGTTACTCATAGAAAGGTCCGGAGGACATATATTGGAAACAAAGAAGATTTCTCGGTAGTTAGAATGCTCACTTTGCGACTAATTTTATATGTATTTGCAATCTTTATATATCGGAGGATATCTATATGATACACAGAACATCTAATAAATCCTGCCCAAAATTAGTTTCTTAGAAATGAAATGAATCCAGTTTGTGTTTTATGGTAGTTCTTAATGTTTCAGTAAGATTGCTGACAAAAAATTAATGATTTTTCTCTCAAGTCAATAAAAATAAGCGTTCTTGAAAATAAAAGTGGCAGTTTATTGTCTAGAAGTTTAAAAGCTTTTTAAGTAAAATGACGAGTATGTAATTGGATTTAAAAACAAAATGAACAGGGTTTGCCAGCATTAATAAATTGAAAAGAAAAAAAAATGGAATATTTTCCATGTATTCAGGAAAGACATTCCCATGCATTTCAAACACTTCAGTACTGGGTGCAAATTCAAAAAAAATCGACAGTTTTAAAATATGTTTTAAAAATTCTCCTCAAAACGGTCCTTGAGATGGATGCGGTTTTAAGTGCCTCAACTATTATTTCTGTAAAAAAAAATATTGAAAAATTACAAATAAAAAAAAATGAACATGGAAAACATTTTCTTCTATTCTATATATTATGTAAATTGCACAAGATGGCTGACCAATGAAAATTCATTTATTTATTTATTTTGATTATTTGCTGTTTGTGCCTGATGTGTTTCTGTTTGTGAAATTAAAAGTCATTGTGTAGATGCCATGTTGTTAACTTTTAAATTCTCACAAAACGTTATGACTAAGAAGATATTTATGATTGTACAGGTTCTTCATTTTTTTGTTTGTAAGCAAGAAACAAGTTTTATTTTTGGAGCAGAATTTGCAATAGATGGTAATTTCACGTGTACAGATACAGTATTTGAATAATCCCGACTGTTTGTGTGTGCATTTCCTATAGGCCTTCCAACTTGTTAAATGTTTGCCTTATATGGCTTACACAACAAAACCATAACAAATAAATACATTTGTAAATATAAATTAAGATTTTACATTGTGCAAGGAACAACGTAAGCAGAATTAAAAAACAAAAAGTTGTATGAGGAAAGTTAATTTGACAAAGTGATTTTGACCAGTTTTCTTTTAAAATTTAGAAAATTAATTAAGTCATCATTAAGTAAGTCTGAATGTTTTCTTTCTTTGTCAGTATTTTCTTTTTTATGATAGCTGATACTGAAACATGTATGAATCTTGGATCTCTAAAGTAGAGTTTCTGGATTCGTTGTGGAGGGGTATTTTACTCTCTATTTTACGAGAATTTTGGGAATTAAGTTAAAGTTAAAAATGAAAATCCAGTGTGTGACTCCAACCTTAAGGTATTTCTTGATTATTATTCTTATTTTATTTAATTATTTTAGTTAGAAAATAGATTGCTTGCAGAAACTGGTAGTTCTTTTGGGAGAAAAAAAAATCCTCGGAGTGCCATTTTTTTTCTTCAATTTAATTTTTTGTTGGTGCATTCCAGAAACAATTCATCTGACCATAGAGCTAGGATCCACAGGTTATTATTATTGATGGGATAAGGTGTTAATCCGAATATAACTTTTGGGGATGTTCTTTATATGTAGTCATTATATTTTTAAAAATATCTATAAATATGAAACATTAGCTCAGGACCGCATTGGTGTAGATTGAAGAATGTTGTATTTACTGCACGTGTAGAAGGAAAGAAAAATATTTGATTTGAAGCTTACGAGGCTTATTGTAATATAAACATTCTGTATGGTTGAAATTACTTACGTTGTAAATAAGAATCAATTTTCAGTTAATGTTAATTAAGTGTCAGTACGGTGTAAAAAATCAATATATCTACACTCATTTCAAAGGAAGTATTTTTGTACTGATATGCAAAAAACGGAGATAATAAATAAAATGCACTTCTAATGCAAATATTTTTAAAATCAAAACTTGTGCGGTATATATTCATTCATTTTTCCTTCATCTTGTTCACTTTTTTGAAGTTTTTTTGTTGTTGAAACATTTCCATTTGCAGCGATAGAGAATGACGTTAAACAGGCAACAGTGTGTGATATATTTGTATTTTTTTGCACTGAACTGACAAAAAACCTATAAATATAAATTTAAACAACTATATAAACAGCTTGACTTCGACGTTAAAATGTATATGCGTACGTGGATTATGTTAAAAAAAGAAAAAAGAAGAAGAAGAAACAGTTGAATAAAATCTGTTTCACCGAACTACAAAACGAAACCAAAATGTGCTTATTATTCTGTTTTTATGAGTAAAATGTTCCGGTGTCATTTGGTTTTTGCTGAAGAAGCTGAAGGATGTTGAATATTTAAGCAAGGTGAATTAGCTCTGTCCGAATTCCCAAGTAAAATATTGGGCTATAACATTCATGCGCTAAGGTGTAGCGACTGCGATTGTTTGTGATGGGATCTCACGAAATCTCTTCGAAGATTTCATGATAAAATTCCAAAAATATTGGATAAGTACTCTAGGGACAGTCTATGGAATATCCCCTTGTGCAAGGGGTCTATGATATGCAAGCAGATTTGGCGATTAATTATGCAAAACAAGACTGCGTCTTGACCTCAAGATTCTGACCATTCACCGGGCGCCTTCTATCGGGTCTTCCATAACCCGTTGTCTTACAAAAACATGGCATCCAAATTGACCAATCCACAGCTTAGTCCACATTTCTGATTGAAATGATGTCAGTCTCTAGGACCACTCTGACTGGCTGGCGCACGGGTCGCATAAAATTTACATGCTATCATATGTCAAACGTCCAACTGTGGCTATGCCCACATGAACGTCTGCTCCTTGGACTTCTTTAGGGATAGCATATGTAAATATCTGTCAATCGGTGAAAGTAGCAATGGACAAGTGTCATATCTGATGTTAGTGCCTTCCTGGATCCCTCCAGTGTTTGTGTGCAGATGTGTTTACTCATCACTTCACGACTTCTTTACTACTCAGTTAACCGCAGCTGGGCAATCATCAGCCGAGTTGGTCAGTTGTCGGTTCCAGTGTCCCTCTTGAGCACTTCCACAAAAGAGGTTTTCTGACCAGCTTGCTGTTTGTTGTTGTGTAACAATCATTTGATTATGTCTCCCCGTCCATTCCTAAATCAATCAGTTTGCTCATGTGAATGATTACTTGCTACCTCATTCAAACAGGAAGGGACCATTACTGTTCCAAAACCGCCCCCCCCCAAAAAAAAATACCCCACAAAGCTTACATGTAATGAAAATAAAGTACTGTACACGCTGATCTTTTAAAATTTATTTATTTTACACATTTGAAATTACTTTCCCAAAATAGCTTAAATATATGTACCCAGACCACTTACATGCACATTTTGATTCTGAAAATCAGAAAAAGATTGTAGTTTATGAAGGAAAAGCAAAGGAACAAAAGAACTAAAGTTCGCTGACAAGAAAAACCTAAAAAGTCGCAATAAGAAAGTAAATTGTGTTTGTCCCATTTGAAAATGCACTTTGTGGCCTTTTTTATGACAAACATTCAGTCAACTTGCAGTTTATGTTGAGGCAGTTGTATTACATCACAATGATTAGCAGTGGTGCTATGGACAACACCATCTACATGAGACTTATAACGAGTTCCAACTTATTTGCATAATAACTCTTGGCCACATGAGGTCCCTGTTCGCGCTGAATTTTTGCATTGCGCGCTATGCATGAACATATACAAGCTAGCGAGATATAGCGACCGCTGCGGATAGAAACGACGAGCGCCTTGACCAAGGCTAAGCCCATAAAGAATGAAAAGCTGGCATAATTATGACCCATATCAACCCAGGACACACTTGACTTACAAATTCCCTGGAAATAAAATATTTATTAATTGTGAAAGATTTGCATAACATGCATTCAAAAAAATGTTTAAGTATGCATGATGCAATTTTGTAGTAACATGATAATATATTTTTTCAAACATTTAAATACTGATAAATATTCGTGTAACAATACTGTATGCTTAATATGTGTTCCCATACACAGAACACAATCCATCCTTAGTTTTTGCCGGCGACCAAATAGTGTTCTGAGTTTAAGTAGAGGTGTCTTCATTAAAATTCCCTGCAAGCGGACGGTGATGCTTCCTGATTTTTGGTCAAGGCTTACAATGCCTTGGACTGAACCGTGTGCAGTAGCACTTGTGATGAGAGCTCTCTATGCAGGACACGCTGCATGTGAGTGCTGGTTCTCGTACCTATGACGTCAAGATCCCCGTTTGTTATTTCCCAGGTTTGCAGTATTGTCAATATTGCTAGCATCGCGACTTTGGGCATGATCCCGGACTACATGGCATACAGGTTTATGACTTTTGACCAGCACCCCTTAAAAGACATCGTCAAAAATGGACAACCACAGGTTGCAGGTTCAAAACCCTGCTCCAGTCAATTTCTTTGTTCAAGTTTAAAATAAAGACTAAATTTATTGTAAATGTACACAACCCAGTAAAACCAGGTGTATAGACATGTGTCAATGAGTCTGCCTGTGCATGGTGACAATGGGCTCCATGCGCGAACAAGAGAGGGCGTTATTTGACAACTTTCAAGAGCCCCGTATAGCGTGCGTCTTTGCGTGAGCGTCGAGTGTCAAGCGTGATTTAGCAATGCGTTGGAATGTCTCTGCCAGTGGTCTCCCCCAACTCTCCATAGCTCATAGCCAAAATAGCTTGGGATTTTTTTTGTTACCGATCTCCAGCAATTATGTTGGAAACCAATGGCATATCCCATGCAATGAAACAAAATTGGGACTCTTTCAGCCCCAAGTTACTAAAAGTAATCTTGTCTTGACTATGCTGTACAGTACAAGAGATACTGCAAATCCTAGGTTTTTTTAATGAAACTACTGACTTGGGGTAGAGAGGAATCTTAGGATTAAGGCGCAAATGGGAAGCTTCAACATGTCATTTGAATACATTTTTGGTTTTTTATGGAATTGCACTTTGTGCAATAGGAATAGGACAGAAACTACTGATTGTCTTGATATTCAATCCAAGACAACAAAAACATTTTGTTCTTGATTAACTCCTTACAAACAAAGCAAAAAACTGACAGATATAGGAATGATATGGAATTATAAATAAAACTGAACAAAACAAGTACAAAGCCACCCCCTCCTCACAAAATAAAAATCAAACAAAAACCAAAAACATAAATTCTTTGATACAATTAAAACAAAACATAATACAAAATAAATTTCCAAAAGCATTTTCACAACAAATCCTTTATTAATAAAATAAACCATGATTTGTATATATTCTGTAAATATTCTCCAAGTGCATTTAAGTTGGGCGATTTCATGTTACCCATGAGGGGTGATCCTACCGTTAACTGAGCAGAACTGCACCAGTTTCCTGTATCCCTTCTTGGATTTGCCCCTCATCCGTCATGAAGTAGGCCATAGTCGGGACCCTCGGTAGCGGTCTGGGTCCCAGGACCCTCAACCAGCGGAGGTACAAGAAGATGAAGATACAGACGACGACGAAGCAGCTGATGAGGATGTACTGATTGGAGACTTGGGAGGCGTGGACCCAAGGAGGAGGGACCTGCTTCTGAAACACGCCCAGCTGGATCTCCCTATAATAACAAACAAGACAAAAGAGGACTGGAGAATGAATTCTGTGTGTAACTTCATGTACACCTTCAGAGGTAAAAATGTGAAAACACTCAGGCAGAAATGCAGAATTGACCTATCGCGGTTTGCAAATTAGCCACGCCCCTTAGACAATCCTATGGAGTTTTTGTACGTTAACTTTGTTTGTCTCGGATTTTGCGCGTTCCGCGTCCATTTGTATATCATGTAATTGGACAATATTTCACAAGCTGCGTTGACACGATTCTAACGTGATTCTACCGCGATAGGGTCAATTGTAGTCAGGTCTACAGCTTGTTACAAGTCCACCACAAGTCAATCACAAATCAAATCACAAGTCCATCACAAGTCCATTACAAGTCAAATCACAAGTCCATCACAAGTCTATCACAAGTCCTTCACAATTCCATCACAACTTCATAACAAGTCAATCACAAGTCCATCACAAGTCAAATCACAAGTCCATCACAAGTCCATTACAAGTCAAATCACAAGTCCATCACAAGTCCATCACAAGTCACATAACAAGTCATTAACTAGGCAATCACAAATCAATCACATGTTCCTCACAAGTCCACAAATTCAATCACAAGTCATATCACAAGTCAATCACAAGTAAGGTCCAAGTACCAGGGGATGAACAATGACAATGTGATGTTTGTCACAGTTTATTCGACCAGCATTTGCATTGAGACTCAAGAAGTTGTGATTGAATTAGGATTGTCTTGTGATTGACTTGTGATTATCGTCAATTTACTGGTGATTTATATGAATGTCTTGGGATTGACTGGTGATTGAGTTGTGATTGACTTGTGACTACATCTGAACTTGACTTGTAGTCGGCTTGTGACTGACTCGTGAGTATGATTCTCTTGTGCAAAGATGCTACAAAATAATGTACAAAAAATTAGTGTCAAAGACGATGTTGCATCAATTTGCCACCAATCTGACACACATTGTCTGAAATCAACTTGTCTTTTTCCAACATGTACAGACCCAGAGTAGGCTTGCTCCTTGCATACATTCATGACTAACCTGAGTGGGAAGAATCGTGTCCTGTGAAGTATGGCACCCAATGTCCACTGCACCTCTTTGTCTTGTATAAGGCTGGCAGTGCGCAGGTATTTATAATTCTCAGGAAATCCGAAGCCTTTATGAAGGACTGTGGTGATCCAGGCCGACTTAAAGCACTGGTACCTGAAAAAAAGAAAAAAAGAGTACGAAAATCTATAATCAAATGGCATGCTAATTTTCTTTGGGTTTCATACCCCCGCCCCCATAACACCCCCTCAAAAAAATTTGAATGAATAAATAAAACGGATGTTCTGTTAAGAACAGAAAACTAACAAAACACAACCTGCAACTGTTTTAACGTCATTTATTGAGAGAGTCAAACCTGCAACTGCACAAATGTTTTCTGCAACTTTTTGGGTTTTCAATTTTAAGCCCTCTTTTGGATTAAGTCTTAATTTATTCACCTATTAAAGGTGGATATGAAACCTTCTAAATTGACTTGAGGGAAAACAATCTAATGCAGGCTAAGTTTTTTATCTCTGTATATGTGTCGTGACCAAAATTAAGAGAAAACCAGAAATAAACGGTTTCATTGCATTACAGCTGCAGAGTTGTATCATCCACATATACAAGAGCCAGAGAAAAATTTACTGAATTATGTTTATGAAATTGGAAAGCCAGATAAACGAATATGAAATACAGTTTGTTATTGTCTTCATTTATCCCAGGTTATTAAAACTTTTGGACTAGTCTGCACAGTAGGTAAAATACTAAAATCAAGTTTATTTCTAGTTGACTTTTTTTAAAAAGTTTGCTAACCCCAAATTCTTAAAAGAAAAAAAAGTGGGGAAGGTAAAATAATGAGTAAATATAACAGCACAGTACAAACTTTGCAGAAAATCCACAATAACAAGACATTTTTATGGCTCCATGCCAACATTTGAAGAAATCAGAGAATATTTTAAGTTATCCCGAAGTCCTAACGAGGATGTAATGACGCACGGGCCTGCCCACTCCAGACAGACCAACCGTGATTAGTGCGTTTCCCATTAAGGCCATGCTATCTATTATCGTAAGCTGGCGGACTGCCAACTTAAGTGATGGCAGTGACGCACGCTGAAAACATAATCAGACAATTGCAAACTTCAAGATGCAGAATTAGAGAGCTCTGTTTTAATTGGACTCGTTAAAACTGCCTGGAGGACACGAAAACACTTCACTTGTCAACAACTTATTTCCCCCTCTGACCTCGGTTGATCAGTTTGTTTGTCTGTTTCGATGCTACGTTATCATTTATTCAAAAGGGGAATAACAGGATTTTATAAACTGAAAATTGAAATCAGGCTTCACAACTTTGATGTCAATGACACCTACATGTAACAACCCAAACGTTTATTTACAAAATAGTCAATGTTCAACACATAGTGTGGTAATGGTTGAATACTTCAATCTAAAACAACGCACACTGGAAACTGGAATCAGTAAATTGATCTTCCCTTGTGTGTGCGGAAAACCTAAAATGAACAGAATATAGAAAAAAAACCCAGAATATTTAGAAGAAAGCATATTCGTCTTAACGAGACGGCCTCCCACACACAGCAGCAAGATAAGATCATCAACTCATTAAGGATGAGGGGAAACAAGTCAAGAATGTACAAAACTTGTAATTGGCTTTTTCAAGGATTACAGCAGTAATAGTTTTATATGTTCGAGTCATTTTGTTTTATAAGTTCAACAGGATGTTTACGTGCTATACCCATGACAACGGTAACCAAGTGGCCAACTGTCAGCAGGATAAGTGACAGTGGGTCAACATGGTCATTTTTATTGGGGGGGGGAGGTAAATTTTTTTGAAAAGGGCACTTGCACATCCGTGCTGAAATGGAGACACGTATTTTTTCTCCGGACACTTGGCCTCCGTAAAATCAAATAGGGGCGGGGGTGGGGGGGGGGGGGGGGAAGGGGGGCCTTGGTACCATCTGTCAATGGGGGCGCTGTTTGGGCGCTGTTTAAAACCGACGGTTGTGCACACTTATGGACAATATATGGTGCTTTTCAGGGCGATACATGGCAGATGGGACTAAAAAGGGCACAACTTCTTTTTAAAAAGGACACTTGTTCAGAAAAAAGGGCACTTGTTAAAAAAAGGGCACTCTTAACAAAATATTGGGGGGGGGGGTAAGCGATGGTGAAAAAAGGGCATTTGAATGTTTGAACGCTCTGATGTTTTGCTTTAAATATTTTTTTTCTGGAAATATTGATGGTTGTACTGAACAAATCAACTAAAGTCCAATACATGTATGACTACAAAAAACAAATTTGACTTTTAAAAAATTGAATTTGAAATTTGTACTCACTTTAATCTGTGTGCATCTGCTTTGGTGTATAATCCTTTATCTTGATGCTCCTGGATTAGTGACCACCGTGTTGCACAATAATCCTGAAGGAAACAGACAAACACACAATGAAAAATCACTTTTTGGAAATATTACCAATGTGCCATTAAGATCCACCCAAAACATTTTTATGACTTTGATTTCAGCATACATCAACTTATTTTTTTTTCCACTGCAGAGCTAAAAGGGAATTAATAATATGCAAATAACATCAACAATAATCCTCAACAGGATCAGCAGATTATGTGGACAGTGTGGATTAATACAGATCATACCACTTCCATTACAGTTGATGCACCCCAGTTACCCCAATTAGGTGTTCTCTAATTGGCCTTATTCACGAGTCGGCCACATTTAATTGATAGTGAGGTCAAATCTTCATTTTTGGAACTTGTGTGGAGAAATGTAGCAATGACATTACAAATTAATACCAGTCTGCTCTGATGAATATTTAGAATTTGTAATTAAACATACCCTAGTGTTTTAAGCCATATATGAAAAAAAAGAAGGAAAGTCAGGCTAGAATGAATAAATAGTCTGGCACCAACTCATTCAACAGTTCACGATTTATGAAACACATTCAGGGAACATGACAAAAAATGTTCCAAAAGGAACAAGAATGGGCTGCTCAACCCAAAATAATACCACAGCTTTCTTTTGTTCACGGCTCAGATCAGCAAGGTAAAAAAAAAAATTATTTTTTTTTTAAAAAGGGACCAATTTTTTCAAAGCTATTCTAGCTCTGTATTTCACGGGCAATAGAGAAATGTCTACTGTTGCCATTTTACAATGTTGTAGAGAAGTTCACAAGTTCATCGCAAGTAAAATCACAAACTATTCAAATGACAAAGGCATTCCATTGTTACTGTTCATCCCTTTACTTGTGATTGGACTTGTGATTGGACTTGTGATTGACTTGCAATGGACTCGTCTACAACAATGCCAATTTTTATAACCCTTTGACGCACCTTTGCGGCCTTTTCAAACTTGACGTACTCATACATTCCTCCCATGCGAAGCACGTCCTCCATGCAGTACCAATACTCGGAGAAGCCGTAAAACTCACTGTTTCGGAACTCAATCTCGGGCTGGAAGACACCGTTGAACGAACACGGCTGCTTGGGGCAGGGAACCGTCAGATTCATGAGGGGGACCAGGGAAGATTGACATTGTTTATAATCACCGGTTCCTTTCATGTAGATTGTGTGGCCGCCGTGGGTGATTTTGTCTTGCATATGGACTGGTAGGCAAGGGTCCAGGTAAGGGGAATCTTCTTTTAAACCCGGAGGATTGGCAGTACTGAAAGAAAAATGGAAATGAGTATTTTTACCAATATATGCAATCATGTATTTAATAATGAATATACATTTTCAGCTTCTCAACTTGTCAGATAATTACATCCAGGTGTTATCTTGTGTCTTGGACACTGGAATTTAATTGGGTTTTATGGTGTGATCAAGTGTCAAGTTTTTGAAAACTTGGGCAACAGTACATACGTTTCCATGTTTTTGCTGAATGTATCATGCTTAATTGCACATATTTCAGACTTTTGTCAGATAGTTGGTTGCGCACTCACGGCTGTGCCTGATCCAAATGTTGCAGCACTAGGGCCAACAGATCGGTCTCTTGTTTGAAGCAACAAAATCGCTTAAAATCTTAAAAAGGGTGCACAACAACTAACTTGTTGAAGTTTCAGCCCAGTGGCAACTATACATTTTGAGAAAACAGAGAAAACATATGCACAATTTGTTGGTTCTTGTAACTGGATTCCTCTGCTAACGCACTTACAATTACTGTGCCAATGGGCATGTTTTCTTAAACCCCCTTTGACAAATGTTTTCTTCTGAATTATACCATTTCAAGCAGGATGATTTCACAGGGCTTTTAGTTCCAGTCCTATCTTCACCTTGAGCAGGGATTTTCTTATTAAATCGGTAGGTACCTTTCCGAAGTCAATGCAAACTTTTCTATGTATAAATCCCCAGTTCTGGTACAAGTATTGATCCACTTTATCGCTGCTATTGTTTTACCTTTTTGTATTGCTGAATGTGGTGTTTACGAGAGCTTTTTCGTAACGCGTTCTAGCAGCGTTTCCTCCGTATCCCAGGAATGTGGTGACGTACACACGATATAAATGCTCAGTCTTGTGCACATCGCAACCGAGGTTGAACTCAGCCAGCATGCCTTTGGCTACATCCTCCTGGGAAAGAGGAGCAAGTCAATCATATATCAATCATATGTCAATCACATGTCCATCACATGTATATCACATGTCCATCACATCTCAATCACATGTCCATCACATCTCAATCACATGTCTATCACAAGTGAAATCAGGAGTGAATGAATTATGGTCCAATTCTTTTCCGTTAAACAAAAATCAATGATACATTTGGCAAACACAAATACTTATGCTTACTCTAAGTCAATTCCTACATGTATGTTTGAAAAGCATGCTAGTACTGGTGCGACTGCATACTTTGCTTAAAGCAGGGGTGTGAATGACCACAGATAGAAATAGCTGAAAACAGTTGAAAAAGGTGTAAAAAACTGAACTCTGGAAATCTCCTATACTGTTGTACACAGCAAGTGAGGGGAAAAAAGCTGAAATCCAAAACAAAAAAAAGCTGAAATCAGCTTTAAAGCTGAGATTTCACACCCCTGTTAAAGGGTATTTGCTTGATTTTATAGCAGGAATTATTGGTTATGGTAAGTAACAGTTGATTCATGCTTCACACAAATGAAACGCACAACAAGTTTGACATCAAGAAACATTCCTAGTTGAAATTTGTGCATTGTACATTTGCATGAGTACAAATTAGCCTTAATTCATGCATTTTCCTAAGCCTTACAATTGCTACTGAAACATCAACATATCTTGCTATTTCTTATAACAAAATTCAAAATGGATTAGCCAAAATGCAAGGATGGTAAGACTTTTTTTTGCTGGATGGAGGGGAGGGTGCGGTTTGGATCAACCAAAACTAGATTGATTGACAACACCTGAGGGTCTGACCCGTCGAAGCTTACGGTGTGCGGGACTTCGAAAGCGATTTGTGCCGAGCCACCTCCCATATCTAGAATGCCGACGGTGCGTGTACGCAGAACAGAAACCGGTCCATTCTCTCCAGCAACGTCAACTTCAACCATGGCGTCATCTGAAATAAAATGGAAGTTTTAATGAGTGCTAGCTACAAGGAATGTGCAACTACAGCCAGTGGTTAAGGGTAACCTCTAGGATTTGTTGTAGGTTCAGGATGTCAAAATTGTTTTGGGATTCAGAACATTCTGGATTTCAGATTCACACTTTTCAGTCATGAAATACATACTATCATTAGCATGGTCAAATCTTCCCAGCACGTAGTTGATGCCAATCCAGGCATACACTCCCTCCTGTTTGCCGCTGATCACCTCCACCTGCGTGTCCGAAAACAGAAAGTTGTAGTCCTTGGGAATGTCGGTCTTCAGGTCTTGTAGAATGGCTTCTTGCTGGCTGTAAGAATGCAAACCACACGACGTTAAAGTTTTACAATTTTGGAACTTCAAAGTTTACATGACAGTGGGTGTTTTTAAGACCTGGACTTTTTTTTAGTACCATGTTTTTATTCACTGAAAATTCAATAATACCATAGAGTGCTCAGGTGGTAATTCATTCAAATCTCTGCAATTATTTGGTTCAGTGTGACCCTGGGAAAACAACCTTGAAACTGGTTTAAGGTACCTGAGGGGTAGCATTCTCATGCCAGCCGTTGCCAGTATGTAGAGAGGTGACTCTGGATGCTTAGCGCTAGGGATGTGACTTGCTGCATAGTCTAACAGTGGCTTCAGGTAATCACTGGCTTCTGATGGAGAACTGGCCAGTGTGGCAAGACCTCAAAACAAACAAACAAACAAACAAAATATAAGAACTAACATTTCACACAGCTGTTGTCAAGGGTAAACGTTGTGAAACATCATCAAAATGGGGTCTGTCTTACAGTTGTACAGTTGACAGGTGCATACATATGCAAATTGTAATACTGGACCAATTTCCAAGTTCTAAGGATTTTTACATCATTACCTGGTTTTATCTTCATGACGACTGGTTTCCTACGTTTGTCTCGCATCTGATGGATCCGCAGCAGTCTATTGGTGTCCCCGATATGCCTCGGCCAAAAGTACACATATACCCTGGTTCCACTACTCCCTGCATCAATGACCACCCCATAGTACAAATTCTCATCTTTTGTATCGGTGACCTCTAGAAGTTCATATTTATTAATGAGGTCGTTCAAGGGGTCGTGCATGACCGGGGTCATCTCAACCTCTAGGTAGAAGATGAGGATGAGTCCAATGAGAGTTAATGCAAAGAAGAGGCAGGCGGTGCGTCGTACGTTGCTGGTGGTGAGACGGAGGTTGATATGCCATGATGCAGGAAGATGCAGGCAGGTTGGCTTCCATCTGAGGAGAAGGATGAAGAAATATTTAACCTGATCTCTAATTCGTAAAAGTAGCTGCAGTAGTGATACAGCCAAAAAACCTTTAGGCTGTAGTGTATATAGTGCTTGCAGTGGCACAGTATGATAAAAAATATGTGATGACGTTCTATAAAAATGGAAATTGGAAGTTCAACGGTGGTATAGAGAGTGACATTGGAGTGTAGATTTTTACAAGGGATTTTAAAACGAAAACCAACATATTCAGCATCAAATTTGGTGATTCAAAAAAATAACCGATGTGAAATATCTTAAATATGAAATATTTCCCATAAATTGTTTAATTTTTCTGTATCAGAGGTGATTGTATTTGTAGGGTACAATAAACTACAATAGTACTGGACTTCACTTCTGCATGGTTACGCACAAAATATCAAATATTATTATTAATATTAATATTTTTACATGCATGTATCATTTGTATGTACATGAGTCATGAGAATAGAATGAGACATAACATACATGTAAACCTCAACAGCAACCTTTTTATGCGGAAATGGCACTTTATTTTGGAACTCTTAATTATTAATAGGTAATGACTGCACTGAACTGAATAAATAAATTACTGCCTGGGCTGGGTCGGGGAAATATTGCAATGATTTTCACTGTGCAGCGCGAGTATTAAACATACAACTTACAATGACTTACAACTGTACAAGCATTGACAAGCAAGCAATTCGCAAGCGATTGCATTTTGTAAAATTTGGAAGCGGTTGAATATGTGACATACCTAGCCATCTATAACTTGCAGAAAGTACCATCAAAGTACATCAACAATACTCTGTAAGATGACGTTATCTGTCTCGTGAAATATGAAGTTAAAAGGCCTGTTAAAGAAGCCATTCCACGAAGAAAATCCGCACAGCTGGCGCCGGTTCGTTCACACGCAAAAAGAACGCAGACGATTTCTGATCTGGTACATGACTCACGTCAATGTGAAATTCACAGACATCGGAAAGGGGTACCAGACTATAATTCTTCAATTGAATTTTATTGGACACGTGTCACTTTCGTTGAAAATGGGTTAAAGTGCTGAACTTGTTTATGAATATAAGTTAAGGATGAACTCGTTTATATTTCAATTTGGAAATTTCCAAGAAAAAAGTGACTTATCATCGCTTTTTTTGGTTTTATTTAATTTTTGGGTCAACGAACTTTCTGATTAGTAAACAAACAAAATGGCGGCCGACTTGGCCGAGGTGCGAAATGTTGCCAAAGAAATCATTGCGTACGACCTCAAAATCAACGGCCTCATTCAGGTATTGTTGAACCGTTCTTGTGGAATATCATCGGCACTATCTCCTTCGGTTACTGAAATGAAATATCCACGTGAATGTTGTCAACTTTTTGGAAAACGATCAGTGGCATACGCCGTACAATTTCGCCTAGTGAAACACGACGTGTACCGTGAGGGCGCACTTTGCATTTTGTGGAAAGCAATTCATTGGTTTTGCCAAAATGTAGAGAGCCTAGGATATTTCTTAGAACTTGAAAGGTTCACAAAATGAAATCTCCCAAGCAGTTATACCTGAAACACTTTTAAACCTTTAGTTAACCTTTTTTGTTATATTTTGAGAAAATTGTCTGTTTTATTTCAACTTAAGTTCTAATAAAATAAAATAAGTGAAAAAACTGAAAAAAGTTTTGAAACTAATTAAAATAAAAAAAAAAAAATTTTGCATGCTATATTTATTTCCAGTAGACCTATCTGTAAACGTACGCCACCAAATTAAATGAAAAACAAAAATGATTTCCTGCCCATGTAACAGTCAACAGATCTTAATTGTCCGTCTTTTCTTTCTAGGAAATCCGGAGCAACTGTCGTTCCATTCATGATATGAATCAAGTCAACCAGAAGATAAAAGAACAAATGAAAACAACGCAAAACAGAATACAGGTATTGTAATGTGTTACCGTGGTAACATTTGGTTGAAGCGTAGATTACATTTTATTTGGACTACAGTTGTGATTGTAGGCAAGCAGTGTACTTTAATTTGCTTTGTTTTTGTTTTTTTACTTATTTTCATTTCAGGATTTGGAACGAATCGCAAATGAGCAAGACAAAGAAACAGACAGACTAGACATTCTCAAAGATGTGGGAAACTTCCGCAAACAGTTGGCAAGGTAACTGGATATGTGAGCAGTAGATTTTCAAACAGTTCTGTTCCCTTAGAAAAAAAAAATCAGAAAAAAGGGAAAAACAAAAACGTTTGTCGAAGTTTGGAATTCCTTTAAAACTTAACATCAACTGTCTGTGGATAGTGTCATGTTTTATTATTATTTTTCTGAAATAATTGTCGCTCATTTGTAGTGGAGTATTAATATGGTCCAACCTGCTTATTCACATGCGAGTTAATTCTATTTAGAGTCAAGAATATGATTTTAACATTTATTCTTTTGAAATTGTGTCTTTTTTTATGCAGTACCCAGACGTCCATCAGGAAAGCTAATTTATCCTGTAAGATGGCAATTGACAGACAAGAAAGAGAAAGTTTGCTTCAAGGCGGTACAGACCCTGATTTAAGGAAAAGGTGATTATATTTCTACTCGAGTATAGTTTTTGGTTCTACCAATAACCTGTTCCTTCAGTTCGTTAAAAGTAACTTGAGCCTTTTTTTCTTGTGTATTTTTCTTTTCTTTGTGATAACAGAATGAATAAAGAGAGTTTGGCGCAGACAGCTGGCAACATTACTGATAATCTGATGAGTCTGAACAGAATGATGGCGGCCAATGTAGCACAGAGCAATCTGGCCAATGAAGTACTAGGTACAGTATATAAACATCACAAATTAGTTATTCATAAGTTCCAGCCAATCAGAGGGCTGTATGCAAATAGCCTGAATGTCACATGACCACATCTGGAATCTTCTTGTGGTTCAAGCCATTGGTTTGTTAGATTGCAATTTTTATTTGTCCCGTTTTGTTTCAAACTGAGCAATGAATACATCTTCTGTTTGAATAAATGCAAGCAACTTTCCCCCGATAGTGTTGAATGCATGTAGGTTAAATTGCAAATGTGTCAGATCCAGTACTTAGCAAGTTGAATACGATGGCACGTTTTACATTTTTTTCTACTTGCAGGGAAATCATCAGCAACTCTCTCGGACACACATGAGGAATTCAAAGGGATGGGGGGAGTGATTCAGACAAGTCGTAGCTTACTGACCAAGTACAACAGACGAGAGCTGACAGATAGGTTACTCATCTTCCTAGCTGTGGCGCTGTTCCTGGCAACGGTGCTCTATATATTGAAGAAGAGGATATTTTGATGATGGATGAAGGGGGTTGGGTTGGGGTGGGGTGGGGTGGGGGGGGGGTTATAGAGTGGGGTGCGGTTTGGTTGGGTTTCAGCTGGGGAAGAGCAGGGTGTGGTGGTAGGCTGGGGAAGGGTGGTCGGGGTTGGGATGGGTGCAGTTTGCTTGGGTGAAGAAGGGGTGGGGAGGGGCTGGGTTGATCGGGGAAGAGGGGTGTGGGTGGGGATGGGCAAAGTATGGTGGGGTTGGGTTGGGTTTTAATGAGGTGAGAGAGCTGGATTCGGTTTTGGAGTTTATGGTGGGGATAACATATGGAAGAATAGAACAGACAGGTTTCATGCTTGCATGTAAATCATGTGCTCAGAAAAGTATTTGTGTTATTGTTGCCTTGAACAGAGTCTGCTGTATTTGTTATAGACTCTGCACAAACGGTTTATGGCACTGGGACTATCGACAATTGTAAACCAATCCAAGCACGCCAGAAATTCTATTACGAAGGCCCCCTTCAATGGCGAAAGCATTGTGCTAGCTATTGTTCAGATAATCCATCACGGGCCAGTTGCTTTGTACACAAGCACACACAGTTGTTTCTCCATTGAAGTGGGCCTCGTGGGTGTACTGTGATGACATGCCTGAATTTGTCTGCAGTGTGGGGAACTTGCTTCCTGTGTGCTGTTTGTGTGCATGTGGTATTAAATGTGCACAAACTTGTAACATCTTCATGTGGGCACCATGCGCATGCCGCAATGGTGTTCTGTCTCTATCACTATGGTGGCAGCAGTGTTGCGCAATTTCTTTGCAGGTTACTGGTTGACTGGTTTTACAAAACCAACTGAATACGAGTAAAAAAAATCAAAGTACATGTATGCTAAAAATTTGACTTGCCAATCAGTTTGTTGTAAGAAATGGACATGCTATATTAAATAAATTGCTGTTCATTCTAGAAATGTGTCATTGTGTGAAATCATTGTGCAGCCAATATTTTTTTTGTTACCTAGTACATGTACCAGAAAATGCATCAAGCTCCATTTTTCTCTTTTTGTGTGTGCAAGAAATCCATCCAGTTTTTCTGATTTCAAAGGGTTGGATCAGGAAAAAAAACAGTTCTCAAAAACGAAATCCATATTATGGTTTAAACAAGTATCAAATTTTATTCATTTACTCTTACATTTACACACCTAACTGCAACTGTCTTGGTTTCTAAACAATCTTCCAAACCCTCAACTTGTACTGATCAGAAGAAAACAAAAATTACTTGCCAACTAAAAGTCTTTAACAGAGCAATCTGATTGTATTCTTTCAAAACCCTTTACATAGTATTACATACAAACAAAAGGAGATCTCTCGATCTGGTATCAATTTTCTATTTGCTTCAAACTATTTACATGTTTTTGTTCCAACTAAATGGAAAATCAGAAACAAAATCCAAAATTAATCAATTACATGTACTTTTTATGGAACCATTATACAAAGGATTGTCAACAACTAATGTGCTGTATTTTTAGTACATTATACTCTCATAGAAACATTTGATTTAATTTGAACAATTACTTGACAACTCTCTTCCAAATCTGTTCAAAAAAAAAAAAAAAACGCACAAAAGAACACAATTTCACTAATAGCATGCAGTATAGAGTACATGTATTAAATGTGATTATGTAATTGTGGAGATTTTCAGGAAGACTGACATTTTTGCTCATGATTCAGCTAAGACCGAGTTGAAAGAAAACACAGGCCTGACAATCGACAAAAAATGATGTTCCCTAAATGCCATTGTGTTGCACAAGAACCAAAACCTAGAACCAAAAAAAAACACAGCAGACCAAGACTTCATTTCAAAGGAACTTCAGTTGTTGATTAACAGTACATTCAGCAAATTTTTCCTTTAAGTTAAACTTCAGCAGAAAATGTGAGAATTAATTTTGCCATTAAAACAAAAATTAACTTTTCAAAAATAATAGATGCAATTTCATTTACCATGGTCCTATTTCTAAATTCTGTGAACATATTACAAATTAAATTTCAGAACAACCACACTAAATAATAACAAAAACTTAAAAAAGTATTAAAACACTCCCCCCCCCCCCCAAAAAAAACCACCACTATTCTACAAAACCCCTTCATGAAAATTGAAATTTTCTCAGCGACAGCAAATTTTAAGTGCAAGATTGGTTTGGTCTATGTGATAGTGTGGAAACATGCTAAACCTTCCGGGAGCTTGTTCCCCTTAAAAGAAATATCATATGAAACTTTAATTAGGAAAAAATTGAAGAATGTCATGGTTGTGATTGACATATAACAATTTATCTTATTGATTGTCCATGTACAATGTTTAAGGTTGTGGTGACAAGCATAACAAATCCAAAATAAATTGAGAAAACACTACATATACATGTATTGTTGAGGTACTGCTGTTAACATGCAACACTAGGTGGCGACATTTCATTGTTAAATCAAAGAAAATGGATGCTCACACAAAATATAACAAAGGGTACTAAATACTTGGATTTATAACAAAATTATGCTTCCGAAAAGAAGAATATCATAGCTTTAACTGTATAAACTTGACAATAAATCTTAAAATGGAATCTAAGACACATTTAAAGATGCAATTCATATTTCTGTTTTTATCATACTTCTAATCTCATTTATTAAAAAAAATTCATTCCAAGTACCAAAATGTTCACCAACCCACTACTTTGCCCTCAAAGAACGACACATTATTTCGATGAAGTTCCATAAATTTACGATATTATTAAAAAAAATATTTAAAAGAAAATTACCTTTCATGCCGTTACGTGGCTTTCGGAGCCTCCTTAGGTTTTCCGTTTTTGCTCTTGCCACTTAGAGGGCCAGATTTCATCGCGGTGCCTTCTTTGGCGACATTCTCCTGTCCTTTCTTGGTGCGTTTGGACTTCTTCTCTTCTTGAAAATCCTCATCAATCACAAGTTCCCCCTCGCTGTCGTCTAAGAGGAAACCTACATCTCCAGGCGTCTCTGGCTCCTTTGGAGGTAAGCTGTTGGTCATTTTTGCATCTGACGGGGTCTTGGATTTCTTCAAGTTCTTAGATTTTCTCTTGACAACTTCCTTCTTGGTGCCTTTCTTGATTCTGTTCCGTGTTTTCTTGACTCTAGCTTTGTCAGCATCTCCAGCCTCCGTTTCCACAGTGGCTTCAGCCTTCTCTCGTCTTTTTTCTTTCTTGCGCTCTTTCCGTCTCTCCTTCAATTTCTCCTTCTCTTTCTTCAGCATCTTCTTCTCTTTCTTTGCTAGGTTCTCGTCTCGTTTCTTCCTCCGTTCTACATCCTCCTGGTCTTTCTGCATCTTCGCTACCGTTGCCAACTCCGCCTTCAGACGTCGCTGCGTCGCCAATTGCTCTCGTTCCTCCTCGTGATCTCGGCACAGTTTCATCTCCATGACGACGGTGATGTTGCCCACTGCATGGCTGTTGCAGTAGGAGTTTGGACACTCTTCGCACAGCTGAGTGGCTAACTTGCCGCATTCGTCACAATGATGCCAAGGACAAATCCATTTTCCTGTGAGGGTAAACAAAAAAAACCCACATTTACATCTATTTCAAGTTCTTTGTTATTATGCAACATAGACGTGGGAAAACAATATTTCGTGACACTTAATTTCATGAGCTTCTAAAAAGAAAAGATTGCTTAGCACATTAATATGTTCTGTGTTCCATGCCCTCTTTTTCCCAGCCGCTTTTTGCATTTGCAATATATTTGTCTTTTTTATGTGTTTCCAGCAAAAATTTAGCTTTGAATGCAAGCTCAAAATCTGTTGGAAAGAGGAACAGCTCCTTTTGGCACAAAAATATTAACCAAAAGAGTTGAGAAAAATGGGAGAATCCATGTTGAAAAATCTACAATCTGGAAAGAAGAAAGAGAAGGGATGCTTCCAAATTCCTCCCATTTTTTCAAAAAGCCCAGACCAGAAACAGGTTTTTTTTATATTTGGCCTAATGTCCAAACCAAACAGTGATACCCCTGGCCTCTCATTATAAGATATGATATTCCTGAAGCAGAACGTTGACCCAGTATTGAGCCCGAATACCCCTCATCAGGGGCGCGACTTCCCCCAAGCACCCCCCCCCATTAGGAGCGTGACTCTCCGGAAACTACCCCACCTCCAAAATAAGGGGCTTGAATCTTCTGAAACCAACACCCTCCCCCCATCAGGGGCGTGACTCTCCTCAAGCCAAAGCCCAGATTTCACAGTCCCTATGCTTTTGTTTGCAATCCCCAAACACACCATTACACAAGCTGAAACAATATGGAAATGCCATCAGTGATCTTTAGGTCTTACCGTGCGGTGGCTTGGCAATTTTCAGGCATCCCAGACAGTAAGCCTTGGGGCAGTTCTTATGATCACACATGACAAGTTCTCCTCCCTCGCCGCAACGGAAGCACACGTCGTCGTGGTTGACTTTGGCAACAATCTTCATCTTGCGCTTCCGGCGTTTCAGTTTCTTTCTGTCAGCTGCCTTCTTGAATTTCTCGGCCACGGCTTCAGCTGAAGCAGTCTGCTTGAGAAGAGACAAACAATTGGCTTAATTCTCACTTTCTTTCAAACCCTCCTTTATCCTCTAAAATCCTCACGGCTGTTTTTGGAGAAATCTTAACAAGGAATTCCATGACTTTTCAGTTTAAAATTAGGGCTTTCCATGACATATTTCTGCACTGTGCTTGGAATTCCTGTGCTTGGAATATCAACTTTACGTGACCCCTTGTCAAATAATAATATTCCATGACTTTCCATAAGTAGTACTTCATAGTATTTCATTGCAGATTTTCCAGGATTTATCTACAACTGGGGGAACGCTGACCTACATGTAGTAACTGGTAATGTCAAAAAGTGCACTGACCTTTGGCCTGACCCCAATGAAGCCACTGCAGTTGGGGGCGCCACACTCGCAGCGTTTCTTCTCATTTCCCAGACAGTCCAGGTTGTAATTGAACGTAAGTTCCGTTTCTGTCGGGATTAAAAAAGTGTGGAGACGAACATGTTACTAACTGATGTTACTTACGGTGAAAATTATGTCAGAAACATCAAGTTGAAGTTGGTTCCATCTAGTCCATGATGGAAGTTTTAGATACAATGAGGAAATACTGATATTTAAAAAATTTATACAATGGAACCTTAAAAACATGATCTTTCAAATAAAAAATAAAAAAATCCCATGACCAAGTCTCATAACTTAAACTGTTGTGTAATAAATAATGTTCGTAACTTACTGCTTGGAATATCACAGATGGCAAACAGTCCAACTCGTGTGTCGCCATTCACGGTCCATTTCTGGGTCTCACAGTTGGGCTGACAGCAATGGTTCATAAACCGAGACAAGTTGCCCTTTGGCCCGGCATCGATGATGCGATCTTTGTCCAGCGTCAAGAAGTAGAAGTCGCAGATGTTGTTGTCGTGAGCTTGGCGGATCCTCTCACGACATTCTTCTTCGTCAACCAGTTCTCCGACGTACTCATTAACGAAATCACCCTTGAACAGAACAGAATAGAAGAATAGAATAATCTATTCATCCTACATTGTTTGAAAGAAAAAAATGACAATACGCCAGTTCGATATCTAGATGAAATAGTCCAAGTCAAAGGTCATTCAGGATAAAATCGCTGACACAATGGTACGTGAAGTTATGATCACAGCCCTATCTGCTGTTCTTTACAAGTTTGTGTCTTTGTTCTGAGAAGACAAACCATTCCTTACCTTCTTAATATCAACATGCGACATCAACCCCCAGCCTCGTTTGCCCATCTTCTCTGGCCTAGACTCGGGATACTCTCGTTTCTGGAATCGTTGGTTCTGACACTTCTCCCCCGCTGGACACACGAGGGGGTGACACTCAATCAGTAGGATCCGATTCAGGCAATCGCTGTCCTTGCCGCAGGGGTTTTCGCTTGTTGGCTTGCAGTCACAGGGCTGGCACTGGCTGATATCGAAGGCTGGCATCTGGACGCGTCCTACCGGCCTGTTGATCTAGAGAGATGGGATTGACAAAACAATGATAACAGGACGACAAAAACACTTGGGACTATTTATTCAGAAAATCTGGAAAAAATGGTGCAAAATCTGGAAAACTATGTGCCACACTGAAATTGGGCAGTGCCGTGTCAAAACACGAACAACACTGCATGCTTCACACACTACGGTACTTCCCTCGCCTTCCACCGCTGTGACTCGGGTTCGAATCCCGCCTGGGCCAATATGTGGATTGGGTTTTCTGTCCCTACCTGATTCCGTGGGTTTTCCTCAGAATATTCCTCTGGGCTTTTCCTCCCACCTCTAAAACTGTAAATTCTTCTCATTGTCTTCTCTCTGCAGGTTTCTTCAGGCTTTCCAGCTACAGTGCCTGGGGCACCTTTGAGGAATCCTTGGTTTTATTACCAGAAAGAAATAAAATAAATCAATAAATACTTCCCCTATCCTTATAGACAAGTTGTACTTGTCTAAGACGCCATTTGGTATTTCCCCCACCTGAATCCTGGCAAGACACCTGTCAGTAATGTGGTTTGATATGTTATGGAATAATCCCGACAGACTTACCTTGATGTACTTGAATGGTCTAGGCTTCTTGCTACTGTTCTCAAGTTCTCGTGCTTCCTTCAGCTCACGATGGCCCTTCCATTGTTTGTATTTCTCTGCTGCTTCAAGGAGAGCTAATCAACCACATAACAGAAGGGAATAAAATATTGGCATATTCGAGCATCAACCAAATAACTGAAAAGCATTTTTTCAATTTAAATTTAAGAATAAAATCAGCGAGTCTGTAGGAGATGATGCACAACGTATAAGTTGTCTGCTTTTGTAGTTTGACTTAAGTTGACTAGACAAAGTGCTTGCTTGAGTGAGTTGCGTTCTGCTTATTTTAGCTCATCACATAAATTTGTTAAGCCATATTTGTATGCTTAGCGCCTCATATAAAAGGGCTCTCATTCAGTCTTTTTTCTCACCTGCTTTGAAGACTGCCGCCAATCCCTTAGAAGCAGCGTTTTCTCTGCTCCCTTTATCCCCCTCGTAGTAAGCAAAGACACGCCCGTGGTGAGTCCAGAAGTAGTCGTGAGACCCGAAGAACTGGACAGGGAATTCCCCGACCTGGTGGTTCATTTCTTGGATGTTGGTGGGGACGTTGCGTGGATTGCAGACCTGGGCTGGCCACCATCTAGAAAAGGACAACGACAGGTAGGCTTAAACTCAGTGCTGCAGGTGCATCTATCACAAGTCTATTACATGTGCATCACAGGTGCATCACAAGGCCATCGCAAGTCCATCACAAACCCATCACAAGTCATACAGTCCCAAGTCAAGTCACAAGGTATTTCAATAAACTGTGACGAAGACATTCCTTCGTTATTGTTCATCCTCTGTTACATGTGATCGGACTTCTGGAATGACTTGTGATGGATTACAACACCGCTACAAATTGCGGACTTTTCTTTCTTGGAATTTGACATTTAAACAACTTTTAAAATTCTAAGGAAAGTTTGACAAGATAAGAAAACTTCAATTTTCATATCACAAGTTTTTTTCTTCACAAATTAAACATTATAGGACAAAGTTTTGACAGTTGGAGGATATTTTCACCTTTGATAAAACTCACTGTCATATCACATAAAAGTCAGCTTTTCCTTGCATCCAATAGCAACAACAGCTGTTTTGTACTTCATATCAGAAATGAACTGTTACTTATTATTAATATTAATTATTATATATTCGTCAAAAAAAGAAAAAGAAAATTTGATTATAACAATCACAACAAACAAATAATAAATTTAAAACAAGTCAGGTGTGTTTACAAACACAAATGCCCCGCAACGGTGACAGTTCCCATGACATAACATCACTCTTTTAACATCAACTTACATGTACCTTGGTCACATGGAAAATTCATTGACAGCATTAGTGTCTTCTGTAGGTTTTATATGAATTAATCCCTAATACCTATAATCTCAGAATAAATACATGATTTCTATTGTTTTAGCCACTGTGAACTTGACCCTCGACCTTTTGGCCCCAAATTCAAAAGGCTTCTTAGGATTACCAAGAACAATCCACAAACCAAATTTGAAGTTCATATGTTAAGTATTTCTCAAGTTATCGCGCTGACAAGATTTCTATTGTTTTAGCCACTGTGAACTTGACCCTCAACCTTTTGGCCCCAAATGCAAAAGGCTTCTTAGGATTGCCAAGAACAATCCACAAACCAAATTTGAAGTTCACATGTAAAGTATTTCTCAAGTTATCGCGCTGACAAGATTTCTATTGTTTTAGCCACTGTGAACTTGACCTTAGGCCTTTTGGCCCCAAATGCAAAAGGCTTCTTAGGATTACCAAGAACAATCCACAAACCAAATTTGAAGTTCATATGTTAAGTATTTCTCAAGTTATCGCGCTGACAAGATTTCTATTGTTTTAGCCACTGTGAACTTGACCCTCGACCTTTTGGCCCCAAATTCAAAAGGCTTCTTAGGATTACCAAGAACAATCCACAAACCAAATTTGAAGTTCATATGTTAAGTATTTCTCAAGTTATCGCGCTGACAAGATTTCTATTGTTTTAGCCACTGTGAACTTGACCCTCGACCTTTTGGCCCCAAATGCAAAAGGCTTCTTAGGATTACCAAGAACAATCCACAAACCAAATTTGAAGTTCATATGTTAGGTATTTCTCAAGTTATCGCGCTGACAAGATTTTTATTGTTTTAGCCACTGTGAACTTGACCTTTGGCCTTTTGGCCCCAAATGCAAAAGGCTTCTTAGGATTACCAAGAACAATCCACAAACCAAATTTGAAGTTCATATGTTAAGTATTTCTCAAGTTATCGCGCTGACAAGATTTGTCCGGACACACACACACACCCACCCACACTTGTTTCACATGACTAGTGTGGACTTTCCATTGCTTTCGTGTAGTTAAGAAAAACCAGTGAAAAAACTCATTTTTCTCAAACTGTGAAAACTCTTTCAACCCAATTTTTTTTCTATGATTCCCTTTAGTGTTTCTCTTCATTCTGCTACAGATAAACCTAACCCAAAAATGCCTCTAAACCTGTTTTCCAGAAATGGGGAAACACTGTGTGGACGTGGGCAAGTCCACACAACGTCGGTGCTACCTACATTATGTGGACGTCTTTTGTTCGGAAGTCCACACTGCGTATGTAAGACAAGCTCACCCACCCACACACCCACCCACGGAAGGACAAGGCGGAAACAGTATGCCCCTTCGGCTTCGCCGCGGGGCATAAAAAAGCATGACCTCATATAATAATAAAAATGGGGAATATTTACTGTCATTGTGGTACTGAATTCTAGAATCAATGTGACTGACCTGTAGTTTCCTAGCTTGACCCATATGATGTCATTATATCGAGGACGTTTACCGATACTGCAATCGCGGCAGTACCAGTTACCCTCCGGTATTGATGTGAAACCAATGCATGATGCATGGAATGCTGCAGGGCAGCTGTCGCAACATATCAGATCACCGCCTAAAAACAACAAAAAGAGAATATTTTAAAAAACTTAACATTTTTCTTCTGTCTGACACTGCGAATTAATTAGTACATTCCAAACAGAATTTATGTCATTTCTGGTCTGCAAAAAAATGGTGATAATTTAAAAAAAACAGAGTTTGCAAATTAAGAGTTTGCCAAAATGATGCTTACCTATAGAGCACATGAAACACCAACTGACGCTGACCCTGGCGTGATGCTTCTGAGTTTTGATTGGTTTAAAGTGTCGACTACACACAATAGCGTTGGATGCGAGGGTGATGCTACCGGCCGCTATACAGCTATCACCGGCATGGAAGGATGTCGGGCAGCGAACGCAACGCACCAAACGACCTGGAAATAATATCATGATAAATGGTGTAATGGGGTACAGATCCATTTAGTTACAACATCTGCGCTGATGCCGTGCTTGACCAAATAGGTTCTCCACTAATCATGATCTGGTACGAGTCCCTACCTTTGCCGGCTTTGAGGTTCTTGGGGTTGTCAGCGAAGCAGGTGGTGCAGGTATGTAGCGGACAGGTGAATCCCCGGCTGTCGATGCGCGTCTGTGAGGACTTCTTCACGCAGTCCTCATGATAGTACTTGCCACAGACTCCGACATGACAACGCTTGACGGTTTTATCTCCGGCCTTGCAAACGAAGCAAGAATGAACCCCTAGAAGAAAAAGATAAAATAACTGGTAAGGATCAGGACACTAATGAATAATAATACAGCTTGCATGTCTTGCTGAGCGTAGTCGTTCATGTGTTTAAAAAAGTGCAGAAATGTTTGTGTGTGTGATGAATGCAATCCAGCATGGAGCGAATCCAATTCCTCAAGGGGTCAAAAGCTCATTCCTGGGCCATTTGATATTCCATTATATTATTCTCTTATTCTCTTAACAATAATTTGGCATATATTTTCTACTTTATTATAATTATACCACTGACTTTAATATTGTAATGAAAATCCTGCGAAAAAAACAAACACTGATCATACACTGAAACATACACTGATCAAGAGAAAGATATCCCTACTCTAATAATTGGGCATGCAATTGGGAATTCAGATAAAACCAGGAAATTATTAACCACACAAGACTTTGTACGGTGTGTTTTAATTTGTAATTGCATTCATGAGAAGTCAAAAGTGAAGAAATCAGCGGATCCGAGGAAAATTTCCATGCCTGAATAATGAATGCGTCCACAGCGGTACAGGTAAGCTATCATTGGTCCTCTCTATGGAAACATAATGCACATGCAAATTCACTAGGCTCATAAATAAATATCCATCCGAAATCATATTAGTCTAAGTTGTTATATATATATGTTGAGGCCAGCAAATGCTGAACACGATACACAGCACCCTGCTTGTAAATATTGGGGCGCCGGCAGACAAAACAGGACTGTCTAGCGACTTGTCCTCGCGCCTAGCTCAGCAAATATTTTTTGCGCTAAGCGAATGTCTGTTCGGAAAATGTTGCAACCTGACGCCACTTCAGCGGTTGTGTACAAAGTCTATGGAGAGTCAAGAAAATTTTGTAAGTATTTCCTAACAAATTTGGAAATGTTTCTCAGCCCCAGATTCATGTCTTATCATCATTTTTGCAATGATTGACCTTCATTGAGATGATACATGAAGAAAAAAGTGGCGTCAGGTTGCAACATTTTTTCCGTCTATTCTCTGTACATACCCGATATACACTCGTCGCATTTGAATGTTCCAGTCGGTGTGCTTTGCAGTCCGATGCAGTCCAAGTGAAACGCTCCGCAGCAACCCCCTTCACACAACAGTAACTCCCCAGGCCCCTCGCACACCTGACACACGTTCTCCTTCTTGGCTGCACCTCCGCCTTTCTCTCTGGGTGCCCCGTTGGTGCTGCTGGCCTGCGATGCGTTGCTGGTGCTGGCCTGTTCGTCACCTGAACTGTGGCCTTGATTTGGGAAGGAATGGGTGTAGGGGTGGGTTAGCATGCAGGGAGGGGTGTGCGGGAAAGTTAACCCAGAGAATGGTTGGAGTATAAGGCCACTGGATTTCTGTTTTAAAAATGTCCCTTTTTCCCATTTCAGAAAAATATAGCTTCCATTTCAACTGTACAATTGTTCAAGAAAATCCATTTCCCACTTCGTGTGTGTATGATCATTCTTTGCTATTTCCTGTGTAGTTTTATTGAACTTGTTATAATGTAGTTGTATTTTGTGTGTGTGTGTTTTTAAGGACCCCGATAGAAATAAGCCGTCTTATAAACAGCTTTTTGGGCTATCCTTGGCTTTGTTTTTAAATGTAATACGTGCATTTTTGATGTACCACTGTATGTTTGTTTGTATTTGCCAAAATAAATAAATAAAATAAATAAATAAGTGTTGTGTAGTGGTTGTCCACCGAAATGACAGAAGAAAGTTTTCCATTAAAAAAAATTGCTGCAGAATTTGAATGAAAACACTGCCCAAAGTTGTCATCTTTTGCTTGAAATCCAAAAGGTTTACAGAAATTATTCAAATTATTTTACTGTTTGTATCTTGTTTTGCAAACACTAATGAGGTTTTCAAAAAGTTGAAATCCATTTTAAAAGATGAATTCTATTAATTATTCTTTTAGCGATAGATGCGGAGTATCAGCAGCCCTTGATGTGAACGAAAAACCTTTTTCTGAGTGTTTTGTTTTTGGCAGAACTAACTGAAAGCAAACTTGATTCAGCAAAAAGTTTGTACCAAATGACTGCCACCTGATTGTGATTAATTAGTAGCAAAAAGGGGTTTGAAAAATAATTGACTGAAAAGACTTCAATATGCAAACAAGCAAGCAAGGTACATGTAAGAGATGTAGAAGGGTTCCTGTTCTGAAATGAAAATCTCAACATTGCAGCAACTAGAAATGGAGAACAGTTGGTAAACTGCCCACTGACAGTTAAGAGCCGTTAAAATTTTTAAAAGATTTTTTTAAAGATGGTTCGTAAGTTTCAGTTTCTTGATGAGGGTATGTTCCGACAAAGTGAAAGTTCATGCTAGATTAGTGAGGGTTTCCAAACTTCGACTTTGTGTCTGGCTTTGGCTTTATCTCTGGAGCCAAAGCTGGAGATGAGGCCAAAATTTCATGAAATCACTCTACTTTTCTAATTCTGGGACCTTCAACTTAAAATAAGACAATTTCGCTCACGATCATAGAGGCTAACTTAGCTGTAAACTCAGCAGCTAAATATGTATGAGGTATAGTAAAACAAATGTAACATGGTTTATTTTGGGTGGACAGTTGTTATTAGCTCCCCTCGGTATTAAAATTAGTCAACTTCCAATACCTTGGGAGCGAATATCACCTGTCCACCCTCAAACCTTGTTATATTTGTATAATGTTGACTGAAGATGAGACTTTCTGTAATATGAAGCAAGTTTGAATAACAGACCACTCCATTAAGCAACGCCATATAATGATTTGACCAATCACAGCCGCGATTGCCTGACATGCGCACACTTATGTACGATGCACATGACTGGAACATGCACTTTAGCATTTTGGAGACGCATGTGCTGCTGCTTCATGGGCAGCGCTTGAAGCCAAAATAATTTGTATTGGTTCGTTCTTTCTAATACAACATACTTACAGACAACTCTGGGCACGTTACCAATTCTATCACGGAGGCCCCCTTCAATGGCGAAAGCATTGTGCTAGCTATTGTCCAGATAATCCATCCCAGGGCAGTTGCTTTGTACAATAGCATGCGCAATGGTTTCTCCATTGAAGGGGGCCCCGTGAGTGTACCGCGATCACGTGCCCAGATTCGTCTAGACTTCCGAAGAGAAAAAGCCAATTTTGTTTTCAAATGCCACAACTTTAACCATTAAGTCAATTTCGTTACAACTCTGTCTGAACATACATGTACCCACAGAAATTCATTACTATTTTTGAATTTCCATGGCAACTGGAACCCTGTATTTGGGAAATTGGGGAAAACATGTCAGATTACTGATTATTTGAAAAAAATGTTTCCATGCAATTGACAGTTTTAGCACAACACCCATGCCCATGCAAAATAAGAATTTTAAACAAAAACTTTTAGGTTTTTACAACAAAGATTGTCTGTTTTACAAGCTGGTCGAGAGAGACGAAAGAACATGAAACCGTTGTATTCACGAAACAAAGAGTTTGTTTTTCTTCTATATTTTTACAATCCTTTAATCAGAATTCACCGCTGCTTACGAGATACTTATTTACAATGTAAAAATGGCACTACATCCTAGACTGGATATCACGTTCAAGTTCAATGTATAATATAAAACTAAAAGAAATCCCTTAAGATGTTATACTTTGCTTGTATTACAGTGACTTCCAATTCATTTTTATCACCCCCAAAGTCATTCCACTTGACCCAAACTGTGTTAATATCTACATTTATGCATAAACATACAATAAATCTCTTCCCCACAACCTGTTTCAATAAATTTGTAAAGCAATCGTTCTGAAAGATAATGTGCAATTCTTTTAAAAAAATTATTACGGAGCAACATTCAGTAAATTAATTTTAAAATATATGCAGACTGTGTTAAAAAGAAAGTTAAAAATATGATTCTCTTCATTTTTATCTCATGAACACTGAATGCGCAATTTGTTAATTAGGAAGCACATCAACTTTTCTTTCTTTGAACCCTAACCTTACCAACTCCATCAAAATCCATCCCCCATTTGGGGGAATTTTGGTAGATGAGCCGTTTGTACCAAGTCCATCAAAATCCACCAGCACCAGTGGTTGATTTCAATGGATTTGGTCTCTACTTAGTCAAACTTAAGTTGGGAGTTATGGTTAATGTCATCAATTAAAATAAAACAAAAACAGAGACTCTTGTGAAGTTACCCTCCACTTCGGCATCTTAATTTCAAAATTCTTTTTCTGAAATTAAAATTGACAATTTGCAAAAATAAACAGTTTTTAAGATATATAATTTTTTTATGTAGAAGGGTAAAACTGAGAATTACATAATTGTTTGGTAAGTTTAAATGTGTCTTTCCAACTGATTTCAAATTCTATTTTAGTTTTAAAATTCAGTCAACTTATTTGTGCCAAAATTTTGATATTTTTTTTTCAATACTCTAAAAAACTAAACAAAAAAGTTACAACTTATCCTGATTCAACAGAACTCAGCTACACACTTTATATTGAATGCACACAAGTAAATTACCCACACGAAAAACTATTACAATGCGACAAAAGCATTTAATTAAATCAAATTATTGAATAAATGCTGTAAACATACATTTATTTATATTCAATTATGTTAATTCAATGCCATTTCAATTCTTGTTTAAGCTTCGGCTGAAACGAAACCACACTGTAACCGTTTGACCATTGTAACAATTCTTGCTTTGTCATGAATTGAAGACAATGTTTCGCTGGCCATTTCAATTCTTTTAACCACGCGACCTGATTACAAAGCAAAGAATCACAACATGTCTCTCGCAGAAGCGCACTTCTTAATAACATCCAAGCTTTGCACGGGAACAAAACATTTCCTTAATTTCATGAGAAAAAAAAAAATCAAATTTATTGAGTAAGACAAGGAAATTCTTTTATGGACAACTCTGGCTTTGATAATGGCATTAAAGAATTGTCTTTTTGTGGTCAATTTGTTGTCCCATTGTGGGATTATTTAATGGATCCTCTGGTCAGGGCAGGTAAATGTGTGGTTTCCTTCTTTGTTTTGTTGTAAGGTCGTAATTTTAGTCGGCAAGATATCTTACAATGAACGCAATATTGTTAAGGTGGAGTGGAAAGCCACATCTGAATTATACGGCTATGTCTTGAAATTACACGTTTGTAATATTATACACTAGTCTTTGGAAGCAGTTGAAGCCGCTACCCAAACACACATAGCAATTCAGACGCGGCTTCAAGAAAGCGAAAACTTCCAAGGTCACAACATTGACGACCTAAGAAAGTTACAATATTTCATCTTCACGGCAAATTGTACATCATACTTCAACCTTGGTGGTCCATGTCCATCTCAACCACAATGGGTGGTCCGTGAACATTTTGTACCCATTCTTGATAAGCATTGCTAATGATAATGTCTGCTGCATGCAGTCTGCAGGATGGGGGATATACCCATCACACAGTGATATGCACAGCACCCAATACTGTCTTGTACTAACAGATCCTGCTTGTCAATTTAGCAAAAGTCGGGAAAACACATTTTCCTTCCGTGCGTACACATGGTAACACACAAATCATGAAGAGAAAATGTGTTCATAAACAAAACGTTGATAAAAACTTGTTTCCAACTAGAGGAAAACAGGAATGCATGTTCCTATCTAACTCTTTCTTCCCCTTGTAAATCTACACGATCTTATTTGAACTACTTCACAAAGGCAAGGTAAAAAGTTTATGTGAATGGTCAAGGAGTTGTCCTAAAATAATCTCAACACTTGTTTCAAATGAAAACATGATAGCAAAAATAACATGTTTTTCCTCATTTATTAAACATTACAAACTACTTTGAAATGTAAACGGTTTTCATCCGCAGGAAGACAGAACTGCATGTATTTTTCCATGATATCCAAGCCAGCTGATAAAATCACTTCTCTGCACTGTTGATTCCGTAGGCGCCAATAAGTGATTCTGTAGGTGCCAATAAGTGATTCTGTAGGTGCCAATAACTGATTCTGTAGGTGCCAATAACTGATTCTGTAGGTGCCAATAACTGATTCTGTAGGTGCCAAATCTGATTCCGTAGTTGGTAATAACTGATTTTCTAGGTGCCACTGTTTCTGTAGGTGCCAATACCTGATTCTGTAGGTACCAATAAATGATTCTGTAGGTGCCAATAACTGATCCTGTACATATAGGTGCCAATAACTGTTTATGTAGATGCCAAAACTTGATTCTGTAGGTGCCAATAATGATGTTGTAGGTGTCAATCATGATTCTGTAGGCATCAATAACTGATCCTGAAGGTGCAAATGGGATCCTCGACAATCCTCCATTGGGCAGTAATCCTATGGCACAGCCTTCATACTTAACAACTATCCAACAACTTAACAAGCATGAAGCCCAGTGTGAAGTCAAAGTGGCTTTGCTGCCTGGCTGTCCATGTACCTCCTCAATCCTGCAAAATCCTCCTATCATCTCCTGTCAAATTCTCAGTGATCTTGATTGGAAAGGGTTCATCGACTGAGAGTTGATGACATCCAAATATTTGTCGACAGTCGATTCATGGAAAAGTCTGGTCTTCCTTCTGCCAAACACCAACCAACAATACTTTGATACACTGTACACTGTCTTTTCCTCTATGCTAGAATTTTGGATGAACGATTTTCAAATCGTTCAAAAACTTTTTAAATCGTTCCAAACCCTTCCAAGGTGAAAGCAAAGTAACTATCATTTTCTTAGCTTGTGATACAACTGAATAATGCATCTAAAAGTAAATATTGTAGGACATAAAGAAAGCGAAAAGACCTCTAATTAGAAATACAATTTTATGTTTTCATGGTTCTGTTACTCTCGTCCAGCTTATAAATATTGGAAATGTCAGTCTTACAAGCATGGGTGTTGTGCATACCAGATTCATGGAACAGACACTAACATTTGTCTTTTACTCTAACAAAATACACAAAATAGGTAAAAAATAAAATACAAATAAAATAAATTCAAGTAATAGTTTAAAATTAAATTGACAGAAAAACCAAGACCATTTTTGTGCAAAAAATGTCTACAAAAGCAGTGATATGTCCTCAAGCATTCCGAACTATTCCCCAAGTCATAGGGATAAACCTATGAGTTATTTGGCGGAATTGATCACAAAAGTTGTGATACCAAACATTAAAAAAAAAAAAGAAGCAAACGCAAAGCAACTTTGAACATAACGATAAAACTGAAAAAAAGGATTTTCTTAAAAAAATATCTTCTTCCATTATTCTTAAATTCATGACCATTTTAGCCATTGGGAAGTGTGCTTTTGAAGTTTTGTGATTGGTTTTTGGGTTAAAATTATTAGTAGCCATATGAACAAAGCACTTTGGAAAATTTGGAAGCTTTTTAAAACAAAGAAAGGTAGTGAATGTTTCCATCTAGAGTTATTAATTAAAGGCAAGCATGAATTGTCAAACTTATTTCGAAGAAAATATTTAATGACGAACAATAATTTGCATATTGTATGCAAGTTGACTACATTACAAAAGCAAAAAAACCTGCATACCTTCAATGGAATTTTGCTTCCCAAACCATTTTTTTAAAAAATAAATCTCTCTCCTGTGATCTACATAAGACTTTCTTTATGGCAACCCAACTCCAACCCAAATATTAACATATTGTGTGTATACATGAGGGTACTGTACAGAAGGTTTTACAATTTCTAAAAAAATCTCTCAACCAATCATTTCATTATTTATAAATTTGCCAACAACTTTTTCCCTTTGCAAGTACCACGAATATATTAAATGAATATCACAACTTATCAAATGCTTCTAATAAAGTAACTGATCCCAATTAAGTACCTGAGGTTTGACAAGAAAAAAAAAATCATCCCGCTAAATTTCAATACCCCAGAATTTTGTGGTGAGAAGCAAAAAAAAAAAGCAGATTTTAAAGTTATTTTCCAACTTTCCAACAGCCCAAATGTATTAAATAGCACTGAAAAACGGAGAACTGACAGCACAAGAGCTCTAACTGCATCGTCTTGATGTATTGTAAGCGTGCCGGTTTGCGTGATGAACATTTGTATCATAAACAGCGTCCGCTACTGCTATGTGGTGCCACTCCTCCTCCCCCCCCCCCCATCTCTCGCATTTCAAATTTCCAGAACCGGCCAATTTTAGGATTTTGGTCATCCCTTCCCCCTTTCCATGGCACGGATTTACGTTATGTGGGAGTTGACTTGTGATTTACTTACTATAGGCATGTAATGGACTCAGCTTGTGCTCAGCTTGTGCTCAGCTTGTGATTCGACTTGTAACTGACTTATATAATTTGACTGGTAATGGACTTGACAACTGCTCATTGTTTGGTACAAAAAAGGCCTTTGGCATCTAGTTAACAATAGCCTAACTGGGGAAGTTACGAAAAGTTAAAGAGTCATTACCACTGACGCTGAACGGAACTCCGTTGGCGTTCTCGGGACCGTCGACAGCCGACTCGATGGCTCCGGTAATCAGCTCCGTATCAATGATCAACCCTGGCTCATCCTCCTGCATCTCGGCAAAGTCTTTAGACATCTGGATGGGATTCGAACCAAGGACAAGCTTATGATTGGTCAGAAGGGAGATTGAAGTACTGCTGTGGAAGCTCTAGGAAGTGTTGTGAGTCCTTACTAATATTATCGCAAAGCATGTGTTAAACCGTTACTCCTAATATAAGATTAGAAAAATCACTTTTTTTATTGGAGTCTCTCATCACAAGACCCTAATTAAGGGCCACTCAAGGTGAGGGCTACATAAAGATAAGACAGAACAGGAAATCTAAGAAAAACAAACATAACTTTAAGTAGAAAGTTAAGCTTTGATGAAACGCTTGATCTGGGACAGATACTTTCAAGTTATATCACGTTTGTCTCGTTTTAGAGTTCCTACCTCGGTTGCAATTGTCTCTCCGCCTGTCTTGTCTGGTTTCACCGGTACCCTGTTCAGGACCGAGTCGCCATTGGTCAGATGCTTGGCTTTGCGTCCTCGTCTCTTCTTCTTTAGTACGGGATCAGCGGCACCACCATCAGGGGTAGCAGTGGGGGCAAGCCTGTCTGCCGGTCCACTGCGTTTCTTCTCGGGTTCTTCATCCTTCAACTGCCAAGAAATGGAGCAAAAATATAAAAGTCCTTAAATCAGGACTTTTCGAACATTCCTGAATGCTCGTTTCCTTCTAAAAGCCTCCACTGACACATTCCAAACCAATGTGTCACTTTTTCTAAAATGGGCTGTCCCAAACATACCGAAAATCTGAATATTTTATCAACAACTGAATATTTTATATTTGCTATGACACGGAGTGTTCAGCGGCCAAGTTCAACACACAGCGTGTACAAAACCAATGGGAACCATTGACGTGTATGCATGTCCACTACCGGAGACTAGAGGCAAGCTTGACGAATGAACACTTCACCCGCCCCTGTGAATATACATTGCCAGATTGTGTTTAAACATCCTCCAGCGTTAACTGGTTAGGAACTTGCCTACACAGTAGGTGTTGGCCATCCTTTTTTTTTTCAAAGCTGACAGAACACATTATGCTTACTTTGAGTGACTTGGTCATTTTAGGAGAGAAGCCCAGATTGTCCAAGTCAGCTTCCTGGAGTTTCTTGGATGGTTTGGTCTCGCGACGAGATCGCTTCACCACCACATCTGAATCAAGACTGGCTTCTTGTACTTGACGCTTCCTTGCTGCAAAGCCAAAAAAAATCATCAGTATGTTATTTTTTTTTTTACAAACAAGCACATCATTATGTCTGTGTGGAGCAATATATTAATTCTGTCAAAAACCAAGGCATTAAAATCTTCAACATTTTTGAAAATACTGCAATTTGACAACCATAATATACAAATGCTGACTTCAACTTTTGACTTAGTCAAACGATCATGTACATTACACTCAGGTCAAGACAAGCACTAGACGGTTTGTGATACCAATAATGTTTATGTTTACACGAATCTGATGGGACTTGCACACTCTATTGGATTTTGTTTTGATTAGGATTGAAAATAATTGTCATTTCACCTCGTCTTGGAGTAGTGGCAGCTGACCGTGCTGGGCTGCTGCCATATTTAGCTTTCTCTTCTTCCGTTGCATCTTCCCATTTCTCTTCAAGTAAAGCATTCAACTCTGCTTTACTCATCTTGGGATGTTGTAACGTCAACTCCTCCAGGTGCTTGCTACAGAACGCTAGGAACTGTAACGACTTCCGACCGCGTTTCCGCTTTGTTCTTGGCGATTCCTGAGCAGGAGGTGGCTTGGCCTCTTCCACGGATTTCCTCTTGCGGTATTTTCTTTTAGTCCGAGGCACTGGGAGGGCGGTATTGTTGTCTTCAGATGCCATGCTACCCGCGGGATGTCTGTCTGGAGTGGATATGGAAGCAGAGTGGGTTTGGGTCGGGTCTTGGCTTGCCTCTTTAGTCGTAGCTGCCGCTGCCTCGCTGTCTTGCTGTTTCTTGTAAGCTCGCTTGGCCTTCATCTTTGGAGAATCGCCCAGCGACACCACGTCAATCTGTTCTGCCGACAGGCTCCCGGTGGCGGACTTTGGAATCTCGTACTTGAAGGTGAACTTGAGTTTGCGTTCATGTCTGCTCATTGGCAACGCTTTCTCGCACTCCACAACTGATGTTTCCCAAGCAGACTTTCGGCTTGGCTTCAAGGCAAGTTTGGCCATCATTTTGGCGCGTTCCTTTCGTTTAACTTTAGCGACTAGTTCTTGGACTAACTGATCGTACTGACTACGGCCGGTGAATTTGCGCATACTGCAGCCACTCACCCAACCCCTCTCTGGGACTTCGCCAAAGAACTGAACGTGATACATGCGATAACTCTTCCCATAGGCTCCTGTCAATAGTAACATCAATGAAAAGAAATCACTGTGAATCAATCGTTTTCTACTATTATCAAATCTGTGATGAAGCAGTTGTGTCACTTTTGTACATTTTTGAAATTTATGAATTTGTTTACAATTGTATGAATGCTTTTGAATACAGCACTAGTTTACATGTATCTATCATCACTTTTTCACCATGTGTTTCCAAGCAAACAGATATGGTATATTTCCATACATATATTTCCAAGTTCTTACAAAGTGTGGGATGACCGACAAGGCACAAATCTTCAAACCTCAAAAACTGATACGTATTTCAAAAAAAGGTAATGTAGATGGTTACAGCTCCTTTGGACACTATTTTGTTTCAGCAAGTCGGCAAAATGGAAGAATCACTCGGCCATCTTGGGGAAAAAAGAAAGAAAAAAAGCGCCTGCCTCCTTCATTTTTCAAATAGCCGAGACGAGACACACTTGTTTTCTTACTCAGCCTCAAAGACTTGCCACTCAAGAATATTTGAATACATTCACACTTGTTTACATGTAATTTACTCTCACTGTCTCAGATTGTTTTCATTATTTGTGACTGCCTGAATCTGTAAAGATAAACAGACTTGTATTTTTGGCTAAAAATTGTGAACTAACCTTTCATTCTTGTGTAGATACCCAAGTTAGGATCATACGCCACCATGCAGGGCCACCATGGATGACCTGTGACCTTTGACCAGACAAGGTCACCCACAAGCCACTCACATGGCTTCTCATCAAAGGAAGTTGAAGGCGGGTTGGCTTGGAGCGTTGGTTTGGGCAAAGCAGCGGCCTTTCCAACTTTGAAGTTCTCCCTCTTCTGAGCGACTGTCTTTGGTTTTGGTGGAGTAGGGCTGGGTTGATCTCTAGAAGCGATGTCAGCTCCAGAGTCAGACTGAGTCACGTCTTCTTCCTTTGACATTTCACTGCCACTTCCAACTGCATCTGTCTTGTCGCTTGCTTCCTTCCCAGCGAGAGTTGATGTTAACCGTGGCCGTCCCTTATCAAATGTCTTCTTGATTGTTATTTTGATTTCGGGGGAGCCTGGTGGTACGTCAGAGGTTTCTGAAGGTGCCGAGTCTGATGGTGGGGTGGGCATGACAGAAGATGGGTCCTTGTTTGATTGGACTTGGCTGGGCGGCGTACTCGGTTTCTGAGGCGGGTTCATTTGAGGGTTCGGAGGTTGTAATCGGGTGTTATCGATGACTGGAGGTTGGTAGATTGAGGTTGGTGGTTGAGTCTGTGGCATGGGTTGTGCTTGGTAAGAATGAGGTTGGCTTGGGGGTTGAAGCACCTGTGGTTGTGGTTGTATGGGCATCTGACTCTGTGGCTTGGCTATTGGTATCTGAGGTTGTTGTAGTGCTACAGTTTGGTCCTGCTGGTAGGATTGTTGGTACATGTCGTACTTCTGTGGAGAAGAATGAGGCTGTGCTTGCTGGTACGGCATGTGTGGCTGCAAGTACGACTGCTGCATGCTGTGCATTGGGGCATTAAACGTCGACTGGTACGACGACTGTGGATAGAACTGCTGAGAGTACGACTGCGAGTATGTCGGCTGTCCAAAACTCTGCTGGGGGTACTGCTGGTACATTGACTGCTGGGATACGATGGGTTCCTGCGACCTCATAGGTTGTGCTATCTTGTGGTACGGTGGCCCGGGAACTGGGTTGATTGGAATATGGGAGTAGGGTTGCGAACTAGTGGAGTAACTTCCCATTGGGGCAATCCCCTGCATGCTAGGTGAACCATATGACCCCTGTGGAACTGAGGCATCATTGTTAGAGGGGTACAGGGGTGGGGGTTGAGGGAGAATGTTCCTCTGATCGCTTGGATTCATGGTGTCTGCGTGGTCCTGATGGAGATCATTGAGTGATCTATGTGCAGTGGAATCCTTGGATTGTGTTGTGCCCATACGAAGGGCTCCGACCTCTTCGTGTGAACAGATTTACTGAAAAGGAAAATTTGGAGAAAAGAAAAGACAGGGAAAAAAAATATGATTTTGAATTGTAACTTTGTTTCATATTTTTAAATTTGCACAGCTGAAGCTGGTGAAATGCTGAACTAGTACAAGGCCAAGTAAAACAATAAACCAGTTTCTTGTCCCCGCCCACTTCCTTGTTCACGCCCGCCTCTTTTTTTAAAAATTCATACATTTGCAATATATATTTGCAAATATATTGTCAATAAGAGCAAAAGTGTTGCTATGTACAAAGGGTTTCCTGAGGACACAGTTTTGTTCAGCAAGAGTCGAGAAGATGGAAGAATCAATTCGCCGTCTTGGGAGAAAAAAACACCAGTCTCCTTCATTTCTCAAAAAGCCCGGACAACAAACTTATTTTCTTTCTCGGCCTAAAACGCTTGCTACTCAAGTATACATTCAACTTGTTTACATGTAATTTTTGTTAAGGTTTTACCATTCACAATTTATTACAGGGCAATAAATGTGTTATGAAATCAAATGGTTTTGCAAATGAAAAATTAAAAAATCTGTCACAGTTTTTGACACAATTACGAAACTTGTTGGTGAATGGCAGTGCAGATAATCAGATAAAGATTTACACGCATCGGGATTAGGACTTCACTTGACGCATTCACTTGACCAAGTAAAACCGTAACACATATTAACTTATGTTCCTATTTTGTCACTTCTTACCTCCTAGTGGAAGACGGTAAGCTTAAATGACCAAAAACAAAAATTTCATTCATAAAAACGCAAAAATTGTACAGAAAGGAGATCATCCATTGAGTATTGATAGTGTTACAATGTGAATTTCTGATGAGCTTGTTAAGCCAGAGTATTGACATGATTGAAAACAATATGAATGTAATTTGTAAACGCACATAGGCCTAGGCCTATGCAAGGAAACATAAAATATTGATTTTATTTATCTAAATCTAGTTATTTGGATTGATTACCACATTGTGGTTGCCAATTAATTATTCGAAGAAAACTTGTCTATTTTTAAACTTGTTTATTTTTACGATAGGGCCTACAGAAAATCTTCTTTTTTTTAATCATGGTCATGTTAATCCAAACCAAAACCATCGCAAATCATCATAAAACTTAAGTGTACGATTGCTAAATGAAGATAACCCCTTTGTTCAACTAACCAAGAACAACTTTGGAAAGCAATTTTCTTTAAACAAAAAAAATCAATCAGATTTTGAATATCCCATTCCATCACTTCAGCCATGCTTCAGCCCACTGGCCCACCCACGTTATATTTTTTGCACGCCTCCGAATTCGAGTAAAATGGGAAGCCATTTTTGGAATCGTGAACGAGTAAAAAGTTATCTAAAAACACCTTAAAATTCAAGCAATCGCTTCAAAATTACGAAAAATAAATTCTATGATTTTTGGTAATCATTAAACGCATTTGGTAAATCAAATGGGTGGCACAAGACAAGTAATATCGAACCTTTTTTGAGACTTTTTTTTCGCGGCTCCACTCGTCGTATAGTGAACTTACGGTGAAATCAATCAACTGAGACCCGACTAATGCCGATTTGTTACGGCGCCAAAAATACTTTGTTCTCATTGGTGGACGGAAGTGGCCGGAGATAAACGATCGCTGACGGAAACTACCGATTGTTTCATGCATCGAGAAGCACAGTTTCCACGCTTCTTTGTTCGTTTTTCAACGCATTTTACATGCCACTGTTACCCCTCTGTTTTTGTATCAATTAACCGAGTGTTGATAACTACCTCTTCTTGTCTCCAACACACTTCTTTTTCGCAGAAACCTCGAGGAATTTCACAAAAAAAGCAAATAAAATCGAGCGACTGTGAACTCAGCGTGTGACCGAAGAGTACACTGTTGGGTCAAAGGTTACCAATCAATCAATCCCATCATGCAGTAGTACTTGCACATGTGTATGCATGCATTTGCAGTATACAATTTAATTACAGTAAACTTGTGTACTATTACTTAACAACTTTATTTTGATTTGCTTTTTTGGATTGCAAAGTTATCAGAATGTTTCCAAGATGCAGTTTGCTTTTAAATCGCATGGGTGGTCTATCTACGGTGTGGGATCCGACCATTAATGTTGTGTCATTTCAATGTGTTCGGTGGCGTAAAAAAAGAACAGACCCTAAAGCTAAATCGAAACTTGACTACAAGCGAATTCCAACACCAATTGATCCATGGGAGTATGAATTCCTGACAACGAAGACACCGCACTACAGGACCATTTTAAGGGCCATGAGGTGAGTAAATATTGCGAATATTCATGCAGATTTTTTTTATTTATCATGTTTATAAACATTGATCATGTTGATATAAATAATGAACAAGTAAAACAAAAACATCAGTTTGTGTACCTGCCCGCTTCCTCTTTTCCCGGCCGCCTCTTTTTTTTCCTTTTCTTTTTTAAATTCATACATTTGCAATATATTTTTTGCACATTATTGTCAATGTTTGTCTTTTTATTTGTTTTCAACGAAAGTGTACATAAATACATGTATGTTGAAAGGGTTTACTTGTGGCTCCTTATTTTTGTATTGTATTAGCAAAATTGTCCAGAAAATCGAAGAATCCATCCGTCATCTTGAAAAATCTGCCATCTTAGGAAAAAAGGGGCAAAAAGCGCACACCTTCATTTAAAAAAAAAAAGCCAGACTAGAATTTACTAATTTTTTTTAACTGGACATTAGGCAGTTTAGGTACTAAAATATGTTGTGTTGCATTGTGGGACAGTTTCCACTACGAAAGGAGATTTTAAAAACTGCCTTTCAATGCAATGTATAATGTAGAACAGCTTCACTGCGCATAAATGTGGGAAGTGTTTATGAATATTTCAATATGCGAAGGATGGTCTATCAGAAAGTTTATATCTTAATATGTCATTGTCTGGCTAATATTTGCATCATACATAAATATCTGTATGTTAATAATCCTTTATATATTTTTTTTCTCTTTGCAGGAAGATGTTCAAGGAGGAACAAGCACAGAAGAGCACTGAAACGGCCGAGGGTGGGTCAGCTGAAGAGCGAGCTCAGATGGAGAGACAGGAGCATCTTAGTCTCCTTGAATGGAATGAGCAAGAAAATGCTCGCACAAGGGCAATAAGGTATTAAGCAGAGACAGAAAGGATAGATTGCAAGGAGGGAGGGGCGTGTCAAGAGAAAAATTCAATGGGAGGGGAAGGCTGGTTTGTACATGTATCACTGAAATATAGACAACTGGAGTGGCTTCTTTCGTGACTGATCTTTAAATGTCTTTAAATTTCAACATTGATAACATGATCTACTTGTCCAGCATTGATCTACTTGCTTGATTTCTACAGGGAGGAGAGACTTCATTTGGAGTTGCGTGAGAAAGAGGAGAAGAAATTGGGGAAGATGCTGGAAATGGAGGAAGAGAGAAGACGCACTCTGGAGGAGCTGGCAATCAGAGTCCGGCAAGAGAAGGTAGATTTTGTCCAAGAAAGGGAGGGTAGTTTATGTTAAGACAAGGGTGTCCCAACTCCCAAGAGCTGGGCACAAAATTGATGGTACTCGCACCCATGCATGCAGCAGTCTCATCAGGTCTCATCATGTGATGCTCCTACCAGGATGATTGGAAACTCTGGAAAACTAAGTTCCGTTCTGAAAATGCTTAACTAAAGCTGCCATTTTAAATTACCCCAACCTGGAGATCTGTTGAAACCATTGGATGCATACCTGTGCATTGGGTGTAAAGGAGCCATTTTGTGTCCATCTCCATCTAAAGCTCTGGTTTTGGCACACACACATACATGTAGTTTTGGCATTTCATCATTTAAGACGCAGGAAAGGTCCACAGTCTCTCAAGTTTGCATATATCCCCATCGTTATTGAAAGTCTATTATCTATAAGTTGAAGCAAATAGTTGAGAAAATGTCTCTGTTTTTCTTTCCTATTCTGTGATATTTCAGGAGGCGAGCAAGTCGTACATCACCATGGACAACGTGGAACAAGCAATTGAAAATGCCCTGGCTGATTCCAAGGAGTATAACTTCACCATTGATAAGCGCGGACGAATCCTACTTCCGGAGAACTCGGCATGGCAAGAATTGAAAGCAAGACAAGAACTAACAGTTGATGATGGAGAAGAGAACATTGAGGAACAAAAGCAGCAACAATAGCGGACCTAATCTTAATATCTAGGACGATTAACCCCAACCCTCTATGATCTTTCAAAATCCAGGGGGTTTGAAGGATTTTACAGGATTGAGGGCGGTAGTGCCAACTCTCAGTTACCGTACTTGGTGCCCGAATGTACCATTGGGATCCTACAGTGGAGATTAGAGGATGCTAGAAGGCGGGTTGCAAAGATGCTTAAGCAGTTCGGATCATCAGTGCCATCATATCTCAACCAGTTTGATATTTGCCTACTGTTGACACTTAAATGGGTTTTATTGTATCGAAAGTATTTACGTTGACCAAAAAAAATTGGAGTGTAATGGAAAATATCAAGACCGAAACAGATTGACCAAATTCAGGATTTTGTACTGTTTTTTACATCAGTGTTCATGACTTGCTTTATAAAATGCCCTGCATCCATCAATCCTAAAGATTGTTCAAATTGAATGTAATTCTCAACATCAAAGCATTATCCATAAAACGACCCATATTTGTAATCCTCAAACTTACAACAAGTTTCAGATAAATGAAATAGACAAGACACATGCAATTTGTGGGTATGGCAGTTTAATATTTCAAAAGTCATTACTTATATCATTTTGATGGTTTCCTTTTCAATTTGTAAAAAAACTGTTACCATGTAAATGTAATGTTCATATAACATTTAAATGACAAATGAAAATGACTATTCCACTTTCACACCATTAATAAAATCGCATTTACATCGAATTTCTGCGTACATGTGCTTGATAAAATGTATAAATAGCTTGTGAATACATGTAATAAGTACTGGCCTCAAAATTTTAATCTCCGAAATCTTATTTTTCGAAAGCGAAAATGCAAGAAGTGCTCACTGGTGGAAGGCAAAATGGAAAGCAAAATGTGAAAAAGCATAACATCCTAAGCAATGAAAAAGAAAAAGAAAAAAAAAACCCAAGAAATATGCTCACTTTGCTAAATTGTTTCCTATATCTTCTAACAAAAACTGTTAACCTATATTTGCTATTTACAAAGCATGTGCTTCACTATTTCAGATAACCAACAATTATTTTTCATTCGTCCCTGCGCTAGATCCAACGGCGACAGATATAATCCCTTTCACAAAATCTCCTTAAGGAAATGCAGATGCCCCAAATCATTGTGGGTAGGTCATTTGTCATTATCAATGTATAAAAATGGTACAGTCGACTCTTGTTAATACAAACACCATTAATACAAATTCTGGTTATAGCAAATGTAAAGCCCAGGTCCTGACTGTGCACAATGAATGGGACCGGCACTCGACTTAATACAAAATTCTGATATAACAAACATTTTGGCTAGGTCCGGCTGAGTTTGTATTCAGGCATGCAACTGGGAAGTCACAAAAAAAGAGGAAATTCAAATCTTTCCAAGACTTTGTACAGTGTTTTTCTATTTTTTAATGGCACACATGGGAAGTAAACAAAAAAGGAAATCGGCTGATCCGAGGAAAAGTTGCATGCCTGTGTAGTAACAAGAGTTGACTGTTTAAACCTGCTGTACCTGTGGTTCATGCGCACACAGAGATACTAAACCCCAGTTAACAAATGAACAAGTAAAGTTGATCGAGGTAATTCACCATCTCTCTTGGAAAGGATTTGTGGGAACAAGCGAACTTTTACTTGACAACAGCTCCCTCATGTTCGAGCAGCCATTTTTTAAGAGTGTTCCCCTTCCCAGCCATGTAGTTGCCCAGCGCGCCATCACTCTTGGTCACGCGGTGGCAAGGCATCAGGATCGGGATCTGGTTGGCACGCATGGCGCCCCCTACCGCCCGACAGGCTTTGTCGTTCCCGGCCATGGCTGCGAGTTGGCCGTACGAGACTGTCTCCCCACACTGAACTTGATTGGTTAAAGTCTCCCAGACTTTATAGGTGAAGGAATCTGAAAAAAATTTAAGTGTTCAATAGTCGTCAACTACAGGTAATTGGTCAATGTGTGCCGTTTGATTTGTAGGCGGCAATGGTACAATAAAAGCGTCTGCTTAATGTTAGGACTTCAAAAACCTTTTAAGCATAATGTAATGGGGACTGGTCTCCCACTAAACCCCGGACACAAACCCGTTTTTGCAGTCGGGCGATGAAATGGTGGAAGAGGCATCTGATTGGCTGCTTTGGCATCTTTGAAGTACACAGTCAACCAATCAACACACTTCCTCAGAGGACCTGGCCAATGGTCTGGTGCCTCTGTGACTGCCACAGCAAACCTGTTGAAATCAAATTGATTGACAGTGTAAAACATATCACAGGGAACCCCGTCACCACCCCTCCCCAATCCTTCAAAACCCAGAGATTTGAAAGATTTTGTAGGATGGTAGATCACAGCCACTACATGTACATGTATTACTAACTACAAAGAAATGTGGCTTTTGGCTCTCCACAAAGGTGGGATTTTTTTAATGATTTGGGAAGGTTCCCATCATTTAATGCTTAGAGATCCACCACACCCACAAGGTATGGGCTTACTTTTTGCCAGGTATTTCTGTCGCTGCCGTTAAGTTGATGTTGTGGACACCAGTCTTGCATGCCGTCACACTAACTGGTCCAATAGGAGTTCGCAGAACAGCCCTACTCTTCAGACAAATTTCAGCCATTGTATCCTTTTGTGACCTGAAGTAAAAGAAGTGCAATATATCTTGGTATTAATCAACAGCCGGGCGCATATCACATAACATAATACAGAGCAAGTGACCAAAGCCTTTGTTGCTGTATCTAGGTTTTTTTTTATCCATGTCTATGACGTGACAACAGTGACCTACCGAAGACCCGATATAGAAAGCACCCGCTGATTGGTCAAACTCTAGAGGTCAAGATGCGGTTGTCTTGCATAATCAATCAGCGAATCTGCTCAAATGTTATAGACCATGGCTTTCACCATGGTCTATGATAGACTAAGTAATAAGTGGGCACGCAGACAACCAGAATTTTTTTTACATTGGCGCTTGTCTAGTTCCCTACGTTCTTGAAACTCAATGGTTCTTGAGTCTGGAGTGCTGAATGCCGTAGCACATAGCATAGCAACGGATTTTCATTAGATGACGTCACTTTCATTCATTCACTTGTTCTTTACTATTCTTACCACATCTCCATTAAAAATAACATAACATAGAATGTAATTAAAAAATCTATTAAAGGGAAAATACAACATTTGCAAACATCAAAAAATAAAACTACCAAATCATTTTGAAATACCTTTGCTGGACTGTTAGTGAATGACAGTGTAAAGCATCCTGTAAAATCATGGCACCTGGTATACTGTAATTTTCAAGAAAAGTGGTATTTTTGTATCAATTTCCAACGCTGATCGGCCGATCAGCGTTGGAAACAACTGGCTTTTTGTTCAAATACTGGCTCCAATTGACCATCGCACTTGTTTGCAATCGATTACAAACCTATGAACGGGTACGAGCCAGCTAGACTGGTTCCCTGACCTTACAATTCCCCAATGTATGTAAACTGCTCTGTTTCTTCTTATATGGAGTCAGGGAACCAGACTACAGGAAAATGATCGTTTTTCTTGGTTTTTATAGCATTTTTGAACCCAAAACCTAAAAAAAGTAAGTGTAACTATATTTGCTATATATTTCCAACCCCCCAATTCCATCCATTTCTGAAAATTACAGCAAAAGCAAATGATGTATATTCCCTTTAAATTAAATATTAGATTTACGAAATGCACTTATACATTCTTTCTTTAAAAAAGAGAGATATGGAACAGGATCCTAAAACAGTGGAGCTTGTCAAATAAGGATCCCTTTCACACAAATTGCCACATAAATTTTGGTGAAATTAAAACTAATAAAAGAGATAACTCAAAAATCAATTCAAATCCTTGATTCAGTTGAATATGCCACTCTCCAAGCCTCTTAGTTAGACTTCCTCGAGGAGTTCTGAAGAGGATAAGTTACCACCAAGTACCAAGTACATGAAGTAAGTACCAAGTAGAACTGTTTATGTCAAATTGGCCAACTCGATCTGCTACTGCACAGAGCAAGGATCCAGTACGGTATACATCTATGCATTCATGCTGTGAATGTGACAAATACTGCTATACTTCTTGGTCAAGTGCGACAGTATTTTCCCGTTGCAAAATGTACATTGATTATGATAGTTCAAAGTTTATACCGTGAAAATAAAAGATGCTAGATCATGTTCACCATTCACCCGCGCGCGCGGAATGCGAAGTGAGACCACGTGCCCCATTTCCGTGTTTACAAAGGTCACGAGGTCAATCGAGTGATGACGTCGCAGCTGAGTCGGCCATTTTGACACATCGAACGTAAATTCCAACGGGCTTTAAATCCGTCTTCATCCATCAGTTTCCACCGGTAAACGAGATTTATTTTCTTCGTGAAGAAAGCGAAGGTACAGCAGCAACCATGGCCATGCAGTCGGCTATGTGGAAGATTCGGGAGATCCAGGATAAAGTGTGAGTTGTGACTAGCGAATGAAATCGAACGATGTGCATACCAAATGCATTCTTATCGTAAACTGGGCGTAAGCTGCCGGCCGGTGTCCAAAAATGTACTAAGATTAGAAAGTGTTGATTTTGTTTGGACCGTTCATTTACGGTGGTTATACCATGGCAGGGAACCATTTTCATTTTATGTTGAAGAACAGGAAACATAAAGACACCAACATTACAAAGAATTATTTGGCATTTTAGGGAAAGAATGTTGCAACCCGAGTGACCCGACGCCACTTTTTTCTTCATATTTCATAATCAATCTTAATAAAAGTCAGTCATTGGAAAAATGTTGATAAAACATGAATCTGGGACCGAGGAACATTTCCAATAAGGTTTTTTTCACGGTAATAGGCCCTATGCGCCATCTTGTTCACAGGGCAAAAAGAACACGCGTTGCCATGGTTGCTAACCTACATTCTTTCCGCATTTAGGCCCAGCCTCCTTTTTAATAATTTTTGTGTGTGTTTTGTTATTGATCAGGCAGTGCATATTTGACTGTGAACCGGTCCACGATTTTTTTTCGTTGTTCAGGCATGCAACTTTTCCTTGGATTCGCTGATTTCCTCATTTGTTACTTCTCATGAATGCCATTACAAGTCCTTGAAAAAAGACTGTACAAAGTATTAAGTTGTTTGGAATTTTTTCATTTTTTCTCTATAATATTCCCAGTGGCATGCCCGGTTGTTAAACCAGCATTGCACTGAAGTGAAGGTTTACCGCACTGAACACTCGCAGTGAGTGTTTTTTCAACATTTTTGCTTTCATTGTTGTTGTCATGCATAGTTGTGGCTTCGTACTTAGGCTATGAGATGGGAATCAGACCTATATGTAATGCAATTACATGTAGGACCGACGACCAAGTTGGGGCGTAACATTGACGATTGACCTAGTGACAGTCTTTGTATATTTAACCCTAACTCCCCAGCATAAGTTACTAGGAACCGTACCCATTCAGGCAAATTCCAACACCCACATGGGAAATTGTACACACACACACTGTTGGACTTAGTTTCTGGAGGTATGCCAAACCCAATGTAAAAGACCATCTGTTTAGGGGTACTTTACCTATCCCAACAGATTTAAACAAAACCTGCTGTTGAACTTTGATGGGTTGAGTTCGGTTAGGGTTAAAGAGAGCAGATAAAACATATTTCAATAAGCTTGGCAGCGCAGCCAGGCCCCCTATTGTGGTGGATGTTTCATCACTTTAATGTTTATTCCTCCTGAATTCCGCCAAATTTTACCAAGTGTTTTGAAGTGTTAAGATAAATTGAAGTTGTCACAAGCATGTCACAAATTTGTCCGTTACTCTTCCTTCTTTTGGCAGGACCAATATGGTGATGAATTACACGGAGGTGGAGGCAAAAGTCCGCGAAGCAACCAACGACGAGACGTGGGGACCTCACGGATCTCTCATGTCCGAAATCGCCAAGGAAACCTATACTTATGAACATTTTCCCGAAGTCATGGGAATGGTATGGAAACGAATGCTGCATGACAACAAGAAGAACTGGAGACGAGTCTACAAGGTCTGTGACAATTTACTTAGTTTCAACCCCATGGAACCTTTAACGTATAGATTGGAATATGCAGTGAATGTATGCTGTCCGATTGCACCTTTTGTGCAATGAACAAGCAATGAGGCATAACAAATACCTTCACTGGACATTGCTGATCTGGCGGCTATCCGTAAAAAAGGGTCTATGAGCAGTGACATTTACATGTTGGAAGACCGGCACTATAGTGCTGGATAGCTCAGTTGGTAGAGCACTGATGTGATGTTCTTGAGGGTGCAGGGTTCAGATTCCACAGCAGTTGATTTTTGTGTTCATCCTAACATCGATGGAAAGTGCACCTAGTCAGTTTTCCATTGTCTTAAAAAGCTCACTTTTATTCTTTACTTAGCTGCATAATGTCTTTCTAGTAGAAACAAGTCGCGCATGAATATAATGTTTATATAGAATGTTTATAATTGCAAAATATTTTTGGTTTCAGTTTGTTTTAAATGGGCATAATTACCAAGGCTCATGTATTTCTACTCATTACATTCAGTCTAGTCTTCTTTTTTTTTACGAAACGCTATCTGCAGAAATTAAACATAATGATGGATTGATTCTTTCACTTTCATTAAAATGATCTATATTGCTGCACCAAGTAGGACTTGATATTAAACCTCTTGAGTCTTACTATACACAGTATGCCTTTGCTTAAAAAAACCCCAGTATTGATAGTCAGTTTGTATTTAGTCAACACAATTGTTAACAAATTGCATGTACGTCAATGAAGTAGTCTTTTCACAGATCCACTTTGTGATTTAATGGTCAGAACTCTTTCTGTCAAAAAGTTTCCTACTTGTACTACATTTTCCTGTAACACTGCTCTTTTCTTTGTTTGTGTATTAGTCCCTGTTACTTCTGGCCTACCTTATACTCAACGGATCGGAGCGTGTTGTTACGAGTGCCAGGGAACATCTCTATGATCTGAGGTCGTTGGAAAACTACTCGTTCATGGATGAGTTTAACAGGGACCAGGGACAGAATGGTAGGTTTGTATTTTTTTCCAGGGTGTCGGCGTGACTCAATTTGTGGTGTCTGCTTACTTAACCCTAACCCTGACAGACGCAGCACAGTGCATCAGGTGGAAAAGTCTGGTGCACTTTGATGCATTCAGCTACCAACACCAGTGCATTCATTACCACTTCTGAGACAATGAGAACTAGCCCCATAGAACAATGCCACAGTTGTATCCTGCTGAGTTAAGACCACAGACTCTGAGGCAGTTTGGCCTTCAGACTTTTGGCCTGATGGATCTTGCTGCACTGGGCAGGCTTGTCACATAGACAAGCCCTGCATGCTGCTGCGTTTGGCAGGGTTTCTAGCCAAAATACCCAGGAGGGTTAGGGATAATGTAACCTACATGAGCTTGAAGTTGGAAATTGCCATTTTGCAGTATAGAGGGGCAAAGCCGAAATTTGAAGGGGTGATTACTTTTTTTGTTTTCAGGTGAACCTTGATCTGTGAGTCCTCTTGTACCTTTCTCCAATTTTTTTTTGCTGTGAAACATCTTTAAAACCTATTTTCATCCTGTTTTATCAGTTTACTGTTCATTCACTGGAACACAAGAGCGGCATTTTAAATGCCATTTTCTTGGGAATCCGTTTAACAACTTCAAGTAAAGTTGGTGGTCTATATTTCCATTACTTAACTCAGTACCCTAAACGTTATATACCATTGGAAAGCTCATTACATTATGTCACACATTATCAAATTAAGAACACAAGCATGGAACAAGTAATAACACCCGTAAAAAAATATCTGTGATTTTTAATAGTGAGGCAGAAGGTGAAAGATGTCGTCGATTTTATCCAGGACGACGAGCGGCTACGCCTGGAACGAAAGAAAGCGCGGAAAGCTAAAGACAAATACATTGGCATGTCCTCAGATAACCAGCCATTTAAGTACAGTAAGTACACAACTTGCCTCACAGCTGCAAACCACAGAAAATATTTACTATGCACAGAAAAGATGTGCTGAGCAAAAGCTAAGCTTTTATCGTTCAATGCTATTTTTTATTGTGATTGGTTTCAAGCTGATTTCGTTTTGAATTGTTCTTAGGAACATGTTTTGTGCAACTTTCCACTCCTCTTAAATGCATGAAAACTATTTGACATTCCTTTCTTGTTCATTTTATTGCAAAGTGCACTTCTTTAAACATGGAAAATGATCTATGTTTTTCTGGACAACTGAGAGCGCAGTTGCTGTGATTTCATTGCAGGAAGACACTGTTCAGTTTAGGGGTTTTCTGTTCAAATTGTGAACCCAAAATGTGCTCATTGAAAACATTTGTGAGAAAAGTTTGCTCATTTCTCTTACAGCAATGTACTGACACAACAACAAATCACTTAAAGAGAAGAAATGTTACAACAGCAAAATATCAGAAATTTTGGCAACTTTCGATGCTGAAATAGCTGTTTCTGCATGAAATGACATCACACTTTTGCTCATGAATAAGGTAATTCACATAAGCATAAAAACCAAAAATGCACCAAAATACCCTTGAAGATGGCAAAACGAAAATTCAAAATAAGGTTAAATGGGACAAAAGGTGCATTTTCAAGGATTGCATTAAAAAATCTACTTTGCATGGGCCCTTTAATAAATCGTTCCGTTGCATTCATGATGGAACAGTCGAAACGTTTGATTTGTTCCCTGATTGTTTCCGCCTGTACGACCTTTTGACCTCTGTTGTTTCTTGAAGGTGACCGTTACGAATCCGAGCCCAGGATGCCAAAGAACAAGGTGAAGGAATTTGACGATGAGATTGACAATTACAAGAGCAAACAGTCGCGGTTCAATCTGGGAAGGATGGGCGGCGGCAATAAGCCTGAAGACTCGGACGAATCGCCACCAGAATATGGGTAAGGCTATGGCTTACAAGACTATGGCTTGCAGTTACACATGCCTCTATGGAAGTGGCGGAAGCCATGTTCCATAGACAAATGTAACGACTGGCTGTAGCCACATTTGTAAGAGCTGCTGAGCACCAAGCAGATTCTAGTGCTGAGCACATATTGGCCGAGTACCAGTCAACAGCACAGTACATGTATGCGACTTGAAATTCAGCTGATAACTTCAGTTCATACTTCTCCTAAGTATGGATGTGCAGCACATAACATGTTACAAAACATTTGTAGTGAAATTGAATATGTTGAACTTGTACGCCGATTCCCAGTGCCAACACTCGCTGTGTCATCATACATTCAGTTTATTTTTGTTTTTTTGCACCAAATCAGAATTGGCCTTTAGGGCTATATTAGAGTTTCAAAATCTTTCCAAAATATTTTCGGAATACAGAAAAACGTGTCACCTTTGATATAATCCATTTTAAATTGACTGGATTCTGTCCTACTTTAACCTTTGACATTTGACCTTTGACCTATTTGCAGCGATGAAGATGATTTCGGAGACGAGGACGACAGCAAAGGGAAACGATTTGGCTTTAAAGATGAGGAAAATGAGGAGACCGTCACGCACACGATGACCACGGAGACTAGGACGAGAAGGTCTCGAAGATCGGGAAAGAAACTTGACTTAGGAGCAGCAGGAGAATATGCGGATGAGGCTAGCAACAGCTTACATACGGTAGGTAGAGTAGGGGTGATCCTTATTTCTTGTGGAATCTGGAGGGGAATCACTTGAGGGCCTGATTTACAAAAACAAATAGTTTGAAATTGTTCAAATGTTAGAAATTGTTTCGGAAAAAATATCATTCGTAAAGATAAACAAAACTATCCTTGCCAAGTCAAACTAGGCTTCAAAAGTCTCAGTTAAGGATGTTTGCAATACTCGGTGATTCTGTGATTCAGCCCATCAAAACTTGGGGAGTTAATTTAAAGAAAGTAAAATCACACTTCATTTTTTTTTTGGACAACTGCTTAACAAACAATTTGGTTAACGTAACCAGTTGGCTGTAGGTAGGTGAGCAGTTTTTAAGTGAGCACGCTTAAAAGCACAAATCTCTGGTTTACCGGTGTGTACCGGTACAGTTTTGTGATTTTTGACCATTGCTACTTGCTCTGAAAACCTACACTGCCAGATCTTGCAAATGTGTCAGTCAGTTTTAGTTAAGAAATGATAAACTTTGATGTTGTGTTTGACTCTTTGTGATGGATACAGACTCCGACTACAAAATCAGGATATGGCAACCTCCTGGACTCCTCTCCTCCAGCGATCTCGGAAAACCAAGACGCCTTCGCTGATTTCACGTCAGCGGCCGCCAACAACAGTTTCCACGACTTTGATCCGAGGGGGACCTCACCAGCTGCCAACAACTCCACCGACTTTGCTACATTCCAGAGTGCACCCCTGAGCCCAAAGTAAGTGTACCTTCCTTCTAACCCTCAAAAATCCTTACAAATTCACCAGGTTAGGATTTTTGATGGATCTTTGGAAGATTTGGTAGGTTTTTGTAAGTTTTTGGAGGATTCAAATCTGAAGAGCAAGCCTAGGTTCCTTTACATAGGGTTCGATGCTCCTTAAAAATTTCAAGTGAAAATACTGTGCCATTGGAATCCTGTACAGTGATGGATTTTGGAAGATTTGGGAAGGATCCTAACAAAAATGCCTCAGGAAGTGTATGGGTGCCGTTTGCTACCTCACATTTATCACATTCATCACATTCATATCAGTTCTGCAGAGCTGAAGATCCGTTGATACTCAATTGTATCTTTGCTTTCCATTTGCAGTGCAAACGATTCCTCATTTGGTGACTTCCAAGGAACTGCCTTCTCGGCCACCATCACCCAACAAAACAGCACTGTAACATCAGTACAAGCATCCACCCTCAATCCACAACCCCCTATGCAACCCCAAAGTACCCCCCTCCAACTTCAAAGCACCCCTCTTCAACCACAGACTACCCCCCTCCAAATCCAACAACCCAGCCTCATGCAACCCCAGCAGAACCTCATGCAACAGCCCAACGTGCCTCTTCAAACAATGCAGATGGGTGCGGCCATGCAGCAGCAGCCCCTGGGTGGGGGGATGATGCAGCAGCCCCAGGGGGTGGGGATGATGCCCCAGGGTGGGGCTATGCAGTACAACCAGCAGTCACTACTTAGCATGCAGCCACAGCAAGGAGCAGTTCCATTCCAACAACAACAGGTATGTAAACAAACATTTCACCAAAATTTAATTACAAAAAAGTGGCTAAGCGCAAAATTTGCTGTCTTAGTGAAAACTGGTTACCAAAAGTGTTACATGTAACTGGTAATCAGCTGATTCATGCTAAGCATATTAATTGCAGTGTTCTCTTCTAAGCTCTGGGCCCTGGTTCTACAATTCTAGCTAATGCTCTGGTAACAACTGTAATCTAGAGTAAGACTGTAAGCTTCGCAATAGACCCCTCTCATAGACAGCCATCTTTGTTGGAAAATTACAACTGCGTATTCAAGGCCATCAGGTGTATGTACACGCAGTGTGCAAAATGTTCTAGTGCACATGTTGCTCCAAATGTCTTTGAAATAGTGCACAGCCGATGGGAGTCACGAAAATTCGACTCCCAAAATGCCGATGCGCCTGGCAATCTGTTGGCAGTGACGTGATTTGAGAGGGATCTATTGTGAGCTGTAAGTTTTTCGAGTTGGTGTGTTTAACCCTCTTTTGTCAGTTGCTAATCGTTCTGTTCTTTCTCATCCTTTCTGCCCTCTTATGTGATTGTCTGTCTGCCATTAGTTTCAACTGCCTCTGCAGTCTTTATCGGTAGGTAGTTAAATAAAAAAAAAAAATGCGAGAAAACGGCTTGCATTTGTTAACAATTATCTCATGTATGTAGTTTGTAGGGCAACGGCAAAAGGCTTGAACTGTATAATATTTTGTTGGGTTTTTATCTTTCATCAAAAGTTATGTCAAGATTTTCTGTCATTGTTGTCTTAAAAGGCCTCTGTGTTTTATTCTGTTTCATCGTCTTATGACATGTGCAGCTTTATGTTGCGATCATTGCTTCAGACTAAGTTTTCATTTGAGTTGTCAATTTATCAAAATGAGTCTCAAGGATGTTTTGGAATGACTTGATTTTTCGTCTGCTTTACAAATCATCTTGCCGGCTCCTTATTTCCACCTGTTGGTCTTTTTGACATCCTGATGAACACTGACATGTGGGTGAAAATGTTAAGAGGGCTGCATCAGTTTTTCATCCATCAATTTTTACAACGAGAAAGGTGTTATTTTTGTGTTAAACTAAGTCATTATTTACTGCCTTGATTTCACTAGTTGCCACCAGAATCCCCCACTACCATGACAGTTTACGACGAATCTATGTACGCCTACATGGTGGTAGGTCACGCAGACCATTTTGATTGGAATTCTTTTTACTTGGAGTGATAGGACGTTTATATTTGCATGTCTTATCTGTAGGAGCTATTTTTAGCGGTGGCTGGCTGGTGTTTTAGGGGTCAGATATTTTGGTTGTTTTGTGTGGTGTTTGTTTTTGAAGTACTTGGAGTGTGGGGTATAAACTTGTGTAGCTGATAAAGTTTTGCCCTTTCGGTTTGATATCTGCCGATACTTGTCGTTAATGTTGGGGAACGTTTTTTTTTGGGGGGGGAGGGGTGGTCCTTGTTAGAATATATTTAGCTGATGCATGAAGCCGTAATAGTGCTAAGGGATCATTAAATGTAGGCTTTTTTTGTATTTGCAGTCTTCGCATGATGGTGGTGGATTTTTAAAAATTTTGTTTGGATGCACTATAATGAGGGCCCATATTAGTCAGAATAGTTCATATTAGATATTTTTCACTGGAGTCTTTTTTTGCCACTTTCCGGATTTTCTTCTTTCTTTTTTTGCATGATGGTGGAGGGTTGTGAGAGATTGATACATTTTTGATGTGATTGGAATATATTAGAAGGTGGATTCAGTTGGTGTTGTAGAAGATTTAGGTAACGTTATTCCTCTTTGTAGGTTTTTGTTGGATAGTTCTAGGAATTTTGCAGTTAAGAATTATGGACATTCAGCTTCTCAGCTGCGAGTAAGGATGATTCGCCCCCCTCCCCCCCCCCCCCCCCCCCACCAATTAATATTATTATCATTATATATGGACACTTGTATCATGATGCTGCTCAAGTACATATATCGCAAAGCAATTACACATACCATGCCAAACCATTCACAAGCCATACATGTGTACGTACATCACATGACACTTTTGTAATATGCTTGGTACATTGTAAGCAACTACAGTTGTAACGGACATTGATGCCAAATCATAACTTAAAGCTATCTACTCCAATTTGTTCGAAGTAACGTGAATACCCAACCCTTAAAATTTCAACTGTGTGTTTGTTGGAATGCTTTACAAATTACATGGGGTCAGGCATACCACCATAATCAGAGCCCAACAGTTTGGGTGTTGAGTTTGCCATATGGTGTTGGATTTTGCAAGAGTGAGGAAGGTTCCTTGTCAATCATTCATCAATCAAGGGTGTTTAGGGTTTATGTCCAATCAATTTTGCTTACCAACTTTGATGAAAAATGTTCATGCTAGAGTTAAATGCACATGAGTTAAATTATGCTGGTTGGAATATGTGTACACAAATAAAGGAGGAAGTCATAGTAATGTAATTTGTTAGGCTCCAAAGTACACTAAGGCAAAGAGCGAAGAAGAGGATTTAAAGTTGCAAGTCTGATGCATTCTTGTACTGCAGGTTGTCTTGTTACCATTTGTACATGTTTAAATGCTTTTATATCTCATCTTGTTTTGTTTTCCATTGCTCAGCCACACATGGCATCGATGATGGTATGTCATTATCTTCATTTCATCCCGTTCAAATGTCCACATTATCGAGTAACTTTTTGACTTTGGAATTCATACACAGTCCTGTAACATTAGACCAGTATTTAACTGGTTTTTTTTCTGGTATTCAGGGGAATTTGTTTTTCTGAGCTTACATTGTATGTATCAGCTTGCTTTTAATTAAAGTTTGAGATTTTTTATCACATATTTTAGCAACCTCTCACTGATGCAACAGTGTTTCTTTTTCTTTGTTTTTTTTTGGGGGGGGGTTTCATCTTTCAGATTCTTTCCTATTTTTCTCATCTTTCCTCTGTTTTCATTTTTGCTTTATCCATCTGGAGCTTTATTGGAGTTTGCTTCCTTTTCCTGTCCATATTTGTTCAACCTGTAACTCTGCTAGATCCTTCAAACTCTACCGGGAGTTTTGAAGGATATAGAGTACCGAAGTGTGCCGCGTATTCTGATTCACGCGCATAGCTTAAGTGTGTAAAGACATCAGCGCGCGAACAAACGCATGAACCAGAATATGGACAGCAGACTTTGGTACGCTATTGAATGATTGAAGAAGATAGAACCCATCCACTGCTATTACTTGAAACTTGGTAGGGACAGAGATGGTGCCATTGGGTTCCTGCACAGTACAGGGTTTTAAAGGATTCTGTAGGATTGATGAAGGTACAGCCCAGCTACTATCACTTACTGTGGTTTGATGACCTTGAAAGCTCAAGTATAATGGAGGTGCCATTGGGTTATCACACAGTGGGGGATTTTGTAGGATTCAGGAAGGGGTCTAGCAAAAATAGAATGTGAGTTGGAGTTCAAGTGACTTCATTGTGTGCGAAATTGTATCATTGCATGACTGACCATGCTACACGCTCCAGTTATTGTGGATAATTTGAGTTTTGATTTGAAAGACATCATCCAACTTACAATTTAACAAGTTACCACATTTTTTTTTGACCAGAACAAGCAAGTCCAGTCCACACTTGCACAGTGCACTGTCAAATGTAAACCTGTGCATGATCATTTCAGCTTTTATGTCGTTGATTACTTCACAATGGCAGTTATTCATTGACCATGTCATGGATCATGTCATTGTCGTTATTCATAGGGGATGGGACAGCCTATGGGACAGCCTATGGGACAGCCCATGGGCCAACCCATGGGCCAGCCGTTTGTCGGCCAACAGCCCATGACAAGCATGACAAGTACGCCAAGTCAGTTACCCAGAAGCCAGCAATCCAATGGCACAGTAACAAGCGCAGCGATGTCATCAACAACCACGCCGCAGGTAAGAACTAGCTTTTAAAGCCTTGCAACTGTTTAAGACTGGCATTCTACATTTGTAGTCAACCAACTTTTTGGGAAAATTTGAATCAAGTACTTGAAAATTGTCTTTGAATAATTGGTGAACCGCTAACACAAGCTGGATAACTCGGTTGGTAGATCACTGGTCGGGTATTCCGGAGGTACCAGTTTCAAACCCACTCCAGTTCATTTCATTGCTCAACTTTCTCATTATTATCAATGCACCTGTTCAGTTTTTCTCTTGTGGATTATTTAACATTTAAATTATTGATATCACAAGTTGTTGATATTTTCTGTTTTTACAGAAGAAGAATCTGTGGTCGGATGTCAACGTTGACATTAAGCTGGACAACTTGAGTCCCGGCGATAAATATAAGAAACAAGTGCAACCGTCAATGAATCAGCTACAAGGAAACAAGGCTCCAGTTGGTGAGTTTAACTGAATATAATATTGAATTCTGGCAAGAAATATCTTGTCTCGAAGTGTAGAAATTTCTTGTCCCATTGTGTGGATGGAATAGAATTGAGCTCAAACTTGGAATCGGAATGGTGACTCCACAGTTTTGGGGGAATCGACTTTAAGCACTGTGATTTTTAAATTGTTTTCTTCATGGGAGTAGACTCCCGGAACCTCTTGACGAAAGATTTGTTAGGCCCTCCCCCCCCCCCCACTCCGCAAGTTGACAACAGTGCCTGCCCCTCTCCAGTGTGGCACTGCTTGTTCCAGTCTCGCATGTTAGACACAAGTGCACCCGCGTCAGAGTTTTGTCACACATCATCGCGGCTGTGTTGAGTTAAAAATATCATTGGGTGTGCTTCAGTCTGACGAAAGACCGAATCCATCATAATCTCAAAGATCAGATAAGTTTGGTGAGAGTTTCTCTGTAGAGCTTCTAGATGATGTGCAACACAGCCCAGAGCCAGCTGTTCCATTGAGTCTCTGAAAACTAGGCTTTAGAAACAAATTTTAGGTTGTAAATAAATTGTAATTATGAAAGCAATATGTCCTCATAAATCATCTATGGCGGCTATTGACCAATCAGGAGCTTTGTTTCTGCTCTAAGTAACTTTTAAAGACCACTGCGATTGGCTGGCGATCAGGGTCGCATACAATCTGATCCTGAGACTACAGTCGACACGCTGCTTTATTTCCTGAATTTTGTTTTAAAATGATTTGCTTTATTTGTTTGTGTAGGTATGGGCCAACCCCAAATGGGCAACGTGACGGTAGGCATGAGCCAAATGAACCTCGGACAACAGCAACCGCAGGCAGGCATGATGGGTACTCCCATGATGCAACAGCAGCCCCAGGGCATGATGGGAATGCCTATGGGTATGCCGCAGCAGCAAGGCATGATGGGTATGGGCATGCAGCCCCAAGGCATGATGGGAATGCGGGGCGGTATGGCGATGCCGTCGGGGATGCCTATGGGTGGCATGCAAGGCATGGGAATGGCACAGACTCAGCAATATGGAGCTTATGGCACGAACTAACCCCACGCTGCATTTCATTAGGGACCTTTTATTTCACATTTTTTTGATAAACCAACCTGCATTCACTCTGCTGTTGACTATCACTTGTTTCAAATTGAGGGTACGTTGGATCAGCCTTTGGATTTTCAAACTTGTATTGATTTAATAGAATTAACCATTCAAAGAAAAGCGGCAATTAAGAAATCAGTAAGAGGTTCAGGCTACTCAAACGGCTTATGGGTAAAAAACCTCTTCTGAATAAATGCTATCAAAACAGCATAATTATTGCAGCTGAAAAGGATCTTGTTTTGAGTACCTTAAAATTGTACTAAAAGTCCTATCCCTGGCTGCCATTTTGTCTCCATTTGTACTTGCACACTGTTACTACTGACCTCGGGACACAAGATGGCGTCGAGCATGCCCGGGTGCATGCAAATGAGTGTAATCCATATGACAACTGTGCAGATTGTATCCCATGGTTACCAATTAACTCAAAATGAAGAAATGTATTATTCAACCTGAATATAAAATGACAACACTCTCCTTGAATGCTGAAGTCCTCATGGACATATTTTCTTTGTAAAGTTTACACAACAGTTCAAAATAACCCCAAATTATTAGTTTGTGTTATTGCTAATGAATATGTGAAAAGCAATGGTTTTCAACTGTTCTTTTGTGGGGGGTCACCGTGTGGATTTTGTATTTGTTGGGTCACAATAGATCTAGTAATTGTTTCGACACATTCCACACGATTCTTGTTAGAAATTAATGGAAGTTGGGAGAGCTATTTCTTAACCTTAACTATTCCCTATGTTTGCTGTATGTACCCTTTTACTGTCAAAAGGAAGTTAATGTTAAAATATTGTAGTAAAGAGAGAAAGGTGACTGGGGAAGAAAAAAAATGATTTTGGGGAAATGTCAAAAGACGGCCCTATTCAAAATGTACGGCTATGTTATAATCCCTGAATTGTGAAACAACAAACAAGATGGTTAAAAGACTTTCGGCATCATGTATTGCTTTCTTAATTTTGTTTGTCAGAGGGAACTTCCGAATTCAAAATTCACTACAGAAAATGAAAGGGCATGAGTTGAATCTTCCCGCTTTCCCTGAAGTATTAGCCGACTCTGTACAGCACGTTGACGAAATGATATAAATATATTTAAAAAGATTACTTTTGTACAGTTCTTATTGATGAATAATGAAAATAAAAACACTAGAAATGAACCATAATGTACATAGCTTTTTTATAGGGTCATATTCGGAGAACTTTGAAGATTTTGTAAAAAAAAAAGAAGAAACATTTAATTGGATCGAATAATTTGCATGTATTTAACCCAAGATGAAAACCTTTCAAATGCGTATTTTTTTTTCCTGTTTTATTTTTTTATTGTGTCATCCCTAAAATCTTGAACTGAAAGTCTGCTTGGGTGAATTGAGCCTGTTTTAATGATCTTGCATTCTTGCAACTGCATGTTAAACTTTTTGTTTAAAGGTTATTTGTATTATTATTTAGTCATCCACAAAACCTGTATCAGGAAAATCCATAAAAAATATTAAAACTTACTACATGTATTATTAAGTGATTCCAATTTGTGGTTTAAACTTGACCCTTTGTTTTTCTTTTGCTTAATTAACACTATTTTAATTGTTAAAGATCATTATCGCATTATTTTAACTGAGTTACTGTTCAATATCTCTGCCCAGTTTTTATCACAGCTTCACCTAATTCTCGGTTTATTAATCTAGAAATCAAAACAACTAAAAACACACAATTGAGTGTGTATGCTTATAAATTGTTAATGGGATTCTAGAAGAACTCACATTTATGTCAACCTATCGTGAGATTTTCTTCAGACACATCGCAACCGACGTTGGGTGTACACTTTTATAAGTTACACGGCTCTTAACAATACTTTCAAAACTACAGTTCCTGAACATAAAATCTTGGGGGAAAATAAACTTTTTTTTAATTATTTTTTAAACAAGTCTTTTGTATTTGTCGTCTTGTTAGCTCTATGAAATTATGTTCACTTTCTTTTGAAAAAAAAAGAAGATAATGGCAACTTTTGAAACGTCTTAGCTTTGCACTGGTAACAATGACTGTACAAGCGACTATGATATGAATGCCTCATGTACTTTGGTCGAGTTCATATCACAAAGAAATATTAAATTGTTGGAGTAAAAGAAAAAAACTTGTTTGAACTGGTGGTGTACAGTTTCTTTTCATGTGTTTTCTGTAAAACATTCTTTTAACAACTAATATTCAGAGAGAAAAACAATGATCCAAGTGTTGCACTAAAAGGGTCGTCGATTTGGTATGCAGTGTGGGAAGGGTTAAAAATGGATGATGGATAAAAAAAATGTGTCTATGGTCATGGATTAACAGATTTTAGGGTGGTGAATTGAAGATTTGTCAAATAAAGAGTAGAAACTGGGGCGGGAGAATTATTCATTTATTTAACATGTGCCCCCCCCCCCCCTTTCAAACTAGGATTCTGAACATATCTAATCAGAGGGAAAAGGGGTTATTTTATAATAGACACGGACAAGAATATGCCTCCATTATTATCCATACGGGTGCGAACTTTCGCTGGTATGCAATGGCACCTGTAACGCATTGTATATGGGTATCTTTGGTATGGAGCAGTTACCAGTTTAAAGTTAGGGGTGTTGCTAATCGTCACCCAGACTTCGCGACAGAATTCACGTGTTTTGGCTGGTGGCACCAGACTTAATGTATGCGTTGGAATGTACCTGGTTCCCGCCCCACATCTGCACAAGAAATAATGCGCTAGTTAACCGTATATCAGTCTAGCACATTGCACATGTAGAAATGTACACGAACACATGTCAGGAAATTTACGTCTGCTCTGCCTAAAGTTTCACCATTTGGGGCTTTTCTACACTTTTTTTTATGACAAAAGCGTAAGTGGAAACCAAAGGTTTCGTGAAATTGTTCTAAATAAGTGTAATTTTATTGAAAGTATATTTGAATATAAATTTTTTGAAGAGATAAAATTAAAAGTCATGAAAGTCGAGTCGCAAAATATACGGCCGGCGCGCGCATGGCCGCGCCGGCAGGCTGGCTTGTCCAAGTCGTCCAAAATGTGTGTTTATGTAAGTTTGTAAATTTTTCGCAATTTTTGTACTTTATCTCATCCGCCATGCAAAGTTTCCAAATCATATACATGTGCAAAATTAACACAACCAAAGATAATAGCAATTTGTTACTACAAAGTTCTGCCCTCAAAATGATGAGCACCCTCTTCAAAGTTCAAATTCAATACATTCTCTGGCCTCCCTCTTATTGAGTTGTTTTACCATTATACCTTTCAAGTGATGATTGTATATCTTGGTTGTCTTACACAGGGAGTAAGAAATCATGGAGGAAGAGCCTGAAGACCTGTCATCACTGCACTACCAAATTCTCTTTCCCCCTCGCGAACCGAGTCACCAGCAGAGGGAGTATGAGTTGGAACAGCACCTGGCCCTCATGGACGAACCTGCCCGGGCTCCGGCACAAAAAGCAATGGACATGGGAGACCTCGGAAACCTGACTATTGAGCATCTTACAAGTTACGACAAAGAGGAGACACAGGAAAGATTCTTATTTATGGAAGATGAGGAGAAATGTCAAGACGACGTGCTAGATATTGGTAAATGGTCTAGTTAATCCCAATTCCTTGGCAATTTTGCCTCAAAATGTTCTCCGAATTCTTCCACAATGCAGGAATTCTTGAAAGGGGAATTGAACCTTGTGTAAATTAACAGCAGCCAGAAATAACCTGAACTTTAATCCTGCACAATTCCCTGAAGTATTCAAGTTGATTTTGGAGGATCTTGGGGGGGGGGGGGGGGGGGGGGGGGGTAGACACCACTGTGCAAAGTAACAGTCATATCGAAAAGACTGTGGCCTAGCAGGAAGAGTTTGTGTAGTCACAATCAGAGGGGCAGGGGTTCGAATCCAGCCGTTGGCATGTATTTTGGCAAGCCACATCAACACCATTTGCCTCTCTACTTGCGACCATAGCATGAAGAAATGCTCAGTTGTTAGAGATAACAGGAAAAACCCTAGATTAACATACCAGGGAAAACCCACTGAGTAAGGTGGAGATTCGAACCTCGGCCACAGGTGAAAGGCGAGGAAAGTGCCACTGTGTGTCTACCTAGTTTTCTTGTGTAAATGAAAAGTCATACAGCTCAATGCTTTATGGAAAACACTTTTCAACAATCCACCTTGCTTACTTGTGTGGGTTTCAGTGGATGGTTTTCCTTCTCTTTGCAGGCATTGAAGCCAATGACCTAGGCAGCCTACTACAGCAGTTTGAGCAGACAGAAGCTGCAGCCATGACAGACTCCATGGAGCATAGGTAGGTTGGAAACAGACCCCTATTTTCAAATTGTTCCATGATATATGATGTCACCCTAAAATGTTTGACATTGTTTACATAATGTGCCTTTGTATTTACAGTCGATTGCTTTTTTTTTTCTCAGGGAGATTCCCAAAAGCAGGTTGAAGTCAAGCAAACATCAAGGTGAATTATATTAATATGACTTATATTTATTTATTTTTCATTTCGAAAGTTGTGTTGAAAACATAATTATTGTTGGAAAATCTAATTTTAGCTACCCCGATTGATTTTTAGGTAGATTTTATTTAGAATGTCTTATTTTAAAAAAATAACTGTATCATCTCAATAACTTACAGCATGATAATCTTGATAGAACTGCTTTAATATTAAAAATCATGACAAAATGTCCACGGATATGCTGATCAGCTTGTTTGAGTTGTTGCAGAAGAATCAATAACTTCCTGTAACTTGTACACATTATGTTGTCCAATTATGTTCTGGATGCTCTGTGGGTGTGTAATTCAGTCAGAAACCTGTGCTGAAAGATTTTTAAAATTTTGAATTTGTTCTTAACTCGATCAGATGCCAAGAATCTTGCCAAGAAGATCACCCCAGTCAAGAGGAAGTCTACAATCCTCCTGGAGCCCCTAGCAATGCCTACCAAACGTCTCCGAGCTAAGGAGACCAACTTGCTGATCGCAGAACGTGAGTGCGTCAGTCTACCAGGCAGCCGAATCTCAAGTCCAGTCACAATCCAGCACCAAGGGTTATCGGAGATCTGTAGTGCAGATCAAGGCTTTGATTATCTTGTCATGGACCATGATTACTGTAGCCCGAGTGGACAGAACGTGAACCGAATCAATTCAGCATCATCTAGCCCCCTCAACGACTCCAATCGCCTCTCAGTTGAAGAGAGGAAAGCTGTTTACAAACAGAAGTATAAGATCAGAAAGAAGGGTAAAAAGCTGAGCGGCGCATCCGGAGGGAAACACTCTGAAAGTGCCAAGGAGGGAGTTCTAGATCCGGTAAATTTGATCGATAAGCTACCTGATTACATCCGCCCAATGCCTGAGGTAGCTGTGCCTGTCAAGACTAGCCAAACGGGAAAACAGACTGAAAACAAGAGCACCGAAAGAGCAGCTGATGATCCCACGGAAGAGGAAAGCGTACAAGACAAAGATAGCAAGCCATCATTCTTTGACAAGATCCCTGATTATTTCCTTGGGAAGCACATGTACCAAGAAATCAGTAAGGTGGAAGAGGAGGAAGCTCGAAAGAAGGAAGAAGAAGAAATGACAAAGTTGAAAGAGAAGGAGGAGTTGGAGAAATTACAGCAAATCAAGGACACATCCAAGGATCACAGTCATCGATATAGATCAAGACATCGCCAGCGAGATAGAGGGAGGCATCATAGAAAGACCAAAAGTAGCATCTGTGACGAAGAACAAGATCTGAACAGAGACAAGAATGTGACAACAGAAACTCTTGAATCAGATACAGGAAATACCGGTGTAATTAATGATGACAAACATTGTAATGAATATGCACAGAGCACTGCCACCGAGTTTGAAGGAATATCAAATGGTCACTCCCATTGTGAGAACAGAAAAACCAGTGGCTCAGACCGGTATTCTCGTTGTCGCTCACTTTCCTCCCTGTCTTCTCGTTCAAGGTCAAGTTCTAGGTCTTTATCCAGAGATCGTTCCTGTTCAACATCGTCGTCATGTTCATCTTACCCAAGGAGGAGATGTCGAAGAGATTCAAGAATGTCTTACACTTCTCTGTCATCGACCTCGCAATCACGCTCACGATCTCGCTCACGTTCGCGTTCCGTAATACGGCGTCGTCGGCGAAGATATTCAACCTACTCTTCATCTTCATCCTCAAGGTCCCGTTCTAGGTCACACTCAAGATCCAGACATTGGCGACCCAGGTCACACTCGAGGTCACACTCAAGGTCACACTCAAGGTCATCCTCTAGTTCAAGAAGGAGATCAAGATCAGGGTCATGTTATTCTCGATCACGCTCCCGTGAGTCAGACAGGCGACGGAGAGACAGTCACCGACGTAGGCACAGGTAAAAAATTATGGTTTGTCAATCATTATCAACCCATAAGTTATCTCACACTCTGGATGGCATCTTTAATACCATATCTGTTTTACACTTGCATTTCATGATAATTCCTATATTCGGCTTTGCCTGCTACAAGTGGCTCAGGCACCTACCGACCCAGGAAGGGTTGATGGTCAAGTGAGTAGGACATCTGTGCTGCTGTCCAGTAGGTCAAAGGTTTCCATCTTGCAACAGTTTGGTTGCGGTACTGGCTGGTTCATTAGACTTGAACCGGCCAGCCGACCCCGACAAGCTTCGCTATCATTCCAGGTTAGCATCAATCTCCATTACAAAGCAAAGCTATTTTTTAAACATTCTTGAATTGTGTTCTCATCTTTCAGCCGATCACGAAGCAGAAGAAGAATGCGAAGTGTCAGCGTGGAACGCATCCAACAGGAGAGGAGGGAGGAGAGATTAAAGGAACAGCAAGATCAGTGGGTAAGGCAGGGTACAAGCCTGTGAGTAGAGGGGTGTAAGACAAGGGTAGCAGCCTAGGTGGGTAGAGGGGTGTAAGACGAGGGTAGCAGCCTAGGGGGTAGAGGGGTGTAAGACAAAGATAACAGCCCACCTCTGGGTCAATATAAACTTTCTTAAAGCGGAATGGAATGGAAAGGACGTAGGTAGAATTTGTGGATTTTGAGGTTGTACGAGAAGCCTCAAGGCTGTCAGTATTACAGATTTACACAGTTTTGTGGGATACTTGGGGTTGAAATCTGACTTGCCTCTTGTGTTAAATTTGCTTTCTTCTGAAATCTGAATGTACGCCTTTGTTTTCTTCCTTATTAGTCCGATCGTCGAGTTGTTTACATCGGACGCATTCCATATGGGACCACACGCAACACCCTCCGGAAAAGATTTGAGAAGTTTGGGGAAATAGAACGGATAACGCTACATTTCAGAGATGTTGGGTGAGTGTTCCACACCAATAGCTAACAAATATTCAGTATTTATATCAAATTACCATGTGGATGTTAATTATTCAGATATGAATATTCATGACTGAATGGACATGTTGTTTTCCCACAGGGATAACTATGCTTTTGTGACTTTCATGTACAAGTGTGATGCCTACGCAGCTGTTGAAGGTAGGAATATGGATTTTTTCAGTTAACATAGAAACTGTTAAGATAATGTTTTTAGTCAAATGGGATGATTCTTGAAGTGGCGTCTCCTCAAAAGTGGTACATTTTCTATCAACTTCAAATCCAGTTTTCTTGATTTTGTAACTATTTTCTTCTGTTTACATTTCAACAGATATCTCACGTGATATTGTGAATTTGGTATCGGCGAGGGAGCATTTTATATACTCGATTCAATATTGGTGATTGATTCTTATTATTGTTTCTACTTATAAAGGGGCAAATAAAGATTACAATGAACCAGAATATGATATCTGCTTCGGTGGTCGTCGACATTTCTGCAGAACAAATTATGAAGACCTTGGTGAGTAGACTCAGGGACCTAATCGGCTGGCAGCCATTCAGAACCAAGGATCAGTTTTCCTTGTTTCATGCTCTATTACCTGTTTTCTGATTGGACTATAATTAATGCATAATTCATAAGGTTGTGATGCGTAAGCATGCTGATTATGGCAGCCAATCAGAACCAAGGATCAGTTTTCCTTGTTTCATGCTCTATTACCTGTTTTCTGATTGGGCTATAATTAATGCATAATTCATAAGGTTGTGATGCGTAAGCATGCTGATTATGGCAGCCAATCAGAACCAAGGATCAGTTTTCCTTGTTTCATGCTCTATTACCTTTTTTTCTGATTGGACTATAATTAATGCATAATTCATAAGGTTATGACAGGTAAGCATGCTGATTATGGCAGCCAATCAGAACCAAGGATCAGTTTTCCTTGTTTCATGCTCTATTACCTTTTTTCTGATTGGACTATAATTAATGCATAATTCATAAGGTTATGACAGGTAAGCATGCTGATTGGCTTTTACATTTTGTTCCCAGATTCAATGGGGCAAGAAGAGCTAGCACTGGACATTGGTTACGAGCAAGAACCAGCTTCCATCCAAGGCGAAAATAAAATGGAAACCGATTTTGATCGCCTACTGCGGGAAGCCATGAAGAAAAGTAAGAGGTGACCGTTAGCGTGGAGGTGTGGCATGAGGTTGGCAAGGGGTGTGGTAAGATGGGCTTGGCAGTGGGGTACGGCAAGGGGGGCTGTGGCAAGGGGGGTGCGGCAAGGGGGGTGCGGCAAGTGGGGTGTGGTAAGATGGGCTTGGCAAGTGGGGGTGCGGCAAGGGGGGTGCGGCAAGTGGGGGTGGGGTAAGATGGACTTGGCAAGGGCGGTGCGGCATGGGGTGTGCAGCAAGGGGCGTGGCATGGTATGTGGATAGAGGGCAGTTCTTAGACTCCAACATCTCATATTCTTTTAAAATTGTTGCTGATGGATTATGATTTGCACTCTGTCATGTTTTTCTGGGGGAAAAATTGATATTAAATAAAAACTCACTGAGTAAGATTAAAAATGTATAATCATGGTGAAAACGAACAAAAAGTTTGTGTTTCAAATTTGTTAGTTTGAATATTCTTTAAAAAGTGCAAGTGAAGATAAAATAGGATATTATTTTGTTGGTTTTGATTTTGAAAAAGTTTAAATTTACATTTTTCTTTTCAATGACATCATGCATTTTAATTGGATTTTTTTTTACTTTGAGAGCTTTTCCTTTATTTAAAGCATGTGATCAGCACCCAAATAATCTTAATTATACTTTTGAAAAGACTGCAAAATGTAAGCTGTGAAATAGTTATTTAAGATTTGCGAACAAACAAAATCTTAGCTTTGTGTTCATCTTTCTTTTAAATAAGTACATGCATAGCTCATACAAGGCTGTGACCAGATAGTCATCTCGCACCTTTATTCAAAAATCAGATTCCTAAAATGTATTTAAAGCTATGTAAAAATACACATAGTGACTGTCAAATTCTGTAAATTGTAGAAAATAAGTTTCATATGGGATTTTATTTTTCTGATTTTTCTTTCTCTCAAATGACAGGAACATTATTTGGTTTATATTTGTATAATTCCATGTGTAGTGAAACACTGCATTTTTCTTTAAATTGTTTTGTTCCATATTGTGTTCCATATTTTACGCATGGATCACTGTATTTGTATCAGCTAGGATGGCCATGAACTTTCTTAAACTAAATGATAGGTGAAGTTGCAAAAGAACCCTCAAATTTACTTTTGATGTGTTTTGGACTCTATTATTGCAAATTTAATCATGAATAGCTTGCAGAATGAAGAGTCATAAAACCAATATATATGTATTCACATCAATAAATCTTTGATTCATTTTTTTTTTCCAATCTGGATTTTAATAAACATCAATGATGTTTTCTTTGAACTTTTAGACAAACATATATATGCGCTTAGTAAAGCAAAAGAATACTATTTACAACATATTCGTGGGCAAATAACTCTCGATTTGCATGTTAAATGATTGCCTTCCTTTCTAGAGATTGTAGAAACTATCGCTTTTAGAAGATTATCAGCAAATTATTTGAAGAATTGAATTAAATTTTCAGTTTACTTTTACATTGTTTATTTTTTGCTACGTTATTTTGATTATGGATTGAGAAGTAGGCCTATGCAAAGAATTGTAGACTTAACAAAATCCCTAAATTATGTCCAGCCTAAACAAAATTTTAACAAAATGATATTATCCTTGAATATTACTGGTAGCTTTCTGATACTTTAAGCTTCTCGTGTGTATCGATGAGACGGTTTAATACGATAAAGATGGCATTAATTAGTTCATTACATTGTTATAAAATGAAGGAACACATTACCATAATATGAAGGAACACATTACCCATACAAAAACAGTATGCACTTTTTCCCTACTTTAATTTGCTTTCAAATAAATACAGTACTTTGAAAACCTGCCTGAAAGAAATTTAAAACAAAATTCCGTCATTTTCTGATCAGTGTTTTTATCCATGGAACTAAATTGTTACATTTGAAAAGTCGTGTGGTTCCAAATCTCCATCTTATAATGGTTCCAAATTTGTAATTCACATGAGCTGTAGGGAGATGGGCGGGTCACTCTCGCATCTAGTGATGTCTTGCGTGTGGAGTGTTGTAGAAGCGCAAGCAGGCGCACAGTCCCCTCCAGCACCCTACAGAGGATGCGTTCTGCTGTTTATCGTCCGCATCGGCCCACGGATTGATGCTTGAATAAGATGTTGATGTTGTCACTGCAAGATCAAAGGAGATGGGACTCGTCATCCAAAACTGTCACCAACTTGATTTGTCCAAATTAAAATTATGCCTCGACGACTTAACTAGTAAGGTTTTGGATTTCAATAGCATAAAAACAATGTTCCAGCGGCCTGCCCTATGTCACATGTGCTTCCAACCCTTTCACAAAATAAACCTTGTAAAGGAAATGCAGCTGTAGCAAAGCATCGTGGGTAATTCACTTGCCATAATTCACGTGCATGCTAGGGATCCCGGGTCACTAGCTATATAAACAAGGGAGGGCAACGAAATTTGAAGTCGCCAGCGACTCTGGGTGGGGCAGCTAGCAGGGACATGCATACATGTATTTACCTTTGAGTTGTGTGGGGACCTCAATCTTGCGACGTTGTCGTTTGTTGGGTACCACGCCCGGTGTGGACATACCAGAGGGTTGGGGAAAGTCACCGTCTCTGCAGAGAGCTGTACTCATCAGACAGTTTGTCTCCGGTGACAGAGAAAAATCTGACAACCTGATGAGAAGCATTCAAAAGAAATCAAGCCATAATGTTGTAATCTTAAAGGCCAAATTAAAAACTATAAACCAGTGTGCGTTTGCAATATAATTTTGTCTCTTTATTAGTTGCCAACAAAATTGTCGCTATATGCAAGTTCAACATCTAATAGAAAGGGCGATGGCTCCTTTTGACACAAAGTATCAGCAAAAGAGTCCAGAAAATGTAAGAATGTATGCCATCTTGGGGAATAGTCTGTCTCTTTCCTTAAGAAAAGAAATCCTGGACGAGAAACCATTTTTTTTTTACCTTGGCCTAAGCAGTGTGCATCATTATCAAGTGAAATTATATTCTCAAGATTTTATTAAAAATTACAAACTGCTCAGTTTCTGCAATCGACTTTGCAGGCTGCCCTATCGTATTTCAAAAATTCCCTCTGTGTACCGTAATTAACCTGATTTAATTGCTTTCCATTTTCACATATTGAATATTGTTTTGTAATAAATATGCTCGTTAATTTCTTAAGTTGTTTTCAATTGAGAAATGACAGCTCAATACCATAGAGTTTTTGTCACTTTGGTAGTTTTTATCAACTCATGATTTTGATGAAAACATAGGCCTAGCAACTTACCCAAAGTCTGCTTCATCAAATGTTGAGGGTTGGTTGAGAAGTTCATCTGTTTGTGATCCGATGCTTATAGACTCCATAGAAGGCTAACAAATATAAAATATAAACCATAGATCTCATTCTTTAATAACTTGGAATTGTGACCAAAATTACTTTGAAGGGACGAAGAAAGGATAAAACAGATTATTATAAGATGATACTTCACCAGCTCTTGAGAATTTTTGTTGTTTGTCCATACCGTACAAGCTTTGGTACTGAAGCCTCGAGTCCCAGCTACATCTTCAAGAATCTCAACTTTCTTCTTCAAGTAGGCTACTTCGGCCGACAGCTGCCAGAGAATTGAAATTATCAACACCATTTAGAAACACAACTCCAGAAATGTATCAAACTTATCATTAATGGTGTGTCAGAATTTATTTCTTAAATCATTATCCAGCGATTCGACATTTTAAGATCAAGTGTTTTTTTTAAGCATTTACCAATAAGTCTTTGGTGTTTACCTTTGTATTTTCAAATACCAGAAGGCTGCCGGACAGTGCTTTTTCCATGAACAGCTCGGGAGCAGATAGGTTCTCGGAGCGACTGGAAGCAAGACTAGCCTGGGCGATCTTACAGAGGCGTTCTCTGATCTCTTCCGATAATGTTGCACCTGTGATTCAAATTGAAATACACATGTTTGAAATGGGCGGAGAGTTGTGTATACGTTTGTAATAGTAGACTTGCCTCAAGGTGGTTTCAGTTACCGTACCTTTTTGGGGCTGACTAGAATCCTGCAGTTTTGCCTCCACGAACGCCTTGAGATGCTGCAAACGATGATGCAGATCCTTAGTAACGGCAGCGTCTTCTTCCAATACAGGGCGCTCTTTCTCAGCAGGGCTGAAAAATGAAGTGAGAAATTCCGTAAGTAGAATTCGAATTTCAGTTACCGTTATGAAATTCGTTGCAATTAGTCTTGAGTTGAACGGGGCGCAGGAAGCGCTTACCGTGTACAGAACCACGCCAGTTGCAATAATTGACAGATTTGTTAGGCCCCGCCCCACGAGGATTTGACCAATCAAGGCCGTGACTGCCCCACCATGAATGCCCTTCAAATATAAAATCTTATGCCCAAGAGTGGGCGGGGCTTATAGCCATATCTATAGTGAACGCTCGCGCACATTTTGGTAATCCTATTGGTCAAAAGATTATAGCGCGTGCTACACCTGCCCATGCATGAGCGTAAATGCACCTCCTACCTCGATATTCCGCTGTCAAATGTCATACAGAGAGGTCGGTCAGTGATGGTACAGTCTGCTGCGCCCTGTTGACTGACCAGGTCAGCTCGTGGTCTGGGTACTGGCTGGCTGTTAGAGCCATGATCCATAGATCTGCAAAATTCCAGAGATGTCATTTGAAATAGGAGAAGATATGTCCATTAGTGTTCATCACGTAAAGACCAACCGAGTAGTGTCTCCAGTTCGAAGGAGGAGACGCTTGCGCTGCTAAAATGGCTTGCCCATGGACGAAAACCAGCCAGCGGCTGGATTTGAACTCTCTGATCATGAGTCAAAACCCAACCCACAAGTCCAGCTCCGATGAAGGCCCAGCGGGGCCAAAAATTCAGCCAGAATAACTCCCGGTGAGCACTGCTTTAACTTTTGTTTTCATCATTTTTAGTAAAATAATTAGTACGTTATTATACAATTTGGTTTGATGACAAGTTTATGGATGAAATCGAATTGATGTTGAAAGAGGCGACGATATTACTTTTGAAGACTCAAATTTGAAGACTGATAGAGAGAAATAAGACGATGTTTAGAATATCCCGAATCCGCCGGTATACCTTTGAGCGTCGGAAACCGTAGCCTTGGCCTCGATCGGGTTCCAGACTGATGCGCTATCCTGAGCTATCCCTTTAGTATCTCGATTTATCTCCACTACAGTGTCTGCTTTCTTCAAGCGCTCGATCACCGTCTTCTCAAGATCTGTCAGGAAGGTTGATGGTGGGCCTGAAACAGGGAACAGCAACAGTGGCATTTGCGGCAAAGCTACGACACTACCAGGTATATAAAAAAAACTCAATGTGCATTGTAAGTCCACGCCCTAGCCCCGCCACATAACCCCGCCCCCATGACACTCCCCCTGAAACTGGTTAAGATTTGAACATTCTTCTTTGAATTTAACGTATTGGAATATTGGAAACGGACAAAATCCATGAAGAGAAAATTCCTACATTATCTCTTGAAGTACAGTGTTTTACAGTGTTAGCATTATACCTTTGTAATCGTCACGTTCTATAGATAGGTGCATCAGGGAAGTTATATCAGCCAGGAGCACGCTCATTGGTTGGTTGACATTACGTGACACCGTGGGGTCCGCCTCTAATGACTGGGTGGGGAAGATGGTGGCGGGCGTGGTTTGCTGTGGTCTGGCGGGGGTTGTTTGTCCTTCCATTGCGCTCAGTGGAGGTATTACCGTGTGGAGTGTAATCGGTCTAAAGTACGTTGTCGGATCTAGGAGGAGACAATGAAAGTGATATGAAGCCTCCTTAGACTACCCTGCTTGAAGCACCCCTATCCATCCCCAACACAATCTGTCAAAATTGATGATGATGGATGTCTCAATGAGGTTTGATTAAGGAAGTCAACCCCTCCCATCTGATTTCTAGATCCCCTCCCTGCACCCCTCCCTGGCCCTCCCCATTTCAGGCCTGCCACTTTTCCCAGCTCCCTAGCTGTTCCTTCGACATCTTGTCTGTAATAACCATTTTACTCTCAGCGACGCTGCGTAATGCAGTAAGAGGTAATGAAATTTAAATCGGAATACTGAACTTGTAGTGGTTGGGTTTTTGTATACATGTACTGTGATGTTCAATAAATGACGATTAAGACTATCATTAACACCTGCCTCATTCAAACTAGTAAATTGATGAAACAAAAGCATGATTTTACCTTCTGAATGCAGATTCAAAGTTGTCGTTTTAGAGGATCGTGTTGTCGCTGCAAGCCACGCGTTGATGAGATGTATGAGGGCACGCAACATTACTGTACAGCTGTCAAACTGCAATAATTTGCACCATAAGTACCAGCGATCGGACCTATTCAGTCGATTTGTAAGAAGCCCAATTCCTAATTTAAATAATCATTGTTGGAAATCGCGTCTGTGGTTCTCAATTATTTGACTGTCTCAAAGAGGGAGTTTTCTCCAGTGGAAGAAAAACAATCTTGATTCTTGTCTAGACGGAGTCGTGCGTCTTGCCTGCAGTGATGGTGTGGGAAAAGCTCAACTGAACTTCTGTGTTTTGCCCGTCGATTCAATAAGTGGAAAAATCATTGCAGGTAGTCTTAACCATTTATAGATGCACGAATTGAAATGTTCAAATAATGGTGTTTTTTTTGTGAATTCGAAGTCTGTGATATTTAAGTCGTTCGACTAAAAACGGACAATGACATTAATAATTCTTTGGAAAATGATTTGTCTTTTTTTGTTCTTTTGACGAAGGTTTACAAAAGAATATTGATTACCAGTATAACAACAGATAAATATTACAGAGAACTCATGGAACAAGTAAATAGTAACACCCATTTAATACATTAATGATAAACTTCAAAATTGCTAATCAGTTTTGTCAGAACATTGGGCCTATGGAGAATTTTAACCTAATATTTACATTAAATTTAACTTCAATTATATTTTCAATCTTCTGTGTATTCATTGTTGCTAAATTAGCATAACAAAGAATACATTCGGAGACACCTGCAACGCAGGAGGTGTAGACCTAAGCTATACCTTTATGCCGTACATAATATTATGCGAAGATCCATAAAAATTCGTGGTTAAGAACAGGATGGTAAATTAAAACAATTCATTGGATTGTCATAACTCAAACGGGTTTAGTTTATGTTACAACGTCAATCAGTTCATCTTTGCCTTCACCAATGTCGTCCTCAGGCCTGTTTTCCTGAATGGTCGGTGGGGGCGTCTGGCGACGATCTTGCTTCTTCGTGCAGGAGTTGATGTCGGACAGGAATCGCTCAAACAGCTGCGCATCGATTGTGCGACGCTCATTGGCGGAATACTGATCTTCAGGTATGTGTAGATTCAGGGATCGCTCATCGTCATCTAAATCGCCATCCTGAAATGACTGGGATGATCCTGCATCTGACCCTGAATCCGGCCCCGAATCTGACCCCGGGTTCGCTGATGAATCCCCGTGACCTTTCTGTCCGGACTCAGTAACAGGGGCGTGAACTGTCGCCTGGACATTGCCTGCCTGTGCGGGCGCTGTATACCTTGTAGGCAATACAGTTCCTTTAATAATCTGCACGTTGGGATGCACCATCATGGGAACATCATTGATAAGCACAGCGGCTGTGTCTGTCCCTTGCCCCTGGCCTGGGAGAACATTCTGCTTCCCATTTTGAACACCGAGCCGGAGAAGTGCGCCACCATCGGCTGAGGAAGACGGGACTCCCATTGGCCGTGCAATTTGACCGACGGCTGTTTGACCAAATACTGTTGGATGACAGGACGGTCGAGATGCTTTGATGGCTGATGGGGGTTGGGGTGCTCCTATGGGCTCTATCACGTAGTGCTGGAGGAGATGGTCAAAGAAAGATGTAATTGCTATCAGGGATCTCTAGAATCGGTAAGTATTCACGTAAAACTAAATAATTAGAAAAAAATTCAGCAATAATATTCAAACAATTCAAATTGTTTGTGTTTTTTGTTAGATTGACATGTTTACGCTTAAAATGAAAGTAGAATAGTAATAAGACTGAACATGGCAAACCAAATATTGAATTACTGAAACAGGTACGCGAAATGAATATTGTTGTATTCGTACAGTTACCGTAATACGCCAAAAAGTACCCTGACTACACAAACCTGCTTGGTTGTATAACTGGTGTTCTTGACAGGTAACTGAATGGTGCTTGTGTTGATACCGGGTACCAGTTGTGCACGTGACCCTGCCTGGAACCCTTTAGTTTCAAAACGATTACAAATTAGCGATTAATATTAATATTGCATATCATTGAAAACTGGGCGTGTTTTGACATAGAAACAAAACATATGTGATTTGTTTTTGTAAAATTGAGTGTCGTCAAAGAAAATTGCCGCAGCGAGTACGTACCGGTATATAGCCTATATTGATAACGAAAAGTAACTACACAAACCAACATGATCAGAAACATTCATGATACAGACAAACAAAAACAAACCGACGGACCAACACATTCATTTATTTACCCCCTGATTCGTTCTGTGGGATGACGTAACGAGGCTGCGACCCAAATGTGAAGTACGAGGTTGAGTTCGAATTGAGTTTACACTTGGGAAGAATAGCGGCTTGGTCTATGCCACTGGGAGCGAGGGTGTAACCCTCGCGTCTTCGTTTTGGCGGGCGGGGGCTGTATACCCAACCTAGAAACAGACAAAGAAAAAATATTGTTAAATGAACACTTTGAGCAAACATTTGGCGCCAATGCTTTTGCATACATTAATGACGTCATCAGACATACCCGGATTTTCCTGCCTGTGCAGTTTCTTCAGTTTCTCAGCTTCATCGTAGAATGGTTGCTTTTGTTCCAACGTCAGTGCGTTCCATGATTGGCCAAGCTGGATGCTGATGTCAGCGTTATTGGCGTGTGGGTTTTGGTGGGCTAGGCGCGCTCTGTGGATACGAGCCCAGACCATGAAGGCGTTCATTGGTCGCTTGACGTGGTTGGCTTGACGATTGCGCTTCTTCTTGGGTAAACCTGGAAAAACAATAATGGCGGCATTTTAGTTGACCATCATCTGGTCACAGCTAACAGGGGATGGGCAATGACGAAGGAATGCCAGTTCATTAAAATAGCTTTTGACTTAAGACTTGTGATGAATGTGTGATGGAGTTGTGGGTACATGTACTCAGTATGAGAACTTGTCAGGACTTGTTGATGGACACTACTAAAATACTAACACAAATGTCAATATGGATACCCATACGAGTCTACCGAGGCAGTGACTGGGAAACCGACAAGTAATGAAAAACCAAAGAATGTTGCTTCTCATTGTAGATTATAACGTGTAAGATAACAGACTTACTGTGAGAGTTGGGAGCAGGCATGGCATCGGCGTCGGTAGATTTCACTCTGACGTCATCAGCACAGATACCAGACGGCGTGGGGGCTTGGGGCTTGTCTGCCACCGTAGAGGGCGTCATGGCGTCGGGAAGGGTGCAGCCCATGGGCGTGGCATAGGAACCACCCCCGAAGGCATTGGAGCAGTTTTCGTTGATTTGGAGCTGAGGACCCTCGAACTCAGACTGATCGGGGTTTGGCAAGGCCTTAGAGGGCGCTATTTCTCCAGCTGGTTGCATGGATTGCAGATTCTCGGGTATGTACACGGTCAGCTCTGTGTACAATTTCTTTGTGTCGGTCGTGTCGGCCTCACCAGGGACGGGAGACGGGTCAACTGTATTTTCAGGAGTTGAGGGCGGGAGGAATGGCGGCACTAGCTCCGATGGTTGTTTGGGGTTTTCATTCAATAGTGTGGGACCGATGCTGGATGTAGACGATGTGTCGTTGGTAGTTACAAAACGGACTTCTGTTGAGTCAGTTACACTTGTCACCTGTTGGCTGCTGAATGTCATAAAATAAATAGACCTGTTTTGAATATATCTGCTTTAACATGTCTGTCTAGAAAAAGGCAAAAAGTCACAGTTCAAAAAAAAATGCAGAAAAGGACAAGGTTGGAAAATAAGAAAATTGGAATACCGGGGAACAGAGAAATTACTGTAACAACTTTACTAACCTGGGATGGGAACCCAAACTTGGAATCGTGTCGACGGGATGCCCTGTGGTACGAGGATGAAGCTGGTGGGAGGTTGTGACTGGATGCTGCTGTGTCGGTGATAGCCTGGCAACCATACGAGATTCCTCTTCAGTAGTTGATAGCTTGGAAACCTTTCGAGATTCCTCTTCAGTAGCTGGTAGCTTGGAGACCTTTCGAGATTCCTCTTCAGTATTTGATAGCTTGGAGACCATAGGAGCTTCATCTTCAGTAGTTGATAGCTTGGAGACCATACGAGATTCATCTTCAGTAGCTGGTAGCTTGGAGATTATACGAGATTCCTCTTCAGCAGTTGATAGCTTGGAGACCATATGAGATTCCTCTTCAGTAGCTGGTAGCTTGGAGACCATACGAGATTCCTCTTCAGTAGTTGATAGCTTGGAGACCATACGAGATTCCTCTTCAGTAGTTGATAGCTTGGAGACCTTTCGAGATTCCTCTTCAGTAGTTGATAGCTTGGAGACCATATGAGATTCCTCTTCAGTAGTTGACAGCTTGGAGACCATACGAGCTTCATCTTCAGTAGTTGATAGCTTTGAGACCATACGAGATTCCTCTTCAGTAGTTGATAGCTTGGAGACCATACAAGACTCACCTTCAGCAGTTGATAGCTTGGAGACCATATGAGATTCATCCTCAGTTGTTGACTCTATTTCGAAGCATTTGTAGAGTTTCTCCCCGATTTTACAAGTGATGCTTGGAGTAGTTGTATTTACTGATGACGTCTTCGTCACTTTGCCGGTTTGAGACTCACTTTCAATAGATGGTCTATTAGTATTAGAAAAGAAAGAGGTTTTGTGAAAACGGGCCGCCTCTCTAGGACAACCTACCTCGTGTACCGTGGTATAGTTACTAGTAGTGAGTATTCTAGATAAACTTGGTAAATTCTTACAACCATATTGGGCTTCAAGGCTTGTTTTCACGGAAGAGTTTTGATTTGAATATTCACACGAAATGCAATTCGCAAACTGTGCTCTTGTATTTATTCCACCATTGATTTACAGTTTGGACCTAGGCCTACTCATGTTAAAATAAATTAAGACACTTTTTTTTATAAATTGGTGAAGTTATTATTGTCATAGGCTGATGAATCACAAATCAAATCCTACCGGTTAAGAATGATGGCTCCGGTCGATGCCGCATTTTTGACGGTTGAGGCTGGAAGCAAGTAGAACATCTGACCTGAACTGATCGGGGTGATGTTACCGATACTAGAATTCGGTTTACTGGCAACTGTTGTCGGCAGAACAACCTTCAAGTTGTTGGGATGGTTTTGGAGCGCTGGTTGTGTCACCGTAGATCTCCTCTGTGCCTCTGATTTGCCGTCGTTTCTACTGTCGTTGCTTGTGTCACTCAAAAAACCTGTAAAGTTTTCCTGCGGAAACGTGTCTGCTGCACCGATGTCTGTAGTACAGGCTGCCGAACTGGTACTTCTTGGAAACTTACTGTTTCCGTTTGAGGTGCACGTCGACGTAACAGTGGAAATCATTTTGTCACCTCAGTTGAACAAAAAACTGCAATTGCAGTAAAATTGCATCAAATTTTGAAAGAATGGCAATCTCTAATCAGTGAGCGTCATGGATAAAATTCAAATGTATATTATTGCATCATAATTATTAGAAAGTAAACAATGGAACAATGCAATGCGTATTCAACAGCCACACACGAACAGCGTTTGGCATCACGCGCGCGTATTAAAATGTGCGTATAATGTGGCGTGCATGCGTGCAAAAAGCACATACGCGCAAAAGTACAAAATATATCGATCAACACGTGGACAGAGTTAGAATGAAATAAACTTGGGTTTATCTCACAAGAATTATCTCACTTTTGCAGCCGTTTTAAAACTTCAGTTTTTTTCATTTCTTCAAACAAATATTTCGGGTGCAGCTTTTGTCAAAGCGGTATATAGGAGCCTCTCTTTTGTTTTGTCATACAAAACTCTCTGAAACAACAAAAATCTTAAGTAGGGTGCATAACAATTTTGAATTTTAGCTCAGTAACTACTATAGTCATGTTTACATTTTGGGAAAACAGAGCATGCGCATTGTTTTTGTAAGGTCTTGTTATTGGGTTACGTTGCCAACGCACGTAAAAGTGTGCCGGCGGGCACACTTTTGAAAAACCAACTTCAGTGTGTTTGTTTTCTTTCCTTCGAAACAATTTTGGCGGAATTATTTTACTCGGTATATTATGGGACCAGCCATGCATTGACCCGTGCAAGGTTTTTTTCTCATTAAATCAGTAGGCAAGTTTCCGGGTTATAGTTATTACCAATGTTCATATTACCTTTAAACTACGATAAAAAGAATATTTTTTTCATGGTTTCAACATGATAACTGCGCATCTGTTGATGTGTAATGACAAAAGTGTCTCTTTTTTCTTGGTAAACAGAACGATATACAAGAAGAGATTCGATTGAAGAATGAAGACCGCAGCCATACAATCATCATCACTATTAACAATGGACATCCGCAATCATGAGGAACATTGTTTGCCTCGATTATATTTGCCAGACACTTGATACTGTTTGTACACAGCGTGTTTCGCACCTTTCGTTTACAGGGCATCTTCAAGTATTTGCTACTTTAAATGAATTCAGATCGATATGCAATCATCTCGATCTTTTGTTACTGTTGCTGCCCCCTGTCCTACTTTCAGTCACCGTGAAGCCGACCCCTATACCCTACCTTCATCTTCAACTCTATCTCGAAGTCCTCTTTTTCAACGTTCCCGATAAAAAAAATGCCTTTAAAAATTCCCATGTTTTCATCTACCTGAAAATACGGTTATTCTTGCAAAATGTTTGAGAGTTGGGCCTAAATGTATCACGGCGTTCTAGTTTATGCGACATTGACCGATTGTATCTGAGGAGAGTTTCATCCCGCTGGAAATCTTAAACGCATGGAACAGCAGGAGTCTCATTCACGTTTGTTCACATCACGTTGATGCGAATTCACAGTCTAACCTCATTGTTAGGGAAACTCGATTAGAATAGGACCCCGACTTCAGAGCGGGGTGTGGATTATAGCTTTCCATTAGACAACTTTGAAAAATACGGACACCGCTAAGTTTTGTGTATTGTGGGACTTCGAGTAGCCGTTAATTGTGTTCCACACGGGCTAATCCAGAGTAAAAGACGGCGATTAATACCAAACACCTGTGTATCCCCCCCTCGGACCGGCACGTGTATTTAAAAAAAAAATCGAGAACAGATGAAAGTAATTTTGTTATATACATGTAATATTTTAACCCAAACCTAATACAAATGTATTCAGTTTGATGTTACTGTAATCCGTATGACGAGTGGCGATTTTGAAACAGAGTTCCTTAATCTTTGATTTAATTCCACCCATCTTTTACTTGTTACTTAACTTGCCAGTCAAACTGTTTGTCATTTGAAACATTTCATATTGAAAATTGTAAATCCGCCTCTCAATCGATTGGTGCCCTGCAACGCCCTCAACGTCCAATGTTGACCAAGCCACACTGCCACAGCAGTAGGCCAATATAATGGCGTATGTGTTGACATGACAACGCAATAGAGCAGTCTACTTATGCCGAATATGAATTGTGGAACCGCATGCCTTTGTGCGTCGAGGGTCCATGGAAAATGATAAACACCAATAAAAGCTTTCATAGGTCGTATTTTAGGGGTCGGGAAATCGACCCTGTATGCATGCACTCCCTGACACATTCTATGCATTATGGTAGATAGGCCTACATTGAAAATTCGGCTTATGGAAAATAGGCAAACTTAATCGATCGGGTTACGTTGAGTATAGATTTTCGCGTTGTGTTGTTGTATTGACATCACAATAATAAGCTTTCTGGGTAAACTGCATGGAGGCTTCAGTGAGTTTGCAACCTTTACTTCGGATATGAAAACACAGAGACCTTGAAGATGTTTTAATTTTGCTCAGTCAGTGGAGTCAATGAGTGGTTATAAGTTAGTGACAGGGGAACAGGCATGTAATTGAAGTGGAGTACATGTACTTCTAAGGCAGAGCACTCCTAAGGCAACTTATGATGATTAAAGCTGTGGAGTATAATCATCATGGTCCATTGGTCTATCTATGGAGCTTAGCTGGCTGAATTGTGAGGGACACTCCGTGTGGGGTGAGTGAGAACGTTTTGAATCACCCAGGCGAAACCGACTGCTGAAAAGACCGTCCCAGCCACACACCACAGCACAGGTCCGGGATCTTAGAGCAGTCCAACCAACCAAAGCTTGTCCAGAGTCAATCTGGGCTTGAATGGAGTCTGTCTTTGAAGGAACTACAGACCCATTTGACGGACCTACCATCAGTTTATTCCAGGTCTTTTGTCGGTCTTCAATAGTCATCATTAGGGGTGTATCCAGACACCCCCACCCATCATTCAGCGGCGCTGGCATGATTCGCAGCAGTGCATTGTGGGATGTTGTGTCTCTCATACCCGCACTACAGTCGCTGGTGGATTGAATCGTGCAGACGTAAATTAGATCATCAAGGAAAGACGACTCTTTGTTTTCAGCAATAACTGAGAAAGATGGGACATTAATTATCATGGCCACTTAAACGCTGCTAGAGGTGTGGATGGGTTGATCTTCCTATTCTGGATTGTAAGTGCTGCGCGCTGAGCAGCTATTACTAGTCTTTGCCATGACTGACTACTCGACATCTCATGTAGACGACAATCGGGATAACATCATCTCAGGATCGCATTTTCCTCATTCTCATCTCCACGCGGTTAATAATAACATTCATTCCCAATCCCGGCATCCAAACGGTAAGATGAGACTGGGCAAGAGCAACAGTAGCCCCGCTACTCCGGTAGGCGAGCTACCGCCTCTGGTCGGAGTCCCGCATGACAAACCACGCAATCACCAAACAACGCATGAGACTAGCATGATTCCAGCTGTCTGCCGTGGGGTGTTAGACAGCGAAAACCCCGCCATCCCCGGCACGCCCAGCCCGCTCATGAGACGCCGCTTGAAGTACATGGTACGGCAATGTTCAGACTCGGAACTCCTCAAGAATAACCGAGGTTTGGGACGATTGAAGTTAGCACCGGCAAGCGGCACAGCCAGCCCCGTGCCTCACCCACCGGACCAAAGCCCTCGCTCGCTAAACTCCTCGGAGTCAAACTCACCCAGGATTCTCCGCAAACCTCACACAGTTAACTCCTCCCGGACTGGACCGGGTAGGATCAGCCGTTCACTGGAGGCTTCACCCATGGTTAACAGGCGTGTTCGTAGCGGTGTGAGGCGAAACTCAGGCGGGCGGGACTCATCCCCGTCCTCAAGACCAACCTCACCACCTTCAGACAACCACCGCCCTAGACCTTTCTCCTTCGGATCTTACAGCGATGTACTTCAGTTTGTTTCAAGTAGTAATGAACCATCTACGAGATCTCCAGGGTCTCCCTTTGTTTCTAGGAGGACAGTGGGAGTAAGAGGTGGAGGCCCCTCCCCTCCTAGTCGAGCAGATACACCTGCTAATGATGCCATATCGATACATGACTCCAAGAAATCACATCACATATCTTCATCATCAGGTAGGTTCTCTGCACAGTGATTTTTTTGATGTATTTTTCTTTATAAACATATTGATAACTTCATGAATAATTATGATCATGTGGCAAGAAAGAATATTTCCCCCCCCCAAAAAAAAATCTCGTTTTAGTTTTACTGAAATAAAGTTATTGCGCCATCATTTCGTAAAGTCTTAGCACGGTGATTTTTTATTTTGGCAAGAGAAATAAGCGTTTACATTCGAACTCAATGTTGGCAACACTCATACATTAATCTTCCATTAGAGGGAGTATGTTATTTCAACAATTGAGAATGAATATTTAGGACACTTTCAAATGTCAAATTCGGGCTGTTGTAAAGCTTCAAACTTATGCCTCCAGCTGTTTTTTTTTAAATAAATGAAAATAAAAGACACACCCTATACCTTCAGAATCAGAATTGACTGAAAATTAAAACAAAACACGCATAAGATGGAGCCGTTATACTAATAAACAAAACAACAGCGAACAAGATTACTCTGTTACATTGTATAATGATGACCTGATGTACCTTCGCTGGATTGAATAATACCAAGAGAATGTCGAACTCTTGCTTGTACCTCGTGCAAACAACTGATATTTGATTTAAAAAAATGTTAATTTGGTACTTTTAACACTAACATAAACTCTCTAAAATGAGATCATGCCAAATTGACAGCCTGTCTAATGGGGCTTTGTCCGATTGTTGACGCCTTATACACACGCTTCGAAAAGTTAGAAAGCGCGTGAATTATGTCCTTAGCAATGACAGGATAAGTCCCGGACAATAGCCGTTTGATTCTAAGAACTATCTACCATATTGACGACATTAAGCTGCAGTCAAAGACAAGATTATCCCTGAAATGTGCCCTTTAATAAGACACGTTTTCATGCCATTGTCTGGCTTCCCGTCTCCCACTGTGACGTCTGATGCGGTTGCAACATCACATCGACAAGGACATTCCAACTACACGTATATCAAAGGCAGGCGTGAGCTAATGGGAAACTTTGCCAATATTTCGATCATGAGTAAAACATGGTTAACAGTGTTTGGCATTGAGTAACGATCGATAAAATGTCATTAAGGGAATGAATAATACATGGCGTCTTTTGTGTGTCAGTTTATAAGAACACCATTTTAGGCCTTTGGTTTTAGAAAATCTTCTATAGAAAATTACCACATGTCGCGATCACTGAGTACAAAACAAAACATGTTCTTGAAAAACTATGTGAATCGGCTATAAAAACGTTTCATTATTGGTAATTTTGACAATAAAGGAGTTTGATATAAATTGATAACTTCTTTGATAAATTTTAACTAGCATGCAAATATGATTCAATATCCGCTTAAAATAATTAATGACAAAGACATTTTAACTGTAGGGTTTTCAAATCACTTTCAATCAGTTTTGAGTGTCAAATAATCGTAAAATTGTTCAAGAACATTTTTGTGCTGCTCTATGATAAACGTTGGTCAGCTCACTGTAATTTTTTGTAAAGAAAACAAGCTGGGCAAATCAATCGGTATTTTGCCCAACGTACCAACTACTGACACGTTCCATAGTTGGTCATTTTTTTAAAAACAAATTAACCAACAAGGGGTTAACTCCATACCAATGTTGGCCTAATAACATTACCCGACAGTGTTAGGCAGTATGAATACGCGTCTGCAATAATGACATTTATGAAGTGGGTTTCATAAATTTAACATTTTAAGATGGTTGACGTGTGAAGTTCGTTTCAACACTTTAAAGAGAGCCAATGTAAATGTCATGCACATCCTGCGCTAGGACTAGGGAAATATACGGCCTGACACGATTGAAAGGTGTTTATAAATTGAAAATCCTAAGGAAAATGGATATTTCGGCTCACACGTGAGAAATTCAATATTGTTTATATCAAAACACTACTTTACTGCTTTCAGTGGTTCATTGTTGAACTATGGGACAACTTTATGCACAAATGTTTTCAACAAGCACAAATTTGGGTTTGCAATTTGAAGAGAAAAAAACTGTCATGAAATGTCACCATGCATTTTGTCAGAAGTATGAAACATTTTAATTGGTTAACTGTAAAACAAAAATGCACTTTGCATAAACTTTTACCAAAACAAGATGTGACATTGTTTTATAAGAGCAATGGACATTTTGCTACAAATATACTCCAGTGTAAAATTCATTTCATGGACCCTTTAAATTTTTCATGGCACTTTAATTGTCGTAAAACTCGGACTTTGCTTTAGCGTGCGGCACTTCACACTCTTCAGACCATGAAGTGTGACAAATTCTGGACTTGATAAAAAAAATGGCTTCATCTCAGCTCACTGTCCATGTGGGAGAGAAAATCAAACACAGACGTACAGTTCAAACACACAGTGCAGTAGTCCCTTCATAATTTTTGAATTAAAGTGTTTTGTAGTGCTTTGAAAAATGTTCTAATTCATTATGTGGGGTAAAGTCTTTACACTTAAAAACAAATAATGCAAAAAGAAATGTTAGATTTGTAAAGAAGTAAAGACCAGATTGGCTGAAATGCGTGGTTTAGTTTTTTTTTTTCAACTTCACTAGCCTGAAAATGCAGGTTAATTGTTTTTTAATTGCACTATAAACAAAAAGCTTGGTCCAAATATGTATGTTCATCAGTTTTCCATGTTCATCGCATAATGTGCTGATGCTTAAAATATGAAACAAGCCATTTCAACGATACAAAAATTCGTATCGTTTCACCAGAATATAAATAGTTGTGCCCTTATAGCGCCCGTAGTTGTGCCCATACATGCCTATCGCGCCAATAATGCACAAAAACTACGTAGTTTGGGCCTTTAGTTTTACTACCAAATGTACTTCAACATTGTATCAGTTTTAATATGTGATTGACATGTTTACACATGGACCATTACTTCGCTAATGTACACATAGCTACGGTTCACAAGTATTGCAGTATTGCAGAAATATACCACACTGAAGCTTGAATAAAACTGCAAACTGGATAATACGTGAAAAATTGATCCTATATTAACCAGGCACAATTTGGTTCAATACCGATATCTGAAAATTCATGATGTACATTGCATAGGTTTATATACTAATTATTAAAATCCCATTCTTATATCTAAAAAGCAAGTTTTGATGACCTAAACAAATTTATTCTGCTGAAGAGAACCTGTTTGTACATTGGCAAGTTCACGATGCTCTCCTGGTGTGATTTTTTTCATCTTATATACACAACAGATTTATTCCGAACACGTTTTCAGGTGTGCCAGACGAATAACTGTCGACGCGAACGCGCCTGGCCTTGAGCACTGATTTCACACTTCAGTCGAATTGCTGAAAAAAAAAGAATTGAATTCTTTTCAAGCAAAATTTGGAACAACAAACCGTGCCCTGAAAATTGGTGCGAATGCCTCGTGGGAGGTAAGGTTTTGGTATGACGCGCTCACAGTACAATCATGATGGAATGAGGTGAATTCAATGGTGAAATTGTATGAAGGTCAAAGGTTAACACTGGTTCTCTGCCCCCTGGTCCCTAGCACCAATCAATCATTTAGCGCCGGGGTGCAAGCAAGCAATGCACTTTTTAGCTGTCGGATCGTGTAGAGGCATGCACGTTAATGAAATACGGGCTGAATTTCTTGTTACCTTAGTGATGGGTGTCAACAACTTTTTTTTGGGGGGGGGGGGACGGGGACGTAGATGCAGGAAAAAACAGGTGCGATTCACACACTAACAAAAAGTCCAGTTGGCCCGATATTTTTACTCAAATTCCAGCAAGAACTTAAGATGGACCGTCATCTTTTCGAATTTCCTACATTGCTTTTTCTCTAGCAATACAAAAGTTATTCTCTTTTGAATGAGACATGCATGGAATGGAATAATTGGCTGACGTTCAGTAATGGAATAATTACATTAAAACTGTCGAATTATTTGTGGCATGATTCAGTTCTCGTATTGGAAGATTGGTTCCCGCCACCATATCAGAATTGATAATGTTGTAGGGGTCGGGAACCAGTAGCAGGTTGGACCTGTTTGTGCTCAAAAGCATGCCCCAAATCAAATTTAAGACTGAGGCCTTCCCCAAGAAAAATGTATTAAATCAAATTGAATTTGAAAATGCATTCAGAAACAAAACAAAAATTGAATTTGTTGAAGAGCACGTACATGACATCTTTAATTGAGTGGTCTGCAGATTTCGCAATTTCGGTATTTTGTTTTATTAATCCTTAATTTTATATCTTATAAAAAAAGATTGGTAAACAAGCTGAACGAATAATGCGAGTAAAGAAAGTAATTGTATCTCGGGCATCGTATAAGAGCGCTGGTGTTGTCATTTCGCGGTGAATAGCGCGTGAGTTTTTCCAGACGAGGACACTATTGTGCCACACAACAGACAAAAACTAAAACGTTTGGCTTTGTCATATCGACCTCAGTTATACGGATTGTTGGCGGAAAACAGCAAACGAAGAAGAAGTAGAAGAAGGATAAGTGATGATGTGTAAATAATCACCAGATTATACCGACAAGAAGGATTGAGACTCTGGTAAAAATTCACAGAAGAGGAAACCTTACAAGTTCAGGAATGTCTAGTCACTCGGGTTTACTGTCCGGGTGCAGGATGCTTGTTTTCTTTAAGTCATCAGAAAGCTTATTGGAAATATATAAATGACATGTTTTCCTCACTTGATAACAGGCGAAGGTTTTGGTCTTTTGTCCGCAGTCGTAAACAATCCCCGCCACCTCCTGTATTCACTCATAACAATGTTAAATTATCTCAACCTGGTGTTATTTCATCCGCTTTCAATGCATACTTTTCCTCTGTGTTTAACCCTGATGGTATGGTTCCCAATGACCCATCTCCTTGTTCACTACCATTACCTGGTCTTTCAGAACTGTATGTGTCTGTAGGTAAGATTAATTCTATTATACGTAATCTACCCACCAACAAATCTCCTGGCCCTGATGGCATTATTCCTGGTATATTAAAGAAGATTTCTTGTCAAGTATCCATCCCTCTGTGCTTGCTGTTCAACACCTCTCTAAGCTCAGGAAAATTACCCGATGCTTGGCGATGTGCAAACATTACCCCCGTTTTCAAAAAGGGCGATAAATCCATTCTGTCGAACTACAGACCTGTTGCACTGACATCCGTTCTGTGTAAAATTCTAGAGCGTGTTGTTGCGGCTGCTATAACAGATCACGTTGGTATGTTTGGGTTGTTGAACAGCAATCAACACGGCTTCACAAAACGCCGAAGCTGTGTTACCCAACTCGTCAATGTTATGCATCAATGGGCACTGACTCTTGATGTTCCACGCCCTCCCCGAATTGACGCTGTCTTCCTAGACATGTCAAAGGCATTTGACAGGATGCCACACCATATCCTGCTTAGTAAACTTTCATCGGTTTACAACATCCAGGGTGTGGTCTGGCGTTGGGTCAGATCATTTTTGACTGGCAGGAAGCAACGTGTTCTTTTTCAGGGTAGTGTTTCCTCATGGGTCAGTGTTTCGTCTGGTGTTCCTCAAGGTAGCGTTCTTGGACCCACCTTATTCAACCTGTTTGTCAATAGCATTCCCGACTGTGTCTCCTCTAGCTGTGTTCTGTTCGCTGACGATGCTTTGCTCTTCCGAGTCATCCGGTCGGTTGAGGATGAGTTCCAGCTGCAGAACGACTTAAATAATATGCAAGACTGGTGTTTAAATCATGACATGCTCTTCAATACAACCAAAACTAAGGTTATGCACGTCACCAGAAGCAAAAATATCCATCCTCCAGTTTACACACTTGGTGATGCTGCCCTGTCCACAGTTACCTCTATTCAATATTTAGGTGTCACTATTAGCTCCAATCTTCAATGGAATTCCCATATTGACTCACTTGTCTCACGTGCAAATCGCCTCCTGGGTTTCATCCGTACTATTGCTGGCGGAGCATCAACTCAAGCCATATTCTGCCTTTACAAATCTCTGATCCTGCCTATCCTGGAATATGGCATTCCAGCGTGGGGTACTCACACTCTCTCTCAACAGCAAAAGATTGAGCGCGTACAACGCACTGCCACCCGCATTGCTTTGAAACAAAGACGCGGTGAAATGTCATATGAGGATAGGTTGGGTCAGTTGAACTGGTCTTCTCTTTCATCTAGAAGAGATTATTTACTTTGCTCTTTTGCTTTCAAATGTTTATCTGGTGTTTGCAGGTGCGAGTCGATCAACGACAATGTTTTCATAAATGCACGTCATCCAGAATCCCTTACCTTCCGTCATCTGCCTTCTCGTACACAAGCTTTATATCATTCTCCTACTCGTTATCTTCCCAGACTTTGGAACCAATTTCCACCCCATATTAGGGATTCTGCAGTACTGGACACTCTACCTGTTTTCCTTAGGAATCTTCGGCAATTACTTTTCTCAGACAACTGATTTCATTATCCTCATTAGTGTTTTCATATACATGTACTTGCTGCATTTAATTGGTGGGGACTTTCACATGACTTTCACATGATTTGGGTTTCGTTGCATTAGTCTTCTTGCTTGCGTGTAATTTGTAACAGGGGCCAGTTTTTTTTGTTGCTGTTTAATATTTTTATTATTTTCTTGTACCTTGTTTTGTTCTTGTCTGCGTTTGTCTGCTTAATATGTGCGGGGTTACATACCTGTGGGTAATAGTAATTAAATTTACTTTTGTGACCCCTGACCCACATATCGTCTTTTTATATATTGTCTTCGGATGTTTTCATTTCATTTCATATTATGCGTTGTTTTTGTGGCCCCTACACTTACACTTACACTTATACAGTGTCGTCTTTTGTGTTTATTTTGTTTTATTTTGTATTTCGTAGCTTTCATACATTTTTGTTTAGTTTTTGTGCTTCATACCGTGTTTGTTAATTGTGTATTGTTTTGGTCGAATAAATAATAATAATAATAATAATCAGGACGCTATACTGAGATTCTGGCAACCAAATCGGATATTAGTTTTGTCAATCGTACATGCTCCTTAGGAAATTTAACATTATTGTGTTATTCTTCAATGTATTTGGCAAAACCGATCAATATTTGTAACCGAACTCTGTGACGTCAATTTTGCCGATGTGCAATTTTCTACAAACAAATTTGAGTTTTAGCCTCCTAGACATCCATGCACAACTATTTTTTAAAATTTACATCTCATATGCTAAGGATCATTTACAAGAACGATATTAGCAAACACATCATCAAAGCAAGACATAACTTAGTTTGATGAGATGGTCGACCAACCATCCACCAAAGACTACAGTGCCTGCTGACACCATATCTACGCACGTAAACATGGCACAGTGTGTCTTATGGAACATTACACGAAACTTCATCTTCTTATCGTCATTCTCAGCCTCAAGACATAGACAAAGGGAAATTTATATTATACATTTCATGGAAAAGCGACGACAGTAAAAGTTGTGCTCCGAACCACGATCAGCTTCGAATCGTCCACGGATGAATCGTCATAGCCTCGTAAACTATCACCCTTGAAATTCCTTGGACAAATAGGGCATACTTTAGGCTTTTCAAAAGTCGAACATGCATGAAGAAAATCCATTTTCATTGCTGATCAGCGCACTCCCCTCCCCTCCTCCGACTTCGAGGATACATATGTTTTTTTCCCAGATCAAAATACTCTCTTGCAAGCCTTTTTGTTTAACAGTAGCCACCCGACCGGGAACATGCAGTGAGGCATATAGTGTTGACACCGTACAGAAAAGCTCCATTCGCATACTGTCCCACATGCACAATGTTGCCAATCACATGCCACAATTCCAAACTTCTTGTCTAATCGTAAAAGTACTTAGATGACGGAGTTCAACGATACGGCAGCTTTTCACTGTCAGTTTATGGACATGCTGTTTAATATGACATTTCTTAAAGAGCGATTGGGCGTGGTCAAAGGACCACACCACTACTCTCACTAACACACGACTCTGGCTCTTTCGCAGTATTGACAAAGTTGTTTTTGTTTTGCAGGGGATCGCAGTGAAGTGCAAGAAAACGAGGAGACTAGTCTCGTTTTGGAAGAGCATGTGGATCATGAGGAATCTATGCTCCCGAGAAGGAGACTACGACGTGACTCAGGCTCCCAGCATGCACAGCGAAACTCCACTGGTCCCGTGCTCAGTGATAACAATAGAAACTTCTCAAAGAAATCCCAACAAGTTGCTGCCCCCACGGGCACCAGTGACTACCCTCATTATCCACATGAGGATCAAGTGGTTGATCACCTGGTTGATGACGACACGGGGTATCCTAGTAACCTCTACGACATCCAAGAAAGGCGGGAGAGTATTTTGAGCATCGAGGCGGTGCAAGAAATCGCGCGTCGATTCGCCAAAAACGGTGAAAAGTCCTCCAGTGAATCCAGGAGCAATGCGACGGATGATGACGATGACGAACAAGACAAAAGCAGAAAGCCCGAGAAAAGCAGAAAGCCCGAGAGACAACCTACACCAGAATATAGGAAGCAACCGCTCTCCACGGACACACGCGTCTCCAATTGGTTGAAAGGTATACAAGACCCAACAGAGAGGGCCCCGACTACTCTGGAGAGAATATTACCAGATATTATATAACGATAATTGATCAATTATTGATCGGCAATTCGCCCTGAAAGTATAAAGAGTACAAAATTGACGCCAAAGGCCAAATAATGTATTCATGTCAAGACGCACAAAAGTGTTTGTCAAAAGAAGTAGGTATTTAACATTACATGAAAATGTAGTTTGTGTCAGGGTGTGCATTAAAAAAAGATGGTGTGTGCTGAGGCTGTGCTCTTAGCAACAACTGATCGACAAATATCAACTCGTTGTCGACACTAAACTGGCGCGGGATCACTGCATATACATGTGTGTGGACAAGTAAAGTCACGGTCAACTGTCAGTTAAATGGAGTGGGTGGTACTTTGTGTGAAAAAAAAACCCCGAAGGGGCGGGGTCAAACCGAAAAAAACCCGTCTCTTTAAAGATACACAATTACTTGAAGGTACATGTTGACAATTTATTTTAATTTTTTTTGCAAACATACAACCTTGATGCACTCTGAATTATGAGATGGTTGTCAACTGCAACGTTGTAGTATCGTAAAATGATGAGTTTTTGACTCTTCAAATACAGACTATCATTGTAAACTGTAAAAGGTGAAAACAAAGGTATTGCCTATGTTAATAGATTACAGGTGTACTTTAAATGTACTCAGAGGTCGTATAATGGCGAGCTGGTTTTGCAGATGAACGTAATAAATATGCAAATGTGCTTTCAAATGAAGGGGTGCTTCTAGTTTTTGTCAGACCTCCGATGAACAGAATCATTAACCCTAACAGTCCTGAGTCCCTTAGATTGCATGTGATTTTTCACACCAAGTGGCAACGTTGAAGCTGGACTTATAGGTCTATAAAATGTTACATAAATTCACAACGAAAGCTGAGGGTATTTTTAGGCCACAGAAAAACATTCTTCTTGCACAGACGTTTTTTTTCTGTGGGATGTGTTTTGAATGATATCAGGGCAATTGTTAGATGCAGACAGCAGCTCAACAAATCGTCATGTCTCTCCGTTAGTTAGTTAGTTAGTGACAATCGTTCCAGTGACAGCCTTGCATGGGTATATATCAGCGCGTACCTCAGGCCCTGGCCCCCTTTTGTGTCACTTTAATGGGTCTCCACAGATCATCTACCATTTACCAATCGAATGCAGTCCTGAATTAAGCCCTGACTTTCTGTGGGAGGGGAGAGTTGCTTTATTGAGGTCACTCATTTCGCATTGTTGCAACCAAACTTTGTCAAAAGTATCAGTAGCCCAGCCCCAACAGGCCACACGACCAAACTGGGCTCAAAGGTCTTCATGGGGTCACAACGGTCAAAAAATCAAATGTTTGTTGTACCCAAAACACTACTTCTTCCAGAAATTACACGGCACAATGCATCACTCATGCATTATCACGAATTCGTTGGCCCGCAGCTTCTGAGATCATTTCGAGCTTGTCTTTGAAGTGCACTCACTGCCCAGCATGCAAGCAATGTTTTACCTCACTTTTCCAGCTCGCATCACCGAAAGAGGGCGCCATCATGTCAACGCAGATATACCGTCACATAATAGTAAAAAAATGTGGTACCGCTCAATAATTAACAGTGTTGTAGCCTAGGCGAGTACATTTCCCTGATTGCGAGTACGAGTACTTTGCCACGAGTACGGGTACTTAATCATATAAGAGCGACTTGGAGTATACGAGTACAAGGCAATGTATTTTCTCATGAGTACGAGTACCAACAAATGCACTGGTAGAATGAGTTCTTTCCAGATCCACAAGTAGGTTTTTAGCTATCAAACTAGGTATTCAACAAACGAAGCAGCCTCCCAAGCAGAAGAAAGCTGGTTCTTTTCATGTATGTAGCTCATAAATTCTTGTTTTAGGTCTTGCGGGAGAGTATTTACAAGAGGATGACTTTAGGAACTACATCACTGCCCTAGAGTGAACTTCCACGAGTATTACTGCGATGTTAGAGAGGCTCGGATCGAACATCCTCCAGCCCCGCAAGCAAATCGAATAATTGAAAAGTGTCAGCGGCAATCGATCGAGGCAATCTATGTATGAATGTTGACGCTTGAATTCAGACCGATTTCTAAAGAAAAGAATCGGTTAGTTGGTGGATTAAAAGGCTAAGACGGGCCTAATATTGATGCTATAACAACCATAGCCTGGGGTAAATCCGCTACCGACGAGTTGATATACATGTAAACTGCTTACATTTTCTCGCGTGCAAAGGCTAGGTGTACTTTTGTCTCTTTGGAAAGAGATACTTTAAGATGTCACTTTCCTTCAAGACTCCACTTGTGATAATCTCGAAGAACTTCTAAATTTTGAATGGGACAACATTCATTTGAGACCATCACGAGAACACATTATTGACACGATTTGGACAACTTGAGTTACGAATTGGAGGGAAAATATCCTTTAAGCAAACGTTTGTTTTGCCGGCTTTTGGCGTTGGGAATGTCAAGCCCTCTTCGGCAAATCCGAACTAATACCGTCATCGATTTATGTCTTTTGTCAAGAAAAAAACCTTCTATTGTACGGAAACAGTTTTACCGCTGAGAGGTTTAACAGATCTAAAGTGGAGGTCTTCTGTTGACTGGATTGTTGAAGATGGTCGGATGAAGCAAAGTCAGAAGAGTATAGCGTGACTTGATAGTCATTTTAAAAGTTTTTCCTGCCGAGTTTCATTCTTGAAGTCATGCCTTAATGCGAGTTGGACGAATAAGTGTTTGCTCTGTGGGCAGAATGCTCGGAACAATGGATCAACGACAAGATATCGCGATGAGGCATCACGGTTATTTGGACTGACGACTGGAAGGTGTCATGTGCGTATTGTGTTCAATGAACGTCTCTCACTATACAAGCGAAACCTGTGAGAGGACATCTTATTAAGATAGTTAAGATATCATTTCTTAGTGCGAGTTGGGCGTCGTGTGTATATAGCCGGTTTGACGCGGAGTGTGCTATGACCGTGATGGGCGCCGCCATTTTTGAAATGATTACGAACCCATGCGTCCTTGCCGACATGTTCAAACAACTGAGCTGGTTGTTTAGAAACGAGTATGTCATAACAAAGTGACCTGAAAAGCAATATTTTTCCCGATTTGGTTGACTTTTGATCCTTGCCAGTTGAGAAGGTAACCGAGGGGTCATAAGGTCGTCTAGATGCCGTATCTGTGTCGCATTGTGTCATTGTGATTTCATGACATTTTTCAGACTATCTGAAAGCATGAACAAAACAGTGGCTTGTATACCTAGTCGCATTCGAATCGTTGATAGGATATTCCTCGGGGCGTTGAACATTCTTTGTTCAGCTTTGGTAAATCAGTGGCAACCAACAGCTTCTGGAATAAAGACTGCAAGATTACTACATTTCGAAATGGTTATTACTTGAACTTTGCTTTACAACCCGGCCATGATAAAAAGGTGCTATAAAAATTAGAGAGAATGGTCTTGGCCTGACTGCATTTTAGACCCTGACCAGAACAAACTTGTACCAGTATTCTCTCAATTAAGCAGTCGTTTGTGTGACTTCTAAGGTTACAGCCATTCACTTATTGGGCTTCCACGTACAACACAAATCATCGACTTTCAAGGGTTGACCCGAAATGTGAAAATACAGACAGAAAGGGAATGCCATTATCGGCACCTTAACTAGACATCACGAACAGTAATGTTTGGATTGCGTGAACTGACAAGGAAGAGTGAAGCAATGAAGCTGAAAAAGGAACGATGACTACTCGTAAGGATTCCCCTCGACATAAAGACATTCCAGTCACTTTAGGCAGGTCCGACAACATGGCTGTGCAGCGGATTGATGACACAGGGCCGGCCGTGGACGCCCCGTCGCGAAGACACCAACAGGGAAAAGGAGTGTCCTCGGACCATGAAGAAACGTCGTCTAAACTCACTATACCACAAAGCTCGCCTTGGTCCAATCAACGGACAACATCACCCAGGAACACCAACCTACAAACTACGGAAATATCAACTCGCGGTATACACGGAGGATGCAGGAATATCTTATCTGATGATTCAAGGAGATCAGATGCTTCATGTAGAGTCAGAAGACTAAACATGACCACACTGGAGCCAAAATCTAGTGCCACATTCAAGAACATCTCGTCAAAACCGTTTGATGGAATGAATAGTTTTTCTCTGCCATCTGCCATCACTACCAACAGGTCTCCAGGGACAGCCGAGAAGGCATCCTTTCTTAAAACCAGCGAGAGACTCTCCGATGCGAGCAGCAGTATAGTCTCCATGAGGAGCGCTAGTTCTGGGAGTCGAGCTTCCGGGGAATGCCCTTCTGACGTCACAAGTCACGTGCGGATGACGTCAAATCCTGGCGGCTCTTCTCAAGCGATGAGCCCGAGAAATTTGAAACACGGTACGTCACAGACAAGCAAAATAATTAAAATAGAAAAGAAGTAAAATGAACTGTCTAGTAATCGCGGGTATATAGGGGGGGGGGAGTCATGTCAAGAGCAAAGGATTTTCTTTTGGGGAGATGTTGTTCCTCGTTTAAGGTCTGATATCTCACTACTTCAGCATTTTTTTAAAAAAAATTCTCCTTTGCTTTGATGAATGCAAGATGTACATACTTTAAACTCTTAATAAAACAGAGTAGCAATCAAGTATGCCTGGACCTCATGTTTGCCTAAGCATTGAATATACAAATGTATTTGATAAGTTCCCCCTTCTCTGCCTTTCTCACTCAAGGGCTAGGCCTACCGTCTGTCCGCATCAAGCCCCCGATGCGAGCCAGAAGATCCTCAGAACCAGCTCTTTCTTTGTGTCTTAAATCATCCTCTCATTCCTCCCGACAACCAACTGAACATCCACCGACTGCCGATCAGTCCTGGCCCGGGCACACCGGCGGGAACATGCCGGTTGGAAAATGCTCGCAACGCGGTGGGAGAACCCTGGCTCGTTTAGAACGCACCCAGTCCCATCCACAGTTTAAAAGCCGGACCGTAAGCGGTAATCGAAATCAGAAACAACCGGAGAAGAGCAGCAGTGAACCTAGTCACAAGGAGGCGAAGGGAGACGCTGATGAAAACACTGACGAAGACGATGAGACAACGCACGACGGACTCGATAAGAAAGTGTTGACATGGCTGAATGGACTAGACAGCGCCACCTGTCGACGGTTTATGAGAAGGCAGATGGCGTCCCTTCAAGAAATTGACGATCATTGATGTTTAATAAAGAAAGGTTTCTTGCATAATCCTTCACTTAATAATTCATCGACAATGTGGCCATTTATCGGTAATTTTAAAGTGCTGATGTCCGTTGAGTCTGAGAGGACTTATGTACAAAATCAAAATGTCGATGGCCGGGCTGACTTCACGTGAAAACTGAAATGAGTAGTTGTAGTTTTCAAACAAATTGACAACTTCAAATTTCCTTGGAAAAGAAAAAACTACGCAATTGTTACAGACTCCGTGTGGGGACAACAGAGGGCTGATCACTCAGAACTCCAGCAAGTTGGTTGAGGGTTTTTACCCCATAAGTATCTAGGGTTGTCTGTAGCGTTATATGAGATGCACGATAAATTCAGTCGGACTTACTTCCCTATCCTTAAAATAACACAATTATCGAAAGAGAATGTTCAGAGAGATCATAAACTGTTTTGAGAAAACAAATAGTAAAGGAAGATATAAAACCAGAAAGGGCACCTATGTGACTTGAACCTTGTATATGTGATACAAAAACAGAATATTCACCTGGATAATGCAGCCTGAGTTGTTCTAGGAATGCAGTTCTTTCTTTAACATTTTTTTAATTCTATAATTTTGGTAATATTTTCATAAGCATCCATTGTAATATACCCTAGTGCATCCCAACTAAGATTTTTTGTTTCTGAACAGATCATTTATAAACAAATAAAGGAACATATAAGGGATAAACATGTTATTCCTTCCAGAAGAAACGAAATATCTTGGGGACTACAATCAGTTCAATGGTGAAAATAAAATTGCCCAAACAATCCAGACAGTTGATGGCGTTTCAAATGAGTTCTGGAATCACAGACGCGTTCTTTGAATAATATTGGCAAATTTATTAATAAAAATCACAACAAGACTGAGAAATAGCATGCATGAGAAAAACCATCGACTCCCAACCAGTTCAGGTCAAAACGGGTCACCATGTGGCCCCACACGGGTATCGTTGTCATGACAACGGTATACAGAAAGTTCAGCACCTTGACCCGGTGTGAGTCTCGCATCGCGTGATGACGAGTATTGCATTGTAGACCAGGAGTTGAGGCAATAAGATCAGCTGTGTTGACAGGATAAACCGAACGCTAAACCTAGCAGTTTATGGTTTCATCCTATGCATCAAGTGTATCGGCAGTCCATTTTGTGATTCCCATGCACCTGTCACGGGAAATTTGATTGAGACGCTGCAATGATTTTTCGACAGTTTTTTTTCTAATGTGAATACTACAGTAGCGAGAGATTCATGTTGAGAGTCGCAACTGGATGGCATGGAACATTGAGATGAGAGAGAAATTGGTGTCATGCGTTTCTCTTCCTGCTGAATTGTATACCCATTGACACACAGTGCATTCGTGAAATGATCAGCCAGCATACATGTAAGGTTGTCATAAGGATTGACATGGTATGCAGTTTTTTTGTTACTGTGTCCAATAGAGCGTAGGTCTACCCTGCCCCCTGGGGGCTTTGGCTTTTGACTAAGTGTTGATGGAGATTTGGTGGTTGTATTGAAACACTGTGGGGGAGCACTCACTGACTGTCCTTGATGATTTTACCAACAAAGGCTAAACTACCTGTGAGGTGTTGCAGTAATGGATAAATCAGTGCCGACAGGTGAGGAGGTAGGGGTGGGAGAGTCGACCAAGCCCATGGCAACCTATATGCCGTCTATTGGCTCGCGAGCACCCATGTTTGTTAAGAGCAGCACGGTGTTGGAGTACGAGATGTACGGTTCCGGCAACACATCACCGCGAGCCTCACCCGCCAACCCACCGGTGACTCCCTGGGACGATACGGGAGATGAGAGGGATTTTAGTCCAGCTCGGAGTCCGGTAAATATGTTACTAGCCACCGACTTGACCGAGGCGATGCATGGACGGGGTACCGGGAATCTCTCCGCAGACACGGCGTCGTTCAAGGCTGGGGTACGCTGGCCGTACTTAAAACAACAAGCTGCTCGACATGTTTACGGAAACCTCCGATCAAGGCTACAGAGACGAGAACCAGTCTCTTCTCCAGCCGTCTGTATGACCTATTCCCCAGGCCAGGCATTCAGTCACCAAAGGGACGGAATACACATAGAGACTTTCGGTATAAGACCCAAATCAGACTCTGGTCCTACAGATGAAGCCGTTTTAAAACCGCGTCCTCAATTGACCACAGATCTCCAACCATTCGAGAAGAAGAAAAACTACCGGATTTCCTTCAAATTATCTGAGACTGAGCAGCGAAGTTGCGTATCGGCTCCTCCACCGACGGCCGAATCTGCCGTCTCTAAACCCAACTCAAGCCAAGGCTCTCAACCGGCCAAATCAGCCTCTCAACAGACTCGCCGATCCAAGACAGCCCGCGAGCACTATCGACCTAAGAGGGATCCCTTGGTCAGGTTTGACTCTTCAGAACTACCTCAAAGATTCCAGCAAGATCACCGACCCTCATCCGTGTCTCCCAAGGTCCCCTCTAAGGTAACGTGGACCGATGTAATGACTGCCAAGTCGACCGGTGTCTACCGTGATTCCCCAGACGGACTGGGCGGGCCGAGGCGTCATAATAACGGGTCAAATGTTAGGCTGTACCTGTCCTCAGAGCTGTGGGGGATACTAGATGAGGACATTAGTGCCATTAAGACAGTGGCTGGCAAAAGTTGACCTGCAGTTTCTCGATTATTTTTCTGCAAATAATAGAGCAACTTAACTCTTCCTCGTTTTCTTCCACTGCGGATTTTTTAAGTTAGCAAGTTGCATCTGGTCATGTTGGTGCAGGGTTATATTCGTACGATATTTACGTTTTAAAAAAATCAAATTTAGACATATTTATGTACTTTTTATACGAGTAACTTTACATTACTATTCACCGTATCAATTTGCTTGCTCTTTATGCTGTATATTACTTTATATATGCAAATTAATGCTTATACGTGTTGCATGCCATAAACACATTGCTGCCAGAACTGCCAGTTTGAATTGCGATTTGACAATATTGAACCACATTCAATAAAACTATAAAGTGTTCTATGGAGATTTATGTACGAAGATCAATTTCCAGATTTTTTATTCTGCTGTACTTTCATATTAATGTATAAAACAGTGCAGACGAGGTCCCTGTGAACCGTTCTAGTTTACCTCTGGTGTGTTTTGAGACGATCATCAAGAACGAAATTGCTTTTTAATTTGTCTGTGTATCCTACCATCAAATGAGCCTTTGGTTTTCGCGGGAAACCGATATGAACACCCCTTTACTGTGTATCAAATATACACTAAGCATTCAAACTGAATATACACCAAGAGCAACGCAAACATTCTCGAGTGTAGAAACTCCAAAGTTCAAATATTACAGACCGGTTTGATGATGGAATTTATTAAGCGCGAAATGGCATGACAGGTGATGTATAATTATGGTGTGTTTCCATTTTTGAAGCATCGGCCTCGTATGAGACGTGGCTCATCACTGGCCTAGGCCTCTCCGGCTTTAGAATTATTCGGAAGCTCATAGAATTTTGTGTATACCTGATGCAGAACATGGACACATAATTACATAGACTTCCCAAATTCAAGCGCCCCAATAAAATCTCTAGAAGCCACAGCCGAAACGAGGCCGAGGTTTCAAAAGCCGAATGTATGTTGGCCGAATCGGATGGGGGCGCTATATCAAGGTTCTGTCGCCTTGGTTGCGCATGCTATTAAAAATATTGCCCATACCTGCTGTCATTTTTTTCTCGTCTAGGAGGGTTTTATGGTCCATGCATCTTTTTTTTAGAGCTTGAACAAAACGATGGGTCCCACCTTTGTATTCCAGTCATTTGACCCCGCGTCTCCTGAAAAAAAATGAACATGGAGGGTTTTTTTCTCAGAGGGGGGGGGGGGGGGACACTTATCCTCAGATTGGTGAACAACTCGGCAGACTGCATAATAGCGATCACACAAAAGGGGTGGTTCCAGTGGATGTTAAATACAAGTGCGCCATCATTCGTCAAAATTTGGCTTAATGCTTTTTTGCTTAAATGCATTTCATTGGATGAATGTTTCGGTTTATAAACATCACATTATTAGCATTAATCATTCTTTGAGGCCGTGTTTTTCACACAATTGGAAATATCCACAACATCTTAACAAATTCTCTGCAACTGTCGGTTTGCTAGAGAAGACCCACATCAGGAATGTGTAATCTTACCGTGCCAGTATTCTGAACCTTAACATAAACTTCGAAGACCGATTTATAATTCATAACTGTTATTTATTGTCTTTTTACACTGCGTGTGTAGTTATGTAGGGGAATTGAATACAATTTTTTTTTAAACATAAGTTTTAATGCCCCTCTGAAATTTAACATCTAGGAATATTCTGTTTGTAATTTAATTTTTTTTTCATATATAGTTTGATGACTACACTTGAAGGAACAACTGGGTAACAACAGCTGGTTCAACAACTAATAAAAATTGTGAAGCAAATTCATTTATATGTGATGGCTAAAAATAGTATTATAATACATGTACATCGACCCAATCGACTAGGGTGTGTAAACTTCTCCGTCATTGTTCATTTTGTTAGAGTTTCACGCAATATTTGATATTTCTATATTTCAGCGCCGAGCAGTTTGAATAGGGTGAACATCAAACATCATTATATATTAACAAATAATTGATCTTGAGCCGGTGAGATATTTTTGTGCGATGCGTGTTTAGTATTTAAGGCTGTCCTTGGCTGAGGCCTTGTCACAGGAATCATTCTTCAGTCGTCGTACAGTCATCCATTGCAAAGATGTTTTTTGAGATTGTCAGCTGTGTGGTTGTTAGTTTACCCGTCGCATTGGCATGGAGTTCGGGACCCTGTCCCATCATTGCTGATGGATGCCCTTCGATGTGGCAGCATTGGAATGACTCGTGCTATCGCCTGACTGCCGACGGCAACACCTACAACGCCAGTTTAGCAGCTTGCCAGGACATGGGGGGTAAGATGGCCGCTCCTCGATCACACGACGAGAACCAGTTCGTGTCGAGCTTGGCACTTAGCGCCGGGCAGTCATGGGTGTGGCTGGCTTGCGATGACAGGGACGTCGAAGGAACCTGGCATTGCAATGGGCAGGAATTAACGGGAGAAACTTACGAGAATTGGTACGGGGGTGAACCGAATAACAGCGGCAGCAACGAAGACTGCGCTCAGCTGAACCCATCGACTACCAAATGGAATGACATTTCATGTGAACACATATATCGAGCACTTTGCATTCAGAAGAGCCGTAAGATCATGTACAAGCCGACTCAGTGACTCGAATCCACCTGAACAAATAAACCCAAACATTTTCTCTTCATGATAGGACGAACTGCACATTTGCTCGTTTGAATTGCTATAGACCTTTCTTTTGTTTGTAAACATTGGCGCCATTTTGGGCTGCCGCAAGCGCATAAATTGAAGCCGTGTTTGGAAACATATTTTTCCAAAACAGTCCCATAACGCCCTCAATACATAGTAGCCAGGCATATTTAGAAATTATGTTGTAGCTTTGTTGGCAATGTTGTATTTCCAACAATCAAATACTATTTTGGCTATCTGCAATAACTCTTCTTCGTTTTTACAGTATTGGGCCTTCCATAGTTTTGCAATCCGTGGTTGGCAAAATGTGCAGTTTGCCAACCAAGAGTAAAAAGGTTTAGGCCATATTTTTGAGTGATTTGGGGCCGACGACGCCATATTGGGAGGGGCCAAAAAAGAAGAAAAAATTCCCTTCAATTTCAGATGAATTCACGCTTGTAAAGTGTTTCAATGAACGTGCTATTGCTAATTGTACCCCCAAAATGGCGTCTAAACATATAGCGCCCTCAGTCGCTCAAAATAACCGTTCTTCAACTCACAGGTCTCGTCTTTTTCTCGATGTCTTGGGGTTTAGGCCTCTGTGTGCAGTTGTAGGGAGATGGTTTTTTTCTTAAATGTGCACACCTCGAAGAAAAAGGACATAGGGCCCTATCTCACTTTGCGACGTAACTCCGCGCCTGTGCGTGTGGTCGGACGAATGTACGCCCTCTAGTGAAGAGAGTGTGAAGTTGAAAAGTGACAATACATTAGCAACTGCGACACTGCCCAGCATTTTGTGCAGTAACAGACCTCGGACACATCGACTTAAACTTTCACTGGATGCTACGATATTTGTGCAACATATTGAGAGTCGGGATTGGTCGCCAATGCTACTGTTTTCAGAAGTGGAAACACGTTTCAAGAACTGAATATACATTGCTTACCTGAGTTTGAAAATATTGTATTCATAGCATAATCTAAGTGGTATATCTTTCATTTTCTTAATTCTAAACAGTTTTTGTGATAAGTTGCATGACTCAAAAATCTAATTGAAAAAGTCAGAACGAAATTAAGAATTCGAGAAAGAATAATAATTAATATTTTTCAGACTCAGCATTCAATGAAATATACTGACGTATTTTGCTTTCAAAATTTATGACATTTTGTTTTTATGACCCATTCGAACATATTCTTGTCAGTGAATGAAGTTACTCTAACTTTTTATATTTCAAAGGATATTTTGTTAGTTTACATGGCAAATGTAGTTCAGGGGACACTTGTGAATAGCGAAATTAGCGCATTCACAGATGTTGGCATTGTCATTGTTTTGATTGACTTTTTAAATGTTTCATTACAAATGAAAGATGTGCGCTTTGATGTAATCTACATTATGGAAAATAGAGCTGACGCTCAGATAGACCCAAATAATGAATTCTGTGTTATTTGATTGCCTTTTTGATACAAATGTAATGAAAAGAACCTTATTTTGTGAACGCTTGCTTCCCCCTTTTCCAAACTTGGTATTCGAGTCACCAAACACCGAGTCCGGGTCCGGGTCCGAGTCTGAGTCACCTTTCCCGGCGAGTTCGAGTCCCTTGCAAACTTTCGCGTCGTCTCTAAGTTATTACCGAACCCCGTAGTAAACGTTGGTAAGATAAATAGAAAATGATTAAGCAAATTAGTTATTTTAAAATAAATTGGACACAAAGATGATGCTATTTATTTTGGGTAATTTCTTTTTGTAGTATCCCAATTTTAACCGACACCAATAGAGCCTTAGTCCCGATATGTGTGCAGATTATGCAACAACACTGCGCCTTGACCTCCAGATTCTGACCATTCAGCGGGCGCCTTCTATCATGTCTCCGTTAACTCGATATTGTATGAAGAACACATGACAGCTATTGGCCGATCAACAGCTTTGGCCGAATTTCTGCTCTAAATGGCGTCACCGCTTCTGAAGGCAGCTCCGATTGGTAGGCGCGCGGGGTCGCATAAAATGTGCACGTTCGTAGTGTGGCGCGATCTACTCGTCATAATAGCATATTGTTTCAACCGTATATCTCAAACATCTATTGTTTACACACCAACTGATTGGGATATTTACGGCGTTATTCAACCGTAATTCTTTTGGGAATTTCGAAGCTTGTCCCTCTCTCTGTCTCGTACACTGAAGGTGTTTTGTGCTCGGCCCTATTTCTCCTTTCTGACGTTTCAGAAAGTCAATAATCCACAATCAAACCAACCAACCGTGCAAGAAGGACACCTTCACAATCCCACTAATCTTCTGTTATTAGTTTGCCGGGGGGGGGGGCGTTTATCCAAGAGACATACAATAGTCCAAACTGCCTTGTGTATGACTAATGAAACATTAGAAGTCATGCTTTGCTTCATGCTTCCAAATCCATGATAAATAATTCAATTGAATTTCTAAGATGACACAAAATTCCATGCAGAGCAGTCATTAAGTCAACTTGTGGGCCTTGTCCGTTGAGATAGGACCGGGGATTGACAACAAAGACACAGCAAGGTTCCTTACACTACAGAGGACTCAATGGGGGCACATCGGGCCATAGAAGGGGGTTAGAGGGGGGTAAAGCATAAACAACGTGGAACGTGTTGTAAGCTCCGTAAAAAGTCAGACAAACAACAATGCGGAGCATTTACTCGTTTTTGACCGTTTGCATTTACATTGAGACCGACCGAATGGGTCCTTTTATAGTTGCAAGGGGGATTTAGTCCCATGCTAACTGGACTCAATCGAGTGCGGCGGAATATAGTCAACACGACGCCGTATTCTAAGCTTTTATATAACGACCCAGAAACGGTATAATGGGCAAAGCAAAGGGAGGTTAAATTAGAAAGGTTTCTGTTTTTCGCCCTTGATTAGCATTGAGTGGAGTCACTGACCGTTTGAAAGCGTCTTAATCGCATAATCGATCTCGTGGTCCAGTGAGTTTGGAAACGTGTTCCTGGAATAGACTTGTGCATTGGTCAGTTCGAGTAACTGTCTTTTATGTAACAGGAGAATTTATATACCAGAGTATATAAACAGTACACTCCTTGTGGTTCTGATGAGAACAAGTCTAGTATCAAGACTAGACGGATGTGAGGCTTGACTAAGTTTTGTGGTGTGAGGCTGTTACGGTTATAAGTTTACTGATCCACGACCGAGTTTTGATTGACACGAATACTAAGAAATCAAACGCCGCACTGATGTTACCTTACACCGCGTACATCACAATAGACCGAAGGACCACACGTTAGGCACGTATAAGGGTTTTGAAGTCAGTACGGCAACGGGAACTGGAGAACACCAGGTGTATACAATGGAGAGTTGGAGTGAACTGGCCGATTCTGAGATGGAGGACACTGGAGAGGAACGATTCCAAGACAACTCCTGGAGTTCACAGTTGTCTGCATCACCTCCTCTCAGCGCAAACTGGTCTCACACTTCTAACTCAGACGCCTCGGTGACTGCGTCGTCTATCCATCTACCACCGATACAACCCAAACCAGTGACCGTGTTGACGGGGGATCGGGGAGCCGCGGCTTCAGCGATCAACTTACCCCGACGACTGTCGGCATCGGAGGCTGACATCCGAAGCCACGGCCAGTGGTTGATTGGACCGCGTCAGGCCATGGCTGAACAACTTCAAACAGACTGGGAATTGTCACCAGAGAAGCATGGACAGGTCAGTTTTAATCAGAAAGGATTGGACTCACTTGTGCCCACACTGGATAACTTAACAGTACGTGATGCAGACGTCGACGAGTCAGTCTTGAGGAGAACGGAGATGTATCGTCATCGAGGCAGGCGATATTCCCTTCCTCTGGCAAACTCTCCAAGGAACAGAACCCATCAAAGCAGCCTTGTCGTTCATCCAGAGAAACACGACGGCGAATACGATCTGCGCCAATCCAGGGCTTCAACGGACAAAACACGGACTAAATTACCGGTGGCTGAGCCAGATGAAAGTCAAACTTTTACCAGTCGGTTGGAGTATTACAAACGACTTGGGAGGCGATATTCTCTGCCCCACCATTCAAGTCTTTTGGACGGACGAATGAAACTGCTCAACGAAAGTCTCCACGAAGGGGAATCCCCAAATAAAAGCCGTGCCTCTGGAGGAAACACTTCACCGGTAGACGAGGAGTTTCATCCACGCGGCGAGAGTTTGACCAACTCGACCGGGTTGACAGGAAACAACGACGAGGCGTCGAGGCGGGCTCAGCGATACATCCACCGGGGCAGACGGTTCTCCCTCCCGCCACCCAACTGTTTAGCTAGCGGTCACTCTGTACATATTGGCGCAAGCAACTGCACTCAAGGTATGGACACTAGTTTAAGGCCAAACAACAGACCACCTACGCCTATTGCCGGTAGCTTGAACTGGAAACATGTCGGTTGGCATAGCAACGGAATATTATCCAAATCGACGGAGTGTATAGCAAATATTCAACCAGTTCCCCCAACTGGTACCCTGCAGACTGCGGCTATAGACGCTCCTGTTCCATGGAGGGATGAAGACCGAATCACAATCGATAAACCTAAGACCGATGGCCGCCGAGTTAAGAGAGGTACACGTGCTCCAACTGGGGCGACTTGGGAAACAGCAGCCACCCACAAGACCTTCTCCTTCGTGTACAACGATGACAGCAACAAGAGTGAGATGGTCTCGCCTCCTTTAGTGGGTGGAGTCGTCTTGAAGACAGTTCGCGTCGACCCTCCACCTACGGAGTCGGTAAGCCCGGGACCCGAACAGCCAACCCATACCCTGTACCCCAACACTGTCAATAACAACATTGTGCCTCCTAAGGTTCAGACCCCCTCCGCTTTGAAGCCGGTTCCGCCCACCGTGCAGATTCTGAAGGATTCGTGGAGAAGGGAAAACGAACAGGAGAAAACGTTTCGGATCTTGCAATGGATTCTTAGCGAGCAAGCCCAGAGGACTAACGAATTGGACGCCCAAAATTTGAACTAACTCATAACATGCATATTCCTGTGACCTATTATGTTGCATGAGTGCAGGTCAGTAAATAGGCCCAAAATTGCCTACTTTGGCCAAATTATGATTTTCATGCTCTCAAAATTTCTGCTCTCACGATTAGAGCCTTTTGTGGGCCATGAACTTGCGGGTTTGGAAAAAAGAAGGTTGGACGCATGTGGACAGCGCTGTGAGCTTGTGTTCCGGTGAAATATTTTGGATGAAACTGAGCCCTAAAATTGCTCCATTTTGCAATGGAGCCTATGCATTTTTTGTTGTTCTGTTGGGCTTCAGGACTACTTTTAGGGGTGATCCCTTTTGGATGGCAATTTCTCCCAGAAGTCATAAGATTACCTAGTCTATGTATATAATAGACCTTGGCGAAAGCCATGTTCTATGATAATGTGAGTAGATTCGCTGATTAATCAGGCAAGACAACCGCCTCCTGACCTCTAGATTTGGACCAATCACCGGGCGCCTTCTATATCGGGTCTTCGGTCATTCACCTGTTGCGCGTCATAGACATGGATTAAAAAAACCTGTCTCACGCGCTCTGTAGCATGTATGTGTCACGCGCTCTGTATCATAATTCTTAACAATTGTTTAACTTTGGTTATCCGGACAGAAAGAAACTGTTCGCCCATCCACATAAATGTCAACCATACGAGATAATCTGGAGATCACAGCATATTGCATGAATATTGCTTTGCTGACTTTGCTAATGTGAATATGTGTGAAAATAAATATCTGTGTTGTCATGCCGTGATTTGAAACTGGTTCCTGATCGGGTCACTAAACTTCTCCCTCTACCTAATTATCCTCACTCTAGGAATGAATCTGTAATAATTAAATCTGAACCTTGCAATAGTTGGTCCTCATCAAGTTGTTACGATCTGCCAAAGATTTTGGTCTGCACTCTTTGCTTGTTATTTTTTTCAATGCCATAAATGAAAAGAAATTTATTTGATTTGTAACGGTTGACAGTGGCGTAGCAATTAAGGTAATTTTTTTGGGGGGGGGGGGGTAGGGGTGGGGGTGGGGGTGTGGGAGGGGATCGATACGTGAAAAGGGCACTCGCCTCATCCGTGCTGCACTATGAAAAAGCGGGGGGGGGGGGGAGGGCGGTGGGGGGGGGGGGCGCTATCTTCCTATGGGGGTGCTGTTCAAAGCGGACGATCATGGGCACCATAGGTGGCGCTTTTTCATGGCGATACATTGCCGACGTTCACGAAAAGGGCACTCATGAAAACAAAACCTACTACATTGTAGTACGAATCGTGAAACAAGGGCACTCGTTAAAAAGGGGCAATCGTTAAAAAGTGGGGGATACCACCTTACCCACCCCCCCCCCCCCTCCCCGCCTACGCCTTGGTGACCAAGTTGAAAGACAAGACTTCGCCTTTGCCTCCATGTACAATCATGAATGGAAATCAATAGGATGGGAGACCAATGAATCACTTATAGAAGCAAACGAAATGGATACTTTAACTTTTGGCTTCATATCAACTGATTGAATGTTTCTGAAGTGTAAGAGTCATGTAGCTGAAGTTCTTGAAGTTAGGGGCCTACAAAATTCTGAAGTGGGGGCATTTATCATTGGGGTCATATGGAAATTTATTTACTGGTCTGCAACCCTATAGGAGTCTACTTACTGGGGCCAAGTTCGCGCAAGGACTATAGTTGACCAATGGTTAACTAACGTTTGCCCGAACTCTGTCTAGTCGACGGTGGTTGACTACGCTAGTCGACTATTTGGAACCAGCCTACTGGGCTTGGTTGCTTCGCTGGTAACCAATAGCCGCGCGCATTCATAACGCTAGCAGAGAGCCAGGATCCAGAAGTTTTGCGATGACATTTTGACCAGCGTTTGACTAGAGACGTTCGCACGTTGCTATCAGTGCGCAGGCGTAAGGTACGTCACAAATCAACCACTAGTCGACTAATGGTCCTTGCCCGAACTTGGCCCTGGGCTGCACCCTTGGACTTTTCCGTCTGCATTGAACAGCGCCCCCATGTGTCAAATGCAATGATGCTCCGTTTGCGATGTCCGAGTGGACGATCGTTAAGATATACTATAAAATTCCATGAGCAAACAACCTGCCTTCTAATAAATATTTGAAACCAGTCTCCTGTTAACAAACAAAGGGATCATGTGCGTGCGACTCGACCATCTGCTCTCTCCGTTTGATCGAATAGTAGATTCGATCAGGAGTGCCGGTCGAGGCCTCGTAGTCTGAAGCAACAAACTCGTGGTCTGCAGGTAATTCTGCCGGTTGTGGGTTCGAGTCCAGCCGGGGGTTATGGTGCGTGTGCTCTTGGGCAAGGCACTTTGTCATTCATCCCTACCCAGGAGTAAATTTGGTGCTTGTTAGGGTAGAAATGGTTATTATGATTGATGTTAGCTGCTTTTTGCGCCGAGATTGGGAATTGGCCAATGATCAGGGAAATAATGATGCAGTGCCTTGAGCACAAAATATTGGTGGATATGTGCGCTTTATAAATATAGGGCCTACATTTTTGATCAAGTGAGGGTCATTATTGTGATGTCCCCAAATTGCCATTCAGTGAGGCTCATAAAGGCGAAAAGGCTTATAGTCACTTCAACGAATATCCGAAACACATTTGATCGGCCTGCATATTATTCACGTCATGAAAGCGATTAAATCCACACGATACTACATTAATTAGTACGTAGAGTAATATCAAAGTTCTTAAGATTCATGCAAAATCCACAATACTCAGATTCGAGGAACAATAGAAAGTCCTCGATTTACACAATGAACAAACGTACATGTATAGCACGCGTGTGGGTGTACATGTAAGTGTATGTGCAGAACATGTGCATACATGTGATTTCAAAAAGTTAGCAACTCACATGAAAATGACATGTACATGTACGTTTTTAACATGTTGGTCTGGATTCAAGGCATGAGGCATACATGCACAGATATGTCCGCAGGCACAGATGTAGGCCTATAGAGCGCAACCCAGACTTGGGCCAAGTCTAGTATCTACAACAACAACGTCTTGCTGAAGAATATAAAATCCGCTAAGCTGAAACTTCAACAGGTTAGGTTCGGAACATTCTTCTTCGGATATTGAGTTGCGTTTTTGGAAACTAACAAAACGCATTCAAAGAAAATAATCTATCTTTTCGTACTGCTACGTGCACATTGGCTAATGTCTTAACAGTTTCACAATTATTTCGAGTTGGCTTGATTTGTCTTTCTTTCAAGAAACGCAAAAGACACGGCGTATGGAGTTTACACATTCCGTTGCCTCACTTTACACACCGACGCGAGCTTTGTTGAACACGTCGCATCACTCATCTTGTAGTCGTGGTTCGCGCTGGTTCTCCCGCAGTTGTTGTTGTTATCCGGCTGATTGGGGGCGTTCCATCGACGGTAGGATGAAGTAGACCCGTCGGTCCAGACGAAGTCCAGCGCATTCAATCTGTCATTCAGACCGAGCCAGAGACCAGAGGTATCCACCGATGCGGCCACTGCAAGACCTAGGATGAAATCATACTCCTCATCGTTAGCCACGGAGGCAAGATGACATTCCCTGAGGGCCCTGGAGTAAGTCAAGCAGTGCTCCTCAGCATCTTGGTAAGACATCTTCTGCATCACGATGAGGTAGCACTCCTGATTGAAGGCAACCCATGGTGGATGACACGGGCAGTAGGTGTCACTGGTCTTCAAGCTTAACCCCATGAACAGAAGGGTTACGACGGAGATGAGTTTACAGTTCTTCATCGTCAGTCGCCAAGGTTACTAATTCTTGTTCAGTACCGTTCAGTAAAAACTCAACTTTTCTAGCTTTAGTATACATGTATGATGTTGTATACCAGTTGCTGTAGACTTTCAACTTATTACTAACAAAATCGCTAATTGGAACACCGAAAACCTCACAGGCTAAACGTTGCGATTTGGCCCCAAACAGTGATGGGCTAATTTTCAGATTCACGCAAACCAACAATTTAGCCCAGGCTTCAGTTTATCTGACTGTCTTTCAGGAAGTGTTGATCAAGATGTCGAGTTTGGCTGAAATTAACTGCTCCCTCCCGAACCACGCTGCGCTTCTTAAAAGGCGCGGGAATAGGTTGAGAATGTATAGATAGCCGGCGAACTTTAGTGAATAATTCAAATATATCGACGAATGCAAGGGCCGTGTTTACCTGTTGCCGTGGCTACCAGATCAAATCAATTTCTGAATAACTGAGAACCTTTAAAAGGGCAGAGAGCGGAAAATGTGTATTTGAGCTCGTTGTCATAGCTACGAGAGTAAGCACTACTTTGACATTGATAGTTTATTGTGACCAGGACAAAAATGACAGGGAATGGATGTTTCGTGGCAATTGGTCGATTGAGGGTGACGTCAGGGAAGGGGCGTTTCCCATGTGTTGCGTCAAGAGCTGGCCAGCAATATTAAAAATATATTAATTGTTGGAAATCTCGGGGTTTTCAATCTAAACACCCATAAACCACATAGGCCTACCCGTTCTTTGCGTCCACCACACTGATGCGTTTGCCAATTTCTTGTATCATAATAAGCATTCACTTATGTTATCTTTAAATCTCTATCTGTTATTTTGTTTCTGCATGGTCCCAGGGGCCAGCCAATTGTGCCTCTTTGTACCTTTGTAACTAACTGATTGACTGATTGACTAACTGACTGACTGACTCCCCGACTCCCCGACTCCCCGACTCCCCGACTCCCCGATTGACTGACCGATCGTCACTTGTGACTTAGACTGGTTGTAGTCTGGTGACTCACCGCGCAGTGCTATCGTACAGGATTTACCGTGACGTAAATTCAGGCCATTGTGTAGACATGATGCATAAAAAGACTTCCAGTGACTAGCCACTCTGTATCGATTGAATAGGATTTTGTGTGCAATGATCGACCAGCCTCACAAATCTTGCTTGGTTTTATTAGACTTCATTCAAGCCTTATCAAAAATAGCAAATGACGTGCTATTAATTATTACTAGCATACGTCATTTGCTATTTTTGTCTATTCTGACATGCAGGCTGTATTTTGAACCTATATTGTTATTGTAATTCCTTATCCGATATTCATATTCTAATGACCATTGAACCACGTGACCCAACAAGCAACCGTGATAGGCTGTGCATTTGAACTTTGGAATAGACGTATTAGTTTTGCATCCATGTACGTGAACTTGGTATAGCCGTCTATTTTCCGTAACAGAAGAGGAGTGATCAAAATGGCTTTCCGAATTTGTGTCATCTTGCTTCTGGCTTATTTTTCTGCCAGTTTTATTCACGGTAAGTACACATCACACAATGTACTTATAGGTCTATACTTGCTGATTTGAATGTGATAGGTTAGGGAAACAATCAATTAAAATTACCCTTTTTGAAACGCAAATTCGGCAATGGTGGACTTCATGGCGACTTAGTAAATATCAAACCGTGAATGTCATGACAAAATAAAAATGATTTGCTCCTTCAAAATTGACTGGTAATGTGAACAAAACAGCAATCCAATTTTTCGTTGTAAATTAAAGTCTTGACGCTGTCATCTTGAGGCATGTTAAGGGCGTACAGATTTTTGCATTGTACCGGTATTATACTCCTAAGTCCATTTTTGCTGGCGTTTTTTTTTTGACATTGAGCAGTCGGTTTAATACCAAAAGGTTTGTTTCTTCCCTTTTGTCTATTTTAATGCAAAGAAGCTCCGCTAATATTTTAGCAATGTACTCACGATCAGCAAACCTTAATTGTTTCGTTGATTGATTTCTAAAGCCGCCATATTGTCAGTGCAACGTCTGTTCCACACCTAGAAAACATAACTATAATGGCTCCATATCATTCTGACCAATCAGCGCCTATCTATGTGCGTCACACGTCATGTGATTTTATCACACGCCATTGTTTTCTTAACCGAATGTGTCGTTACACTTGACCTTTGTCAACTTGGACTTCATGCATAGCCATCTGCGTTATTGCATGCTAGGCCGTATACTTCGTAGTGTAGTTTTGATTGGTTCCCATACTGGGAAGGGTATTGTGCACTGGTATTCATTACCACATACTCTTCAGCAGAATGGTTGAAGAGAATTTTTTCGGCAATTGTTTTCTCTCTTTTGATTATTTTCGACGTTTTTTTTCACCAAAATTAAAATGGAGAGGCGGTGGTGGTTGGGGGGGGGGGGGGGGACTGGTAGGGCGAGATACTATAGGGCGCTCAAAACACATGTGCATGTATTATGTGCAATGTACAAAGACGCGTTTTCATCCTGTTTCCTGCAGTTTCTACTGATTATGAGCAGCAATAGGTAATATTGAATCCGGGCCTTCATTTCTCCCCCTCCCTTTCTTTGCTGTTTTACCTTCTTTTTTTTTAAAGGGGATGGGTTACTTGTTCATGTTCGAATGCCAACGTCCGCCCCAAAATGGCGTCCCATTAATTTGCAGAAATACAATCTGGTGTTTTGCGTTTTCCGTTTTTGTGTCGCCGCGCCCAAACGAATGTTTCGGGAGTCCTGAAATGTCCGGTGTCCGTATGACCAGCGTCCGGCGTCCGTTCGTCCGTGTGTTAAAGTTTATGTTTTTGAAATTACTCTCATTACCCAAGTATTCGCCTGAATTCCATGAAACTTGGACACGAGGGTAATTGAGTACCAAAGATAGTGTGAAATATATTTCAGGTTAAAGGTCATAGGTCAAAGGTCAAATGAGGTCAATTATGATGCAATTCACAGAAGTTTGGGTTAAGTTTTTGAGAGAAAAAAATAACTTCTCATGCTTTCATGGATTTTGATGGAACTTGGATGCACGGTAACCCTTGGGTACCAGGTGGGAAGACAAAATTCTTCATCGGATTACTGAGGTCAAAGGTCATCTACGGGTCGTTAGAGGTCATTGTTCAAATATGCTTCAAATGTTTCCTTGTCTTCAAAATTTGATGGATTTTAACGTCACTTGGATGGAGTGTTCCTTAGGTGGGGGTTCACCACACGTCTTCCAGAATTGGAGGCCAAAGGTCATCTAGGGGAGATTTGAGGTCGTTGTTTGAAAATGCTCACAATTTGACCTTTTGTCTCGCCTGCACTTTGTTCAGGAAAGAGACTATGCAATTACTATGTATGTATGTGTGTATGTAAAGTAGTCTGTATGTGGTATTTTGGTTAAAGTTTCGTCAAATTTGTCTCATTTCAAAATTTAAGTCCAATTGCAACCAAACTTGAATCATAGATGCAACATGGGAACCTGCATATGATAATGAAGTCAAAGGTCACATACCACGGTCAAATGTCATCTGATATCAAGTTGTAAATAGGTAGAACATGTAAAAGGTCCGCGGACCACCAACCCTAACCCTAACCCCATGCGATGTAATTGGTGGAACTATAGCGTTTTGGGGACTTCTCATCCTTTCCCCCTCTCCTCTGATACGCATTCGGTGGTTGGATCTGCTAAAAACATTGGTTTTCTTTCTACCGTCATCAGGAGCCGATGCTGGATTGTTAGATTGTCCAGATGTGTACTACAATGGCTTTTTGGTACTGAATGGTTTTGACTGTCCTCGAAGCTGGATCGATACTTCGGAACAGACTTACTGTTGTGACTCTGGAGAGAGTTACGAGAGATGCTGCACGTTTAAAGACTATTTCGGATATGATGAATATTTTGGTCTAAGGTAAGTAGGTAGGTCCTTACCTATTCTTGTCGGCTCAACCAATGCACTCCTGAAAGTTATGACGACAGTAAAATAAAAAGCTATTGAAATTTCCCAAAAGCTTTTACTTGTATCGGCCCTTCTACAAAAGAAAAAAAAACCCACATTTTTAATCTACGAGTACAAACAAATTAATAATCATCCTTTATTTGATATTTCCATTGTTTTAACCAATGATCTTTTCACGATACTCCTTGTTTTTTGACCGGTTGCAATCTGATTTAATCGACAGCGTGGGTGCTATTATTGGCATAGGCGTTGGATCCTTGGTCTTCATTGTGGCCGTGATTGTGAGCATCATCGTGTGCTGTGTGTGCTGCGTTAAGGCTGCGGCTACGCCTACCCATCATCCGGTCACCATGCACAGTAAGTCCTATATCATGAGAGGTTACAGACAAGATTTTACCCATTTTTAAAATTTCCCAATGTAACAATTTTCCATTTAAATATTGTTTTCCAGCTATCAGTGTGCCTCAGCAGCCAGGATCAGTGACCGTTCCGCAGCCAGCGGCACCTGGCTATTACTACCCTCCATCCACCCAGTCTGTACCGCCGCCTAACTACGTAAACCAGCAAGCACAACAACCACCCCTTCCTGGCGATAACCCCGCCTACCAAAAGTACTAGTCATTGAGCTACGTGGCGTAACGGCCACCGATCTCTGTGCTTGCAGACCAGTAAATAGACCTCAGTGATAATAAAACGCACTTACACAAATTATCAAAAACACTGCCAACTCTCCAAGGTGTTTGAGACACACATTCAATTAAAGCTTATTTTCATCACATTTCATGTTCATTTTTTTTCCGATGCTTTTTGGGAGTAAATTCCATCTAAAAGATGAGCACCCCTGAAAGTAGTCCTGAAGCCCATCGCCAATTTGAAAAAAGGATGCTTTAATACGCTCAATTGCAAAATAGAGGGACAAATTTCATCCAAATGTCACATTTTATACGAGCTCGCAGTCCTCTGCACGGCTTCTTTTTTTACAAACCCTGCAGTTCATGGCGCCAAAATGCTCTACTGCCGGAGAATTTGAGGGCATGCAAATCGTGATTTGACCGGCGTAGGCAATTTCTAGCCTATTTACTGGCCTGCACCCCTATACTAACTGGATTGCATGATTGCAACACGTTGATTGGCCAAAGCCACCTACAGTGAAATCTCGATAAGTCAAAATTTTGATAACTCAAAACAACTGTGAAGTCAAACAAAGTATCCATTCCCTTCAGTTGTATAACAATGATACACAATTAACCCTAACTAACTCAAAACTCTGCTAAAGTCAAAGTTTGGAACCTGTTCCCTTGAATAGCATTATCAACATGATCCCGCCATCCGGAGCCCCAAAATGTCACCCCGAAACATACTGGACATCGCTTAGCGATATGGCGATTCGACCAGGGCTCCATTTCATGCCTCTGCTTATACTGTTGGCGAAACTATTTTATTCTTGGTTTTACCTCTCTGTATGTTGCTGGTGATAACAGCACAGAACGGTGATCGTATAAGCACGGAATTCAAAGTATAGCAGAACCATGAAATTGGTCGCAGGTTTTTTTTTTCATTTAAAATAATAATTCCCCTAAATGAGACCGTTTTCTTTGGATGTTACAATACAATACAGTAGGTGTTGTTTACACTGCCGTCACAATGACGAGAATTAGCATAGAGTAAAATGCGTGTTTTTTGTACACAGATCTTTTAATGCAACCTCGTTCCAAGTGCCTACTTTTAATCTCGAGACAATAGTAGCCCCGGGAAGGGGAAACTTGCTTCCTTTATTCTGATTTGATACTGAAATAGCAAATAATAGTTTTATATCGTGTACTTTGTGATTTTGTCATTTTCAACGTGTATTAAATGGTTTAGTTTTCTTTGTCCTTTTGCGTGTAGTATACATGTAATTGCAATGTAATTATAACATTCAATCACCCAGAGAGGGCAGCTGTAGTGGGAGCGTACTGATAGGAAAGAGGTTGTGCTTAATGTGTGCTTTTTACTTTTGAAGTGAATGTGTTGACATTTGAAAAAGATCGAGAGAAATGAGTAATTTTTAAACTAGAATAATTTGCAGCAAACCGGCATCTGGATCGAGATCATTAATGTTTGTGTGCCTTTGGAAAAAGGGGAAGAAATCAATGTAACTCTAACCGATGTAACAATTAATGCAGTGTGTTTTGAATCAAAAATATTAAAACAATATTGATTTTGTGTAATAATTTGAGGAATATAAATTGAAATCTCATCAGAATGTCGGCAAAACAGATGTGTAATAACTCATAACCCATTCACGATTTTTGAAAATTATATCCGAGCATTTATCTATATGTATATAAGGGTTCAAATAATTATTAAGCCTATATTATTTTAGAATTACGGGGCATGTGTGGTCTAGCGGTGGAGCACAGGATTCATGATCGTGAGATTATGGGTTCTAGCCCCGCCGCCATGCGTGTTGTGCCCTTGAGTAAGGCGCTTTACCTCAATAACTCCTCTCAATTATCAACCCAGGTGTTAAATGGGTACCAGCATTATTCAATGCTGGGAAGGTAACAGACTCGCTGTGGAGGTGTGACGATCCCCCACAGCAGCATTTCATGGACTCGAGTCTGGCCCAATCGCTTCGAAAGAGGGATATGGGCACTCCGTTCCTGTGAACACAGGTTCGTCCCCTTTACCTTTACCTATTTTTAGAATTGTAATAAATCAACGGCATAGCTGACAGTATCAACTATTTATCATTAAACCTGAAAGCTTTCTGCTTAAATTACAAAGGCTGTATTTTGAACCTATATTGTTATTGTAATTTCTTATCCGATATCCATATTCTAACGACCATTGAACCACGTGACCCAACAAGCAACCGTGATAGGCTGTGCATTTGAACTTTGGAATAGACGTATTAGTTTTGCATCCGTGTACGTGAACTTGGTATAGCCGTCCATTTTCTGTAACAGAAGAGGAGTGATCAAAATGGCTTTTCGAATTTGTGTCATCTTGCTTTTGGCTTATTTTTCGGCCAGTTTTATTCACGGTAAGTACTCATCACACAATGTACTTATAGGTCTATACTTGCTGATTTGAATGTGGCAGGTTAGGGAAACAATCAATTAAAATTACCCTTTTTGAGACGCAAATTCGGCAATGGTGGACTTCATGACGACTTAGTAAATATCAAACCGTGAATGTCATGACAAAATAAAAATGATTTGCTCCTTCAAAATTGACTGGTAAAGTGAACAAAACAGCAATCCAATTTTTCGTTGTAAATTAAAGTCTTGACGCTGTCATCTTGAGGCATGTTAAGGGCCTACAGATTTTCGCATTGTACCGGTATTATACTCCTAAGTCCATTTTTGCTGGCGTTTTTTTTTTGACATTGAGCAGTCGGTTTAATACCAAAAGGTTTGTTTCTTCCCTTTTGTCTATTTTAATGCAAAGAAGCTCCGCTAATATTTTAGCAATGCACTCACGATCAGCAAACCTTAATTGTTTCGTTGATTGATTTCTAAAGCCGCCATATTGTCAGTGCAACGTCTGTTCCACACCTAGAAAACATAACTATAATGGCTCCATATCATTCTGACCAATCAGCACCTATCTATGTGCGTCACACGTCATGTGATTTTATCACACGCCATTGTTTTCTTAACCGAATGTGTCGTTACACTTGACCTTTGTCAACTTGGACTTCATGCATAGCCATCTGCGTTATTGCATGCTAGGCCGTATACTTCGTAGTGTAGTTTTGATTGGTTCCCATACTGGGAAGGGTATTGTGCACTGGTATTCATTACCACATACTCTTCAGCAGAATGGTTGAAGAGAATTTTTTCGGCAATTGTTTTCTCTCTTTTGATTATTTTCGACGTTTTTTTTTCACCAAAATTAAAATGGAGAGGCGGTGGTGGTTGGGGGGGGGGGGGGGGGGGGACTGGTAGGTCGATATACTATAGGGGCGCTCAAAACACATGTGCATGTATTATGTGCAATGTACAAAGACGCGTTTTCATCCTGTTTCCTGCAGTTTCTACTGATTATGAGCAGCAATAGGTAATATTGAATCGGGCCTTCATTTCTCCCCCTCCCTTTCTTTGCTGTTTTATTTTATTATTTTTTTTAAAGGGGATGGGTTACTTGTTCATGTTCGAATGCCAACGTCCGCCCCAAAAAGGGCGTCCCATTGATTTGCAGCAATACAATCTGATGTTTTGCGTTTTCCGTTTTTGTGTCGCCGCGCCCAAACGAATGTTTCGGGAGTCCTGAAATGTCCGGTGTCCGTATGAACAGCGTCCAGCGTCCGTTCGTCCGTATGTTAAAGTTTATGTTTTTGAAATTACTCTCATTACCCAAGTATTCTCCTGAATTCCATGAAACTTGGACACAAGAATAATTGAGTACCAAAGATAGTGTGGAATATATTCAGGTCAAAGGTCATAGGTCAAAGGTCAAATGAGGTCAATTATGATGCAATTCACAGAAGTTAAGGTTACTTTTTGAAAAAAAATAACTTTTCATGCTTCCATGGATTTGGATGAAACTTGGACCATGTAGGAAAACACAATATTCTTCAAAGTCAAAGGTCATAAACGGGTCGTTAGAGGTCATTGTTCAAATATGCCTCAAATGTTTCCTTGTCTACAGAACTTGATGGATTTTAACATCACTTGGATGGAGTGCTCCTTAGGTGAGGGTTCACGACACGTCTTCCAGAATTGGAGGTCAAAGGTCATCTAGGGGAGATTTGAGGTCTTTGTTTGAAAATGCTCACATTTTGACCTTTAGTCTCGCCTGCACTTTGTTCAGGAAAGAGACTATGCAATTACTATGTATGTCTGGGTGAGCTTGTCTTACATACGCAGTGTGGACTTCCGAACAAAAGACGTCCACATAATGTAGGTAGCAGCGACGAAGTGTGGACTTGCCCACGTCCACACAGTGTTTCCCCATTTCTGGAAAACAGGTTTAGAGGCATTTTTGGGTTAGGTTTATCTGTAACAGAATGAAGAGAAACACTAAAGGGAATCATTGAAAAAAAATTGGGTTGTAAGAGTTTTCACAGTTTGAGAAAAATGAGTTTTTCCACTGGTGTTCCTTAACTACACGAAAAGAAAGGAAAGTCCACACTAGGTATGTGAAACAAGTCGGGGTGTGTCGGGGTGTGTGTGTGTGTGTGTGTAAAGTAGAATGTATGTGGTATTTTGTTAAAGTTTCGTAAAATGTGTCTCATTTCAAGTCCAATTGCAACCAAACTTGAATCATAGATGCAACATGGGAACCTGCATATGATAATGAAGTCAAAGGTCACATACCACGGTCAAATGTCATCTGACATCAAGTTGTAAATAGGTAGAACATGTAAAAGGTCCGCGGACCACCAACCCTAACCCTATATAACCCCATGCGATGTAATTGGTGGAACTATAGCGTTTTGGGGACTTCTCATCCTTTCCCCCTCTCCTCTGATACGCATTCGGTGGTTGGATCTGCTAAAAACATTTGTTTTCTTTCTACCGTCATCAGAAGCCGATGCTGGATTGTTTGATTGTCCAAATGTGTACTACAATGGCTATTTGATACAGAATGGTTTTGACTGTCCTCGAAGCTTCGATGCTTCTGACGACGATTACTGCTGTGACTCAGGAAAAACTTACCAGAAATGCTGCACGTATTATGAATATTACGGATATGATGAATATTTCAGTCTAAGGTAAGTAGGTAGGTCCCTACCTATTCTTGTCGGCTCAACCAATGCACTCCTGAAAGTTATGAAGAAAGTAAAATAAAAAGCTATTGAAATTTCCCAAAAGCTTTTACTTGTATCGGCCCTTCTACAAAAGAAAAAAAAAACCACATTTTTAATCTACGAGTACAAACAAATTAATAATCCTATATTTGATATTTCCTTCTTTTTTTACCAATGATCTTTTCACGATACTTCTTGTTTTTTGACCGGTTGCAATCTGATTTAATCGACAGCGTGGGTGCTATTATTGGCATAGCCATTGGATCCTTGGTCTTCATTGTGGTCGTAATTGTTAGCATCATCGCGTGCTGTGTGTGCTGCGTTAAGGCTACGGCTACGCCTACCCATCATCCGGTCACCATGCACAGTAAGTCCTATATCATGAGAGGTTACTTACAGACAAGATTTTACACATTTTCGAAATGTCCCAATGTAACCATTTCCCATTTTAATATTATTTCCCCAGCTGTCAATGTGGCTCCTCAGCAGCCAGGATCAGTGACCGTTCCGCAGCCAGCAGCACCTGGCTACTACTACCCTCCATCCACCCAGTCTGTACCGCTGCCTAACTACGTAAACCAGCAAGCACAACAGCCGGCCCAACAGCCACCCCTTCCTGGCGAGAACCCCGCCTACCAAAAATACTAGTCATTGAGCTACGTGGCGTAACGGCCACCGATCTCTGTGCGTGCAGACCAGTAAATAGACCTCAGTGATAATAAAACGCACTTACAAAAATTATCAAAAACACTGCCAACTCTTCAAGGTGTTTGAGACACACATTCAATTAAAGCTTATTTTCATCACATTTCATGTTCACTTTTTTTTCGATGCTTTTTGGGAGTAAATTCCATCTAAAAGATGAGCACCCCTGAAAGTAGTCCTGAAGCCCATCGCCAATTTGAAAAAAGGATGCTTTAATACGCTCCATTGCAAAATAGAGGGACAAATTTCATCCAAATGTCACATTTTATACGAGCTCGCAGTCCTCTGCACGGCTTCTTTTTTACAAACCCTGAAGTTCATGGCGCCAAAATGTTCTACTGCCGGAGAATTTGAGGGCATGCAAATCGTGATTTGACCGGCGTAGGCAATTTCTAGCCTATTTACTGGCCTGCACCCCTATACTAACTGGATTGCATGATTGCAACACGTTGATTGGCCAAAGCCACCTACAGTGAAATCTCGATAAGTCAAAATTTTGATAACTCAAAACAACTGTGAAGTCAAACAAAGTATCTATTCCCTTCAGTTGTATAACAATGATACACAATTAACCCTAACTAACTCAAAACTCTGCTAAAGTCAAAGTTTGGAACCTGTTCCCTTGAATAGCATTAGCAACATGATCCCGCCATCCGGAGCCCCAAAACGTCACCCCGAAACATTTTATAGACATCGCTTAGCGATATGGCGATTCGACCAGGGCTCCATTTCATGCCTCTGCTTATACTGTTGGCGAAACTATTTTATTCTTGGTTTTACCTCTTTGTATGTTGCTAGTGATAACAGCACAGAACGGTGATCGTATAAGCACGGAATTCAAAGTATAGCAGAACCATAAAATTGGTCGCAGGTTTTTTTTTTTTCATTTAAAATAATAATTCCCCTAAATGAGACCGTTTTCTTTGGATGTTACAATACAATACAGTAGGTGTTGTTTACACTGCCGTCACAATGACGAGAATTAGCATAGAGTAAAATGCGTGTTTTTTGTACACAGATCTTTTAATGCAACCTCGTTCCAAGTGCCTACTTTTAATCTCGAGACAATAGTAGCCCCGGGAAGGGGAAACTTGCTTCCTTTATTCTGATTTGATACTGAAATAGCAAATAATAGTTTTATATCGTGTACTTTGTGATTTTGTCATTTTCAACGTGTATTAAATGGTTTAGCTTTCTTTGTCCTTTTGCGTGTAGTATACATGTAATTGCAATGTAATTATAACATTCAATCACCCAGAGAGGGCAGCTGTAGTGGGAGCGTACTGATAGGAAAGAGGTTGTGCTTAATGTGTGCTTTTTACTTTTGAAGTGAATGTGTTGACATTTGAAAAAGATCGAGAAATGAGTAATTTTTAAACTAGAATAATTTGCAGCAAACCGGCATCTGGATCGAGATCATTAATGTTTGTGTGCCTTTGGAAAAAGGGGAAGAATCAATGTAACTCTAACCGATGTAACAATTAATGCAGTGTGTTTTGAATCAAAAATATTAAAACAATATTGATTTTGTGTAATAATTTGAGGAATATAAATTGAAATCTCATCAGAATGTCGGCAAAACAGATGTGTAATAACTCATAACCCATTCACGATTTTTGAAAATTATATCCGAGCATCCATCTATGTATATAAGGGTTCAAATAATTATTAAGCCTATATTATTTAAGAATTACGGGGCACGTGTGGTCTAGCGGTGGAGCACAGGATTCATGATCGTGAGGTTGTGGGTCGAGCCCACTGATCTCTATATAAAGACTGGATAGCGGATATGCATACAACATTCACACAGTAGACTTTGCATATTGACCAATTCGCCCCCGGTCTCACGAAGATGGCCGCGTATAATACGAACGTTCTACGCGTAAATACGCGCGCGTTGTATCAACAGTTGACGCGCATTTTGGTCACGTACACATATTATGATGTTCTAAAAGGGACACATTTCCGTAGTGATTATTATTTCAAAACGCCGAAAAAGTTATATTTGCGGCATTTTAGTAACCACGACGTTAGAAAAATTGCAGTTAACCTTGGTCAGTGATGGTGGTCAAAATATAAGTCAAGTGAACCGCGACGTTACAAAAGAAATCATGCTGTCTATAAAAACGAAAACTTGTCCTTTGTAGATCACCAGCCGGTCTCACCAATATGGCGTCAAATTCGTACATTGTGCGGCTCTGTATTAGCTATCCAGTCTTTATATAGAGATCAGTGGTCGAGCCCCGCCGCCTGGCCATGAGTGTTGTGCCCTTGAGTAAGGCGCTTTACCTCAATTACTCCTCTCAACCCGTGTGTTAAATGGGTACCGGCATTATTGAATGCCGGGAAGGTAACAGACTCGCTGTGGAGGAGGTGTGGCGATCCCCCCACAGCAGCATTTCATGGACTCGAGTCTGGCCCAATCGCTTCGAAAGAGAGATATGGGCACTCCGTTCCTGTGAACACAGGTTCGTTTCCTTTACCTTTACCTATTTTTAGAATTGTAATAAATCAACGGCATAGCTGACAGTATCAACTATTGATCATTAAACCTGAAAGCTTTCTACTTAAATGACAAAGGCTGTATTTTGAACCTATATTGTTATTGTAATTCCTTATCCGAAATCCATATTCTAACGACCATTAAACCACGTGACACAACAAGCAACCGTGATAGGCTGTGCATTGAACTTTGGAATAGACGTATTAGTTTTGTATCCGTGTATGTGAACTTGGTATATCCGTCCATTTTCCGTAACAGAAGAGGAGTGATCAAAATGGCTTTTCGAATTTGTGTCATCTTGCTTCTGGCTTATTTTTCGGCCAGTTTTATTCATAGTAAGTACACAATCACAATTGTACTTTATATAGGCCTATACTAGCTGATTTGAAAGTGAAGGGTTCGGGAATCAATCAATTAATATCACTCCTTTTTGAAATGCAAATACGACAATGGCGGACATCATGACGACTCGGCCCGAATTTCTGAAGCTGGGAATGTCATGACAGAAAAACCCAATCACTCCTTAAAAATTGGCTAGTAGAATAAGCAAAATATATGCAACCAATTCTTGAGGTTGTGATCTTGAGGCATTTTAAGGCCATGCATTCCTACAGATTTCTCATTGTACCGTCAAGTCCGGTACAATTATACTCGTCAGTCCATTTTTTCCTGGGCGCGCCCGTTTCTTGACATTGAGCAGTCGATTCAAAATAATACCAAAAGTTTCATTTCTTTCTTGTTCCTATTTTAATGAAAAGAAGCTCCGTTACTATAGATAAGCAGTGATTAGCAAATCTTCTTTTATGTGTTTTTTTGTAGTTCAATTTTTCAGCGAAACGGATAGTCTGTTCTACACTTAAAAATTACAATATGCTTGGTTGCATGTTGTTTTACCAATCAGCTATCTATGTGCATCACACATCATGAGATTTTATCACAGGCCCAAAAGTGACGCCATTGTTTGTCTTATCCAAATGTGTCGTTACACTTGACCTTTGGCCACTTGGACGGCATCTGTGCTATTACATACTATAGGATTGTGTATACTGGTTTTCATTACCACTTTTCAGCAGAATGGTTGAAGATATATTTTTCCGACAATTTAGTTCTCTCTTTGATTGTTTTCGATTTTTTTGTCACAAAAATTGATGGTAGTGGGGGAGGAGGAGAAAAGTTTGGCAGGGCGAGACATTTATAAGGGCGGTCGGGTGTTTAGTGTGCACTGTACAGAGACACGTTTTCGTCCTTTTTCTATCCTGCAGTTTCTACTGTTAACTAGTTGCTGTTCGTAGATTTAACATTGGATTTGGGCCTACTTTTCTTTCTTCCCCTTTTCTTTTCCGTGCGACCTTTTTTTTTAGGGGGAGGGAGGGGTTTATTGTTCATGTGGCCGGGCTCGATTTCCACCGCCCGCCCCATGATCTACAGTTCAATAATTATGCGATGTAAGTGATGGAACCAGCTAGTCCTTGGGTCTGTGCCCCCAACACTCACTTCGGTTGGTACCACCCGAGGTGGCAACGTTTATAGTTGCCGTATTTATTATTTGCAATACACCTTTAGTTTATATTCTGACGTGACAGGCTTTAATAATGGTAGCTTACCCATGGTTATCCCGTCCTCAATCATCAGACCTCCACAGAATTAGGTAGCATTTGTTCCTTCTACTGGCTGGTAAAGCCATTTATTTTAAATGCATGCATTGCATGGAACATACTACATGGGTGAATTGCTCGCATAAATTGTGCGGAATTTTTCACATTTCACCCCTCATTCATGGCAATGGAAGATTTTTTTTAAGGGACGTTAAAGTCCCAGAATATGTCATCAACCGAAGCAGGTGCACCATGTGCCTTCACTTGGTTGCATACCCCAAAAAATAGCCTGGAGGCAGAAAATTTCCAAGCAAAACATTTACCCACTTCGGTCTTTTTCTAATTTAAACTACATAATCCCAGTAGCGATTAATTAGGTAATAATCACAGACATTGTCCTTATTTGACCTTTTTTGTTCTAGTCTCAGCGAACGTACTCCAGATTCAAAAACCAAATATAATTATTGTGTTTGGCTCAGGGCAATGAACCCTATCTGGAAGGCGAATTAATATTTCAAATATGAATTTGGCTAAATAGACATAAAATATAGGGACTCTTCCTGACTCTTTGGGAGTTCAATATGGCGCCAAAACAAATTCCGTTGGATGTCACTGGTAACCAAGCCAACCAATTTAGAAACAGCAGTAATAATTAAATTTGCCTCTTTAAAAAAATGAAAACAGTGACATTTACAAAACCATGTTTTGTGTAACTTAACTTGTCAAGTATCCACTTTAGCCTAAAATTCATAGTCACGTGACTAACCACAATGCGTGCTAAGAATGCAATATGGCCGCATTCACCACTTTTAATTTTCTCCTTTACTGCAAATATTGTTTTAGAGAGTTTTCTTAACTTCTTGCTTGTAAATATGGCGACTTCATTATTTTGTACCATACTCACTGACCTTAAAATGTTTTTACCTTATTTAAGGACATTTAAATGAAAAATTAAGAAATTATGCCCAAAACACTGGTTTTTGACCCATGATGGGCAAAAAATACAACACAGCGCCCTCTTGGCCTAAATGCAGAGCATTCCTGGTCCGGCCGTGGACTAAACGTAGAGCTCTTGCAATGATTCCTTTTCCCCCTCCTTTGAAAGACATTCAGTGGTTGAATCGGTTAACGTGCATAGGCGTAGCCGGGGGGGGGGGGGGGGGGGGGTGTAACGGGGGTATTTACCCCCCCCCCCAAATATTTTATAAAGACTGCTTTTTTCCATTCAAATGCCCTATTTTTCACCAGCGTTTACCCCCCCCCCAAAATAATTTGTAAAGAGTGCTCTTTTTTTCAAGAAGTGCCCTTTTTTTCTAAACAAATGCCCTTTGAAAAAAAAAGTGCTGCCCATTTTGTGCCATCGGCCGTTCCTGGTACTTTAAAAAAAACAATTAATTCACGCATGTATCGCCCTGAAAAGCACATATTGTCCGCTAGTGTGCATAATCGTTGGTTTTGAACCAACCCTCCCCGCCTTTTGATTTTATGGAGGTCAAGTGTCTACAAAACGTGTCTACAAGTGCCCTTTTCAAAAAAAATTTACCCTCCCCCCCCCCAATAAGAATGACCGTGCTACGCCACTGACGTGGATTTCCTTTCTCCCTTCGTCAGAAGCCGAAGCTGGATCTAGTTGTAAAAGTGCGTGGGATTACAACAACGACAAATGGACAGTTCCATTTTACTGTCCTCGCTTGACCGATGATTCTGACGAGCGTTACTGCTGTAACCCAGGAAGACTTTACCAGAGATGCTGCACGTATTATGAATATTACGGACATGATGAATATTTAGGTCTAAGGTAAGTAGGTAGGTCCTTACCTATTCTTGTCGGCTCAACCAATGCACTCCTAAAAGTTATGAAGAAAGTAAAATAAAAAGCTATTGAAATTCCCCAAAAGTCTTTACTCGTATCGGCCCTTCTACAAAAGAAAAAAACCCCACATTTTTAATTTACGAGTACAAACAAATTAATAATCATCCTATATTTGATATTTCCATTGTTTTAACCAATGATCTTTTCACGATACTCCTTGTCTTTTGACCGGTTGCAATCTGATTTAATCGACAGCGTGGGTTCTATTGTTGGCATAGCCATTGGATCCTTGGTCTTCATTGTGGCCGTGATTGTTAGCATCATCGTGTGCCGTGTGCGCTGCGTTAAGGCTGCGGCTACGCCTACCCATCATCCGGTCACCATGCACAGTAAGTCCTATATCATGCGAGGTTACAGACAAGATTTTACCCATTTTCGAAATTTCCCAATGTAACATTTTTCCATTTAAATATTGTTTTCCAGCTGTCAGTATGCCTCAGCAGCCAGGATTGGTGACCGTTCCGCAGCCAGCGGCACCTGGCTATTACTACCCTCCATCCACCCAGTCTGTACCGCCGCCTAACTACGCAGCCCAGCCGGCCCAACAACCACCCTTCCTGGCGATAACCCCGCCTACCAAAAGTACTAGTCATTGAGCTACGTGGCGTAACGGCCACCGATCTCTGTGCTTGCAGACCAGTAAATAGACCTCAGTGATAATAAAACGCACTTACAAAAATTATCAAAAACACTGCCAACTCTCCAAGGTGTTTGAGACACACATTCAATTAAAGCTTATTTTCATCGCATTCCATGTTCACTTTTTTTTCGATGCTTTTTGGGAGTAAATTCCATCTAAAAGATGAGCACCCCTGAAAGTAGTCCTGAAGCCCATCGCCAATTTGAAAAAAAGGATGCTTTAATACCCTCCATTGCAAAATAGAGGGACAAATTTCATCCAAATGTCACATTTTATACGAGCTCGCAGTCCTCTGCACGGCTTCTTTTTTTACAAACCCTGAAGTTCATGGCGCCAAAATGCTCTACTGCCGGAGAATTTGAGGGCATGCAAATCGTGATTTGACCGGCGTAGGCAATTTCTAGCCTATTTACTGGCCTGCACCCCTATACTAACTGGATTGCATGATTGCAACACGTTGATTGGCCAAAGCCACCTACAGTGAAATCTCGATAAGTCAAAATTTTGATAACTCAAAACAACTGTGAAGTCAAACAAAGAATCCATTCCCTTCAGTTGTATAACAATGATACACAATTAACCCTACCTAACTCAAAACTCTGCTTAAGTCAAAATTTGGAACCTGTTCCCTTGAATAGCATTAGCAACATGATCCCGCCATCCGGAGCCCCAAAACGTCACCCCGAAACATACTGGACATCGCTTAGCGATATGGCGATTCGACCAGGGCTCCATTTCATGCCTCTGCTTATACTGTTGGCGAAACTATTTTATTCTTGGTTTTTTCCTTTTTGAATGTTGCTAGTGATAACAGCACAGAACGGTGATCGTATAAGCACGGAATTCAAAGTATAGCAGAACCATGAAATTGGTCGCAGTTTTTTTTTTCATTTAAAATAATAATTCCCCTAAATGAGACCGTTTTCTTTGGATGTTACAATACAATACAGTATGGTGTTGCATACATTGCCGTCACAATGACGAGAATTAGCATAGAGTAATATGCGTGTGTGTTTTTTTGTACACAGATCTTTTAATGCAACCTCGTTCCAAGTGCCTACTTTTAACCTCGAGACAAAAGTAACCCCGGGAAGGGGAAACTTGCTTCCTTTATTCTGATTTGATACTGAAATAGCAAATATAGTTTTATATCGTGTACTTTGTGAAGTTGTCATTTTCAACGTGTATTAAATGGTTTAGCTTTCTTTGTCCTTTTTGCTTGTAGTATACATGTTATTGCAATGTAATTATAACATTCAATCACCCAGAGAGGGCAGCTGTAGTGGGAGCGTACTGATAGGAAAGAGGTTGTGCTTAATGTGTGCTTTTTACTTTTGAAGTGAATGTGTTGACATTTGAAAAAGATCGAGAAATGAGTAATTTTTAAACTAGAATAATTTGCAGCAAACCGGCATCTGGATCGAGATCATTAATGTTTGTGTGCCTTTGGAAAAAGGGGAAGAAATCAATGTAACTCTAACCGATGTAACAATTAATGCAGTGTGTTTTGAATCAAAAATATTAAAACAATATTGATTTTGTGTAATAATTTGAGGAATATAAATTGAAATCTCATCAGAATGTCGGCAAAACAGATGTGTAATAACTCATAACCCATTCACGATTTTTGAAAATTATATTCGAGCATTTATCTATATGTATATAAGGGTTCAAATAATTATTAAGCCTATATTATTTTAGAATTACGGGGCACGTGTGGTCTAGCGGTGGAGCACAGGATTCATGATCGTGATATTGTGGGTTCGAGCCCCGCCGCCTGGCCATGAGTGTTGTGCCCTTGAGTGTTGTGCCCTTGAGTAAGGCGCTTTACCTCAATTACTCCTCTCAACCCGTGTGTTAAATGGGTACCGGCATTATTGAATGCTGGGAAGGTAACAGACTCGCTGTGGAGGAGGTGTGGCGATCCCCCCACAGCAGCATTTCATGGACTCGAGTCTGGCCCAATCGCTTCGAAAGAGAGATATGGGCACTCCGTTCCTGTGAACACAGGTTCGTCTCCTTTACCTTTACCTATTTTTAGAATTGTAATGAATCAACGGCATAGCTGACAGTATCAACTATTGATCATTAAACCTCAAAGCTTTCTACTTATATGACAAAGGCTGTATTTTGAACCTATATTGTTATTGTAATTCCTTATCCGAAATCCATATTCTAACGACCATTGAACCACGTGACACAACAAGCAACCGTGATAGGCTGTGCATTGAACTTTGGAATAGACGTATTAGTTTTGTATCCGTGTACGTGAACTTGGTATATCCGTCCATTTTCCGTAACAGAAGAGGAGTGATCAAAATGGCTTTTCGAATTTGTGTCATCTTGCTTCTGGCTTATTTTTCGGCCAGTTTTATTCAAGGTAAGTACACAATCACAATTGTACTTTATATAGGCCTATACTAGCTGATTTGAAAGTGAAGGGTTCGGGAATCAATCAATTAATATCACTCCTTTTTGAAATGCAAGTACGACAATGGCGGACATCATGACGACTCAGCACGAATTTCTGAAGCTGGGAATGTCATGACAAAAAAACCCCAATCACTCCTTAAAAATTGGCTAGTAGAATAAGCAAAATATATGCAACCAATTCTTGAGGTTGTCATCTTGAGGCATTTTAAGGCCATGCATTCCTACAGATTTCTGATTGTACCGTCAAGTCCGGTACAATTATACTCGTCAGTCCATTTTTTCCTGGGCGCGCCCTTTTCTTGACATTGAGCAGTCGATTCAAAATAATACCAAAAGTTTCATTTCTTTCTTGTTCCTATTTTAATGAAAAGAAGCTCCGTTACTATAGTTAAGCAGTGATTAGCAAATCTTCTTTTATGTGTTTTTTGTAGTTGAAATGTTCAGCGAAACGGACTAGTCTGTTCTACACTTAAAAATTACAATATGCTTGGTTGCATGTTGTTTTACCAATCAGCACCTATATCTACGTGCGTCACACATCATGTGATTTTATCACACGCCCAAAAGTGACGCCATTGTTTGTCTTATCCAAATTTGTCGTTACACTTGACCTTTGGCCACTTGGACGGCATCTGTGCTATTACATACTATGAGATTGTGTACTGACTGGTTTTCATTACCACTTTTCAGCAGAATGGTTGAAGATATATTTTCCCGGCAATTTAGTTCTCTCTTTGATTGTTTTCGATTTTTTTGTCACAAAAATTGATGGTAGTGGGGGAGGGGGGGGGGGGGGAGAAAAGTTTGGCAGGGCGAGACATTTATAGGGACGGTCGGGTGTTTAATGTGCACTGTACAGAGACACGTTTTCGTCCTTTTTCTATCCTGCAGTTTCTACTGTTAAATCTACGAACGGCAACTAGTTTACATTGGATTTGGGCCTTCTTTTCTTTCTTCCCCTTTTCTTTTCCGTGCGACCTTTTTTTTTAGGGGGAGGGGTTTATTGTTCATGTGGCCGGGCTCGATTTCCACCGCCCGCCCCATGATCTACAGTCTAATAATTATGCGATGTAAGTGATGGAACCAGCTAGTCCTTGGGTCTGTGCCCCCAACACTCACTTCGGTTGGTACCACCCGAGGTGGCAACGTTCATAGTTGCTGTATTTATTATTTGCAATACACCTCTAGTTTATATTCTGACGTGACAGGCTTTTAATAGTGGTAGCTTACCCATGGTTATCCCGTCCTCAATCATCAGACCTCCACAGAATTAGGTAGCATTTGTTCCTTCTACTGGCTGGTAAAGCCATTTATTTTAAATGCATGCATTGCATTGAACATACTACATGGGTGAATTGCTCTCATAAATTGTATTTAATGAAATTCTGTGCGGAATTTTTCACATTTCCCCTCATTCATGGCCGTTTTTTTAAGGGACGTTAAAGTCCCAGAATATGTCATCAACCGAAGCAGGTGCATCATGTGCCTTCACCTGGTTGCATAAAAAAATAATAGCCTGGAGGCAGAAAGTTTCCAAGCAAAACATTTACCCACTTCGGTCTTTTTTTCAATTAAAACTACATAATTCCAGTAGCAATTAAATAGGTAATAATCACAGACATTGTCCTTATTTGACCTTTTTTGTTCTAGTCTCAGCGAACGGACTCCAGATTCAAAAACCAAATATAATTATTGTGTTTGGCTCAGGGCAATGAACCCTATCTGGAAGGCAAATGAATACTTCAAATATGAATTTGGCTAATGGACATGAAATATAGGGACTCTTCCTGACTCTTTGGGAGTTCGATATGGCGCCAAAACAAATTCCGTTGGATGTCACTGGTAACCAAGCCAACCAATTCAGAAACAGCAGTTACTGTAATAATTAAATTTGCCTCTTTAAAAAAAATGAAAACAGTGACATTTACACATTTAAGGACCCAAAACCATGTTTTGTGTAACTTAACTTGTAAAGTATCCACTTTAGCCTAAAATTCATAGTCACGTGACTAATAACACTGCATGCTAAGAATTCAATATGGCCGCATTCACCACTTTTAATTTTCTCTTTACTGCAAATATTGTTTTAGAGAGTTTTCTTAACTTCTTGCTTGCAAATATGGCGACTTCATTATTTTGTACCATACTCACTGACCTTAAAATGTGTTTACCTTATTTAAGGACATTTAAATGAAAAATTAAGAAATTATGCCAAAAACACTGGTTTTTTGACCCATGATGGGCAAAAAATACAACACAGCGCCCTCATGGGCTAAATGCAGAGCATTCCTGGTCCGGCCCGTGGACTAAACGTAAAGCTCTTGTAATGATTCCTTTCCCCCTCCTTTGAAAAACATTCGGTGGTTGAATCGGTTAACGTGCATAGGCGTAGCCAGCAGGGGGGGGGGGGGGGGGGGGGGAGGTGTAACGGTATATTTACGCCCCCCCCCCAAAAATATTTTATAAAGACTGCCTTTTTCCATTCAAATTCCCTATTTTTCACCAGCGTTTACACCCCCCCCAAAAAAATAATTTGTAAAGAGTGCTCTTTTTTTTCAAGAAGTGCCCTTTTAAAAAAGAAATGGTGCCCTTTTGTGCCATCGGCTGTTCCTGTTACTTTTTAAATTTTTTTT